CTGAAATAAAAGCACCTTCATGGTTGAAATGTTGTGCTTCACCATACACATTGATGTGTTGTATGTTTGTTGTTGAAATCATTTCATCCGGAAACAAGTTACCAGTGGCTGGTACAGTTGATGTTTTTGAAGATGGTGACCTTTTGTGATGATCTTGCTGACTCGTAGCAGAGAAAGTATGATGACAAACGTTTTCATCCTCTCTTTGCAAGGTAGAGAATCGAACAATGAATGGGAGCATGGCACGAAAAACTAGAGCGTTTTGTTTCTTGTGGTGGTTCATTTCAAGATGAAGCAACATGATGCTGCTACTAGATGCACCACCGAGATCGGTATCGAATATTAGTTTCAAATGGAAATTCCACTTTTGAGCCGAGGAGAATCGCTTGTTGATGGTACTTTCAAATTCCTATTTTTGAAACTTGTTCTTCATTTGAGGACCTGTTCCTGCATAAAAAATGCACGAAAAAGATGCGCATGAAAACAATTTTCGTCATTTTGAGCTTGAAAACAAGTTAGGTAAAATTAGTTGCCCCATTTCACCACAACATGCTGTTCCCTTGACCAGTTGAGTTTTGGAGATACTAACCTCCCCCACGATGCAAAACTAAGTTGTACAAGTCTCAGGTCATCAACAAGGTCTACATTTTCTGCATCATAATTCATCCTTAATTTTGTAAATATATACAAAGATCAGAATGTATTTATTTCTGAGTAGTTTGTGTTTGATTAGTACTCACACTAGTTCTTGTTGTTGGGTTTGAGTTTGTTGTGTTTGGCTTTGCTGTTGGGTTTGTTGTCCATTTTGCTGACCACCGCCATCACCTTGTTGTTTCTGACTACTACCTTGTTGTTGAGTGCTTCCTCCCTGTTGTCCACTACCTTGTTGTTGACTTGCTGCACCTTGTTGTTGAGGAGCAAAGAAGGCTTGAGCTGGATTAGGAACATTAGGAATATTTGGAATTGAGAAGGTTGTTGGTTGTTGTTGCAAATTAGGAATATTAGGAATGTTTGGAATATTGAAAGCACCATTCACTGGACCAGCACCTTGTTGTTGAGCTCCTTGTTGTTGAGTTCCCAATTGAGGAATTTGGAATTGAGGTGGTTGAGGTGCTTGAGGAATTTGGAATTGTTGTTGTGGAGCACCGCTTCCTACTTGTTGACCTGCTGCGCCTTGTTGTTGTGCAATGGGTGAGTATGGAGTGGATGATACTTGTTGACTCAATGCCAAATAGGAAATTCTTGAAAGAGAGTTATCAAGAGTTTGATAGACTTGAGAAAAATCGGACCACTTCTTAGCAACAGCAGCAGCATATAATCGATCAGCAGCATCTACAAGGCCCGATACCAAATCATTAGCACCTGGAGGACCATATTGAGCATGAGAGCCCAAGCTAGAGAGATGTTCTCTGGTTTGATTGGCAAAGTAAGCAGCAAATAATTCTAATTTAGCTTGTTGATCTTGTCCTGCTTGTTTTGATTGTTGTTGTTGTTGGAATGGATTTCCTCCTGATCCAAACAAGGTATTCGTATTGACTCCAGTAATAGGATCAAAGAGAGGATTGAAATTTTGATTACCACCCGTGGAAGAAGCACCACTACCAGCTCCACTCAAGAGTCGAGCACAATTTCCAACATATTCCAAATCAACACCAACCAAATTAGCACAATGATAGAATGGATTGAAACCATAGATTTGTCCGTTGAATCGAAGTCTTTGTTGATTGTTACCTGCTCCATTGCTATTGTAATTGGCAGTGTAAGGATTGCCAGCTGAAGAGTATCCATATGGATTGTTACCACTTCCATAGGATGAATATGGACCACTACTGTAGCCATAGCCTGGATAACCAAATGAACTACCACTTGAAGGTAAGTAAGGAAGACTATTAATGACTCCACCATAGCCTCCGAATGGATTTCCTCCTAAACCACCTGTTCCAAAGAATGGACCGAAACACCTCCCAAACCACCTGTACCATAGGGAAAACCTCCATAGAATTGACCTTGACACAAGGATGAAAAGACCAATGAAGTGATCAATAAAGTGGAAATGACCACTTTGAAAATTGTGACTCTCTGCATTTTGAAAATAAGAGTGCTAGACGACAACGCAGGGATGAACTTGGATTTTCTGATGAGCGTTACGTTGAGTGTAAAGGTACCTCTCTAATTGCAAGGACAAAATTGATGATCAGTTGTAGAGTAATAATAATGAATGGATAGACTCGAATGTCTCTTATCAACTGCTTCTCTTTTTTTGATAGTTTTGAAAGTATTAGGGTTTTGCAATCGCTTTTGAAATAAATGGAATTTGAGTAAATTCCACATTGTGGTAGGTGTACATGAAAGCAGTCTTGCTGTAGTTTGATATGTTCAGATTTTGGACATGGATCAAAAATGAACTGTTGATTATTGTAACAAACACTAAAATAGAAGAATCTCTGTGTTTGCTGATTGACATACTAAAACAGAGCATTCACAACGTGGAACGTAGAAATTCAGTAGAGCAATTTCGTTAGAATGCCAAAATCAATAATGTGACTTGGAATAAGCTGGTATGCTTAGAATGGGTGTAATTTTATTAAGGTCAGTGCATTCATTGAAGCCAAACCTACCTAGTATGCGTGGATAGTCTTCACTCACGCCAACATAACTTAGTACAAATTCTAGAAGTAAACCTAGTGTGTAACTTTTAGATTTTCCAAAACTAGTTGTCAACCACAAAGAATCTCGTAAAACTGCAGTCTCGGAACAATATAAGGTCATTGTCAATCCTCAAGCTTAGCATCAATATCTGGCAAAAGTGGCTCATAAACAAGAAAGCCACACGTATGCAAAAGGAATGATGCATGGGTGCAAGAAAGAGTAGCGTACGAGAGCACAAGAGTAACACATTGCCGAGCAACACTTGGAAACGTGTCTCAATAATGCAAACTAAGTAACGACACGGAAGCGGGAGCTCACGCAAGGAAGAAAACAAATACGGTTGGGGAACCAACACTTTGGACACATAATACGGAATAGGAAAGTTTTAGAGGGAATACACATGGATTTAGGATTCAAGGTATGTCGAAAAAGATCTATCTTCTGTCATCATATCTTCTTCCACCACGATCATCTCTTCTACGTTCATCATATCCACCACGTCTGTCACCACCACGTCTATCATCAAATCTACCACCACGATCATCTCTTCTGCGGTCATCAAATCTACCTCCACGTCTATCGTCAAATCTTCTTCCACCACCACGTCTGTCACCACCACGTCTGTCATCGAATCTTCCTCCTCTTTCTTTTCTTTGCTTCATTCTGGTGCTCTTTTCTTCGTTGACTTTAATTTTGACACCTTGGAAGTCAATACCATCCTTCTTGAGGGCATCCTTGACTGGTTCTGTTGAAGTGAATTGGACAAAGGCGAATCCCTTCTTCTTGCCTTTGTTATTGTAAAGCAGCAAAATGGAAGAAGTTGAACGTGTTGCGAATTAGTCCAAAGTCATGTGGTCGAAATCCATGGAGTACCACACGTCATCACAGAAAAATATTAAATAATAATAATTTGATGATCAAAAGCATTAAAGCTGAACATCAACATACCATTGTCTTCTGGCATTCTAACTTCTTCAATATCACCACAGTCTTGGAACAAATTGCGGATGTCGTCCTTGGTTGCGGAATCAGGCAAATTGCCAACGAAAACTTGATTGGTTCTTCCAGAGAATTCATCTCTAGCCTTTGATTGTTGCAAAGCAACGTCTCTTCCATCCATGTTCATAGCCTTCAAAGCAACAACTTTTTGAGCCGAGTCGACATCTTCAAATTCAACAAAACCATATCCTCTGGATTGGTTACGGTCGTTAACTGGAATGTTTACTCTAACAATAGCACCATAGCTTGAAAGTCTTTCTCTGATTTGATCCTCGGTGGTGGAGTATGGAAGATTTCTGAGCATTACAGTGTATGGAGCCCTAGCATCATAGTCATACTTTTGCTTCTTGGTGTTGTCTTCTTCGTCTTGGTCTTGGTCATCATCACCTCTCTTTCTCTTTAGTTGATTATCGTCTTCATTTTGAATTTCTTGTTGTTGTTCCTCATCAGAGTATTGGTTTTCTTCTTCTCTTGGCATTTTGTATAATGTTGGTGGTTAACAGATATTTTTTTCGAAAAATTTAAAAAATAAATTTATGCAACGGGTGTCAGCCACTGCGCAATACCTAAAATTCTTCATATTGAAGGTCACACAAAGTACAATAACTTTGTTGAACTACCAAAATGACAAAATGAGAGAAGATTAATCCTCTGGCCTTTGTGTGCTTTATTGGTAGAACGCTTGAAGTGATGTCTTTTCAATTGGTTTTTCCAAATCGCAAAACAAGGTCTGACCACCCCAATTTCCAATGGTAACGCTCACGTAATCTCCAACTCCATAATCTCCCCATTTTGGAACTACCACTCTTTTGTTGTTATCAGTTCTACCAACCCAATAGTTTTCAGGATCTCTCTTCGAACTTGAATCAATCAAAACCAATTGTTTGGATCCGACCTCTTTTGCGTATTGCAGTGACAAATTGTTTTTGTAGGTTTGCACTAATTCGTTCAATCGTCGATTCTTGACTTCTGGAGGAACATCATCTTGATAATTTCGATGTGCATGTGTTTTCTCTCTCAATGAATATGCAAAAAGATATGCTTGATCATATTTGACATAATTCAATAAATCTAAAGTTTGTTGATGATCGTCTTCAGTTTCTCCACAAAAACCAGCAATGAAATCTGATGAAAGAGCAACATTTGGAATTCTTTCCTTAATTCTATCTACCAATTTTCTATAGGATTCGCTTGTATAGCCTCTTCTCATTAATTCCAAAACTTTGCTACTTCCACTTTGTGCTGGAAGGTGAATTTGTTTACAAATATTCGGAGTTTCACGAATGAGTTCAATAAGACTTTCAGGATAGTCCTTGGGATGTGGACTTGTGTATCGAATTCTCATTTCTGGATCTATTTGAGAGACTTCATATAATAATTCTGTAAATGTAATTCCTCCAACTTTAGGTTTGTAGATTGATTTAAAACCATCAGTATTCTCAATGATTTTTTCAGATAAATGTGCATATTTTTCTTGGAATTCGCTTGGAGAAGTATCACGATATGAATTCACGTTTTGACCCAGCAGGGTGATTTCTTTTACGCCATTCTTTGAAAGTTGCTTCACTTCATCCAAAATACTTTTAACATCTCTTGATCGTTCTCTACCTCTTGTGAATGGAACAATGCAGTACGAACACATATTGTCACAACCTCTCATAATAGACACAAATGCACTCTTTCCGGTGTCTCCAATACGGATAGGTTCAATGTCTGCATAAGTTTCATCTAATGAGAGCATGACATTAATTTGAGCTTGTCGTCCCTCAACCACTTCATTGCCTTCTTCTGGATTTCCACGATTTGCTAATTCAGATTCTTCATTCTTTTGTAACAGACCTGGTAAGTCTCTGTATTGGTCAGGACCAACCACTACATCTACCATTTTAGTTTCTATGAGTTTTGTTTTTAGTCTCTCAGCCATACATCCCAACACTCCTACTTGAACGCCACTCACAGGATACAAATCAGGGTGAAAATTGTGCAATTGCTTGTTCATAAATCGTTTCTTCTTCAAATTATGCAATCGAATCCAAATTTTGTTTTCTGCATTTTCTCTAATTGCACAAGTGTTTAAAAGAATGACGTCAGCGTCTTCTTCCTTTTCAACGAGTTTATATCCAGCTTTGTTCATTATACTCAAAATTATTTGTGTATCGGATACATTCATCTGACATCCATAGGTTTCAATAAAAACACCTCTTTGTTTGGGAGTTGTTGAGAAGGGTGAAGATTTTGATAACGTAAAATCCTCTCCGTGATTGGTGTCATCCAAATGATTATTTTCATTATTTCTGTTCTTGTTCATAAAATAGTCTAAACCAGGTCCGTTCGTCCATGGTTTTTCAGAAGTTTGTTCTTCTTCCTTCCGAGAGTGATTTCTTTTAGTAGTAATAGAAGAATGACATCCCATCAAATAATGGTTGTTCAAATGAAATGATGATTTTATCCATCCCGATGATGAGGAGATGCAGTTTCGTTTTAAAATGGAAGAAAAGCCTTGTTTCATTTTTTTACGGAGACTATTATTTTCAGGTGGCGTTCAATCAATAACAATTAAAAGAAAAAATGATGATGAAAGGGTTGTAAAGGGATTACTTCATCACATAGCATCATAAAATGAGCAATCAATATTCTCCGTTGATATTGGAGAAAGTAAAAGAAGGAGTGTTGAGTGTTTGTTTTAAAGCCTTTGATTTTCTATTGCTCCGAAGAGCAAATCCTGAAACTGCCATTTCGGAAATTATTCTGGAATTTATTGAGAGAAATGTTTCTTTAAAGAAAGTGAGAAAATTAGTGAAAAATTGTTTTATCTATCATTCCAAATATTCTCAACGTAAAATTATTTTATTTGATTGGCTTTACAGTTATCCTTTGTTGGAGAATACAGCCTGGAAGCAGTTAGAAAAAAATTTGAAAATGTTATTTGGATCTGGTGTTTTTGCAATTGAAATCGAGCCAGGTGTACAATACATGAAAGATACAATCAAATATTGCTGTAGACCATACATGAGGGTTGAGAGCTGCTCATTGCAAGCTGCAATATTCAACAAATCAATTGCTCATTTCCACCAATTAGAGAGTGCACATACGATTGACTATGATATTGTAGCACATTTTTCTAGGAAAGTGGTTGAGCAAGTTGTAGATATGGGGCGTAACGAGAAATTTGAGCAAAACATGCATAAACATATCAAAAGATCTCAGCAAGAGCTCAACGAAAGGGAAGGAAAATTCCTTGAAAAATTAATGAATACTCTATTTTCAGAGTTAGAATTCAAAAAACAGCCAACCAAGCAAGAGAAAATTATTAAATTTATTGGTGAGTGGCAAGGAGCTGCAAAGTTGGAGATTATGAAACAGATTAATTTGGAAAAACAAAAACACTTGACAGATATCTAGTTGACATAGAGTACCAATGCTTGTGGTTATTCTTTTGCAATTATCGCTGTACCCCTCTGATAGATTGAATGGATGGAAAGATGTTCATCATATTTCAGGAAAAGCGAGCACAATAACTTCTTTCTGGACGAGTTGTGATAAAGAGGAATTCTAACATGAGAATTGTCTTCTAAATTCGAGTTGTCGCATTCTTCCCATCCAATTTTAAGGAGAGACACCTGCGAGCTGAGTTCCTTTCCAAGAGTAAGCTTGTTTTCGCACCATGCGCAGCCTTGAACTATGAGCCCTTCGATCATAAAGATATCTATTGGTGTGTTTGATTCTGATCCATCATAAACTTTGAGCTGAAGCTTTTCTAATGGAATATTGTATTTTGTTGCAGTATATTCTCGCAAAGTTGTAAGGTAAGCTTCTGGACTCAACAATCCTCCAAGCCAAACACACCCCTTGTTGTTGTTAAATCTGCCATAACTTACAAAGTTCTCTCTTAATTCGTTAAAATGTAACAATCGTTGTTTAAAATCTAAAAGCCACATATTGGCTGTTATTCCTTCTAAATATTGATATCCGTAGGTCCATGATGATGGAGTTAATCCTTTAGCTAAATCATCGATCATCTTTCTGTAATGGTTGTTATATTTCATCTTTCCATTACCGATCTTTGTGATATTAATCAAATCAGTTTTGACAATGTAATAAACTTGTTTGAATTTCTCAATTTCATTCTTGAAAAATAAATAGAGCTTTTGGTCATAAAGAGCGGAGGGAGGTGTTGCTAGTGTGTCATCAAATCCGACATTGAAGTGTTCTAGCCAATCCACAATCGCCTTTTGGATAAGCTCTATAGACGTATCTGCAACAGAATTTGTAGCTCGATTTGACACAATAGATTCTAACAAATCTGCAGAGTCTTCTTCTACCATATCTTTGATTTTGAGGACTTGCTAATGGTTGTATTTGCAATATTGATATTTGTGAGTTGAGAAATGTTAGAAGGAAGTCCAAGCCACTCTGGTTCTTGTTGGGGAATAGATTCTATTGCATTTAGGATTTGATCATATTTTGTCATGACATTCTGTCCAATTCCTGGTAATGTATAGCTACTCTCATAACTTGAAGATGTGAGAATGTTATCTATGAATGAATTCAAAATTACTTGGTCATATTCATTATCGATTTTTCCCCCATAAATGGATTCTCCTAATAAAACATGTAACGCTTTCCATGGAAGAGTTTCGGGTTTAACATTTTGTCTTCCTTCTGAAACAAGATCAACCCATTTGTCTATGGTATCAAATGACCATTTCAAATCGCTGTAATTGAATTCATACTTTTTAGACCAACCAATTGGAGGATAACTCAAACGCTCCTGAAGAATAGCGTGTAACCAAGCTATAAGCATGTACAATTTTGCTCTCTCAACAGGAGGCTTTTCCAGATCGCTTCTTTTGATATTTGAGAATGTTTGAGAAAGGCAATTCTTAATTCCTTGTGAAGACTCAAATACAAGTAAATAGGACATTCCAAGTAAATTATGATTGATGTTCGTATTAATTTCACTTGTTAGGAATAGTCTGAATGAATCATGAACAACATGTTCGTACTTGAGAGAGTGAAGCTTCTTTTCCAGAGTATAAAGGAAATTGGGAGCCAAGTGAACATTCTTCAGTAATACCCAGCTACCTTGTTTAACAGCATAGTTGATAGTCCTATAGGCTTGCTCGTTGGCTTCAACGGATCCCATTGCAATGGAGGTGCAAGGATGTTGAGAATTGCGAACTAATTCCTCAATGTGAATTGAAGCATCGTATCCTGAAGCAGAAGCAAGAATCAAAGGTGTAAACTTGTCTGCTTCATGTTCTACTATTGTGCTAATGTTCCAATCTGTTTCTAAAAAGTTTCTTCCAAACACGGTTTCAATAAATTGTTCCATATATTGAACCAATACTTCAGGTTTCAATGCTTTAACGACCATCATTCTTCTATATGCATTTATGATAGGGCTATGAGAAGCTTCAAAGCAATTTGGTAATTCATTTGTTTCTTCCAAAATGAACTTTTTCCAATGTTCTTTGTTTTCTTCAAAGTGCTTAACAATATCGTGGAAGGGTGAAATTGTTTGTAACTTTTTCATCAAGTGATGTTGAAGTTGGCCAAGAGAAACAACTCCATTTTCATTGAATGCAATGCTGGAGGGAGCAACCAGATCTTCGAACAGATAATTTTTCTCTTCATGTGATATCAAACTTTCTGTTTTGATTTGAGCTAACTTCATAGCTAAAGTCAAGCGATCATTTTTCAAGATACTTCTAGAGACCTTTCTATAAATTTCCAAAAACAGTTTTTCAGTTAAGAAATCAACTCTATGCTTTTGTGTGTTATCTTGAGGAATTGCCAAAACCTCATTCAATGTTTTCATTAGTATTGAAAGAGAGAAGTGATATAGAGAATTAATTTCTGAAAACTGAGTTAAAGTAAAGTAGATAGTGCTGCAGTAAGCTGCTAACTGGCAAAAGACTTCACTCATCCTACCCAAAGTGTCAATTACTCGTTCAGATTCTCGTTTCTTATTTTCAATTTCTTTTGAGTTTTCTTTGAGTTTTTCTAAAGTACTAACAAGTGTTTCATTCTCCAGAATAGATCCTTTTGATGTACTCAATAATGATAATAGAGTATTTTCCAGCTCTCTTAACTTGGCCTTATATTCACCTTGGAGTTTTAACTGTTCAGAACGTTGAATATCAATTTCAGGGCTCTCCTGTTGCAGAATAGCAGAAAGGCATTGATTTCTTAAACTTGATGGTGTCACGGAAAAATTAACAAATGTCACTCTGCTTGACAAGTCTGGTTCATATTGATGTGAAGCATCTCTAGTAGAAAGAATTAAGACAAAAGTTGGAGATAAATCAATATCCTGACTACCAAGGTTGACAATGCTTCTACCTCCCACTTTTTTCACGTGTCTATTGAGTACCGGGTTCAAAACTGGATCTACATGCTCCGCGTCAGTAACTAAAATAGGAGTTCCAAACCTCATTGCATTTTCTAAATTTTTCATGAAAGAGTCATCTGTAAAACTGGTTTTGATAATATTCCTTGACCGATAGAAATTATAAATAAACTCTGTTGCATGACCTGTTGGGTCAATTATTAATGGGAATTTGTTAAATCGCTCCAAAATTACAGCATTTTGCAAGGCAATTTCATCATTGACTGAAAGTTTGTTTGTTTCCCAATTCAATCGTTGTTGAGGGGTTGAAAGATAATCAACCAAGTTAATGTTTTCTCTATGCTCAATGTTGAATTTAGACAAAATGGATACCCAAATGTACATCAAATTCTTTCTACTGTGTTCGTCAAAGAATCCAGAATAAGCTAAAAATGCCGCTGAAAGTATGGAATCTCCCAACAGAGTAAGTTGTTGCTCGTGATATTGCCCAATTTGCTCTGACCATCTCATTGCTTCTTGTGAAAGATTGTCGATTAGCGATTTTGATCTAACTACCTTTGACTTGACAATATTAATTTCCATTTCAATGGACTTGGTTTCTTGCACTAACATGGTGTACTCATTGGTGAATTCATTGATTTTAGATTTCAGTTCTCTAATGACCTGTTGAATTTCATTCTCTTTTTCTTGGAGGGTTTCGCTTTCTTTTTCCAGAGCAAGTACCTCTGTCTTAAGTGGAGCAATCTTTTCTACAATGTCAGAATATTTTACACATGATGAGAGCCATAAAATAAGAGGACCACAAGCTTTGCTAGCATTGAATACTTTTGATTCTTCCAAATTAGGGTCATCCAAGTACGCTTGTTGCAGTCGCATTCTTAACTTTTTAGGTATGTTGGTTGCATCAGGCTCAAACGCTCTAATAGTTGTAATAAAATCTAACGAGCTCACAACTTTTTTGATGTCAGGCCATGTAGGTACACTCTTTTCCCAATCATTAGGGCTTAATAAAATGATTACAGCTTCTAAGGCCTTTTTGACAATTGGAGGAGGGTTGTTGAATGCTCTGAGTTCCTGTATATGTTTGGCTTCAATTTTTTTCACTTCTTCCCGCGATTTCAAAAGTAAAGGTTGTACTTCTTCAAGTTCTTTTTGGCTCTGGGACTTTCTCTTATTAATTCCAATACTCTTTTCTTCTAACTGTCGAGATACAACCATTGATTGTTGTTTCTTGTTTTCAGCATCTTTTTGATTTTCAACTATTAGATCAAGCTTATCTTTGGCTTGAGCATTTTTGACATGTAGTTTAGCCTCCTGTTCTTTCAATTGATTTTGAAGAGAAATGACATAATCTTCTGTATCCTTTAGCCGTTTTAGTCCTCTCTCAGTATGAGTTTGTTGTTCTTGAAATTCTTTTCTTTTTTCCCAATATATTTGATCAAATTGTTTGATAAAATCGAGGAAATGCCTTGGTGATAAAAATAATTTTTTGCCGGTCTTGCGCTCGACATCCTTTCCAACCTTTTCAACACATGCATTAATTTGAACCAAAGCATCCGAAACTGTTCCAACATTTGTAAAATCTTTTGAAAAGAAATCCTCTGTGATCTTAGTAGTAAATGAGGTGGCAATCTCCTGAAGACCCTGGTATGGCCATGAACCAAACCAATCAATAATACAGCGGTTGAACAAAGCAGGAGAGGTTGCAGCTCTTGATTTGAAGTCCGCATTTTCTGGGTTAATTGTAAACACTATATGGAGATTCTTTTGAACTTGTGTAACAAACCACTGATAGAGCTCCTCAGTCGTATCGAGATTCAACACATTGTTCATAGTTGCAGCGTCCTTACACATATTGATCAGGTTGGCATATTCATCTGCTTCAAAAAGACCAGGTACTTCACCACTCGCTAACAGTGAGTTCATATATTCAAGAAAGCTGGGTTTTAGGATGTTGGATTCATCAAAAATGAAACAAATTTTTTCGTCTTTGCATCCTGCACGTCTGAGTATTTTCCTTAAATCTTCTTCAAAGTCCTTAATTCCATAATTTTTGTGTGCTTTGATTTGAAACACACTATAGTCATTCATCCATGCACAAAATCTAGCAAGCAATGCTCTTCCTGTACCGCTAGTACCACACAATAAGAGATGTCCAAGAGGTTGTTTCAGTGCTCGGTCAATTCTTAAAATATGTTCCATAACTGAATCAAAGAGAACTAAATGCACATCATATTCTTCTTCAGAAAATAATTTCAACTTGCGTTCTAGGAATAGCTTGAGTTCTTGTTTTTCAACCGAATTATTAGAGAGCCACTTGCAAAACATGATTGGTCTTTGGAGTGTGCTCTCAGAAATCGTTGGGAAATGTTTCATAAGGATGGAATCTAATGTTCGATCAGTCCATTGTCGTTCTTCGTCTGAAACAAGTCTGTCGCTGAAAATTCGTAACCCTTCATGAGCAAGTAAGCGGACATAATCATCCAAAGATACAAAATTTAAATTTTTTAGACCCTCTTGTAAAGCTCGAATCCATCGACTAAGTTCTCTTGGGCTGTATATATAGTGAATTTGTTGCTCTGTTGTAAAATGGTTTCGAGAATTTGAATAAAATTCTACCATTACATTGGTAGACGACTCCACTTGTTGAGACAAGTTTGGAATTTTGTGAAGGATAGCTTTCAAAAAGCTTCTATAAATTTGTTTGAGAGACTCTTCTTCAGGGAAATCTACAAAAAGTAGAGGACAATGTCTCATAAATCTCAAGCTCAAAGATGTACGTCCGGAATCTGTAGGAGGATTGCATGATCCCACAAACATTATTCTTTCCAATGTTATCCATGAAAGGTCAGAGTATCTCCAAAATCCACCATGCTCAATCAGTTGGCGCATGAACGTTATTACTCGTTGAGTTCCATAGTTATCGTTCGTTGGCAGGTTAATTTCATCACAAAACACCACTAACCACTTTCCGTTTTGATTTGGATGCATTATTAATCCATTTGGCGTATTTGTTATCTTGCAATATAATTCAAAGGTCTTTAAAATCAGTGAAGGAGTTGTAGCACTTGAAAAATTCAAAAAGCAACTGTCAAAGTTCGAAAGAGATTTTAACACAGAAGTCAATAAAAATGTTTTACCACTTCCTGGAGGTCCGCATAAAATAATGGGCTTTCGGTCCCGAATCCATGTTTCAACGAGATGGTCATTCCGTATGGTATCAAGAGTAGGAATCATTGAATTGCCAAGTATCTTGTTATCGTCCACAAATACCTCCTTTGGAACTCTTCGTGCGTAAGGCACCCATTCTCCATCATTGATATTCACTTCAAAGTCTGTGAGATCCTTTCCAGCTGTTGTGGAAGGAAGATCAACACCTGCAACATTGGTCGCAATAAAATCAGCAAATTTCTTTCTGGCATGGATAGGACAAGAGCTCGAGAAGGCCCATAAAATTGCGAATACAAATCTCTTTGATATGTATTTTTGAAAGACCTCATCGCTCATTGGGAAATCTATGTGTGTGAAATTGTAATCCTGTACAGCCTGTATGCTGTCATTGATAAAAGAGAACAATGAAGTAAGAGATCTAACTGTAGAGTACTCCATGACATGCTCAAGTTGTTTCGAAAAGGTAATGCACTTTGAGATGATATCTTCACAGAATGGAGAAATGATACTAGCCACTTTCTGTTGAATAGTACGTGGTTGGGATGGCTCGGATTTTGACTTGTCTGAAGCGAGAGTTTGTAAGTAGTTGTAAATGATCATTTGTTCAGTTAAAATATCGTCATTAAAGAAAACCATTCCACAACGACTCACAGTAGCCATAGTTGCATATTTCAAGTCATGAGTTTCGAAAATGATTCTCACATTTTCTGTTAGTGCCAATCGTTCTCCGTTTGGTAAAGTAAATAATTTGTTGTCATCAAGTACGCTATTAAGGTTTTCGACCCAATCAGGATCAACATCACCATCGAATACAATCCAATGTCGACTTGAAGGCTCATGTGAGTTAGTAATAATTTTTCGCAAAATATTGGTAAAGACACCGTCTGTCCATTCCCTGGTTACTGGGTCAAGTCGTCCATAGAGCTCATCTTTAGAGAGAGCCTTGGGATCAATAATGTAGTATTGACCTAAAACGCCCTCATAACGTTCTAACGCTTTCAGTAATACTTTCCATGTGGTGGACTTTCCACTGGCACTAGGACCAACTAGAATGAATCCATGATGCAATTTTTGAATGTGATAAAGTTGAGTGACCTTAGTCATCCATTTGTCATCGGGTAATAAATATTCCTTGCTGCATGTTTCAATAATCCATCTTTTCAGATCTTGACTTAGAGAGCCTTCTTCGGTATCAACTCCTGGGAATATATTTTCTAAAAGAGATGTGAGTTGGAAAATATCACGTCCGACTAGTTTTGGAATGATGGTGTTTTGGATGCTTTGTATCAAAATTTTTGATTCTAGTACATGATCATGTGAACTCATTTGGTTTCTTTTCAGATACCCGGCATTGACCAGAACACTTTTTAAAGCTCGCAGTCCAAAATCATAGTGAGATTGATGGCCCAATTCATCTCTGCATAAATCAAAAAATAGTACAGTTTTTCTGGCAAGAGATTCTGCGTCCTTAAAGCCTTGAGAATATAAAATTACTTGGGCAATCAGCTCCTTATCTGGTTTTACCATTGCGACGCTTCTAAATAGTTGTTTAAGGTTGTCGGGTAAATTTGATCTTCCTGCATAACCAGGATTCATGGTAATAAATATACCAGTAGCTTCATGTATGGAACATCGTTTGCCAATTAATTCAATCTCAGGTTTTCGATCTCTAAGTGCTGTTTGAATGGTCTGAATTTGTTGTGAAACTGCAGACATCATTTTTTCGTCAAGTCTGTTGAACTCATCAAAACATCCCCAGGCTCCACATTGACAGAGACCAAGGAAAATTCTGCCCATTGCCTTACAGTCGAAGGTATCATCACAATTGAACACTAATACAAATCTTGCTAATTGAGCTCCAAGTGATTTGACCGTTTCTGTTTTTCCTGTACCAGCAGGTCCAAATGGCGAGCCTCCTAGCCTGGAATTGAGCGCTTGAGTAAGAGCCAAATAGCACTTGTCAGTGAGAGGAGTTTGTACTAGTTTTTCAATGACACCTAGATATTCAAACCCATAACAAAACTCTGCATTAGCAATCTTAACAATAAGTTTCTCATTGACATCTTGACCACGCTCATTCCAATAATATCTCATATGATAGAGCCAATCAAAGTCCTTATTACTCTTGAGATTGGATGTAATCAATTGTCTTGTCACAGTTTTTTGATGAACAAGTTCATTAATCAATTGTTCACGCTTTTTTCTTTGCAAAGTGTTAGTAGCATCAATATATGACATGTCTGTTAAAATTTCAAGAAACTCAACAATCTTTTGATAGACAAGAAATAGATTACAAGTAGTAGTAGATTGAAGTTGTCTTTCCATAAGAAAAGTCCAACACACTTGAGTAGAAGTTACAATCACTTGGGTTGGATAAAGTGAAATCCAATTTTCCAACTCTTTAGCAGCTATTCTGTCATGCTCCAATAGTGCTTGCAACGTTCTAATTGACCGATCCATGAGTAAGCAAAGAGTATGACGCATTTCTTTCTCTAATTTCGATAAAAATACCTGAATGGAGTCATTAGAATTGAATGGAATCTCATTTTCCAATGTTACAATTTCGGCTTCTCTGGAGCACATTGCGATAGCCTTATGGTCCACAAATTCAAGAGATGATATTCCAGAGAACATCTTCTTGAGATGTTTTTGAAGTTTTTGTGGATCATTAGAATTTCCAATAATTTCAAGTAAGTCCTCATCTCCAACAAAATAAAATCTCGGGAATGCAGCACGTTGTTTTTCCAAATATTCTCCTAAACACTTTTGGAGCTTGTTTAACTGTTCTGAAAGCTTTTCCAAAGATGGAACAATGTTTGGAATGTTAACTACCTGAAAACAAAGTGGATTGGCATGGATCTTTCTCATCAAAGATATGAATTCATGCTCGACAGATTGGAATCTTTGAGTTTCCTTTGGAAGTTGATATTGAATATCAACATTTCCAGAAAAGACTCCCTCTAAATATACCCATACTCTTTGAACTTCACTAAGAACATCACACAATATTCTTATTCTATTAACCTTGGTTTCCAAGGATGAGCATTCGTCTTCAAATGCTTTGAAGAAGGGTGAATTTCGCATGGATGTGAAGGTCTTTAAATTGTCCAAAATTTGTGTTGAAATTTCTTCCCAAGATTTGACAAGGTAACACTTATTGGCGTAATTGGCAAACTCGAATTTCATGGTATTCCATAACTCACGAGATTGAGCAAGGTAAATCTCAAGACCGAACTCTCCACGAGCTTTTTCAATGATATCTCGAACTACTTTCTCATAATTCAAAACTTTGTGATCCCAAACGTCTCCTAATGTGAGTTGAGTTAGGACCCAATTTGCTCCAATCAATTTTCGCAACTCCATCCAATGACGTTCTTTCATGCACTCTTCTTTTAGAGAACGTAAGATGGACATTTCCTTTAAGTGCTGTTCAATGATTGTAACAAGATTTTCAACTGAAGAGTAGGTCAACATCCATGGGTTAAGCTTTTTCACTCTTTCAAGGAGCTCTGTGAGTTTGGTCTGAATTGTCTTACAAATTATACTATTGAACGATTGATCTCTTAGAATGTTTAACTCAGCCCATATTGCTTGCACCGAAGTCCATACATCTTTCAAGTTTTGTAATTCTCAGAATAAGCTTCTAGTTTATCCATTCTCAATATATCCATATCTAAGGCTTCTCTAGTTGTACAAATATTCGAGTACTCTCTCCTCAGCTGAGTAAGTCTGTTCTCAAGATAATTTAACTGCTTAAGAGCTTCTTCTGGTTCCACGTTTCCTTCAAGTGGTCGTTTTAATTTCCATTCATCTGAAAATTGATCCATAAAGGCAAGGAGCTTCTTCTCTTCACTTAAAAGATTCTTTGTGATCTGATCTTTCATTGATCGAACAGCATCATTCTTCAAATTTGTGATCTGTTTAAAGGCGTTCCACTCGCTCTCAATGTTATCAGCAAAAACCCAAGCTTCAGGAAGCTTACAATTGTAATCAATAATGAGCTTTTCTCCTTCTTTGAACAATTTGATATCGGATTCCCAAGAGTTGAACTGCTTCTTAATAGTTTTGATATGTCTCAAGTACTTGATAGCATCTTGTGTGCTCCTTTCCACTCTCACGCTTTCAATTTCTTGTCTTTCCTTTGACATGCTAAGAAAAACGTTTTTCATAGATTCTTTCATTTCTGTGGAGAATCTTATCAGTAATTGTCGTAAAGTATCATCATACTTTACATTAAGCTTTTCGTAAACATCTCTATAATTCACAACTATTGGTCCAAAATCTTTTGAGTATAACCCGTTATCTGATACAAGTTTCGCTTTGGACAAATCTTTGAGGAGTTGAACCCATGCACCGAGAGTATTGATCTCTGACATCACTTGTCCAATGTCCATGTCCCACATGGATTGATACTGAAGCCATTGTTGAACATATTTGTCTGCCTTTCTTGAAGATTTTTGGATTAAAATAAATATAGTGTGCAATTTTTCGTCAGAAACTCTTTCCAGCAAGTATTTGAAGGTTTTTCTCTTTTCAGAAGCGAATACCTTATCATAACGGTCGCTCTGAATAACACACAAATCACAAATCCAGGATAGACATGTGCTCAATCTTGATGTCCAGTACGCTTGTGCTCTATGTACCGAAGGCATTACCTTCAGTGACCTATTGACAATCTTGATTTCAATTTCAAATTTTGAAATATTAAGTTGAGAAAAAATGGAATAATCTTCTGGGCTCTCTTGGCATTTAGAATCTTCCTCAAAATCTTCGTCTAACAAGTTAGGTTTGGAAACGGTTGAGCTATACATTCCCTTATATTCTGAGAGCCACATATCCATCAATTCATTCAGCCTGGCCAATAAAACCGTTTCAATATTTTCATTGAGAAGCTTTACCCAGCTTGGCATATTTCCAACTTCCCCACTCAAAGCAAGTGAATCCACAATCTTTTGGATATCAGATAGTATGGATTCTAAGTTGTTGTAAGCAATTTTACAGGATTTTAACATCTCTAAACATGTATAAATTTTTTCCACCTTAACAACCAATTCGTGAATGTTTGATGAAAATTTGTTCAGCTCTTCATACAGTTCCTTTGAATATTTGTCTAACTTTGTACTTCTCCAAGTTAACTCAAATCCTTCCGCAAGTTTTTGGTAAGCATCTTTCAAGTATTTGGATGTCAGTGGTAATATATCGGTTCTATCGTCAAGATTCTTCATTGTCTTCCTGAAAATTTTGAGGCTCTCCGTTAATGACATAGCTATTGGATGTATAATGGCCGCTTCTGAAGCTACATTCTTTATCTCAGGTTTAACTCTTATATCTATTTCAAGAGAGGAAAGATTTCTAACTTCCTTAATCAATATTCCAATATCCTTGTCAAAATTAACACGCACATCCATCTTTTCACCTTTGTTTTTCATTATTTCAAATATAAACCCCTTAACAGAAACGCTACTATCATGGAGTTGAAATATCTTCCATTTAAACAGCTTTTCTATGATTTCATTGTTCCATCTTTCAATCACAGTAAAAATATTTCCATTTAGCTTATTTTTAAATCGTTCTCCTTCTTTTCGCAAGTTGTTCTCTTCAATATGACGAGTTCCAACTTTTTCCTCTTGAAGAAGCTCAAATGCAACTGGAACGATATCACCATATGGATTCTTAGTTTTTTCTACTTCTCGTTTCAGAACTTCTTTACTTTCGATGGCAATATATCTCCACTGTGACTCAGAGTCAGGATAGACCAGCTCTAGAAATGCAAGGGACAATGCTGTTCCAATTATTTCTTGTTTGGCAAATTGGCCTAGGATTGGATGATTGGAAATTTTGGTTTGCATCATCGAGAAAGAAACGCCCATAAATTCCACCAAAGATTCGTTGAAGGTCCACAAGCAATCTTTTTTCCGTAAAATTTTTAATCTTTCCCAGCCGTTTCCAAAGACGTCATCAACTCGTTTCATATAAGTTATCAATTGTTTTTCAATTTGTCTTGCCCAAATGACAAATCCTGATACAGAAGGTAAATCCCGTAGTTTGCTCATTTTCTCGGTTTCAGAGTATGAGTAGTGCTGTTTGAATTTTTCTTCAAGTTTTGAAATATCCTCTTTGACTCTTTCAACTAACTGTTCCTGATATTGTTGAATTGCACTTCGTATACGCGGCTTGTAAAACAACGGATTAAATTTAGAGAAAATTCTGAACATCTCACTGGCAGTTTTAGCTACTCCCAGCTGGTCCGAAAGCCTCCTGGCAATCACAGTTTCGGCTTTGTCGATCTTTTCCTGATAGGATTTGATGGCATTTTTCCAGGTGGCTTGCCCTTCAGCCGACGTGTCCAAGACGTCCAAAGATCTCAATTCTTCGAATGCTTTGTTCACCTGGTCCAGAACACTTGTTTCTCTCTGATCTGTTATTGAGTTGGGAAATACTTTCTCAATGACTGATCTTAACTCTTCATGTTGAACCCTAAAATTTCTAACCTCTTCTATTCGTTTTTGAAGTCCAACATGTTCAAGTTTGCTTATTTCCATAACTTTTTGTTTTTTTCTGGAGATGTCGGTTGCAATCTTGCAAAACGTTTTGATATCTGAATCCAATGTGGTAAATAAATCAATACAGTTTTTTGAAATATGGTCAAACTCTTCAAACTGCAAAAACAATAGGTGCATTGGCCTCAAAAGTTCCAATAACTTTTCATTCACATCTCTGGAAAAAGCTTCAACTAATTTAATGGCTCGTGCCATTGGATATGAGTCCTTGTTTTGATAAATTTTTGATTTGTTCAACAATGTAAACATCTGTGCAATGGTAGCTGTTATTTTGTCGATATCTTTGGCTGACCAAAACTCTGAGATAGGTAAATCCTGCATTAAGGAGCTGCACTCTTTAGCTCTCAGTAACATCTCCTCAATTCCGGTTGTGTTCAATGCTGTGAACGCTTGCATTCTACGAGTATTTTTCAAAATATGAAGTGTGTAAGTAATCTCCTGACTCTTCAAATTTTGTTCCACTTTGGAAAGCACTCGCTCAAAGTCGCTCCAAAATTTAATTTCTTGAGACACACCATGTATATTTATGTCACTAATGTACTTTTTGTAGAAGTATTGCTTTTAAATTAGTAACTTACTCTGCTTTTTGAATTAACACTCTTATTTCCTGAGCCAATTGCAGAGACATTTTGCTTATTTCTTCGACCATCTTTGTTTCTGTCTTCAGTTTAGTGATTTTGTCACTTAGAGAGTCTAATGTTGCTCCTTTTTTGATCAAGTCTTTTATCTCAGAATGGACATGCTCAAACACATTAAGTTCGGGTATTGAAAATGTTTGGCACTGATGATTTATCGCAAGCTTCAACGATTTAATATTTTCCATGACGGATCCAGCACTTCCTTTTTCATTTCTTTTTTCGAATGCTGAAAAGTAAGGTTCAAATCCAAACGATAAATAAGAGTTAAGATTTTGAAAAGGATTAAGCTGATTGTTCAGCTCAATCACTTGAAGAAGGGATGTTAGTTTTTTTCCATCCAATAATTGGTCCGTGAAACTCTTCTTATCAGTTTTTATAAAACAGACCAACCATGATTTTTCCTTAAATTCGATTTCAGTACTAATATTGTACTCGTACAAGGTATCATCTTTCATAACAATGTTCATCAATGCAAAATATATACAATAGTTGATATCTTACCTTCATCATGATTGGCCACGGGCTCTAACCCGCAATGTTCCGATTTCAGGACCTTTTGAAGGTAAAGAGCAGATGAGAGCTTTCAAAGAGAAATGCTGAAATAATCTCTCGCTTTTCCAAGCTTCGGAATTGTGTTTTCAAATGATTCCGATCACAATCAATCAGTAACACTCCTACATTTACTATATATTCAATGCATTGACTGATTAGCAAGTCCTTATTTTCTCCTTGTCCCGTGTTTTGTATCATTTTTTTCAAAGATCATATGGCCGCCAATTTCACTACTGAATTCGAGTTGTATTGGGAGCTCTTATTCGTGTTGTATTACCACCACCCTAGCGAAGGCTTCATTCTCGTTCCTGCAGAGTTTTGTTCAGATAAAACAAGCGTAAATCTAAAAATTGTAAATCATTCAAATGTAATTGTTCTTTACAAACATCTCTGTGAGGAGGTTTAATAGCCTTTGCTAAATCATTTTCAACTGTTTTGATTGTATCTTCAATATTTTGCTTTCTTTTCAAAAGGTCTGGCTCACTTTCTCGTGTCATGACATACGTTTCATATTGTAAGCTTCTCACACGAATGTTATTGTCTCTCTTCAATCGACATTTCAAATAATGTGCAATGTCTTTTTGGCAATGTTTATCATACTTCTTTTTGGTTTGACATAGAACTGTATTTTCCCATAAATCTTCGCAAAAATCAATACCATCAAAGACTTGATCGGGAATGTCTGATGGTAAACTTTGCTCACTAATTCCGCTCGGATAGGCCATATCAAACTCAGAGAAGAAATAATTTGGCGAACGAAGATGTTCGAATCCATGTGGTAATTCTTCTTTTGAAAAATCAAGAACGCCTTCCGGAAACTCTGGTTCAATATATTCCCAAGCATGAAACCTCTTTCTGCGAAGATGATGATTTGACGGGAGCATTTTTTATGATTCTTTTGTGGGGAGTGCAGCGAAAACTTCTTTGCGCGTGACACAATGTGGATTTAACGCGAGCCAAAATTCACTTTCTTTACACCTTAAATCCTTTTGCAAATACATAAGTTTCACTTGATTCTGATCTAGATGAAGCTGGTTTTATGAATTGCACGTCTTCAAAGTATTGTTTTAACTCGTTTCTCAAAATGGCGTCTTCAGATCCGCTGAAAATCTTTAACGTTCAATTCAAATTATTTAACAACAAAATCAATCAACAACCTACTTTCATCAATAAACACCCTCCTGGTTTGAGAACCTCAAATGCAAAATCGATGGCTGTGTTACACAAGAAAATAATTCTTTATAAAATTAATATTAATTTTTCATAGCAATTTGTTTTCACAATGCATTGCAAAAAACACATACCTGTTGTGGTCGAGTGTTTTCACTCCGCTAGTGTTTGGTGCCATGTCAGACAACAAACAATCCGCATATTCGTCTTCATTCAAATGGCTTCTTATTTGTGGAATACTCTCCTCGAATTTTCCTTTCAAATGAATTATTTTAATATTCTTGTTTTCAGGAGAAAGTATTGTCTCCATGTCAAGGATATCAATCGTTATTAATTTACTGTTTGATTTCATTTTCTCAACAGCCACTTGAGACCAACTGTGAATGAATTACGCAAATGATTAAAAATTATTAAAATAACGCTAAAGAAGAAAATGTAAACATTACCTGCCAGGAGCAGCCCCCAAATCAATAATTATTTTGCTCTTTTCTAAAAACTTTCCACATTTATCATTAATTTCTAATAACTTGTACGCTGCAAAAGCAATCCATTTGCATGATTCATTTCTTCATTATACATACCAGCTCGTGATCTATATCCGTGAATTTTTGCTTGCTTGACAAAGGCGTCTCGTCTTTGCCTTTCCAGCCATCGCCCGGAGCTCTTTGTCAATGAAGAATATTTTCTGAATGTTGATGACGTATCAATATTATACAAGTAATGATTTTGTATTATGGACTTGTGTTGAAATAATAATTTGAAAGTATGGGAAGCCTTGGCAAATTCGGAGCACAACATTTTTTTGAGAGTGGTTCGAAATGAAGATTTGCTCCAATAAGAAAGCCTTAAAAAATATTTGTACCGCCTCAATATTCAAGATGATGCTTTCCCGAGGAGCGATGCAAGATTGCATCAATCGTATGGTACGAGTCTATGAAGAAACGTCTGGTCAAAAACTAGACGGAGGGGAAAATGAAACAGACGGACTCACTCCTTTTGATGCCTGTAAATTTCTTATTGCGAAAAAGATCATGGCTACAAGAGAGGTATGTACTTGATGAGCCAACAAGCCCTATGATGATCATTATTTGGTTCAGAAAATTAAACAACGAGACAACACAAAAGGAGGAGTAACCGTTAGAGCAAGACTAAGTAATGACGTTCGGAAGATGATATCGGCTATTAAGAATGATGATCTACAAAAGATGATAAAGATCCATGAGAAGAACGCAAAGAAACGATTTTTGAAAAAAGTTGATCCTGAGGTCGTTAAAGCTCAAAAGAATGACATTGAGCTTATAAAAAAACACATTTTAGAACTGAGCTTCTTTCAAAGAGAAAATACGATAGAGATAGTAAGAAGAACCCAAAGGAGGATTCAACCACGTCTCATCTACTTCAAGGTGCAGATGAGCTTGACAATGAAAATAAGAATGATGGAGGCATGGAAGGAGTTGTGTTGGAGCAAAATCTTCCTGATGATGCAACTAAATCTCAGCTACCCTCCATTGATATTTCACAAGCAATGCTTAAAGTTCAGGATATGCAAAAACAAATTGATCAAGGTCTCGATGTTTTCAGTAAGAAGCTAGACGATCTACATCAAATGTCGTTGGATATTGGTAGTGAACTCAATGAACAAAACAGATTGTTGGAGCAAATCGATAAAAAAGTTGAAGAAGAGGTTACCAAACTAAAGAATCTGAATGCAAGAGTTGAGAGTGCTCTTGATAAGGTTGGAGGTTCCAACAAAATCATGTGTATAATTTGCATTGCCATCATTATTGTGGTGTGTGCTGCAGCTGGGTTAATATTCCTTATATCCTATTTTTGAAATGTGTTGAGATGCCGCTCAAAATTGTTTTACGTTAAAAATTAAAAAAGAATAAGGAAAAAATGTCAAATCATGTCCTTTCTCAAGATTAGTCATCAATCTTTGGTTCCATTCCATGAACGACATGGAAATCATCAATACAAGAAGCACGCTAGCAATTTGTTGGAGAACCTATCGGAAAAGGAGCAATTACCCCTTCTCCCACTTTGCCATCTTCATCAGCCAAACCAACAAAAAACACAAAACCCTCCAACGCAGAACTTAACAACAGTGGCAAGTTTTTATCACTCCGAACATCAATTTCTCCTCTTTCGTTAATTACATTGGATCCCTTACAAATTCCGACTGATAAAAAACGAATTGGCAGAATTTCTTCAGTGCCAGAAGATCTGGTAGAAGAACACCCAATAATTGAAAAACCTCCAGTTGTAAATATCCAACCCACAAAATCAAACATTGATTCTGAACTGTCAACAGACACAGAGGATGACAAAGCAAACGAACAAATCATCACATTTGATTTGGAAAATGATCTAATGACCATCAATGTAGTAAACAAGACTGAATGTCACCTTGATACAAATACTTCTTCTCATCATCAAGAAACGGACAACTTACAAATCAAAGAAATGGCCAACCCTCCCCTAAATGAGTTTACCTCCATTCTGGTCAATGCTATTGACGAACTAAATACAGATACCAGAAGATCTCAATCGGTCACCACTCCTGATTTGATTTCAAATAATCTAAATCGATTTTTAAGATCCGAGTCAAGACTTTCAGAGTTAAGCATCAATGACAAGAATATGAATGCAACCAATCTCTCTTGGTGAATGCAGATCCTTCCTTAGCAAAAGACATTAACGCAAGAGAAAAAGCACAACTTGTTCTAAAGAAATTTCTCAATGAAAAGAAAGAGAAGAAAGAAACAAATTGAAAGTAGAGAGATTGAGAAAAGAGATTGAAGAAAGTAGAGCAAATATTGAAAAATGGAGAGAGAAAAAAGAAATGCAAAATACTTTGATAAGAAAAACAGTCAAGATGACAAACGAGCTCATAAAAGAACGAGACGTGGAAATGGAAATTATACGAAAAATTAAAAGTATGAAACGAAGGAAAGGCAGTAGAGAAGCAAAAGAAAAGCTAAAAAACGTTGAAGATCATTCGAAATTTTTCATTTCTCAAAACAATATGCTTGCAAAACAAATGATTGCAAAACATGCGTTAAAAGCAAAGCAACATCAGCTTGAAGAGAACTACCTCAATGTTTATGAAAAAAGAATGAAGGAAGTTCAATCAAAAGCCCAGAATGACGCTTTGAATTTATACGAACTTGACGAAAAGAGACATATTAACAGAAAGCGAAAGGAAATTGCTTTATATCAATTGGACATGGTTAAACAGGCACAAGTGGATAAATTACAATCAAAGATGCTTAAAGCGAAGGTTGACAAATATTTAAGCGAATTGGAAAAAGAAAAACGAGAGGAGGAAGATAGAAAGGAAAGAGAGTTACGAAATATGCACCGAAAACGACAAAAAGAAATTGCAAAATTAGAGAAAGAAAAACAACGTCCAAGAGACTTTAAGTTCATCAAGGAACTTAGTAGCCAGCAAACGAGAGAGATTGATCAAGATGAGGATCACTATTCCGACTCGTCATATATCACAGACAGCGACGACGAAGACGCACCAATTGTTGTTGTTACCAAATCCCAAAAACCAGCAGTTGGTAATATTAATATTGATCTAAGCAAAATTAATGCACAACGTCCTTATACAGAGAGTGAAAAGTATGACACTGCCAGGTCGTCCCTTAGTGCTCGTCTTAGCGTTGGCAATTTTTCCCCTCGAATCAACTTGGATCAACAACAGAACAGCTCTTTTCAGTCTCCCAGAGATTTTGACACTTACTCTTCTTCAAAGAAAGAACAATCCAACCACTTCAATACTATTGGTATTTCAAGTCAATTCTTATAAAGTTGTTTATTTGTGGAAATCTTATAAGGGAATTGATTTACCATCTGGGCCAATCATTGCAACTCCCATGTAATCATCATCATCTTCCTGTGTAGTGGTTGTTTTGCGTTCAAGATCAATAAGAGCCAATGTAAAGGCGTTTCCACATGCAACTTGTAACTTCTTTCCAGGTACTAATTGAGGTGTTAATTTAATCACATCTTGTGTACCATGTTGACCTGTTGTTCCTAATTGAGAATACCAATTTCCTCCCATTGTAAAAATACTTCGTCTATTGGTAGGAAGAAAGGCGACGTGATTTCTTCCTGCAGAGCATTCAATAACTCTAGCACCTTTTCCGAAATTCACTTCATGAGGAAGATACACATTTTTACCCCAAATGAAACCACGACCGTCCTGAGTCACACAAGCAGTAATTGAGTCTCCAAGAGCTACATCTCTCACCTTAATATCACTTTCTACAAATCTTGGAATTAACTTTGGTGTTGATTCACAATCAAATTGAGATGGTCTCAGCGATTCCATTCCCAACTGTTGGGCGTCATGTCTACCAAACATGTATAATTTGCCATTTGAATCAATGAGAGCTGAATAATTCTTTCCCATCCTAATTTTCGTAAATATGGTCTTTTTTGTTCCACCATTTTCCATATCATCTTCATACATATCGAGTGGTGTTGGTAGAGCTTTTGAATCAGAATTACCAAGTCCCAATCGACCCCATTCACCCTTTCCCCAAACATATACTTGAGAAGTTTCAGTACTATCTTTCGGACCACAAATCACACCTGTATGATAGTCACCACAAGCTACTTGTTTTACAAACTCTCCTTTCAACGCTTCCACTTGTTTTGGTAAAGGAGATGATCCAAATCCAAAGATATTAAATCCAGAATGTCCAAGAGCAGATCTATTAAAAGGACTTCCACTAAATCCCCATGTATACAATCTTCCTTCATCATCAACGGCAGCACAATGATAGCCTCCACATTGTATATCAACAATTGGTCTCGAGTTGAAATATTTCGGATCTATCAAAACAGGAGCTGCATAGGAATGATTGTTGTCTTGAGCAAGTTGGCCTTCTGCACCTCTTCCCCATGCATAAACAAAACCATCTTCAGTGAGAGCAAGAGCGTGTTGTGCACTGGCTGCACACGATATTTTCTTGACCGTCTTTTCATGAAACCAATAAGAATCAATAAAAGATGGAGAAGAGAGTTTATCAATTCCGAAAGTATTTAAAGCTAACTGTCCTTCATTATTTTGCCCCCAAGACATGACTTGGGTACCCTTGTTAGGAACAATATAGACTCGATCCGAGTCGCTACTTGTCTTTTTTGAAAAGAAGGATCGATAGGAATGATGATGGTGGCTTGAATTCAAGAGAGTATTGAAACATGTGTTGATGAATAATAATGAGCCTTGTGGATGATCCCGAAGTGGTTTTTTGAAATATGGATTGGCCGTAATGTATCGGACGAGGCTGTTGTTGATTTTGTTCATCTTGTTGTTTGGAAGCATTTTTTAATCGGATTTAAGAGAAGGATCAACGTTGGATGAATAATACTTTGCAAAGCATTGGGAATGATTGAATAATATGATGAAGATGCCTTTTTCAAAAATTGATTCTGTTTCAAAGAGCCAAGACGAAATGCTTCATCATAAGTGCCCGCTCAGAAAACCGTTTTTCACAAAAATTTGGAAAAAAAGAAAAAATTTAAACGAACGTTAACCGTTTGGATTTGATCTATCATCACTTTCCATTACAGACTAAATTATTTATTGAATAACACCAATCCTCTCTTTCATCATCAATGGGAATTAAAGGACTTGCCAATCTCATCCTCGATGAAGCCAAGCAATCAGTTCGTGAAGATGAATTGAAAAACTATTTCGGACGTAAAGTTGCCATTGATGCATCCATGGCCATGTATCAATTCTTGATTGCTCTCAAAAACTCTGGTATGGATCTCACCAATGAACAAGGAGAAGTTACCAATCACCTTCAAGGCTTACTCGCACGTACTACCAAAATGTTAGAATATGGTATCAAGCCTTGTTATGTCTTTGATGGTAAACCACCAGAATTAAAATCAGGAGAATTAGAAAAGAGAAGAGAAAAACAAAAAGAAGCACTTGAACAATTTGCTTTGGCTTCCGAAGAGGGTGATGAAGAAAAGATGGTCATGTGGAATAAGAGAACTGCTCGACTCACAAAAGAACAATCCAATGATGGTAAAAAATTGTTGAGGTTGATGGGAGTGCCTGTCATTGAAGCTCCTGGAGAAGCAGAGGCTCAATGTGCAGAATTGTGTCGAGGTGGACTTGTCTATGCAACAGCAACAGAGGATATGGATGCACTGACCTATGCAACACCTGTTCTCGTAAGGCATTTAACATTTTCTGAAGCGAGAAAACAACCACTTCAAGAATTTTCATTGAAACAAGTATTAGAAGGATTAGGAGTGACTGAGGATCAATTCATTGATATTTGTATATTATGTGGATGTGATTATTGTGATTCTATAAAAGGTATTGGGCCCAAGAAAGCTCTCTCCATGATTAAGAAGTATGGAAATATTGAAGCATTACTGAAAAATATTGAAGGAAAGAAATTTACACCACCTGAAATATTTCCCTATGAAGAAGTGAGAGCAATCTTTAAGAATCCAGACGTAACACCAGCATCAGAAGTTGCAGATAATATGAAATGGACAGAGCCTGATGAAGAAGGTTTGATACAATTTCTTGTACATGAGAAACAATTTGATGAAGAACGAGTGAGAGGATATATTAAACGAATCAAAGCAAGTCGAGGAAAACCAACTCAGACACGTCTCGATGGATTCTTTAAGGCTTCAGCGTCATCTTCCTCCTCATCAAAAACAGTCAAAAAGGACACAAAGAAAGATGTGAAAAAAGATGACAAGAAGAGAAAGGTAGCAAGCAGTAGTAGCTCTTCTACACCAAGTGCAAAGAAAAAGAAATAAATATCATAATTTTTATTATTGTTCGAGTTGTTGTGAACAATGTATTAACATTAAATTAATCCTCAAAAAAGAAACTAAGAATACCTCCTGATGTTTGGCGTAAATGTCGACTTGAAAAAAAAATTTAAGGAAAGTTCATATTTGCGAAATGACAATCCAAAACTTTTATTCGAATGAACAAGCTGTTGAAACGCGATTTCTGTGTTGTATTTCAATAACATTGCAGAGATCTTCCAGTTCAGTTGTTGAGCCTCAAAATTGGACTCACTTGTTTTTTGCCTTCAAAACTGTTGTGTCACAAAATGAACCAATCAGTTGATTCAATCATAAGAATCTCATCTCTGGTTACTGGTTGCATCAAGAGTTGTGGCTGTATGATGACTGTATTTAACTAATTTTGGACTATTGGCCGTACAATCATCATCGTCATGTGGAGTATTCATTCGTGCTGTTCATCATCGTCGTCGTCATCATCATCATTACGAGTATCCATAGGAGATACTTCTTCCAAGAGATGTTTTCTTCCAGAGAAATTGAGGGTTGGTTGTTGTTGTGAAAGTGATGAAGAGAAATTCAACACTCCACTCGTTGTTGTCGTCGTCGTGGTCGTACTACCACCACCGAGACTCATTGCATTCAAACGTTGAGGCACAGGTTGAATCGTGTACATTCCTTGTGGCACATTACTAAATGTTGTTGATGTCGGGAATGATGATCTCACGTTCATTCCATTCGTGAATAATACATTCTCTTGAAATATTGAACGATTCGTGTAGGATGAATAGGATCTCAGCAGAGAATGATGAATCGATTCCAATGATGATGACTCTTCATCGTCACACAATCCACTTCTCTGACATACAATATGAATATCAATCAAACATGATCTCTGTTGTACATTTAACAATTGTGGCATTTCAATAATTTCTTTCTGATAAATCAACACCTTATCTTTCCAAATTTCTCTAAATTTACGTTTGGTATGACTCTTCTTATTTTCACCATAACAAAATCGTGCAGGTACAACTTTGAGACCCATTCCACTTTGATGATCATCTTCCCACATTCCAAAATACACCACACCATCATCTCTCTTATACGTTCCAAATCCATGCATTTTATCATCACGCCAATGACCAATGTATTTACCACCTGTGGGCCATTCATACACACCCACTCCATTTTGTTTACCATTTTTGAACATGCCCACATAGTGATTACCATCACCCCATGAATACTCGCCTTTACCTTCCATTTTATCTTCGAACTGATTGAATGGTTGTATAGATCAAGATTGTTGAATCAAATCATCATCATCATGTTGTTGTGTTGAAAAGGATTTCATGTTGTGTCAATGAACCAACAAATCATCATGTTGAAAAGTATTTCATGTTGTGTGAATCAACCATTCAAAAAAAAAAAAGAACAAAATTCAAGTGGAGGGTTAACAAAAAAAAAACAACTTACCCATGATCCTCTATAATAACCTCCTCCAGGTAAATACATGATTCCTTTACCATGTTTTTCACCTTTTTGATTCATTTCTCCTTCATATCGTCCTGCTGCTGTGGTTATTACAACGAATCGAGTGACTGTCACTGGTGTATCATGATTCACAGATTGGGTGGACTGGTGGTGGTCATTGAGACGAGTAGTACTACTATTATTACTAGTACTATACCACTGTTACTATTACTACTGTTACTATTACTAGACGAAGACGACGAAACATGAATCATTTGATCATTTGAATTGGAATTCGATTCTTCTTCTTCACGATGAGAAGAGGATGCTCTTGGTTGTATTTGAGCATTTGAAGAGTGGAAAGAATGCTCATCATTTTCTTCTGTGGACATCATGAGTTCCTCCTCTGTTTGTTCTGAGGATATGGATGGTACAATCAAATCTTGGTCAAGAGGTGTGACATGGGTTGTAATTCTGGAAGGTTGTAGTTGCATGATATTTTGTTGAGGGGGTGGTGGTGGTAGTGGTGGTCGACGTAGACTACTACTCGTTTCTGTTGTGGAGTGAGGAGAAGATTCTTGGTGGTGGTGGAATAAAGATTCTTGTTGATGGTGTGATGAAGATGATGATGATGGATAGAAATAGGGAGGTGGTACTGCTACTGCTGATTGTGGTGGTGGTTGATAGGATTGAGGTAAAGACAATTGTTGTTGCTGAAAAGTATTAATACTTGTCCATGCATTATTATTACTAGTAGTACTCATGGCAGTAGTAGTAGTAGTTGTATTCGAACACATGGTTCCAGTAGTAGTAGTACTACTCATTGTTGTATTCAACAACAAATGGTCCTCTTGGTCCTCCTCTGTATCAACAACAACACTTGACGACGAGGGTTGATGAGTCGTTGTATGATGAGGAGGATACATCATGGTATTTCCACAACGCGCTCCGTTCGAGGTCAACGTGGTGGTGGTTGTATTGGGTTGCAATGAAGAAGAACAGCATGACAGTTGCATGAAATGTTGTCGCGTTGAGGAATAGGTCGTCATGGTCGAACTCGTCGTCGATGAAGAGGATGGAGAATAGTGTTGATCCAACAAGTCAATGTTGTTTTGGTTGTCGTCGTCATGGTCTTGTTCGTATGATGTATAAAGTTGTTGTTGATAGTTGTGACAAGGATGTGTTGGCACTGTATAGGATGGTTGAAGAATGGATGTTCGTCTTGATTCTTCTTACAATGATCTTGTTGTAAAGAGGTGAGACAATTGTCTTTGTCATCATCATCATCGAGTAACATCATGGTTGTAGTAGCACTTGTTGTTGTCATACAATTCCGACCATGCATCTCAGAAGGTGTGGTGTCTCGACTACTCGTCGTGAGGACTGTCATTGGATGATTTAATACTTGTTGTTGTATGACTTGTTCTTCGGGAAGTGATGATGACGGAGCAGCATGCAACAAGCCTTGTTGATGATGTTGTATGACAGTAACACGTTGAAGAGGATGGGAGAATGTCGTTCTTGTTGCGGATGATGTTGTAGTCAACGTCTCGTCAAAGTGTTGTGTTGTTATTAGTGGTGATGGATTCGTAGTGGTTGTTGTTGTTGTTGTATGGAAGGGATGCATTTCTTCCATACAGAGCGAAGGATGAACGATTTTGATGTTGTTAATAAATTATTTTCAGTGTTGAAATTGGCCAATTTCTGCCTTTGCAAATGAATGATTGGACTTTTTTTTTTAAAGAGAATGGCGAGCTTGTGAACGCTGCATTTGTATGTCGTGCCATGAAAACCGCCAAAAAGAGCGCGGTTCGTTTGACAGGTTTGTTTTTTGAATTCAAAGGAGACGTAGCTGACGTTCACAGGTCATTCTCAACTGTTTTGAAGGTAACATCAAGAGGTGTTTGACTGCCACCTTATCACACGCTAATAATCAATTGACCTTCTCTTAACAATATTTACTTTCATACAACGTAAGCCAGCCATACCTCCATCGTAATTTGAGGTGAATGAATACAATTTGATGACGTTAACGACACTTGCCATTGCAAACCAAAACTCTTTAAAGTACCAAGGGTGATAGAAGATGATGTGTTGAAAAGTGCCAAGTTCGTAAAGAGATATTGATATTTAAAAGAATGGACATGTTTCCTATTTTGAATAGTCTCATACGATCGTTTTGGTTAAATTTGATCTCTATAAAAGTGTCAAAACCTTAAGAGCACTTTGCAAAATGATCACATTTATTGAGTTCAATATCATGATGAACTAATTGAGCATCAGCACAATCACGCGTTATTGTTGGAAGGAATGACCAAAACTACCAAATGTACCAAATGTACCACTTCCAAATCCTGTACTACTACCACCAGTGCCAGTATTACTTGTGAACAAGGATGGATTCGATGTTGTTTGTGATTGAAGGAATGAAGGAGTGCTCGACGATGTATTGATCATGGTACTGAAAGGACTTGAACCAGTGTTGCTATTGGAACTCAATGCACTAAATGCACTCGATCCAGAAGGTGGATTTGAAAATGTTGTAAATCCTCCTGTTGTTTGACCAAAACCACCCACTGTTGCTGGCATTGCTGAAGGTTGTGCACTTGTACCACCCATCACTGACTTGGATCCAAATCCTGATTGACCAAATGCAGCACCTCCTGTTTTGCTTGTATCTGATTGGAATGAAGAAGTAGTCGTATTGGCAAATGAACCAGAGCCAAATCCTCCTTGACCACCTGTTGTGTTTCTTCCTGAATTGAATGAAAATGTACCACCTGATCCAAATGAGTTATTGGATGATGTAAATGAGAAGGGTGTGTTTGAAATGGATGGATTGGAGAAGGGTGCATTTTGAGTACTTGGAGGTTCAAAAAAGCTCGAACCGCTACTCGTCATGGATGATGATGGATTGCTACTACTACTAGTACTTGTAGGGAATGCACTGGAAATGGAACTTTTAGCTTGTTGTTGAGAGGATCCCATATTGAAACCACTCATGGTATTCGAAAATGAAGAAGTATTGAATGGTAAACTAGTAGTAGTGCTGACTGAGGAATTTCCTCCCAACGAGAGTGAGTTCAATCCACCAACATCTCCTCCACTCATGTCTTCATCCATATCATTTTCATCTTGTACTTTGGATGTTGTAGCAGCTTGTTGAAGAGAAGATGATGTTGCAGCTTTTGACAAGGGTAGAGTTGGAGCTAATCCAGTCATACTTGTGGTTGGGAATGGACTTGCCGTTGTCGTGGGTGTTGTAGTAGTTGTGGTAGTAGTAGTATTGGATTGTGTCATGGGTGTTGTTGTCGATGATGATAACGGTGTTGATGATGAACCAGTACCAATGCCAATACCACTAGTAATAGTACCTTGTACTGCAGTAGGATGAGCTGTTGTTGCAGAGCTTGTAGGTACTGTTGAGGGTGTGGTTGTTGTTGAGGTATCTTCCTTTTTCTCTCCTCCAATCTTTAGAGTTGGTTGGAGACTCTCTGATTGGCCAGCAGATGAAGATTTTTCATTCGGATTGATCACATTGGCAGAATTGCTACTGATCGAGTCAATCGAAGCCTTACTTTCTTGTTCCTTATTGACAACATCAATAGAAGAAGTGTTGGTCGTCGTTGATGTTGTGGTTGATGGAATAGCCTCAGATGTCTTGCTAAGAGTATCTTTAGCCATGCTCGTTGAGGAGGAGGAGGAGGAGGAGAGAGGAGGTTGAGTCATGGCTGTGGTAGTAGTAGTAGTAGTACTCGTGTTGTTGGTACCAGTGTTGGTGTTGTCATTTGTTGGATTGCTCAACCCAATAATAATCGGACCTGTCTTATTGGCAGAGGTCGTAGAACCGAGTATCATGGATTTAGAAGAATCAGTACTACTGGAAGGTGGTGCTTCAAAGAATTTGCCACTACCAATTTGGTTGGTTGTATTCTTTTCTATAGTGCTGTTTGCAGAGGGTGGTGTTGTGGTGGCTGCGAAAGAGTTTGTATTCCATGATGAAAGGGATGAAGGAAAGATGGATGAGACATCTTTTGGAGTAGTAGAAGTATCACTCTTGTTCAATGCAAATGTAAATGGATTATTGGTGCCTTGTGCGAGTGAGGATTGTGTGTTCGTAGTATTCGTAGTAGCAGCACTTGATGTATTTGTGGTATTCGTAGTAGCAGCACTTGGAGTACTAGTAGCAGAAATAGCAGTTGCAGCACTTGTTGGGACAGCAATACTACTAGTAAATGGTTTTGGAAGAGTGGAGGAGGAACCACTACTACTGGTTGTACTAGTAGTAACACCTGTGGTTGATTCTGCGCTTTGACTATTCTTTTCATCCTTTTTAGTGTCTGTAGGTAAACTTGTAGTTGAGGTCGATTGTAGCCCAACACTATTCCCTTGGGAACTCTCACTACTGGTAGCCATAGTCACAGGTTTTGTTTGCTGAGGTCGTGTCAAGGTGGTAGATGTGGTGTCACTCAGAGTACTGTTGTTACTCATGCTCACAGGTTGTGTCTTATCTTTTCCAAAATTAAATGGAATGGCACCACCTGTTGAAGTCATTGTATTAGAACTGGTAAATGGCATGTTTGAAAACGAGGATGATGGTTTTGATGCAAGCATGTTAGGTTGAATTGCATTATTATTGATAGGAGTAGTAGTAGTAGTAGTGGTTGTTCCCATAGTAGTGCTCATTGCAGTTGGTTGCTTAACACCTGCTGTAGTGATAGGAGGAGTCGTAGAAGTAGCATTGAGCATTGAGGGTTGAGGAGCTGTTATTACTCCAAACAATGGTTTTTGAGAAGGAGGTAATGTAGTGGTTTTCATAAAATCTTTGTGAAGAGAAGAGCTGGTCGGTGGAATGAATGGAGTAGTACCATTCGAAATCTTTCTCATGGCGTCGTCTCTTTGACTCTTTTCAATGCGATCCTCTGAAAAGTCTACTTCCTCTTCATTGTCCTCTTCATCGCTATCCTCCTCTTCATTCTCTTCTTCAGCTTCTTCTTCTTCTTCAAAAAGACCAGGTGAATGTTCAATCAACGACTTGTCGTCATCATCACTCTCTACTTCCTCTTCACTTAGGGTTCCTCCTCTTCCTCTTCTTCAAACAATTCTAACTCTGCTGGTACTGACTTTAACGCATTGGTTTGACATTGGTGTCAGCCTTTCTCTGATTCAACAATTGTTTTAAACGATCAAATCTTGATGTGCTCGTACTCGTTGAAGGTCTTGAAAGTAACGCATGATGACGACGTGTTTTTTTCGCTACTGCCATCATTAGAGAAGAGTTCATGTGGTTACCTTGTTGTTCATGAGGAGTGGTGAAATGAATGGATAATTTTCTTCTCTTTTCCAACAATTGTAATACTCGCTCTCTGCATTCAATAGCCTTTGCTCTCTGAATATTCAATGTATCTTGAAGGCACAATAAAGTGGGAAGCTTTTTCATTGGCACATGTTTCTTTTTCAAAATGACTTGTTGTAAGTTATCAATATTCAACAAGACATTGGAATACTTTTGATCAATCATATCTTTGAGAGTTTGAGCATTTTCATCGAGACCTCTAGCCATAACAGCGTGAGCCTTGTGTTGAGTACATGAGAAAGTTCTTGAACCATTCAATTGTTGTTGTGAAGAATTGTTTAAAGTCATTCTTGATTTAACTTCAAGGTCTAAAAAGGATGCCAATGCACGTTCTTTGACATGTTTATCCAATAATTGTGAGACTTTCTGAGAGAGAGTATGGTAATCATCCTTCTTGATGAGATTCTTTGAAATGTTCTCTAAATTACTTTTCATGACTCTCAAATCTTCACTCGTGAAATTATAGTCATTATCAGCATGTTCTTCAATGGCTGAAATGTTTGCAATCAGTGATTGGAATCTTTTCATCTTGGAATGACTATCTTCAATCATTCGATTAATAAATTCCAAAATTTTCTTATCGATTTGAGATGTAGATGCCTTTGATTTAATTCTAGTCAAATCCTTTTTCACATTGTTTTCATATTCAGAAAGAGTTGATTTGAGATCTTTTGAAATATTTCTTTTTGGAGCTTGTTGTAACTGAATAGAAGGTCGAGAAGATACTAATTGTGAAGATAGTACGTGCTTGGTTGCTTTGGATTTTGGAGTGTGTTGAGGCTTCTTCAATGAAGGTATTGGTTTGCTTTTTGGAAGTTTTGAGGGTAATAATGGTTGTTGAGATGTTTTTAAAGAGATTGGTTGAGATGGTTCATATTTTGTTGTTACCTCATTGGTCTTTAAAGAAGATGGTATTTGCTGTTTCTGTTGTTGAGAGGGTTCATTCATAGCGGTGGTTGGAAACTTGGTATGAGGTTTCTCCATGAATGGTGCGGATGGTTGTTGAGAAAATGTTTTTGATGAAGGCAATGGAACATTATTCATACCCATACTCGTACCTCCTAACGAGGGTTGTTGAGATTGCATGAATGGTGTTGTTGTGGCCATTTTGGGAATGTTGTTGATACCTGTTGTTGTTGTGTTGGTTGAACAGAATTAAAACCACTTGTACTGCTATTGAATGTAAATGGTACACCCATATTGCTGCCCGTGTTGTTGTTGGGAGTGGAAGGAACAAATGATGGAGTAACTTTAAAATCAGTAGTACTTTTACCAAGGGAAGCATCACCAAAATTGTTGAAGGTGGTATGGTAGTTTTAAATGAAAAATCTCCCCAAGATGGAGTGGTAGTGCTGGTATTCGTAGCACTGGGAACTGCTGTTGGTTCGACCTCATCAGTTTTAACAGTCTGATTGAGAGGTGGTTGTGTTAATGTCATCACAGGTTTGGGCTTTTCTTCGAATGGTATCAATTCACTAATTTGTTCAATATTCACCTTATCATTCTTATAATCATTGGGATATGCTGTTGTTTCTCCAAATTTAGCCAAGTAATAAATGACATGCTCACCTGAGGTTAAATACACATGAACCAAAGGTGGTGGTGGATGATCTTCTTCAGACTTTTCTCTAATATTAGGTACAGTCTTTGTATAACATAGATCAATATCAAAACCAATTGGAAATGCATCCTTCTCATCATGTCTAGGAAAAGTATCTACTGGTAATTTCAACGGAGCTAATTCAAAGTTATTGTTCACAGAGTTTTTTGTAAATAATGCAATTTTAAAATCAGAGCTTGATGTAGCAAGTAATACTTTCCAATGAGAGAGATAGTAGGAGTGAATTCTACAACTTGGATCTTCTCTTCCTTCATTGGCATAGAATGTATCTGAATTTACCAAATTGGTAACAAATGATTGATTGTAATTCTCTGTATCCAAAGTAAAGATACAAAATTCTAAAAATGAAGAATTATCGACCAATGAACAACAAGCATGCTCATCATCAAACCAATTCAATGAATAGATTTGTTGATTCTCTTGCTCATTGATTTGACATTTTGCTAAGAGTTGATCTGATTTAAAATCCACTAAGCATATACATCCGTTTTTTGTTCCTACTAATAATCTTGACTGATGTATTACTTTAGAATTTGAGCTCACAGTAGATACCTTGTCAATGCATTTCAATGTAGTGCACTTCAAGTCACTTAAATTAGAATAATCTAAATATATACATCTTTCATCAGAGGTTACGATAAATAATTTAGAAGGCTTCGATGCATCAAATTCAAATATATCTTGTTCTAGAGTGTGTTTATGAATGTTAAAGTAGAGAGTCTTCTCAAACTTGTCGGGAATGATCATTTCAATGATGATCAATTCTTTTTGTAATGCAATCATTAAAAACATTCCATCTTCAGAGAATTTAATCATATTAGGAGTAATAGATTTTGTATCATAGCAATATAAAGATTGATTGGAAGATGGTTTTTGTAGGTGTTTGTGTGCCAATGTAAGTGATGAAATATGAACTCCTTTATCGCTTACATAGGCAAAAAGTCCAAGAGTATTAGAGATGGTAAATAATTCACGAGAAATGATGGATGGTTGGGTGAGTAAGGAGTGTGCAGCTTCATGTTCAAAAAGAAGTACGTCCGTAGAAAGTGCTCGGAATCCTAGAGTATCCGTTTCATCGATTTCCTCAATAAAAGAAAGATCTACTTTGGAGAATGCTTCTCCATTGACTGACATGATTCTTCAAAGTATTAAATTTTTGGGATCAAAAGGTGATGATGATAATCTGTTATGATAACAAATGATGATTCGAATATTTTGGGCTAAAAAGAAAAACCAATACTCGAGTGATATTCGTATTTTAGAAATTAATAAGAGAGAAGCGGTTGGTATTTGTTGTTTTTCGGGGATGAAACGAGAAGCACTCCAATGCAAAATGGTGCCACAATTTGTTGAAAATTTTTTTTTTGGAAAGCCAGAATTCTTTGCGAGGGAATTGGGTGAAGTCTTGTTGCAACAGCTTTTTATTTTGGCATACATTTCATTCAACTAATAAATTGAACATTTACCAAGTACTCATGTTATCGCAACAATTGCCCATCCTTTAACAATATCGGCGCAGTATTTTGATTGTATCGGAAATTTTTTTGTAAACGGAATTTGGCAATGAGTGCTCAAGGATGACGGTACGAATGAAATTAACTTCAAGAATGCATTCTCGAGAGAACGAACATTGAAAACACCAAGAAGGAGCCATTCATTAGAGAGGGGATGCCATTTCAACAACATTCACAGGGCAAGACTCTTCTTGAAAATCCCCATTTTTGATTCTGATAGGAATTGCCCCAACCCAATCAACTTGGAAAAAGCCTTCATAAAGAAAGGCCGCACAGCCACCTACCTTCAAAATTTCTTTGAAAAAAAAAATCAACAACAACCACCTTAACCTCACACTCTCCCACACCATCATACACATCAAAATGTTCAGAGGCAACCAATTGCTGCGACAAATCAAGAAGAGTAATCACTCCCTCTTCTCTTTGCAACAACAACAATTGAGAAATAAGATTATTGGTATTGACTTGGGTACCACTAACAGCTGTGTTGCTGTCATGGAAAGTAACAAGAATGCCCGTGTGATTGAAAACGATATCGGTGCCAGAACAACACCATCTGTTGTAGCCTTCGATAAGGATGGAAACCTCTTGGTTGGTGCTTTGGCAAAGAGACAAGCCGTAACCAATCCAAAGAATACACTTACGGCCATTAAAAGATTAATCGGTCGTCGTTTTGATGACCCAATGACCAAACGTGATATGGAAATTGTGCCATACGAAATTATTCGTGGTCCTAACGGTGATGCTTGGGTAAGAGCTGGCGGAAAGGATTTATCACCATCTCAAGTCAGTGCTTTCATTTTGCAAAAGATGAAGGAAACCGCTGAAAGCTATTTGGGAGAGAAGGTAACTCAAGCCATTGTTACCGTTCCAGCTTACTTTAACGATTCTCAAAGACAAGCCACCAAAGATGCTGGTACTATTTCTGGTTTGACTGTTGAACGTATCATCAACGAGCCTACTGCTGCTGCTTTGGCTTACGGATTGGATACTTCCAAGCACGGTATCATTGCTGTTTACGATTTGGGTGGTGGTACTTTTGATATTTCAATCTTGGAAATTCAAGGTAAGTTTCGTATCGGATTTGAATCGATTTATTGATGTTGTTTGCAATTTTTTTAAAACTCGGAATAGATGGTGTTTTCGAAGTCAAGGCTACCAATGGTGATACATTCTTGGGAGGTGAAGACTTTGATCATAAAGTTGCTGAATGGCTCATTACTGACTTCAAGGCTAAGGAAGGAGTCGATTTGTCAAAGGATCCAATGTCTTTGCAACGTATCCGTGAAGCTGCTGAAAAGGCCAAGATTGAATTGTCCAGTGCTCAATCCACAGATATCAACTTGCCATTCATTTGCTCCACTCCAGAAGGTCCAAAGAACTTGCAAACCACATTAACTCGTGCCAAATACGAACAAATGACTGCTGATTTGGTGAATCGTACCATTGAACCATGCAGAAAGTGTTTGAAAGACGCTGGAATTTCCTTGAAGGATATCAATGAAGTGGTCTTGGTCGGAGGTATGACTCGTATGCCACGTGTTCAACAATTGGTTTCTGAATTCTTTGGTAGAAAGCCATCCAAGAATGTGAATCCTGATGAAGTTGTTGCTTTGGGTGCTGCCATCCAAGGAGGTGTTTTGAAAGGAGATGTTGATGGTATTGTCTTGTTGGACGTGACACCACTCTCTTTGGGTATTGAAACATTGGGAGGAGTCTTTTCAAGAATGATTAATCGTAATACAACCATTCCAACCAAGAAGAGTCAAATCTTTTCCACTGCTGCCGATAATCAAACTCAAGTCGGAATTAAGGTCTTCCAAGGTGAGAGAGATATTGCTGCCTATAACAAGTTGTTGGGTCAATTCGAGTTGGTTGGTATTCCAGCTGCACCAAGAGGTGTTCCTCAAATTGAAGTAACCTTTGATATTGATGCCAATGGTATTTTGAACGTTAGTGCTGTGGATAAGGCATCTGGAAAGGAACAACAAATTACTATTCAATCAAGCGGTGGTTGACTGATGCTGATATTAAGAGAATGCAAGAAGAAGCTGAAAAGTTTGCTGAAGAAGATGCCAAGAGAAAGAGTTTGATTGATGCCAAGAATGAAGCTGATACTACGGTTCATTTGTGTGAACAACATTTGAGAGATTTGGGTACTAAGGTTGCTGCTGATTTGAAGACTAGAGCTGATAATGAAATTAGAGCAGTTCGTGAAGCCATGCAAGCTGATAATGTCGATCAATTGAAGTCTTCTTTGGAACAATTGAAACAAACTCAAATGAAGTTGGCTGAACAACACTATAAGGAACAAGCTAGTGCTAGACAATCTCAAGGAACTCCAAACCCATCTGGTAGCACTAATCCAAATGATGCTGAATTCAAGGAAAAGTAATTACTTTCATCATGACTACTACTACCACACCTACTACTAGATTCTACACTTCCCGAAAACAACAACCTTCCCCGCACACCTCTCATCCCAATAAAAATCATCCCCATATTTTCTTGATGACGTGTTGGCTGTGATGTCAAACCGCAAAAAAAAATATAACCACATTCAACCTTGAAAGTGATCGATCCATTTCATTCGAAACCTTCATCATCATTGATCGAGTCGCAATACTAGTATTCACTCTCTGTGCATCATCATTGTTGTCAATATTATTTTCCAATTTTCGGATTATTCAATTATTACTGAAGTGTGGAACAACAACAAGCACTTCTGCTGACCACGATTGTTCGAACATGATTCAAAAATCATCATCAACACCACCACCACCCAATTATAGTGTTCTCATTGACACTCTTCCAAGTTGGACCATCATTCTCACCTTCATCTTCTTCTTTCTTTCAGTATTTGGATGTGTTGGTGTTTTATTCTTTGCACCAAATTATAAACATTTTGTCACTGAAAAGGCTCAACGTGTGACCAATGATCTTGGACAAGTATTGAATGGAGAGAAATCATTGATCATTCCAACTCCATATCTCAAAAAAGCAAATCAAGAAATTACCATTTCATTATTATTTAAAGAAAATACAGAATTAGTGAGTGGATTGACTCGAGAGGGTATTGGAATGACCATCTTGTCCATTCAAGGAAGTGCTGATAATACACTCTTTCATAACATGACACAGCATCCATATCCAATTACTCGATCATTGAATTGTGAAGGAGAATCAAATTCTCAACTTGTTCCATCAAGTGTTCTTGACACTTATTCCAACTATTTTTGTAATCCTATTGTGATTTATAGAGATCGTTACATCACTTATCCATTTTATAGAATTGAATTATTATTACATCATGACAATGGATTGATGCAGTCATTACTTCGTGATGATGTTCTATTTTATCGTATTGAATATGTTAATACTGATTTTACTGAATTTGAATCCACCATTCGATACTTGTACAGTGCCATTTCCATTATTGTATTTTTATTTTATGGATTTATTTTACTCAAATATCAAAAGTATTCCTATGCCAAGACGGAACAGAAATGGATTTTATTTTTATTACTTTTATTAATATTATTTAATAATCCTTTATTTATTGGTGATTGGATGGCCAATGATTGGTTATTACCATTCCTGAATGTCATATTCCAAGCAACATTTATTGGATTTTATTTATTGTTTTTAATGGTCATTACTGCAAGTGCCAATACTCATCCTAAAGAACGAACCTTTTATCGGTTTTATTTATGGAAATTTATTCTAAGTTTACTCTTTTGGTCATGTCTATGTATGAGTATGTTGTATGAGAGATTTGAAACATTTGGTGATCGAGTGGTGTATGATTACATTTCCATGTCCGATCATTCCATCTTTGGACTCTTTCGAGTATTGGTCATGTTCTTTGGCGCCATTGCAACACTTTATATTTTTTATCAAATTTTCAAAGCCTTGGGTGGTAATGATTTTGTTCAATTGGCAGACAAGATCAACAAGACGTATCTGAGAAATTCATCCATCACTGCTCCTACTGCCAGTAATGCAACGATTCATGATCAGCAAGCGATTGAATCTCTCAAACACAAGGTAGCCATGAATATTATTTCGTACTCGAACACTCATCAATCTTCAGTGAGATTTAAATACTTTTTCATTCTCACATTTCTAGTATTACTTTTATTATGTGCCAATTTATTTTCATTTTTATATTTAAATAATGCCAATAGTAGTGCTCAATATTTGGGAGTATTTCCACTCTTTAATTTTTATGGTATCATGTTGGCCATTTATTTCATTCCAAGTTTGAAAGTCGATGAAAAGGATGCTTCTCAAAGTTATATTAGCAGTGGATTGTTTTTCAATCAACAACAATCAAGTCATCATTCAACAATAACACCAGTAACACCACCATCCACTCATCGTTTAGAGGAACCACCTGGTGGTCATGATGAAGACGACCATGAAGATTCAAAACTTCATCATGCTGAGATTCATACAAGTCGTTCAGAATTTCATAATCGTCCAATGCAGACTCCAAATGAATCATCCATACCAACAGCAACAACAGCCACCAATAATAATGAAGAGTTGATCATGATTGAGGAAGATTCAACGAACAAGGTAGACTAATTGATGCATCCAAAATTGAGACTCTGTGAAAACGCTGCCTTTCCATTTTCCAATTAAAAAAAACTTTAAAAAAAATAATCTTTGAATGAAACATCTTGTCAACTCTCCTCCTACCCATGTCCTTCGTTCATCATCATCATCAATGGTGTTGACAGGTACCCGATTATTCCTAAAATCTACCACAACCACAACAACAAAAAGAATCATCTCTCACCTCTCATCATGTATTCATCCATTCATCTCATTTCAACAAGTCCGATCCTTTTCATCCCATTTTCCTATTGTGAAGAAACTCTCCAATCATTATGATCCTTCTAATCACCATGATCATCCTTCCAATCCTTCCTCATTACTGTTCTCAGTACCCTTCTCCTCTCTTACTCATTCTCATCCCTCTTCTCTCATTTCTTTTAAAAATAATATCAAACACATGAAAGGAATGAATATATGTGCAAAAGAACATGAATCATCTATTTTTGAAAAGATGCAAGTCGTAAAGGGTAATGCTACTACTATTACTACGACGACTGCTAGTACTACTACTCCTACTACAACTCCTACTACTACAACTGCTAGCACTTGTACAACTCCCACTACTGACTCATCTCTCAATCAACACCATGCCTTAGTATATCCTTTTCAATACATGGACACCAATAATGGTTCTATCACGACGACTACTCGTAAAAAAATTACAGTTTGCATTTTAGGATGGTTAGGAGCTGATTGGAAACATTTTGATAAATTTGTTCATTGGTATGATTATTGTAATATTGAAACATTGAGTACCATTCCACCCATTTTAAGTACAATATCACCAAATCATACACGACAAGTATGTGATGAATTTATCAAACAAATGGAAGAAAAGATTGATTGTACAACTGATACTACTTGTATTGTATTTCATGTATTGAGTGGAAATGGAATTCACATGTTCTCTCGATTATTGGAAAATGAAAAATTTGTGACAAAATTTTTACCTCATGTCAAAGGTCTCATTATAGATTCAGCACCACCCTTATTTAACTATCGTAGATTTACTGAGGGATTTGTAGGTGCTATTAAAACAAGTGTTTTGAAATCTAACCATAGAACTAGTAGTAGTAGTAGTCATGGTCATGGTCATAAAACTAGTCATGGTCATAAAACTAGTCATGGTAGTAATCATCATTCGAGTGGTACACATCATTCGAGTGGTAGTAATAGCAATCAACAACAACATGACAACAAATCATTAACACCCTCTGAACGCTATGAACAAAGTAGATCCTTTTACAAACATTGGTTGTTAACTCCAATTGTTGAAACTACATTCAAATTCTTTTTTAATTATTTAAATTATTCAGAGAAATTTGAGAAATTGGAAGAAATTCTTGTAAGACACACAAAACCCATTCCAAAACTATTTATTTACAGTCATGGAGATGTACTTGTTCCTCACAGTGATATTGATTATTATATTTCTAAACATTTCATTCAAGAGAGATTGGAACAAGTGACAACAGTCCATGCTCAGAATATGAACAATCAAACATTTGAATGGATGAATGAAAGTAATGATGATCCATTGTTGTTACTCGATGAATTAGTCTTTGATGATTCTGATCACGTTTATCATTTTAAAAAGTATCCAAACATTTATAGTGCGAGAGTGTTGAAATTTATTAGCAAGTCTTGTCGAGTTAAGAATCCATGAATATATCCATGAGAATATATTAGCAAGTCTTGTCGACAACACAGTTTAATCCATGTGTGCATTCATATATAGAGTGTATGTGAGGTGTATTCGTTGATGTCAGAACGAAAATAAAAGTGAACTTGTGTTTGAAACGAGGATTGCATTATTCATCATTGTCATTTTGTTTCACTCCATTATTGAGAGGTTGCAGTGAATCATTACTTGCATTCTGGTCGTGTTTTGCATCATGATGGTGGTTATTTTCTTCCATTTCATTCATTTCTACCACACATTCCACAAGTGGTCCATCATTCTCTTCAGAGACTTCACCATCCTCCTCATCCATGATGGATTCCACACTTGCACTTTGTTTCATGAGTTGTTTCTGAACCAATGCTGCATAATGTCCATCCTTAATATGCAGCAATTCATCATGACGACCCGTTTCTTTCAATTCTCCTTTTTGAAGAACGCAAATCACATCCGAGTCCACAATGGTAGACAATCGATGAGCAACCACAATACAGGTACGTCCTTTCATCAACTTGTTCAATGCATCTTGAACAATACTTTCAGAATTGGTATCAAGTGCTGAAGTTGCTTCATCCAATAAGAGTACACTTGGATTTTGAATGACAGCTCTAGCAATACAAATTCGTTGTTTTTGACCTCCTGATAATGAAACTCCCTTCTCTCCCAATGGAGTATTATATCCATCTGGTAAATTGGAAATAAATTCATGAGCATTGGCAATTTTAGCAGCATTGATCATTTCTTCATCACTTGGATACGGATCTTGATCGGATTTTCTCACTGCATAACAAATATTATCTCGAATGGTCGTTGCAAACAGAGTTGGTTCCTGCGTGACAATACCAATGTTACGATGAAGCCATCTTGGATCAATCTCTGTGATATTCTTACCATCGATTAAAATCTCACCCGAGAGAGGTTCATAAAACTTTTCAAGTAAACCAATCAGAGTCGATTTTCCACTTCCTGAACCACCAACAAAGGCCACCGATTGACCAGGTTGAATACTCAATGAGAAATTCTTCAATACAATGGTATTGGGTCGTGTAGGATAGGCAAAACTCACATTCTTAAATTCTAGATGACCAATGAGTTTCGAAGGTGCAATTCCTCCACTCGATCTCATGGCAGGAATTCTCTGAATGACCTTGACAATATTCTTTCCGGATTGAATGGCACGAGTTAAATCTGGAATGGTTGCCATAATTTGAGAACATCCCAACACACTCATCAATAACAAGGTAAATACTCGAAACATGTTACCAAATTCAATTTCACCTCTCAACAATAATTGTCCTCCCCACCACATTCCAAATGCCAAAATACCCCAAATCGAGAGTTCTTGACTACCAATAGGACCACCCAACGTGATGGATTTCAATAAAAAGATATACTTTCCACTCTCCAGAGTCTTTTCATAACGAGAAATTTCCTTTTCTTCTGCATCCATAGATCGTACCGTTCTCATGGATCCAATCACTTCATTGGCAATTCCTGAGGCTCGAGTACTAATGGCAAGAGTTCTCTTGGTGACTTTTTGAGAGGCAATGGCTGAAATAAACATGATGAATGCAATCACGGGTGCAAAAGCAATCATTGCCAATGCCATTTTCCATGCAAAAACAATGGCTAGTATAATTCCTAATAATACTTGAACAGTAAATTGTGTGGCTCTTCCTAACTTGTTACTGAATGAATCTTGAATTTGTTCCATCGATTCAGTCATCCAACTCATTAATTGTCCAGTTCGTTTCATATCAAAGAATCCAATTTCTTGTCTCAATAAACTTGAAATGTATGCAGTTTTGAATCGAACTCCAACTCTTTCAAAGGACCATGTCATGAAAATGGCGCCAATCGATGTCGTGACACATGCCAACGCAGCAATGATGGCCATCCATACAGAGAGTGTTTGAATTTGAGAAGCATATTCTCCTCCTTTGGATAAGGCTGTAAAAATAGAATTAATTAATTCACCCATTAAAATGTTAAAAATGATGGGCATGGCACCTAAACATGCAAATCCAATCATACCAATCAAGATCCAAATGATTTCCCAATGGATGATTCGAAGCATGTGAAAGAGTGTGAAATGAATGTTTGGTTCATGAGGATCGGGAAAATCATGTTGAGATGAATGGTCCATCATGGTCGATTGGTTGTTTCTTCGTCTTCTACCAATTCGAGTGGTCATTCTGTGTGTTTGTGTGTGAGTGAATGCAATGCCGTGATACAATAGAATGGGAATTTTACTTTGTAAAATATTTGTGTGTGTGATGATTCGAAAGGCACGAGATGGAATGAAGAGGTTCGATTGGATTACAAATGTTGCAATGTATGTATTGAATGTGTTGGTTGTTTTTCGTGTGTTATTTAAAAATCTTCAAGGAGCTTCAATTTAAATTTGAAAAAGTTTAAAGTGCTTTTGTGCGGTCTCCATTTCCTTTTTTTGCCAAGTAATGAAAGACGGTATTATAGGTTGGTTGTTTTGGAGTTTTTGTGAAAAACAACATGCGTGTTTTAGGACGCACAAACCTGGCGGGAGTACATCTTGTTCCATGTATGGGAAGTAAGGAAAGCATTCCACTTACAATTCATCTCGATTGTTGTCCCATTGTATGCAAAGTCGACCGCTACTGAAGATGAAGACAATCGAGAATCATCCATCAACAATTTAGTTTCGTTCCTTCCACTATTGACCGAGTTGCAGCTCGATATGAATAAGTATAGGCTTGTTTCTAGTGGCTATCTCCATCTATCCGCAAGAAATCCCGTACTTTTTGGCACAAGAAACTCTCTCCCTATTCGAATGGATTGAAAGGTATTTTATTTGCATGCTTTACACCAAGTGGACCTTTTAGTGATACTCAAGGTGTTGGGAACACTTTCGTCGTATTCAGAGACATTCCGTAAACAACCTATTGGATTGAGGCTGCCTCAATTGGGCTTTTGTGGATGCCGCATAACTGCTCTCAGGAGATTTAGGACTCAAAACAACGCAACAAAAGTAGCACCATCGACAGTGCAGTTAAGGTCAAACACAATTGCGCAGCACTTTGATTTTCTCCCCAATAGCAACCTGAACCTCAAGTCAGGAATAGAAAGAAAAATCTTGAAGGGCTTACATTTGGTTTTGTTGCTCTAAGCAGGTTGAGGTCTCAATTTTTCGTAAATTGAATGATGTTTAAAATCATATCTCGTTCAGATTGTTGAAGTAAGATTTTGAATGCTCTTATAAAGAACGGACGTTGAACACAACAAGAAGGTCTACGAAAATGGGACTAAAATTTGGTTAACTTTTTATCCGCTTCTCACCACAAAAATATTCAACAAAACATTACCTCCTAAATAATAGATTGTTCCTTGCTGTCACTTATAACACAGTTATAAGTTAAAGAGTAGTAGAAACCATCTATCAATTTATGTCAGCACAAACGGGTATTATCGTTACATATAGTACTTATATACCAAGAAGAAAGCAGAAATGTGTTAAATAAATATAGATACATTATTGGTTCTCACGATCTTATCTATATCACATGTAAACACATAAGTCTTACATTGAAAGTTGGTTTATATATTACAAACTATGGTATTGTTAAATCGGTTTTCTCTGAAAACATCATCTGTCGCACCTAATTGCAATAATTGATATCTGCTACAATCTCAGCAGTTACGCAACGCCAACTGTCTGTATTTAGCTGGTATTATGGTAAATCTCCGTGGTACTCAAATCGTGATGGATATTGTACACTCTATTTAATAATAATAAATTGTGTATGTAATAATAACATTTCATCTCGTATTTCCGATATTGAAAATAACCTTCGAGTTTTATTGAGAAGCTATTGGTTATTGATTAACCTGTTTCAAGAAACATGGTTTATATCATTTTCTTGTGTACAGTGTTAATGAGCTAATCGTTGTGTAATATCACTTGACATGAATATTCTTATGTTATGTAACTTCAAACAATAATAGATTAATACCAATGGGTTAGTTGCTGTCTCCTCTCCAGGAAGTGTCGCTTCTTTGGAGATGGAGTGTCAACCAACAACCTTTATTGTTGTACAGTTGTCCCGAGAAATGGATACTAGCATGTGATGAAAAAACTCAAATTGCTTTGAGAAAAACCACATTGAATGGATAATAGCTCTGGGACGAATATAGATCATATAAAAAAATTTGTTAGTAAACATCACAAATCATCAACAAAATGTTAATTTTGAAACAAATCAAGAATATTCAAGTCTACTTCACCACAGGTGATCATAAAAAAAGGTTAGCTCAATAAAAATTTGTTAAATAAGAAATTGATATAAACCATGTTCCTTGAAAAACATCGCATTAATGCGACGAAAACATCGTTGAGCGAATCAACGACGGATAAAATTTAAAAAAGATCGTGGGAAAAAACCCATCAATAATGGCCAAAGCCAATCGAAGACACAAAAGTGTCAAAGGAAATCACGGAGCAAATCAATGATACATAAGGCAAAAGCCAATTAATACAACACAAAGTGTTGTTGAATTCTGAATATATAATGGGAGGGAAGGGAGGGTGTTGTTGTGGTGCCAGACTGTTGGGAAGCTGCAGTAGTGGTATTAGTTTGCTCTTTAGAGAGCTGTTTTGGTTGTGGATTTGTTGACATTTTTTAGCCATACTTTTAGTCAACCTTATTGTTTTCGTTACAAAACACTTCCGTTCTTTTCAGAACATTCAATGTTATGTAACTTCAAACAATAATAGATTAATACCAATGGGTTTGTCCAGAGAATAATTATTTCATCAAAGTGGTGGACATGTTTTTCTCGGCCAACGCCTGTTTTCTCATATAAAGGAGAGCTGAGGAATCTGACTTCCATCGTCCTGCCACTTTCACTGCATCCATATTTTCACCCTTCTTCACCATTTCGGTGGCTCCACCAATTCTTAAACTATGTCCGGTAATTTTCGCCTCTGGTTTTACTTTCCTTATAGCGGACTGGATGATCGACTGAACCTTTTGTCTTGATAAAAATTTGTTATCTCGATATGAAAATAGAGGAGAAGTGTTCTTCTTAAACTTTTTAACCATATTCATATACTTGGTTAAAATGGCGACAGGATAGAATTCAGGATTTTCCTTAATTGGATCTACAATCATTGGTGTATCTCGTGCATTCTTGTCAGTTTTATGACCTGCAAGATTCACTTTAATTCGACCTTCGGTAATGAATGTGATATCGTCCCACTGAAGTTGGGATATTTCGCTTGGTCTACACAATACTCGGAATCCAATCACAAGGAGAGCACAGGTCAAATTGTAATTAAACACTTCGTTTGGAGTCTTTGGTTTAAATTGAGTAATGTAATTCTTGATGTAGTCAGCCATTACAGGATCCCTTTGCAAAGGATTTCTGTCACAAAGGTTATATAATTTTAGGGCTCCTGTTTTGACTCGATAATAAAGTGAATCTTTCAATAATTGCCAACCTTCCAAATCTGCAAAGAATTTAAGGGAAGGTTCAACCTTATCAATGAGATAACCTTTTCCTACATGAAGTAGATAAGCTACGAAATCTGTCATGGAATGTTCATTGTAATCGGAATGAGTGCAAACCAACCATCCTCTAAAGATGGCATAAACTCGAGTGTATTCTTGAAGAGTAGTGTCAGCCAATGTTACACTCAAACAAAGACCTTTGACATCTAATAAAGAGCACCGTCCAGATCCCACGCTGCAAAGACCCAATCTTTGTTGTTTGAGAGTTCTGACGAGTGCCAATTTCTGAGCAAATTTTTTGGAAACATTATTGTCCTTTTGGATATCCTTAGTAAGATTGGATACCAAATTGCGGTGGGCCAAATAGGAGCGATAAATGTTGCCTTTGCTTTGCTCCGAATAACATGAAGCAAGGACTGAGACATCAGCCCAAGAGGGGGAGCACAATAACTTCTTTGATCCTCGGAAGCGTCCCACAGTTCCATAAGAGCGTCGTTTTCCTTCGTAAAGGAGTTGAATATAGTCGTATGTGAATTCTTGGGACTTGCGAAGCGATCGACGACGTGGTGGCCAAAGTTCTTCTCCACGAGATTGAAAAGTTCTGGAGAGGTTTCCCATTGGCCGAGTCTTGACAATTGATCGGCGATTTGATTTCTTTCTGACGGAATGTAGGAAACCTTGGGAATTGACCATTTTTGTTTCAGTAGGAGAGTCCAAATTGCTCTTGCAATGTTCGCCAAGTGAGGGACTCGACCATAACCCTTGCGTATGTAGTGAAGAGCTGTCATGTTGTCGATTCGAAGATGGAACTGAGTCCCTGGTGGATATGCTTGACGAGTCATGGCAGTCTGAAAGAACATGAGGACTGCTTTCAATTCTAGACTGTTGATGTGGTGAGTTTTCATGTCTTCGTTCCACGTTCCTGAGAGAGTGAGCTCTTTTGAATGGGCTCCATAACCGAGTGGACTTGCGTCTGTATTGACGGCCACTAAATTCCATTCCATTTCGAAGAGTGTTCCTTTGTTCTCCTGAATTAGAGACAGTAATTGGGTCAGATCTTTCATTGCTCCTCTCATGATTAGCATCGAGTGATTCCATCCGTTTTGAAGGACTACACTCATCATGTTGGTTCGGAGACGACAAAGGAACACTGGGATGGCTGGGAGAGCAATCGAAAGGAATTGAAGTTTGCCAATCACTTGGGAGATCCATTTTAGTGAGAGATGGGATCTTTGGTGGTATGCTGTTTGTATTTTGGTGATGGATTGGATTGCAATCAGTTGTTTGTCCTCCGGAATTTTGAACAATCCTTGTTGGAAATCCAAATGAATTCCCAGAAATGTGATTTGTTGAGTCGGTATCAGTACACATTTCTCTTCCTTGATTAGGAAGCCTAACCATTTTAAGTCTTGAATGACTCTTGAGGTAATTTCCATACATTCTTCTTGAGAACATCCGAGCACCAAAATGTCGTCGATGTAGATAAAGATGATCATTCCTTCTGAACGCCACTTTTTGGCAACTTGTTTCATCACCTTTGTGAAGATCCATGGTGCTTGATTGAGTCCGAATGGAAGGACTGTATATTGGAATATTTGTCCTTTCCAAATGAACCCTAGCAACCTTCTTGAACTTGGATGGATTGGGATATGAAAATAGCCTTCTGCGAGGTCTATTTTGGTTGCCCAAAACCCTTTCTTCAAGAATTTCGCCACCGCCTCGAGTGTTTCCATCTTGAAGTGATCGGTTTCCACTCCAAGATTGACCTTCCTCAAGTCCGTTATTTGTCGGTACTCTCCACTCTTCTTGGGTACCAAATGGACTGCGTTGAGGATGGTGGTTGAGTCTCCTTGTTCGAGGTGGCCATTGCTGGTCATTACTGCAATCTTGTGGTCGAACCATTCGACTTCCTCCTTCTTGCGAATTGTGTTTCCACCAAATTCTTGCCATTTCTGGGGGTCGCTTTCGATGATGAAGCCTTCTCGCAATGATTGAACGATATGAGGTGAAGCACCCCATTCTGCCCAACGATCGGCGAAGTATTGCAAGCGGCCCCCTTTCAAGTCAGAATTTTCGACTGGATTTGTTGTTGTTATTGAAGTTGGAGGTGTAATTGTTGTTGTTGTTATTGTTGAAGGTGGACTTTTGAAAGTCTTCGTGATGGTCATTGTTGTTATTGCCGTATCTGAAATTTCGATTGTTTCTCTTGTAGTAGTTGTTGTTGTTTCTCATCTTGGTAGGCTTGGAGATGGACTTGTTAGAGACTTCTTTGTGTAGCTTGTTTGTGAGAATTCTTTCTGATTCCTTCTTGATTATTGGGGAAAGAAGGTCATAGTTGGATGAAGGAGTGATCATCCGACGTGAAACATTCTCCATGGTTTCAAAGTTGGTGTCTAATCCACCCGTGATCACAGTGTTCATAAAAATAGATAGCATTGAAATAAGTTCATTCACTTCGACATTCTCTCCTGTGTGAATGTTGGAGGTTACATGACGAGAAAGCTTACAAATGATGTTGTTGATTTGAATGATAATAGGTAAACTTTTTGATACAATTCTCTTATCGTTCTCGTTGAGGAGCTCACTGATATGTTGTTCTTTCAAAATATAATTATATTTTGAGAGTAGTGCTTTCATTCGTGTTTGAAAGCTTTTACTGGAGGAGTGCTCTAAATCCTTCAATCTCTCTGCTCTGAAGAGTTCTTCAATTTCAATAGGATCTTTTGACCGAAGGTTCTTAATTCCTTTCTTCTTCAGATACATTCGCACATCTTCGATATCACCAAGATCTATTTCTTGAAAGTTTGGAAGGTTATCCTTGGGAGTAGTACCACTGGTAACACGATCAGATTCTTCAACGAATTCATCTTCATCAGTAGTAGAGTCTTCGTCGCGAGAGGAGTGTTGTGAGGAATCTCTAAAAGGACCTGGTTTCTTATGATAGACGACTTTGTCATCATCGTCATCATTTCTTGAATTGGTTTTTGCTTGAGCTTCTGCAGCATGTTGAGCACTACTACCAACGTTGGAGGAAGCAGCAGTAGGTGTTAATGAATGAACAATTTCAGAAAGTTTATTCATCATTGTTTCTTGTTGGGCCATCCATATCTGTGCCCAATCTGGTGGTACTGAATGTGTTGCTTGTGGTTCTCTATGTTGAGTTGTTGTTGTGGTGCCAGACTGTTGGGAAGCTGCAGTAGTGGTATTAGTTTGCTCTTTAGAGAGCTGTTTTGGTTGTGGATTTGTTGACATTTTTTAGCCATACTTTTAGTCAACCTTATTGTTTTCGTTACAAAACACTTCCGTTCTTTTCAGAACATTCAATTTCAAGAAACACATGATTTGATTAAACAATTGTTTGTATGTTCGTCCCAGAGCTTTTTTTCCATTCACTTTGGTTTTTCTCAATCAGTTTTTTTTATCACATTCAGCATCCATTGTTTCAACAGCTCCTTATCATTCTCTGAAATTTACAACAATAAAGGTTGTTGGTTGACTCTCCATATCCAAAGAAGTGATACTTCCAGAGACAGAAACTAACCCTTGGTATTCATCTATTAACGTTTGAATTTACATAACATACAAGGATATCCTTGTATTCAACGCATATAAAGCCTCAATGTTTTCAATATTTATTAAACCAGGATGTCTGTTGCTACCACACTGTCAGTCCACCTTCAAATTAATGATGCAATGAATTTACTTGTAATGTATCAGAAATACCATGCAGGGCGGTTTTCAATTGGCTTGCATCAAACCTGTCTGTCACGTTGATAATTGTTAAATTCTTCAATTCTTGTACAATCGTGATGATCTTTTTACTTGTATGGTACGGGAATCAATATTCAATTCTTTCAACTTGTCCAACTTAGTCAAAGCATAATAACAAGGTGTGGCAGGTGCAAATCCTTTTATACAAGTATCTATCAATGTTAATGAAGTTAAATTTGGAAATAGTTGTGGTAATTTTGTGATGAGCTTAGACTTGTACTTTTTGTGTTGACCATCCATATATTTTGTAATATATTTAAATGTTGTAATATTCTTGAATACTGAATTGGTTTGTTTCATTTTGTCTTGATCATCACCCATCATTTTGTCTTGAGTCATTTCTGACATTTTTAACTTGAATAAACTTCCAATACAATTTTCAAATATTAATGTTTTCAATTGATGAGAAACTCCTTTAAAAATATTCTCAAAGGATCCTTTACATTCAATAAATTCAATAGTACGTAATTTTGTTAATTTGAGAATATTTTGAGAAAGAAGAACTTGAGAGGATGAACCATTGGATTGTTTCTCATCTGAATTCTCTTTAAAATACAATCCATGGAATGTAATTCTAGTTAAATTTGGAAAGCATTCCAGTACTTGAGCTAATTTTCTAGTCATTGGTTTTTTCGGGTTTGAAAAATGTAATTGTTGAGTATATCTCAATTCAGGTTTCACGTTAAATTTGCTGAAGGTTTGATATTTGATGGCTTGACATCCATGTCCATAGAGATCATGGCCACCACTCAAAGTAATTTCAGTAAGGTCATTTCTAATCATTCGATTCAAAGTTTGAGAATGAACTCTCATTAAATTGAAAATATAATGGGGATAGGGTTCTCGAGTAGAGACTAGATAAGGAATGATATGATGGATAATAACGTCGGATGGGAGTTGAAGAAGGGCGGGTGCAGTACATGAAATGTGGGACATTTTTTTGGTCTGGAATTGAATTTGGTTCTCTCATGAAGTTGTTGAATGAGGGTTCATTTGGAGTTTGAGGGTGTGTGCCTATACGAAAATTCGTTAACTATCATGTCATTTCAATCATTTGGAATTTGAGGGTACATGAAAATTTGAGTGTCATTTCAATCCAAACGATATTGGGAATTCAATGAATTTGCTTGATTGAGGTGATGGTTTGTGTCGAATAGCAATGTGAGCAACGTTGGCTCCATCACTCACCCATTATGGTATCATTTCCAAAAGATGAACAATTATAGCTGCAATTCCGAAAAGGGTATTTTCAACAAGGCATGTTGAGAAGTGTATACACGATCAACAATGTCCATCTTTCCATTCTTTTCATTTTCCATCCTCTTTAGTCTTCACGAGAGACTTTGTTGCCATGTGCTCTCCAAGCTTAACATCAAAAGCACACATTAAAAAAATCACAACTTCCTTTATCAGTGTTGAACACATTTTCACGAGTGATCATCAAGTTGTTGTATCTTCCGAACCGATTCGTACTACATTCTCTCTTGATCGATACCTTCTTTTAAACCATTTGTATTCCATTCATTGATCCTTGGATTAATCTTTACACTTGTTGCCTCGATTCATAAGAATTATAATTGATTGATTAAGTAATCATCATCATCATCATCATCACCATAATCATCATAACCACATCATCATCATAGTATTATTCAAATGAGTGCCACAACCAATCAATGGGCAAGACTCTCTGGTGCCCAAGTGAGTAGTCAACTCAAAATTCCTCAAGGTGACTATGCTCGTCGTACGAAAATTGTTGCAACCATTGGACCCAAAACACAAACCGTTGAAATGTTATCCAAATTAATTCGAGCAGGTGTGAATGTCATTCGTATGAACTTTTCTCATGGATCACATGATTTCCATAAACAAACAGTGATGAACACTCGTATTGCTGCTTCTCAATCTGACAATGCCATTGTTGCATTAATGTTAGATACCAAAGGACCTGAAATTAGAACAGGTTTATTAGAACCAGAATTCTGTCCAGATGGAATTGAAGTCAAAACTGGTCAATTGATTGATTTTTATTGTTGTCAAAGTACTGAAGAGTATGCAACAGTGAAAGGAAAGTATTTACCAAATCCAATCGAATCCACCACTGATGAATATGAACGATTGAATGAATTGAGTAAGAGTGCTCAACGAACCAACACCACCACTCCATCCAAACAACAGTCACAAGGAAGCCTTTTCAATCAAGCCTCTGTGGTTGCCGATCAAGTATTTTTGGCGGACAGTACTTCTCAAGGTGGTGGTTCGACTACTGCAAGTACTACTGCAAGTACTACAACAACTTCTTCACTTCTCACCAATGATGACACAATCATTACACTCTCTCCAACTTTATTACCCATTTCCATTCCACTCGATTACAAGACCATGTATCGTGTCGTGAAACAAGGTGATAATGTACTCATTGATGATGGACTCATTGCTACCAAAGTCGTGGAATGTATTCCTGAAAAGTTCCTAGTTCGTTGTATTGCCTTAAATGGTGGTCTTATTGGAGAAAAGAAGGGATGTAATTTACCAGGTGTCATTGTTGATTTACCTGCATTGACTGAGAAGGATATTGGTGATTTGAAATTTGCTGTTCAACACAATGTTGATTTCATTGCAGCATCTTTTATTAGAAAAGCTGAAGATGTTTTGGCCATTCGTAAATGTTTAGGTTCACGAGGACAAGAGATTAAAATTATTTCTAAAATTGAAAATCAAGAAGGATTGGATAATTTTGATGAAATATTACAAGTCTCTGATGGTATCATGGTAGCACGTGGAGATATGGGTGTTGAAATTCCACTCGAACAAGTCACATTGGCTCAAAAGATGATTATTGCTAAATGTAACATTCATGGCAAGCCAGTCATTACAGCCACTCAAATGTTAGAATCCATGATTAAGAATCCTCGTCCTACTCGTGCTGAAGTCACTGATATTGCCAATGCTGTCTTTGATGGTACTGATAGTGTCATGTTGAGTGGTGAAACTGCTAAAGGAGATTATCCTGTTGAAGCTGTGTCGACCATGTCGAGAATTTGTGTGACCAGTGAATGTTTACTAGATGAAAGAAAGACTTTTAACATGATACGTGAAGCTGTTCTGGAATTGAAGGGTAAAATTAGTGTTACTGAAACTATTGCAAGTAGTGCTGTGAAAACTGCAAACGATATTCAAGCAGGATTGATTATTACCATCACTGAGACTGGTAATACTGCTCGTTTAGTTTCCAAATATAGACCTAATCCACCATGTATTGCAGTGACTCAAAATAAGGCGACTGCACGTCAATTAATGGTTTCACGTAATGTATTTCCTGTGGTTGTAGGAAGTGTGATTGGTACAGAGACTGTCATTGCTCGTACCATTGAAAGTGCAAAGGAGAAGAAGTATGTCGAAGAAGGACAATATGTCGTTGTAACCAGTGGACATATTGAAGGTGTTGCTGGACAGACTAATATTTTGAAGGTATTCACTGCTTAAAGTCAGGTACTCTGAGAAATTCTCAGAATCCTTCGATATGAAATTTATTGTACATGTGTGTGTTCATAACAGTAAATTGATGTATTTCAAAAAAGGGAATTGTTCCGACGGTTCGTGTTTGGTGGATGGAATAATTAATTCAAATTAGTCTCAACGATTTTCATTGGAATTTCGACTTGCTTGTATCGGTAACGTCTAAACAGAGCAGACTGTCCAATATGAATACCATAAATGACAAACAAGTAGTAAGCCCAACTCTCAAAATAGGTCAAGTGTTGAGGAATGAAACATCCCCAGCTATAGGTCAACAATGCTTTCGCAGCATATCCAAACACTAATTCATCCTCACATTTGTTTTCATTCAAAACGAGAGAGAGTACTTTCATTTGAAGAAACAAAAACAAATAACACACCACCTGAAGTCATATCCAAAAATCCCATCAATACCATTCCTCGCCATGAAATCTCAGGCAGAAATTTTCTTGAGAATCTCCAATTAAATAAACAATTAAATCTTAATGCCAAATATAATACAAGACTCATAGCACCAACGTTCAGACCTAGTCCAATAATATTCTTTGGATAAATTCTGAAACGAATTTGTTGCTTGCTTGGATTCAAAGAAACATGAATTTGTTGAATCGAATCAATTTCATATTGAGTATAAAAATCAGTCTCTTGTTGAGAGTACATGGCAATCAACTCATAGAAATAAAACTTGTCATTTCGATGTTGAAAAATGCATTCCATTTCACCATTTTCATCATTCAGTAATGGGAACCAATATTGTTGAAGAAAGAGTTCTGTTAAGAGTGTTCTATCATCACGATGGTGTGTTGTTCTCATTAGAAATCTTAATAAGGGAATACATTGGTATGGAGGTATCGTTAAAGTGTGACTTGTACATCTCTCTTTTTGAATATCTGTTGCAAGATGTGTTGTTTGAGAATTTGTTATCGATTCATCATCTCTGTTTGTCGATATCGTTGGGAGTGGTACAAGCTTTGAATCGAGTAATTGAATTTTTCCATTTCGAAGAATTAAAGTACCCTTGATTCGAACCTTCGGCGTTATGGATGTTGGCCTATCATAATGATGTTGTTGTTGATATTTCAAAACAATATCTCTCACAATACTAGACTGAGATAAAGGATCATTGCAATAAATCCAATCAAAATCAATACTTGATACACGAAAGGGTGTGAAAATGTTTTCTTGTAATGATCGTAAACATGACTGTGTTGTATTTGAATCTTGTTCTAATAAAGAAGAAGCATTTAAAAGAATCACAACATAGCGTGTCATGAATTGATACAAATATTTGAGATCGAAAAGAGTGAGCGTCGTTGTACATGCACTTGTGGTATTCACATAATACTTCCATATCAGTTTTTCCTCATCTATTTCCATACCATTTCGTTCGCTCTTTTGGGTAAAATCTTTGGAGCAAGGATTTTGTAACTTTTTGGAAAATAATGTTGTGAAAGGCTGTTCATGATCATTGGAAAGTCCAAGAATGCACTTTAACACTCTTAATCCATCATCTGAATACGGCCAAAATAATACTAGCTTACGACGGTGTGGATGAGAAAGAATGGTATGAAATATCTCGTAAATGATTGGTAATACTTTGGATTCATTGAATCTTTGTAGAACCAAGTTGAAATACAGTTGACAAAGTTTGTCACTCGTGTCATCGCTCTGTAATTGTGGATCGATCGTTGAAGCATCATCATTTGGAATGGTAATTAAATGATTGATCTCGAATCGGAAGAGCCGTTTAAATAGTATTAATATTGTATCACTCAACAACCATCGTAAGGGAAGAAATTCAATGATTGAATAAATCATTTCAAGAGGGAGATGTTGAACTTCGTTGTGGGATAGATTGGAAAGAGGGAGATGTGTATTGTCATGGTCATCAACCGTTTTCATTTTTTTACAAGAGCTTTGTACATTGGTTTACAAAATGTTCATTAATTCACAAAGGCCTAATATTTTGGATCAAGAGGATGTGTCTGCCTTCTTGTGTTGACATGAAATGTTGCATAGTGTTTGGGAGGTTCTCCAATAATATCTTGTACAAAGTTAATTTTCCTGTACTCTCGTCTCTCTACTGGAAAAGTATTTGGTACTGCATGACCAAAATTTCCTCTTCTTTCAACCAAAGGCTCCTTAATATAATTCGATAATGGTGGAAGCGGTGCTGGTTTAGAACCCTCAATTTCTCCAATATCTCGTCCTATTATACGCTTCTCATAGTCGTATCGAGGAGACAAGGGGTTAATATTTCTTCTCGTTGTGAATTTCCATTCATCATTAATATCCTTTACATTTAATTTATCTGTTTTATGTTTTTCAGGAATGACTCGTTGATAATCACTTCTGAAAAACCCTCGAACTGCAAAATCTCCATAATCTTCAGGATGATTGATATCATCACAGTTGAGAGGATTTCTAATGGTTGCATTTCTTTTTCTCTCAGCAGCTAATTTCTTATTTTCATCATGAATAATATCATCTACTTTTAAAATATCTTTGGAGGTTTCATTTGTTCATATTCTTCTGGTTTGTTGGGTCGTTTGACACTTGGCAATTTATAAATGGGATTAAGAGGATTGAGTTGTCGATTGAACATGACATGTGTTTTCAATGGTAGAGATCCTTCAATGTCATGATTCCGTAAATTGAAGTCATTCGTTCGATTTACCTGTTTCGGTATTAAGGTTGCTGGCTGATCGACAGTAAGGAAAGATAAATCCTCCTTATTCGTGAATCTGGTTGGGGGAGTTGAATTTGCACGAGCAAAAAGTATGTCTGATGTTTTAAGTGAGAGATCTTTATCTCTTCGTCGAGCATAGTCCGAGGGAGCAAATGGTGATGTGGTTGCCTCTTGTTGAGAGCTTTGGCAGAGGCAGACTCTATCGTCTGCAAGTACATGCTGTCATTGAGGTGAGTCATGTTAGCGATGATGAGATGGATTGAGTGGTGGGTGAGGGGTTGCTAAATTGATACTAATGGTGTGAGTGTGTGCCTGCAAAGGAGAGAGAGCCTTTCCTTTGGGTAAGGAAGACTTGACTTGGATTTTTTTTGATCTCGTTACTGTAACGTTATTTTTTTGAGTTTTGAATTTTGGCGCTCCGGATGTTTCTGTAAATTTTCGAATTTCCAAATCAAACGCGAGTATGGCCCGAGCTGTAGAGAACAAGATATTTAATCCCCAAAGATCGAAAGGCACAAAAGACAGGCTTGGCTTTATTTACACTCTCAATTTTGATGAAATTTGAAACATTACATCATCTCATGATTTTTCTTATTCAATGAGTACCTTTTTCACCCGAAATGCATGAATTCCCAATGTCTCACAAATTTGTCGAATCACTAAACAAGCCATATGCAAATAGGAAGCAATCACGGTTGCAACACATGCATACAACAAGTACACTTCCATTCTCACTTGCCATAAATGATTAGAAGCATTCAACATAAACACCACCACTCTCCATACCAACAAGATACACATGGGAATCATAATGAAAAAGAATGTTGGTGATAAACATCCACACACACGTGCAAATATTAATCGTGTTTGAATATAAGAAGCAGTCAATCCATAGAGCATACTGAATGGTAAGAAATGATTCTCAACAAGATGAGGTGATAAATAGGCCAACATGCCAAACATGATCAATACAATCATGTATGAGAGAATTCCTTTCAATGCACCACCAATTCCACCAATGACATGAATGGTTCGATGCGAACGTTTACGAGCACTATGTGATGCAAACCCAAAACACTTTGAATATTACTCACAATGATGGATGCACCTAATAGAGTAGCAATACTAATCATGAGAGTATTGAATTGAATGTCCAATGAAAGATCTCCATCGTTCATTGATGTTGAACTTGTGTTGAAAATATTTTAAATAAATAATAATTGAAGAGAGACGAGTCATTACGTTGAACGGTAAATAATACAGTAGACCATTTCGATTGACCCATAGCAAATGAACTGATGAGAATAGTAATGGCAAGCATAATTGCTTCTGTGGGTGAATTGTATTTTCCAAATCTCATTTCATCAGTCACATAATCTTCCCAAATCATCATGAAACTCGTCATGTAATACAAGACAATGACAATGAGTGCAAAATAAGTACTACCTAAATCAATAGCACTCACAAGAATGTAACATTGGAAATATCCTATGAGAGCATCCTATGGATTTGGGTTTATATGAAGGAAGAGAGAGTGAGAGAGAGAGAGGTGTGTGTGTGAGTGTCACATTCACGTTTGGTTCAATTCCGATCCATTCACGAAAATTTTAAATATTTCAAATATTTTTCAATTTCAAAATTTCCGAATTTTATACGATCAATTGACATTCATGTTGATAGTAATTTGAATATTAATAATAATTTGAATATTAATAATAATAATAATAATATGTTATAAGAAAAAGATGTATATGAAACATTTCAAGATACCTACCAATCCATGATCAAATAATTCTCCCAATGCACTGCTATTCTTTGTATTTCTTGCGTGTTTACCATCAATGGCATCCATGGTTTGATAATAAAATAATAATAGAGCATTGAGCAAATAAATAATGGATGGCACTTGATGATTATGTAAATCAGGATTGTAATACACTAATACTGCCCATCCAAATAAAACACCAAGAAATCCTAACAAAGTAATGGTATTAGGTGCCACATAATGTGGAATGAGTTTGGCACAGAATTCCCAATACGGTTGTAAATCTTTGAAACCAATCATTTGAAGTTCAAATTGTCCAATCATTTGATATGAAATATCATCCAAAGTCATGACATGTCCATCATTGAAATCATCATCATCAACTTACAATAAGATAGAATCGATGCATCACCACTTTTATACTTGTAATCTCTCAATGATATTTTTGCTGCTTCTGTTAAATAGGGATAATTAGTGAGACGATCATAGAGTGAGAGTCTTGTTGTGGTGCCGATGGATGAAGAATGACCGAGTTGTGTGGCTTGATCAATTTGACCATTCCGATTGGTACTACCCAAAGATTGCATGTTGATGAGAGCAATGAAAAAAGTACTCAGCCGACGAAATATTTTTTTTTGAGTGAATTATTTTTGTAACCTTCTCTTGCCAATTTTTACAAGAGTAACGTGTGTAAAGTGAACTTGGAAGAATCAAACGTGGAACAATTAAAATTTCTTGAAGGTTCATTGTGGAATTCTCCTTTGACAACACATGTTACACTTGCACATAGTTGGCAGTCAATCATTTTCATACAATTGTTCATGAAAATGGTTCAAACGCGCTGTGTACACATTGGTTAATTGTTATTGAAAATTCGAAATTTAATAATTTGGAATCATTGCTTGTAATCTCATTAAACCATCAAAACATGCCAATTTTTTAGCCTTAAATGCATCCTTAGCATTGGCATCACCAATGACTCTATTCTTGACATACAATGTACATTTAAAACAATTCATAGATTTAACATATTCTTCAACATATTTCATATTGTAGTGATAATAAGATCCTACTAAATCACTCAATACCATTTGAGGTTCATCTAAAAAGAGTAATTTTTTGAATACTTGAGAAGGTCGATCTCTAATAATTTCTTCTTCAATAAATTCTCTGGCAACTGAGAGACCACATTTAGCATAAAGAGATCCAATAATAGCAAGAACAGCATTGGATGTAATTTCACGTTGAGATTTTGTAGACATTTCATTCCAACGCACACATTTCAATGTATAATGTTCATTTTCAATAAATATTGTAGAATTAAGGGAATGACCTTCATTCATTCTAGTCTTGTCATTCATGATTGTAAATGGTATCATTGGTTGTGAGGATGGATATTTCACTACTTGTTGATGCATATTTTTGAAACGAATAGGAGTCTTGTCCAATGGATTGGATCCATCTTGATGATTACAAAAATTCCAATACTCATTCGCTACTACAAATGCCAAATATGATCGATTGTTATATAATGCTTTCAATAAAGATGCAGTACTAAATCGTTCACGTCCACTATTGTATTGTTCACTCGAGTCAACCATATGGCTCATTTCTGTTGTAAAGGGATAGTTATTCAAAATGTTGGATGATTGTGAGAGTGGTGATGATGATGTTGTTGTTGTGTTGTGGTATTTGTGGTAGTAGTAGTAGTAGTATTTGTATTTGTGGTATTTGTGGTAGTAGTAGTACCAGTCATCATTTCAATATTGAAATTTCTAACATGACTCATATATTTGTGTGAAATAATTTCTGTCAAGACCATATCCAACACATATTGTCCCATATATGCCAATCGATCATGTGTTCTTACTTTACCAGATCCAAATGAACCATGAGTGATGGATCGAATTAATAATGTACGAAGAGAAGCATCAGTATCATTTTGTATTTTAGTATTGGTAGTGACTGTACTCATGGATTTGTTTAATTCTCGTTGTAGAATTCTAGATTTGGAAATTAATTCTTGTAATCCAGGAGTATAATCTAATTCATTATAAATTTTACCACTTTTAGAGAATTGAGTTTTAACTTCAAAGGTTGAAAGTGGAGGAGAAGTGGTGTGTGGTGCTTGTTCGGAATGTGTGTTGTTGTTGTTGTGAATGGTATGAGATGCAGTTGATTGTTGTTGTTGTTGTTGTGAATTTGTTTTTGATGTTGAATGAGAGTGGCATAATTCTTAACTGATGCAAAGTTGGTATCAATACTATTTAACGAATAATAAAATTGAAAAGGAATTCTAGTAGCATGTAGTGATGATGATGATACTCTTCCGATTGTTCCCAATAAATGTCTGCTAGTAGTTAGAGTGCCAAGAAGACCTCTAGAATGGAGAGTCAATTTCATGACGATGTAAATATTTTAATGAAAGGGAGTATGAAACCAAGAAGATGATGATGCTAATTTTTTCTTGAAGTTAAAATATTTATTTTGGGAAATGAAAAAATGTCTCAACTCATCGACACCCACGACACGAAGCATCGACTCAATCATGATTCGAATGGAGATGATACAATTTTACTATTGAACAATTTCAATCCGATGAATACGACCACAATGACTAAGACCACGGAACATGCTTCAAGTTTTGACAGTCAGCATCAAACACATTCACAACCATCATTGAATTCAACAATTTCAAACCTAAAACAACATGAATGCATAACAGTCGAAGCAACAAGGACTACTGATGAGAATTCCCAACAATGCCAATCAAAAAGAACATCAAATGTTCAATCCATTCAAGACTCTACTGAAGTAGGAACCAATACTGATTCTTCTACTAGTTCTAATATTACCATTCAACAATTTAGATCTAAACGTAATTCCAATGTTAAGAAAAAAAAGAAAAAGCAGAATTCTGAAAATACTAATTTTTCAAACTCATCTCTTGACATGTTAAATAATAATATCATCGATGATAACACTCATCATTCTCACACTGCCAACATGACATCCAGCACTGACATTACTCTAAAATCTATGAATACTCATGAATCATCTCTACCCATTCATGCATTTCAATCTAGAATTATTAAATGTATTGAAAAAAATCAAATTGTAATTATTACAGGATTTACTGGATGTGGTAAGTAGTAACATTTGTGTTTCAAATCAATCATATATATTTTTTGAAAATGATGATACTGATATTATTTTACCTTGATCCATATATATTTATACCTTTTAGGTAAGAGTACACAATTACCTCAAATGATCATGAAACATGAAATTGAACATCAACTCTTGAAAAAAAAGGATCAACAATTGAATCAATTCAGAACACGTCATCCAAAAATAATTTGTACTCAACCAAGAAGAATTGCAGCCACAGGTTTAGCACGAAGAGTTCACACAGAATTGAACAAGTATATTCAATCCATTCTCTCTAGAGAATATGATAAGAAGAAAGATGTTCCAGACAATGATCTTCTTAAAAATGATCTTGTTAAAAATAATCTCATTCATTCGACTCGAGTTGGATTTATGATTGGAGGTGATGCTCAATATGATCCCAATACAAGTATTCTCTTTGCTACTGAAGGATGTTTAACCAACGTCTTGATGAAAGGATATCAAGATGAGAATTTCTTTAAGAATTTTCACAAATCACACTTTACACATATCATTTTAGATGAAATTCATGAAAGAAATGTCGATACTGATTTATTATTGTATTTTGTGAGAGAATTGAGTCGAGTGAATGCTCATGTTAAAATTATACTAATGAGTGCCACGTTAGCTAGAGAACAATTATGTGAATATTTTTCAAAATCCATGGTACCAATAATACCCAAACGTTCCGGATCCGTCACAGTAGCAGCAGGAGGAGGATACTCTCAACCATCCACAGTATCTTCTTCAACCGTATTACCCTATACTTCTGCGTCCTCCTCCTCTTCAACAGTATTACCCTATACTTCTTCCTCCTCCATACATGCAATAACACAACATGATATACTACAACAGAAGAATACATGCAATACCAATAGCAACAACAATAGCAATACCAATAGCAACAACAACCACAGGTTGATACCTCCATGTATTCACATTCCCACTGGTTGTCATCCCGTTGAAGAATATTATTTACATGACATTCTCAAAATGATTTATTGTCAAGGAAATTTACAAGTGGATGAACATACACTCATTCAAAAAGTAGGACACAAATATCATGATATTACTGCGAATATGGTATTGAATCGATATACGAGTAATGGTAATACTACTTCTACACATCAACCATTAACGATATCACCACTTCGAAGAAAACTTGCATTACAATTGGTACAGAAATTACATCAAATTCATAAATTCAATGAACAACAACAACAACCATTGATGGAAAGGAACCATACGAGTCATCATTCCATTCAGGAGAATGATATGAGTAGTCATCACTCCTCACATGATACTTGTCGTCAACCATTTACTTCACATCATCATGTACAGTCCAATCATGAATCAATCTCTACTGAGATCACTAGTAGTAGTAATAGTAATGGTAATGGTAGTACTACCACAACAACATCTCGAACAATTGAGGCAACCACAACCACCAATAATGGTAGAGATGTTTCTTGTTCTTCCAATCATGATCATTCAAACAACAACCACGATCACTCGAGTATACTCATCTTTCTTCCAGGAATGACTGAAATTGAAGATTTTCTTGAAGATTTAACACTTGCATATGTTGGAGGTTTAGATTCACCTCAATGTCCATTTGAAATTCATATTTTACATTCATTGATTGCACGTGAAGAACAAGAGCTAGCCCTTCTACCAGTTTCTAATAAGAATAAGCGTAAAATTATTCTCTCAACCAACATTGCAGAGAGTTCCATTACAGTTCCAGATATTAGTATTGTCATTGATTTTTGTATGTGTAAAGAATTGATTCATGACTATTATGGTAGTAGTGGTGGTGGTGGTGGTGGAATGAATAGTGTTGGTAGTACTATGAATAATAGTAGTAGTATGAATAGTAGTGGTATGAATAGTAGTAGTATGAATAGTAACAACTTTAACAATGCTTTGGAAAATTCAACTCCAATGTTGAGTGTGAATTGGATTTCTAAAAATTCAGCCATTCAACGAAAGGGTCGTGCAGGTCGAGTGAAACCAGGTTGGTGTTATCGAATGGTTACTTTGGAAGAATACGAATGTTTTAGAGAGAGTGCCATTCCTGAAATTCAAAGAAAACCACTTCCTGAAGTGTTATTAAGAATTTTAATGATGAGTGGATTGTATGAAGCAAGTCGAGCATTTCAAACAGCATTTCAATCTGAAGAGAATGTTGAACATCCATCCGAGTCAACAACAACATTCTCAACAACAACAACAACATCCTCAACAACAACAACAACAAATACTTCATGTCATAAATTGAACAAACATGAAGAATTGTCAAATTTGAGAAGACATCTTTTATCAAAACCTCCATCCAGTGTATTGAATGAATGTTTAGATCCTCCAAGTATACACTTATTGGAAGCTTCTTATCAACAATTGTTAGCATGTGGTGCTATTGAAAGAATTCATCCAAGTCTTGTAGATGATGACAATGATAACACCAAGATTCAACACGATGATAAATCCATATGTCTTGATGATGATCAAAATATTGCTCAGAATGATGATGGCCATATAGAGGATGATACTGACATTATGAAAAATAATCAACTAGTTTCGTATGAATCTATCTCTACTCTTTCGTGGGGTAATGAACAAGATTCTCAAGACAATTCTTTCCATCAGAATGATACGACAGCAGATAGCACTAATAGCATCTCAAATATGAACAACAATAATGAAAAGACACTAGAAAAGACCATCTCTCACAAGGAGGAGACATTGAAGAAAAAACAATCAAAATTCTCTGAACACTTTTATGCAACCAAAAAGGGAAGATTCTTTTCACTCATGCCACTACAAATTTCACATTCTCAACTCATTCTATTAGGATATTCTCTGAATATTTTACCTTATTGTATTATTGCAAGTGCAATTATCTCACGTTCATTACCATTTCTACACTTTTCAAATTTGAAATTAGTGACTGCTCGATCCATGTATAGTTTTGATCAAAATTCAGAAAGTGATATTATTGCATCCATTCGTGCTTATTTATATTACAAGAAATTGAGAGTAGAATTGAATAAGAAGATTATGTTATCTAAAAAGAATGAAAAACAAACGAGTAGTAGTAATAGTAGTAATGGAAGTATTAATGGCAGTATTAATGGCAGTAATAATGGCAGTAATAATAGTAATAGCAATAGAACACATTCCTCGATTCAATATTACAAAAATGAATTCTTTGAAAATTTGAGAAAAGAAATGATTTCATACAAATTGGTCAAGGAAATTGATGAACTTGTCATGCAAATCTGTAAAATCTTACAAAAATATTATCAAGTGGATATTGAATTATTGACACCCTTTGAAAATACTACGATCATCATAAGATGAACATTTCAAATACGACGAGTCATCATCATGACAAGATGAATAGAAAGTCTCCTTCTCATCATTACCCTTCAAAAAATCTATTCATTCCACTTGAATCACTCACACCTGAAAAGATTCTCCTTCTCAAAGCATGTTTATGTGCAGTGAATTATTCAAAAGCAGTCATTGCAACACCTCCTTCTGAAAAACATCTTTTAAAGATTCAACAACACATGTCAAGTGTACTCTCAAATTGAAAAATCAAACCATTGATTGTGTCAATATGAAAGAGACTGAACATTTGAAACGACTTGTACAAATGTTTTTCACAAAATTTGATGGAGGAATGGTACCAATGAATCAAATAGATTCCATGACATTTGATGCAAAAAAGAGTGGTTTTAGAATTCATTTTAATTATTATTTTCATGAAAGACCAATGAAGAATGATCACAACATTCTTCTTCCATTCACTCCTGAAATGAAACAAGATATTCTCTTTCCATTGAAATTACTCTCCAAATCAGCAAGATCGAAGGAAAGGAACAATTCGAACAAGTGTTAATACCTTCACAACTGGATGGTTCATTTCTCACATTATCCTCACAGGACTATTATCCAGTGTATGCACATTTACCTCCCTCATTGATTAAGGCTCATCCATTCAAATTTGATAGTTTTTCATGTGGACTCGAAATGAAATGTCAATTTGTGTGTCAACAAAGTGTATCATCCTCTCATGTACCTGTAGTGTCCAAAGATTCTGTACTCTTTCCATTGTTATTCAATCCAAATGTACAAGTACAACAATTGAAAGATGATGATGAATGGCCATATGTACAACAATTGAATATGAAAGAAGATGATCATGATTTTGACATTTATGAACAATACAACAACAACAACCACTCGAGAGTCATCATCAACCACTGAACATCAACAACACCCTCAACACCCTCAACAAGAACACTCTCATTCAAAATTCACAAATGATTCATCCTTGGAACCTTCCTTAGAAAAGACATGCACCAATAATATCATCATGGATTCATCATTCTTGGATCATGACTCGAACAACAATAGTAACAACAACAACACACCCTTTCACCCTTCAAGAATTCTCATTCCTGGTTCCATTACTATCAAATCTCTTGCACCTGGAAAAGCAAGTGCCTTTCTAGAAAAGAATACTCTTCTTCCAAGTGATATTCATGGTTTTTATGAAATGAGTTTATTATTATTATTACCATTCACACATCCTGGAGCATTGATGAATTGTCAAGAAATTTGTGATGAATATAACAAGTTGAATATGAAGAAGGAGATGAAGGACAAGATCACTCAAGCCATGAAATATCAAAAGTGTTTCATGGTTCTCAATCATCCATCTTATTTCAGAAATGAAATGTCTCAACGAATGAAAATGAAATTATTCACCGATGGATCGACACGACAAGCTTATTTTATTATACTCCAAAATCATCATCAAAAACAAGACGAAGAAGAACAGTGTATACCCTTCACTCAACGACTTGATCAACTACAACAATGGATCAAAGACAAGATGGAAGAATTATTTTCTCGATCTGGTATTATGACAAGAACAACACCATCCAAAAAATCATTGATTCATTCACATGAATTATCATGTCATTGTACACAACAACACCACCACATGAATCATCATGTCATACACTTTCACAACAACAACCACCACATGAATTATCATGTCATACACTTTCACAACAAGAATTATCATGTCATACACAGCAACCACACAAATCATCATCATCTCCACTCTGGAAAGAATGTTTACAACTTTTCAAAGATTCCTCTCAATACATTGATGTTCAACATTGTGGAAGTGAAATGAGTATTCAACAAGTGTTTGAAATTAGTTCAACACCCAATATTACCATTACAAGTCCACCATTTAGTATCATTTCACAGAGTACATTGGATCGTATTTTAGATCAATGTATATTCACTTATCATCAAGATCAGTACAATCCTATTGGACCATCTTCACCATTTCTAAATTTAGTTAAATCCTCTAAATATTCCATTGATTTTATTGGAATGAATGATTTAGAATTCAAACATGCCAAGTATCTAGTCTTGCGTGAAGTGAATAATGTATATAGTGTCTTTGATCATCCTCAACATGCTTTTGTTTGTATACAACATTTAAAGAGACATGTGAACATTGAAAAACACAATCATGTGAATCGAAATCATAGTTTGGAACAATTACGAGAATTTCTATCACTGGATGTCTATCATTGTCCCTTCCAAGATATTGATGCACACAATCGAGAATTGTACACGTTGAATGTTTTTAAAAATAGTTCAAAAAAGAAACACACACTCGTGAATATTCGAGAAGCACACGAATACAAGATTCATAAGAAGGCTCTAAAACTTGAGAATTCTGGCACAAGTAGTGTAGAGCAAACAATGACGAACACCAACTTTCCAGCAACAAGCAACACGTGTCGATTCTTAGACAATAATAATACCCCCACTCCCAATACCACCCTCACTCCCAATACACCAACCACCCTCACTCCCAATAGAACCTCCTCCATAATTAATACTTCCCTCACTCCCAATACTAAGAATAATAATTCCTCCTCCACCGTAATCAGCAAAACTAGTGGTGGTTTCATTCTCTCTCATTTCTCACTCAAATCCATCATTCGAGCATTCAAACGTGATATACCAGGAGGAAAGAGAGTGAAAATATTTGCATCACTTGGAAAACAAGTATTCTATAGTTCTAAATTTGAAAAGATTTCACAACACTCTTCCATGTTAATGAATGATTTTAGATTGAAGAAAATTGGTCGAATGAATGATGTGAAGACTCTCTTCTTTTCATATATTGAACATTTCAATGAACCTAGTAGAGAATTATTGAACAAGTATCGACAGAGAATGAGTTGTAGTGAGACTAGTAATCATTGTGGTAGTAGTAGTAGTAGTGAGAATAATCAAAGTAATGTAGAGAATCAACAACCACCATCAAGTCTATTTTCACACATTCCTCAATTCAATGCCATCATTTTTCATGGTCATTCACAACAAGATGATGTTTCAAATAATAGTAATAGTAGTACTAGTGCATTGAATCAACTTGATCATGGTCATAATAACTCGACCATTGATCATCATGCTACCAATTCCATCTCAACCATGAATGATCATCAGATGGCATGACCATTAGTAATGATGGTGGTGGTCATCATGATGAAATAATCACCTCCTCTACAATCCATACTACTACGACTGCTAGAATAGTACTTTTATTCCTACTACTCCTACTTTTATTCCTACTACTTGTACCACCAATATTAATCCTACTACACGTTATACCATTCTCAACCAAAAAGATTGTATTGAAATTTGTGTGATTGATAAGGTGAAAAAACAACGTGTCAATCTCACAATGAAAGTGAATAGAAATCATTCATTGAATCGTCATGAGGACAACGATGCTACTACTACTACTACTACTACTGAGAATGTACAATTTTCATCATCATCTTCAACAACAACAAACTTACATGATGATGCATCATTCATTTCACATGATGACCATTCTCGAAAATCAAACACACTCTTCAAATGCACTCTTTACAAGTATCAATTTTCAAGATCAAAGATTTTATATGTTGATTGTATTGCACCTCTTGTGGTTGATGAAAATGAATCTGATGAGACCATCATGAAAAGAAATGAGAAATGGTTTGATGTTCGATTTGCAAAAATCATTAAGGGACAAGTTTATTATTGTCCTTCTAGTAATAGTAGTAGTAGTAGGTGTGAGAATAATATGAACCATACCACAGTTCCAACGATTCGTAGTAACATGATGACGAATCAAGTACACAATAATGATCATTCTGATCTATTGAATGAATCCAAAGAAGAATTAACACCACCTCTACTCTCAGAATCGATTCAATTATTATGTCAATCCCTATGGTATGATGAAGAAAATTACAAATTATATTTATATAACAATGATGATGCACCATCAATCCATGAGAATGGAGATAATGAAAATATGAATGAAAAACAATCTAAATTTGTGGATTTGGTAGAAATGAATTTACAATGTCAATTCCAAGGACGAGTTCTAATGAAAATGAATACACAATGGTGAATGATCATCACACCATGTTGAAATGGAAGAATTTATTCAATAATATTTCACTTGATGTCATTTCTTTCAACATTAGTGAGAAATTATTATTGAATGATCACTCTTCCATATTGGTATTTAGAAATCGAACAATATTGAATCATCCATTCATTAGAAAGTCATTTACAGAAGTTCATTTAACCGATCAACAATTAAGTCATATTGACAATGATGATAATTGTATGAATTCGAAATGTTCCAAGACAGTCATGACCCATCAAAACACTACAGAAATTGATTACACAAACACTACCCTCCATGAAAAAGTTGACATTTCAAGTGTTCATAAGGATGAATTTTCAAATACTCTCTTTCAACAAAATTCAATTCAAATCTCTTGTTGTGATACTACTATACATACCATCAATTCACAACAAGAAACGGAAAATATTATAACATCTTCACCTGCATCAGAACCATCCTCCGTGATTGACAAGAAGAAAGAAAAGAACAACAAGATGGATACTATTATTTCCGAGTTCATCCATAAAGTGTTATATTGGAAGGATGATATTAATCATCACAACCATCACAAAGACAATACGATGAATCAATATGACAACATGTACCACCAAAATGATGAAAAAACAGAGTCAATCAGTAGCAAGAAAAAGAAGGACAAGAAGAAGAAGAAAGAGAACAAAAAGAAAGACAAGAAGGATAAAAAGGAAGAAAAGAAGCAAAAGGAGAAATTGACTAAGGAAGAAAAGAAGGATAAACAGGAAGAAAAAAAGCAAAAGAAATTGGAAAAGGCAAATAAGGAAAAAAAAAGTCAGAAAAAAAGAAACAAAAAACAAGTAATTCTGAATCACATCCGCATGTACAGCAAATAAGAGCCATTCAGACTGAATATGGTCTGTCTTTAACGAATAAGACAAGTCAAACAAACAACTCTTCCCTTGATTCTATTACTCCTAGCTCTGAACAGCAATAAGAGTTTTGAAAATGAAGAAGAAAATGTGTGTCCGATAGATAAACGAAACAATTCACGTTTTGCTGGTCATTGTTGGCTATGTGTTTTTTCCACCAATCAAAAGCGAGAGAAACGCATTTTAAAAATATCAAACTAAAAAAAAATTCATATTTTTAGAGTGATCAACCTCTTTTCCCTTCATCACCTATTGGCGGTTATTGTATCGACTCCCAAAATAGATTAGAATTCATTCTCGCAAGACATCTCGATCTATTATTACCACAAAGTTTGAACTATCTTCACATTTGTGTGTGATTTCCGTAAACTCGCCTTCCGTGTCGATCATCACATCATCACATAACATATTATTTAATCCCTTTTCATCATCATTAGACAAAGACTCTTCATCACACCCTTTCGGAAATATATTACATCATACGACAATAACAACAATATGGGACGAAAGAAAATAGCCATTCAACCTCTCACTGATGAACGCAATCGTCATGTTACCTTCAACAAGCGTAAACAAGGTCTCGTCAAAAAGGCTATGGAGTTATCCATTCTATGCAATTGCCAAATATCCCTTGTCATATTTAACTCGGAGAATCAATTGTTTGAGTATTGCAGCACAGATCCAAGATCTATTCTTCAGCGCTATTGTCAAGTAGCACACCTACCTCATGAACGATTAACCAATGCCGAATATACCAAGTTCGATAAGAGTGGTAATTTACCAACAACAACTACGGGAACAACCGACACAAGCTCCATTGATGTAACACAAGCCAGTCAAGCCTCTTCATCAACCACCAATGCCACTCAGTCTACTGCTGCAACCTCTGCAACAACAACAACAACGACAGCAACAACGAGCAATGGCGGAAATACTTCGAGCAAATCAAAGTCGAAATCAAAGACACCAAAGAAAAGAAAATCCAAAAAGGAAAAGAGTGAAAGTGAAGATTCCGATGAAGAAACCACAAGTAGCACCAAAAACAAAATGACACTTCCAATTTCAGCAGAGCCTTCCAACGTGAGTGCAGCAGCCATTACTCACCCACCATTGGCTGGCACTGTACCACCTTTCGCTGCTTATCCTCAATTTACAGGTCAACCAATCTTTGCAGATCCAATTCCAACACCGCAGACCGCATTGCTTAACACATTTTTCGATGGTGCATTTGACCCTCTTACTCCAAGAACAGCCGAAGCTATTGACAACATTTCTCGTAGTGCACTCGACAATCAAAAGAAGAGAAACTCTCCAACCACAGGTTCCGATAAGAATCAAGATGAAGTTGAATCACCATCACAAAAGAAGAGAAAAACTGGACTCACCATTCAAGTTCCTACCAATAAGAATGTACCTCTAAAGAGAATTGAGAGCTCTCTCTCTGAGTCAGCTCAACAAGAGAATGGTGAGAGTGACTTTATTGCTCCAGCAAACAGCACAACCAACACTAGCGGTGCATTACCAACAGCAGTAGCAATCCTTTAAGTGGTGTGCTTCCCACTCCTCAAAGTTCTTTTAATCCGGAAACAAAGACTCCACTCTCTTCCTTCCTCAATTCGAACTTTTTCGATACAAGCACAACTCCCACAAGTCTCGGTGTCTCGTGGAACGATGTGCCATCACCCTTCACGGTCTTGAAACAAAACCAAACAGCTATGGAAAAGAGCAACAAAGACAAAATTTAAGCCTCTCCGAATCTCCAACATGTAAATAAATGTGTGATAGCTTACTATTGTATAACAACAAGCATGAGATTTTCCAATTAAACACCCAGGTGTTTTATAGTTCGGATTTGGAACCCTTTTATTCTAGTACAATTACCAATTAGGTGATGATTTAGTTATCAAAGTTTGGAGCACGGTAAGTCGATGGATCTCTTCTATGATGAGTGTCTTGAATACCTCTTTCGACTGGTGAAGGAACAACCTTTGTAAGAGAGTTGAAACGTGCTTCATACCACTTTCTGTGTTTAGCAAGGCATGTAGTCCACTTGTAGAAGTGTCCATTGCATTGAGACCATTGCAACATGGTATCGTTGCTCTTACCGAGTTCTAATGATCATCATCATGTCCATGAAAATATTACAAAATTTTGTATGATTATCATCACATTGTCGTAATATTGTTCATACTTACTCTCATCACCACATTCATCCAAATACATATTCAATAAATGAGCCCTGCAAGGAGCAGCAGGAGTCAAGTGTAACACAGACTTGAATTGTGAAGGATCATTCTTCAAAAGATCTTGCTCTGTTGTCGTAAGTTCATAATCCTTCGAGTCGAGAGGCTTGCCGAAGATGTCCAAAATTTGTTCGTTTGAAAGATATCCTTCCTTTGTTCTATTCAAAATATCAGCGTTTGGAACGTTGGTTCTATCACTTGGCAACTTGGCATCCTTGGTCTTGGTCAAAGGATGATAGAATGATTGTTCGGTAAAGTATCCTTGGTCATTCATTTGGCTGGCCAAATTCTTAAGGATAGTCTGTTTAATTTCAGCAGCGTTCATTTTTAATCACTGTATTTTTTTTATGATAGAATTTGTTCTTCTGAAAATTTCACCAAATTTAGGCCAATACGCGGTCAACCTTTTACAACCCTTTCGATTTTCATTTTCTTGGTCGAACAATTTACGGATTGAAGACAGGAAACTGTGTATTGGTGCACCTTTTAACACTTGTTCTTTGTTTGGTTTTCAATTGAAAATTTTGTTTTTTTTTCTTGATTGGAGATGTGCGACAGACTATGCTCAACTAAAAATTTGAACCATGAGAATTTGTTTGTTCATCAAAAAAAAATGTCATCCTCTGGTGGCTTGTCTGACCAACAAATCAACAAGGAACACAAAGCCAGAAGAGCAGGTAATAAATTCAAAAAGAGAGAGGCTCAAAGAAAGAAAAAGCTCGGAATTTCCGAAGAACAACAAAAGAATGATTACGTGAATAATCGTGCAAATACGGTCGGTAAAGGAAATGCCTATGCAAGAGATTTAAAGTATAAATTGGATAAATTTGAGACAAAACTACATGCTCCGATTACATCAAGAGTATATGGAGAAGGCCTCCCAAGCTTGTTGCAGTGGTCGGACCTCCAAAATCAGGCAAGACAACTCTCATTACAAGTCTTGTCAAACAATACACCAAACAAACACTAACCGAAGTGACTGGTCCTATTACTGTCAGAACAGGAAAGTCAAGAACAACATTCTTTGAATGTCCTAATGACATCAATGCAATGATAGACATTTCTAAAACAGCAGATTTAGTTTTACTCTTGATAGATGCATCTTATGGATTTGAAATGGAAAACTTTGAATTTTTAAACATGTTACAAGTACATGGTATGACTCGAGTGATGGGTATTTTAACTCATTTGGATTTAATCAAGAAGAGTAGTACTGTACGAAAATTGAAAAAGAAATTGAAGCACCGATTTTGGACAGAGGTTTGTGATGGTGCCAAATTGTTTTACTTGAGTGGTTTGAGAGGTGGACTCTATACACCTCGTGAAACAATTAATTTGAGTCGTTTCATTTCTATTATCAAACCAAGACCAATCAAATGGAGAACCACTCACTCATGTGTTGTCGTGGATCGATTTGAAGATGTTACTGATCCTGAGTTAATTAAGGAAAATCCAACCACGAACAGACATGTGTGCATGTATGGATATGTAAGAAATACTTTCTTACGAAAGGGTACTCCTGTTCATATACCTGGCTGTGGAGATTTTACAATCAAGACTATTTCTAGTTTGGATGATCCTCTTCCTCCCAAGCCAAAAGAAAAGGAAAGATCCAAATTAGACAAATACAAGGGATTATATGGTCCAATGAGCAATTTAGGATCAGTATTCTATGACAAGGATAGTGTTTATGTTGACATGTCGAACACATTTACAGATACCACTTCAAGTGGTAATCATAGAGGTGGTATTGATGAAGCTGAAGAATTACTTCTCACTCGTAAAGGAAAGGATATTTCTTCTGAAAAGAGAGAAGAACGAAAACAAATAGCAGAGGAAACCTCAAAAATCGTACAATCACTCCTTCAAACCACCAGCAATGAAGATCTCAATTTGGATGAAAAGCTTTCCAATCAACAAGTCAAACTATTTTCCAATGCCAAGTCAGCACTTGTGGCAAAGAAACCATCCAAAGCAACCAATATTGAACACGATGAAGAAGAAGAGAATGAGAATATCGTGAGGATGATGATGATGAATTTGATGAAGATATGGATGAAGAAGAATTCATTCGCAAGTATATTGATGAGTCTGATGATGGTGAGGATGATGATGATGACAAGGATGAAATGGAAGATGATGACAATGAGAATCAAGTCAGAAAGAGAAGAGGTTTATCAATGCTCATGAATGACGAGAATGACGATGAGATTTATGCCAACGCTCTCAACAAGGCAAGCTCAACCAAGAAGGAAAATGTTATTTATGATGACGACGATGAAGAATCACATGAAGAATCATTGCCTCGTCGAGGACAATCCAGTGCCACAGATGATGACTCTGATTCTGAATATTTTGAACCCAAAAAGTTGAAAATGAATCAAGCAACGGGTCAGTTTGAGGTGGAAGTCGATGAAGATTCACTCTCTGACTTGGAAGATGAAACAAATGATATGGGACAAGCCTCCAATAAGTGGAAAGAAACTATGGAAGAACGAGCAGCGAGTGCATTCTATGATGTTGGTGTCAGCTTGCAAGAATTGGTTTATGAGAACAATGAAGAGCAAGATGAAGAACAAGACGATCATGAAATGGATGAACCAACTCAACAAGACTCTGATGATTTAGATTCCATTTTCAACTTTAAGAAGCAAATTACCGATAAGAAAAAGAAGATTAGTGTCAATCGATTAAAGATTGATTACGTAGATCGATCACGAACACAGTTAGAACCAACAGAAATTAAGCATGATTGGGACGATGCTGAATTCAGAGAGACGATCAGAAACAAATTCGTTACTGGAGATTGGGCTCAAAGAAGAAGCGCCAAAGAGAATTCAACAAATCAAGACAACATGAATCTTGATGAGGACAGTGGTGAAGACCATGAACTCAATGATGAAGACCACCATCTCATGGAAGACGATGATCATGTAGAAGAATCGATCAAGAAAATTCTGTAGCCTCAGAATTGGAGAGAAAGAGAATGGAAAAGAAAAAAGCGTTCGACGCTCAATTTGATGACAAGAAGACGACTACTGCCAAGTCGCAAGCAAATGGTGGTGATGCGGAAGAAGAAGATGATCCAATTACTTCTATTGAAAAACTTAAAAAGAAACTTCGTGAAGATGATCCTCAAACCATTTTGAACAAGACAGAATTTGAAAACCTCTCTCGAGAACAACGTGAAGAGATTGAGGGTATGTCTCCAGGAACCTATGTGAGATTAGAATTGGAAGGATTTCCATGTGAATTTATTGAAAATGTCAATTTTAAAAATCCAATTATTGTTGGAGCCATGCATGCTGAAGAATGTCGAATGGGTCTAATCAAGATGAGACTCAAACGACACAGATGGTATCCTAAAACTCTCAAGAATAGAGATCCTCTAGTGTTTAGTATTGGATGGCGAAGATTCCAGTCCATTCCTACGTATTGCATGCAAGACGATAATGGCAGACATCGACAAATCAAATATACACCCGAGTACATGCATTGCATTGCTGCCATTTATGGTCCTTTCATTCCACAAAATACAGGTGTTATTGCATTCCAAACACTGAGTGAGAAAGTGGATACATTTAGAGTGTCTGCCACAGGTTATGTGATGGAAATGGATCAAGACTTTTCCATAGTTAAAAAGTTGAAATTGGTTGGTTATCCTAAAATCATTCACAAGAACACTTGTATCATTACAAAAATGTTTAGTAGTGAGTTAGAAGTTGCCAAATATGAAGGTGCTGCTTTGAGAACAGTGAGTGGATTGAGAGGTAGTGTGAAAAAGCCATTCCGAGGTGAAAAAGCTTCACCTGGTGATTTTAGAGCAACATTTGAGGATAAGCTTATACGTGGAGATATTGTTTTTTTACGATGTTGGTACGCGATTGAAATTGAACGCTTCTATAACCCCGTATTCAATCATCTCTCTAAGAAATGGTATGGAATGAGAACTGTTTCTCAACTTCGTAAATTGAAGCACCTTCCAGTACCTGTGAAAGACGACTCTCTTTACAAACCAATTACTTCACGATCTACTGCTGGACATGATGCTCACTTTAATCCAAAACCAAAATTACTCAAACAATTACCATTCACAGAGCAAAGAAAGAAGGTGGTTCAAGTCACGGGTTTAACCGATGACTTGACTCAATACATTGCTGAGGATGCACCAATTCATGAATTAACCACTGCATTGATGAGTGATAAAGAAGTAGAACGAGCAAATATGCTTCGTAAACTCAAAGCCATCAACGCAGAGAGAGTGAAAAAGAATCGAGTGCAAGAAATGAAACTCAAGATGAAACAAATGAAATATCAAGTACAAGAAGAGAGAGCCAAGACCAGAGTCAGAAGAGATAATATGAAAAGAAGGGCAGTGATGAAAGAAATTAGTAGAGTGAAGAAAGCCAAATATTATGTCAAGGAAGGAGAAGAAGAATAAATTGGCCAATTTATTGATGTTGTTGACCTTAATATTTTAATCCAAGTATGGAATTGAACTTCTCTTCCGCGGCCTGACTATGTACTTCTTATAGTCGCTACTGAATTTCCGATCACATACTCAATCGCCTTCATTCAATGTTCTACGATTCCCTCCCTCCAAAACTTTCAGTTTTAAAAAAATTTAAAAAAATCTTGCTTCAGCAACACATGTCCATCCTCAATCATGAAATGACAGGACAAAGCAATCAACAAAAGAAAACAAATAGACTAAACTATTCGGATGCATGGTTCAATGGGAAATTGAACGAGCACCATGTTTCCTCTCAACAACCCCCAATCCGACGACAATCAAGAGGTGTTGAAGAGATAACTGATGAAATTTATTCGGAACCATCAGTGGAAGAGCTATCAGACGATCAGCAGCACCATAACCTGTCCAAATTGAACGAGAGTTATAGAGAGTTGGCAAACTCTTACAAAATACCGGGTATGGACATTCTCAACAATGCGATGAGCTCGTCTTTTCGGAACATTGGTAATATTGAGGGGGTGTACGGGAATGACATATCCATGGTTTTCGGTCAAAAGAAATCCTCACAAAAAGGTGTCATCAAAGTTGTAGCGAGAGTAAGACCTCTCAACAAATCGAGTTATTTGGTGTCAGACGAAAACAAAATTTTAGAAATTGGTGAAGATCGAAAAAGCATGCTCGTTGGAAAGTATTTGGGAAAAAACTCGAATGACGATTTCAGAACCAATCTTCAATTTACTTTTGATAGAGTTTTTGATGAATATGCTAATCAAGAATTATTCTATCATAGCTGTGGTTATCCATTGTTTAAAAGTTTTGCAAGTGGCGTGAATGGAAATGTAATTTTATATGGTCAAACAAGATCTGGAAAAAGTTACACGTTGGAAGGTCTTCTTGATGAAGAACGAAGAGGCTTAGTTCCAAGATTTGTAGAAGACACTTTTAAATTTATGAATACGTATAGTCATGGGCAAGGTGCTTTAAATGCCAAGTTTGTCTTCTCAGTTTCATTTCTTCAAATTTACAACGATGTTGTGACTGATTTGCTCTCAAGTCAACCCAAAAATTTAAAAATTGTTGAAGACAAAAGCAAAACAGATGGCAGAACGTGTACTTCTGTGGTTGGGCTTCGGAGGCAAATATTGAAAGATCCCAAAGATATTTACACCATTTTGAAATATGCAAAACAAAACAGAACTGCTCTTCCATCGGGATTGAAACCACCAGACCTTCATGCCAGAAGTCATACCATTCTTTCTCTTCATCTTGAACAAACATGGCCACAATTAATTTCAGCAACAACATCTTCGGTTGATGTTCAAACACAAAATATATGCAGGTATGGCTATTTACAATTAATGTATCACAAGTACACTTTTTAACACTTTTTAATAATTTTAAAAAGTCAAATCAGTTTTGTGGAATTGGCAGGTTCGGAGAAAGCAAGAGATTTTTCTCAACTCATATCGAGTAGTGCTTCATCGACGAATGAAGAGGGATCGAAAATAGCAAGAACATTCAATGCTCTATCCTCTGTGATGACCTCCTTAGGAAAAGTGATCGTACAACATACTAGTTCAGATCAAACAACCACATCCATGCAAGAAGCAATAGAATATAGCGCCTTAAATTTGAGTGTCAATTCAACAATAGTCAACAACAAAATTCATATACCTTATCGAGATTCCAAACTTACTCACATTTTAAGAGACACTTTACGAGGTAAGCTATCTTGTTTGATTCATGTTTGTGTTCATTGATGTTGGTGGGTGTCAGAGGATTCTATCACGTTGGTTGTGTCATGTCTCTACCCAATTCCTGAAAATTATAGTGAAATTTTAATGACTGCAAAATATTGCTCCAGACTGAAACAAAGTGTTTACTCTCCAAGTTGTGGTGAAAATGTTCCATCTTCACCCACGAAAGAACACGTGTCCTCCTCTCCGATAAAACCAAAACTCAATTCATCACACTACGAAGGAACACCAAGGAAGGTTTCATTTGGAGAAACCGATGAAGAACCACGTAAGGACACAACACCTGCATTCCCAAAGCAAGCCACAACCACAATGAAAAATTCATTGATTGCAGATAGTTATATCGAGAGTGATGATCAAAGACAATGTCTCAATGAGAAGGAAAGACTTAAAAAAGAAAATGAAGAACTCAGAAGCATTGTGAATATTGACTCAATGACAAGAAGAAATGTGCAAAAGAATTTAGAGCATTTGGAAAAAGAAATGACTCGTGCCGACGAGGAAAGAAAAGCTCTTCGAGAACGAGTCACTGAATTGACACAAAAAGCAAAAGAATATGCTGAAAAAAATACATCATTACAAGAGACACTTGTCAACACAAAACAACAAGTTGAAAATCTCATGAAACTAAAAGAAACAATGGAAGAGGAGATGGATCGTAGTCGAGAGTTTATTAGCCAGCTTTCAATTGAAAATTCCAAACTCAATGAACAACTCATTAATCAGGCTGTTATTCATGAAACTGCAATATCCAAATCAGCAACAAGTCAAATTGATATTTTGGAAAAGGAAAATTATCAATTGAAACAAGATATACTCAGACTTCACAAAACAAATTCTTTGAACGAGTCTAAGGCCATTGCTGATCTTGAAAACTCGATGAACAATTTATTAGAAGAATTGCAACAGAAAAATCTCAAAACAATACGTTATCCAAGGAGCTTGCCGAATCCAAGTGCCTTATTGAAGAACAACAACAAGTACTGAAATCTCTCGAGGAAGAAAAAGATCGAATGATGTGTTTGATGAACTCTTTGAACGAAGAAAAAATTAAATCCAGTGAAGAGCATCATGATCAATTGAGTGAGCTGCAAGGATTCATTCAAGAACATGAAAAATCAATGGAAAGAAAAGTGGCTGAAATTACACGAAACAAAGAGACCATCAAAAATTTACACCTTGAAATGGACAAGATGAAAGATGTCATCTCAGTCTTACTGATGAAAAACAACAATTAGAAATGAACGCCATACAAGAAAGAAATGAGCAACGAAATCAAATAGAACAACTAGTGAGAGCAAACCAAGAATTGAAACATCATCTCGATGTATCCAAACAAGAAGTACAAAATTACTTACAGGACATCCAACGAATGGAAAATCAAATCAAGGTCATACCAACTCTCGAGACAGAGTTAATTAAAAAAGAAGAATCCATCAAAATACTTCAAAGAGAAGTCGAGTTTGGAAAGAGCATGTCAGAAAAAACAGTGAATGATCTTAAAGAGAGTGTCAAGAAGGAACTCTCTTCCAAGTCAGAGCTCGTGACAAAACTGAATATCATCTCCAACGAAAAACTCGACATGGAAATGATGATCAACAAGTTACAATCTCAAAATAACATAATTCTAAAGGAAAATGAAGAACAATCGATCAAGTTAAAGGACTTGACAGAGGAGTTGATGCAAATGACCATTGAAAAGAATCGATTGGAATCAGATCTCAAAACATCAAACACAGTGTTAAGGGATCAATTATTTGACTCGAAGAAACAACACGAAACAGATACTCACCACTTCAAGGAGCAAATTAAAGCACTCGAAGCTAAAATATACTCTCTGAAGGAATATAATAATAGTAGAACTATTCAATTAGAGGAGGCACTCCTTACCAAGAAGAAGATGGAAGAACAATTACTAGTCATTCAAAAGAAATATGGAACATTTGACACGGCTTCGTTAGAAACAGAATTGGAAAAACGAGTGAAACAAGTTTACGACTCTCTCATCTGGAGAAATTGCTTGTTCAGAAGGAGTCTGATCTTCAAGTATGTACCACTGAAATGGAACAACGGAATTTGGAAAATGAAAAGTTAAAGAAAGAGATTCATGAGCATAGGATTGAAATTCAAACCTTAAAGAACAAATTGGAAGAGAATGAATACTCACTGAGTTCCATCAAGTCGAATCTGGAACATTGTATCGATGAGAGAAAACGATTAAGAGAAGAGAATCAGGTTTTATTATCACATAATAGTAAGAAAGAAGATGTCATTCGTAAACTACGACAAGATTTACAAGTACTATCGATGGAAAAAGAATCCATCCTTACAGAAAAGGAAAATCTACAATTGGTTCTAAAGAGAACTCTAGAATCTGGAAGCTGTGTTCAAGATGATCTTTCTCAGGCAAAACTTGAAATGATGGATTTGAGAAGAGAGCGTGATGACATGGAAATTAAGCTCTTGGGATGTGAACAAAAGATTTCTAGTCTTGAAGAAGAACTTCAAAACAAGGCCTTATTGATTTCTGATTTGAGAAATAATAATGAACTTGTGCGAAAGGAAAATGTCATTAACAAATTAGAAGAGAACTTGAAAAAACAACTGGAAGAGAATCGAGTGAATCAAGTAGAAATAACCAAATTGAGAACAGAGATCATCTCTACCAAAGAAAATATGAGATTAGAATTGAATGAGGTAGAGAACAAGGCAAACCAATTCAAAAAGTTGTACAGTGAAACTTTGACCGAGCTTGAGAGTTCTAGAAAGGAATTTGCTCATATTTATGAACAAAATCAATTATTGAATGAAGAAATGATCACTTTCAAGAACGACCTTAATGAAAAGACCATCCTGTTGAAACGAGCGAAGGAAATATCAAGCTCCACAGAAGAAGCATTCACTGAAAAAACAAGACAAATGGATGCACTTGTGCAATCGATTGAGAATGGTGAAAAGAAGTTAAGAGAATACATTGACAAGAATGCTCTTCTGCAAAACACCATTGATCATCTCGAGAAACAAATTGGCAGATATCAACAAGAGTTATCAAACTCAAAAGAAGATTTAGAAAGAAAGATGGGAGAGTACAATCATTTGGCATTGCAAACGAAATTGCAACAAGTCGAATTGGAGAATCTCAAAAAGAATATTGAGACTACCAATGAACGAATGGAACAGTTGGAAAAAGAAAACAAAGAAATCTTGATGGAAAAAGAATCACTTGTCACCTCCTATGCACAAGCTCAAAAAGAAACAAATTCTATACAACAAAATGTCTCAGAAATGAATCAAAGGATTTCCGAGTATAGAGAACAAACAAAAGAAATGGCTGAGCAAATTCAAAAAGACCAAGATGAACGAGAAATATTTATTTCAAGAATGAAAAGATTCGAGAGAACCATCAACGTTCTAACATCTGAGAAAGAAGCGATCGAAAAACAAGTGCAATCACTAGCAAACCAAATCACAGAAAAGTCCTCCATGTTGGATTATCAGGAACAACGATTGAGGCAAACAACAGAAGAACTTGAACGATTGCAATCGGAAAATAATTCTATTAGAATGGTAAACAACGACTTGAAGGGACAAATTGTAAAGCTGAATGAAGAAAAACGTAAATTTATCAGAACCATCACTGAATACGAGACGGAATTGGACAGAGTTAGAAAAGCTCATGACAAAACTAGCAAAGAGCTCAAAGAAATGCTATCTGACTTTGTTTTCCACAACAGGTAACTCGAAACAACACGGGTGATCCCGCAGAAAGATACTTTTGCAAGCCACAAGCCATTGTACGCAAAAATTACGTATGGTTGAACTGAGAGCAAGCAATCTAACAAGGAATTTGGATCAAGCAAATAAAATGACTGAACCTAACCGTGACGATAACACAAACACTGAAGATAATGACAATTCTTCCTATTGTTCAACCGAAAATTATCAAGAGTTAGGATATGAACCTATCAATGACTTTTGTGATGGTGATGATGAAAATTATTTTGAAGCCGATTTTTCCGAACATAATTTTGAAGAGGGTGTTGATCAATCAAAAGAATTAACTTTTGAAAATTTTGATGATGATTTTGAGAAAGCACTGTCTTTTGTGTTACAAAATACATTGTCAAATGAACCTAAGAATATCACAACAATTAAAAAGAAGAAAATTAAAATTACCCTTGGAGAAAAGGACCCATCACAAAAAATTAAATACATTTCACACGACGAAGAAACACTGATAGAGCGTCACACAACAGATGTAACGCCTGAACAGCCGCCAATTTCAAATGATATTGAAATGAATAAGGAGTCGGTGGAATCTATTAAGAATATTATTAGAGATTTAAATTTCACGCCCACAAAGCCAGCATCTTGGTTTTCTGAAGACGATTGGTTGGTCAAGTTAAAGAACATTAAAGACAATCAATAATTATTCCGTATTTATATTTGGAGGATTATAATTATGAAATTGTACGTCTTTTTTAGCTTTGGTTGCTTGAAAATTGATAAGAGATGAAGAAAATTGTGAAGATTTCCTTTTCTTCTCTTTGGGTGGTGCAGTTGGGTCGTTCTCTGAGTTTTCTTTTTTAGACTTGGTCGGCCGTTTTTTCTTTTCCTTTGTTTTTGTGACCTTAGGCTTGGTGTTTTGTGGGGGGCTTGAAGAAGAGGCAACTTTTGTTGACTCAATCTCATTTGAACCTGTGTGAGAGGGCAGTGCAGCAGGAGGAAGCAACTGCACCCTTGGAGTAGGTTTACTCAAAAGCGAGCTGCAGGAAGTTGGTATATTGTTTCCCAGCAACAATTGGGTGAAGGAATTTGTGTCAGATGATGAGTTTTCTATTGAAGTTGGCATTGGAGTCGTAACCACTTGTTGAGGTTGATGTAACCAGGGGTCACCAGAAGTAAGAGATGGTTTGTTAAGTCCCGATAGACTTTGATAGGTGCTTAATGGATTTTGTTGTTTTACCTCAATGCAGTTCGAGCTTAAGTTTGTTAACAGCATGTTGATATTGAATTCTTCTATGCTTCTAAAACGTGAATAACCTTCCATAAGCAAGTCCTCCATCGTCTCTTCTACTAGTTCTGCTCTCCATGAAGGTGTTTGAGGCTGGGCAGTTGCGTTCAAGGGTCTTGAGTACAGGTTGAATGCAGAAGAAAGGCGAGAGGCTTCCAAAGGCGGAGTAGAGGATCTGATTTGCGCTAATGATGAGGATGGGACATTGAAAGAAGAGCTACTCGGAGAGGTTCGCAGAGAACCTTGTTGGGTGGTGTTTGCCAGTATTTTGGGATCAAACACAAGCTGTTGTTGAGAAGGGACAGATGATGATGATAATGGTTTTCCATAGACTAGCGCATTATGAGGAACAGTTAATGGAGGCACTTGATGTTGCTGCTTCGTCTTTGGTTGTTGTTGATCATGATGATAGGATAAGAAATTCATCAATATGTTTCGTTTCTTGTTTTGGCAAACCCTAGATTGTACCAGTGAGGACTAAATGAAAGATAACACTCGCAATATATGATTTGATGAGAATGATATCAGCAATATTAAGAAAAAATTAATGCTACTCTGTGCGAGATCGTTATAGCCTTGATGATGTTGATGAGCGTATGGTTTGTTATCGCGATATTTTATTATTAAAGTTGGCCATAAAAGTTTTGTTCAATTTACTTTTTAGGTGCAGTATCAATGAGTGACTTGGCGTTTTTGTCTGACTGGAAAAACATAGTGCTATAGGCCAGATGAGAATGCATTGTTGTGATGGAAAGTGGCATGCCGTGTTTTTATTGACTTTCGCCTTTAGAACTTCTTGTTTTGTCAAACAAATCTTTCAATTTAAGCATTCCTTCGTCAGACGATAATTCCTTAGATTCCAATTCTTTGTGTTGTTTTAAGGCTTCTTCCCCTCTTATGAATTTAATAATTACATCCTTAAATTCTTTGGTGGTTTTAATGTCAAAAATAAAATATAACATTGCAATAAATACTACAGCACCAACAATGTTAATTAACGTTCCATACATTAAGGCAAGGGATGCTAATTTGTATGCCAAAAGTTTTGCCTTTGCTTGTTCTTCAGGTGTTAAAACAGGAACATTGGATGTCGGTGTTTCATCTTCGTCTCTTCTCTTTTTAAAACCGAAACTACTTCCAGAAGCTCTAAATATCATGGACATGGCTTGTTTTCCTGCATAGAGTTCAGATTCTAGTTCTTTAATCCTTTGCAATTCTTCTTCCATACTTGTTGGTTCTTGATTATTTGATGAATTGTTGGATTGTTCCGATTGTTGTATTGTTGTTGATAATGTTTCTGGTGTTGATGTTATTTGCGGTTGGGCATTCTCCGATCCTAAATTTTGATTTGTATTTCTTTGTGTTAATATTTCGGAATTGGATTGTATCGTGGAGGATGAGTGAAAATTTCTTCGGATATTAATAATGTTTTGAATTTGACATGCTAATCGTGTCGTTTTGTGAGTGTGCGTGCACAAGTATCTTGTCAACATTTTTTTGAAAAATGGTGTGATGTCGTTGGTTGGATTTTGTAAAATTTAAAAAAATGTTTTTACTCAGAAGAGGAGCTGAATCTCAAAACACAAATGAAAAGAACAACAGATCATCAAATAACGAATATTTTCTTAATTTTAATAACACGGGTTCATCATCTGTAATGAGAACGGCAACTGCCGCTACAACCCAAGGCTTGCAAAAATTCTTTCATCTAAAGGAGTCGGAAGAAGCAGCCGACATTAATGAGATCATTACAGAGCACGAGTTTAAACAAATTGTGAATTTTAGAAGATTGTTTGAGCATATTAAACGAACAGAAGACACTGTTCAGGGAGAAAACGTGAAAATTCAAAAATTATTAATATTTTGTGAAGACGCAGAAAAGTTATTAATTGCCATGGAAGAGCCTTTTATTAAAGCCTATGGAGTGGATGCATACAATCAAATAGAAGAAGAGTTTCATATGGTCTCTAAAAGAATACGTACCAATCATAAAGAGGATGTTTCAACAAAGTATCACACAAAAAGTTCTAATAGTTTCAGCCAACTTCCAGACATTGAATCTATCATGACTTGTACAAGCAATATCCAAAAGCAATTACTTGATCAGAGAAGAAATGAATCTTCACTAATAGAAGAGTATGGAGAGCTACTTGAAGAGGTTGAAGAAACAACAATTGATGAAGACGTTGAGGACCAAGACAAAACAACAGAAGAATTGTCAAAATTAACTTCAATGCTCAAGCAGAAAGCAATTGAAGTGAATCAAGCAATTCAAACTGATGTAAATATGATGAAAAGAAGTAGTGTTATTTTGGAAAAGAATAAGAGTGCTCTTGAAACAGCTCAGCAACGATTAGACTTGCAGATCGACACAGCCAAGTCATATTTGTATTCTCATATGGTATTCCTTATTGTTGTAATTGTATCATTTCTGGCCATGATTGTGATCATTTCTATATTTCCTCGTCTTGTGTAAAATAAAATTGTACACACGGCCAAATAATAAGATCAATTTCTTCTTGCTCAAAGTTAAATCAAACAGAATCTTTGTTAAATTCCACAAAAAAATGTCTTTGCTCCTTCAACATCGCTACCACCATCAAGCACTCCCAACCACATCATTGACATCGGGCTGGATTACAAAATTATTTTCTAATATTCGTTCCACACGTTTAATAGCTTCCGATCAGCCCATTCTTCAAATCATTGATCATCCACAACTCTATTCCGATAGTGTTCATTATTTTGTAACAGTGAGCGATGGAATTCATTCCTTGCCAATAATTATTCAAATATCGGGTTTTAGTTTCAATATCAAGTACAAGGATTGTATTAAATTATTGAATGGATATATTGTTAGCGATCTTCGTCAACATCAAAGAAGGTACGTAACCTTTGACAACACTTGACAATGAACTATTGAAACTTGATGTTCAGAACCATCAAAGTAACTGCATTCCAAGTCATTTCAACCAATGAACAAACTATTCATGGATTTCCAAAACCATTTTCACAAAATGCGCCTGTAGAAGAGAGCACATCTTGGTATCATGTGAAATTAGATCCACCTGTGAAAGAAGCTATCTTGAGTTTAGAGTTTAGCCCTTCCGTTAAGAATTTATTTTGTGTCTCCTCATTGGATCAACGAGTATGTATTTGTTCATAATTGTCAAACATGTAATATGTGAAATTGAATGGTCGACACATAGACCTATTTCGGAAGAATTACTCAAGATGAAGTACAAACTGATCAGAAACCGTTCCATGTCGAGCTGATGAATTACACACACCCCGATCCTGTACTCAACGCAACGATGAGTGTAGACAATTTTGTGTATTCATCGTGTATTCATGAAGGACAAAGTGGTTCTCTTTTTAAAATTGATTTTGAACAATCACAACTCATTTCAAAAACTCCTTCAAAATCACCAATTTTTAAATCAAAATATTCTTCGGAAATGAATGCCTTAGTTGGATGTTCTTGGATGGAGAAGTGATATTCCTCGATGATAGAACCTGTCGGTTAGAAAATTACACTGTTGTGGGACAACCTGTTCTGTACATGGACTTTGTATTTCCACACATGATTATTTTAACAAAATCTTGTTTTTACATCTATGACGTGAGAAATAGAAAGAATGTAGATTCAGTACTTACTGACCTTACCGAAATTTCTTCTTGCGTTTCATGGCATCCCTTACTTGACACAGTAATGATTGGTACTACAAGTGGAAAAGTCATGTTCTACTCAACTGAGAAATCCAAGAATTCAGTAACACAATATGTACCGCATACACAGGAACTGACATCTCATGCTGTGAATAGTATTACCATTCCATATAAGAATGTTTGGCCAGATGGATCCATCATAACAACAGCAGCTAATGGAGTGTCTTCTGTGTGGAATTACAAGACCTGTCGTAAAATTTATGACATTTCCACTAACGAGCCACTTGGAAATTCATGTGGAGCGTTGAACGAAGATCATTCTATATTTGCATTTGCAGTTACGGATAGATTAGTCAATCCAGCAGCGATCAATGTGAGTCTAGATTCGAGTCTTGTCTTTTATCCTGTTTCTAAATATTTATCAGAAATTGACAATGAATCAGAAGAAGACGTGTTGGTAAAACCATTTTTGGACTCAATTAGTTCAGAGCAACCACTGAAGACAAACACTTTGAAATTTGTGGAAAAGGTATTTTCGAGTATGGATTATCACAAGAAACCAAGACAACCAAGCTATCTTTCCTATTTGAGATTGAAAAAAGCAGCTAAACACAACCATTCTGAAAAGATGTATTTTTCTAATTTCCATGATTTACCGAGTGAATTAATTGGAAACATACTCGAGTATTTACAAGCCACTTCTCTGCCTCTGTTGTCCGTAGTAAGCAAACAATTTAGAGAATGTATTTTTGAAAGATTGAATACTTTGATTATTGATTCCCCAATGCATGACAAGTTTTATACAAGTTTTTTACCAGAATTTATGAATGTTCAGCATTTAATATTCAAAGGCGTTGCAGTGCAGGATGTCTCTTTATTGATTTCACAAGTCAGGAACAAGGTTGAGAAATTGACATTAATTTTACCGACAACAGATGTGCTTGCTCCAGGTATTAACATTGAGAATTTATTGGTATGGAACAATCTCTCGGAATTAGTCATTTATCACTCGCGACGTTTGCTGGTACGAAACAAAACAGTACCATTAGAAAATTGAAAAAACTGCATCTGATCAATTGTGTGTGTGATTTTACTTCGCTATTTGAATTGATTGATGTTTCTTCATTGATTGATGTGAACATTAGCGGATCTAGTTTACCATACAATCAATTGATGTATACACAAGAGACTTCTTTGAAAAAGTTGGTGTTGAGTGGTGGATTGAATCTTTCAGATTTGCAAGACTTGTTGAATTGTCACAAAAATGTTGAAACATTGCAAATGACAAACATGAAAGAACGTTTCTCTCCTACATTAACTCTTCCAACAAAATTGAGATACTTGAATATCAGCAATAATCTGAACCTTCCACAGATCAAGCTACCATTCCTAACACAACTCATCATTGATCATGCTCCTTTCGACCAAAAGCAACTTGGTGAAATATTAGAACATTGTCCAAATTTATTGTTTATTTCTGCCAAGTATTGTAAATTACTTGAGGTGGTGGATATGAGACATCGAAATTTAACTACCATTTCTCTCTTTGGATGTGTTGAGTTGAAGAGTTGCACTATTTATTGTCCCAAATTAGCTTTTTTGAATATTGGAAAGACATCTCTCACTGATGAGACCGTAGCTAATATTTTGAAGAACAACGATGCGTTGAAACAATTACACACTTCCTATTGCACCAATTTGGTAGATCCATTCAATACAGTTACTAGCCATCGCTCACTCATGATTTGGAATGTTGGCTCATGTGGACTCAGCGATACAGCGCTCTTGAACGCACTTCAAAAAGTTCCAACTTTACAAATTATGAAAAATTAATTTATACTTTGAATGTTTGGAAAATATTTTCCTTATTGACCTCCATAGAAAGAGGAGACACTACAAGAGCCCCCTCAACTGGTGATATAGGTGCTTTTGAATTGGTAATTACAATATTTCCTTTCTTGAGTTTTTCAAGTTCTCTCTTCTCTTTTTCCAATTGCTTTTCCATTTCCTCAAGCTTTTCTTCCTTCTTCCTTACAAATAGTTCTCTCTTTTCAAGAGCCTTCTCTTTATCCTTTAGAATTTTGTACATTTGTTGAAGATGAGCTTCCATGAGTGGATACTTCATGATGGTTGAGTCACAAATTTCTGCAATGGAAATTCTTTTTTCGGGCTTTGGAATACGATGCAACGGTTGGTTGTTAAGAAGATCAATTTGTTTTGGATTGAATTTTGAAATCATGAAAACGAGACAACTTACATTGATACGAAGCATGCTTGCAATTAATTCTGATAATTCTCGACTGTATTGAGAAGGAATTGGATCATACTTTCCTGCTAGAATCTTCTTTTCTAACAACACTCCATTTGGAGCCTTGAATGGAGGTTCTAGAGCACACAATTCATAGAGCATGCAACCCAATGACCAAATGTCACAACTTTCATTATAACCCTGGTCAGAAACATGTTCAGAAAGCAATTCTGGACTCATGTAATAAGGAGTGCCTAATTTTGTGTGTGCCAACTTGGTATTATCAGAAAGCATTCTTGCCAAGCCAAAATCACCCAACTGAAGTGAATTCAAACGTGTGTTACACTCTCCTAGTCAATGGAAATATTTAACAATACTTACTTTGGCATTCAAATTTTATCCAAAAGAATATTGGCTGGTTTCTATTGTAAGAAAGAAATGATTCAATCATTAGTAGGCAACATGCACGTGTAGAAATTCATGAACCTACCAAATCTCGATGGATAATCTTTCCTCCCTTTCTCAAATGACATTCTTTTAAGGCAGAACAAATTTCAGAGAATATTTTGAGAACGGTGGCTTCATCAATGTATTCCTTCCTCTTTTTCAAAGATGCAATGAATTGAGACAAATCACCACCTTCACAACATTCCATGACAATGTACAATTTTTTCCTAGCCCTATCAAGCACTCGATTATGATACTTGACGATATGGGGATGATCCAATCCTCGTAAAATATTTACTTCTGTTGTGGAAGTGAGCGTTACACATATCCATCATCATCATCAAAATACATACCAGATACGATGAGTTGTTTTTCCTTTTCGCTCATTTTGGAATAATCAATTTCCTTCCACACGTATAACTGTTGATCCTTCTTCGATCGAACTTTCATCACCTTACCAAAGCTTCCCGATCCAAGCTGCTCAACAATTTCAAAGTCTGTTAATTCGGTCATGTTGGGAGTGTTGTTATTCAATTTTTTTTATTTTCAAAAATTGTTTAAGCTCAAATTAAGGCGCCAGGTTTGAAGTGTAACGGTTATTTATGCTGACGCTGGCGTTCAAGGTGTTGAGAAATTTTGTGTGCAACGTATTGTCTGGAAAGCGAAGCGCCCCTTTTCCATTCACTGAGCGTATTGTGAAGATGCTTTACGAAAATAGTGAATAACTGGCTCTTGACAACACTTTTTGCTACTTACTTCGGTAAAAGAGGATGATCCATCCATGTACTTTAAAAATGTAGAATTGGTAAATATTGCATCCAACAGTTGAATATATGGTTTGTCTTTTTCAACAAGGTCTATCTCTTGTACGGAAGATACACTAGCAAGTTTGCTAGTAGCGAATTCTACGTTCGACGCAAAAACTTCGAGAATGTCAAAAGGTTCTTTACAACCGTTTTTCCATTGGAAACAAACATGACTACTTTTTCTTCTTGTTGATTCAAAATGAGATAACTCAAGTTATCGATTATTTGAGGATGTTGATTAAAATGTTTGACAAATGATGTGAGAGTAGTTGCAGCAAGCTTTGACAAGTTATTCTCTACTTCTTCATTCGCTTTTTGTTGATAAATAGTGGTAATTCTGTCTGTAAGTTGAGCAGTACTCAGCAATTCCAGTAAACATTTTACAGTTTCTAAATTTCCAAATTCCTCAATGTACGTGCCAGTAGATGCAACGTTGATCGTTGTTCTTAAGGTGGAGATGATGTTCTCCAAATGAGTTCTATGAGTCATCTTCTTGTGATCGTCATAAATTGACAAGAACAGTTGTGAGATAAATTCGTCGTCACGAAAATAATAAATCAGAGAATCTTTGAGAGCTCCTTCAATCTCTGGTGCCCACTGTTGTGAATCATGATATATAAGCTCGAGAAAAATTGAGACCACGATGAAAACATACCAACCAATTGATGTGATACAAGGTGATGGAGAAAAACAAAATGGAAAATAGGCCTACCCATTTCACAAATTCCCTCGTTCTTTCCTTACTTCTAGTCTTCATCATGGTTACATATTCTTGATGTTTTTGCTCGTGTTGTAATCTTTTCTTATCAAAGAGTGATTGAAGTTGTTGTTCTGAGATGGGTTGTTTCGCTTGTCTAGCAGTCAAAGACATTAGAAATGATCGGAATTGATCATTCATGATGCTCACGGTTCCGAATGGATGTCCTCGTGTATTGAAACTTGAAGAAACACTGATGAATTTGAATCGAGTAGTACGTCTGAATACACACGGAGCCTCTCTTGAGAGAAGCACTGTTACTCTCGATAAAGTAATCATGGAGAATGAGACGTAATTCTTTGTGATTGAATTTCGGAGAGAAGCGGTGAAAATAATAAAAAAGGTCCAAAGTTTGCACGCCTTGACAATATAAAAAGCCGAATGTCGTGTTCGAATAATAATTTCATCGAATTTATCTGATTCAGTCATAAATTAAAATCATCCCTTCTCATGAATACATACTCTAAAATCGAGATTGAATAATTTTGCTGTATTGAGCAGGTGTTTTTGTGTTGATGGTTAATCCATGCATGTTTTGAATATCCTTTTTCAACACTTCCATCACCATTTTGTGTTGTTTAACTAAAGAATGTCCTTCAAATTTCTTGGAAACAACCAAGATGTCAAACATTGCTCCACATCCTCCCGAAATATCATTTACTTTAATGACTGTTGAGTCAGTATCAGAACCTTCCTCACTGAAATACTTGTGCAATATTTGTGCTAAATCTTGCTCCGTTCTTTTAACTTCGGAAAAAGAAATTGAATTTGTATGAAATTCTCTTCTGTTATTTTCAAAAATTATTGGTGAATGATTGAATGAAAAATGTGAAGGCTTGTTTGTTGTTGGGAGAGTGAAACGACTATTTGAAAATAATGGACGAGAAGATGATGATCCAAGTACGGAAAGGAATCTTTTGAGTTGGAGTGATTTCATTTTTTTGAAAGTGTTTTAGTATGTCATCCGAATTCCGAAATCTCAATATATCAACATGGCAAAAGGACTACAACAGAGACATCGGCTTGTTTTGAGTTTTACTGTAGTAACCAAACAATTCATGCTCTCCTTGTACTCTTCGATGATTGTAAAATCAAGCTCTCAAAAAAAATACGAGATTATTTTCACAGGATGAGCAGTAGCACCATTTCTACAAAAACCTCCTGTGGTGATGATCCGATGGTCATCGTCGGTTCATCAAAATCGTCGACGCGTCGTCATCATGGAAATTCTCTGTCATCCTTTCATCGAATCATTTTCCATCTTTTTGTAATTTTATTGATCCATTCATTTGTGTCGAGTCGTCATCGATTCCATCCTCCACTCGTTCCATTCCTTCAACAACAACAACAACAACAATAACAACAACAAATAATTCTTCTTCAACCTCTTTCTCAACAAAATCAACAACAGCCTATGTACCAGTATTTATCATGATGCCACTCAATACTGTCAACAATGATGGTTCACTCAATAATCCTTCTCAAATTAGAGCTAATTTACAAAAAGTGAAAAGTGTTGGCACGGATGGAATTATGATCGATGTATGGTGGGGAATTTGTGAACAAAAATCTCCACAATCCTATAATTTCACAGCCTATCAACAATTATTTACCATGTGCCAACAAATTGGTTTAAAAGTAGAACCTGTCATGTCTTTCCATCAATGTGGTACTAATATTGGAGATGCTGCTTATATTCCACTACCAAATTGGGTATTACAAGTGGGTCAATGGAATCCAGATATTTTCTATACGGATCAGAATGGTCACAGAGATCGAGAATATTTATCATTGGGTGTGGATAATGTTGCAATCTTTCCAACAAGTGTTCCTGGAAAGAATAGAACAGCAGTAGATATCTATTCTGATTTTATGACTGCTTTTAGAAATACTTTTTCAAGTTTTATTCAAAGTGGTGTTATTGACGTGATTGAAATTGGATTAGGACCTGCTGGTGAAATGAGATATCCATCTTATCAATTACAAAATAATTTATGGAGTTTTCCTGGAATTGGAGCTTTTCAATGGTATGTTTTTTTTCAATCACAAACATGGCATCAATATTTGTTTTTTATCGATACATGTCATATAAACATTGGTTGTTCCAATATAATATGGAATCAAAACCATATGTATGCTTTAAATGGATCATCGTGGATATCTGATATACATGTATATATATGTATTTATATATAATATTCAATCAATCAACTATACATGTATATATAAATATATATATATAATATTCAATCAATCAACTATACATGTATGGGTACCCAAATGAAAATGACGGTACAGTTATGACAAGTACATGTTAAACAATTTAGCGATGGCTGCTAAAAATGTTGGACATCCTGAATGGGGAACTGCAGGTCCAAATGATGCTGGATATTACAACTCAATGCCATATCAAACTGGTTTCTTTAGTGACAATACTTATAATAATTATGCTTCAAATTATGGTCAATTTTTCCTCAATTGGTATTCTGGAATGCTCATTCAGCATGGTAATAGTATTTTACAACGAGCTCGTTCCATTTTTGGAAAGAATGCAAAACTTGCAGCAAAAATTGCAGGAATTCATTGGTGGTATTTCACCGACAGTCATGCTGCGAACTCACTGCTGGATATTACAACATTCCATCCTATGATGGTTATGGAGCTATTGCACAAATGTTCAGTCAATATAATATTGATTTTGAATTTACATGTATGGAAATGATTGATAGTCAACAACCATCTAATTGTGCATGTGGACCTGCAGAGCTTGTTGCTCTCACTCGATCGACAGCATGGAAATATGGTTTAGATTATGGAGGAGAGAATGCATTAGACATTGAAGGAAATACTCAAGCAAATGCACAAATTGTAAAACAATCTTCTTCGAGTGGAAAGGCAATCTCTGGATTTACTTATTTGAGAATGAGTGATAGTTTGTTGAATTCGAGTTATAACTTCAATGTCTATGCACAACTTGTGAATGCTTTACATCAACTTGAAATGAATACTAAATCATCAAACTCCAATGACACAATTCACATTCTGAAACAACTTCCAAAAAGCTTTCTATTCTCATTCAAGAATTGAAGAAAATACAAGGAACGAACCATTAGACCAAGGAATCCCAGATCATCAAGGAATTGATCATGGTTATAAAATTAAAAGAAACAAACATTTTCGAACTGAAGAGATAAACAAAAAATTTGACATGACGAGATGCAATTTCCAAAACAAAAAGCGAAAAACAATAAAACTCCAAATAAGCCTAATATAAACTTTTTCGCTCGGGAGCACTTTATTAAAAAAAGAACTTCTACACAAACTATCATTCTCATGTCCACTCTCCTTTCGATATATCTCCTCCTTGTATCTTTGCTGATCTTGTTGACATCACATCAGTGTACTCGAGCTGCTGTTGAAAATGACCTTTCTCATCAAACAATTCTCACAAGTGACATTCCTTTGTCATTATCGACTCTCAACGGCAGGTCGATAACGAATTGTCCTCTTCTTTCAAGAATTCGAAAAATAGCTTCCGACAATAATTATTACAACTCATCCCTCCAATTCTCATTCAATTACACGAACGACATGATCCAGTATTGGGAGCAGTATCATTGTGATGGTATACCAAATACTCAATTTAATACATCATCGAATGAAGGAGTTAAATATTATGACTACGTTTGGAACATTGTCGATGTGCCGTCACAAGAAGCAAGTTATTGCGATTATGTCAACGCCAACACAAACCTATATAACCAAACAATGTCGCTCTATTCATACTTTTTGAATCAAACAGCGATGAAAGAGTTTTTTATACCTTATTTGGAAACATTGTTACCAGACAGTGTTTATTACAATCCCAAACTTTATACTCGGTTTTTTTATGTTAGTGAGTTTCAAAAGAAGGTTGACAACACTGTGGCACTACATCATTTGGTCAATGCATTCAATTTCTATTTATTTTGTCAAAAAGGAAATCCTTTTTTTGAACATTTTCACACAACCGTCTTACCTCGAATAGCATCATTAGGAACATTTTCTCAAATTCAAACCTTAGATTTATTATTCGGAAAAACATTGTTACAAAAGTATGGAAAAATTGATGTCACATTTTACAATCGAACACAACTTGCATTTTGTACGGACGACAATGATCATGCGTTTGTGCTCTCCTATGCTCCATGTGACGGAGTGTATGTGAAATTTTGGGTTCCACTCAGCAAACACTTATCTCTCAAAATTATTGAATTTATCTTTTATACCTTACAATTTATCCTTTTTGGAATCTTGATTGGAATTCCAATCTTGTACAAGACTTGGACCAAACTCAAAGATCACATTCACCACACCCAAAATGTCATTATTGTGGAAAGAGGCAAAAAACAACGCTCCCTTAAAAATCCAAACAACAACTTAGCCCCACACACAACATCCCTCTCCGTCATGAATGAACAATCAACCACTGAGACGACTCCAACTTCACCAAATTCTCTCTCTCAATTGACGATCATTGATGAGAGTAATCCAAACCACCAAGTTGGAGTGGATCCTTCAACAAAAACTAGCACTGCAACGACAGCTCAACCTCCAAAACGAGAGTCATCACCTTCTCCTTACAAACTCTCGTTTTGGGTTATATTAGAATTTTGTGTGATTTACGACTTCTTTCTTCGATTTGTTTCATTTGAGTGTTTTATGTTTAATGATCAATGCACTGATATACTTTGCTGTAGCGAGTGATTATGGAACTGCAGTACATCAAAATGTTGCGCCCTTATTGTCCTCTTTAGCGTTTTTATGTTCTGGATTAATTCCACTTGCTGGAACATTTATGGAAGTGTTACTAACCATTTCACAACAGAACGCTACTGTTTCGATTCATGCCTTGTAAGTAGAGTTGAATTGATACAATTTGAAGTGAAAACTGTATTGTTCACTTATGGCTCATTGCAAAATGAATTGGTTGATCTCAAAACAGAATTATTGTTTCCATTCTTTTGGCCATCATGGTGCTCGTCATTATTGTCATTTTAATTACTGCATTTTCAGCACTCAATGTGACACAAACCGTTCGAATTGTATCACTTCCCATAGCATTGGTAGCACTTGTCATTTCATGGGCAATCATTCTCTCGTATTCGTTCAAGATTTTCTTTATGATCCGAAAACAACGAAAAATTAATTTTTTAAATTTAAGGTAAGGGTTTTTAGAGAGATGAATACAATAAGATATAATCTCTCAATGATGGTTTTTCATTATGAAATAGTTCACACAATACTTGATCATTATTGGACTTGGAATATTCTATCTCTTGTATGAAGTGATTACTGAGCTAAGTTACTTGTTTAGCACTTCGATCAATTTGGACACGTTATTCACACGTCTCTTTAAACATCGAGTGGCAGGTTATATTTTGGGAATTATGCTGTGGGGAGGATGTTACGTATTATTCAGTAAGAATAATTTCAAAGAATGTTATGGATTTATTTTGAAACCATGTCTCAAATTCAAAACACCATCGAGTCGTGGGCTGTAATAAAGACTTGATTACAACTACCAAATAATAATATTACACTACAAAACATCAATAGTATTACAAAACTCGTGCACCACTTCATGGAAATAATTCATTAAACTGTTTCTTTTGTTCAGAAAGAACACTATGTTGTTTTTCAATAATGCTGTCCACACAATCTCCTAAATCAGCACAAGCCTGCAATGACGTAAGAGTCTTTTGTTGTACATCTCCCAAAGTTTGTTCGTTTTCTCCAAGTACAATGGTTCTAATGGTTTGTGCTGCCTGTTCTAATTTGGAAGTAAGTCCTGCAGTAGAACTGGACTCAATTCCAATGGAAACTACTGCATTGCTCAATGCGTTTACAATATCATCCATCTTTTGTTGTTGTGCACGTTCTTCAATGACACATGGTACAAGCCCTGTAAGAGCAAGTACAAAGGCAGGAACTGAAAAATATGAAGTAAGTATTGTGCCACAATGTTGTTTTTTTCGTCAAAGAAAGCAAAATTCGTTGAAAGGAATGTCGAGCGACTGATCAAGAAAGATCTTGAGATCATTACAGACTCATATTCACAGGTTTTAGACATTAAATTATATGCTAATCTGCTGCTAGAAACTCATTTACCAAAATTCACAGAATACAACATTCATATCATGACTCTTCTCAAGGACGTCTGTGTGAATTATCAAAACAAATCTTGGTTTGAACGCATGCGTCCTCTTGTTCGAAAAGTATTCAACGAGTTGTGTAATAATATTGCGATTGGTGTTTGTTCAGTGTTTATAGGTTTTCCATGACACAAGACACCTTGGAGGTAAGCTTTTATTTGGAAATACTGTGTGCGTTATAAACAAGGACAACTCAGATCGTTCAGCAACATCTCAACAGAGTCATGAATCTATCCAAAGCAATCATTCATACCACTCAATCATTTCTTTCTCAACAAGTTGTGATTTTTCCAGAACGATCTCTCGCATACATGTATGAAAGAGAAGCAGAAATTGTGTTTCATTTTCTTTTACAAGATTTGGAAGACGAAAAATTCAATAATTTGAATTTCTTGATGCAAATAGTATCGGGTCTTTCCTTATGCGAAAATTATCAAGTTCTATTTCATTTGAATCGATTCGCTTTGAAATATATATTGAATTGTGCAGAGTGTTCAGAATATTCTGAGGATCACTCCATTCTAGATGTTATTCACTGTCGAACAAAATTTGAGACTCAAGTATTTCATCTTGGCTCTGGAACCTATGGACATGTTTACAAAATATTTAACACCAAGCGTCAAAAGATGTTTAGCTAAAAAAGTATTTATTGACAGAGAAAGCGAATATAACAAGAAAGAAATGGAATTCTACGCTTCACAAAATCATGACAATGAAGAATATATTGTTTCACCCAGTAACATTCTTCAACCCACATATGTGATCTTGCCTTATTTGAATGGTCGAACGTTCAAGAACGAGATTGAATATCAGTTGACTAAAAACCTCAGAACCGATTGTTCCAAACACGAATTAAGAAAGATGAAGAATTTAATCGAAATGTTGAAAGGTCTTCATACGAAAGGTCTTTTCCATCGAGATGTTTCCTTCAAGAATATCATGAGTCATTTTGTATATTCTCCATCTCATTCTGAAGATGAAAATGAGTACTTTTCAATCATTCCATTGAAAGAAACGTCAGGTGTCTTGAAAGTTGCTTATCGATTAATTGATTTTGGTACTGTAAAACCTTTTCCTAGTTCCACTCTTCTGGAATGACTCCTCATGTTGGAAATGAAATGACCATGGCTCCTGAAATGTACGCATCCGAAGGTGAGCACTCGATAAACTACAATGCATCTGCAGATATATTCTCATTGGGATGTATTTTGTTTGCATTGGTGAGTGGCCTTTTCAAAATTCAGTTCAGTGGCCAAGCAAGTCAATATATTGGAAAATATGTCAAGGAGAATGCTCGTCAAACACATATTGCTCAAAGAGTGTTAAACTTGCTTCTCCAACGTTCAGAAAACTTGATTCTTAAAATTCCCCATTCCGTACGAGTGCTCATTGTCAAAATGTTGCATTATGACCCACAATCAAGACCTACGTTGGACGAGGCTTTACACATCATTGAAGAAGCGCTCAAAGAGATCAATCCTTAATAACTGTTTTAAACCAAACTGTGAATAAATACTAGTTGTTGTATTATTATTGTTGTTGTTTCACATGAATACACAAGTCATGATTTTACAAATTATTTTGTTCCTTGTTTTGATCCTTATTGATCTTTCGAATGGCATCCTGAGACATGCATAACGATAATGGTTTTTGATAACAATACAAGAATCGATTCTTGTTAAAAAGAACATAAACAAGTCCCCAATTCAAAATACAAATCATATAAACTTCCACTCGGTGCTTCCACATGAAGGCCCAGAAAATGTCAATACTAAACGATGCAGTAATCAGACCAGCTTCAGCAGGAATGTCATACAGCAAGTATATTGACAATGTAATTGGAATGAAAATATATCGAGAAAACTGTGAATAAAGTGTAATGTTAAAATTTCAGAACAATGAAATATAATACTAACCCTAAATTGGAAAAAGAAACCTTGACATTGTTCTTCTTCAACATTCGATAAGTTCGAACTGTATCGATGAGAATGACTGTCCAACACACTACAAGAGCCACCAACACAAATGGCAATGCAATGACACGTGTCACTTTCTGGGTGTATATCGGTAACCCAAATGAAACAAAAAACAACACTAATATTAAAAGCAAGAGTAAGAAGCAAAGTATAAACACAATCACTCTAAGTCATCAACACCATAAATTAAGCGTCACTAGCTCTAAAGTTACCAAATATTACTTACATGCCATAAAGTGAAACTCTTCGTTTGGTTTTGTCCAATTTCATGACAATGGAGAGAAATGTCAAAGCAAGGGGAACATTGGCCAAAACCATCAATTCTACAGAAATCATTTCTAAACTAAAGGTTTCCTCAGGATAAATTGCAGTTCCCTTATAATAGGTGATGGAAATGAACGTGAGGGAAACTAATACATTCGACAGCATGCTTAATGTCATATTGACAGCTGACAACAGATTTAAATCGCAGGCAACTCTAAGGCCAATTTCTAAAAGAGTTTCTGGTTTTGGTGTTTTGAAGAAGCTTGTTGTGTTTTGTTTAGTGGTGTTTCTGTTGGTGAGGTAGGGCTGCCAGTTGTCACACTGGTGGAAGATGGCACCGTTTCCATGTTAGGAGAGCTAGGGACACTTGATACACAATTGGAAGTATTTTCTATCTTTTTGATTCGTTCTAATTGAATTTCAATGAGTTTTCTATCATTGACGTATTTAAAGTAATTTCTCCATTTCAAAAAATTTCTTTGAGTCAATGGAATTAATACCACAAGAACACCAATCACAAATTGAATGAAAAACAAGAAGAGTTCAATGATTTTGAATGAGAGGTGTGACGCAAATGGAGTCCAAAACACGACATAACTGTCATGACATGCATATTGTGACAAGGCTGTGAATTGTTGAGTGTTTGAGTTTTTGCAAAATGCAAAAATAGTTCGATTGAAAAAAGGGATGACTGAATTCTCTCCATAATTCTTCTTGAAATCTCCAAAGAGAACTTGCAGAGTTTGAACTTGAGAGAATTCACTCTTTTCACTAAATTTGGGAGAAGTTCGGTGTGAAATTTGTCAAAGAGAGGATTTTCTTCTCTGCAATATAAACAATAATTGAATGCATGAACCAAGGAATTGTAACTGGTGCTCATGTTTCCCACTTGAACACCGTTCGGTCTATCGAAAAAAGCATTCGCACTCTTGTACCCAGCAAATGAAGTAAAGTTTTTCCGAAAAGACTCCAAATAGGGTAAAAACAAACTTTCTGCCAAAGTGTCATTCGAGAACAAATCATTGCAAATTCTCAAATTTCGTTCTCTTCCAAACCCACCATCCACACCACAAAACGATCGATTCGTATTTTCAATATTGATGACAGTAGTAAAAGCACTACCAGTAAACAAGACACCATCCGGATAGTAATCAAATGCAGAATTTGGCAACGAGTCACAAGCAAACTGAGAAGGATTTTGAATCATTAAATCAGTGAAATTTGTCGTTGCTGAAGAAGAGGATTGCAAATTCGAGAGAAGAGTGGCGAATGGACAAGAGTTTGCATTCACAACCACTCCTTGTGCATTCACCAATACTGCTGGCACACAAGACAACCAACCAACTTGAATGAAGAACAATAAGAACGACAAACACAGAACTTGACAAACGAACTCAGAGCTTGTTGGTCTTTTGGAGTGGGGCATTTTGTTTTGGTGTTTGTTGAGGAGTGTTACAGATATTTTTTAGAGATATCTCATTTGGCAGTTATAATAGTGGTAGAGATCAAAATGTAATGAGCGTTTTTAACTCCCTTCATTTGTCATAACGAGTAACTGTGGCCTTCGACAGTTCATGAAGAGATATCATGCAGTGATTCTCAAAGTAACTCCTTCCATGCATGAGCCCTACAAGCACCTAAAAGATTGAATCATGCAGAGTAGAAAGAATCGGTAATTTTAGTAAACTTTTTCAAATTAATCAAAGTGATTCACAATTCGTGTTACAACATGTGTTGTTCTCTCTTTTGAGTCTTATTAATCTTCTTAATCGCTTCCTTAGACATGCACAACGATAATGGTTTTTGATAACAATACAAGAATCGATTCTTGTTAAAAAGAACATAAACAAGTCCCCAGTTCAAAATACAAATCAAATAAACTTCCACTCGGTGCTTCCAAAGAAAAGCCCAAAATATATCAAAACTAAAAGCTGCTGAAATGAGACCAGCTTCAGCAGGAATGTCATACGCCAAGTACAATGAAAGGATAATTGGAAGGAAAATGTATCTTGAAAACTGTACAAGGTTGCATTCATTGGAATCATTTTGTGAATTTTACAGAATTAGGGTCTTTCTCTACTTACCTTAAATTGGAAAAAGGACACATTCACATTGTTTTTCTTTAACACTCGATAAGTTCGAATGGTATCGATCAGAATGACTGTCCAACACACCACAAGAGCCACTAATACAAACGGTAACGCAATAAGACGAGTTACTTTTTGAGTATCTCCTGGTAATGCAAAAGAAACAAAAAACAAAACCAAAGTCAACAGCATCAACAAGAGACACAGTATAAAAACAGTCACTCTAAGTGTGAATGATCATGTAAAACACATGGTGGTCTTTTTGCATCAAATTGTGAACGTTCATTGTACTTACATGGCATAGAGTGAAACTCTTCGTTTGGTCTTGTCCAATTTCATCAACACTGAAAGAAAAGTCAAAGCAAGAGGAACATTCGCTAAAACCATCAATTCCACAGAAACCATTTCCAAGTTAAACGATTCTTCAGCATATACTGCATTTCCCTTATAATAGGTGATGGTAATAAATGTTAATGAAACGAGTACATTTGATAACATGCTCAATACCATATTCACAGCACATAATAAATTTAAATCACATGCCACTCTGAGTCCAATTTCAAAAATAGTTTCAGGTTTTGGTGGGGTGCTTGGAATGGGTTGCGCTTTGAAAGGAGTTTCTGCATTTGGAGTGCATGTTGTTGTCATTGGTTCGGATGAGGTTGGTGTTCCATTCATTGTTGGACTATTGGTGTTGCTCATATTTGGAGAAGAAGGGAGAGCATCCAGATTAGGTGAGCTTGTCACGCTTGAAAATGCAGTCGAAGCATTTTCCATCTTTTTGATACGTTCTAATTGAGAGTTTTCAATGAGTTTTCTATCATTGACGTATTTAAAGTAATTTCTCCATTTCAACAAATTTCTTTGAGTCAATGGAATTAATACCACAAGAACACCAATCACAAATTGAATGAAAAACAAGAAGAGTTCAATGATTTTGAATGAGAGGTGTGACGCAAATGGAGTCCAAAACACGACATAACTGTCATGACATGCGTATTGTGACATGGCTGTGAATTGTTGAGTGTTTGAGTTTTTGCAAAATGCAAAATAGTTCGATTGAAAAAAGGGATGACTGAATTCTCTCCATAATTCTTCTTGAAATCTCTAAAGAGAACTTGCAGAGTTTGAACTTGAGAGAATTCACTCTTTTTCACTAAATTCGGGAGAAGTTCGGTGTGAAATTTGTCAAAAGAGGATTTTCTTCTCTGCAATATAAACAATAATTGAATGCATGAACCAAGGAATTGTAACTGGTGCTCATGTTTCCCACTTGAACGCCATTCTTTCGTCGTAAAACGCGTTGATGCTTTTGAACCCAGCAAATGAAGTAAAGTTTTTCCGAAAAGACTCCAAATAGGGTAAAAACAAACTTTCTGCCAAAGTGTCATTCGAGAACAAATCATTGCAAATTCTCAAATTTCGTTCTCTTCCAAACCCCATCCACACCACAAAATGATCGATTCGTATTTTCAATATTGATAACGGTTGTGTGAGACCAAGACACCTTCAGGATAGTAATCAAATGCCGAATTTGGTAATGCGTCACAGGCGAATTGAGAAGGATTTTGAATCATTAAATCTGTAAAATTGGTAGATGCAGAAGCTTGAGCGGCGTGCAAATTCGAGAGAAGAGTTGCGAATGGACAAGAGTTTGCATTCACAACCACTCCTTGTGCTTTCACAGAAGATGAAAATGTCATCAATAGCAACAACACACTCATCACTAGAAGGATAAGCAACTCTTGTGGCATGCTTCTTTGATGTGTTGATGCTATGCTTTGATTTCGTAACGATTGGTGTTTGAAAGAATGTGTTGAACACATTTTTTGACAATGTTTTGTGTCGTAACAACAATGCTCTTAAATCATCCCTTCTGATGTCATCTGTCGTAATTGGGTAAATACGCCAACAATTAAGGAATAAACTTACAAGTTTACTACGTGGCCATCATGATGAGATGCGAGGGATATTTGGACAACCTCAAACAAATCAAGGCAGCCATGAAGGATTTTACACTCTAAAGTAACCTCCTGGCAATTTTGCTCAATCGTCCAAAACTTTGGTCGCGCTACCAACAAAACCGACAATTGTGCTCAGTAAACAGCTCTGACAATGTTTGAAACTAACTCTTCATGAATGGGAGTTAATCTTGACCTGTCGATATTCGCCATCACATATCTCGTTTCATACTTGTATTCTGTGTTGAAATGAGAGTGTTTTGGTTTTTGTTCTAATTTCGTGAGGTCATTATTTTGTGAGGATGGTTGAGGATCAACATCTAGAATGTTATCCAAACGATCTGCCAATTTCACTAACAAGGCTTCCAAACTCATGGAATTCAATTTTTCAACAAAATAAGCTCCTCTTCCTAATCTTTTCCGAAGGACTGCTTCCGAAAGATTTTCAATTTGTGAATTTAGTCCATCAACAAGGATGGTTTTTGCAGATTCATCCAACGTGTGTTCATGATATTCCTGTAACTTTTTGTCGCAAAGAGCTTTCACTCGGGAATCATCGTTGGTCACTTCGCTCACAAGTCTTGCAGTGACTGGTCCAAATTGTGTTTCCAACTCTTCAAATGTTGTTTCCGTATCTTCGAGAGTGTCATGTAAAACAGCAGCACATAAAATTGACTCGCATAGTGTCGGAGAAGAATGTTTGTTTGGTTGTTGTGAATCAGCCAATGATACGGTTTGATGTAGCAATGATTGCACGTAGGACGTGTCTTTAAATTGAGCCAAGAATTGATTCAATCTGTTGGCAACGCTCTAATCAGATATGAACGTTTTCATCAGACAAGATCAACCATCAACGATCAGCGTCTACACGTTCATCATTGAATGTACCTACTTTTGGATGTTCAACATAGGGTGTTTTGTTGTCCTTTCTCATTTGTGAAGCATGTTTCAAAGTTGCGAATTGAATGCTCTTTCCGAGCAAGTTGGTGTCAGTGGGTGTGATGAGAATTGGGTGTAATGATGAAGAAGACATTTTTGTTTGCTTGACTTGTGATCACACAATTGTTCAAAATAATAAATTAATGATTAACAAATTAACCCTGTGGATTATATTAATGCGAGTTCCAAATTCCATCTTGGAGAGAATTATTTTACATAAAATCCATCACCAAATGTTGATGCTTAAAGAATGAAATTCAATGTTGATGATTTTACTTCTTTTGTTGTTGTGCTAATAATTCTTCAAAATTCTTCTTTGGTACCTTTGGCATTTGGCGATAAATCTTGCTGGCCTTATCCGAGTTTTGTGTGTTGAAATACACGTTGAGGATGGCACTATGAAGAAAGACCAATGAAACCGTATCCTCAGGAGCAACTTGCTCTAAAAATTGATGATATAACTTTTCTGCTTCTGCTTCCTTTTTCAAGAGAGCATATCCACGGATGTATCTCCAAGCGTTTTTGTATGTAATTTTACCCTCTTGTTTATCCTTTTCAATAACACCAATGACTTCATCAACTTTTCCTTGTTCGGCCAGTTGCTCAAACTTTTGAAAATCGGCATCAACATTAATATCTAACAATGATGCTCTTGAAACATGGAAGGAACGGATTGAAGGAGCAAAAAGGATTGATGAAGGGACGATGCGATGATGATGGAGGAACGACGAGAGCGTTGAAATTCTTCTCATTTTTGTTGTTCGTGAAAAATTCAAATATTGGCAAACACAAAAAACTCTTGAATTAAATTATTATTACTGTGTAGAGTATTGCAATAAGGAAATGTCAAAACACAAGGCAACATGATCTGATGGAAACATATCTGATGGGAGAGCTTCATATTCTGAGGCTCGTTCCTGTGAAATCATTTCAAGAGCTTTACACACAGAGACATGTGTTGGAGACTCGACATGAAAATCGTTGTTAAACACATGGTCAAACTGAAAAACATAATCTAGACAGCCCTTGTAGTTCTTGGTATAGTTTGTAAATGGAGGTTCTTCACCAATTACTTTCTTATAGAGTGAAAATCCTCCTGATGACGAAAGAGGATTTGTTAATTTTTGGCGAAACCTTAATGATGGTGACGGCGTGTCTACTTCAGAGGATGTTTCTATTGAAGGTTCACTCATTTCACAAATTGAGACATACTTTGAGAATTCTCCATTCGGTATAAAAGGAATAAAACTTCCCGGTATAAATGCTTCTCCTTTTGAAAGCAAGTCATAGACCTCACTATCTGGTGTTGAATTGTAGTCTCCACAAAGTAAAACCGTAACGGAGGAATCAAGATCGTCATGAATCTGTCGTAGAAACGTAAAAGTTTTCATCAGCACATACTGAGCTTGACAAAGTTTCACTTCAGGGTATGATGGATCCCAAAACAAGTGCAAATTAACCACACAAACAACTTGACCAGATTCAAGATGCCTCAGCAATACAACATTGGCAACATTGTTAGTGATAAACTTGGAAATTAAATTGGTGCTGGTCACTACGTTTCCGTTCAAATCGGATCGTTCATTTACATCAATTTCTGAAATTCTTTGAACTTCTTGCCCAACCTCATTCAAGATAATTGAAAATTCATCCAATAATTCAAATTTCTGTAATTTCCAAAATGTTGCACAGCCATCAGGTTTAAATGCTGTTCTCTGAGTATACGAAGAAGCATATCCAGCATTGAAGAATTTGTCTTTCCAATGAGTTGCGTATTTATCACATTCTTGCAAACAAATGATATCAGCGTCATAGCAAATAAATTCTGCCCAAAGTCTAATTTTTCTATTAACCCAATACAATATTTCAGAGGTGTCGGGTAAGTGTGGACAGTACTGTTTTCTTGAATAATCTTGGCATAGCATGTTATAGCTTAGCAAGCGAAATAATTTGAGAGAATGATGATTGTGTTGGTGTTCGGTCGACGATGTTTCATTTAAAGAGCTCGGATTCGTATTATCAACACGACCCTTGTTGTTCACTTCTTCATCATGAATATTTTCATTATTGACTCGAACATTACATTTCCAATCCCTTCCCATACAATTTTCTATCGGAAAGAGGTCCAACGAAGAAGGTTTCTTTTTCGGCCGCCCTCTTCTTTTTGTTTCTTTCTGTTGATTCATCAACATTTGAGTAACCTCATACTCGGAAATGTCGGAGAGACAGGCAAATTCTGAACTTGATGAATTTCGTTCCAAAGAGTTGTTGTTCTTTTGCCTTCTCATAATTACCCATATTTTTTTAACCTCGAAAATGCATTGTTGTTTGTTGAATCTCAAGTGCGTATGAACTAATTTATTTCAAAGAGGTTATTACATTAAGTAGAGTGATTATTTTCTTCGTTTGGACTCTTTCCATTCTAGAATTCTTTGTTTGAGCTCTGGTGCTGGTTGTAACATATCAACAGAGAGAGGTGATCGATTGAATGGGTCAGTATTGTTGTTGAGTAAGTGACGCTCAATGGTTGGCCTATCAATGTAAATATTAGAAAGTGGTAACAGAACAGGATCTTCCATGATGGTATAGGTCAGAGGGTCAAGGAATTCGTCTGGTGCGTCACTAAAATCAACATTCTCATCAACAAGTTTGTGTGCTTCCTCAAGTGCTTTCAGTGCAAAAGTATCAAACTTCTTGACGTATTCTTCAGTTTTTCCAATCTTTCTCAAGATAGCAACAACACGTTCGAACACATCGGCCTTGAATGATCTTTCATCCCTGGCTACAGCTCTGGCAAATTCTTCATATGGAGAAAAGTGAATATATGTGTCAGTAATTTCTGTTAATAAATATTTTGGATTGAATTGATATTTCTCTGGATCTTTTACCTTCAAGTTTTGACATTGTGGACCTGCTAGTTCGACCAAGAAATAGTTGAGCATAGAGGCAACTCGATCAACCATTTCTGGGCGGAGGAAAGGTTGAGGAATGTCTCTTGATAGGTAGCTTAACATATGTACAGTTTCGTTGGCAAGTAATAGATAAGATTTTACCATTCGCTCATATTGAGCCAATGCACTCTGCTTATCTTGCTTTTGTTGTTGCGTCATACTATTCCACTCTGTGGTGTTATCCATAACAACTTGAATTTCCTTAATTTTTTGAAGGTCTTTAAGACTTTCATCCAAAAGATAGATCGAGTCATTGAGAAGCACGTTGAAGAACTTCATAAACTTTGAGTGAGCTTCCAAATGTCTTGAAAGCTTGATAAATGATTGCTTGTATGGATTATATTGCCACAAGTCTTTCAATAACAAGGAAATATAGTAACGATAGTTGAATTTTTCGTAGAAGGAGCTCTCATATTCAATGTCAACATATAAATTCATCAACCCTGAAGTAAGATGTTGTTGAGAATATTTGTGATTTGGTAGATATTCAATTAACTTTGGTGACAAGACGTCATGTACTCCTTGAGGAATTAAAGCACAATAAAACTCTGGTAGTCTAGCAAGTAGGTATCTGTTTTTGATATAATGAGAGTTGTGAAGAAACATGGCCATCATATCAAAAATTTCATCTAGCACTACCAAATTCAGAGTCTCGGGTTTGAATCTGAGTAAGAAGGTTAAACAAATGACAATATCTTCAAGGAAAAACTCTGACATGGAAGCAAAATCTTTTGAAACTTCGGTTGGTAGATGAGCAGAACATGGAGTGCTTGGATAATTTTTGTGGTTGACAGGATCCGCCATTTGGATGAGCCAAATGCTACTGAATCTATAAAAATCTGTCATTAATTTGAGGAGTTGAGGATCAAAAAGGTGTGTCTCCGCAGTCCATCTAACAATGTACAACAAATCAATTTCTTTCCTTAGTTCGGGTGTTTGATTTGCTCCATACACTCGTTGAGAGTCTCCTAGTCTCTTAAGAGCATTTTGATATCTTTCCTGGGTGACGAGATAGCCAATGTGGAGGCATCGGTATGCCATGAAAAAGGACTGTGTAATGAACGAGAAGTCAGTTGGTTGTTTAGCTTTGTAATACTCCTCTGCTTCTTTTTCAGTTATGGCAAATTTTGTGTCGTGCTTGAAATTGAGATCCTTGTTCATCATTACGAAGTCACTCTGAATTTTTGATGTTTGAATTTTGTTTGGCTCAATCTTAAGGAAAGGTTCACAAAGCTTTAAGAGAACAGCTCCCATGTTAGTCATGAACCCTTCACTGGCAATAGAGTAAGGGTCTGATTGAAGTTTGGCTCTAGAAGCATTTGTATCAAGAGTCAACATCAACCATTCAATTGTCTTATCTCTTGTTTCTTTTGGTTTGAGCAAGTTCATAATTATACCATGTAAATTAGTATGATACATTGATATTTTGGTTCGAATTTGTTCCTTAATGTTAGCAACATCTTGGTTTGTCAATCTCTCAATATCAGCACGGAAAAAGTGTTCTCCAACTTTTGGTTGGTCATAATAGGCAGTGATTTTGAAAAATGGACCTAAAATACATTCATATTCAAAACCGTAACCGTCTCTTTTCTTTGGAAAGAAATTTGTGTGACCCACCAGAACCATTGCAATCTCTTTGATGGTTGTTATTCTTTTAAGTCCAAATAAATAAGGAGTATAGTCATCGAGTAATGTTAATTTCAGCATTTTTGATGACATTTCTGTGAATATTGGAGTAAATATTTTCTCTAAAGTATTGTCCTTTGAAAATCTTGCAACAAAATCTTGCAAGAAAGTTCCTGGAAAATCTCTATAGATGAATGGCAAGAGTTGAAGAGGGCCTTGCTTTGCAACGCTTTCAGGCTGATTGAACATGTCAGGATCAGTTAAAACTATACCACAGTACGACACAATGATTTCTTTCAACCCCTTTACAAATTTGATTAGATCTTCTTTCTTTTTTGTCTCAGCAATGCTCAGCTCCTTTTCTGCCCTTTCAAAACACTCCATCAAATAACCAAAGATTGTTTTATCAGTACTAGTTTCAAATCCTTTAGAAACACGTTCCACAATAACGCTCTCTACATGACTTTCAGTAAAAATTTGTGCTGACTGTTGTTGTTGTGATAATTCGTTTGCAAGATCTTTCAAATGAAATAATGTAGGATCAATCTTTGAAGGCGCCAAACACACTCTAAAGGTCCTCGAAATTGCATCATGAATAAACTTCTTGGATGAATCTGTGATGATGATCAAATGAATTTAAGAATAATAATATTTTCAAAATTGTATCACTTACCATTATCCGATACTTCTGATTTGATAGAGGCTGATTTTGAAGGAGTGTTTGTAGATGAAGGCTTTGTAAAATCATCTCTTGTATCCATCATATCACCACTACTTGATTTCGTACTGGAACTGCTGCTTGGAGTGCGTGCACTAGTCGCACTGCTTGGAGATTTGATCGGTGTGGTTTGCATTGTCAATGATGGATTCGATGATGTACTTATAGCAGAAGGAGTATTCAAACGATTCAATCGTCGTTGTCGAACCTCGTCTGCAGACAAGGCTTTCTCTCCTCCGACATTGGCATTATCAACTACGACAGGAGGTTGTTGTGGTGGTGTTGTTGTTGTTTTTTCATTCGTTTCAGTTGATGATGGTGTTGGCTGACAAGTTGGATCTTGATTCTTCTTATCATCATCACCATCGTTTTTGTTTCCAGAGAGAAACAGTCTAACAAAGTTCGACATGTGCTTTCAATTATTGCAGGTGCAATGACAGCCACGTAATTTTTTTGTTTTATTTTTAGTTTTCTGGTTCCAAGCAAAGAATCGAGTAGGCACTAAGGCTTGAAAGTTTGAGTTTGCCATCGTCCGCATGGTTAAGTTTAATGATGGACAACGATCATGGAGAACATGTATGATTACAAGTGCAACAGCGTGGTGTCGTTTTGTAGAATAGGTGTATCTTCTCATTCATATCAAGAAACAAAATATTTCTATATAAATGCATCGAATTAACACTTTGTTTCATTGTGACAATAAGAGGAAGCGAGGCCTCTTCCGGGTTCTGATACCTAGTCTAAAACGCGCAAAGAAATATATTTTCCAAAACTGACTTTTGACACCTCTTCAAAAAAAAAATGTCAAAAACCAAGAAGATTTTTCTTTTTGCCGTTTCCTGCTTCTTCGTAGGGTTGATATTTGTGGTCCTTTACGTGAATCACCTAAAAATTTCTCTACCTTTTGAATCGGGGCTCTCATTTATACGTCGAAGGCGTCATTTCACACCAAGCAACGATACGAATATTATCTTTATTTTAAATTCTCGCTCCACAGATTTAACGGATTTGCAATTATGTACAGTGGAAAGCGCATGCCGATATTATCCTAACAACACCATTCAACTCTTTGTACAAGAATGCTTTGATGAAGAGCATGCACGGAAACAACTTGACATGTGTGAATTTTTAAATTTTACCCGAATCGACTATGAGAAAATCTTTGCCGATACACCACTAATGGATTGGTATAAAAGTGGCGTTTATCATAAGAGTCCTTATTCCATTGTTGAATTATCGGACGCTGCTCGACTTGCCATTCTCTATAAACAGGGTGGAACCTATATGGATTTGGATTACATTAGTGTGCAGCAAATCCCTTCAAGTATGAAAAATATTATTGCCAGACAATTGGATGTCAAATCCGATAGTGACTTTGCTCAAAGCCTCAATAATGCCATTCTACGGTTTGAGAAGGGTAATTTATTTCTTCAACAATTATTGCATGATTTTGTGAAATATTATGCAATTGAGCCTTGGGGGAACAATGGTCCAGAGCTAATCACGAGAACAAAAACTACTCTCGAGAAGATGAATAGCACCTTGTTGAATGGACTTGTTGTGGGTCCTCAACCTCAATTCTATCCTCTTCAATGTTGTGACCAATTTGGTCCCAATGCTCCCTTTCAAGAGTTAAGCAAAGTTTCTGACCACCTCAAAAAGCTCGTCTACGATGCGTATGGAGTTCATATCTATTCGAAATCAGAACTGATGAAAGAAGATTCTTTTCAACATGACATGATGAAAAAGAAATGTCCTGTCACTGCTTCCTTGTTAAAATTTCCCCAAACGAAAACAGAGAGGGAAAAACAAGCAGAAATGAGGTTGAAGGATTGAGAAGACCATACCACGTATGATTGAAAACAACTTTGAGAAGAGTCTAAGTGGTGGTGAGAAGTGGAGTCGACTTGACGCGTAATTTGAAAACAACTTTAAAAAAAAATATTGATTTCTGAGACTGCCGAGACTGGACAACTTTTCGATCCCATCACTCTGAATATTCCAGAAATATTTTACAAAATTCAAAAAGTACTTGCAAGAAATAATACAATATGGCCTCTTCAACGACTCGTATTCTTGATTATACACCTTTTCTGTCGTTGGTCAGCCGTCTCCGAAAACCAAGTCCAATTCGTGCACTGATGCCTATCATGTCGTTGCCTGGTATGATCTCACTGGCTGGCGGTTTACCAAATGCTTCAACTTTTCCTTTCCAATCCATTAACGTAGACTTGAAAACTACAACAACGCCATCGACACTTTCTGTGGATGGACAATTATTAGCCGATAGTTTACAATATCACCCAAGTCAAGGGTTACCTCAACTCACAAAATGGCTAAGAGAACATCAGAGAAAAACTCATTCTCTCAGCGATGATGAAAAAAAGGAAGCATGGGATGTCATTTTGACAACAGGATCACAAGATGGACTCACAAAAGCTTTTGAAATGTTTTTGAATCCATATTGTGTTCAAGAGCATTCTATGAAACAATCAAGTGATATATTGAATGAGGATATTAGAGATGCCATTATTATTGAGCGACCAACTTACTCTGGATCTTTGAGCACATTGTTTACTTTGTCACCACACATGATTGAAGTAGATGTTGACCAATTTGGACTTATCCCAGAAAAACTTGAAGAATCAGTTGAAGAATTCAAGAAGAAGCATCCAAAGACAATGATTAAATTTCTCTATACCATTCCCAATGGACAAAATCCAAGTGGCTGCTCTTTGACGCTTGAAAGAAAAAAGAAAATTTATGCCCTCTCCCAAAAATATAACTTTTTAATTTTAGAGGACGATCCATATTATTATTTGGCATTAGATAATCCAAGCGAGCCAGTTCCATCCTTTTTGTCAATGGACACTGACGGCAGAGTCCTCAGATTCGATTCTCTTTCAAAAATTCTTAGTAGTGGAATTAGATGTGGTTTTGTCACTGGTCCAATTCAATTAATTAACCAAATGGTTCTTCACATTCAAGCTAGCAATTTGCATAGTTGTGGATTATCTCAAGGAATTGTTTATGCTTTATTGAGTCAATGGGGAGAAGAAGGTTTTGCTCAACATGTAAAGCATGTTCAAAAATTTTACACGGCTAAAAGAAATGAGTTGATTGAGTGCATTGATAGACATTTGAAAGATTATGTTGAGTACAGCATCCCTGTATGTGGAATGTTTGTTTGGATGAAATTGAAGGGAATTCCCGATAGTTTGAAGTTTATTGAACAAAAAGCCAGACAACAAAACGTACTAATGTTGCCAGGTACATATTTCTATCCCTCACAAGGAAGTGTGACCCCATATGTACGAGCTTCATTCTCTATTGCTTCAAAGGAACAAATGGAAGAGGCATGTAAAAGATTAGCTATTCTAATCAAGGAAGAGCTTGACCAGTAATGACAACAACTCTCAATATACCACTTATTTGCAATCTCTATTGCATGATTCACAATTATTGTTGCAGAAAAACTTGGTAGTTTTCACCGATGGAACAATAATGTCCTTATGTGAGAGAGCGTTGGGCATATCATGCCTTTGTTTTACAGCTGCTCTCCATTTCTTTGCTCGTTGTGTTGACTTGATATTGATTACTGAGAATTTGAAAGTCATCTTTCTGCTTGCAAGCACCGGGTTATTTGGTGCTCGCAAAGACGTTTCCTTTACCATCTCATCCTTCCATTCCTTCTCAAACTTTTCTACTATATAATCCCATCCAGAAGTGAGATCAATGTACATACAGTCATATTTTCCTGGTCCCTTAACACTAGTCAAATCTAAATGCTCTTTGGAATGCCATTTAAAGCCAAATGTTGGTGAAAATGCGCTTGACTTGGCGCTGACACCATGATACTCTCCTGTTTGATCAAATTTACCATATTCACTTCCCTCAAGACCAATCATTATTCCGCCATAGCTATCGTGCTTTGGAGCCATATGATACAAATACAAGTGCCCATTTGAGCCGTTTGCTACTGATTTCACACCTGTCAAAAGCATTTGACCCTCACCACCCATTGGAATATTCATTCCCCAATGCCTATGATGTCTAAGGGTATATTCTGAAGAGCGTAGCATTTTAGTATCTCTTAGACTGAAACCTTTTGTTTTTTGCTCAATCAACACTTTTTTTGCCTCACCCATGATTGGTATTTCATTTTCTTCTAGTCCAACCCATGAGTTGCACTGAGACGTTTGAACACTATTTTTCCCTTCTTGATACAATGATCTCCACTCGTAGAAGTTGTTACTAGCTTGGCAATATCACCTTTCCTGTCTCCAGTTATCAGCCAGTTCCAAAATGAAAAGTCATGAGATTTTTCTCCCTTGTTTGTGCTCTTGGGCAGTTGAACGATCACTCTTCCACCATGTGATAATGCTGTACATATTGGCCATGTGGTTTCAAACCAATTTTTGAATTGATACTCTTGAGATTCTTCATTTTGCTTTCGTTTATCAAATCCCACAGCCTTTGCCTGTAGAAGAGTCCTCCCCATCGTAATAGAGCCATTACTCTTCTGAGGACATTCCCTCGAGCCTCATTTCCAGGAAATGTCAGAGTTTGAAACCACATTTCTGCATCTCGTTTTGTTTGGAGCTGAAACCACACTTTCTCCATTCTTCCAACACTAAATTCTTCATCCAATTTATTCCATCGGCATTGGGCCTTTTGGGATCATCTTTCTTTTTCTTACCACCATCATTATCACTCTCACTGGAATATTCATCTACTCCAACTGTTGTTGTATCGTCTACAGCGCTTTCTGTATTGTCCTCATCAACTGTTTGAGGGCTCAAACTTAGAGAGGATGAGTGAGGACGAATTTGATTAGGGTCAAAATATTGATGATTTAATGTTAATGTCTTGATCAATAGGGATTGATCGGAAGGCGAGGATGAGGCTTGAGAATGTTAGATGTGGGAGAATGCGAACGAGGAGGGATAGGCAGCGACTTTGATGAAGAATGAATGCCGAAAGAGGATGATTCATTTCTCTCAGGAGATCCTCTTGATGATCCATAGCAATATGTTGTTTCAATTGTGGAGCTACTGTTTACAGACGAACACTCCTCTTCGTTTAAGGTAGGATTGCCCTCAGAGCAAATATGAGTTTCCTCAACCGGATTCATTTTTTCTATTGCTAATCCTTGACCATTTCGTGTTTCAAGTATTGGTTTCCAAATTTTCAATAGTAAAGATGGAGTATGTTCTTGTGGTAGAGGTCATGAGGCGAATTCTTCAACGTTATCCAAACGAATTGAAATAGACCACCATCATGAACAACAATTATAAAAAATGGACTTCTTTCAACCTCCAACTCTAGGTCACAGACGAGAGGGGCCGTTGTCGTTTGCACCTGGTGAGGATGGTGCTGTGCATCCTTCTCTGATACATAGAAATATACCGACTGGTGTTGCTGGCAGTAATACTACACTAACTCCAGATATGATTCCGAATATGAATTATTCAAGATCTGATATTGGTAACGACGAAAATTCGAGAGTTTGGGAAGAAGAAAATATTTCATCGTCCGAAGAAGAGATCAAACGGCCAAGGCCTTCCTATAAGAGTTTACTTTGGATTCCTCTTGTAATAATTTTGAATTTATGTGTTGTCTTGTACTTTTATATTCCTCTTCACAAAAAATTGAATATTAGTATGATTTGGAATTTGGACGATTTAAAGAAAGTCTATGGAGCCATCACTAGTAAAGAGGCCGAAAAGCACTCCTTTGAACTTTGGTGCTTATTTTGCTCTCTCTATTTATTTGTAAGTGTTTATCATTATTGGTAATGAATGGTGTATTGTGACCTTTTTAGAACCAAATATCGTGTATGCCAGGGTATGTTGTTGGATGAATTTTGAAAAAGAACATGAAAAAAACTTATACAATTATTTTAACAGAACTGTTTTTCTTAACATAATATCTGGGTCTATGATGGGAACAATTTATGGTACATTAGTTTGCACAATTTGAACACAATTGGAGCTGTTCTATGCCACATTTTGTGGTATTTTAGTGGAAAAGACTTTTTATTGAGCTTTGAATGGTTCAAAGTACGAGTTTCTAAATTATCCGCAATATTACAGGGGTATAGAAAAAAAGGAGGTTTTAAAATGACATGGTTTTTGATATCATTAAGATTGTTTCCATTGACACCGAATTGGTTTGTCAATATTTCTGGACCAGTACTTGGAATTACAGCGACTGAACAAATTTATTCTGTATTTATTGGGATGATTCCCTTCAATTATATTACTGTTCATGCTGGGCTGTTACTTTCAGAACTTACAACTGTGAATGATATTTATCAACCAAAAACTGTGTTTTTGCTGCTATTCCTCTCCCTCCTTTCTCTCATTCCTGCAATTATGAGAAGGTTTGAAAAACCAAAGGACGAAAAAGAGGATGCAATGAAATCTGACCTTCCGACAACACTTCCAACATTTGGAAGCAACACCTTTAATCACTCATTCAAACCTCAACATGAGTTTATTCACGATACCATGAAGGCATCAAAAGGCATGGTTGTAAATAGCGTCAAGTTTTTATCCAAAATGATTGAACAGCAAAGTAATCAATATTTTGGATCTACCTCAAAAGCATTCTCTGATTCCCACAAGATTGTGTAGTGAATCAATTTTCCACAGCCAACATTTTACCTTAATTTATTAACGCCACACGAGTAAACAAGTTCATACAACATCATACAAGCGATGGCGATAGTTATCTCACGCTTAATGTTCGTAAAGGGAAAACCTCTCCTTACCAAGAGCGATTCGAGGCGTCAGCGACACAGCGAACGTCATGAATTGACACAGAAAAAATTTTGCTCTCTGCATCGCAGCATTTCAAATCACCAAATCTCAGAGATGGAGGTATGTGCTCTGACAATGATCATCATGAAACATTTGTTATTTGTTTCGTGATGAAATTGATCTTTGAAATTCATCAATTTTTTTAAATTGTTTGATGATGACGACTCTATCATCCTTCATGATTTGTGGTGATGATCATGAACCTTCTTGGATGGGATTTATATGATTAGTTGAATCCTATGGAAAAGCCAGACTTCTCCGGCTACTTGAAGAAGAAGGGAGGAAACATCAAGACCTATAAGAGTAAGTACATCTTCTCCAAGGATGTTTCTATAACAAGATAATATCGTTGATGACGATGGACCCATGACAAACAACATTCAATATGGCCATTCATCAACCCCATGATATTTTATGCTGATCTCTATCATCATTGATGATGACCCAATATCTCAATAATTCATTGTTGATTGTGATTCGTACTAATGATTCTTCTTTCAAATAGGAAGATGGTTTGAATTGAGAGGAAAACTCTTGTTCTACTTCAAGAAACAAGGAGATAAAAAACCAACTGGTTTCATCAACATTTCTGGAGCCAAAGTTGAAGTGGACGAAACAAAACCAATCAGTTTCAAACTCAGAGGTAAAAACTTGGCAAGAGTTTATGAAATCTCTGCGGAAAATGAATTTGATTTCAATTCATGGTTGAAAGAGTTGAACAAGGCAATTAATTATAATCCAACGCAAGACAAGGAAGGATTGGAAGAAGTTAAAGATGAAATTCGTAATGCCAAGTCACAAGAACAAGTGACAGTTTCTGGAAAGGCATCATCTGGCAAGAAGGTTACATTGAGTGATTTCGAATTGTTGACTGGTAAGTAATATCAATAGCTTGTCAAATATGTGAAAGAACTAATGCCTATCATTACGAAATTTACCATTGACTCTTGAAACATCATGATCTTTTTCATATCCATTGTCAACTCCAGTTGTCGGAAGAGGTTCATTCGGTAAAGTTATGAAAGTAAGAGAGAAGGGAACATCTAAAGTTCTTGCCATGAAAGTTCTCAGAAAGGACATGATCGTCAAGGAAAACATGGTGTCACATACTCTTGCTGAAAAGAAGATTTTGCAAAGCATTGATCATCCATTCATTGTTGCATTACATTACGCTTTCCAAACAGAAGAAAAACTCTATCTTGTTTTGGATTATTTGCCTGGTGGTGAACTGTTCTTCCACTTGAGAGAAGAGACAAAATTTGATGTTGAACGTGCCAAATTCTATGCTGCTCAAATTGTTCTTGCAATTGAACATTTACACAAGAATGACATTATATACAGAGATTTGAAACCAGAAAATGTCGTTCTTGATGCAGATGGTTATGCTGTTTTGACTGATTTTGGTTTAGCTAAAACATCCATTGGAAATAATACACCAACTTATACTTTCTGCGGTACTCCTGAATATTTGGCTCCTGAAATTTTGAAGGGCCAAGGTCACGGAAAAGCTGTCGATTGGTGGAGTTTGGGTATTTTACTTTATGAAATGATTGTTGGTTTACCTCCATTCTATTCTGAAAATATCAATGAAATGTATGAACTCATTCTGAAGGCTCCTCTCAAATTCCCAGGTACAGTTGATGCTCAAGCTCAATCACTTTTGAAGGGACTTTTAGAAAGAGATGAACACAAGAGATTAGGTGGTGGCCGCAAGATGGAGCTGAAGTTCGAAACCATCCATTCTTCAAGAACATTGATTGGGATAAGCTCTATCACAAACAAATCTCGGCTCCTTTCAAACCACAATTGAATGATGGTAATGACACCAAATATGTTGACACAGAATTTACATCTGAGCGTGCTCATGACAGCTTTGCAGTTGGAATTGGAAAGGAAGAAAACAAATCATTTGACGACTTTGACTTTACTAAATAATTCTGTAATTAATTATTGAAACTCCTGTACCAATAGTCTTTTAACATATTAAATACAATAAGCATGACAAACGACAAGGCTTCTTTTACTGTATTATTCGAATAACCGTTCGAACTGCTGTCATCATCATAAGGAGTTTGGACGACCTTTAACTTTGTTCATCGTAGCTGCTCGCTTTCCAAACTCAAGAGTTCCACAAGTTTAAAAGAAATTCAATCTGTTGATTTCGAAATTGTTTCTAATCGGAAACAGTCACAACAAACATTGAAAAAAATCTTTCACTTCAAACCAACAGCAGCCATCAATAGATCACCTTTGGCAAATTCATATTGGTGGTTATTATCTGGAACGTACACAAAAGTCGTTGTTTCTTTGTGTCGAGTTTTATTGTTGAGCCTTTCATGAGCAAGGCGACTCGTCTATCTGTTATTGTAGGAGGAGGAGGAGCATCGACAGGAAATATTAATTCTTTTGGTAATAGTAACAGCAGTAATATTGAGACTATTAGCCCTACCATCAGAAAAGTAAATACAAATTCGGAGCTTGTGGATTACGCTTCTCATTCCGAAGACGAAAACGAAATAACAAAGCCATTATTTAACGATACAATGTTTAATGAAACATCTCACATCATGGGAGCTGCCATCAATGTTGAGCAATTCTTGGATCCCGAAACAGAAAAATTGAAATCCTATGATCGAAGAAATTTATTTCAAAAACTTTTGGATTTTACTCTCCGAAGAAAGAAATATTTTGGAAGAACGATTTTTCTTAATGGACAAACTGTACCAAAAGGAAAGAAATATCCTGCTAATGTTGTTAGGAATAGGAGATATAATTTTATCACTTTTCTTCCTCTGGTTTTGTTTGAACAATTTAAATTCTTTTTTAACTTATATTTTCTTGTAGTGGCACTATCCCAAATAATTCCACAATTACAAGTTGGTTTTTTATTTACCTATGTGGCTCCACTAGCATTTGTGCTGTGTGTTACTCTACTAAAAGAAGCGTATGATGATATTAAACGATGGAGAAGAGATATCGAATCCAACAGCCAAAAGTTCTTGAGACTTTCTAAAAACTCTACATTTGAAACAGTACCAAGCTCAAAAATCAAAGTGGGTGACATTATTCAAATTGAAACTGATCAGAGAATACCTGCAGATTGCATTTTACTAAGAACTACAGAAAAAAGTGGAGCATCCTTTATCAGAACTGATCAACTTGATGGAGAAACAGATCAAAAACTAAGACATGCTATACCAACTACTCAAAAACTTACATCTGATTTTGATTTGAAGCGAATAACTGCATGTGTATTTGCAGAAAAACCAAAGAAGGAAATTTATGATTTCATTGGAAATTTCACACTCTATTCTCCAGATGGACGAGTGGAAGTGGTAGAACCTTTAAGCTTAGAAAATACATTATGGGCTAATACGGTAGTTGCTACTGGTACAGTAACTGCTTTGGTAATCTATACAGGTGTAAGTACTGACCATTTTCATTTCATTACCACTGACGACATGTAACATAATTATAGACTGAAACAAGAAGTGCATTGAATGCAAGTGAGCCAAGATCAAAGGTTGGAAAACTTGATCGAGAGCTGAATACCTTGTCTAAATTTTTATTCTGTCTCATGTTTGTCGTGAGCGTACTTATGGTCGCATTGAAACAATTCCAAGGACTTTGGTACATCACCATTTTCCGATTTGTTTTACTGTTCTCTTCTATTATTCCAATCAGTTTGAGAGTGAACTTGGACATGGGTAAAACAGTATATAGCTTCTTTATCATGAAGGATAAGAAGATTCCAGGTACCATTGTCCGAAACTCTTCCATACCAGAGGAATTGGGACGAATTAATTATTTGTTTTCTGATAAGACTGGAACATTAACTCAAAACGTCATGATTTTTAAAAAGTTACATTTAGGAAATATCTCATTCGACGAAGATGCACTAACTGATATATTTGAACATGTGGAAAAAACATATAGAAGACAAGGCGTATCGAACAATGACCTACAAGTTAAGGAATTTATTGAAGCTCTTGCGTTATGTCACAATGTGACACCAATTGATCCTACCTCTACACATCACCATCATGAAGAAAGCATGTATCAAGATGAAGAGGGTACAGTCGTTCAAACGGATATCCAACTTAATGCAACTGAAAGAGAATATCAAGGTAGCTCACCTGACGAAATAGCTCTTGTTAAATTTGCTGAAAAGTCAGGTTTAATACTTGAAAGTAGATCACTGAATTCAATGGCTTTAAAAAATCCTTTGGGAGAGATTGAAGAATTTGAGGTGCTAAATATTTTCCCTTTTACATCAGCTTCAAAGCGAATGGGTATTGTTGTAAAGTTCCTCTCGAGTGGTAAGATTGTATTCTATTGTAAAGGTGCTGACTCTGTGATGAAACAACTGGTAAAGGCATCACAAAGCGAGTGGTTAGATGAAGAAGCTGACAATATGGCTAGAGAAGGATTGAGAACATTGGTATTTGGAAGTAAGGCGCTAACTGACGAACAATACATTCAGTTCAATAGTGAATACAAAAAAGCATCGGCCCTTATTAACGATAGAGCATCTGAGATGGAACGAGTACGACAAAAGTATTTGGAGTGTGATATGAATTTATTGGGAGTCACAGGTGTCGAAGATAAACTTCAAGAAAATGTTCAGAGAAGTCTTGAACAACTCAGACATGCTGGTGTGAAAGTTTGGATGTTGACTGGAGACAAAGTAGAAACAGCAATTTGTATTTCAAGAAGTACCAAGCTCGTGGCAAGAGGTCAATACATTTTCGAAGTCATTTCCAATGATGAAAAACGAATTGAAGAGTTATTGGAAGAATATGAAGCGGAATATGCCTCTTCAGGCGCTGGGTTTTTAATTGATGGAGCAACACTTCATATTGCTTTAGAGAAATTGCCAAACAAATTTGTAGCAGCTGCCTGTAAAGCTACGAGCGTGGTGTGTTGCAGATGCAGTCCAACTCAAAAAGCAGAAGTTGTCTCTCTTGTCAAGAAAAAGACAAAAAGTCAAACAGCTGCCATTGGAGATGGAGGAAATGACGTATCCATGATCTTGTGTGCAGATGTTGGAATTGGAATTGAAGGAAAAGAAGGCAAACATGCTTCCTTAGCAGCAGATTTCTCAATCAAACAATTTTCGTATTGCACTGATTTAATTTTGTGGCATGGTAGAAATTCTTACAAGCGATCAGCTGCTTTGGGTCAATTTATTATTCATAGAGGATTGATCATTTCTGTCATTCAAGCTATATTCTCAGCCATGTTTTTCTTCTCAACAATTCCTATTTTCACAGGGTAAGTAATGACATTATGTGGTGCCATTAATTTTGGTTTCTTTTTTTGAACAACATTTGGCAAAACAACATATAGATGGCTTCTCGTTGGATATGCAACCTATTACACCAACTTTCCAGTGTTCTCATTGGTGTTAGATGAAGATGTAAAACGAGAAACTGTGTATCTCTTCCCAGAATTATATAAGGAGCTTCAAAAGGGAAGGGTACTTTCATTCAAAACTTTTCTCATTTGGACGCTAAAAGCCGTCTATCAAGGCGGTGTTATTATGATACTTGCCATCTTTCTTTTTGAGAACAACTTTTTGAGAATTCAAAGCATTAGCTTTACGGCACTAATTTTAACTGAAATTGTGATGGTCTCTATTGAAGTGCACAGAAAACTCAATCCTCTCATTATTATTTCCGAAATTTTGTCTATTGCAATCTACTTTGCTTCGATATTCCTATTACCAACTTACTTTGATACGGCGTTTATTATGACCTTTGACTTTTGGTGGAAATCGATAGTAATCACTGCTGCAGCAACTGTGGTCATTATTGTTGCCAAGTTTGTGCATAGCAAGATCAATCCACCAGTGTGGAGCAAGTTGAACGAATCTTTTTGAAGCTGCATCAAATTATTCATCACTGGTAGTTCCAGTTCGTTAAGTAAAATAAGTAAATTTATTTTCAATCCGTACAAGTTCATTACAATTACCTTAAACTTGAGGATTAAAGGTGATGTTAAAAAGATACAATAATTAAAGAGTTAATGCATGAGTCACCAGTTCTTCTTGCTCCTGGTTGTGTTTCGAAGCATAACCGGTTGCAGGAGAAGCAGAAATCTTTCTACCAAAGTATTTGAAATCTGTCTGCTTGTGCTTCTTGCCATGAGCATGCTTGAGGCATGTCTTTAATCTTGGATAAACGTGTAACCAAGCTCCATAATTCTTTGGCTCTTCCTGACACCAAGTAACCTCAGCATTCGAGTATTTATCCATAATTTCAATGATCTTGTGGAATGGGAATGGAGCCAATTGTTCAACACGCACAAGTGCAATGTTATCAATATTCTTTTGAGTTCTGGCAGCAAGAAGATCGTAATAAACTTTTCCTGAGCATAGAACAACTCGCTTGACGTTCTTTGGATCGTTGATTGCTCCCGTTTCATCGTCAATCACTTGCCTAAATGATGTACCCTCAGCCATTTCAGCCAATGTTGAGGCAGCCTCCTTCAATCTAAGCAAACTCTTTGGTGTAAACACAACCAAAGGCTTTCTAAAGTCACGATGTAATTGTCTTCTCAAGACATGATAAAAGTTGGCTGGTGTTGTGCAGTTTACAACTTGCATGTTTGTTTGTTGAATTTGAAGTGTTTTGCTTGCATCCTTTTCTGGAAGTGTTTCATCATCTTCATCACAAAGTTGCAAATAACGTTCCATTCTAGCATTACTGTGTTCTGGTCCTTGGCCTTCATAACCATGTGGAAGAAGGAGTGTGAGTCCTGATGATCTCATCCATTTTTGTTCAGCGCATGAAAGGAATTGGTCAACAATGATGGAAGCACCATTGGCAAAGTCACCAAATTGACCTTCCCAAATTACGAGTTGGTTGGGAGATTCCATTGAATAACCATATTCGAATCCAAGAACACCAAACTCGCTCAAGCTTGAATTGGCAATAGTGAATTCAACATTTGGATTAACATTTTTGAGTGGAATATATCTGTTTTCGTTCTCTTGGTCAATAACAACAGCATGTCTATGTGAGAAGGTACCTCTTTCAACATCTTGACCGCTGATTCTTACATGGAATCCTTCTTTCAAAAGAGTTGCATAAGCAAGAGTTTCTCCCATTCCCCAATCTAAACCCTCACCGGTTTCGATCATTTGAGATCTTTGATTGTAAACACGAGCTACGCCCTTATGTGGTGTGAAGCCAGTTTCTGGCAAGGATGAAACCTGTTTACCAAGCTTCTTTAACTCAGCGAGTGGAACGCCAGTTGTTCTGATTGCAGAATAGTCGTGTGGAGTCTTCATTCTATCCCACTTACTTCCTTGTAAATACCAAACTTCTCCTGTAACATCCAACTTTTCATCAGTCTTTGCTCTAGCAAATTCCAAGTCAAAGGTAGTCTTAACTTGCTCTTCGACTTGCTTAATATGTTCTTCAGTAACAACTCCTTCCTTCAAAAGTTGCTTACGATATTTGCTAATGATTGGCTCTTGTTTGGCGATTGCCTTGTACATAAGGGGTTGTGTAAACATTGGTTCGTCCAACTCGTTATGACCTCTCTTACGATAACAAACAATATCAATCACAACGTCAGCATGGAACTTTTGTCTGTACTCAGCAGCCAATTTAAATACCTTGACAACGGCAGTTGCGTCATCTCCATCAACATGGAAAATTGGTGCATTAAGGAATTTGGCAATATCAGTACAGTATGATGTTGATCTTGAGTTTTTAGGATTAGTTGTAAAACCAATTTGGTTGTTGACTACAACATGAACAGTACCACCGGTTCCATACTCTTCCAATTGACTCAATCCCATTGTTTCATAAACAACACCTTGTCCAGCAAAAGCAGCATCACCATGAAGCAGAATTGGTAAAACTCTTTCTCTCTTAGAGTCCTTCATGAAAACTTGTTTTGCTCTCACCTTTCCTTCAACAACTGGATTCACAGCTTCCAAGTGAGATGGATTTGGAACAAGAGAAAGTTCAACATCCTTCTTTGTGAAAGGAAGGTAACGTTTGCAAGATGTACCCAAGTGATATTTGACATCACCAGATCCTAACTTGTTTTCAGTTTTACCTAAGAATTCCCTAAAGATTTGTGCCAAGGGTTTTCTCATTACGTTTGCCAATACGTTCAAACGACCTCTGTGTGGCATACCAATAACAAATGAATCCACACCTAATGATGATGAGACATCAATCAAACTCTTGAGACCTGGAATTAAAGATTCACAACCTTCCAAGCCAAATCTCTTTGTTGTTGGGAATTTGTTTGCCAAATATTCTTCGAACATATGACTGTAACTCAATCTTTCTAAGAGAACTTTCTTTTCATCAGATGTGAGGTCAACTTGAGTTGGTGTTTCAATTCTTTCACGCAACCAGTTGCAAACCTCTCTGTCATTAATGTGCATATATTCCCATCCGATAGTTCCGCAATATGTTTCTTGAAGTCTTTGCAACAACGTTTGTAAAGTCATTGGCTTGTTGTTTGGAGAAAGAGAAGAAGAGAGGAATCCCTTGATTAAATCTTGCGATAAATCGATTGGTGTGTTTGGATCCATCTTGGAAAGGTATGGATAGTTTTCAATACGCTGAATAATTCAGTGATGTTGTTGATGATATGACGGTGGAGTTATGAATCATTTCCAAGCAACGAATAATTATTAATCAAAATATTGCAATGGTAATATTAAATGAAATAGAATATATACCAAAGTGAAAGCAAACAGGTCAAAACCACTCGGAAAATATTGTTAATTAAACATACCAATTGAGGAATATCATGAAAATCAAGGTCAGCAGCAAACATTCCTAATGGATCCAACTTGCCGACGTGATGTCCAAACACTTGGAATGATCTAATAAGTGAAATGAGTTCACCTTGTGCTCCAACTTCAGGAGAGGAGGCAAAAGAAGCTTGTGAGAAGAGGAGACACGTTGTGCTCCACCGGTTTGCGAGAGGGAAGCAAAATAATTTTGCCATTCGGCAGAAACACTGTTTGGATTCATTCTCCAAGCAAGTTCCAGCTCTTCCAGATATTGGGAGTTTGATCCAACCCAAGCAAAGCTATCGGATGGCATGGACGAGTTGCTGTTTTTCAAGATTTGGCTTGTGCTCATCATTCTTTGCTGCGAGGAAGCTTGAATAATATTGCTACTCATCTTGGAAGAGAACCCAATAGTATTGTTGGTCGTAGCATGGAAAGATTTCTTTGATGCCTTCATCAACGTTTGCTTGGCAATAGACGTTGAATTTTTGCTCACGACGGAGGCTTTGATCAATTGTGATTTGAGCATTTTTTTGTTGACGATTTTTATATCGCTTAATACAGCAGTTAAATAGGACGGCCAATCGGATCCTGATAAATTTGTTTGATTGAGCGGATGATGAAATAGTGTTGTAACAATTTTGAAAATACACTTGAAGAGATTTGATATCAAGTGATGATTGATAAAATGACTGTGGCCACAGGTGATGACTTTTTGTTTGGAAGCCAATCAATTTGTAAAGAGATTCTTCAGGAAGAAAACTGGTTCGCTCAATTTTTGAATTGGAAAATTCGCGAGAATAATATGCGACAAACGCGATTTTTAATTGAACAGATTTTTTGGCCATGAATGCATTCTTGGTTTATTGTTGTTGAGGTGAGGTTGATAACAATTCTTCACAAGTGAGGAAAGAGCTGCATCGATGTGCAATATCCTCTGATAATGGACCTATTTGTTCGAAAATGAGTTTGGCATTCAGCTCATCAATCAAGTCAAAGATGATTTTGTTTAAGGTTCGGGCAAGATAAGGGATGCAATAGAAATCTGAATAGACATAGAGACTTAACAGATCTTCGAGAGGCCAACATTCAGAACTGTACTCAAATTCAATGCCATAAATATGATCCAAAATACAATTCAGAATTTTTGGAGTAAGAGAATGTTGGGCGAGTGGTTCAAGAATTATTTCGTCATTAGAACTATCAATTTCAGCTCGGAGCGGTGTTTCAATTATTGTTTTGAAGAAATCACAAGTTAAAAGAGTGACTTATCAACTCGGAAAACATCACGCTCAAAACCCTTAATTTTCAATCTAAAATCACCTACTAAATTCATTGCAACTCTTTCCCGTCGCTCTTTAAAAAATTTGTGGACGAAATAATGAATATGCTTGACCTTATAGAATTGTGACACAGTTTGTTTTGAATATCCTTGATCAGAGTTTCAACTTGAGGAATAGTAGAAGTGGCACCAGCGGAGAAGTCTAAAGATGAGTCATGTAGTAACAATCTCTGTAAATAAGGAAGGCTCCATTCTGTTAAAGTGTCATCCAATCCTATACTTTTGAGCTTTCTAATAAAGAAACAAGTTCCTTGCCGGACTCTATTTCGAATATTATGTTATATCCATGTAAAAACTTTAGCAAAAGTTTCAACAATCGCTTTTCAATGTTGGATGTTAGGATGTTAGGGTATTTTTCAAGAACTAAATGATGTACGTTATGGGATGTGTGTGACACCTCATCATAAAAACTATGTTCTGACACTTGGGAATCGTTAAAATATGCTTGTAGATATGATGTAAGTGTTTGTGAGTTGATATTATTTTTCCAATAGTCAAACAATGAATTCTCGGTACAGTTTGTTTCACTAACATGCACAGCCACCATGAAAGGAATTTCCAGTGAATATAGTCGTCCTCCGTATGCAAAAATATTGGAGCTCGTGTGGTCGTAAATACAGCAAGAATCATACAAGGGTGGAATTACAGTTGCTTCTGGTTCTGTATACGATTTATCAACATATTTTCGTTGTAATAGGCCAGGTTCGTGTTGATATGGGCAATATTCAATAATTTCTAATGTTTCCAAGTTTATGACGAATAATTGTTGAGAGGGAACATCGCTATCTTCTGTTTCTCCACCAAAGAAAATAATGGAGCTTTCAACGCAAATAGATTGTTGAGCCATTATTTTTGGTAGAGTCAAGTTGGAGCTTGGTAATACAGAGGAATTGCTACTATTATCAAATGCCATTGGTTCCTGATTTAATACATGCCACCTCATAGTAGCAAAGTTCAGAATATAAACATTAGAGGACAAAATTGCAGTTCTTCCTGGCTGGTAGAGTGACATCATTTGCGTTGAATATAAATTGAATAATTAACCTACCTTCGTTTTTCCTCCATGAACAACCATCCAATCCAATTCTTCTACATATACAGCTCTATGGTAAGCTAAAGGTGACACTATAGACGAGTTGTCAATATTTAACTTTGTCCATATATCTTTAACAATGTCATATTCATAAGTAGAGTTCTCAAAATGCTTATAGCTTCCCATGTGACCTCCGAATACAATCATGGTTCGATTTTTCTTTCTAAAAATTGCTGTATGTCCTTCTAAACACGGACCATTCGAGTTTTTCTTCCAAATTTTGTTTTCAAATTGGAATGAAAAACAATTATTCAACAATCTTCAAAATTAATATATTTAAAAATTAATAAATTACGAAATACTAAGCCATCATACCTTCTTCCATCGGTAAATCCACCATACACAATCATTGATGCCGGTTTCCCATTGGTTGACTCGTCATCACAAATTAAAGAATGAAATATTCTTCCTTCAGGTTTAATTCCTGGTTGTGTGATGGTCACTTCATGTATTTCCATTTCTCCCAATTCGTAATTGATCGTTTTTAAATCAATGTATTGAACAATATCGGAGTAAAAGTCATTGCCGTTGGGGTGAGGGGTACCTCCATAAAAATACATTTTATCATCATAAAGAACTCCCTGACAACACGACCTCGATTTTGCAAACCCATGCCGATCCGAGAAAGGCTTTGCCAAGTAACAATTCAAGTTTTCATTGCCATCAGCAAACACTTCTAGCTTCATTTTTTAACTCGTTCAAAGTCTTTTTATTTTCTAATTTTTACTTTACTGGAACTACTATTTTGTATCAAGCTATTTCCTAACTTTAAAGCTGTTAACCAATCCATTGGGAGTCACATTCAATCATAATTAATATTTTTTGACAATTCAAGATTGAGAATGAGAATGAGAAGAAGATGATCATCTCATTCGGCGCAAACAGTGGCGGAAGGAAAATTGAACAAAAAATGTCTCAACCAACACCATCGTCATCATCGGGAAGCTCTTCTCTCAACGGCCACGTTCTCAGTATTCAGAGCCATGTGGTTCATGGATACGTAGGAAATCGTTCTGCTGTTTTCCCTTTGCAATTATTGGGATTTGAAGTAGATTTTATTAACTCGGTCCAATTTTCTAATCATACAGGATATCGGAATGGATGGAAAGGACAAACTTTGAGTGGAGATGAACTTGCTCTATTATTTGAAGGATTACAAATGAACAATTTAGAAGGATCTTACACTCATCTTTTGACTGGATACATCGGAAGTGAAACCTTTTTACAAAATATTTTACATATTCATGATAAATTGATAGAGAGAAATCCGAAATTAATTTATGGTACGTTGCAGAAAATATTGAAGGAGAAATGATCAAAGTTGAACTTGTTTGATTATTATGCCTCTTTGTGTTTGATGTGTTCAAAAATTGCAGTTTGTGATCCAGTGCTTGGAGATGCAGGTAAACTTTATGTTCCAGAAAAACTCATTCAAATTTACAGAGAGAAGGTAAGTAACTTATGGGTTTGTTAGATTCGCTAGTGGAAGCACACAATGCTCACAACTATCTACGATGCTACCATTAACATGACAAGGTGTTGAATCGTGCAACTGTAATTACACCAAATCAATTTGAGGCAGAAACATTGAGTGGAAAGAAAATTAAAAACGAACAAGATGCTCTTGATGTCATTGATTTATTCCACAAGGAACCATATAATATTCCTGTAGTTGTTCTTACAAGTGCAGAGTTGGAAGGTGATAAGGAAAGTTTGACTTTGTATGCAAGTAATAAGAAAACTCAAAAGAAATACAGAATCAAGTTCAAGAAGTTGCCAGGATCCTTCACTGGAACAGGAGATGTAGTGAGTGCTCTCTTTTTAGCATTCTATGCTATCCATGGAGATGATAATTTTAACACATCTCTCGAGAAAACGCTAGCTGGAATTCAAGCTGTGCTCGAAAAAACTCCACCTGGTGAGGAATTGAGGCTTATTGAGTCAAGATTTGTTCTCTTAGATCCACCAATCCAATATAAGGCAGAACAGCTTTAAGTGACGCCATGGACTATTTCAAATTTTAAATTATCTTCCTATTCATTAATCACGAACGTAATAAATAACATTTTGATTTAAATTTCTTAATTCTGCAATTAACGGTTGAATCAGTATCCACAATCCAATTCCTATTAATCCTCCGTAAATCAATGATTTAAAATTTCTATTTAATAATCCAATCAACCACGTTAATATCTTCCATCTCGTTTCGTTGTGTTCGTGCTTAATTTCGGGGTTTTTTTCATTCTTTTGCAACGTCAGATATTCTTTCACTCCATACTGAATCAAAAAGCATCCCAACGATCCGCTCACAAAAGCAAAGCCATATCTAAACAGTTCCTTGATCAACGCAACAGCTATCCTCTCCAATTGAGTATCTCGAATGATTTCGTTGGTTTCTGCACTTACAATTCGTACCATTTTTTTAAAGTGATTTCCATCTTGCTTGAAAAAGGGAATTTCATTATTAAATAATTTCTCTTTAGAGATGAACGGATTTATGTCTATTATTGTGAAATTGTAAACTGTTCTTGTTCGACTCAGTTTCGCAAAAGAAAAGAATCGGTTCTGATCTCCCTTTAAAAAAAAAATTAAAAATTACTCTCATTCCGAAGCGAGGCTGTTCTTGTTCCTTTGAGTATTGGTGCATCGTCGGAAAATGAAGAAAGAAGTGCAAGTCATTAAACCTCCACTTGATAAAAGGGAATATAAAGTTATCAAACTAGAGAATGAATTGGAAGCCTTGTTGGTGAGCGATCCTGAAACGGCTCAAGCAGCTGCAGCCATGGATGTCAAAGGTATGTGTACTCACAACAAGAAAAACCAATGATAATTTTAAAAACTTTTCGGAAATGTCAGTGGGTCACTTTTCAGATCCTGTGATTTTCCAGGAGTAAGTTTATTACAAAGATGATTTATCTTGTAACACACGATCATAATTTCTCATTAGTTGGCACACTTTTGTGAGCGTAAGTAGAACACGCAATCGCAAATTTCCAATATTCAATTTGATTCTACATGATGACAGATATGTGTTTTTTGGGATCTTCTAAGTATCCAAAAGAAGGGAGTATCAGGATTTTGTCAAGAATAACGGTGGTTTTACCAATGCATTTACTTCAACAGAAAACACGAACTTTCATTTATCAATTGCCAATAATCATCTCGAAAAAGTCCTAGATATGTTTGCACAATTCTTTATTTCTCCATTATTTACTGAGAGCGCAACAGAAAGAGAAATATTAGCCGTCGATAGCGAATTTAAAAAGAATTTAAATGATGACGTATGGAGAGACTATCAAATCATGAAATCGACTGCAAATCCAGACCATCCATTCTCGAAATTTGGAAGTGGTTGTTTAGAGTCCTTAGATACAATTCCTAAACAAAACAATATGGATGTACGAAAAGCATTGATTGATTTTCATTCAAAATATTATTCGAGTAATCAAATGAAGCTTTGTGTAATTGGACAATATCCTCTTTCACAACTTGAAGAGTGGGTCAGAAGCAAATTTGGAGAGATTCCAAATACGAAGGCTACTACTGCATGCTTTTTTCCAAAGAATGTTAAGCCCTATAGCAAGAATGAAATTTCAAAGTTTGTTAGGTTAAAGACCATTTCTGATTTGAGACAGTTGTCACTCGTATTTCCTATTCAACTAACTCTTCCAACCATCGATGGACGACACATTGCCTATCAATTCAAGCCCGAAAAATACGTGTCTCATTTGGTAAGTAGAAATTCTTTTTTGACAGCCAAGTTTACATGGATGACAACTTCCAAAGATCGGACACGAGTGTAAAGGCTCTCTATTTTCCCTGTTAAAAAAGAAAGGATGGGTTTCATCATTATCAGCTGGTCCTTATGCAAGATTTGGTGGTAATAATTGTGTTGATTTGCCAAAAGAAGATAGCTTCGTTTTGTATACTGTCAATATTGAGCTTACTGTTGAAGGAGAGGATCATATTTATGAAATTATTGAGTATTTATTTGAATATATTGATTTGATCAAGTCGAAACAAGGCGTACAGAAATGGGTGTATGACGAGGTTTCACATTTGGCAAAGCTGGCGTTTGTCAATCTAGAGTATCCTAGAGCTCTTCAGTTTGCAAGTGACATGGCCCAAAATTTGCAAAAGTATTTACCCAATGAAGTCATTTCCGGCGTTCATATTTTTGATTACAACGAAGAGTTAATTATTGAGTGTTTAAACCAACTTAATCCATACAACTTCAACGTGTATTACCGAAAGCCAAGTTTTGAAAATATTAATTTCGAAGAAGAAAAATGGTACAAAGCTCAATACTCTCTACAAGATCTCCCACAAGAATGGCTCGACAAGCTTGCAAGAGTGACTCATTCAACTAGTGAGCTCACATTCCCAGCACCAAATCCATTTATTCCAGAAAACTTTGATATTAAGGGAATCATTAACAGTACTTCCAATGATGATGGTCCTTCTACTGTGTATCATACTTCCAAGATGAAGGCATGGTTCAAGCAAGATAATTACTTTGGAACACCAAGAGGAAATATTTTCTATAATATCATTCTTCCTCAAACCAAGTCAGATCCTCGTACGGTTATTTGTTCAGAAATGTTTTGTGAAATGGTCACAGACTATTTGAACGAAGATTTGTATTTTGCAGAAGTTGCTGGTTTAACTTATAGTTTATCAACCTATTCAAGCGGTATCAACGTACTATTATTGGGGTACAATGACAAAATGAAGGATCTCAATAACAAGATATTTCGAGACATGGTATCTGTCGTCGATCAAAAGCTTCTAAAATTAGATAGATTTGAAGTGATTAAGGAAAGATTGTCAAGAACGTATACCAACTTTAAATTTGCACAACCCTACGAACATGCAGTTATTGAGGCTCACAGACTTCTTTTTCAAAAAAAGTTTTGTTCATTGGATTATATTGACGTTATTGATACCATTGATTTTGAAGAATTTTATAATTTCATTACGGTTTGGTTCAAGACTCTTCGGGTAGAATTATTAATACATGGAAACTTTACCTCACAAGAAGCATTAGAGCTGTGTTCTGACACTGAGAAGATTTTATTCGATCGAAGTGTGAAAGTGATGGTTCCTTTACCAAGCCAAGAACAGAGAGAACATATTGTTCAACTTCCAACTGGAACGGATGTCATCTTCCCAATCTCGAATCATAATTTTAATAACCCTAATCATGCCCTAGAAATTGTGTACCAATTAGGATTTCGATCTGTGGAGTTAGATGCGATGGCTGAACTTTTCAATCAAATTATTAGCAACCAATACTATCTTGTCTTGCGAACAGAAAAACAGTTAGGATACATTGTGCATTCAAGAGTGAGATTTGATCATAACATTTGTTCTTTTAGTTGTATCGTTCAATCTCCATCTTACGATCCAAAAGAAGTTTTAAAAGAACATGACCAATTCTTTGTGGATATTAACGGACTGTTATCATCTTTGACTGAGAAAGACATTGAGGCACATCTTGACGCATTAATTTCCAAGATCACTGAAAAAGAAAAGCAAATGAAAATGGAATCTGCTAGACACATGGCTGAAATTACGAATCAGCAATACATGTTTAACAGAAAGGCTAAAAAAGTAGAGGCCATCAAAAAATTTACACTCAAGGATGTGCTTGACTTTTATCAGAACTTTATGATGCCTAGTGGTGAAAAATTCCGACGTGCAGTGGTGATGATGTTTGCTTCACCTTCCACCATTGATCATGCCAGAATTGCTAAATTCGACGATAATAGAAAAGTTATTGTGGTTCCTGAAGCGGATAGATTCGAATTCAAGCATACACTTGCTCTATTTCCTAATTTTGTGAAATTCTAGAAACTAATTTAACATAAATTCATCCTCTCTATTCAAAACTACTACTTCTTTTATGCCTTTCCAAAGAGAGCCAGTAAAATGCATCCAGGAATTAAAAATATTAAGGCGCTCACAAAAAATTGAGCAATTGCTTTCCATCCAAGCAACTCTTTGAAAAATAACAATCCACACAATCCTGCAACAACCAAACTAGTTTGTGTTAATGGAATACCTATGGTCATGCCGAGAGGAGACAGTGCAACATAGAATGCAAAAATGTTCGCTAACTGCCAAAGGCAGGCAGTCACAGCAGGGAAAATTGCAACCTTAAAGTGAAATGGAACAATAACTCTGTATCGAGCAAAATAATATATCAAAAAAACTAGCACTAAAACTGAAGTAATAGCCTATTCATGAATAAATACTGCTTATCCATTTTAACAATTTGAATTACAATACTCACCATTGCTCCAACACCAAAACCAATCACATAAGCAACGCCTTGATGTGTCTCTAGTCGAGTTGGAACAAACATGGTACCTCCTAAAACTCCAACTCCAACAGCACACACCACTCCAATGATATAATCTTTAGATTGAGAAAGTAAATTCACAAATTTCGATGTTTTTTTAGGACTAGATTCTAAGTCATCGACTTCATTTTTCAACTTTGAAACCTCAGCTTTTTGATGAGTTTCATGAAATGCTATGGCGTCCTCTCCATTGTGACGATCCTCACTTGCATACGTTGGTGGACTGACAGAATTGTGCATTTCATCAGTGGAGTGACGCGACTCTTCTTCCAATTTCAATGTTAAATCTCTCGTTTCATGCTGTTCCATAATTGTTGTTGATTCAATATCATCGCGATGCTGAGGCGATGATTGCTCTGTATTTATATTCTGTGGATCCTTTGACTTGTCATCAATGACCGTAGTGCCACTCCGAGTATTCCATTTAGAGCAAGTAGCCACTCCAACAATGCCCACTACCATTAACAACAAACCCAAAGCCGTCAAATAAAAATTACCAATTCGAGATTGAAATAAGGTAACACTCCAAACAAAGCTTGTCAAAATAGTAGTACCGCTCCAAATTCCTTGAGCGACTCCAAGACCTAATTTCGAAATGGCCACCAAAGATAATAAGGAGCAAGGTACCCAACAAGCAGATCCAAGCATTCCCCAAAAGGAGAAATACCAATCATTCCATGCCAGGACAATGAAAGAGGTTATGCACACGACGGAGGAGAAGTAAAATTGAAATATGAAGGGATGAATGTTGGCTTGTTGAACCCATTTCACTTTTAAAGGAAGGCCAAAGGTTCCCCAAGCAAGAATACTGTGTTCCGATGGTTTGTTTTTTGAATTATATCCGACAATAATAATAATTATATATAACCATTAAAATGATTTGAATTTCCGAATTGAATTTTTGATAACAATATTAACTAATCGGCATCAATTCGTTAAATGGAACACATACCAGATGACAACTCCAATCCAGCCGAACCATTCTGGCACATTCATTGCATTCGGATTTGTTCCATTTGTTGTGTCGTTATTTGATGAAATAGTGCTCAAAGATTGTATTCCGACGTTTAAATTGTATTCACTTGTTATTGGGATTTGGAATCGGTTCATTGTTTTCTACTTTTTTTGTTGCAAGACTAACTGGATTAGGAACGAAAAAAAGCATGTTGTTTTGTTGTAAAATACATTGAAAAGTATATTTCAATTGACTCTAGAATGTTGTTGAAAATAAAAGAATGTACAATGTAAAATTACTTTTTTCTCTTTCTCAAGATGTGTCTTGTAATTTGAGATGAAGAGATTGGCTTGTTGACATTTCTAGTTGGTTTGAGAAGAGTTTCCAACCTGTAATTTTGAATTGTGAAATGCTTGTTTTGCGACAAATCTTCTAGAAGGGTGTGGAACGCTTCCTTATTTCCTCGGCACACATCGTTGAGCAGCATGGGTTCAATATTTTCCCTTAAAAATTGCTTTCTCACATCGATAGGCTTGTTATAAACTTGGTCAAACGAAAGAGTTGCAGCAGCTGCAGGAGGTTGCTCTTGTTTTTTCTGTTTTTTAGGTGCTTTTTGTTTTGAGTTGGGGGATGTAATTTTTCTCTTTGTTTCTGTAAAGTCTTGAGGTGTAAATTGAGTAATAATTGTTGTTGGTGGAGTATTGCTGAGTTGATTCATGGTCAACTGGTGATTCATAGTGTTGTTCAAACTCATTGTACCATACGAGTGGTTAGAATTATTATTTAGAGTGTTCATTAGGGTATTCATGACATTGCTACCACCTGAATAATTACTAAACATCAAATTTGATCCATACATTGAGGCTGAGCCATCATTGGCCAATGTTGTTGGTGTAGAAGTTGATGGAGTGTTATTACCATCAACAGCTCCACTACTGCTACTAGTGTTTCCAACTACAGGTTGGATTTTGGTTTCCCAACATTGATCGCAACAAATGTTCTTGGCTTGTCTTTGCTTTTTCAAGTAATCTAAATGTTTGTCGGAGACCATGTAGCTCAAATGTGATGGAATTCTCTTGATTTGATCAACTGCAACAAGAAAACCATTGGGATGTCCCTTTTCATTCTCGCAAAGACAACACAATTTACGGACAAGTCCTTCTCCAGCCTTCTTTTTCTTTTCGCTTGGTGTGGATGGTGTTGTTGGTGTTGGTGGTTGTTGGCTATTGCTACCCATCATCAAGGAATTCAGTGGATGGCTATTATGAATGGAATTGGTGTACATCATGTTATCGTTAGACATGGGTATTATACTATTACTAGTGGTTGATGTTGGATTGGGTTGAACACCAGCATGATTTGAACTGATTGTTTGATGAGATGAAGGAGAGGAATGTAATTGTGGAATAGGCATCATTTCATTATCATAGGATGGAGCATTGGTATTGAAAACAAAATGATCCGAAGATGAAGATGCCACCTGAAAGAGTGGATCATCAGGGTCAAACGGTGGAAGGATAATGTTGTTGGCATTGTTATTGTTGGTGGAGTTGTAGTTTGAAATTTGGGAAAATGCATGATGATGAGAGTTTAAATTCATAGGATGTGTTGTTGGTGATGTAGTTGGCATCATGATGTGATGGTGAATATTGGTGGGAGGGTTGAGAGGGGTGTGATGAAGGTAGGACATTTTTTTGTGAATATCATCAACAAACTGCTTCAAAAACAATACAATTACTCGATATGGAAGTGATATTTGGATAATGGAACGTTTGATTATCTTGACTCACAATGTGAAATTGTTGGATGTTGTTATTAACAATTAAAAGAGGATTTTTATCTTCGTGGTTTCTGACAATATTGTGAAATGTTCACAAACCAACAAACATATTTTGACAGGAGATCATTGTAATAGAACAAACAAGAGTTAATTCGAGTAGTACGTTTCGTAGTCATACCTCACCGACGACGGTGTCGCTTTGGACGTTTTAGGGATGTGTACAGGAATTCCTTGATTCGTCTGAATGAGAAGATATGAGTCAATGAACCTTTCAGTTCCGATTCTTTCATCTCTGTCCCTATCATAAATTGCAACACATTGTAGACCCTTGGGATGAAAGATTTTGTCATTTGCAGCGACGATGACTTGTCCAATTTTCCATTTTGTGGATTCCGTTAAGATATCAAGACGAGACCTTTTGAGATGGGACTTGTAGCAGTACCAGCTCAAGAAACAACAAAGCCAAATCCCTCCCGAAATAATAGCAAGAAGAATATTAATGGTAAGGATTGTTCCGAATCTTTCAATACCGTTTGCCTGCTCTCTCTTGAGATTTTTGATCAGGCGATTAATGTCGTCCATAAAGTTCTCAAACGTTGCTCTATCAATCTCGAATTGTTCTAATACTTTGGGATAAATATCATTGAACGTTTCCGAATAAGGATTGAAATTACATTGCCATAGAGAAGAAGAATCAAAATGACCTGTGTTCATCGTTGCACAAACAATACTTATTGAGGCTTTCCTTATAATTTTTTTGTTTGTAATTAAACATCCATACGCTTCTTCTGTTGAAAGGGATTTCGGCAGTTGCTAACATTAAATTAAACTGTCCATGGCCTCGATGAGACTATGAATATTTTGTCCTGTGAGGGCGCTCACTTCCAGAAGTTCAACATGTTTACAATGTTCCTTAACATTATTCCATTTAATGAAGTGCTGGAAAATTTCTGAACTGAACACGCTTGGTGCATCTCTAACAGAAGAATGCTTGAATTAAAATTACTTTAAAATTAGTTCACTTACCTCTTGTTTAACACAACGATAAATGGCTTCTGTTCTCCATGATTTGCCAACAGGTTTAAAAGTTCAATGCACGAGGAAGAGAGCTGCATGGTGCAGGAGCTATCGATCACAAACTAATGAATTGTTGCCAAGAAATTGATTAATAATTAAAGATTAAATAATTATTTTCGTAGCCACCTACATACCACAATAACTTTACACTCGTCTAAATATCTATGCCAGGTGAGAATAATGCCTCCACCAACTTCTCGTAATTTAATCTTTTTTGATTTTTTCTTTCCTCCAATTATTAGTTCATCTAAATTGACTCCGTTTGTTGGTAACCCATCATAAAAAGTTAAATAATCATTATTTTGCAAATAATCTGTAGATTAATATTCTTGATTATTAATCATTCAAGGCCTTTCTAAACCTACTTTTCATTTGTTTAATAAGGAAACTCTTTCCGCTCCCTTGTAAACCCAACATCAGTACATCAATGGACGATGAGGCACTGTTGCTCGAATTTCCAAGAATACCTCCACCAACTGAATTTTGTTTTTTCATATTTTCTTGTTTTCGGAATCAATGATCGTTTTCAATTGGTATGAAATGATTTGGCAACAACATCGCCCGTCCTCTTATTTTTTCTAAATCTATTCGCTGAAAGTGAGATTACATACAAAATGTATTACATTCATCACAAGGAAGGAATGTTATATTGCAAAATGCATGTTTTTCAAGGGCTCTCGTTGGCTCAATATCACGAGCTCTGTCAAAATGGATAACAATCCGCAGTTCTTTTGAGCGAAGATGTCATCCAGTTATGCGTGTCGTTGTATCATCAAACAACAACAACAAAAAAATGAATTCTCATCAACTGCTGCGATGGGGCGGGTTGGTGATTTGTGTCTTGTTGTTGGCTGGAGTAGCGATGAATTTACATCATTTATTATCAAAGTGGAAATCCAAATCTGTTGCTGAATTAACATCGGACACAATAACAATTTCAAAGATTGAGTTGGATGAGCTGAAAAAGTATGCTCATTCATGTAAAGTACTAAAACATTTATCTATTGTATTGATTGATACAGGAGGCAATGTTCATAAACAGATTAGAACATTGGTAGGAACCATACATCGTTATCACGAAGCAGAATTGTTGATTTACGTGTACGGAGTTGATCTAGATGAGCCTACTCGGAATGAAATATATCTTTGGAAAAATGTTGAATATTGGGATGTAAGAGAGCTATATCAAGCCACAACAAACATTGACCGACCTGAGAAAATCAATGCCGAATATTACAAACCTGTAATTTTCAAACACAGTGTTGAACGATTAGGAAAGTTTGTTTACATTCAAACAGGACACTATTTAACGAGAAAACTCGAATTGACAAAATAGAGGCCTACTTGGAAAGATATGGAAGCTTTTTCGCATCTCCAAGGTGTAATTCACCTCTGCCAAAAGATAAGAGTCTTGCAGCTACCAAATCTTTTGACGTTGTTCTCCATGGTGCTACCTACAACTCGTATGCATACAAAAACCTTTATATTCCACTGTATGAATGCTCTAGGGCAAAATGTGCACCTGCACACTTAAAAGATTTAGATCCAGAAAAGTTTGACAGTCTATCCGATGATTTAAAACAAGCAATGCACTGTCAAGATTTAGCAACCATTACACATGCAATTTCTGCAGATGCTCCATCGGATAGTGCTTGCTATATCATTAATAGAGAGGATATGCTTCTTTCTCCTTCGCAATTACCAGGATTTCCAATTAAATCTTGGGTTGCATTTACTCCGGAGAAGGATGACACTGGTCTTATCAAGCAAAATGACGACAAAAGAATTCACATTGCATTAGGTGTGCCAACAACCTCTAAAGGGCACAAGAATGTCAATGAAAATCCTCTCTTTAAAGTATTTCTTCCTAGTTTGAAAGAAACAATAGCACGAAAAGGATCACCTGATGGTGACAAGTACGTTTACAAACTTTATGTTGCCATCGACCGTGGAGATCCTGTTTATGACAACGCTGAAAATCAAAAACTCTTCAAGAATTTAGTCATGAGCCAAATGGAAGGATACAATTTCCATTTCCAAATTATCAAAGTTATTAACTCTCATGGCTGGGTTCCAATGTTGTGGAATACTGTTTTCCAACATTCTATTGACGACGGCGCCGATTACTTCTACCAGCTTAATGATGATGTGAAATTCATTACTCCAGGATGGACGGGAATATTAATTGAACGATTGGAAAACAATCCATTCAGAAAGAATTTTGGTGTTACAGGTCCTACAGATGAAGGAAACAGAAGTATCTTTACCCAAGCATTTGTTCATAGAACACATCATCACATTTTTGGATACTTTTATCCATATGTTTTCAAAAATTGGTATAGTGATGACTGGATTTCTCTTGTTTACAGAGACTCCAACTCGTACTTTAAGGATCCACATAAACCTATGGTAAGAAACCAACAAACATTTGGTACTCGTTACGACATTTGTGACGCGAACGGTCGCGAGAATCTTCACAAGATTTTGCAGGTATCAAAGGTTAAGATCAAAGAGTATCTGGAATCCACAGCAGCCCCTTAATAAAATTTTTCAAACACTTATTTATTTTCATACTGTTGTTGTATCCTATATATATCCTATCTCAACGAAGAGACAACATTATTTTCCTTTCCTTCCACAACCGGGGGTACTTTTTTCGTAATCTTGACACCAGTAGGCTGAGGAACAACATTGTTCATTTGGCTGGGTTGGAGAGGCTTTCTTTTGACAATAGGAATCACTCTGTAGGAAACCTCATCCTTTCTTTCTTCTTCCTTTTCCACAGATATGGTTGGAACGTCTGATCTTTTTTGTTCATTTGCGTCATCCAAACTTGTTCTTTTTGGAGATTGAGAAGATGGTTTCACAACCGGCTTACGCAGCAAATCATTTTCCTCTTGAAGTTTTTGGACCAGCTGTTCTAGCTCTCTAACTCTCTGAGAATCAGTAACTGGTGAGTCCAATTTTGCATCTTTTTGTGACACTTTGGAAATAGTCTTATTATTTTGTTGCAGTAACAGCTCGTGTTCACCAGCAGCACCAGCCAAGTCTACAGATAATCGAATTCTCTTGTTCTCGGTTAAAAGGTTTGCTGCTCTAAAGATTTTACCCTTAACAACAGCTCTTGGTTGTGGTCGACGAGTTTGGCTGCTTTAAGCTCAAGCGATGACTGTTCTTTCACAAAATGATACTCCTTATTCTTCATTTTGAATAGTTGCTTCTTCAACTTCTTGTATTTCTCTTCTCGTACCTTCTGGTTTTCTACTAGCTCACTAATTTTTGTTTCGTATCTTTGCTTTTCAAATGATCTCTCTTGTGAGATAACTCTGAGAGTTGCTAATTCTTGATTTAAGTTCTTGATTTCCTCACAAAGCATTTCCTTTTGAGCTTGTATTCTTTCCAACTTTGATTTTAGGTCTTTCATTTCCTCTTTGCTACCATCAGGATCTAATGAAAGTTCTATTTGATACATTTCTAGCTTTCTTCGTAGTTCATCAAGCTCTTTCTTTGTAATGATTGACTGTGCGTCAACAGTGTTTTGTTGCACAGCAACTGCCTTCTCAAAAAGCGAAGAAAAATGATCTTTGATACCTCGCATCTCTCGCAGCGCTTCTGATAGTTCAGAGGTTAAATTAAGGGAGGGTATGTGTTGATCTTGAGGAAGAACGTCTCTTGGTTTTGATATTTCATTTACCTTTGACACTGCCTCTGTGTAACGTTCATGCATTTCTCGCATTGTGTTCTTTAGGTCGATTTCTCGTTCGATTTGACTTTCAATCTGTTTTTCCTTCTTCAATAGCATGAGCTCCAGTCGCTTAACTTCATTTTTATATTCCTCAACCACATTATTTTCCATGGTTTTGCCTTCTAATGATATCATCATGCTCATCTGTTTAATTTCACTTTGATATTGCAGTCTCAACTTTTCAACGCTTTCTAGCAGCTCTGATTTTAAGGCAAACATATCTCTTCGTGTATTCTCAATTTCTTGCTGCTTCTGCTCAAGTTTTTGCTGAACTTCCTTGTTGCAGTTTTTAAGATTTTTCACTTTTCGTCCCAGCGTTTCGATTTCTTGGCAACCTGCATTTAATTCGGTCAATAGATTTTCCTGAAATAGTATAAATATATATATAACATCCATTGATTCAAAGAAAGTAACTTACATTGTCTTTCGTAACTTTTTCAATTATTTGATCCTTTGTTTGGATTGTACAAACAAACTCTTTGATCTTCTTAGCATGGTCTGCGAGCTCCCTTGCTGTTGTTGCAACCTCTTCATTCTTAATCGTCTCAATTTGCTTCTTGTGTGCCTTTATAGATTTACTTTGAAGTGCAGCAAATATCATTAACAAATACAGTAATTTTTGGTTGGTTCCACTGGCATCTTTCTGGATCTGAAAACGTGTTAGAAAGAAAAATATGTTGAAACAAACCTCTTTCTTAATGGTCTCTTCTATGAACTGCTCGTTGCTTTGAACGACCTCATCTACGAGTGGCATTATTTTTGTGCAAACCATGTTCGAAAATCTTCTTTTCGACTCAAGACTGTTTGTTCCATATGTATCTTGAAATATCTTGACCATTTCGTCTACGTCCAGCTTTGAAATGTCATAGCATGATCCAACAAAAAAGTCCTCAATGCTTCCTAGTGAATCTCCGTCTAAATACTGAGTCAAACTTTCGCATGTAGTGATAAAGCTCTGTATCATTTCCGTGTTGTTTTGTATCGAGTCTTTATGAGAAGAAAGTCGTGATGGAGGCTGCATGATTGGCGAAGGTTCCAATGTATACATTAAAGAGTGTTCTTGAGGCTTGGGTTCCGAAAAGTTGTCTGGGTTGCTTACAAATGAAAAGAGAGACTCATCCAACGTGGAAATATCGGCCTTTGTTTTTTGTACAGTTGGATCCAAATTGCTATCATCTTCCAGAAATGATGCCAACTGATCCGTGTTTTGAAGAGGATGAACATCCTCTGTCCCATCATTTGAAGAATATGGACTAATGTCGGTAGAGGCAGCACCGCCATTATTACTTCGAAAATAACTCTCCAATTGGGATCCCTTGCTTCCGCTGTTGTTGCTTCCGTTCATATTACTTGTATGAAGCAGTGATGTTCTTGATGGGGATCCCTGTAACTGTTGTTGTTGTTGCATCATGGATGCAGGACTGCACGAGTCATCTTTTGGACTCAAATGAAACGAGTTGAAGATATCATTCATTTTTTTGTTGGCCTTAATTTAATAACGGATTTGATGGCGCGAGTAGCTTTCGCGCCAAAAATTAAATCTGTAGCCAACAACGCACGGGTGTATCAACATGATGATAATTGTTTAATGATAACGATAATATTGGTTCATAAATAGTCGTGTTGTACATACGTGTTATGAACTTTTTGATCCTTTCTCAAAGGTTGAACATGGTCATGTATTGAGAGTCACTCAAGTAATGGACGCTTGGAAGAGGAAGTTTGGTACTTGAAGTCCATGAGGTTCGAAGAGCAGGCAATCTTTGAGCTGCATTTTGTGAGCCAATAATGTTATCAAAACGAAGAAAGACCGTTCCAGCTGGATCTTGGCCATCCACAAAGATATGAACAATATTTCCAAAACTCTTGCATGCCTTTCTGATAGTATCCTCTACAACTTTAACTTGATCACTGTTAACAATCATTTAACAAATGATGAGGAACGGACATAAAAAATCAACTACTTACGTTGCTGGATCAAACATGTATGAGAAGGAGAGATTTTGTGAAGCAGTTCCCTTTACCTCTGCAGAGCGTAACGTGATAAATCTTTCAGCGAATGTGTTAGTTGCTGTGGGTCTTTCATGATGAGTGGTCTCTTTAGTACCTTCTTCAGCATCCTCTTGTTCTTGTGTTTGTTGTTTCTTTGATTCTGTCTCTGGCTCGTTATAAAATCCAACCCTCAATATATATTTAGGAGAAAAAGTAAAACCGTTCATTTTAAGAACAGCTCTTTTAGCTCCGTCAAACTTTTGAATGTCATGAGTACAGTGCCATTAAATTCTCCGTTTTCATCTTTTTTCATGTCCAGTTTTTCAATAAAACCAAAGGCTCCAAATAATTTAAACAAATCGGATCTAGTAAAAATGGGAGGTACATTACCGACATATACTTTACAATGACCTTGTTGAAAATCTTGATGTTCGCTTGTATCAATGGTTTCCAATTGTTCTCTTTTTCTCTTTTTTTCCTCAGCTTGTTTCACAACAATTGGAAATCCTTTCACGTAACTTCCAGTAAGAGCTAAAGAAGGTGTCACAGAAGTAATATCATTAAAAATGACGTACGCAACTCCTTTTGGTTGATTTTTCATACTCACTTCGCTGTAGTTTGTTAAATTATTTTGATTCAATAAATCTTTAATATCTTGTTCTGTAGCACTGCTTGGTAGCATTGAAATGTAAATTGTTCTTGCTCTCAACTCTTGATCATCTTGAGTATTATAGTTTATCATGTTATAATTTCTGTGATGAGGTTGTGAATAGTACGAAGAAGGTGGAAAATGATGACCGCTAGGCTTGCCATAGCCAGGATAATATTGTTGTTGCTGTGGTGTTTCAGTTCTATTCAGTGAATGATCAGAATGTTCCGATGCGGTATCATCTCTACTTATAACCGATGATGTTGAAGATGATGCGTCCAAGTTGTTGCCATGATGAGAATATCTAGAATGGCCATACTGTTGATGACCATAACCGGAGTGGTATGGACGAGGATGATACTCTTTCTTTCTCTTACTATGCTGGTCAGTTGGTGCTCCTTCATCCCAACCATCATATTTGCGAAACATTCGATCATCATGACCAGAAAATTGTTTGTTGTTGTACGACATTTTTTTGAAATAATCTTTCGATTAATTATTTAAACTACAACCGATTTGTTTTAATCTTATAATAATGAACTGTTATTTATTTACATTAATATGTTATACAATGCACTTCATTCTGTCTCCTTGAAGAAAGTCCTAACCTTGTAGTTCACAGGCTTATGAGTGAATCTGTGAATCGCAATAGAATTAGTCTTGGTTCTCTTTTGGTGCTTCTCTACATCGGAATGAGACCTCTTCAATGGATTCTCTGCATTGATTGTGTCCATTCTTTTGCAATTCATTGAATGTGTAGAGCTCAGAGACAAAATCAGCAATTTGTAGTCTCTGCAGGACCTATTAATAGAGTGATTATTTGAATTCCCAACAATCATGCACGGTTACCCTATTCGTCATCGCTCTGGAGAAGCAATGAAATTGTTGATTGGAACTAATTCACAACTACTTACGAAATTCATATCCATTATGGAGGAAGAAAAAGCAGGAGAGCCAAAACTTTGTTGAGAGAATATTTCGCCAAATTGTTGCCTCTGGAATTAATGGTGCCACAGTGTTAAATCATCTTTTAGAAACATCAAGTACATACTGCTGATTCATCCACTTCACCAGCTTCAATATTTATAAAGTGAGAGGTTTTTTGTTTGAAAGATCGGAAAGTGTTCATGTCCAATTGTGATGATTCCTCTAACGAAAGAGATGCCGTCTTCTTGGCTGATGATGTAGACTTGTTGTTCATTTCATTCCGACGAGCTGACAGTGATGATTCCATCTTCTTATCATATTCGGTAGTTTGTCTACTAGAAGCCTTCGAAGAAGCTTTGTCAAATTTACTTTTCGGAACTTTAAATTCTTTGTTTTCCAATGAAGATTGAGAGGAAGAAATATTGGGAGATGAATTATTCAAAGATTGACTCTCTTTCTTTGAAATGCTCACTGGAGGATCTATTCCGTTTAAAAAGAAGTCTAGAGCAATTTTTTGTACTTGTTCTTCAAGTTTATCGTTTTGCATTTTTTTGTGTTTAGAAATTGCTGGAATAAAAGTACTTAATCAACGACCTTATTCAAAAAGTATCCAATTCCTAAAACTGCAGCAGCTGTCAAGGCATATTCAGCCACAGTCCAACCAACTCCTGGTTCAGAAGATCCTGAATGGTGATGATCGGAAGTTGTACGAGCTTTTCCAAACATGCTTGTCAAGTTTTCTCCCATTTTTATGGCTGTGGCCTCTTCTTCTTCATTCATATCTTCAAAGTCATCATCGTCATCGACAGTTGCTGTCTGACCATTAAGAGGATGATGGTGATGCTCACCTTCTTCGTCATGATGAGCATTGCCACTGAGTTGTTTCAAAATATTAATCAAATCTGCTTCAGATGGTTCACCTTCTTCTTCTTCATCTTCGTCATCGAGATGAATTGCAGCCGTTGCTCCTCCCTGTTTGTTTGCGAGTGATCCTGCTGTTTGTAATTCTTCAATTTCTTCTTCCTCTTCACCTTCCTTTTTCTCAGAGGTGGAGGCAATAATTTTTTCAAAAGTATCACCAAGAACCGATTCTAAAAGAGCATCAATACGGCCTTCATCTGGAATGCTTGCATCTTTCTCTCCTTTTTCTTGTGGTTCCGCAATCTGTGAGGAAGGAATGGTTGTCGTTACTTCTTCAGGAATTGTTGAAGCTTGTGTTTGCTCATTTTCTGTAGTAGTGTTATTAACTTGAGGTTGTTCTTCATTTGCTTGTTGCTCGGTTGATGATGATGATTCAAGAGTATTTTCGGTGCTTGTTGGAGTTGCACTATTTTCTTGATGATGAGAGTGCTCAGTATTATTACTTTCTATCGATGATGATTGTGTTCCGGCTTCTTTCTCATCATCTTTTCCACAACATCTATGTCTGAAGACTCCAAATTGGCTTGATGAGCGTTATTGTCATCATCAGCTACATTGCTTTCAGTTTTGTTAATGTCTTCGATTGGTGCTGTTGTCATATTAACCTCTGCAGAGTCTACATGATGTTGTTGTGGTAAGTCTTCGACAACAATATTGTCGTTGGTTTGTGGTTCTTGCTCAAAAGGTTCGTTTGTTGGTTCCGACATTTTTTGCTCGTATTCAATCATTTTATTCACTGGCCACTTCGCTAGAAAAAATATTTGCTTTCAAAGCTTTGACCAATCAACATACAAGTTGTGTGCTTGTTTGATCTTTGGATTCACTTCATCATCAAGCTCAATTTTAGAAATTAAGTATTGTCAAGTGTGGTTGGTGATCAATGTCCTCGAGTAATCCCAGTACTACTGCCATCGATGGCTCTTCATCCACACCACAACCTCAGAATTTCTCAAACCACGTGGAAAATTTGGACCTTCGTTATTTGTCTCTAGTGAAATCTATTGGAAAAATTGCAAAAGATGCCACCAATCCAAATACCAATCAAGATTCAAATATCGAAGAATTGAAAAAGAATTATGAAATGTTTGAAACCGCATGCGATAATATGTATTTGTTTTTAGCAAATGCCAAACAAGATGCTATTGTTTTGTCATTGAAAAAACAACAGCAACAACATCATCAACAGTAATTGATTAATTTTTGATATTATATTATTTGATTCTGTATATAATGATGATCGATACCGATGATGAAATTCGTCTTCCGTGATCGGAAAGATGAGGTGAAAACATTGAATCATGGCTGCAAGATTGAGAGTTTTTCATCATCCGCCAGCTTTCATTGAGCCAAGAAATAAACGAGATGATAGCAGCATTCAATAACAAGACTTCGTCGCAGACAAATTTAGGAATCAATACGATCAAATCAAGAACAAGAAAGAGATGACCAGTAAATTCGTTGCATTGATAATTTCAAAACTTTTTAAAAAAAAAGACAACTGTAAATTTTGCTGCTCTTCGGAATTGCTTTGATCATCAAGAAGACATTTAGCCTCATTTCGAATTCAATACAAGACAGTCAATATCTGCAATAACACGATATTCTATAGGAAAATGTCGACCCTTAGTACCAAATACGTGCCTCACAAGCTACGACCCGAAAACATTATTGATTCCGCTCCCAGACAAGCAACCTTTCCGGCAAACCAAGAACATTTAAAAACAGCCCTATATGCAAGCTCCGTATGTATTGGAGAACCAGAGAGCACAAAGCCTTGTTATGATACAACGAAAGGGGATGATTTTGATAAAGTTGGAACTATGCTTTTGGAGACTGCAATGGACAGAAAATTGCAAATTGACAAGGAAAGAGAAAATACGGACAAATACTTGCATGACTTGAGAGGAGTGCATTTTGAAGTTGGATACAGCGATCGTTCAGCATATTTAAAATCACATAAACAGGAGAGCTATCAACAGCCTGCAGCTGAGCTCTTTGTACAAAACAAGAAAGATATTGTGGCAAGTGGAGAAGGCTATAACAGAGGAAAGTCCTCCATAATCAAACACATTCCAGATGATTGGAAACAATGCTTAACAACAATTGCTAGGAATGATTACATCTCTCCAGAGGATCAAATGAAACAAAATAAGCAGCTTGGAAAAGAGGAAATCCCTAGAAGCAGACCAACAATGGAAAAATCCACTGTTATAGCTCCTGGATCTTCCTAAAACCAGAATCATCAATGACCATTACTGACCTCAAAACCGAGGTCTCTAAGGAGTCACAACGAATCATCGAGGACATGAGAAAGTGTCACTACACATCCAATCATGACCAACCTATTTCACAAGAAACCGAGTTCAGAAGACATTTTGGAGCGAAAGAACAAAAAGATTTGCGATATACTGTAGAGTTTTCAAGAAATTCAAGCCAGGTAGTCATGGGCTATGACACGGAAGAGGACAAGAAGGAAAAGTACAAGACAACGTACAAGAATTACATTCATGAATCTGCCAGTTCCATCAACCACAATATTGAGAAGGCAAAACAAGAACGAACTAGACGTGATGCAACCACAGAATTCATGAGAAAGAGTTCTGTCGAGCTTGGAACAGAAAAGCATCCTCCTCTTTCGACCACTCAGATCGACTTTCGTCCAGTGAAATTTTAGCTTACAAAATTCCGCGCCAAGCCACTCGTCTCCGCGACTAATCACCATCAAATAAAAAATCCGTGTGTACACGCATGCTGCAACACTAATCATGACCACCCAAAGAAGACGACAAAGTCGACCTCTTCATTCCTCTGGTCACAATCCTCATCCAACTATCATCTAGACCAAAACCAACTATCATCCCTTCCACAACGAAGCCGTTCCCAGAGATCCAGCTCTAAAAAAGCTCGTCAAACTCTCTCGCAACAATTATTCATTCCCGATTTGCAAGAAACATCATCAACAACCTGCCAAACGAAAAAACGAAAAATTCATGAAGAATATTGTGAAGAAGCGGAAGTGTCGAAACGGAAATCACAACCAACCATGATCCAGAAGGTGAATCGTATCGATCCCAACAAACATCGAATAACAGAAACTAAAAAACAACAACAAGTAGAAGAAAAAGATCAAACCATTCTCACTCTCTTCCAATGCATTGAAAAAGAATATGAAGAAAAAATTAAAATGTTAACCGAGAAGTGTTTCATTCTGGAACGACAATTACAACAGTATTGGATGGAAACAAATAAGAATGATTTACCATGTGAACATGCTTCATGTCAAATCCATGTTGTTCGAGAACAGGCATCTCCACAATTTCATGAAGAAGAACATTCAAGAAATGCTTCTCTGAATATTACGCGTATTGCTCATCCTTCTGTCAATGATGAAATTCACAATCAATCTTGTAAAGTCATGATGGATTGTGGAAATAATGATCATTCATTGTGTTCTTCTCCATTTGGATTTAATGAGACATCAATGACTACTCCTTCAAAACCACAACAACGACGATATCATGATGGGATGGATCATGATTATCAAATTATACTTTCTCCTCCACTTGAATTAGAACGTTACTGCAATGCAGAGGATATTGGTGGAAATATTAATTCTTTATTGAATTCAAATACGTCATCGAGTGGTCAATTGTTAACACCACAGAGAAGAGCTGTGGTAAACAAGCCGTTAGAAACACATTTTAGTTATTCTCCTGCATTAAGCGACTCATCGAGTGAAGCAGATTTGGACTTTAATTGGTTATTCGAGCAGGACCATTTGAGTCAAGTGTCAACTGCCAGCACATCAACAATTTCCAAACGATCTACGAGACAATCTGAAAAGAAGGAACACATTTCTCAAGTAATTGAACATTTACAGACCCATTTGCATGCAGAAATTATTTTACCAAATTTAACATTAATGGAAGGAGATGCCATATCATCATCTTCGAGTATTCCAAGTCCTTCTCTGTCTCAAGACCATGATCACTCTTTGAGTAAAACACCAATGAGTGAAATGAAAAGAAGTACAACAAAAAGATTGACAACACCGAATGGGAGCTCAGAATTAACATTTTCAGTGGCAGCTTTGAAAAAGTCTCAACGCTCACAAAATTCAAGAATATACACACGAACAGATTACAAGTATAGAGATTATTCACTTTCTGAAAATATTATCTTCTTTTGTAAATAGTAAGTTTTTTATTTTGTAGGGAAATAGTTGAGCTCACAATGATACGTTACACCTTAATACTTGAATTTGAAAATACTTAGTATCAAATTCAAGCCCGAATATTTATTGTCACATGACAAGTTGGGTCTATCGAACCTGTATTTCGATGTCATTGATTTGGTGGAAAAAGAGAGATCCAAGTTTAAATTTTTAAAATCCAATAAGGATAGCATGATTATTGGAGACTGCGACGAAGGTTTAATCGTTGTCAAATTATTAGAATGTGAAAAGACCTTTCACACTCATGTTCTCTCCAAATTGAACAAGGTGCTAGTGTCAAAACAAGAACACAGAAAGAAAAAGCTTGTCAGAGAGTATTGCTTTGGTGCTCAATCATTGAGTCAAGTGTTTGACTTTGATTTTAACATTTATCTTCTTAGAGATAGCGAACCATCTAGACACGAAGGTCCATTTTCTATTTTCGATGTGTTATTGAACTGCAAATGCACAAATCCATAAAAAACACACATTCTGTACAAGTTTAATTAATTATTTACAACAACAGTTACTAATTAAATATCATGCTTATTTCTTTTTTCTTCTTGCTTTGGTGGTCTTCTTTTTCACAACAACAACCTCTTCTGCGTCGTCCATCTTATTTTTCTTAGAAGGAGATTCATCCAACCTTTCGTCCTCCTTAAGGTCATGTTTTCTCTTTCTTTGATTCGATTCATCGTCAGTGAGATCCACTACCATCTTAGGTTCCTGGTTGAATTGCAAAATCAGGTTAATAAGGTCGTTCTTTTTTGTAGATTGACCTTTAGTTATCATGCCATGTTTTTTACAAAAGGCCAATAATAACGGTACTTTGTACTTGTTAATTTCTTCAAAAGTAGTGCAATTAAGAATTTCAGTCATCTCTTCAGGAAGGTCTTCTGATTTGGATGATGATGAAAAGAAACTATTGACGACTTTGCCAAAAAACGAAGTAGACGAAGATGCTTTTGCTTTTTCTTCTTCAGCTTTTGCTTGTTCAAGTTCTTCCATCTTTTCTTTAATTTGCGCCACATACTCGTCGTTTTTTTTTAACTTCTTTTGCAATTTAGTGATTTTTGAGTTGTAGTCTTCAATTTCACTTTGATGCTTGTCGAGAAGGCCCTTCTTTTCAGAGTCGTGTTGTTGGGTTTGAGTGGCGAGAATTTTCTCATACTTTTGCTGTTGTTGCTCTAACAATACTGTATATTGTTCTCGTTGACGTTCTAGCTCACTTTTGAGTCGTTCAGTGATCAAATTGTCATTCTCATTTTGTTGTTGCACTTGGTTGTATTGTTGTTGCAAATGTTCATATTGTTTTTGAATTCTCTCATTATTCTCTTGCAATTCTTTGAGTGTTGATTGAAGTCGGGTTATTTCCTCTTTTTTCTCAATGTATTTACGTCCAACAATGTCGGCGTTCGTTTGCAAGTCATGGTATTTTTGTTGACTTTCTCTTAATTGAGTTTTCAAGTTGGATATTTCACGGGCCATTTGTTTTCGATATAGATTGTGCTTTTCCTGCATTTCTTGCATTTTGATTTCAGATTCTTGGTTTAGAACTGTCTCCAAACAATTCATAGATTCATTCATGTCATTAATTACTTGTTCTCTAATGATAAGTTCATCTATTTGTCGTTCACATTTCTCGGTTTTCAATGCTGTCAACATTTCATCATTGAGTTTTAACAACTCCTCGTTATGATATGATAAAGATGACTGTGTAGAGGATGTGAAAGAGGTATTGTTGCCCTTTATCCTGTCTTGTGATGGCTTGGAAATGCAAAAAACATTCTTTGCAAAATCCTTGGTGCTGGTGTCTGGACGTTGAGGAGAGAAGGTAAGAATAGAAACGACCTTAGTTTCCTTCACAGTCTTTCCCACTAAGAGCTTTGTTAAACTATTGTCACGAGAAGAGATTGGATGTCCTGATTTTGCCATAGAAGCGATACATCGAGCAAATGCAGAAAGGTCCTTGTTGATCTTGATCGATTCTTGTTTTCCTTCGTCACCCGTTTCAGTTTCATTGAGTCTTTCGTTACCAGCAAGATCAGCAATGGTCATACGGCTTATTTCCCTCTTCTTCATTGATCCATTCTCTTCGTATTTTTCAAAGAGTTTAATGGTGAGGATGGCATGAGATCGTGATGATTCTTGATTCAATTTGTGACCTCTTTTTCTTCGTTTTTGGACACCGTGTCTAACCAAGGCCTTTCCTTCTGCAGCATTACTAATTTCTACTTCTTTTGCTCCAGCAACAAAGAATCCTTGTTCATTGGTACCACCTCTAATTTCAAGTTTTTGACGTTCGTCCAAGGCCTGCGAAAGAGAACTCGATGAAGATTTAAAGCTACTGATAGACATTGTACTTTCTCTTCCACTCTTGTACACGCTGTCAGCAACTGAGAAATCATTCACCAAATCAAAAGCATCATCCATATACAATTCTACAAAACTTGCACTGACTTGGAGAGAATCTTCCTTTCGTTGTTCAATTTGAGAAAATATTTCTTCAAAGGTTCTCGGAATGATTCCACGATTCTCACCATCCAGTGAAATTTCATCTTGCATGCTTGTCGGATGTCTTTTATCATAAAACAGCATGGTTTGATCTTCTGGTTTTCCACCAATCATGGTATAGGTTTTACCTGTTCCTGTAGCTCCGATACTGAATACGAGAACACTCAAGCCTCTAAAGAACGCTTGGAAAGTACCTTGTGTTGTTTTTTCAAATACTTGTTTTTGAGAGGTTTCTGGTCCAAGACAGGTTACCCTCTTCATGACTTCGGAATCAATATCTAAATCGCCGTCATCTCGGAGACGAACAAATACTTGAAGATGAGGAACATCAGGTACTGTTAATGGTGCTTGTCTGTGGAAAGTAGTGTTGTGGTGTAAATGATTCATCAGGATGATCAATATTTCATTGGATTTATAATGAAGAGGAAAGAACTTACTTGAGAGGGGCGAACGTTTGTACCTGGTTCGCAAGCTGATGTTTCGGAGCAGAAAATTGCAGCAGGGAAGTATTCATTTTTTTTAAAGATGAAAATTTAACGGAAAGTTTTGGCGCGTTCACATTTTGTTTTAAAATTTATTGTCAAGGGTTTGTTACTTGGGTCACGTGTCTGTTTGATGTTGAATGGTGCTTGAAGATAAATCACGAGTTCACTTTGGCATCAAACATTCCACTCATTGTTTGATGTGAAATTAAGATCCATATTTAGCCAAGAGGAATGACTTGATGTGATGCCTCTTAATTGCATTTAAATTTGACACTCCCAATTCTACTTTATCCAACCCAAACAAAAAACACCAATATTGCTCACTCTCAAGACATCAACAATATGAAGTATTTAAGGATATTCAAAAAGTACATCCTGTCACTGCCATGGACACTCATGATACAGAACAGTTCATGTCTCAATTCGTTCAGTATTTTGAAACCTGTTGTGATATTTTCAACGAAGAGCAACACCTCCTTTGTACAGAAGATTTGGTTAATTCTGTTCGTCGCATCAGCATTCTCGATAATGACAGTAGACGTTTCAAGAATTCGATAAACCCAACTGAAACCCCTAAGACGAATTCAATACAATGTAGAATTGAAACACTTTCTAAAAGAGTGACAAAAACTTCATCCCTACAGAACGATCAGATCAAGCATTTCGAGAAGCTCCACAACCTTAAATAAAACAAGTTTGTTACAAACATCCATTTCCCAAAAATAAAAAAATAGTCTCAGTCATCATCGGAAATGATTAACAACCAACCAAAACTCGTTTTTATGTTTGATTTTGATCATACTCTTGTGGATGAGAACACAGATACCTTCATCTATGATGGTTTGATGCCTGAATTACATTCCTTTCTAAAAGAGTTACGACACTCGGGATATACATGGACCGAAACCATGAGAAGAATATTTGAAAAACTACTAACCCGATTCCGTATTGATCAATTGACAGAAAGAATGGAAAAATGTCCTATGGATGAAAAGACAGTAGAGTGTTTGAAAGAAATTAAAAAACGTGAATGTGAAGTGAATATCATTTCCGATTCCAATGAATATTTTATAAGTACAATTTTGAAGAAGAGAGGTGTTGTGGATTGTGTGACTCATATTCATACAAATGCAATCAAAATGGATACTGAAAAGAATACTATTGATATTATTGAATATTCTATAGCTCATGGAAAGCCTCATGATTGTAAGGTATGAAATAGAATTTATAGTTAATTTAATCATGTTAATGATCTTTACAACACAAGAGCTGTCCTGTCAATATGTGTAAAGGAGAGATTGTACTTGAAATTGTCAATCATCATTTAGGCCATCCAGAGAACATAACGAGAATGTCATATTTATTTATTGTGGAGATGGAAAGAATGACTTTTGTCCTCTTAAACATTTGAGACAATGTGATATTGTACTTGTACGAAAAGGCTTCAGCTTGGAAAAACTTGTCACTACAATGGAGATGGTTTGATATGTCAAATTGAGTATTGGCAAGATTTTGAACAATTGAATCAATTAGTCATGACAAAATTGATATCTCACGAAAACAAGTTAAACAAAACACCAGTAGACTCAAAGTTGCAAAATTGAAAATGTAAATAGCAATAACAATTTATTCATTGAATTCCATACAAGTTGAATGATACACAATTAGTGTAAAAAGTGTCAAATATCAAACAGAAAAATTAATGAAATACTTATCTTTAGCACCAGTTGTTGAGACTGGTGCTTGGTGCTCATCACATATCCTTTCGGACGGATTGTTCTGTTGATTCCTCGAGCACCAACCTTCCAAAAGTTCCCTTTTCCTAGAAGCCGCAACGTGTAGCTCTCTGTTCATAGACTTTGTCCCACGATACACCTTAGTTCAATCTTCGAGCCTTACCTAAAAAAGGAATCTCTTCAACACTGCATGGTCCCTCTTGATCTCTGACCATCTTCATAAAGAATCTTCCAAAATTCTCATAACACTCTGTCGTGATTGTTCATCACCCTAACGAGCTCTGTTTCTCTTGGAATGCAGTCTTCATGGAAATGAATCAGTGGCAAACTCATCAACTATGTGATTCTCTCACTCCTTCTTAGAACGGATCTTAAGCTCAGGTGAGCCTGGAAAACCATCTTCATTGGTGGAACGAGACGATTCAAACCTTGGGACGAACCATTTCATCGGATCCACACCTTTCACAGTGTGAACCTTCAAGACAATGATCCAACAATCTTCCTCAGTTCGACCATCTTCACCATAATTCCTTCTCGATATGAGGAATTATGTTGCTTTCTATTCGTCATTCCTTGAAGTGGTTGTTGATGATGCTGGGGAGCCTCTTCTCCAACCTTATCGCTCCAATTGGTTCGAATAAACGAAGGAGAAGCATCACTGTACAGTGCGATACGAAAGGACATATCCCAATTTCAATTCCTTTCATTCCTTTTCATGGATCGATCCTTTCTGAGAGACCGCCCTGGTAAACTCTTGGAAGGCTTTCAGAGAATTAGGACTTGGAAAAAAACACCACTTCTATTCCACTGTTTGATTCTTCTCGTATTCTTCCATCCTCATTCGAGTCCATATAGGAGTTCTGCTTGGAATCCTTCCCAATGATCTACCTTAATGAATCGCTGTTGGACCAAAGTAACAGAACCGGTGAAAATCCCTGGTGTGGGTTGCACCATTTCCTTCGGTGAGAATGGGAGTACTCAACCTTCTCAAACACATCTACCAACCTTACACGATACGATGACTGAAGGATCGTCGGCGTCTGATCGGAATATGAAACATGTTCATATTCGAGTCTGCCCTAAAACGCAAGAGCTGGACAAATTCACCACGTTCCTGGTTTAATAACAAGAACATGGTTGGTGCCACTCATCTTCTCTGCCATTTGGTTTCCCAGCAAACGAGAGATTGGTGTGGTCTTTATCTGTCATGCTCTATTTTAGCACTCGAGCAGATTCCTCTCCACATAAGTGTCGTGTACGTGAAGAACGATCATGGTCCTTTTGGCTTCCATCTTCTCGATAGGTAGAAAGACAGTATCAATGCTACTCTCGAGAGTGGATAGTTTCGTCGTAGAATGTAAAGCATGCGGTGAAAAGGGAGCACAGGGAAGGAACAAGTGGAATTATTGATGTTTCATCTTGATGTTGTGGTGTTTTTTCTTTGTCTGTGTGTTTAAAGCATTGTGAATCGAGTCATTCTTTTATTTACTCGCTCATCGATCCTTTTAAGGCATCTTTGAGAATAAGGAAATTTTCTTGAAACAGTACTTTTAAATATTTTTTATTAATGTTCAAAATGAGCGTGGATCTATTAAAGATTCATCTGCTAATTGAAGTGTATACGTTTATATTTAAATATATGGGATCGTTTTACAGATAAGTTATTTATTTAATATTCCTAATTCCTTATTGAGCCACTCTCCAAAAGGTTCTCTTGTGAAGGCATAACCATGAGTGACCATAATGACTTGATGTCCCTCGTCATAGATTGATTTCATATTGGTAAGAATTGCAATCGGATCTTCGATAAAATTGTGAAATTTTGGATGTCCGTACGAGAAAAGACTTCCTGCCATTAAATCGTTCACAATAGCAGCCTTCTTATTATCTAATAACACCACAAGACCTCCATCCGTGTGTCCTTTCATTTGAACCACTCGTCCTTTGACACCATAGTCATCTAAACGTTCTCCTCCCTTAAATAATAAATCAGGTTCAAAGGGGACACATCCCAGTCGATCTCCGAGCACTTTCTTCGTGAATCTTGCCAATAAATTGGTCGGTTTGGATGGTGCCGAGATGGCTTTTCGAAACAGGTCAGCCTCCAAATAAGGCACAGCAATAGGAACATGAGGATAATGCTTTTGAAGGTACCAACACGAACCACTATGATCGAAATGTGCATGAGTAATAACAATTAGGGACAAATCATTTGGAGTGATGTGAAGCGTTTCTTCCAGTTTTTGAATAAGTTTGAAATGATCTCCTGTTTTACCAGTGTCAACGAGAATGTATTTTCCTCTTTTCTGAGTTTCGATTGTATGATATACCTTATTATTGGACGAGATTTCATCGACGATGGCAGAGGGTGATTCAATTTTTACTTCTGTACGAGTTGTTTTGTCAACTTCCTCCCAATGACATTTCAAAAGAAAGATGTTGGTTTTTGGTCCCATGTCGATCGCAATAACATCATCTCCTAACACAGACGAGATGGTTTCCTTCTCGCTTAATGAATTTGATGGCATTGTATATTCAACGCGTGTAGTTGTTGTTGTTTTAAATGATTTGTTTTTTACTCCTATTCCTGGTCATTTTAAAATCATGAAAATAGTGTACGCTGAGCATGTATTTTATGGAATGAGTCCTGCTTGTGTTGCTTGCAACAAGTAATGATAGAAATAAGGAACTTGCGAGCTTTTAAGCGGATGAAAAAGAGCGCACGTTGAAATGTGTGCGCTTTTGGCGTTTTCAGTCAATTCTTTTAAATTATGTGTAGTAAGGAGATCTCGATGGCAATTGTCAGCCTCTCATGGTTCTGTGAAACTTGTGCTTGTAATCGTGTCATCAATCAGGTTATGCAAATAGATGATCCGTACATGACAGGCGCCAAATTTCCATTCTGCTAACCTTGATCAGAGGAGTTCAAGAATTGAATGTTGTTCCCTATTATTAATATGCAGAGCCACTTCAATGAACAGTGAACATTTCTTGAGTTTGCAGCTTGTGGGTTTGCAAGGGTGTTCAAAAAGTCAATTCATGAAGGGTTCCTTAAATGTCCCTGAGGTGTTTTTGAAAGCGTCCTCAGTAAAAATGTCCTCAAAAGTCGGAAGCGTTGAAATACGGCTGTTTCAGCCGACTCCTAAATATTCCAAACACAAGAAAAATGTCCAAACTCAAACACTTGATAAAAACCAGCTTGAAAACCATTGAGGTTCCCTCAGGAAGTAATCTACGAAAAATTCTCTTAGAACACAACATTCCGCTCTACAATGGTAAGACTCAAGCTTTTAATTGTGGAGGTAACGGTGCGTGTGGAACTTGTGCCGTTCAAGTTCAAACCATAGATGGTCATTCCAAAACTCAGATCATGAAGAGAACATTGGGAGAAGAGGTCCGATTGAAACTTCCACCTCACTTGAATAAGAATGAAGATATTCGATTGGCGTGTCAATGCACTGTGGAGGAAGACATTGAGGTGCAAAAGTTTGATGGTGTATGTGGGCACAAGTTGGATAAAAAAGTGTGGTAAAACATATTTCAAATTCTTAAACAAATACACGGCAATAAATTAAAAGGATTTGTTCATTCGATTGACAGAGCTGCTTAGGAACGCAGATCTATTTGTAAATTTCAACGTTGCATCTTTTAAAAATGTCACAAAATGAACAGACTTCAAGCGAGAGTGTGTCCTCTCATCAAGACAACCACGACGAGTCCGTTCCTTCTTCAATACATGTCAATACATATATTCCGAATGCAACATGAATACTCATTCTCATCAATCAAACCGTCATTCATTCCGAATATCTCATACTCTCAACATTCCATCTTCAATCAAAGAAAAAAACAATCTTTGAATGTGGTCTTTGTCGGAAATAGTGGAAGTGGAATTACAACATTATTGGGATATTTAACATTTATTTGTGGAGGTATGGATTGGAAGAGTATTGAACCAATGTGGTTTGGCATGGGAATTGCACGAGATACCGATCAATCTCCGTATCGATATTTGATTGACAGTCCTCAAGATTGTCACACGAAAGAATTGCATACCATTCGATTGGAGACGAAACATTTCATTTTGAATTGTATCAGTGTTCCAACTCAAAGAAAGTATGAAAAACTTTTATTGCGAGGAATGTTTCGAGCTGATGTGGCTGTTATTGTGGTCAATATCAATGACGCTCAATTAGTGAGACGTGAGTGGAAATTTACAGATCAAATAATGGCTTTAAAAAGTTGTGGAGTGGTACAATCCATTGTGTGTGTGAACATGCTCGACAAGAATCCATCCGAAGATTTATTTACTCACACAGCCTCTGAAATTTTGCAAATTATGAAGAAACAAAACATGAACATTGCAGACACCAAAGTGATTGCATGTTCAGCATTGAATGGTTTTGGAATTGTCGAAAATATTAATACTGAATGGAATTGGTATAAGGGAGAGACCTTGATTGAGGCATTGGATGCATTGAAACCTCATGAAAGACCCGTATGGCATCCTCTTCGAATGGTCGTTGAAAAAGTGAGACATGTGAAACAAGGACAACGACACGAACAATTGATTCTTACAGGTCGAGTAATTTGTGGAGTGTTACGAGTGGGCATGAAACTATGTTTTTCAGACAAGTCCCTCTATTTCCTCAATGCTCCTCCACCACGAATTGTATCCATTCAATGCTTTGGACAAGAGTGTGAAGAGGCATTTCCAGGTGATTTTGTTGGAATTTTGTTAGAGACTCATGACAGTAATTCCAACAACACGTTACTACTCTCACATATTCGTAGAGGGACGGTCGTGTCCGATCGCAGTGCTGAACATCAGGCATTGCAAGTGAAGAGTTTTCAAGCTCAAGTCATTGTTGTTCATTGTCCCAATCGAATTCGAGCTGGATTTACACCCTTACTGCACAATCAAGAAAGTAGAATTCCATGCAAGATTGATCGAATCATTGCCAAATTGAATCGATATACGAATGCATTGATTGAATCGGATCCGAAATATATTCAACAGTATGAATGCTTTTCGGCCGAGTTTATTCCTCAACAGCCTATTCACTTGCAAACTTTTACTGAATGTGCTCCATTTGGTAGGCTTGTTTTTTGTGATCAAAATTGTATGTGGATGGCTGGAGTGGTGAGATCTGTCGAATATTTTGAATAAGAGTGCGTGTTGCAAACGACGAATTCCTTCCCAAACTGAAAAGCAAGGTTTTCCCCAAGTTTCACTTGAAATTAACTGTTGGAAATTCACCCACATTATGAAGAGCAGCACTCTAGTAATTGGCTCTGAGTCATGAAACTCTTAACTGGCATTAACAGAAATGAAAATTCAAGACTTGGCTTTGTTCAAAAGCGGAACGGATTTGAAAAAAAATGCTCTCCAAAAATCTGACCCGTTTTTTGTGCAACAAGAAGAAGGCTTCTCTCTCTGCTGCTACTACTGGACTCCGTTGTGCTGCACAATCAACAGCAGCATCAGCATCGGGTGCTAGTATTTCTTTTGCTATTCATCAACAACACACAGGCAAGAGAGGATTTCATCAAGTTAAGAATAAGAAAATTAATGTTGTTGGAACCACCTCCGGTTTCAATCATCATCAACAGCAAATGGTGAGAGAGTTCCACACTTCAAGCGTTTCTCAAAAGAAAATTATTCCGTTTATTTTGGCAGATATTGGAGAAGGTATTACTAAAGTTGAAGTTGTGAAATGGTTTATTAAAGAAGGAGATCATATTGAACAATTTCAAAATGTTGCTGAAGTTATGAGCGACAAGGCCAATGTCGAAATTAGCAGTCGTTATGATGGAATTGTAAAGAAATTATGTTATAATGTTGGTGACATTGCCAAGGTTGGTGCTCCTTTGATTGAAATCGAAGTGGCCGATTCTGCATCATCACCAACATCAACACAACAACCATCAGCGGCCTCCTCGACTCCATCTTCTGCTGCTGCTAGCACTACCACTTCTGCTCCATCCACCAATGAAGCTCTCGTTGAAGATTCAATTGGGAAAGTTTTGACAACTCCTGCAGTCCGAAGACTTGCCCGTGAGAATAGCATTGACTTGACAAAGGTCCAACCAACGGGAAGAAATGGAAGAGTGTTAAAGGAAGACGTGCTAAGCTATTTGCAAGATCCATCTGCACAATCAAAGAAGACTGAAAAACAACCCACACCAACTATCGCTACAACCCCATCAGTCACCTCTGCTGCTACTACTACTACTGTGGCACAGGATCGTCGTGAACCAGTCAGAGGTCTCATGCGTACCATGATCAAGACAATGAATGCAGCAACCAAAGTTCCACACTTTGGATACAAGGATGAGATTTGTATGGATAACCTGATCGTCTTGAGACAACATTTAAAGAAGATGGCTGAAAAACAAGGTGTGAAATTGAGCTACATGCCATTCATCATTAAGGCTGTTTCATTAGCTCTTAATGAATATCCAGTGTTGAATTCATCTTTGAGTGAAGATGAGACAGAAATTATTTATAAGGCAGATCACAATATTGGTGTTGCCATGGATACACCAAATGGATTATTGGTTCCTAATATCAAACGTGTGCAAAACAAGTCCATTATGGAAATTGCTGCTGAGTTGAATCGTCTTCAAGAGTTAGGTAAACAAGGAAAGCTTGGAATGGATGATTTGAAGGGAGGTACTTTCACCTTGTCAAACATTGGTACCATTGGTGGTACGTATGCAGATCCAGTGCTGAGCATTCCTGAGGTTTGTATTGGAGCCATTGGTATGATTAAGAAAGTGGCCTCCTTTGACGAGCATAATCATGTCGTTCCAAAGAATATCATGTTTATCAGTTGGGCTGCTGACCATCGTGTCATTGATGGAGCCACTATGGCTAGATTCTCTAACAGATGGAAGGAATTTTTGGAAGAACCAGACAATTTTATTGTTAGTCTCAAGTAAATTTATTAATTTATCAATTATTTGAAATGCACCTACCGAGATTTGAAATCTTGTGATCCATGTAATGTTGAGCCAGAGATGTGGCTCAATCAAATTGACGAAGCAAGGCCGCTAAAAAAAAATGTTGAATATTTTCAAGAAGCGCTGTCTTTCGTCATCAGGTGGACCGGGCAGCCTTCTTCTCAACAGCTGTTGCCATTCTCCGAGCACTTCTGTTTTGAGTACAAGAAGTATCGGAGTAGTCTCGGATTCAAGCAAGATACAATTATCATCACGTAATTTTGGAGGAACTGAGAGCGCAAAGGCTTTGTTTTCTTCATCATGTATTGGCATGAAAAAAGCAAAATCGTTTGTTACGAATTTTGAAAGAACATCCTCTCATGTTAATAATCACACAGCAAATAGAGAAACATATACTTCTCATAACGATTCAAACGAAAATAACATTAATTTTCATCAGCCTTTCCGTAAACATCCAAAGAATACATCGTACAAAGCCAACCACAGCAACAATAGAATTACTCACTCTAACAACAGCTCATCGAATCCCGAAGAAACACCAATATTGTTTTCCTTTCAGCCAACAAACAAGATTATCCGTAACAAAAACAGCAAATTTAAGAAAAAGAGTAACCTCTCAAATGAGACACGAATTCCTTCGCCCATGAATAATGATATTGACGTTTCAGATTCTCTTAGCAACTCTCAGGAGTCGTCATTGGAACCTCAGACTGGCAATTATGGCATTCCGCAGTTTAAAAAAGAGCTCGAATATAATGTTGATAAACTTTTAAAGCAAGTTCTTCAAAAAGTGAAAACTCAAAAGTCCGGTGAGCCTGAGGAAAATGCAGATACTGAAATTGATTCATTCTCTATTTTGAAGCAAGATTCAGACGAATCAGACATTTTCTCCCTTAAAGAATTGAATGTTATAGATACCATAGAGGAACAAGAGGAAGAAAACATTGAAAAGCCCTCCACAAAACAGGTAGACACAATAGACCTTAAATTCCTGAAACCTCAGATTAAATTTAAGAATTTCAAAGACGAAAAAGAAGTAGTAGAAAGCGTAAAACTAGGAACTTCAGAACTGAAAAATGTTGTATATCAACCTTCAAAGGGTCACAACTACCGGAAGGATCTAGTGGACGAGCCAATTGCACCACACCAAAAGTTTTTAGTTGAATTCTCTGACTGTGAATATGTTCAACTTGCAGAAACACACCCATCAGAGAAATCCTACGTTGGTAACAGTGACGTATCGCGTATTCCAAGGCTTAAGAATGGACTTTCTAGAGTGCTGACCTATCCTGGAGTTCACAAACTCTACGATTACAAAACAAACACATTTCATTTTCATCCTTTTTTAAGACAATTACACAAACCGGAAGAAATCAATTTTGATAACCTTACTCCATTCATACCACCATCACAAGATGAGTCTCTGCATGCGTTAATGAACGATTATTCTTGCAAATATCAGAGCTCAACTAGTGCTATTACTTCCCCTTTGGTCTCACTCTATTTAATGCTTTCTAATTTCAAACCAACCAAAGCTAGAAACCTTGAAAATTTCAAGTTTTTAACAAGCACCTTTACCCCTGCTATCCGTAAACCCATTGTTTTCATTCTTCGACCAAAACAAAACCTACAAGGAACAACATTTTACTCGCTCGATTCCTATAGGTTCCTTTTTGAACCAAGATCAAATCAAATTTTACTAGATCTTGGAAAGGCAATGGAAAAACTTTTTGTTATGGAACCAGAAGAGTTTGAGAAAAGATTTGTCAAAAAATATTGTCATACGGATGCAATTTCTATGAACGAAGCAGAAGTTTACAGATATCTTAGACATGGATCATTTATTGTTCGATCTCAATTAGATTGCTATCATCCCAAACACGGAGTTTTCGACATTAAAACAAGAGCGATCAATCGAATACGTATCAATATGGAGCACTATGAAAAATTTGTTAACTCAAAGATCAAACTTGTGAAAGGAATTAATAACTCTTATGAAAGGGAATTCTATGATATGGTACGATCTGTTTTTGTAAAGTACAGCATGCAAGCTAGAATTGGAGATATGGATGGAATGTTTTTAGCATATCATAATACTCGTGAATTGTTTGGTTTTGAATATTTGAAATTATCAGAAATTGACAGTTATGTATTTGGTAATTCCTACATGGCTGAACGATTCTTCACCCTTTTACTAGACCTTTTGAGAGATGTATTGGATAGAATTACAGATCGTTTCCCAAATATTCCTCTCAAGATTACTTTCCGTCCTTTGAAAGTCGAACCTTATTTTATTGATATTTTTGTAGAGCCAGTGCAAGAAGATAAGGGATGGAGCGACAGATCTCCAACTGAGCAAGAAAAGGCAAAGTGGGAATCTGAGAAATTTAATGCGAATCCTTTTGCTGACTATATCAAGGATACAGTTTATTGCTACCGATTGTCTATTCAAACCATGATTAATGGAGCAGTGGCTAGAGGTTATGTTGATTTTAATAGGGACGACAAAGTTGACGTTTTGTACTCTCTCGAAGAAATGGGAGATACTTCAACCGACAAATTCCTCATGAACGAGTATGTCTTGACTTTAAAGAAGGCATTCTTTATCGAACAATAAATTATTTGAAATTATATCACAAAATTCTAAGCTTAATTATGCTTTCTATCGTACAATTTCTTGTGTCATCCACGATCAAAATATTTAGAAATTATTTACAATCGATCATTTTCGTCATCGTCGTCGTGTTGACCGAGCAATCCAGTTCTCATTCTCTCCTCTTCCTTGTCTTGCTCTGGATTTTGTGTGTTTGTGTTTCTGTTTGCAGTATTGGTAGTAAATCTCTTCTTGAAGTCAGCGAATTTTTTCTTTGCAAAATCACTGAGTTGATCAAAAGTGAAGCTTGTTTGAGAGCTTGCGCTAGAATTTGAGCCAATTCCTCTTGAAGAAAATCCGCTATCGACATCTCTTCTGATATTTGGATTTTGACTTCTGCTTGGAGTAGGATCTAATACAGGCTCGTCCATTCCTGGCATTTGTGGTGGAACAGAGCTTAAACCTTGTTCGTACAATGATTTTTGTAATCGGTATGCATAGATTTCGTCTTCAGTATAAAGTGGAGCGTCCGATTGCTCATCATAATAATAATTACCAGTATTACTGCCGCTATTCATATCAACATTTAAATTTGAATATCTGAGAAAATTATCATCCAATGTATGTTGAATTGTAGATGATGATGATGATGTATTATTCGATGGTTGTTGCTGTTGATTTGCCAGTGATGATTGCTGTTGATGTGTAGTAGTGTTGGCTCCCCGTGGAATTTCATCTCCACCTTCTGGCACCATTCCCAACAACAACTCTATTGTTCGTTCCATATGCCCATTCGTTTGATACAGTACACTCTTGATGGTTCCTTCGTCGAATGATGGGAACATGCTTGTGAGAGTACTCATCGCTTCTTGCAAAGTAATTTTTGGTTGACTCATTTTTTTGATAAGAAACTTCAGGCATTTTGAAAACAACTCATGTCTTGCTGACTATTTTGGATTTCACTTGCCGAGTTGGCACTTGATGAAGACATGTTGTATCTGTAGCTTATTATTATTCAAGAAAACGCATCTGTTTGGTGCTTGAGTATTACTCGAGTACAGCTTGTTGCACGCAGTCTCGAACACCAAAGGTCTCCAAAAGACCACACAAGCCTCTAGCAAAGGAAATTTTTCGTTTGACGTGCACAGAAAAAGTAATGACGAGCATGTAAGAAATATAAATGTTGACAGCGCCAACATTACGAGCACAAAAACAGAACGTGTGACCTGTGAAACTCACAAAACAAGCATGTGCAGAGAAGAGACCATCACAAAACAAGAAGCGCGGGCCATTTTACTGACAAAACGTGAGATGTGAAGCAGAGAATTACAAAACAAGAGAGAAGAGACCATCACAAAACGAGACATGGCAAGAAAACTACAACAAAACAAGCAACGACTACACGAATAATCTAATGGCTTTGTGTTGTTCACAACTATCAATCTACAACCAATAGGAGCAACTCCTCTTTTCCGATACAAATTTCTGCTCACGAAACTACTTTCATCAAGGAATTTCAGACGATACACCGGCACTTTTTCAAGAAGCTCTGCCATACCACAAACGTAATGGATGTACTTTGTGATGTTTTCTGGTGTATATTTCAATCTGCTCTTATAACAAGCATTCTTGAAAGAATTACCTAGTTGCTTCAACACTCGACTCACCCATGTGGTGCTGTAATCGTAACCATGTTTTTGTAATTCATTTACATATTCATCCAGTGTAGACAATGGTTTTACCATTGACACTTTGTTCACAATAAGTACTGCCTTTACCACGTCCTTTAAATCATACTTGAATTGACGAACACCACCAACATTAGCTTGCACGTTTTCTTCAATTCTGTTTTTCCAATAAAACACAGTGCTTGGTGAGCATCCCCAAGCTTTTGCAACCTGTCTGAAAGAGAATATTTTCAGGCCTGCCACCATTACCTTCTTGCTGTGGTAGTAACCAACCACAACTCGCTTCCTTGGTTTGCTTCTACTTTCGTGTGTTGTCATGTGAATTTTTCACAAAGTGGCGCCATAAACAACCGTTAAACTAAAAATCAAAATTTAATAAAATCTAAAAAAAAATGGCCACTCAATCACAAGTAGCATTTGTTACTGACTTTGGTGGTTTGAATGTTTATCCAGCCATTGACAATCAAATTATATATCCAACAAACACACCTCAAAAACAATCAACAACATTTACGCAAAGCAACACCAGTAATACACCAATGAACAATTCTCAAGTACCACCTTTTTCAAATTCTCAACAATCTACGTTTGTTTATAATTTTACTCCCTCTACACCTAACACAACTAACAATTCCTATTCTTGCTATTGCAGCGGATGCCATCAGAAAGGCCACAACCGAGCAAAGTGTACAAACCCGCCCTGCGATGGAAGTTGTACTAAAGAGGACTGTTCAGTCAAAAAAAAACGCAAAAAGGAAGCAGCAACAGCTCAGCGAGAAGAGAATGAAAGAAAAAACAAGAGAAGACGCAGTTCAAAAATGATGCATCCTTGAAACCATCTTCCAATTCAAAATGGACACACGTAGCCAAAGCAGCACAAGAAACTACCGGTCTAAACGGTCCCCAATTCCTTTCCGCGATTGTAGGACAAATCAAAGATCACATTCAACCCAAATGCAACAATCAACCTCCCAAACGAAAAATTAGCGAAATATCTTGCGATGATGTCCAAAGTGTTGCAGTGTAAGTATGTTGATGTCTTCATTGTCTTTCAATTAACAACATTAGATCCCAATCATCATCAAGCACTGTAGATATTACTGATGATTTTGCGGAAATTGAAGAGATGTTTGAACAACAACCATCGTCTCCTCCTCCGATACCGAACTTGAACAACGATGTGATTGCATATGAGCTTGAGAGGTTGCGAAAAGAAAATGCAGAGATGAAACAGCAAATTCAAGCACTGCGTGAAAGTTTAGATTGTGTTTATTCGTTTATAAATAATGCGGGAAAAGGATTTGCAGTTTTTGCTGATAAATTTAAAACGTTAAAAAATCCTTGCAACAATCAATAAATTTAATTTATTTTAATTATTATTTAAATTGGTGATGGAGTAATTGATTTAGAGACCTTCAACGTGCGATGCCATGAATTTCATCATGACCAAATCGGATTAACAAAACGGGAGGCTTTGCGTGGTCTTTTGGAGACCTTTGGTGTTCGAGACTGCGTGCAACAAGCTGTAACCTCAAAATAATATGAAAAATCAAAAGGAAGGAATTGCAAATGGTTGTGAACCACTCTCTTACATTCCTTTTACAATGATATCATTCATCATCGTCAGCATCATCATTACAATGAATTCTTCCTAACTTCATGCTTGCACAAAATGCAAAATCATCCAAATGTCCATAAATCTAGGAGCCATCATCTTTCGTCAAGCAATTGGCAAGTTTTTCCTCAAAAACAAAGCAAAGCCATAAAATCTCACATATCCCTTTAAATCCGAGAAGACGAAATGCTGTGATTCCATTTCACCTCAACAAACAGCCATTGAAGTCCGTACCAAGAAAAACAAACAATAATATCTCGGTCTCACTTATTTCTTCTTGAAATAGGGCTCTTCAGCAGTTGTTTGCCACAACAAGTTTGGACATGTTGAGAGGAAATAGTAGTAGTCATAGTAGTGCAAGCCTTCCTTCAGGTAAGTTCTCCACTGATGATGATGCTTGTTCGGATCCGAATCATCTATTCACCATTGTCCATTGTCCAATCCAAAATTGAAATATCAACATGAACGTGGATCCTGTAATGGTATTTCACGGTAACAATGATATCTCCCAACAATGAATAATAATTTTGTGTTTGTGTTTGATGAATTTTTCTCTCCTTCTTGTGAGAGAGCAGAATCTCATTAAAACACGACAAGTTCTCTGAGCAAAAGATCTTTGACAAGCGTTTCATGGAGAATATCCTTCCACACTCGCTTGTTATTTAGAAGTTTCAATTATTAATATCATCTTGATTTTCTGAACCTTGTTGCAAGTAAACAAGCGAATTTTGGATCATCACTGGAGAGAACAAGTATAACTTTTCCATCACTTCTTCTTAGACTACGGAATATTATTTTCTCAAAATTATTAGGCTTGAACATGCAACCACCATCATCCTCTCCTTTGCATCATGTGGTTCTGAACAGCAATAACAATACTACTGCACATCATCATCAACATCTGAACAACAGTAACATGTTGCTTAACTTTGCTTATCAATCATCGTCCTCGTTAACACAACAACAATCATCATCAACGCCGGATCATGGACTCTCATCATCCAATTACCATCAGGTGCAGCAGTTCAGCTCTGAGCCTTCCTCTTCCCAAATAAGTCATTACAGCAACAATCATAATTATCAACCAAACAACAACAACCACCACACATACATCTCAATGAGCCATGATCAAAACTTCCAAAACATCAACACCAACCACATTCAACCACATGCTCAACCATCACCCTCAGTGATGTCAATGATCGAGAATGTGCCATCCTCCACAACTCATAACTTAATCAAGAATGAGCCTTTTTCAACATCATCCTCGACAGAAAACTTTTATTATAATAATCATAGTAGTACAATGAGCAACCCAATGGTGGACAAGAATGAACAGCATGCTGGTTTGTTTGACTCTTTATTTCACAATTCGCACCAACAAAACACTCATCACTATCAAGGTAATAGTGACCCGAATACTAATTTGGGTTTACACAATTTCAACATTCACCAAACCAATGTGGATGTCAATAGTGGAATGAATAATACCATTGTGGGTACATCATCATACGCAACAGCAAACAACACTGCTTCATTGGCAACCATACTCATGAATCAAACGTCCCAGCAGCAAGGATTTACTAATCATTCTTTGGGCTATTCACAAATTTCTTCTCAAAACAACCTTTCAAACATGAATAATAACACTTGTGGAATGGTGGATCTTTTGAATTCAGAAGGAACGACAGTAACACCCAATATTTCCAATTCCACACTTTATACGAATCACAATATGATAGGAGTCACAAACAATTCTCAGCCAGGAACAATGGATCAAACGTTCATGAATCAACAAACAGGTTGTTACCAACAAAATCAGCCTTTTCACTTTCACAATAATGTTCAAAATAATTCAAGTACTACAGATTCCTATTCACAACAAGGTCTTACCTCTCAATATCAAGCTCTTCAAACTCCACAACCGCCCCAAATGCCATCATCTTCATTTACTCGACCTTCCACTACTCATGATGCTGCTTTGTTGGACGATGAGGATTTACAAGAAAAACCAAAAAAGAAAAACTCGAAAAAGAAAGCTTCCAAGTCAGCAAATTCACCAAGATCATCCACATCGTCATCACCATCTGCTTCTCCAACCATGGTAAGGAAACATAGAAAGAATATTGCATTTGAGGATATTGCAGCGTGTTTTGAAATGCCAATCAGAGACGCAAGTCAAATGCTGGGAGTGAGCTTGACACAGTTGAAAAGATTGTGCCGAGAATTCAAAATACCTCGGTGGCCATATCGAAGACTGAATTCTATACAAAGAAGAATAGAGGTTTTACAAATCATGCAACAGAGATCAGAAACTAAAAATGATGAAAAATCAGTACAACAAACACAGATGGAAATTGACAAGTTACAACAAGAAATTATAGAGCTGAAAACAAATCCTTCTCCCAACTTGATATCAACATTACTTAATGATGGGACATTAATGACAAGTGGCTCTGTACCTTCGAGCAGTACTGAAGATTCTGGAACTCCTTCATCACTGAACGATCAATTTTCCTTCCCAACTCAAGACATTACAAGATCCCCATATAACTCTCAACTCCAATAACAATATTACTGGGATTCAGAGCGTTCAAACTGGTGCCGTGACAAGCTACAACAACATACCATCCAATTTGGTCGCTAGTTCAAGCAGCTACAATCCAAACAGCACGATTCCAATTAATAACAATAACACCCTCACATTCCAAAACTATGACCCGCACACCAATAACTTCACTATAGCTAATAATAACAGCACCACGATGAATATGAATAATGGTAATTCTGCATTGACGAATCAACAAGGAGGATCATGTTCATTTGCACAAAATTCAACAGCCACTCCATTTATCAACAACCCAAACCTTGGTAACAATGGCAACACAAGCATGACAAACTCATCTTCCAAGGCCACTCAGCACACATCTTTCCATGATTATTCATACCATTTTCAATCCAAAGCAGAAAATCCTTCACCCAAAATATTTTTTCATAATATCACATTTCCTGTAAATAGTAGCACCAACTACACTGTCACGAACAATGGTCGGAACAATAATTTACAAGGTTCTTCACAATTGAACTCTATGAATGTGAATAATATTGGAATGAGCTCAAATTCAGTCACTGTCAGCACCACAGACAACTTGAATAGCTTAAATGCAGATGCTTCTTCGCAAATTACTCCTTCAATTCCTCACCAAGTATCCATCCAGGAACAGATATTTAACTCTACCAATGTTCATGGAGCTGCAGCATTGGACTCTTAAGCGATTATGAGAAGATGCAGCTACTTGCACTTCTCGTTCAATGCAACAACAATAACTTGGGCGGAATGACCAACACTAATTCTGATTTGGGTGGTAACAACCATAACATTGAGAGCAAGAAAGACCTATCTGATGTATTGAATTCAATAAGAAAAGCCTCAACCTCATCTCAAGAAATGAGTACAGGTACACACCAACAATTTGTGGACAACAATATGAACATGATGGATCTGTCTCAATTGTCACAGGAAGAGGTCATGAAACTCAAGTTGAGCTTGCAAGACATGATCAACAATAACAACGTTCAAACAACAAACAACCCTTCCCAAAATAAATAATGATACTCTTGGCATGTTTTCATAACCTTGGATTCACAATCACCCTTAATACTTATCTGTCACACCGATTACGATTCCACTTCAACCAAAAAATGGATTTCGAAAGGAATTTCCATTGTTTTCGTGTTCCATTCTCCAAAGTTTCTGCTTCCGCACTCGGAACTTTTTTCTTTTTATTTTTAGAACGATTTTGGAACATTAAAAAACCAGCGCCAAAAGGGTCTTTGTCCAACAACAAAAAAAACAAACCACACAACAACTGTAAAACAACAACAAGATGCAAATCTTCGTCAAGACATTAACTGGTAAGACTATCACTCTTGAAGTCGAATCCAACGACACCATCGAGAACGTGAAGAGCAAGATTCAAGACAAGGAAGGAATCCCACCTGACCAACAAAGATTGATTTTTGCAGGAAAGCAATTGGAAGACGGAAGAACATTATCCGACTACAACATTCAAAAGGAATCCACTCTCCACTTGGTCTTGAGATTGAGAGGAGGTATGCAAATCTTCGTTAAAACCTTGACCGGAAAGACTATTACTCTTGAGGTTGAGTCCAATGATACCATTGAAAACGTTAAATCCAAGATTCAAGACAAGGAAGGTATTCCACCTGATCAACAACGTTTAATTTTCGCTGGTAAACAATTAGAAGACGGAAGAACCCTCTCTGATTACAACATTCAAAAGGAATCCACTCTCCACCTTGTCCTCAGACTCAGAGGTGGTATGCAAATTTTCGTCAAAACTCTCACTGGTAAAACGATCACATTGGAAGTTGAATCCAACGACACCATCGAGAATGTGAAGAGCAAGATTCAAGACAAGGAAGGTATTCCTCCAGATCAACAAAGATTGATTTTTGCTGGTAAGCAATTGGAGGATGGAAGAACTCTTTCTGATTATAACATCCAAAAGGAGTCCACTCTTCACCTTGTGTTGAGATTAAGAGGTGGTTCTAATTAAACAATTTTAATTTCTTAACACTTATGTTTGTGTTGTTGTCCAAACATGATTGAATAAATGTCACAAAAAATGTCTCCACTTTGCTTGCTTGTGAAATTCTCATCGAATGGAAAGATGTAATCACTGGGCTGCGTTCATCATAACAGCTCCGCCACGATCAAGGACGTCAAGTCAAAGATTCAAGATAAGGAAGGAATTCCAGTCGATCAACAACATTTAATTGCCGGTGGTAGGACTCTTGTGGATGGAAACACTCTTTCTGATCATAACATCAATGACACTGCCACTCTTCACCATACCCTTGTGTTTGGGTGTAAGGCGACGCCATCGACATTGTAGAGACTGTGAAAAACTAAACATGTAAGACATACAAAATCAACAACACACCTATTCAAATTGTGCACACCTTAATTCGCCAGATCAAATTTGGCAACAATTTCAACAAATCTGTAAAGAGTATTAATCTAGATATGGATTTCAAAGTCTCGAGTTTTCGAAAGTATAAAAAAGGAATTTTGCTTTTTCGTGCCATCTTCATTGTAAATCTAATGCTCTGTGAATAACCATGAACCCAATATCAGGTCTGTATGGTAATGATAGGATCGTAACACTTATTCACTGGCCAATACATTTACATGAACTTGAACTATTGATGTTAATTTTAAACACGTGTGCACAAGAGCTGATGTTTCCTCTTCTGATTCGTAAGTGTCTAACTGTCACATCACAACAACAACATTCGTTGAGAGAGATTCTTCTGGAAAAGCCGAAGCTCGCAAGAAACAAAAAAAACGGAGAACCTTCTTTCTCGATTCCTTCCTCGTTGAAGCCTTTCTTCATACAACAACATAATTGGCAAGCCTTGGCGTGGTTCATTCAATTCACTCACACACGCACGCAAAACCATCTCTTGTTAAGCTTAACTCTACGATTGGTTACATCACTATCCGAGCCAAGAACAACAACAACAACAGGCTTTTTCGAATATTAAAACCCAAGTTGGTGTTTGATCAATTCGAGCAAATCTTACATTGAACACTCGATTCAACTCGATTATCACTTGCAAGCGGCTTACCATCCTTGTTGAATTGATACAAATTTGCATCATCAACACTCCATCATAACGTCTTTTTTGAAACGGACATTATCTGCATAGATTCTGCGCATAAGCAGCACAATCAATACACAACAACAATTCTCGATTCAATTTGAAAGAGAACACATTCGTGCGCAAGGTTCATTCAAAAGAATTGCTTCGAACCAACCTAGCATCGACACCTTGAAGAAAACAACGTTAGAACACTTGCTTTCAATTCTTCTTCTTGTTTCGATTGTCATTCCTTTTTCGACAACAATAAGAACATTATTATATTTACACACACCATCAGCAATACCGTCATTATCATTTTCATACAGAAACAACAACAACAACATCATGAATCATTTACTAGTAAATAATAGCGTATCGATAGAGTCTATGGAAGTCATGACATTGTGCATTGATCGTTCGAATGGCCTCCATAACTCATCCGGATGCTGTTGTTGTCTTTCACCACCATCCTCTTGCCCAAAATTCGCCATTGCTTTTCCATCCTCCAATCATACACAAATATTTATCAAGACACTCTCTGGTAAGACCATGACATTACTGGTTGATCTGAAGAAGGACACTGTTTTGTCTGTCAAGGAGAAGATTTATACAAAGGCATTCATTCCAGCCTCTCAACAACGACTGATTCACAGACAAGTCCAACTTGAAGATCATCGAAAGCTTTCAGAATATCCAACCATTGGAAAAGATTCAACACTGCATTTGGTACTTCGACTCGTTGCAGGTGTGAATAGCAAGCAAACATCAAGGTCATCGACACGCTCTACGAAAAAGTTGACAACGACAATCAAACAAGAAGATTCAGAGAATAGTGTTTCCACGACACCAGGTGTTCCTTCATCTTCCTCTCTTCAAGAAGAATCATCCTCCCTTACCACAGTCTCTTCCTCATCATCATCAACAACATCATCATCAACACTCCATCCACTTGACTCCATTCCAAAACCTGATACAGCATCCTCAACAACGAACAACATGATGGAAGCCATCAACACCCATCAACAAGAAGAGAATCCATCTGACATTGCACAATCAAGAAAATCTCGATCCAAGAACACAAATTTAAGAAGATTAAATAATAAGAAACAACCAACCCACTCATCCAACGTCGAGTCCACGAAGAACAAACATCTTTCATGACGCCATCATCTTCATCCTCTTCAGAAGAAAATCAAAATTCCAAATCATCCTCCTCTGCCTTAACGGATAACCTCTCCGAGTCAAGTCATCAAGATATGGAAGAGAACTCTGATTCCGATCTTCAAGATGATTCCGATGGGGAAGAAGTGACGAAAAGGGATCGAGTAAGGGCAAATCCAGAAATAAGAACAAGAAGAGAGGATCTTATACAAAGAGAGCTTGTATCAATTGCAGGACTGCACACGCTGCTTGTGACTCTGGACGGCCATGCAAGAGATGTATTCAATTGGGCAAAGCAGATAGTTGTCGTGATGCTGAAAGAAAGCGAACCAAGAAGAGAACTTTGAATGAATATGAAAATGCAACTGGGTTTTTCCCTTCCTTGGATTCTTTCATTCCACTCTTGAGCTCTTTGCAATCCCTTCCATTACCTGAATCCACTCCAAAGCATAATCCAGATGAAACCTCAAATTACTCATCTGAAGCAAAAGCTTCTCCAGAACAAGCTGGTAGCATTTCAGCAAATAATAAGGATGAATTTGCACCCAAGTTGACAACAAGAATCAAGAAAGAGAAGGGAGGACGAAAAGATAAAAAGAAGGGAGCAGCAAGTTCAAATAATCTTGTCACTACCACAACAACGACCACTTTAATGAGCGGAAGCACCACTGACCTTTCTATCGATATTGACATGAATGAGTCTCATCAAACCAATGCACTTGCAGAAATTTTCACTCATGACACTGCTCATTCCACCTTTTTAGATATGGAAAGCTCTCCAACGATTGAAAATGACAACAACTTTTTCAATGATGTCGATGGTGAAGATTCAAAGAGAGACATTTCTGAAGCATTGAATAATGTGGTACTTTCTTCCCCAGAGCCTTTACTTGGCAATCAACAAATGACTGCTGGCTCAAGTGAGGACAACTCATCTCATCTCGCCCTCTTGGAAACATTTGGCAATAATCTTCCATTTGATTTATCAGAAGCAATTTCACAAAGCAACAATAATGAAATTGTGAAAATGCTCTTGTATGAATATTTAAGACAATCACAAGAACTTCGTGAGCTTAAAAAACTGGTCACCTCACTTCAATATACCCTGATTAGTTTGAGTCCTCATCAATATGCAACAAGTCCATCCAATAATAATTTGAATGATCATTTATCAGGTAATACCATGTAAATAAAGGGTGATTCGCACACATTTTCATCTTTAATGTAATCCCTTACCCGAACCCAACTTTCCTAGTATTGGTAATTCTTTGTGAATTAGAAAAAGGTGAGTCCTTTCTTACATCAAATGCAAAGCAAGTTATCATTTGAAAATGGCTTTATTTAACACGAAGCATTTGTTCTCTGATGATTCAACGCAAGCAGTTCATGAGTTCAAGTTTAACCAGTGAACATGAGAAACCATTTCAGTTAAAAAACGCACACCTGCATCTTTTTAAAGGAAGCAATTTGAATTCTGTTGTGTCAACGACCAAAGGATATTTCATATTAAGATGAAATTTATGTCAAACATTAGAAATAAATTCAAGTAAAACTACGCCAGTCATACTGAACATGGCAATGAATTAGCTTTGAATGTTAACAAGGCAACAGTCTCCAAGAAGAAATCTTCCTCACCCAGCAAAACCCTCAGCAAAGAATTTTCATTGTAAAATGTCTTAAAAATTTTATCGTTTTTTCGAAAAAAAATTCAATACAACCTCCCACATCATGTCCTCTGACGAACCAAAGATTGAAAACGTGGATGAATCCGTCCCAACTCTCGAAGATGTTCCTGCCACCACTGCTACTGGTGAGCAAAAGGAATCCGCTGCTGCTGCCGCTGCCAGACACAGACAATCCAAGGCTGAGAAGAAGAACAAGAAGGCTATCCTCAAGGCTGGCTTGAAGGAATATCCTGGATGTAAGCAAGTAACCATCAGAAGTGCTCAAAGACTCACTTTGACCATTGATGATCCAGAAGTCTTCATCTCCGACAATGGTAACGGTACTGCTACATTTGTTGTCTTTGGTAAATTCAACATGGAAGACCCAACTCAACAACGTGGTGCTCAAGCTATGCAAGATTTGCTCAAGACTAAGCCAGAAGAGAGGAGGAAATGCCACCAATGGAACCAGTCGAAGAAACCCCAGAAGAATTGCCAGAAAATGTTTCTGAAAGTGATGTGCAAATGGTCGTTGACCAAACCGGATTGACAAGAAACCAAGCAATCCGTAGAATTAAAGAGAAAGGAGGAGACATTATTGAAGCTATTACCAGCGTAACTAAGTAAATTGTGAAACAATAATTTTCATCAAACCCGGTCCATCTTTGTAATTGGATGACCGAAAGTCCTTGTAATTAATTTTGACCTCCCGTTATTCGACATAGTAAAAAATGACTAAATTGCAGTACAACAATTTTTTAATGCTGGCCTCATTGATGAGGATTAATACGAATAAGAACCAATAATAATGAGAGAAATTGTTTGTATTCAGATTGGACAAGCAGGTATTCGGCTTTGAGATATATTTTGGAAGCAATTGTCTTTCAAATTACAAGGGTGATGGTTTAAAATTCAAAACTTACTTTTCATCATCAGAAACAATTAATAACAATCATGGAATGATACGATTTTGGATGGTCACCATGTTCAACTCTACAGCCGTAGTGGAGTTATTTAGAAAGATACAGAATCAATCTCTTTCATTATTTCAAAAGCCTATCTTCACTGGTATTTGCAAGATGGTATGACAGAGGAAGATTTCAAAGAGTGTTTCAAAATCTTGATCTTTAGTGGAAGACTATGATGAGTTGAATAATTATGTTGAGGAAGAGCCCGATATTAATGGAGATTAATTCGTAAGAGATTCATGAATCACTATTGAGTGTGTCTAGTAATTTATTGAAGACCAAAGTGTATTGCTACTGATCAATATCATCACCACGATGACCATTGTGATTATTAACCCCATTTTCAAAACACTCTCATTATTATTTCTTCCAAAATTACTTCCTCCATTGACAACCTTTGATGAGGTAACATTACCATTCCTCACACATGAATCCAAAGTATATGAATATGAAAACAATGGACTACTACTTCCACATGAAGGTGTTAAGACCATGATATTTTGTATCATGGCTAGATAAATCTTTCCATCTAGTGGCGATATTGCCACACCACTACTGGTATATGAGATTTTGGGATCAGAGGCTATGTCTCCATTCGAATTTCCCTTCAGCTGACTGTTTTGAGCAATGGTTGAAATCATTCCAGAATTCTTGTTGATTTTTCTGATACGCGTGGACGTATCTGAAAAGATGATATTTCCTGAAGGTAAAACGACAAGACCATAGGTGGAAAGAGAAGTTTGAGTTGCTAGAACACCATCTTGTTGGTATTGCCAAGTTCCATTACCTATTTTTGATTTAAAATGTATTTTGTTGTTGTCATAACACTTTACATACCTGCAACGGTTGTAATCATTCCAGTAGTGCTATTCACTTTTCTGATTCTATAATTGCCAAGGTCAGCAATATAAAGATCTCCCTCTTGTGTTACAAATAATCCAGTAGGAGTGTTCCTAAATATTGATGATCCATTGTTGAATGATTCAGCTGAAATGATCAATTACAACAGATACTTACAAAGAAGCGCTAGTAGCAGATCCTCCATCACCACTGAATCCTCGAGTGCGGGAGTTCCAACAATTGTGGAAACAATTCCATTCGAAATCTTTCTCACGGTTTGAGCTTGGGTATCAGAGAAATAAATGTCATTGCCTGAAACAAAAACACCATAAACCACACCAATCTTTTTGATCACAGGATCATCAATAAATGCATGGTAGGATTACATACATGAGATAAAGAAGAGAAAAATATTAGTTTTAAAAACAAAACAGAAGAAGTCACTTACTTTGGCATTGGCAAGTGGCCCATCTTGATAACCATAGGATACCACCAATTATTCACAGTTTGTTCATTGACCATCTTGAATAGAGTGTAATTTCCAGCAACATACAAATCTCCATTCAATGCCACAGAACAAGTTAACAACATGGTGGAGGTTTTCATCAAGGTTGAAACTTTCTTGGTAGCAATCTCAATCTTTCTCACCACTGAAGTAGGATGGCCAAAATCAATGACATAGAGAAAGTCCCTGAAGGGTTCAAACAAGCTCCATAACTCACATACTGGGCACCATTTCCATCGACATAACCATCTGCCAAATGGGAGATGGTGTATGTAACATTTTGGCATTGAACTCCTTGTGAAACACAAGAGAAAGGCAGAGAGCCACAGATATAAGAAAGATAAAATTATAAACGTGTTTGGTGTGAGACAGCATTCTAAAAATTGTTGAACAAGTGGTCCTTTGATTAGTAAGTTTTTTTTTAATCGAAGGTAGTCGATGGATTGGTGAGGGATTGGGGTTTTCAAATCTGATTTTGGAAAATCCAGGCGAGACAAGAGACAACTCACAGAAAACAAAATTACTTCTCGTTCATTCACAGAGCCTGCTTGAGGGAAATGTCTGGATTTCCTTAATCAAAGCTGCTTTTTATTCCTCTTTAAAGAACTGATTAATGTATAATAATCAATGGATCTTCTGGTAAGGGTGTAGAGAACATTTGCTGATTTACATGTGCTTCATCATTGTGTGATCCCTTCGTTACATAGATTTCTCATTTATATTTGTACAATCAATGTTTTAATCTCTCGTGTGCATGAACAAATGACACAAGAGAGCGGGAGTAAAAATCAATATCATCGAATTCATCATTTATGATCAGTAAGAAATGGGTGGTGTTGTTTAAACAACTCAACTTGAAAATCATGTCCAATATTTATTGTCTTCCACCAAGAGGGATTCGATGAATGACAGAGAAGCTCGTTTCCTGATCAGGTCTATAGATCATACAAATATCCTCAACCTTAACTGTTACAGGCTTCCACTTGGAATTTAGATCTTTCACCTTTGATTGAACAACCTTTTGAGCACATTGTCCCACAGTCAAATGAGGTACAAACTCTCCATTTTCATTCTTCTTTTCATCACAATAGGGGAAGTGTTTAGCCACCACCGACTGCAATTCTACAAGTTGTTGTTTTCCATTTTCATCTTGATCCAACCACAGGACAGCTGTCTTTTTATCAAAACACGAGACTCCACTCAATGTCAAATCAAAACTCTCTACATGCTGTAAATGTTCTCTCAGCAACTGAGCAGCTGCATCAAAATACTTTTCCGATATGAAAGGAAATAATAAATTGATATGAGGAGGCCATCGCTGATAGGCTTTATCCATTCGTTGTCTGATCTCTTGAATCGGTTCCCAAACCTCCCGAGGTGGTATGAAACACAAGCTGTATGGAAAGCCTTGGATGTATTTTGTGAGAGAGAATGAGCATCGGATTGAGAAAAGAGAGTATGATCATACACGTGATCATATGTTGGTTGTTGTACCGATTTTGAAGAATTTCCTGAAGACGATGATGATGAATTGTTCTTTTTTGACATTTTTGTTCTGTGTTTTAATAATAGTTTGTTGTTGAGAGAGACTTTTATTTCATTTTGAAAACTGTTGAAGAAGCAATTCCGAAAGTGCATGCTTGATCTTGTGACGACAAATTTTTGATGATCGTTACAAAGTCATGAATTAGATGGAAAAAATGAAAGAAGACGAACACCCGTCCTTGGCTGTCTTCCTGAAGAAATTCTGGAAAATATTCTCATCCAGATCAGATCACCTTCCGATGTCATTTCTTTCATTCTTACCTGTTCTCAAATGTATAGAATTTTTAAGAGACTTCGACTTGATGATTTGGATGAGATTCGGATTGAGTATTTGAATCGTAATGGCAACTACAATAATGTTAATAATCATGATGTGGACAACAGTGAATGGTCAATCGAAGCTCGAAAGATTGGATCTCGATTAATTGAATTATTTTCAAGAGGCTCTTCTCGAAATATGTGGACCTATGATGAATATTTCAAACACCATTCTCTGTATACATGGCCATCGAGTTGTTTTAGAAAGGGAAGAACCTATACTTCTACTGTCATGCCAAAGGATGAAGAAAGTAATATAAATGCAACACTAATCCTACTAATGATGACACTTATCAGGTGAATGAAAACAATAATGATAACAATGTTCCTCTGATTCGAATCAAACTAGCTCGGATTAAGAAACCTTCACCTGTAGAGGAAGATTATAGATTTTATCCCAATGAAGGTAAGTTCTATGTGGTGTTCACCATTCACTTGTTGACATTTATACTTTGCGCATGGGTTAGATACTTATGAAATAACTTTTGGGGAATTTGTCAAGAGAAAAGTGAAGAAACGAGAATATCTTGGAAATGGATTTAGAAACTACAAAACAACGACAAAGCAAATGATCATTGGAGAAGAAGAATCACAGGATATGGAAAATCACCGCTTGGTTTATGCAGATAAGATATCCTCATTTAACAATAGTTACAATATATACAGATCCAAATATTGTGAAAACGTTGTTCGATTATATGAAAAACCAGACATTGCTACCATCTATTCCTTTCAAAACAGACTTTCAGATATTTTGAAATGCAATCCTGTGATCGAGACTTTGCTTGACTGTATATTCGAATACAATAGAACAACGTCCACACGAAATAGGTTCATCATCGCAGGAGGATTTGTTCTCCATATTTTGTGCGGTTGTGGATGCAGTGATGTTGACATTTTTACTATTCGAATGGAGAAAGCGACTCTGTGATTATGAAAGATTTACGAAAAGTGTTGCTTAATTTTGAAAAATTGGCTCGACAACGGAATTTAGCTTATAATATTTTAAAAACAAATGGAACTCTTAATATATGCGTACCTTCTGTAGAAAAGCCAAGACTCAGTTCCTATCCTCCACGACCGATACCAGACGCTCAGTTAATGGCACAATTTGTTTTGAGAAAAATCGAAACCATTGAGGAAATTATGTGCTTCTTTGACATGGATTGCTGTCGCTTTTGTTATGATGGTAGAACAGTTTTCACAATTCTAGAAGGACTTAGAGCGCTCAAGTACAAGATTAACTTTGTTTCTAAAGAACACATTGAAAAGGGGCTATACTATAATAGAGCATGTAAATTTGGAAAAAGAGGTTTTCACACTCTCTTTATTTCTCTACACCCACTTTTTCATGTGATTCATGCAGATTATATGGTACAAGATTTGAAACAAGACATCTTTGAAAGACAAGAATCAGGGGAGAACGACCATGTAGACAATATTTGGAGTGGATTCTTTAATCCTGCTTCTGGAAAATACTTTGCTCGAGAGCACAGAGATATCGATAATACCAAAGATCTTGATGAGGCCAATTATTACACAGTAGTTTTGAGAAGTTTGACTTATGAGCTTGTCGATGCAGTATTGGAAAACGGTTTAAAAGATGCTTTTACCGCTTATTCAAGTTATTATGTGGATGGAAGATGGACTGCCGAGGAACACGGAAATGCACTTTCAGAAACCTTGGCTGACAGGATAATACATCACATTACAACCGAAGATATTCATATCTTTTGTTCCCGCTTTTCAGAATTGTTTATGAAGGACGCCTCATCTTACTTTTTAGAGGGATATTTCGAAAGTCACTTGAGAAACAAGTACAATATTTACAAGTGTTACATTTGTGGAATGTATTCACATCATTATCATGACATTTCCTTGCAAGCAGACAGAATATATGGATCAAGCCTTCCAAAGCGAGAGAAAAGACTTAAAGAGATCGAAGAAAAGTTTGGAATGTGTAATATCTGCAAGAAGTTTCACGAGCAAAAATCTATTCAATCCATGGCATTTAAAGTCAAAGATTTGTCATCCAAAGTCGCTATTGTTACAGGAGGAAGAATTAAGATTGGATTTGAAACAGCATTAATGTTACTTAGATGTAATGCAACCGTAATTGTCACGACTAGATTTATTGAAGATGCTTTAGAAAGATTCAAAGCAGAGCTAGATTACTCTACTTGGCAGCATGCATTAATATTGTATCCTCTCAACCTGAAAGATGGAAAATCAGTGTTACAATTCACAGATTTCGTTTTGAAACACTTTTCACGAGTCGATATTTTAATTAACAATGCAGCTCAAACAGTGAAACGTCCATTGAATTACTATGAAAAATTGTTCCGTCTTGAAACAACGAAAAATAATTCTCTCACACATTGTACACACAACAAAGTGAACGAATTTATGGTAGGCCTGACAGAGAATATTGTTGAGTTACGAAAGCAAACCATAGAAATTACAAAACGAGATGAATTGAACATTACAGATTTAAAGCTTGCCAAGACTTTATTTCCACTGGAAAAGTGGATAAATGGGGAGAGCAGTGTGATGAAAGATGGCTCAATTCATGGAATCAAAAACTTTTCGAAATTTCCAACATTGAACTTATTGAAGCTCAAATGATTAACAATGTCGCTCCTACCATTTTAGTTTCAAAGCTTTTTGATTGTATGAAATATTCTCCCGACACCATTGAATTGAACCAAAACGACAAGTTTGATGAAAACGATTCAGTTTCAATGGGACACACTTTTATCATTAACGTGACCAGTCACGAGGGACAATTCACTACAGAGGGTAAAACCGATAATCACATTCAAACCAATATCAGTAAGGCTTCTCTGAATATGATGACACGAAGCGCTGCTAATTTCTTTGCTAAACATGGAATTTTGATGAACAGTGTGGACACTGGTTGGATCAGTTCTGCCTTACCAGAAACATTCAAAACGCCACCACTCTCTCCGAAAGATGGAGCATTGCGAATTTTAGATACAATCTTGACAGGTTCTTTTGCTTATGGAAAATTGTTTAAAAATTATCAAGAGACAGAGTGGTAATTTTAATATTGAAAGAGATAATTATTAACTGCAATTTGATATTAATTAAACGGATGTGTTCTTGAAAGTATCATAAAGCTCAAATTGGTATTCTTGATTGAAATTATTTGTCATGTTCAACTTTTGAAAAATAGTTCAAAAATTCAGGTGCTGTGAGTCTTCTCTTTCAATCTTGTTCGTACATCAACGATACCGTATGGTTGGAAGTTCCATCAACAATTATTTCAATAGCTTCTTCATACTCGAAATACCGCTAATCTTCCCGAAATCCAAGCCCATGCAAAGTTAAATCCTCCAATACATCCAAAAACATCCAAAACTTCACCACACAAATACAAATTTGAATGTAGTTTGCTTTCTAAGGTACTCGTGGAAACTTGATCCAATCGCACCCACCTCCAGTGACCTCCGCTTTCTTAAAGGACATGTTGGTTTGATAAGGTAATTCAAAACTTGTGAGTTGTGAAATAATTTGTCTTTTCTGGGAAAGACTTAATTGTGAAACTGGAACGTCACTTAAATTCACGCTGTCAGTAATGAGTTGAACGAGTCGAATAGGTAAAAAGTTTGGTTCAGAATTTTTGTGAATAAAATTCTTCAAGAGGAGCTTGGAGTTTTGTTGTTTGGCGAGTGTGAATTTTTTGTCCCAATCCTGAGCGGAAATTTGAGGTGTCCAATGAACATGCAATGAAACAGCATCGTGTTGAGTATGAACTTTGTAAATTAATTTTTCAATAATGGATTTTTCAATTTTGGCATAAGAGGAATGTGAACGAATGTCATCCTCAACACTTGACTGAGGATTTGGAATTGATTTCAACGTTTCTTGACACAATAGTCCAGAGATGGTTGCATGAGAGGCATTAAGAATAGCTGGTCCTGAATATCCAGTATGTGTAAATAGGAATCCTTTTGGTTCCAAAGATTGATAGAGTAATACTTGTTCATGTTCCTTTTTCAAATACACGCTGACCGTGACATTGGGAAGAGTAACACCACTCAATTCTTTGAGAATATGTTTCATTTCGGGATTATAAATTAAAGGATTTAACGCTGGATAGAGTGGAATAATTTCATGGCCTAGTTGCTCTAAAAGTTGAATGCCATATCCATCACTGTTAATGACACTGAGCCCACCACTTGAGAGAATGACGGAGTGACAATTCAAATATTGAGAAGGATATTGTGATGATTTGTTGATTTCTTGATCATTTAAAAAAGAAATTTTCCAATTTCCAAATTCGTCTTTTTCCAATCCATTTACATTACAATCGGTCATAATTTTTACCTTAACCTGTTCAGTGTTTCGATCTTGAATGAATTGTAACAACGAGGTTAATACTTGTTTTGCATCGTTGGACTCTGGAAAATATTTTCCAGTCTCTTCTTCTAATTCTAACGCAATTTTTAAATTCTTTTCAAAGAATTCTTTTTGTTTTTCAATGGGCCATGTTTTTAAAATTTCGATTAATAATTCTGGACTTGTTGTGAAATATTTCAATTCCAAATCTGCATTTCCAAAATTGGAGTTTGCATGGTTTAAATTATTTTTGAGAATTTTTGGCCATTTCGATTCGTGTGGTAATAAATTACATCGAGTGCCCCCACTCATTAGAATTTTTCGTCCACATTGAGGCTTTCTCTCTAAAACATAAATTTCAATTTCTTGTGGAATGGTTTTCAAATTGTTTTTTGATCGTTGAAGAGTTTGAAGTGCTTGAGTCTGTGCAAAAATAGCTGACATGAGGCCTGCTGCTCCTCCTCCAATGATGGCCAATCGTTTGGTATTTTGCGAGTGATTTGAGTTTGATGAGAGATTGGATTTTGCATTGGAAATGAAGGATTGATGAAAGTGTTTGCACTGATTGGTTAAATAAATTTGAGATGAAAAGAATGTAATTTCCGAAGAAACACAAGACCATCGGTGTGGTCTACTTTGGAAATTTATAATTTTGTGAAAGCGACCAAGTAAGATCATTTTTTAACAGTTGCATTTTTTGTAATTTATAATTTATTGAAGGTTTTGGAATGGGTAACAACAATAGTTGCCATATTCAAAGTTAATAGATATGAATTTAGAAATTGAAGGAACGGATGAAAGATCTTGGACCATATTCAAATTTTGACCGTGTGGTGGGTGTGGATTCCTCTGCTGCAATAGTTGCAGATTTTTGGTTAAAGATAAGATCAACTGGTATTTTAGAATCAGTTTCTGCCAACTCGTCAAAGATCTTGAGGACTGCAGTCATTTCTGAAGAGATTTTTCCATAGGCGTTCCAGAAGGTTTCAGCATCATCAGTATCACCATCAATCATAATTTCCAAAATTTCATCAAGCAAATCATGAACAGAATGTTCAAAAACAGCAGTGTCAACAGTATAATAAGTATGGTCCTCCACTTTTTCTGTAACAATAGCGCCTCTAGTTCTCAAAAAGTTAAAGGCAGCAGCATTAGCCTTTGCTTGAGGAGATGCCTCAACACCATATCTAACACTTCTGAACACACTTGCCAAATAGGAAGTGTAGAGAGCTCTCTTGGCAAGAACATTAGCTGGAGCAGTGGAATCAGTTGCGTTCAAGCCAAAATCTAAGGAAATGGTATTATTGTTAAGCAAAGTACTCAACAGCCACAATCCACCAATGTCTGCCTTAAGTTCTTCCAATGGTGCATAGTGTGCACCGAAAGCTTCATGGAGCGGTTGACCGGTTGACACAACTTTGTGTGGACCTAATCCGTGCATAATTTCGTGTGAAAGTACTTGTGTGAAGAATGCCTTGAAAACAACATAACTTGTTTGTGATGGAGCAACAACACGCTTGGCAATTGGAGAAAGGATAGAGTTAAACTTTGCCTTTTGTACGTTCTTAAGAACGACTCTCTTGGAACCGTATTGTTGAACAATGTCGTCATTGGTTGGCAAGTTGTAAGCAACGGATTTAATGGCACCGTTGGCTTGTCCTCCGACATAAATTTGATTAATGACTCGGATAGAGTTAAGAGCACCGACATCTCTGTGAGGATAAGCATTTCTCATTGGCAAGTTATCTTCCAACTTTTGCAAATTATCCAAAATTGCACTGACAAGTTGAGTGTACTCTGTGTCACGATAACCAATATAGGCTTCGAAAGCTGTCTTTAAACCTAGCAATTCATCATCATAAGTTTCATATGGACCAATAGTGACTTCCAACATTGAATTGGCGTCGGTGACATTCATCCAAGCCAGGTCGCTATCTTCATATTTGTTTGAAAGGAAAGCTTGTGCTCGTGATACAAGGAAAGTCTTCAATGCAGCATCCTTGGCAGTTAACAGCTTTGAAGCCTCCATCAAGTAGTTGCTTGCCTTTGTTAGTTTTGCCTTGTACTGGTCACTGTATGGTACTGAGACAAGTTTTTCGTTTTGCTTCTTAATAACTGTGTAGTAACTCAGAGCATCTTTTTTCTCAGTAGCACTCAAAGTACGGATCCATTCATGCATTTCAATCTTGCTGACATTGTGAGGATAATATCCAGCACCTGGAAGTTTTCTCTCAGGGATTTCTTCCTTGGGTACTTCAGCAAGAAATTCATATGGAGCTTCGATAAAATTCTTGTCGTCGTTAATTCTGATCCAAGGCCCAAAATTGAGATCGAACAAAGCTAATGGTTTACCATGGCAAGCAGTGGGGAGAATTTCAGCTCTCAAATGTGCGTTTTCAGAGTACATTTGTTCTCTGTAAATCTCACCCATAATGTCTGCAGCCTTCTTGAGTTGAGTAATCACTTTATCATATTCAGATGTAATTTGGTTAAAGTTTGAAGTTTGTTCCAGTGCTACCGTTTCATATTTGTTCAAGTATTCGGAAACTTCTCCACAGCCTAGCTCTTGAGAAAACAGCACTCCAGCAAAAGCGCATAAACCTCCCAATATCAACAAAATAATTATAAGAATAACAAGGGCTCCGACATGGTTGAGCCATTTAAATTTGGAGAGGAATTTCTCTCCGATAGTTTTTTCATAGGTATTTGTTGTTGTTGCTTCATCAACACTATCAAGACTCTTGTCCCGTTCTCTGGAGCTGTCTTGGAGCTCAAAATCATCTTCTAATCGTTGAGCCATCTATATTTATGTGGTGGTGGTGTTTGATGCAATGATGATGACGGATGTTGGATGGTCGTTCGTGGCGGTGGTGGTGTGAGGAGAGAGGACGAATGGGAATATTTTTTAAAATTCAACGTTTTGTTTTTCTCGATTTCGATGCGCTAGCCAAGTACCAATTTGTACAGATCACCAAATTAAAACGTTACCCACAAAATAGAAGAGTGTTCAACCTTTATTGAGCGTTGTTGCTGAGCTAGTTGTATAAATGAGCCAGTGAGTGAATATTCACTCAACTACTGGTTTGTTCATTTGAGTTTCACCTTTTTGCTATCTTTTTGAGGAGTGTTGTCGTCTTCACTGAGGTTAAGCATGGTGAATGATTCGTCTTTGCCATTAGACGGAGTGTTATGAGCATGAATGGCACGCTTCTTTGTTGAACTAGCTTCTGGAGTGAATGGACTATTGAGGAAGGATAGAGATTGGGATTGTGTAATGGGTGTTCTTTCTTCTTCGTCTTGACCCTGAGAAATCTCAGAGAATAATTGTTCTGGATCGAAAACTTCATCAGGTATTGCGCTATATGGCTCAGTTTCAAGAGAAGAAATAGTATAAGAATTGGAGATGGGTGAAAGATCTGAATTGTTACTGCTTTGTGATCTGGGTTGGCTGTCTTCGTTGAATGATTGGGACGAAAAGGTATTGTCCTTTTGTGTGAGAGAGCTGTGACTGAATGTAATAAACTCTTCCTTGAAGAGCTCAGCACTTGTTTCGAAAAACGAATAATCGTAGCCGTCTTCGTTAACTATTAATACCTGCTGTTTCTTGCTCATTTGCTGTTTAAGACTTTCAACAAGTCCTCGGATGTATTTGGATTGTGGGTTCAACGAGATGATTGAAGGAATGGTAGTCGAATTTGTTGAAATGCTGGCCAAAAAGTGCAACATTTCATTTCTTGACGAGTGGAACGAGTACAGCACTTTCCAAATTCCATCATTTGTTAGTTTACAAGTAATATCTTCGCTCTTTCCAGCCATTCCACAAGTTTCCTTGTTCAGATACTTCAACCACATGGTGGAAACTTGAATAAAGAGAGGTTTATCGACCTCTTTCAAAAGTAAACTTGCCAGAGATTTCAGGGTGTCTTTGGAGACTACTCTCAAAAATGTTTCGTCCTTATTTGAAGTGAAGACTTTTTCTTTGAGTGCATCCATTACGTCTATTTCTTTTCTTCTCTTTGGATTGAGGTTTTCATAATCAAGATATATTTACACTTGAAGTGTCGTTCTATTTCAAATAGTATTCGTTCAGTTCCGAGCAAATCTAAAGCCATGTATACAATTTTGTGTTTTTGTCTTTCCCTCTCGATCAGGGAAATAACATTTCTAATGCTTTGTGAGCGCGTAGGCAAATCAGAAAAATTAGTTTCATCACAAAAGGTATCATCAATATAAACTTTGGACAATTTTTGTGATTTTAAGAAAGTGGTCGTTTCTGTGGACACGTTTCGAAAATCTCCTGTATACAATATGGCTTCCTTGTGAAGACCTTTTTGAATCTCAAATAAAAACATGGTGCTTCCAACGCAATGATTAGAAGTTAGTAGTGTAACTGTGAAGTTTCTTACTTGTGATCTAGATAAAGCATCCTTTACCTTATTGTTAGAGGGTAAATGATTCTGAGGATCATTTTCCTTGTCGTGAGTATGGTTAGTAAATTTGTGCGATATAGGCAATAGTGTTGGTTGATGTAGTTCAATAGTGAGAATTCTATCCTTATCCAAGTTTGGGAATTGAGACAGTAATAAGGTTTTTGTTATTGGATGACAAACAATACAAGTTTCTTCACTTGTTGTCGCATGTTGAAAGAACTTGTCATGCAAGCCTTTAAAGTGATCGGAATGAAAATGTGAAAGGAAGTAGTATTGATAATATGCCAATCCGCTTTGTTGAGATGATCTTCGTTTGTCCTTTCTGTTACATCCTTTCATCAGCAATGGCGATGACTGTTGGCCAGTATTATTTTGCTCCATCACGGAATGAAAATGTTCGAAATTATCGATGGCAATCACTCCGTGAGGTATTTCCGATGAAATATCAAAACATCCAGTAAATTCAAAAGTTGCTTTTCTTGATTGAGAAATCCAATTCGAACAGTTTAATTATCATATTTAACGGAAAATGTTGGGAGAACCTTACCTTCTCATTTTTTCTTCTTGATTTCTCGGGAACAAAATTAAGCGCCAAAGCTCTAACATCACACAAGAAGTTGTTCAATTTCATCATCTTGTTTACGTCGAAAGGCAAATGTTGGCATAGTTCGAACTCTTTTGAACTTTAAAGATTTTCGAATCAAACCAATCAAAATGCCAATTCACTGTTCTCACTCAATTTTTGAAACTCTTCTTCACATTCACAACTAAATCATCCAAAAAAATGTTCAAACAGATTGCATTGGCTGTGGGCGCTAGTTGGTCTCTCTTCTATCTGTATGCATGGGCACATAATAATTTCAAAACAACATTCATGATTGAACGAAAAATAGAAATTAGTGACACGGCCGAGAATGTTTTTGCGTTCATTCTGAACAAGAAGAATTATCCTCTCGGAATGGTCAAATCATGGACAGGAATCGAGCCTGAAAAAGAATTCAAAAGATTATGAACGGCGAAAACAAGTCAACTTTTAAAGTTGGAGAGACGAAATTTAAAGTCGATTTAATAACTTTGGGTGAGCTCGAGATGACATTATCGCATTGGATGGTGGATCGTGACACAAAAAAACATTTTAAATTTGGATGGGTTGGAACGAGCATTCATGAGAGGAACTTTAGAGGAGATCATCAATTTGAAATCATTGCTAAGGGTAACAAGTGTGAACTCATTCACAGAGAAGATATTTCAGGAATTTCAACACCTCTGGCAAGATTATTTCATGAATGGACTGGATACATTCACTACTACTCTAAATATTTAGAAGAGGTAAAAACCCAAATTCATCCAAACATTTAGAACAGCTCATGAACTGGAGCACGAAATGAAAATATATATTGAGTTAGGGGATTTAATCTCAATGGATTTATTACAACTGACAATTTCAAAAAAAAAACATTGCACCAGGCCACAACAAACCAACTGCTGAAAATTAAAAAAAATGTCAGAAATTGAAACCACCTTTGATTCTCTCTTTCCGATCAATGAAAGGAAGGCATTTTCGCAAAAGCTTTCCTATGGTACAGCTGGATTTAGAATGAAGGCAGATTCTATTCTAGATCGTGTTGTCTTCTCAGTTGGCTTACTTGCTTGTTTGAGAGCTTTGGAGAGGAACGAATCGGTCGGAGTGATGATCACAGCAAGCCATAACGGAGCACAAGACAATGGAGTAAAATTGGTAGATCCTTCGGGTGAAATGTTAGAAGCAAGCTGGGAGGAGAAGGCTATGCGATTAGCCAACCGTATTCATGATGCATCGGAATTGGCTTCCACATGCCGAGAATTGGCAAAGGAATTAAACTTGAATGGAAGAAATTCATCCAAGACTCTTTGTATTTGTATCGGAAAGGATACTAGAGAGAGTAGTGATCGATTAGTCCAATATTTGAAAGCTGCAATTTCAACATTTAGAAATGATGGAATTGTTTTTGTGGATTATGGATTGGTGATTACACCTCAACTCCATTATATGGTCATGCTGGCAAATAGTCACCAAGAAACAAAGAATTTCCTTTCTCAATCGTTCTCTTCTCACGACGAAAAGCAATCAAAAATTCAAGACAAGTTGAGTGAAAATTTGAATATTTATTATCAAAATATTGCCCAAGCTTTCGAATCGTTAGTTCACAAGACAAAGCCAATAGATGTCAACTTGGACTGTGCATTCGGAGTTGGCGGCAAAAAAGTGAAAGAGCTTGCCTCTCATTTGAAAGGACTCGTTAATTTTACAATTGTCAATGACTTTGAGCATGTGGCATTCAAGACTCTCAACAATTCCTCAACCACAAATGTGGAGCTGAATATGTCCAAAAACAAAAGGCAGTACCTATCAATTGTGAAACCTTTAAAGATTTAGCAAGCATTGACGGAGATGGTGACAGGCTTGTTTTCTACTACATCAACAACAATGGAGATTTGTGCCTATTGGATGGTGACAAAATTGCAAGTCTTTTAGTGAAATTTATTGGAGAAATGCTTAAAAAAACCAATTTGTTGGACCAATTAATTGTTGGAGTGGTTCAGACAGCCTATGCCAATGGATCCTCAACAACCTATCTAAAGCAAGTGTTAGGGGAAGAACGTATCTTTTGTGTGCCCACTGGTGTTAAATACTTGCATCACAAGGCCAAAGATCTTGATGTGGGCGTTTATTTTGAAGCCAATGGTCACGGTACTGTTGTTTTTTCAGATAAGGCAAAAAAGGCCATTGATGATCTGTATAACAAGAGCAAGCATGAAAACTCTGAAATTTCCGAAGCAATTTCCAATCTCCATGCTTTCACCAATTTAATTAACGCAACAGTTGGAGATGCATTCAGTGATTTATTAGCGGTGGTTGCTGTATTGAGCTATTACAGTTGGTCATGGTCAGATTGGGATTTACATCTTTACACAGATGTGCCAAGTGTTCAAGATAAGCTTCGAGTGAAAGATAGAACTATCATCAAAACATCTGCAGATGAAACACAAGTCCTTTCACCTCCTGGAATCCAAGACAAAATCAATCAATGTGTTGCAAAAGTCAAAAAAGGAAGGGCATTCATTCGACCAAGTGGAACCGAAGATGTCGTGAGAGTTTATGCTGAGGCTGAAACTCAGCAAGAGGCCAGAGATCTAGCAATTGATGTGTTGCATATTATTTACAATGATTTACAAGGAACAGAGCAACCACCTTCCAAGCTTTAATCATTGCTTCACATCATAACAAAATCCTTTTTTACTTTAAAATTGATTAAAATTTGATTTAAAAAAATGTACACACCACCGGAATCACCTGGTTGGTACAATACACCTTCGGATGACGAAGTTAGCTTGCAACCATCATCATCAGGTGTTTTGCTAGAAAATACATCAACAACGAGTAGTGCATCTCATCACCACAATGATTGGTTTGAATATTTGGTTCATCCAAAAAAGTTGGATCAACATGTAGGTAATATTGGAGATGAATAATAATCACGATTCGATTCTAAATAATATTAATATTTATTATCAACGACGGCATTGATCCGATTATTATTTGTTTGGTTAATTTTCATAGTTGGACGATCTTCTCCAAAATCCATCATTACAACCTTCAGCCATGGAATTGGCCTTATCCTTTATGGAACAATGTACAGCTCCAGCCAACGCACGAACACAACAACTCAGCGATCGAACCAAACGATATCTTTCTGTTGTAACAAAAATAGTATTTAAATCCCAGTTTACGCTAGAACAGATCGAACATAATTTTCCAGTTGCCTTTCAAAAACATATCATTGTCGGAATTTTGTTGAGAAAACGAAAAACTTTTGGAGTAGATGGCATTATTCACAAACCTAAAGAATCGGATGCAACAGCACAGTCTGAACATTCAACAACTTCTGTAGAAAATACCACTGTATCGTATATCGAAATTATTTATCATAGATGGATTGTGAGAGCCATCTCCAATAGAACACCTCTGTGGTTCATTAAGAATCCTTCTCTTGAAGGAACAGACTCACAAGATCTCATCCAATTGGGCGAAAGCTCAGTCGCAGAACTTCGAAAATTTGTGGAAACAATTGAAAAAGATCCACAGATTTTAAACAATTTTATTGATAAGCCACCGAATGTGGATGGCGGAGAGTTAGAACAACAAATAATCTTTGATATTGCTAATTACTATTTTTTTAGAGAGGATTTTGACAACTCTTTCAGTTACTTAAAAAGTCTTTATCCTAAATTCCAAAGCAACTTGAACGACTCTAGTGTGGTAGAGAATAGAGAAAAAACAGATTCGTTGAAAGATAATTGTGTGACTTTAATCATCGCATGCCAGTCTATTCTTTCGTCAAAATATCCTCCTGAAGCCTTATTATTTCCTGAGCACAAAAAAACACTCTTCTTTAGAGATGTAGATGACACGGTAAAAAAGTTAAATAGTATGATTGATCAAGATACTGAACTGAGTGACAAATTAATAACTCTATTGATTGAAGATATTATAGACAGTCAGCTAAGTAGAGAATATCGGGTAAATCTGTGTTACAAATTAATTGAGAAGGAGACCTTGTTTAAAAAGATTCTAGCCTTAAACATCATTCAGGATATGATCAAAATAATTCAGGGCCATTCTCTTTCAACAATCCATCAAGAACTTGAGACGGCAATTCTTGAAGCCATGACCCCTCATCATGTAAAAGTATATCCAGCTATTGCAGAAGAAAATCATAACGATACTGAGCTTGGATCTGTTCAAACGCATCTGGATCGATACGTACTGAAACACAAATTTGTTACCAGCCAACCCATTATACCAGTATACATTATTATATTTTTGAAGGAGCTCGAGAAAGAAGCTAAGAAAAGAACTAAGGACATCACTGACATGCAAGACGAAGATTCTGACAATAAGGATGGAATATTATATTGGAACAATGAATTCAGCTCTATCATTACAGAGTTCGTTTGCAGACTCGCTAATTATTTGAATCATCCAATTGTCTATGCCACTTTACTTTCTGAGGGCTTGCAATACTTGGAGTTTAAAAACAAAAGCATGATGGATGGTAACATCATTGAGATGTACAATAAGAGAATGCTAGAAAGTGTGGAAGGGAGCTATCATTTGAATTATTTTGATGGTTCTGCTGACTCTCTTCGAAAACAAGAATCCAATTATAATCTACTTCCAGAAAATGTTCAATCAATATTGTGTAACGCATGTATAGAAAAGAAACGAGAAATTGATATGTATTTTGAACAGTTGAAAACAACAGTCACAAAGAAAAGGCCTTATGACAATGCTATTCAAACCCATCACTTGTTATTCTCTGACGATGACTCCATTTCTGGGAAAGAGTCCACTGATTCTCTCAAACGATTGAAAATTGATGCTAGCGATTATTTATCGCTTCGTGCAAGAAACTTTATGTATAGATCAAGCTATGGCTGTTTGTTTGCTTTACAAAAGATTACAAACTTGTTTGATGCAGCCAACACCATTGACAAATTCAAAGGAGCACAAGGTCAGAAAAGAATATTATTTGATCATGTAATTATTTCTCTCTCTAAAAAGCATCCACAACTCACAATGCCAGAAGAATATCCAGCGCCAAGGATAGAAAGCAAACAAATTGATCGGCCTTCCCCTGTCATTGTCAACATGGAAGAATTCAGTATGCTGAGCGAATTGTGCAATTGGAATCATTCGTTTAACTCGAACACGTCCTCCAGCTCAGAACAACACGCGCAACTGCAACACGATGGAGCTAGTTCATCAAAACAAGTTTCCAACAAGGTCGATGTTCCTCCAGTGAATTTGCCATTCCTTGGCGATCTTTTCAAGTGCTTGGTGAATTTAGAGGATTGGGCGTTCATTAGAGATTTTTTCAAAACCATGCAAACCAAATATGAAGCTAATTCTGAACCATCCGAAGAAAATACTCACATTATGTTTTGTAGATTTGCCCTTCTTGTGGAGTCACTTGCCTATCACATGCATTCCCCAAGAAATGGAGCTCCCAAGAAAGTGTTCAAAGATCTCAAGGATGACATTTACAAATTTGTACATAATTTAATTTATTTACCAGGGGATGGATATGGCTCGAGCAGCGCCGAGAATGACCCTCAACTAATTGAAGATGAAAATCGTTTGAGATGGGACGACTTTCATTTGTTAGCTACAACTCAAAACTTGAAATTCCTTATGGATTTATCAGTAATGCTTGCATTCGTGTTGGCTTCTGTGAGATCAAATATTGCCAATACACGATCGAATTCTCCTCCAAGCAATCTCAGAGGAATTCCTACTCAACCAATCTCTCCACCAACTCCTGTATTTATGGGTCATTACAAACATTTAGCCAAGTTAATCATGCCTGAATATTTTTGCGGGACAACTAAGAAGCATTGGCTTGTAGGAAATGAAAAATTTGTCGATGAGACTCTTTTGGTCATGCTACAACACATTTTAGAACGAGTGCTGAGCTTACAGGAACAAATTCATCGTAAGCCAATAAGCACTTTTTATTTATTTAAGTGTTCTCTTGCTGACATTTATTTTGAGAAGGGAAAGTATAAGAGAGCTCTTGAACTTTATTTGGAATGTGGAGAAAGCAATTTTCCTCACTTTTATAGACCCAATAATGAAGAGGTTGTGGATCGAATGGTTCGGTGTCTGGTTGAACTTGGAGAATATACAGCTGCTGCAGTGCTACATCAATTCATTCACAGCACCTATGACAACGAGATGGACACTCAAACCCAACGAACACATGTCATCTCTGATAGTTCTAGCTTTTCAACATCAAGTATGAGAGTTGGCTACACAAAGGAAATTATTGACAATTTATTTGAAGCCAACGGTCTTAATGAGCGCTGGCTGTTATTCTTTTACGATTTGTCCTATTTGGAAATGGTTGTGCACGTTGCTCATCAAAAAGGAGAATTTAACAAAGAAGATCTCATGATACAACACATTCAAAGAAGTGAAATGAATTCGAACAACAAGACAGAACACCGTAAGGAATACATTCAACAAATGAAGGAAACATTTTTAAGAAAGTTGTACCTTCACATTACAACGAGCGTGTTGAAAAGCACTCAATGATTTACTGCTGCATGACAATTAAAAATTTTTCCCTATTCACTGAGGACAATTATACAATTTCTACGCATCTACGGATTCCATGGTTCCTTACTCCTCAATATTAATAATATTGTAAATTGAATGCACAAACAAACTTCAATCACAGTAAAAAATGTTGAAATCAGGGCTTGGAAAATTTTTAACGGCACAAACCAAGTGTTTATTCGGCGCTTTGAAGACTGCATCTTTCGTCAACCTCGGAATGCCGAATAGAAGCAATCATCTCTATTTGCAACATTCTCCACTACTGCTACGATATGGAATTCAAAATTATTCAAGCTGTTGTCATGGAAACAAGAAGAATGAAAATCGTGTAAAACCAAGTCTTGAAAATTCCGATCAAAAGATGACAACTACTATTAATACAACAACAGAAACAGCACCAAACACCTCTGTATCACAAAATTTTGTAAATATTGAATCTGCCAATACTCCAACTGTTTCATCATCTATTCCTTCATCATCGTCCCCAACAACGACACTCTCTCCTTGGACAAGTAAATTTTGGCAATGCAAACATTCATGGAAACGAGCCTCGTTCAATACATTGAATTGTTTGATTGGATGTTCCATTGGCGATTTCGGAATGTTATGGTTTCTAACCAGCCAATATCCAACCTTATCGATGGCTGCCATTATGCCCATCTGCATGGCTTCAGGAATTGCCACAAGCTTAGCCCTAGAAACTACCATTCTGAAATGGAAGGAAAACTTTTCTTCTGTTTTTGAGGCATTCAAAGTAGCATGCAAGATGAGTTTCTTCAGTATGGCAATTATGGAGCTCTCTGAAAATGTTGTAGATTATGCCATGATGACTTATTGGGGGTTGATTAGTAACGATGGAACTGGGTGTACATCCATGTTGCAAATTCATGAGCCTGCATTTTGGATTTCATTAGCGGCATCACTTTCCATGGGTTATCTAGTTCCGTTGCCCTATAATTATTATCAATTGAAGAAGCATGGTAAGAGTTGTCATTAACCATGGTTGTTGTTGCAACAGGTAGATTTGTGAAATGGCGAAGAGAATACGACATCAATTAAATTGGGTCTGATTTTGATGATTTTCTATTTAAAGAAGCAAAATTGGAAAAGGAAACAAATTTCGATTTGTGGTCCTGTGTTGAACATTCATCGAACTGATATTTCTCCTGTGGTAACAGATTCGTTCTACTCATGGTGGCGGTTGGCACTACAGAAAATGACCAGTGTTACTGAGGTATAAGTGTTTCGATGAATTGCACCAAAGTTTGTGAATGACAATAGTTGACTGGAGTAATCAACTGCACCCGCTGTACATAAAAAATTGCTTTATTTGAACACCATTCCGCTCGATCTGATACGAGCGAGCACATACCCAACACGTTTTCAAAAGAAAGACTCAGAGCTTTTAATGGCAGCTATCGGCGTTCAGCATTATTCTCCATCATTAAGGAAAAACGATTGGTACCAACCTACACAAGCGAAAGGAATCTCCAACACGGAATTTTATGAATTTTATATCTCCATTGATTGCCCTCTCAGCAGTTAATTATTGATAGGGATTGTAGTAGCTAACAACAGACACCATGAAACCATTAAGTTGTTGTTAGTGGAGTGCAAACTCAACGATATCTAAACACCTCATCTGAATTGTAGACCATAGTTGCTTGAAAAACTTTATTGTTCCCTTATTGAAGCTTCACGAAGGTGGGAAAAACGCGATTTCCCCAATTCGGGAAAAAACTCCAATGTAGAATTGAGGAGGACGCTTTCTACTCGCCAGAAAAAAACTTCCGAGTGGCTTGAACTACAACAACACCAACAGCAATTCGAGCGAGCCTTTTCACTACTCCTTGTGTGTGCTCTATTTATTGAGTGAGTCATTTCTTCTTTGAAACAGCTCTCGAGGAGGAACCAATCGGATCAACAACAAATACCTGGAAAAAACTTTGAAGGTTCGCCAAGAGTTTTAGAAAAGAATCTCATCATCCGTTTTCCTCGTTTCATTGGTTCTTGCTCGTTCAAATCTGCAGCGCTGGAACTCTAGTACATAGCATCATCGGAAAGCTTCTTTCATCCACCACACAAACTCAATATCATCAATAATTACATCGTTACCTAGTGAAATGGTCATGACTATTTCAAATCCTCATAATAGAAGAAGAAACGCTATGAAATCTCAGCAAACCCCTCGTTTAAAGCAAGAGAGTTGTAACGAAGATCAACATTCGAGTGATGATGATGGACTAGTCGTCTTGTACTCTCGAAGACAACCATCACCTACAACTGCCTCCGTCACTCACCATCATTCCACAAAGGAGAATTCACTAAATTCTCCTCATTATGTGACACCAACATTCAAAGTTGACGACCCAACAATGACGGTGATACTTCACAAAATGATCGCCAATGAAAAGAGAATGGCGAGGACATTGGGTATCAAATCAGCTTCGGAATTTTGCTTTGGCACAAGAGGTCATAACCCGCAACACACCAAGATTAATTCAATATCTTCCATAGCACAACACCATTATCGAACATTTCCTCTTCATTCACATCCTTCTTCTAGGTCACTCTCCCAAGGTGTGAAAGGATTCATGGAATTTCCTCGTTCTTCACATGCACCTCAGCAAAGATCCCTCAGCGGTATCTACGGAAGAATTGTGAAAAAGTGTCCTGTTCTTGATTCTCATCTTTCAAAAATTGCAGAACCAATTCATACCTCAAACCCAAGTAATTCTCCTACTACAACTACTAGTACTACCACCACAAGTCCCACAACTTCCACAACTCATTCCTCACCACGATTATCCACCACAACTTCTTCAACCCTTCCAACGAATACCGCATCTTCTCCAACAACTACCCCTAATACTTTCACAGCTGCACCAAGTAGAACTGGCCAATCATCCGTTGACAATAACTGTACGAATCAGTACCAACAAACTCCAACCACTCGTCTCTCCTCTTCACAAAGATGCTCTTTCGACTCTAAAATTAACATGCTTTTTTCTTCCATAGATGAAGACATTAATGAAGAGCAAGAATCGTCATCCTTTAAGCAGCCTTACTCGAAACCAGTCACATCGATCATCTTTGAAGAAATTGACACTGATTCGAATCCAAAGAAACGAAAACAAGATTGCGATGAAACCGCACCCACAAATCCCAGTTTACCACCCTTCTCCACCAATCAACCCAAATTCAAGAAACAAAAATCCATTGATGAAATTACCGCTGAAAATATGTATGAAAGTTTGTTGAATCAATGTCGAAAGAATTACATACCTCAATTAGAGTCCATGAATGCTCTTGCATCCGAGGTGATTGAGTCTCCTAATGAACAAGAAGAACCATCGTGTGAAGTGGTACCCATTCTCTCTCGTCATCAACTCGATCGTGTTGTCGGCGAGAAATTATGTGCCATTGCAGGACCCATGACTCCACAAGATAAGTCCATTATTAAGTTTATTGAAAGCAATCCAATCAATGATTTTTTATTGGAATTGTTGGAAAATAAAAAGTTTAATGGGTTTTAACTCCATCAGTGATTATGACTACTGTTAAATAATTTTCTAGTCATGCGACAAATGGCTACGCACGATATTTCAAAGAAGAGTGGTATCAGATACGAATGGAGTTGTGTTTCAATGGTTTCTTTATTCCTCAACCCAGTGCAATTCATTTCTGAACAATTCTTTTTGGATCATGAACAAGTTGTTTCTTTAAAGAAAAAAATGCAAAATCAAGTCAAGGAGATTTTTGAACGACATTATGGAATTGAATTGGGCCAAAATGATTTGGAAATCATTAATGAATCTAGGAATTTTATTTATCGTGTTTGCAATCTGGATGTTACTGATATAAGCGAGAGCTCGGTCATTGTGAAAATTGTCAATTCCGATCAGGAAAATCCATTGGGAAATGTAGAATACAATGCCTATGATTGGCTTTCTTCCGAGGATGATACTTTTAACATTCCAAAATGTTTTTTAAAGGGAATGCTTTCAAAAGATTGTTACTATTATTTAATATTGGAAGATATAAAAGGAAGGACGTTATTGGAATTGATGGATGAATTGGTAAAGGATGAAATATTTTGTTGTCAAGCCATGTCGCAAATTGTTAATTTCATAAAGAAATGTTCCTTAAAGAGTGTGAAAGATCGAAGATTTGGTCCTCTGGATCATGACATGAGAGGAAGATATCAAAATTATCAAGAATTTATTTCCTCTTGTTTACAAGAACAGAATCGATTGTTAAATGGATGTCCAACACATAATTCTCAAGACATTTATGTAAACAAAAGAACGGAATTACTTCTACCTTATTTGGAAGATCTCACCAATTTTTTTATGAAAAATCCTCTCCTGAATGAAACTAATCCTCACCTAGTACCAATAGATTTTAATCCAGCAAATTTCATTTGGTGCCAAGAGAGCTCTTTATTGGTCGTGATTGATTTGGAAGTTTTTGTTGGAGCAGATGAAATGTTTGCATTGGGATGTGTGATGGCTAATTGGTACCACATGCCAGCATTTAAGGTTTTTGAAAAATGTTGGGGAGAAATAACGGATTTAAAACGAGCTTGTGCATTTGCTTTGCTGAGGTGTTTAAATATCATGATTCATTTGGCTATCAATACAAATTTGAATTTGACAGATGTGACACCTTTTGGGAATACCACACCATTCATCCAATTGATGGAAATATTTCGAGGAAAACTTAAAGACTTGTAAATTGTCAAGATTGTCTTTGAGAGCTTGACAAGAAATAAGACAATACGGAGTTTTTTTCTTTAGTTGTTTTCAGTATCAAAAGACGTAACCAATAACATGATCATTTGAAGATTTGTCTTTTACTATTACACACAACATGTCACAAGGAACACAAAATAATACACACACATCTAATTTCTTGAAAAATCAAAATCGTCAAAGTTTTGATTCTCTTCCTTATCAATCACCTCTGCAAATGAATCCACTGCTCTCTCCGATGTAAACTCTTCATCAAAGTACTTGATATCATCGCCATCTTTGAGTTGAGGTCTGAAAGGAGGTTCCAATTTTCTCTCATACAATTGATCCCAATCAATATTCGAAAAGAATGGATGTGACTTGATTTCGAGTGCATCGGTTGGACCTCCTCCCAAACGTTTAAATTCTTCTCTCTCTAATAATCCTCTCAATAAGGATTGAGCATCTGCAGGTATAAAATTAGGGAACTTGAGAGGTGCCTTCAAAATCAATTCATACATTTCATTAATATTTTCAGAGTAGAATGGAGGCAATCCAACCATCATTTCATAGAGTAAAATACCCAAACTCCACCAATCCACTGCTTTGGCATGTCCTTGTCCTTTCAAAATTTCAGGAGCCAAATATTCAGGAGTTCCACAAAATGTATACGTTGGTGTTGCATTGGTAATGTTTGTTTTGGCTAAACCAAAATCTGTCAAAACGACATAACCATCAGCATCTAGAACTACATTTTCAGGTTTTAAATCTCTATAAATAATATCATTCTTGTGTAAATGTTCAATGGCAAGAACAATTTGTGCAGCATAGAATTTGGCACGTTCCACATCGAATTTGGTTTCTTCTTTCAAGTGGAAGAATAATTCACCTCCAGGAAGGAATTGAAGTACCAAATAGAGTTTTTCATCAGTTTGGAACGCATGAAAGAGTTTCACAATGAATGGATGATTAATTTCTTGAAGAATTTGCTTTTCAGCTTTTCTGTTGTTCATGATGATGCGAATGTAAGATACATTGTTGGATGATCCATTGGAATTCCAACATGAATGGAAGCACATTGTTGATAACGCATTGGAAAATACAGGAATTGTGTGCACAACAACATGACACATATGTCCATAAAAAAAAATTCACATTTTAAATGTTCACAGTTCACCATTTCAAAAAAAAAATGTTAACAAAAAAGGTTCCAAAATGACATGTACAAACACCTACGTATGAGAAACCATATTCTCTTTCACAATCATATCCTTACGCAACACCTTCATGGCATACACTTCATTCGTATTCTTTCTCTTCACTTTCATGACCTTACCAAAAGATCCTCGTCCCACCACAGCAATCAAATCAAAATCATCCAAACTTGCCTTCTTGACTGAACTCGAGCTCATGATCACTTTCGAAGTGGCACTTTCATTTTTCAATTCATTTTTCGCTTGTTCGAGACCTTTTCGATCGTTTTTGGGTTTGTATTCAATGGCTCGTTGCAATTCATCGAACCATTTTTTGAAATCTAATTCGGATTCACACACAAGTTCATAAACTCGTGATAAATTAGGACCTGACAGTTTGAGACCGAGAGATTTTGAAGAATCTTTTTCGACTTTGGCATTGGTAAGGACAATGACTCCTGTTGGACGTTTGTCAGTGTTTTTCTTGTAATAATAAAGATGCTTGCCACGGAGTTCGAACCATCGACGACGATGAGCGAGCGTGTTAAATCCACCACGTTTTCTCATGTAACCAGCAAAATCTGGTTGTTCAAAGGACTTGTATATATTTTTAGAGAATGAAGTGACAGATACAAGTCGATCGTTTTTCATAGATATGAAATATTATTGAAAGGACATGATGATGATCATATCATATTATTGAAAGGACATGATGAATGTGCACAAGGATCATCGGAGTTCGAAGGAGTTCAAACAACAACATTCATGATGATGACATTTTCAATTTGTGCAAAATTCTTGTGTTATACTGCTATTGAAAAAGACAAACTTACTTCCATCATTTTTGAATGAATGGATGAAAACTTGTGTGAATAAATTATGGGCTTGTTGAAGAGGAGAGAGCGACTTGGGAGAATTTATCCACCGCCACAACCGAAAGTGCGTGAGAAAAAGTGGGCTTTGACTTTGGGGTGAAATGACACGAGATTTCAATTTTTTTTTGCGCTGTCAAACAAGTTGACAAGAGACTTTGGCACCCGTTTCGATAATTGTGTTTTTCATTGTTCCTTGTAGCGTGAGGGTGTGTCAACGCGGTGATTCAAGAACAACAACAACTCAGTAACAAACAAGAACGAATCCTTTTGAGCGTCTCAGACCATTGTAATGATAGGGCGGCTAGGTTTTCCTTTTTTGTAATTTTTACAAAGCATCGTAATAAACATTTTCAACTTACAAACGTGTTATGAGAAATACTCTTTTTAAGGATTTCAAAGTTTTGGGTTAATTAAAAAAAATACAAACCTTGTTCCGATCGGGTTTCATCACACGAAAACGTTTCTTCTTCTTCTTCCAACAAGATGGACACATCTAGTACTCCAATCAAATCGGAAGCACAAGCAAAAATTGAGGGGAATCCATTGGCATCGTCATCCCATCCTGCTGAGCAATTGCCGAAAACTTCCTTGAATAATGTAAGCATAATTTAGCACTGAATCATTACCTTGTACAATTTTGTTATTCTGAACGATATTTCATGGGACATGATAAAGGATCAAGGCTTTTCCATATTGGAGGGTCTCGCTTTGGTGGTGGTTGAATCAACCGTCGGTCATAACAGAATCTTTTTCTTCACCTCTTAAACAAGAAGCAGCCACCTCCTCCGAGAATCATTCAGAACCTTCTCTCCTCCTTCCAACACCAACAACAAGAAACGAAAGTCTAAGGGAAGTTCATCATGTCGCAAAAAAAAGGCGAAAGAGAATCCAGGACCTGTGGTCTTATCCGAGAGGCAAAACAAGTGTTATGCAGTCCTGATGTATTGTATGAAATATTCTCTTATCTTGTATTTTCTGATGTGGTTCATCGAATTATTTTGGTGAATAAGACTTGGAAAAGCATTGTTGCCAATTTAAACAAACTCTGGGAAGACTATATTCTTTTCCAATGGCCGGATGCGAAACTCACAATGGATATGCGACGAACGTCCTCACTTGAAACCTTTAAAAACTATTATACAAACAATTGTTATGAGTGTTTCAAGACGCTCAAAAAAGCGTCAAGCTTCTCTACGCTTCGTTCTAGAACTGGATGTGTAATCAAAGTATGCGATGACTGTGCATTCTCAGGTCCCTATAGTGAAAGAAAATTGTATACAAAAACACGAATGTATGAATTGCTCAAGTTGAATGACAAAGATATTGCAAACCTCCCCTACAAAGAAGGATACAGTAACGCATATAGAAAAACAACAACTAATCTCTGTCTCAAAAACTGCTATCACAAAGCATTGTCGAAGTACTTTACCAAAGGAGGTATAGAAGCCAATAACGAGCGTTTAAAGGCAATTGCAGAAAAGAGAAGACAGAATCTTGAAAATGCTAAAAAGGAGAGAAAAGCAGAACTCATAAAAGCACTTGAGGAGGAAGGACTTGAATTGAGAGCAGATAGCAGATTATGCGAAGCATATATTAACGGAACCTGTCACCAAAGCTTGGAACAAGTGGTTGACACTATGAAGGAGATGAGATTTTACCATGAAACAATCTCGAGTTATGTTCAAAGTGAATTTGAAGCAATGAACAATTGGTTCGACAACGAAGACATGGACGATCGCTGGTTGAGAAGAGAAATGCGATCAGTCAATAGAGCAGAAATTGCTTATCCAGCCGCATTGAAAAGTTGGGTCCATGACATGAAAGGAAAAGGTGAAACACTGGAAACACTACTCGAAACTGCTCCATCCACTCTTCACGCTGACATTGAGAAGGCCTACTCCAAGAAGTGAGCAATAATTAAAACTAATCAAGTATTGTAAAGTAATAAAGGGATTTTCTTCAGTGAATAGTTTTGTAAAAAATGTTAAACACAGCCATTGCTCTTGACCTCGGATCATCACTGACACGAATTGGATTCGCAGGAGAGGACTCACCGAGTCATGTCATTCCATCTCTGGTGGGCCTACCTCGCCAACATCAGTCAGCCATGCATGATCTGAACAGCCGTTGTCGGTACATTGGTCAAGAAGCCTTGCAAAAAGGAGTTTGTAAAATCATTCATCCAATCCAACACGGAATAATCCACAATCATGATCATATCGAAAGTATTATTGATTATTCACTTTCTCAGCTCTTCACGAAAGAACACGAGAGATATAGTTACTATGAGCATCCAATTATTGTTTCATGTCATCCCCATGATCCCAATCAACAAAAAGAACTCTTAACGCAAATACTTTTCGAAGTATTTAATTTTCCTCAAATATTTATTACGAGTAGTGGATTTTTAACCTTGACATCGCATGGAAAGCTGTCATCAGTGGTACTTGAATGTGGAGACGGAGTGACAAGTGTCATGCCGTTCGTGAATGGCTATTGTGTCATGAATGCTGTTTCTCGTGTGAATTTTGCAGGATCTAATTTAACTGAATATTTGAAATTATTGTTAAAATTGAGAGGATTTTATTTTGAAACAAGTAATGAACTAGAAACCATTGTAAAGGTAAATTTACATTGTCATAACACGAACACACCTGTGAATTTTGAAATTTGTAAACATCATGATTATTACTTGTTATTACATTGATAATTCACATGAACTATTGAACATGATATTAATGAAAGGATGTGAAAGAAAAATTATGTTATGTAGCATTGGATTTTAATGAGGATTCTATACATCATGTCAAACCTCAGAACTTGAAAAATCCTATGAACTGCCAGATGGCCAACATTGACCTTAAATTCGAACGATTTCAATGCATGGAAGCTCTTTTTCAACCTACAGAGCTCATTGGAAAAGAAACTCAAGGAATTCATGAATTGCTTTACAATTCCATTCTCAAATGTGATTTGGGAATTCGAAAAGAATTATTTTCCAACATTGTCGTGAGTGGAGGCAGTACCATGAGTGCGGGATTTGTGGCACGACTGTCAAAAGAGATGAATTCATTGTTGACAAACTCTTCACAAGTAAGAAGCTCAATTGTTGCACCTCAAAGTCGAATGAATTCTGTTTGGAAAGGAGCAAGTATTTTGGGAAGTTTAGAAATGATGAATGATTTGTATCTTTTTCGAGAGGAATATTGGAAATGGGACCAAGTGTGGTGTTGCGAAAGTGTTTAATTTGATCGAGCTAGTATTTCATTACTATTGCTGTGTGAAATATTATGAAAAGTATAAAAACAGCAAATTTTCATGACAACTTGTGAATATATTCGTCATCTTTTGGCATTCAATATTCTTGGACCAAGTTCATCATCCTCATCATAAAAATTTGGCCGCAATCCAATTGTTCATGATTCAACAGAGCTCAGCTTCGTGTTGATCATCCCATAATCACAGAACATCATCGCAACGATTGAGAATGAACAATAATAATTATTATGGCTATAATCAGCAGGGGAGTGCTGGTACAACTACTCCAAATACCAACAATTATTTATTAACCAATAATAACATGAACTTTCAACCTCCGATCATCCCTTCTTCCTCCAATACGATGATGATGATGAATTCAAGTAGTGGAAGTTTAAAACCAATAGATATTCCCTATCCACCTCCACTATCATCCGAACGATATAGTTGGGAATTATTAGGTGGTATTTCTGGAAATCAATACTATGACAAGTCTTTAAAATCACAACAACAATATGCAAGCCTTGTACCATCGATGAGTAATGGTTCCTCCACTACTGAAAAAGTAGTGGTCATGAATTCTGGCAGTGTAGCAGGTGAAAGTATCAATAATAATAACAGCAACAACAACCTTTGGGGCACACAGGCCAATTCTTCTCCAACTATGAACATGTTGAACAATAATCCAATGATGCCGAATAATAATATGAATAATGGAGGAATGGGTATGAGCTACATGACTAATTCACCATCGTCCTCATCTCCTCCGTACGTGATGGGAGGAGGAGGCTCTTCTGCATCACCACTTGGATATCCGAGTAATAATAACAATAATATGGGTGGTCTCAATAATAGCATGATGAATTCATCATTTACCAATGGGACACCAAATTCAGCATTTCCACAAGTTCCGCAACAACTCGGAAACTCAAATGTTCCTCTTACGAATAACATGGCCAGTGTTGTGAATAGCCCATCATCATTTTCTACACCATCCATGCCTCAGTCATGAATCAGCAACAACCATCCATGCAATCCAAGGTACCACCTCCATTTTCCAGCAATAATTTTATGACTCAGAGTGGAATGATGGGTCAACAAATACCTCCTCCATATTCTCAAGTTCCAACATATCCATCACAATTTGCACAGCCACAACAAATACCACAACAAGTGACATCTACTCTTCCACAACTTCAACAACCAAAATTCTTTTATGAAAAAGGAGAAATAGATATTGCCAATGATTCGAATTTAATTGTGAAAAAATCAGCAGAATCTTACTCGAGTGTGTTCATGAATGCTCGGCTTGTAGAAACTCCATCAACGATTTATGCATGGAAAATCAAAGTTGTGACACTGGATTCATGGATTGGTGTTGGTGTCACAAGCGACAGTGTTGTACAAGGCAGAAAACATGCATTCTCTCCTTATGATGAGCACGGTAGCCACTTGTTGTCAGGAAATGGATATATTTGGAGCGAATTCATTGAAGGATCTAACAAATACAAGCATGTACAAGGCTCCAGTTTTGAGTCAGGAGACATTTTGATATTTGAGCTGAATTGTGACAAAAAAGAGCTCTCAATTTACAATAACAAGAATGTCAAGAAAGCAAGATTGACAGATGTCAAGTTTCCTGTGTATCCATCTGTCATGATGCACGGAAAAGAATCGGTTGAATTTTTGGGATTTATTGAGAGAAATCAAATGCCTTCTGCAAACACTTCACCCAATTCTCAATTTTTTGAAGAATTTTTGTATCTGAATTATCATATTAATGAGCCTGAGCCAAAGCGTTTTGTTAAAAAGACAGAGGCTTCTTATACAACCATATTCGCCAACACTCCATTGGGAGATGAAAAACATTATGGAATATTCAGATGGAAGGTGCACATTCATACCATCAACTCCTGGGTTGGAGTTGGCGTAACAGGAGAAAGCATTGTGAAAGATCGTTTCCATGAATTTTCTCCATTTGATAATCATGGAAGTTATTTACTATCACAGAATGGTTATGCTTGGAATTTATTTATTGAAGGATCCACAAAATATAAATCGATTGGATCCAAATTCTACACTGGAGATGTGTTGACATTTGAACTAAATTGTTTCACAAAGGAATTGAGTATTTTCAAAGAAGATGTGAAAATGACCACTTTTTCTGATTTACAATTGCCAGTTTATCCATCAGTGGTGTTGCATGGTTTAGAAGAGGTAGAATTTTCGAATTTTGAGCTAGCAAGTCTAACAAACAAACCAACATCTTATGACAATGCTGTGTATTATAGAGCTCCAAAGTATCTCGTACAACCAAACGTTTTTGATGTTTCGAACTCAAATATTTTGAGGAAAGCAGTTGTAGGCTCTTACTCGACCGTATTTGTGAATCTATTAATTGGTCAGCATCAAAAACTTTTCAGATGGAAAATCAAAGTAATTTCAATCAACTCATGGCTTGGTGTTGGTGTTACAGGCTCTGGAATTGTCGATCAACACAAGTTCACGCTCTCACCTTATGACCAACATGAAAGCTATTTACTGTCACATAATGGATATGTATGGGATCAATACATGGAAGGTACCAACAAATACAAACAAGTGGAAGGATCTAGTTTTGCTGTTGGAGATACCATTATTGTGGAATTGAATGGTGTCACAAAAGAAATTTCATTCTACAAGAACAACATTACGAAAAAACTAGCCACATTGACAAATGTAAAATTTCCTGTTTATCCAGCAATTATGTGCCACGGAACAGAATCTGTTGAATACTCGGATTTTTCAGAGAACAGTACATTGGTGAGAAGCCCTTTCAAAGCTCCAGAATTTGTATATGAGGCATCACACATTCAAATCGTAGATAATAAGATTAAGAAAACCTCTGCCTCCACTTATACTACTGTATTTGTAAACACTCCATTAGGTACTACTTACAACAGTGGTATTATCAAATGGAAAGTTAAAATTATCTCCCTCAATTCATGGATTGGATTGGGAGTCACCATGAGAGATGTTGCAGATGATCGCAAGTTCAGTTTATCCCCCTATGATTCTCATGGAAGTTATTTGTTATCAGGAAACGGATATATTTGGAATCAGTTCATGGAAGGAACCAACAAGTATGAACAATTGCAAGGAGCATCTTTTACCAATGGTGACACCATTGTGATTGCATTGGATTGTGACGCTCAAGAGCTTACTTTTTACAAGTCAGGAAAAAACATTGCCAGTTTCTCAAATGTAAAAATTCCAGTATTTCCATCCTTCAAACTTCACGGAACCGAACAATTGGAATTCTCTTGGAGTGAGTGAATTGTCGACGCATCACATCTTCAAACAAATGTTTATGAATAATAAATTTACAAGAAATAAAAAGTGTTTTGTAATTTTTCACTCTCCTGAGTACTTGTTTTGCTTCTCATTTCTGCAGCTTTCTTTGCATACATCAAACAAGCAGGCAATCGAATTTGGTTCTCAAAGTTGAAGTACAAGAAGGTCTGATTATTGGTAATGGTCGCAAGTGATTTGTTGTCATACCCAATGGAATTGTAAAGTATCATGTAATTGACAGGTTTTTCCGACACGGTGGTCAAATAAAATTCATACACAAAATTTTCTCTCTGAAGTTCGTCTACAAGCAGCGATGAAGGTAGTTTTCCGTGTGTTGAAAATCTCGCTGGAGTATCCTTATTCACCAAAATGACACAAAGCTGCGGAAAGAGTTGCTTCCATTCTTCAAGAGTTGTCTCTGATATATTTTGAACACCCATGACATACATGATCATGTGTTCAATTGGGTCCTTTCTCAAATCCATAACATCTCGAAGAGACTGAAAGAGATGCATCTGCAACTCATTTCTTTCACATTTGAACGTTTGGGAACTAAATCCAGTCAATTCCTTATTATTACTCATCATGACAGCCCCGGTACGAGATTTTCCCATTCCTTCCACACAAATACCACACACAGTGAGTGAGGCAAAGTCATATCTCAATGTCCAAGGTACCACATTGGATTTGCATAACACTTGATTCTCTATGGCCTTCTTCTTCTTTTGGATATTCTGGTCCAATACCAAACATTGAGAGGTAATACCCTTTTCGATCAAGATGGATTTGAGTGAATTGTAGACAGTAGCGTCCTTTGTGGGAGGTAATACAGAAATCCATTTGTGGTTCTTATAGCGGTCACTGTTTTTTCTCGCCAAGTTTGAAATGTCATCGAGACGTTCATATTTCAATTCTTTGTAATTTCCAACAAAAATACTTTGAAGTGTTTTACAGGCTTCCTTATTGGGTATCATGAACACGTATTCGAAAGGTTGGTTTCGAATTGTTTGATAACTCTTTTCTTTCAATGGAATGTCCAGAGGTTCACCTGTCACTTGTAACGGTGTGTCTTCGATGGTAATACCTGCTTGATCTCTCAAAAATTTACCTGCTTCTTTGCGAATGGAAAGCTCATTCACAATCGTTGAGATGGTTTGTTGTTTTTGTTTACGATCAAAGAGTCCTAAAAACTTGGAAATGTCTTCTCTCTTTTTGGCACCTGTTAAGAAACATAATTGAGGAATTAAATAATTGACTTCTTTCTTTTGATTGGCAAACTTGAAAGTGTTTTGACCATGGGTTGTTTGAGGTCAATGTCTTCATGCCTCACTTGATAACGTTCTACTACATGATCCAAAAAGGAAATGTCCACCGTTGCACCTGGAACTTTGGAATTCTTGTCTCGTTTTGGAAAGGTGGAATTCGGATTCTTTTGAAAATCAATATCTCTGATCACATAAGTCTTTCCCTTATATTGAACACTTCTTCCAATTAATTCTGAAAGTATGACCTCGACATGTTTACCAGTCCGTTTCATGTCCAAAATGCATTCCCATAAATTTTCTCTTGCAACCACTTTTTGTTTAAACGACAAGGACAAGTAAATACCTGCTGCTCGATTGTTAACACCCTTCAAAGCATTCATTGCAAAATTAAATCCTTTGTAAATATCATAATCTCTGACATCGGATCGACGTTCAGGAGTGTTAAAACACAATGTTGGACCAAATGGAATCATTCCCATTTTGAACTGAGCTGCAAATTTAACCAAAAGAGATAAGATTTGTGAGAGTGCAGTCATGTTCTGAGAGGAATCAATCTTGGTCATGGTCACTTCATATTCATCTTCATAGAATTCCAAAGTTTGTCGATTCTTTTTTCGAATTCTCAATAATTCACTCTTCATGGAAACATCTTGTTCCAATAAAGGAATATTAGAAACAATGGTTGTTCCGGAAAGGAATGGCAATAGAGATCCTTTTTGTGTCTTTCCTTTCACCATTTGTCGAAACAGAGTGTTCAGTCGATATGGATTTCTTTCCAAACAATCATTGACATTTTGAATACCTTCACGTTCTTGCAATGATTTGTTTTTCACATACAATTGATACATGATCAGAGAACCATTCGACGAGGAAGAATTATTCTTTGCAAGCTGTTGTTGAATTCCATAAAAATTAGATGTCAAAATTTTACGTTCATTTTGTTTCACTGTTGAGAAGAGGAAGAAGAGGCACTTGATTTCTGACTTTTTTGAAATCGTTCATAATCTTCATGATGGGAACGTCTTGAATCTCGAGTATTGTTGAATTCATTGAAACGTTTTTGACCTCTTCCTTGATCTCTTCCACTACTTGTTGTAGAGGATCCTTCTGAGTACGATCTTCGAGAATCCTCATACCTTGGTTGACCATGTGCTTGTTGATAATACTGTCGATTGTCATGACGATATCCAGAACTACCGCTAGCAGAAGAAGAAGCTTGAGAAGCGGATGCAGATGATCGATTTGAAGAGAAATCATTGTCATATCCATAGGAGTGAGAGATGTGTATCCTCTCGGATCAGGTCGAGAAGAGGATGGATAGGAAGAATCACATTGTACACGACGATCATCTTCTCTCGATCTCACATTTGGATGATATTGTTGATGATGAGCTCGAAACGAGGATGATCCTTGTGGTTGTTGTTGATGGAACGGAGAGGAAGATGGACGATCGTATCGAGGATGTCTTTCATCGTAGGAGGGTCTTACACTCTCTGATCTTTGTTGTGGATCGTTTGTTGGATCATGGTTGTCAATGGGGCACTTGAATGAGAGGAAGCTGACGTTTCTGGTAGAGAATGGCTTGAGGAAGGATTGGACTGAGAAGAACCTTCATTGGTGGATGGCTTGCGCTTGGGAATTCTGAACCCTCCCATGGAGAGAGGAGGTTGTTGCTGGACATGGATTTGTTTTTTTTTGTTGAATTTCTGGAATTACAAAAGTCTTGAATCGAATTCTTTGCCAGTCGTTCCAAAAAAAATTTGCGCTCACAAGAATTTTTTGCAAAGGATTTGATTGTTGTAGTTGTTTGTTTCGAGAAAGAGTCGAATGAAGGACGTCAAATAACTGTTCACATTATTCATCCTAAGTGGCTTTTATATACCTATCACCTACTGTGAAACAGTGCCACCTTTCGATGACATTGTTCACAAATCTTAATTCTCCTCATTGCAATCGATGTGAACCTTCATAACAATCATGATGATCACCAGAGAATTCAATGACATCAACCATTTTTATCCTCATTCTCCTTGACAACTCCGAGAAACAAGAAAAAAATGTTCCCAACGTCTTTATCCTTCCGAATGCGTAAAAGGCCGAACCAAAAGGTGCTGACCTGTGGTTTATTGTTGTTCATCATGATGCTCTTCATTGCATGTGGTCTAATATCGGGCGCGCACTCATCGTTTTCCAACAACAACAAGGATGATGGCGATATCATACCCGAAAAGTTTTTCAAGCATTTACAAGGACCACCCGATGAGTTTAAGAATTTTGTGTTGCCCTCTACATCACGAGCAGCGATTACATCGGATAGTTATTTGATGGATATTGAGTTTACGAGTAGTAGTAGTAGCGCTGAAGAAACCTCTACAAGAACAAATACAAAACGGCTTACTTGGCGACAATATATTCCTGTTGATACTATTGACAATGTTACGCTATCTATTGTTAGTAAATATCCAAAAAAGATGAATCTTAAAGTATTGAACATTGAAGACCTCGTAGTGAATGAAAATACCAATAGCGACACTGAAAATGAGCAAAGAGCTGAAAGTATTTTGCAATCTCTTCAAAACAAGAATTCGGTTTACAATTCATGGATTGGATTTGTGTCAGGTAAAAATAGCATCCCAACAAAGACCTTTGTATTCAACAACAGAAAACAAGTGAAAGCTGGAGATTGGCTTGTTGAAGTGTCCATTGAACATGCTGCTGTTGAGGAAATTAGACAAACTGATCCTGATTTTGCTGACAAACTTTTGAAAGGAGAAGCACAAGCATTCCTTTTGGCTTACTGCACCAGTCCTATTTCTGTTCATTCTCAGCTAAATTCCTATCGATTATCTGTTGGAGAGAAAATTGGTTTCACCACACGTGTGATCAAGAAAGAAGACGCCTTGTTGAGGGCAAAGAATTTTGACATGGTCCCCAGAGCCCTTCCAAAAGCCATGTTCACAAAAATTGAAGCAGAGATGGATGTTGAGGATCCTGACGGTAAAGAGTTTGTCGTTCCAATGCAAGACCAAGCTGATTTGTTGCTTGCCAGATCTGACTCACAAATTGCCAACATTGACGAGGTGGATGGAGTGTTTTCTGCACAGATTGAGGCAAAGGAACCTGGATTCTTCTCCTTCCGTGTGGTAGTTAAGGGAATTGTAGGTGAGACTCTTATGAAGACCAAGTATCAAAATGTTACTTCAAGCAAGATGGTTCGTTCTGTCAATCGTAACAATCAAAATCAATTAGCATTCATGAGAACCACTCAACATACAGTCTATGTCGTCGATGAACGTATGAAATTGTTGACCAGTGGCACAAGAGCTTCGTTTGCTCAACTCGATGAAATGTTAACAATTGACCTCCAAGCAAGTGTTGACCCAAATTATGTCGACAAGGTTTTCAATAAGAAATTTAAGGCTTACACTGAAGTGTGGGCTCATAGCGAAGATGATGAGTCTAAACTTGTGCCTGTGTGTTGGGTGATGGGAATGACAGTTGCCAAGCCATCCGAACAAGACAGCAAGGATATTGCCACTCTTCCGCTCCAAATGTCCATGACATGGCTATCAAAAGCCAATGCCAAACTTCCATTGGTGCTAAAGAATACATATATTAGAGACGTTGAAACATCAGCTCTCATTACACAAGTTTCAGAAATTTTGCAAGTTGAAACTCATCAACTCTTTGTTGATCCAATCAGCAAGGCTGTTAGAGCTAAAAGTACAGATCAAACCAAGGTTCATGCATTTGCCAGAAACCTCATTCAAACAAGCTTCAAATTCAATGGTGAAGTGACAGAAACAATGACAATGGGTAAGCGACCTGTTGAATTTATGAGAAATGAGAAGAGAGCCACCTCTGCATCTTCCCATAAGGTTCTTTTAGTTCATGGCTACTGCTCTTCTGGAGAAGTATTCCCATTGAATCATTTCCAAAATGCTGTTGAATTTTCTGATCCTGACCAAAGCCGATCTAATGACAAATTTGCTCAATTGATTTGGGATTTGGGTAAAGAATTTGAATCGTTTGCTATAGTGGCTCACAGTCAAGGAGGTCTGGCTGCTCTTCATTTACTTACCTTCTATTGGTCCAATGCTGATAAGGCTCCACCAGGCGTCAGATTAATTCAGAGCGTTGGATCTCCTTATCTTGGAACATCACTAGCTGGTAGTGTTGCGGAGCTAGGAAAGATTTTCAAAGTGGGATGTGGCAAGAATATGGATTTAACAGTTGAAGGTAAGTGGAAAGATACATAATTCTTGAAATTGTAATTATTTGAACGTTTCTATTGCATGATAATATCAAACAACGTTTTGTATGGCTTCAAAACAACCACAGGTGCTGTCAATTGGCTCAACAACATTCCTCCAGCAGCTCAAGAAAAGGTTTACTTTTACACAACTCAATACAAGGATTGGTCATGGTGCTCACTTGCAACTCAAAGCGTTCTGAACTGGCCTAATGATGGAACTACTGAGTATGAACGTACGGCTTTACCAAAGGGCAACAACCAGGGACATAAGAAGAAATATTGCCACACAACAGGTGAGTTTTCAAATTTCTAATTTTTTTATTACGATTATTTTAACTTTTCTTAGATATGAATTACCCACCTCAATGCAAAGATCCTGAAAGAAATGCCATCCTTAACAAGTATGCCAATGGTTTCTAAAATTTTTTTCTTACGTTCATTCAGTAATAAATTGAACAATTATTATTGGTTGAAATCACTAAATTTTCAACTGCTTCAAACGAATACTAGTATTTCAATAAGTTTGCGTACGCCTTGGTGGGTACCTCCAGAATTACGCGAGAATTGGGAGTAATTTAAAATTGACCAAAAAAAATACACAAAGACCTGTTTGTCAACCACTCCACACTTCTAGAGTATCAAAATCTCTCTTCATTTAGCGACACCTTTGAAGAAATGGGCTTTAATTTGAAAATTGTCGGAGGAACTAGCAACGTTGAATTAGCGTAGGTATTCATTGGTAGTGGCATCTTTGTGAGGATAACCGTATCCGAAATCATGGACTTTTCTTCAGTAAAAAGGTTGCTGAATTCCTGCAAATTGTTCCAACTGAGACCAAAATTTACAAGTTTGCTGATAGCGAAATTGGAGTTCAAATTATGGAAAACGTCAGAGGAGTAAGTATTTCAAAAGTTGATCCGATGATGACTCAGTAATTGGTATAGAGTGGTATGTATGCTCCGACATCATCATTCCATTTACAGAATTGCTAAATTCTATCACAATGTTCATCACTTTATGTATTATTTCTGATCATCACTATTATTTGTTTAAACAAACGTGGCATGAAATTCCTGTGATCTATGTCATTCCGAAACAGATGTTTATGTCATTCAATCGACTTGTACTCCAGTCAATGATAACTTTATGGAATTATGCCTCATTGTGGATGCACTTAAGAGAGCTAGTTGCAATAGAATCACTGCTGTTGTTCCATATTATGGTTATGCCAGACAAGACAGAAAGACCAAACCTAGAGTTCCAATTTCCGCTGCTCTTGTTTCTCGATTGTTAGAATCATCTGGTGTAGATCGTGTATTGTCAGTGGACTTGCACTGTGGTCAAATTCAAGGTTTCTTTAATATTCCAGTCGACAATCTTCATGCAAAGCCTGTTCTTGTTCATGCTTTCCATCATCAAATTATTTTGAATGAAGGATTAAAGAACGAGAGCGATTACAAGGGTTTAGTTGTCGTTTCTCCTGATGCCGGTAAGTGAACATTATCAGTGAATGATTTTAGTAATTTACTGAACTCTGTTTAAGGTGGTGCTGAGCGTGCTGACAATTTCAGAACTGCATTGGTCACATTGGATCCAAAAATTCAAGCTAGCATGGCTGTTATGAACAAGAAAAGACTTGAGGCCAATAAGGTGGCAACCATGGAGTTAGTGGGTAACGTTGAAGGCAAGCACTGTGTGATTGTGGATGACATGATTGATACTGCCGGTACTTTGGTCATGTGTGCTCAAATTTTGAAGGATAACGGAGCTAAGAGAGTATTTGCTTGTGCTACACATGGTTTATTCAATGGAACTGGTGTTCAAAGAATTCAAGACAGTGTAATTGAAAAGGTCATTGTCACAAATACTGTTCCACTTGCTCCAGAAAAGCAACATCCAAAGATTATTCAAGTTTGTGTCAGCGAATTGGTTGGAGAAGCTATTAGAAGAGTGCACAACGAGGAGTCTGTTTCAAGCTTGTTTTAATTAACAAACTCCTGGGTTAGACGATTCGAATAACAACACCATTTTATTAACATTTTATGATTGTATTATTTCGTTACAAAATTAAGAAACACCACCGAAACAACAAACACCACACAAAAGACACTGAGTGATGTTTTCTTAATTTTGAAACGATTTGGTATTTCAAAGTTAGTAGTGAGAAGAAACAAGTAGGAAGTTATCTCTAGGGTTTCTCTCGTTGAAGGCCTCAATATGATGAGTTTTCTTGAGAGGAATTTGTAACGCACTTGCACTATCACCAGAAAGATTGAGAGAATTTGTCGCACTATTTGCAAGATGGCTATAGGTTTTGAAAAAGTTTTTTGGAGGTGTGAGCGATCGTTGGGCTTTTTCTCTCAATGATTGACTTTGCAATATTCTTCCCATACCTTTGGTGGTCATAGGCTTTACAGTACTGGATCTTGTAAGTGGGCTTGATTTGGTAATGCTGGAATCTTTCGACCTTTTTTCATCTGTTTTACAGTATTCACAAGTAAGGTGAGTGTTTTTGATGTTGCAAGAACTACTTACATCGAATGTTGATTGGAGCGATTGGAGAATCTTTCACAGAGTCCAATAGAGATTCAACGTCTGTGCGTTTCGAAGGAGGAGTTACTGGTTCTTTGGGTGTGGGAGGTGTTGCTTTGGCTGACTGTGAGAGTTGAAAACGCTTTGGTGTGGATGGAGTCGATTCTGTTGTTTCATGTGGATAACTTCTTGCTGACTTTAGAGCTCGTTCATCATTTTGGGCTTTTCGAATTTGCTCCAATGGAAGCGTGTAAGCTGTCTTTGGCTTTTGAGGAACATGTGGCTTTGCTGAATGATGCTCCAGAAATCGTTCAGATCGAGTTTTTTCAAAAGCAACATTAAGTGACACTGTTTTAAGTGGATACAAGTTTCCTGAAGGGTGTGCAAGGTGGAAATTGCTTTTGGAAATTGCTCACCCTCATTCCACATTTTGCTTTGCTTTTCTTGGAGGTAATGCTGTTGAATTCCGATCACCATTCCTGGTCGGCAAATTCGAAGCCATGCTATGGCTTCAGTGGCTGTAAATCTATAATGCTTCATCATGTAAAGAGCTATCATGGTTCCTGTTCGTCCCAAACCTGCCTTACAATGAACCGATACAACCCCTTCTTCTTCGCATATTTTCAGGAACTTCTTAACTATGTCATCAGATGGAGTGCTACCGTCTGGAAAATACAGGTCATAATGATTCATTCCTGCGCTGACAAATCTCTTTCGATCGTAAAGCGGTCGATTTAGGCGAACAATGGCTGTGACCTTCCATTGCTTAAAAGGAACAATATAATCATCGGGTGTCAAATGAACAAATCCATCGCTGGTTATACGTCTGCTGGAGGGAGATGAAAACGCAATGAATTTTCCAGGAACCACCCAATTAATGTCTCCATTCTCCACTTTTTCTAATTTCAGATATTCGTCAGCATCAAAACGTTCGTAATTGAGGAAATTTAAGGATATGGCTTTAGCCAAACCTTTGCAACAATCTAACAGGGTTAAATTAAATGTTGAAAGAGCTGGAATCAAAGAACAATTGTACATCTCCACAAACTATATATACAATGATAACCTACACTGAGAAGCATCTCTAAATGGTATTAGAGGAGGGTACACAGTATTAAAGGGTCTGCAGGCTTCTTCAGGTGATTTTTGTTGAGAAATGACCAAGTAAGCAACAGCCATGAACGCTCCGTTGGCTCTCTTTTGCCCATCATAACTTGTGACGAGATATATTTTCTTTGGAGTGGTCTGATTAATTACAAGGTCGCAAGGTCGGTAAGAAGAAAACTATTCAAACATTAGAGTTTAAAACCTCACCACTCACCTTCAACAACTGATCCACATGTCTGCACAATTTAATAGTATATCCAATATTTACAGGTCCAAAATCATGACAAAACGGCTCATAAACATATTGATCGTCTAGCATTACAAATATTGAGGATGGATTTTCAAAAGACAACGGCATTCTCCTTAGAGAGATCCAGTACAATCGGTCCTCTAATAAACAAATGGCGTCCTTCAAATCTCCATGATTGGTTGCGTAATTACTACTACTTCCCGATCTTATCGGAGATGAATGAGCCTTCATGAGGTTGTTGTTGTTTTTAAGAATTACTAAATGATGATTGGCACCGATATTTCTAAATGGTGAATGATACGGGCTCCCAACGACAGACTTCCTTGAAGCCTCAATCACGTTGGTAATGAATAAAAATTTGAAGAGGGTGTTTTTTACCTCCAAGCTACAATCGTAGTGCTATTTTTTTCTCTCCTTTTCGACGAACGTAACGTCTACAGGATCAACTTGTCGTTCCGATAACATCACAACGGAGAGAGAGAGAGAGGACTCTGACCCTTAGCCAAGAGATGAACAATTCGCTACCTCTCGTTGTTCGATTACAAATTTTCTGGAACAACAAAAAAAAATTTTGATTCAAAAAAAATTAGAACAATGGACCCAAAGGCGCATCTCAACAACACTCGTGCTGTGGTCCATCTGACCAAAACTAAAAGTATCATTAAAATGATCACGAATAACGAAATTTATGTTCATAAACGATCAAAGAGTGCAATGACAGTGAAAGTAACCGCCGGATTAGTTATGGGACTGATCGTGTTAGATCCGGCTTCCATCGATGAGATACGTAAAAAGAATTCTATCCGATACAAGATTGTAAAACATGTGCTAGCAGAGGCAACAACGGCTGAAAATATGAATAAGAAAATTACTGAAAAGTCATTAGATGTTGATCATTTAAAATTGCTGTATTACATAATTTCTGAGCAAATTGTAAAATTAATTTCTCCAACGTGTTTGGACTCTCTTACCAATGCAATGGAAAGTTATTCATCACATTCTTGTACAATTATTAGAGTGGATCGAAAATTTTATTTTGGCAACTGTGGAGAGCTTGTGGATGTCATTGTGGATGTGTTTGGATTTTCTGAAGTGAAAGCCAAAGTGAATGACGAAGAAATTCCTTTCAAACGAAAACTATCTCAAGTAATTTTTACTTTTCAACTTCCAGCAGAACAGAATACGGTCTCCTCTAAAAAGTTCAACATTTCGTTTTTGAGTCACACATTCAATTTTGAAGTGTTTTTAATTGCTGCAAACTTGGAAAGATGTTTTGATAATTTCATGAATGTTGAGCTGTTTTGTGATAATGGAATGAGACGTGATCATGCAGAATCTCTCTTCAACTGTATACCCAGTTGGAAAATTGACACAGGTAGTACCTTTCACTGTTACGTGAAAGAATATTTGCAAGTTGCAAAAAATTGGACACAAAACGAAGCAGACTATCTTTTAGATTTTCTCAAGTTTTTGCTTACAACCAACTCGTTTTTTGCACTATTGGCTTTTCCATATCCAAAGGATTATCCCACAAACTCGTACACCTATCTGTACTGCATGAAACTATTGATTGACCTGTTTTTCGTATTCAATGCCAAAATGAAGTGTAAAAATCCAGTGATGAATTTTTGTTTGATTGATAGAATAAACCGATGACAAGATTTCGTTGAAGGAACAAGCCATTCTCTCAATAGAACTTCCGCTTAATTGGAGGAATGTTAAAATACAAAAAGACATTGTTTATTGGTTTAACAAAAAGTCCGTTTGCGCTCAATAATAGTATTCATTGTTGCTTACAGTTATCCTTATTACTGGACCGTCTGGCGTTCTGCTTGTTAGTTGATTTGTGATAATGATCATTATCGTGCGTATTAGACCTACTTGAATTATTTGAACTTGGATGCGAATAATTTGGATTATTTGGAGGTTGTTGGGAAAAAGTTGTTGAATAAGTTTGGGAAGATGAGTGATATTGTGGTTGTTGTTGAAATACAAACTGTTGTTGGTGTGGTTGGTTCTGGTGTTGATGATAATTGTAAGTATTGCCATGTTGTTGATTATTGTGATAATTGTTGCCACTGTTGTGTTGTCGCTGATCATTAGATTGAGCTTGTTGATAAGAACTGTTATTGACATTGTTTTGAGAAGAACTTTGTTGTGGTGCCGAAGAATGTTGCTGTTGCTGTTTCTGTAATTTTCTGACTTTTTCTTTCAATTCGTCATTCTCCAATCGCAACATTTCATTTGTTTGCTCCAATGTTGATATTTTCATTTTGAACTCTTCTCCTTGTTGAGCATTTGCACACTTTTGCTTCAAGTTCTCAATAGTGTTTTCATAAGATTGAAAAACATCTTCCAACTTTAAATACACACATTCGTACCCATGATTTTGTAACTGGTTGAAATTTCCTTCAAATTTACACCCATATTTTTTCATCGTACAAGGCTTGATAATATTCTCACAAAACTTCTCGACATGATCTTTTAAATTAGATCTCTTTACTTTTCCTTGAGAACACATATTTGGACACTCAACTTCGGAATCATCAGCTAATTTTTCTACAAATCGGTTATGAAGAAAGGATGAATCATCATGATGATCTCGGAGCATGAGAGGAGTCTTCCTACAATGTGGACATGATCCCGAACGATCTACCCACTGTTTAATACAAGTATAACAATACAAAGCGCCACAACTTTTACATTCCCTATTGTTGTTCACAATTTCGCTACAAATCACGCAATCAATATTCACGTTGGACATTTCTAATATTTTTTTTTTAAATGTTCTTGTATTAGACATTTGTTGTTGAGAAAAGAAAATCGAAATTGATTTCTGAGAAGGATCCTATCAGATGCAGATGACCGTCATCAACTTCGGCTCAACAATGTTGATTAATGTCATGGTTCGTTCCTTATGGTTGAAGCGGGATCATCAATTCAAAAAGTGCGAGCCAACAACACTGAATGTTTTTATTTTTAACCTTAAATGACGTCATTCCTCATGCGTGCCAAACAATGATGACAAAGCAAAGAAAACACGACACAAATGACAACTTGCCAATGTTGTGTGATTAAGAAGTGAAATAAATTGTCATCGTCATCGCTTTGGCATTGCTTTAATGAATTAAAATAAGCCAACAACATTGATACACGCAAAAGATAAAAAACTGAATGCTTCATGATGAGGAAATTTATCAAATCATCAACAACGCCTCAAATCACAAAAAGGCTTTCCTTGCTAGTAGTTGTTGTGGCAACCACCACCCTGATGATGTGTTATGTCCATGTGAATGCAAAAGTAGGTATGAGGAAATATGAAGAAATACCTCAGCAACAACCACCCTCAAGGACGCGAACACAAATCCTCACAACCACCGCCATAACCACCACAACAACAAGTACTGCATCACCGTCAATAATACCAAAAACGTCTACCCTTTATAATCATGGCCATCATGTGCACATAGATTCATCATATAGAGAGTTCAATAACCCTCACTTGGACAAGCTCAGTCACATTTCGTATAAGCGATACGTTGAGTACATGACCTCAGAAAGTGTGCTTGACCAGCCATCCATGTCTCTCCCCACAAACAATAATGATGAAAATAGTCTGCACCAAACAGACCAAGACAATGTGACAGATGGCTGCAACAGCGAAATAGGTAGCTTTGATTCAGACAACACCAATTTCAATAAGAGCAAATTACAACGAACATTCATCCGAATTGCATTCAGCGAAGTTTCACTAGCTCTCACTGAAACGGCTGAGAGAGTAGGAGCCATTGATGATCCTGACAACAACCAACTATTATACGAGTCCTACATTTACTCGTAACGGTTCCAGACAACAAACTCACCATAACGATGAGCGACCTATCCGTTCGACCACCAAAACACAATCATGATAACCGACCAACAATGATGTGAAAGTGAAACTGTTTCATTAAGTAATGAATACACCAAATCACTTCTTGTGATGTATTTGGCAGGTTCATCGTGGGAATTGATTCAAACTATTAATAATAAATAATATAGCTATTGGTACAGATGATTTGCTGCAGTGTTGGTAGTCGTAGCAATCATCTCGCGTAATGTTACAAATATAAACATGGCTCATACACCAAACTCCTCGGTTCTAAACTCAAAAACGCACAGATTGTAGTCGGCTAATTTGAACAATCGAGTCAATGGATTGTTTGATGTAACTCGAAAATAGAGAAGGGTCTGTGTACCGGTCCCTAACAATACAATGCATGATAATTACAAAACAATTCAAAACATCCTCATCGCTCAACAAATCAACCTTGTCGGCCTTGGATCCGTCGCTGCTATGAGCAGCTGTTGGAGTGGATGAAGTTGTATTTTGCAACTTCCAAGAGTTAAAATATGACATGAAGGTGTAAAGTATCTCCATAGGATTGGCAGTCACAGGCTTTTCTTCCTCTGCTTGCCTATCCTGTTGTTCCCTGACAAAACCCATGACTAACTCTTGCACCACATCGGGTGAGTGGAGTTTGGCTCTACCAAAATTGTTGTTCATCATGGGATTCACTCCATAGGGAGTTGGAGCCGATGAAGGATTGTAAAAACCGTTAGCGGCTGATACGTTGGCGTTGCTGTAGGGCGGTGGTTCGGGTGGGTGAATGTAGCTCATTGGTGGAGGTGAAGGTATTTTTTTGGCTTTATTGTGATTTTCGAAAAAGTGCGAATAAAAAATCGACGATTTTTTCGCGATTTTTTTCGAGATCGAAATGAGCGACATTGATGCGTTGTCGTTTTGACTTGATGTTGATTAACATCGAAATCCTTCAAAATCGATTTCGATCAAACTCGAAATTTATTAAGTTTTTGTCTCATCATGCCAGATTTCCTTGCAATGATGAACAAACGATTTGATTAACTTGGGTGTAACTTGATCAAACACCTGCTCCATTATCTCTTCGAGAGAGTCAACCGAATGTTCATAGTTTTTCAACTGTGTTTTCATCCATCCGAAAAGCAATTCAATGGGATTGAAGTCAGGAGAGTATGGGCTTTGCCAAAACACACTAATACCTTGGCCATTCATTATACTATGAACTTCTTTTTCCTTATGAATGGATGCGTTGTCAAGAACTAAAATACAATCTTTTGGGATCAATTTGCTCAATGTTGTCAGAAATATATTAAATCGATCAGCATCAATTGCTTTGTTAGTTGTATCGACAAGTTCCCAGTAAACCAAACCTCCTCTCTCGTTAATGCATGCCAATAATGAAAAACGTTTTCCACTCACTCTGTGCGCACTGTTTTGACAAGTGTTGCCAATTTTGATGTGAGCCCTTGTTCTAATCAAATGGTCATAACAGAAATGCGATTCGTCAATAAAAAACATGATTCTTGTTTTGTAGGTTCGAATAGTTCGCCTGTACACAGTTCTTTGAGATTGTACTCTTGGGCTTTTTCGATATACTGATACTTTTTCACATTTCTTATATGTCCTGAACAAATATTTTGTCGTTATTTTGGAGAGCTGAGATACGGAAATTGAAACATCAAGATAATCTTTAACTATTTGACGTACTTCTGCATAATTAACAGTATTATATTCACTGAATATGATATCAATAAATCTTAACACAGAGAGGTGGGTTGATTTACCTGAATGTGGAGGCCTTCCGAGAGCTTTTTCTTTTTGTATTTCATTGCAATATTTGTAAATCGTTGAAGGTGCGAAAGGTAAAATTTGTTGCAAGACCTTTGGTTTATCTCCATACTTTCCACACACCAATTTAATGAACTCAATTTGTTCTGGGGCTAATTTTTGACCTTGGATATATGGTCTTAGTTTTTGAGATATTTGGACACCTGTTTTTTGTTTGAAAACTCGTCTTTCATCGTTTGTGAATCGATGTTGCGTTGCTTTTACCATGTGGAAATCGATTTTTTCGAGCAAAATTGATAAGAAATTGTTGAGAAAATCAATTCTGCTCGATTATGTTGAATTGTTTAATGTTCTCATATCGAAAATGTTGAATTGAACGACATTGATTTGTTTCGGAATAAAAAAAACTCAACGGCCTCTTGTTTTTTAAGTCGTCTTGTTTTTTGTGCGATTGTGTCAACGTCAAAAAACAATAACAACGGTTTTCTCACTGAAAAAAAATGGGCAAAGACAAAACAAAGTGGAACACGTTTGATCGTTTTTGCGAAATACTCGCAACCACATTACCTATTTGTTCAAATGAGCTCTATTCTCATGGAATGACAAATTCAAAAGCAGCAAGCAAAGTTTTCAAGAAGCTCCAATTAGAAACAAAAAAAAATACAAATTTCACATTTCCTACTGCTAAAGGTTCAAGAAAATACAAAGATGGTTTACCAGCAACATGCAACGCCCCAAAAGATGACAAACGTGTGAAAGATTTTTTTGATACTTTCATTCAAGAAAACAAGAAATGGATTGTTAACGAGATTGAAAAAGAGATTTCTGCTCACTCCAACAAAAAACAATCATTGGCTTCACAAATTCAAGGTGACAGTAGTGACAGCGAATCAGAACATTCAGATCAGGATGATGAGAAAGATGATTTGGATTGGATTGATGATAATGGCAACGATTTGCAGGAAGTTATGTATAAAGAAGCGCAAGATAAATTGAGAGACAATGCGAAAAAGCGTACAAGAAAAGGTGATACAGACAAAAGCGTCTCTCCTGTATTCAAAAAAGCTCTTGCTTCTATTCAAAAAAAATCATTGGTCATTAAGAAAGAATTGGACGAGTCAAAGACCAAGGAAACACCTTCAATGGCTCCTGAGCTTGATATATGTGGCATGGATTTGCATGATATGTTTGATCTTGATCCAAAACCTGAGTCAACACCACAAGTTACTACGTTCAAATCACCTGTTTTAGAATTCCAGATTTTCAAATTGGATCAGTTAAAGAAGCAAATTTTTATTAACGCTAAACAAGACTGTGATACTAATGATAAGGATATGCAAAATTCGACAAAGTTTTTAAAAACTATGAAAGACATGGAAGAAAATAATTCAAAAGTTATTGCAGATCAATTATTGAAAGTTCAGAAAGAAAAGGAGGAGTTACTTGAGAGATTTAAAAAACAAGAAGAAGATATTGCAAAACAAGAGGAACAGTATGTAAAACCTTTGACCAAATTGGTGAATGAAGTTGCAAAATTGATTGAGGTAAAGAAAGAGAAGATTAGACAAAAAGAGGAAGAGGAGAAAAATCAAATAGAAGCAAATTATCAGAGTTTATTTGATTAAAGGTTCTTCATGATCGATTTTTTCAACTCTGACGATCAAGAAAATCGATTCATGTCGATCATAATTGATTTTTTCGATTTTGGACGAAAAACATCGACTTTGAGAAATGAATCGTGTTGAGGTAATCGATTCAGGTCGATCATAATCGATTTTTTCGACTTTGCACGAATAGCATCAACATCGTATCTCGTCAACATCAAGCAAAATCGTTTTCGGGAAGAAACGTCCAAAAAATGAGGGTTGACCGAATTTGAGCAAATCGTTTTCGATTTTACTCGATTTTTTTTCGCACTTTTTGGAAAATCACAATAAAAATATTTTTATTGGAACACCGCTCCCTCAGTATTTTTATCTCCTTCAATTCAAAGGAACACGAAAACGTTGGATCCAATTGGTTCAATCAACACATGAAGATTGAGGTACAACTATAGAGAGCAGACGATCATCTAGAATCAAAATTGGAAGAAATGCCTTTCTTTACTTCTTGGATTGTGGTCAGATGATGTGGCTTTGGTTGTTCAATTTCACCGCAAGAAAAAACAAAAAATGAGGACAAGTTCGGAGCAAGATTTTCATGTCTTGTTAAGTCTTGTGGATTTGAAAGCGCATCCTACACCATCATCTTCTAAAACAGATGCTGCAACCATAGATCAACCATCACCACTCACACGATATTATGTTGAAGATGAAGTGGATGATTCACAATATTTGATGAAATTATTGCAACAACGAATGAGAAATCACAATCGGAGAAACAATCCTTTTTCAATGAATCCTAAAGATGTGTTTGTATTTAGTCCAAACTTGATAAAGGATATTAGTAAGATCATACACATGAAAGAATCTTATGCTCCAGATTTATTTGACGTCAAGATATCATACAATTCGAAATGCATTTTATTAAGCGATTTCAACAATTCATGTATTGAGGTATTTGATCTTGAAACGAAACAATACAAATTTAGGATTAGCCCATTACCAAACAGATATACTCGATTTATGTGTATCGAGGAGAACTATGATGGGCAAAATAATGATGCATTACTATTGTGTTGCTCGACTTCTGTGTTCAAATATGACTTGAAGCAATTTTTATCAAAACAGGATGATTCACCGCTCTGTGACCCTATTTGGATCAATGAAGATTGCTTATGGGCTCAGGGAATTGTAATCTCTTATTCAAGGAAACAAGTTTTTATTTGCGATGCAGATTCTAACAAAGATGAGATTGTTGTTTTAAAGTTGCAGACAGGCCAATTGATCCAAAAATTTAAGGCTGAAAAGCCGTTCGGTATTGCTTTTTCACCTATGGAAGACCATTTAATTGTCAGTAGTGCTGGTTCAAAGACACCACTAACCATATTCCAAGAAAGTGGAAAAACCAATGACATTTCTGACTGGACAATATTTAAAACCATTGCAGAAACTGCAGAACGCGAGCTTACATACAATTTTGTTCCACTTACTGTGGATCGTAATGCAGAACGATCATCTTGTGCGACGGTGACGAAAAGCTTCTCAAAATATTCTCTTTGGATACTTTGAAACATATTGCCACAATAGGTGAAGAGTCTTCAACTTTTAGATTCAGGTTTATTCCATTTGGTTTGTGTGTAAATGAGTTGACTGGAGAGGTGCTCATAGTTGAAACAGAGCAACTTGAGTAATCCTTCGTAAGGAGTGTCATGTTAGAGCTCCCTATGGGCCGCATCAGTAAACCATTATCCACGCATGCAGGAATGGTTGTGTGTTATCAAAATACCATGCTCGTACGTAATTAGAGCTGCAAAATATGTTCTCACTTGATGTAATCAGCGAGATTTCTAACTTCACGCATTCTTGGAGAAAGTGTTGGTTCGCTATCTGAAAATTTCTTCAATCGTGGAGAAACTACTGGCGTGTTTCCTGCTGTAGAGGTTGAATCTAAATTATTGTTACTTGTCGGTGACATGGAGAAACTTAATCGCTTTGGTGAAAGTCTCTCAAGAAGACCTCCAAAAAAGCTACTTGCATTATTAGAATTGGATCTAGATTTTGGATAAATCAAGAGTGATTGAGTTAAAAATTCCTTATCGGCCACCTCTGCAAGATTCTTTCGTTTTCCTCCTCGTGGAGTAGTTTGCGGAGAAGAGTCTTCATAGGTTGGAACTGTGAGAAGACTTGTGCTTTCATTTGTGGTGGTAGAACTATTCTCTGAGAAAACTGTCAATACTCGGGGAGTGAGTGCACCGTCAGTACCTGTGGAAGAAATACTGTCAATGCTCATGGATCGAGAAGGAGTTTTCCCATCTTTCAATGTTGGTATCACTGACTCTAACCGAAAAATGTCAAAACCAATAATTTCATCATGAAGTTGATTGAATAAATTGGTGTTGAGAGGAATTTGTGTCAAATATTCTCTGGCATGTAATTGACACGTCTCAATTTGTTGATGTATTTTGTAAATTTGATGCAATTTAGCCATGTTCACATGTGAGGAAGAAATGTTGTCGAGATAGATGTTGTGAATAGATTCTATTTGTGTCATTTCTGTCATGAAAATTCCAAAATATGGAATAAGAGGAGGTTGTCTGGTAAATTGAGCTCGCCTCAAATTTTCAAACTTTTTTCTGATCATGAATAAATGCTCGAGGTGGCGAATATAATTTTGTGAAGATTCACTCACTTTGTCCCAAACATTTTTCATTCTGCTCACGGATTGGCTGGTCAATGCCGAGTAAATTGCCATCAAGCTGTTGTAATTTCCAAGTCGTTCTAAATGTTCACAAATGATGATCAGTCGTTCAATGCATGTTGCTCTCTGATCAACAGTTAAATCCTTGTAAAATATACAAAATTTTGTAAAAACTCCAAGTTTGTTGAAAAATTCAATATATAGAGAAAGAGAAGGGCATGTGGTAGCGGAATATCTCGAAGACTCGTGTTTGTGAAGTGGAGCCGATTGACCATTCAAGCATGTATATCGTTCCATTGCAAGATCCTTATGAGTATTTACATTTCTAAATAGAAGAGAATCCATTGCTGTTAAATGCTCTGCAATAACTTTGGGATGATTGAAAAATAGGACAAGAGGAGGTCGAATAGGTCCAATACATTTCGAAATATTGAATGAGCTCTCTTTGAATGATGAATTGGTAATTTTCACATTTTCTGAAACACCATTTTCATTTGGCTCTAATGAAAAAGTTCCTTCAAATGATTTCAAAAATTCACTCCATGATGAAAATGCATTAGGATATTTCCAATCGGTCACGTGCATGGCTTTTTCAACAAGTATTCTCTGTAAATCCTCCATTTCCAAAGTATTTGAAATTTCAACAAAGGATTGTATCGATTTGTACATGGAATATCTTTCAACATCGCAAATATAATTTTCCAACAAGTATTTTAGCAATTGCTGTCGTATTTCTTGATCCTTTTGTGATACCAAAAATTTGATGAATAATTCCAAAGTTGGGAATAACTGTTCATAGACGTCAAAAATTTCTTTTTTCACATTCTCATTACTTTCCATGATTTTAAGAATTCCTTTCAAGCTCACACCTTTCACCGAGTCGATTTCCAAATTTGCAGGAGTGACTGCTTCGTTGACACTGGAGAATTGTCTTTGAAAATGACATGTTCATTCGAAAATTCATCATTATTCATCATGAAATTTTCAGCATCGCTCGACACAATAGAAAAAGTATCCTCATTGGTTGTTGACGTCGAAGCTGTTGCCTCAACCATGGTTGAGCTCATTGAGGTCGTCATTAAAAACTTGGGAAGGCGTTGATGAATTAAAAATTGTAAAAACTCATTTCTCTTCAAATGAATTGGATCATTTAAATCAAGTTCTCCATATCCTTGTTGTTGCAAAACGGTAGCTGTGTCACTTTCAATTTCATATTCATCTCCATCATCATTTATAAATGTCACAGAAGAAGTCAAGGAGTTGTTGTCGTTCTCACATTACTTGTCATAATAGAAATACGAGGTGATGATGTCTTGTTATTGGTTGCATCCAAAGTCTCAGCAATGACTTGTTCTTCATTTCGTAAATTTCTCAAAACAATGGATGGCATGACAATTGTGGAACTTGTTCTCGGAGACAGTGAATCATAATTATGATGCAAAGATGATATTTTCTTTGTTGTTGATAGTTCAGCGAATTGCCAGACATGAGTGGAGAAGACACTCCATATTCCTCTTCTGCATGAGTGGTAGTAGTAAAAGTATTCGAAGCATTGGAATGACAAGATTTTGTGATTCGTGCACCTTCTTCGACAAGTTGTGATGCAAAATCTTTTTGTTCCGTCGTAGTCGTCGTCGTCGTTGAAATGTCTCCAACGAGTGGTTGTTGTTGTTTCGAAAGAACTCCCAATAATAAACTCGTAGTCAGACTGATTGGAGGTTTCAATGAGTTTGAATCATGTTGTTGTTGATGAGGATGAATGAGATCATCGGGTAATGTTGTACTGGTTCCAAAGGTCGTACTCGAACGAGCATCTTCTTCTTCATGATTAGCTTCATAGATTGAATTTCCATCATCTGAATTATCATGTGTATAGGATCCATGTTTATTCAGTAATTGTTGAGAAGGCTTCTTCTTCTTTCCATCAGGATGATAATACTTTTTGTAGAGTTTGTAAGCAATCAGAGAAATAACAAGTGTAAGGAAGAGGAACAAGATGAAGCCTCCGATGAGTCCACCCGAAAGACCAATGATGAAGTTTCGTTATTGAGAATGGAAGAATTATTGAAGAAGAAGAAAGGGAAGAGAAGGATGATGACTTCGAGGTGGTAGTTGTTTGTGTCTGATCCGACTCTTCATTTCGTGTTGGGGTCATCTCCATTGTTGTTGTTGTTATTGTTCGATTCGGTTGGTTGTGTTGTGTCTTTCAAAAGATTCGAAACTAAACGACAATTGCGAGGATGACTGTAGTATGTTGAGGATGGAAAAGGATGACTGAATTTTTGCGTTGGTGTTTCGATGTTCATGCACTGTATGGCACAATTGTTGATTCGTTGTTGAAAAGAGGCTGGCGATTTCTTTTTAGGGTATCTTGTCTTGGCGATACAAATTATTTTGACAGGTGTCATTTTGGAGAGTTATTATCGAAAACAAACGTAATGGAAAAGCCCTTCCTTTAAGTATTAACATTAGATGCTAATACAGATCTTATTCTTCTCATTGATGAAATTGATAAATTATCATTTAAAAACTTGTTTCATTAATTTTAACATTTCAAAGAAAAATGCTTAAATTTCAAACTCAGCGTTCATCATTCGCGTTGACCTCCCCGAAATTTATCAAGAACGTCCTTTTGAAAAGAAATATTTCTCATCATTGGAATTCAATTAATATTAACACTCAACTTCATAATCAGGATTTCGGAATTATTTGTAATCATGTAGAACGAGAGTTTCATCATCTCTCAGCGATCCAACATTCATCATCCTCAAGTAATAGTGAAGTAGTAACCCGATTTGCACCAAGTCCAACTGGTTTCATGCATTTGGGAGCTCTCCGAACAAGTCTTTTCAATTACTTGTTTGCTAGAAAGCACGGAGGAAAATTTCTTCTTCGTATTGAAGACACAGACCAGAAACGATTGGTTCCTGGATCTATTGAACAAATTCAAAATACTTTGAAATGGGCCCATCTCTCCTATGATCCTCTTGCCATTTCTGACACAACTACTAATACCACAAAAACTATTGACTTTGCTATTCAATCTCAAAGAAATGAAATTTATCAAGAACATGTTCAAATACTCCTCGACAAAGGCTATGCCTACAAGTGCTATTGTACTGAGGAACGACTTGAAGAAGTGAGAAGTATTCGAGGTCCAAGTAAATACGATCGTCATTGTCTTAATTTATCAGAAGAGGAACAAGAAGAATTCTCTAAACAAGGAAATGGTAAATTTACCATTCGCATGAAAGTACCCGATCATATTCAATATACGGTATTTGAGGATGAAGTTTATGGAAAAATTAAGATTGAAAATAAGACAGTAGATGATCAAGTTTTGATGAAATCGGATGGTACTCCAACCTATCACTTGGCCAATGTTGTGGATGATCATGTGATGGGAGTCACGCATGTCATACGAGGACAAGAATGGATTTCGAGCACACCCAAGCATTGTATCTTGTACGACATGTTTGGATGGGAGCGACCAAAGTTTGCTCATTTACCTTTGCTGTGTAATGAGGATGGAAGTAAGCTCAGTAAGAGACAAGGACATGCTAGCGTTGATTACTACATGAATTTGGGATATTTACCAGAGGCTTTGATCAACTTTGTTGCGCTATTGGGTTGGCATCCTGGCACAAATGATGAAATATTTACATTGGAGGAATTAATTGAGAAATTTGAACTTTCTCGAATTAATAAGGGAAATTGCAAAGTTGATTTAGCAAAATTGGAGTGGATTAATTCACAACACATAAGAATGAATATCGAAAAAGATATGGATGGATTTATTGAACTTTTACGTCCACATCTCAGTCTTTCTGGAATACCTGTTGACGAATATTTGAGAAAAGTTTTATACATTGGACGAGAACGTATCAAGAGGGTTCCTGATTTTGTAGATTTTTTCAATTACTTTTTCTATGATGTCAAGTTAGATACACCTGAAGCACAGGAATTATTGGAGACCATCCAAAAGAAAGTTACAGATCATGCCTCCGTTGCCAGAAAAATTCGAGATGAATTAGTGAAAATTGATAAGGCCAATTGGAAAGAAGATGTTATTGCCAAAGTAATCTCAGATTTTATTCAACACAACAAGGAACAAGTCAAAGCCTATGGTAATGTTGTGTTTATTTTGCGATATTACCTTACTGGAAAGAAGATAGGACCCAATATTACACAAATCATTGAAACACTCGATCGACAAGTTGTTCTCTCACGTTTGGACGTGTAAACATTTCTCTCACAACAAACTCAATATTACTCATCATAGCAAAACTGTCAGCGAAACAAACTTCCGGGCTTCGAGTATTAAGATTTCATACTCGACAAAAAAATGGGTAATGTTAACCACCTGATCAAACTGGAGTTTATGCTTCAACTAAAACAAAAACACGTCATGTAATTTCCTTTTGCTCAATAAAGTCTAATGACAAAATATGCAGAAAATCCTCAAACACCAATCCTTTTCAAAGGATGGATGTTTGGCGAGTTTCCAACCGTTAGTTTAAATTATTACCAAACTCTTGTTGTTTACAATGTAGAAACACATCGTTTCAATGGATTCATTATTATCTCAGTCCAAGTCCTCGTTTCAACAACACCACTTGGCATCAATAATGAGGAATGATCTTGTTGATCGTTGGAATCTATTACATTTATGGTTAATTACACACAAATGAGTTTCACCGAAATTTGAAATGAATCGTTATTGAAACAGTGCAAAAATCGCATAAGTTTGCAGTTACTGCAGAATGACTTTGGTTATCGATATATTTTGACAGCAAAAACAGCACCAAGCCTACTACACCCATTGTTAGTCCTAAACACAACCTTTGTGTTCCACATGGTGATATTGCTTCAACGTTGGAAATGCAATGTTTGAGCTGAAAGTAAAAATAAGCTTTTTCTTTCACAAATTTCACTAGAGCAAAATCAAATACGACAACAAGAAGGAGTGATACTTCACGTAAAGAAACCATGGAGTGTGATGCTGATATCAAATCTTTTACTGTATGCTAAGCTGATTTATTTCACTTTTTAAGATTTTGAAATTTGTTGTTGATGAGGTTCTTTGGTGTTGTAATGAGACAACTGATATTCGAAAGTTAATATTAAATATTCTGTTAATATGAAGCCAATATTTGAAATATTACAAACTTTATGAAAAAAGCAGCTGCACGGCTGCCTTTTCCAAGTGTTATCCTTTTGCATTCGAGTTCCCAAAAGCAGTTTGACGTGTTCAACGCAACAATGACATTTTACAGCCAGTTCGACTCAAAAAAATACATCCACATACGTCACTACGTATTCTCCACAGTGCGCAACTCAGTCTTCATCGGATCTAGTAGCAGTCCTTTTTCCGAACAGCATTAGTGCTCATAGAACAACTGTGGGCAACTAAATTATTTATTTATTGTATATTCAGCATCCAAAAGACATCTTTTGAAATCCATCATTACCCAATCTATTTCCAATGATTGGAAACGATTCATCCCAACAAGAGGGCTCAAGCAAAGCCATTCCAAGGCGAAAGAAGTGGTTCTATTTCATTCAATACTTTTTACTTTTTATATTGTTTGCTCATGGCATTCGGTCAGGCTTCTTTACACTTCTCAACCGAAGTCAATTTAAATCTGGAGCCACAAATACATTCTGTTCGAGGGCAACACCAGAATCAGTTCGGGATAAGCTTGTCAATACAGGACACAAATCTTCCGAGACGGATGTTCTCATCACACGAAAGGGATTAAACGTGTTCAATGACAAGGATTTTATGGAATTGAAAGAAAATCATCATTTGTGTGAATATCCACCAGGATTGCAATTTTCAAAGGTCATTTGGTTCTTTACTGATGGATTACCTGTCAAGTACAGCAAAAAGACATTTGACCATTTCAGAGATCATATGGTATTATACACGATTGATGTTCCTGGACCAAAATATTCACACGCTATTTATACAAGTTACATGACAGGTCAGCTGCCAACGAATTATCAAGGTCATGCAATTGAAGGAGATAGTTTGGTAAAATCCATGCAAAGAAGTCCGAGTATGGGTCCTTTGACATATATTGGACCAGAATGGAGTTTCTTGGCCATTCATGGCTCAAAGAATTACGATAAATTATTTAAACGGATTGTTATTAAGGAAGAACCTTTAGATCAGCCGCATGACCAAGGATATCGATTCTTCTTCTCGAATGAGGATGCTAGAAAATTCTATCATGAAACTTTGGATACAATTAAGGCTGAAGGTGGTTCATTATTTACACACTCTGCAATTTTTGACCATATCAACCATGGTATTTTCAGACACGACCCAACTAATTTGGATTATTTGAATTACTTGTCCGATAGAATTGCATCTGATATTAATCCTTTGAAAGATTGGATTGACGCTAATCCAGATTATTTGCTCATTCTCTCATCTGACCATGGTACTGACGATGTTTCAAACGGATATGTTCTTCATGGCTACTCTAGAGATGGTAATGAAGGATATGTCATGTTGTACAATCCAAGATTGAAGCCATATGAGGAAAGACTCGATATTGTGGACGTTTGTCCAACTGTTGCAAAATTCTTGAAAGATGTTGACATTCCTGCTGACAATATTGGAGTATCAAGAGCGTACTTTGGTGGTGACGACGAATCACTCAAATATAGGTCATATGTTCTCAAAGAAAGCTTGGTACAGTTGACTGATACCACAACTAGAAGAGGAACAGATTTGTTGAGATCAGCTTCGTCCATTTTGAATTTATTGAAAATGGAACTTGAAGATTTAGCGTTTAATGAAAAGTTTAAGAATATCAACGAGTTTAATGACGAACTTTCAAAATTGGCAGTCGGAATGAAAAGAAAGCTCTACCAGCTGCTTGACAAGCCTGTTTTTTGGGTATTTTTCTATGGTTTCTTTGCCTTAGCGATGGTTGTTATCGGTCTATACCGATTCAATTTCCATGCAATCCATTTGATGGCAGAGAAATTCTTTTCCAAGTCACTATATTTATTAGGAATTTTAGTACCACTCTATTTTGGCTCCTATGTCAATATTTTGTTCTGTTGGGACACATGGAAGAATGTTGTTCGTAGCGGCTCTCCATTTTTCGTTTGGCAAGGATTTTTAACAGTAGTATTGTTCTTTGTTCTGTATCAATGCGCTATTCATTTACTGAGAAGCAACACAAAGAGTGACAAGGAGAAACCTTCAGAAAATTTTTCACTGATTGGATGGAAAATGTTTATTTTCTGTATTATTGACATGACTTTCTTTGCTCTTTATAATTTATTTAGAAGACAATGGAAATGGGGAATGGAGTATATTTTACCTCTCCAATACTTTGCCTTAATCCATTTTGTTTGTGACTTCTGTGGATACAGCGTCTTTGGATTAATTACATCGAGTGCTCTTTACGTTATACGAAAAATACGACGATCGACACCTGTTCCAACAAAGAAGTCAGCTAGCAAGAATTCATGGTTTCATTTCTTTTACTGCTTTGCTATGATGATGCTGTTATTCTTGTTTGAATACACGAGTGTGAGAGAAACAGCACCTCAAGAGCAAAAAGCCCTCTATGTGCACTATTACACCATTGCTGGATTCCACATTTACTACTTGGCATTCCTTATCATGGCGATTGTGTACACATGTTTCGTGCTGCTATTCAATCCAAAACGCCTAGATCGACTTCTTGTACCTGCAATTTTATATGCCTTTGCCTTAATGAGAGACACTCCATATGGTAGAGTGGTGACATTGCTTCAAAACATTCAATATTGTTACTTCCTAGTTCCTGCTTATATTATTGCCAATAAGTATTGCTGTAAAGTGAAAAAGGAAGATAAGGGATATTCATCGAATGCCAATTCTCCACATTTTGAAGAAGAGGAAACGAAACATCACTTTTTCGATCTTCTCCAACTTGTCATGTCCGTTTTCTTTTTAAACCACTTTATGTATGGATTCCACGTGGGTAAAGAAGAACGATTGGATGTGGATGCTCACCCTATGGCTGGTGCAGTTGGAATGAAATCTCATCAACAACATCCAAACTTTAATGCATTCCAAATGGGTTACGAACGATGGCATATGGCATTAATTTGCACATTATACTTTTGGTCTGTACTGCATCGTGAAAAAGATGACACTCATTTCACAAAATCCGAACAAGAAAGCAAGGATGCTGACAGATATTATGTCACTGATGTCATTCTCAATACTTTTACTCTGATGGTTTTGAACGCTCACGTCTTTGTAAATCTCATGCTTTGCTACATTACCATGGATCACGCCTTCCAAGAAACCATCGTCTATTTGATTGTGATTGCTGTTTCTGCCACCCTATTTACAGGATTTAACATGATTACAAGGTATTCTGTCTTTGTGATTGAATTTATCCTGAGTAAGGTTCCAAACGGAAGATTTAAAACTCTGGTGCAGCAAGTGTTTTTGAGTCAGAACGAACCAGAGATGGACGATATTCTTCCGCTGGTTGGGAATAATTTGGCCAATGGCAGCAAAGAAGTTTAATATTAAACAATTTGTAATACAACATATTTGTATCAACAACTTTTGGGGTCTGCGTGAAAGCATGAAGTAACCATTTCGACCAATAATGTAAATTGGAGCATCCTTAGCCGAGCGGCACCCAAAAATCCCAATGACAGATGACACTCCCAAACTTTCTGGATCGTATCAGTTAAAAAACGACTTTCTATCTAGGTCCATCCAACATTGCGCGTCACTGTTCGCAAAAGACCACAAACAAACATTGTCAATTGCTCAGCAACAAAATGTCGCAACACCATCAACAACAACAATTCGAATGTCCTCCGAGTAGTAACAACAACAACAGTGGCAAAAGCGTGTCGGGTGCTGTTGCTGCTACGAGTGGTACATCTCACCTTCTCGCTCCTCATTATTCCCACATCCAAAATCTTGTTTCTGCAACGAGTTCGGATGATGACCTCTCTCAAGCCTCTTCTTCGACGAATAGTATGCAAGCACTTCTCTCGGGAGGAGGTGGAGCCGGAGCAGAAGAAGAACATGTCGTCCCTCCATCGAGTCAAAGTCATCATCGACTCGTGAATACTTCAAAGAGTAGTACGAGTCATCATTGTAGTATAAATGATAGTAGTAATGATGACTCGCCTGTCGTGGTTATTGAAATACCCAACACTAGTAGTACAGAGCAGTATCATCATCATCAGAATCATCATCATCAAACCTCCTCCATTCTTCCTTACAAACAGCAACAACCACCTCTTCCTCTACCAATACGACCATCGCTCCCAATCCCAACAATTCCAACAATACAACAACAGACCACAACAAGCTTGTTGGCCTCACAGCACAACCCATTACGAGTCTTGCCTTATCGAGGGAGGAATTTGCAAAAAGTACCTCTCAATCGTATCATGTGCATCCTCACACTGCTACTGGCAATGATGATGCTGCAATTACAACCCCTCCTATCACTTCCATTCCTCCCCGACCAGCCATTTCCACGACGACGACCATCACGAGTGCCTCGAATCAACACAAGCCTCGTTATGCTCCTACTACGGAACTCACGACTATTGAAGATGATGACGATGATGATTGGTCCATCTCACTCGATATGAGTCGAGTTTATTCATCCATGACCCATCATCATCAACAAGCTCATCAACCACCAGTTCAACAAGGCGACTCGGAAGATGTCTTTGGAGTCATGGTAGCCTCTCCCACCTCCACCAATAAGAAGCAAGCAAGTTGTACGAGTCCCAATAAGAGTAGTAGTAATAATAGTAGTCGTTTTTCCATCAAGAGCCCGATGGAGTCTTTTAGGAAATTTGTTTCTCCGCGTTTTTCAATGAGAAAAAGTGAAAGCAGTGTGCCGAGAAAGAGTGAAGCGTCGTATGCTGAAATTTATATGGAACAATTTTATAATTGGAGAGCTGAGCAACATAGTGGTGTCATTGTGTCATGGAGAGATGTGACTTTTAAAGTTCGAAGAGAAAAGAGTTGGATGAATGAAATGATTTCTAAAGGTTTGAGAAAACAAAGAGAAGAAACAACGCCACAAGCTCAGAAAAAAGGAGATTATATTACAATATTGAATGGAATTGATGGAATTGCCTATCCAGGATCAATATTGGCAGTGATGGTATGTGAATGTGTTAATGTGTTGAGTTTTGAGGATTTATTTCAAATTTATTCAAATTTTTTTCGTTGTTTTTTTTACTATTTATGGGAACCAATTAACTTGTCAAATAATATTTTTGTACTCTAAAAATTTAGGGCTCGAGTGGCGCTGGAAAAAGCGTATGTAATTGATTTATTCTTTCTATTTTAAATATAAACGTTCATATCCTAACGAACATTTAACAACAGTCGCTACTTAACATTCTAGCTGGACAAGTGAAGCCAACAAGTGGACAAGTGATTATTAACGGATTGGTAGTGAAACAACGTTTAAAATCTCTAGTTGGTTACGTCTATCAAGATGATATGTTAATGGGAAATTTAACAGTACGGGAAACTTTAAGATATGCTGCCTTATTACGATTACCAGCTTCAACAAGTTATGCTGAAAAGATGGCCAAAGTGGATCAAATTTTACAATTATTGAAATTGGACGTTTGTGCCGATACGTTGGTTGGAGAACCTGGTCTCACAAAAGGTATTAGTGGAGGTGAAAGAAAACGACTTGGTATTGCCATTGCACTTCTCACAAATCCTCCTATCTTAATTTTGGATGAGCCAACAACTTCCTTGGATGCTAAAACTGCTCTTGATGTTGTTGACACAATTTCACATGTTGCAAAACGTCACAACATTACTGTCATTATGACCATTCATCAACCTCGATCTGACATTTTTGAGAAACTTGAAAATTTGCTTCTTTTAACAAATGGAAGGGTGGCCTATTTTGGATCAACTTCAAAAGTCTGTAAATATTTTAAAAAGATTGGCTTTACAATGAATGAAAATTATAATCCAGCCGACTTTGTGATGGACTTGATCACCGAGGATACTCAAGCCATTTTTGCTCAAGAAAAAACCCTTCAAAGTGAGCAAGAAAGAATTTCAAAAATTGTCCAAAAGTTTGAGGAGAAGAAAAACAATATTATTCCTTCGCTGCACGACACGTTTGAACTCAAGGAATGCTCCTTACCTAAGGTGGAACGATCAAGTTGGATGACTCAATTTTTTGTCATGCTTGTTCGTGGCTTTCTCAACCAGTGGAGAGATTTCAAGTATACCAAAATTCGTATTTTACAGCAAATAATTTATGCAATTTTAGTCGGATTTATTTATTTTCAGACAAAGAATGATCAGAACTCTGTTCAGAACAAGTTGGGATTGTAAGTATCGTTGAGTGTTGACAGCGTGTCATTTGATTTCTGACAACTGAATTTCGCAATCTTGTCAAAATTCATTGTAGACTCTTCTTTGTGGTAACAAATCAATGGTCCAACTCCTTTGGAACACCTATTTCGATATTTCGAGGAGAACGGCTTTATTTTATGCGAGAACGAGGAGCGAAATGCTTTTCTATAAGCAGCTATTATTTTGGAAGATTACTGGCAGACTTGGTATTGATTGTTCCGCATCCCGTGTTCTTTGGAACCATCGTTTACTTACTTGCAGGATTGACTCTTACCATTGAGCGATATCTTGTATTCATTTTCATTGTTTTAATCTTGTCACAAACAGCCCATGCTTTTGGAACAGTTCTAGCGATATTAGTGCCGCGTTCGGACGTTGCCACCATGTTGCTGCCTCCAATTTCCACAACCTTTCACGTATTTTCCGGATTTTACAGAAATATTGAACAAATTCCAGTGTGGTTATCTTGGTTCACTTACTTTTCTCCTTTCAACTATGGATTTAAGGCACTGATCATTAATGAATTTCAAGGACGAACCATCGATTGTCCATCAAATCCAAACGAAATTTGTCGATTTCCAAACATTGATTTCATTTTAGAGTATTATGGTATGAATAACGACCTCTTAAGCATGTGGATCAATATTGCCATTGTATTGGGAATCTCGGTAGGAATGAGAATTATTGCCTACTTGTCTCTCAAGTTTTTGGTCAAATCCAGAAAGGGAGCTTAATGCCGAGTAAATTAGGGTTTAAATTTCACACAAATACCGACATGCACGAATCGTTTCATGATCCTTCGAACTCGTGCATCTACTCTCGAGAGCAGCGCATTGTCGACCAATTGAAAATGAGGCAAAAAGGAGTTTTGGTCGACTCCTAGTGCGCTTGTTCTCGCCATACGCATTCATGTGAATTTCCAAAAAGAAAATCTTGACACTACCATGACTACTATTACTACATCTGAACATGCTCCATTGCTCACCACAAATCAACATGGTCCTCTTCATCAACAGCAGTGCTATCCAGAAGGTACGGCAGTGATCGACATTCCTTCGTCATCAAAGAGCCTTCCCAGCACTTGTTTTCAGAAAATTTTCACAACTTCCTACTCCAATGCTTTGAAAAACAGATTTTCCTGCGATTCATTACCTCAACGCATGTGAAGCTCGAGTCCTTACTCCATGTTACCTTCCATTTTGGATGAATTGAATTCTCTCGTCGATGCGTATTATGAACAAGTTACTGCAATCCATGCTCGTACCATGAGATTGTATTACGCAAGTGGTTTATTAGCAATCATTACTTTTGGAACGAGTATGCTTGCCTTCATGTGTTGGTATTTCTGTTGCTTCAGAAAACGAAATAACAAAATGATGCAACAATTGGAAATACGTGTAAAGTCCGAACTCCAACAGGTGATTGAAAGAGAAAATGTAAAATTGCAAAATCATGGTTTGGAATTAGTGGGTCATCATAAGAAAGAACCTATTCGTAAAGGAAGAAGAATGGTGTTGGAAGATAGTTTTCAGGTGGAGCTTTTTGCTTTCAGGTGTCAAAATAATCATGTATCAAGAGGAAACAGTAATCATCCAGCCAGTGCAATGCCCTATTACCAACAATAAATTGTGGTCAAGATCTTGAAATTTCATACACAACTAACGCATGTTCACGTGAACTTGTAATTTTCACTCAATTTGTTGTCTTCCAATAAGGTTCTTTTTCAGAAACAAGTTCAATAGTGTTGAGGCAGGAAACTTGAAAAACACCTTGGCAGTTGTGTTTATCTTTGAAAAAAACATTCATATCTGAGAATGAAAACCTGTGAAAACGAACCTTTACTTTATTCCATAACGCATGCCACCATTGTCCATACAATTGATCCAAACCAAGTTGCTTCTGCTCCTCCACATACTATAGCAAAGCCTCCTCATGTGAATGTTGTTCGTTCTCTGACTCCAATGGTTCAAAAGATCTTCTCGACCACCTATTCCAAAGTACATGGAAGCAAATTAAATGGTGATGTGTTGCCTCATATTCAGTTGAGAACGCCTCTCTTCTCCAACCTTCCATCTGTATTCGAAGAAATGAATCAAGTATTAGATAGGTACTATACACAATGGGAAGAGGCCAACTTTTGGTTTCGAGTGATATGGTTGGCATTCGTTGTGTTGTTTGTACTCACTGGTGGATTGGGTTTGATTTTCATTTGTGTTGTGTACATGTATCGAGCGCATGTTCATTCGAATTTTAGAGAAAAATTTAAAACTGAAGTGAAACCTGCACTTCAATTGATGTTGAACGAGAAAATGAAAAGTTGAGATCCTGTGGCTTTGAACTGATGGGTTCTTTTCAGAAAGTTCCAATTGTCGTTGGGAGAAGAAGAGTGTTGAGACCAGTGTACTTGGTGGAATTGTTTTCAAGCAGTCATGTCCACAACCCTCCAGTTATTGCTTTCAATGGGAATGGAGACGATTCTTCTCTATCTGCACAGTATTATCAACAGCAACATCTGTTCAACAATTAATGATTAATGAACAATTATTTCTCTGATAAAAAAATGTCGGATGTGTTGGATTTGTTTTGGGGAAGTGATGAGTTGGATGCTGCCACAACAGCAACACCAGTAACAACAACCACACCTCAGCAAGAAGGCAAACCTCAGCATCAATTAGTATCATCAGCGAGGTCGGAACCAATTGGTACAAGCTTGATATCCAATCAAACGGAAAGTAGTAAAAAGAAGTTAACCGCTTCGGAAGAGGATGGTTCTAGACCATCATTACAAAATGGAAATTCAAGAAATTTAAAAAAGGGTTCGTTATCGGAGTTGGTTACCTCTAGTAATGTAGATAATGGAATTAAAACTAGAAATGTACCAATGAAAAAGATTAATCATACTTCACAACAACAAGACGGACCTAAATTATTATTTTCAAAAGATGACATTTCGGAGAGTGAAGAAGAATCATCGGAAAGTGAAGAAGATGAAATAATTGGAAATTTTGTGCAAAAACTATCAACAGAAATTTAAATTCTACAGCAAGAGCATCAATCTCATTGAAAAATAGAGAAGTGAGAGAAAGTACTCAGTCAATCGAAATTAATGCGGTACAAAACGACGAATTCCATCAACAACAAGAAAAAAACATCACCCAAAATTTACGTGACGCTTTGCACCATGCCAGAAGGTTGCATGACGAGGAGCATCAAAATGGAATTACTCAAAATCCATATCTTAGAAGTGACGATATTGCCGTGACAGAAAATCACCATGTCGAGAAGAGCTCTGAGCATCAGAAAAAAGAACAGATTTCTAGAGAAAAAAAGAAAAACAATTTACAATCAATATCAGCCTCTAAAAACTTTAGGTCTACAAGAAATACCTTACATTTACTACCTACTGCGTGCCATGAGGTATTTCCTGTCAATGATTTTATTATGGAACAGCAATTACCAACTTCTTCACATCCTCTAGAAAAAAGCTATCACGACAAGACAAACACTTTGAAATTTACTTCAATCACTCATCTCACAGGTGTGAAACGAGCTCTTGATATTAACAAGTCCTGTATCATCATAGAACAAACCAATTCAGAGCTACTTCTTTTCCTCTAACTGCCTCCACTATTTCAACATTACCAGCACATCACTCCCTTCGCTCTCTATACCAAGACAAACCTTTGTGCTACCACCACCTGCTAGATTCTTTCAAATATGCTGATATTTCATGGCTAGTTCATGTCACTGGCCCAAAAATGCATATTCTTAGTGTGACATGCATTGAGATTGACGTGAACTCTAGCTATAAGAAGAAGCTTGTAGAGATGGGGTCACAATTTCACTATTCTCCTGAACAGGAAAATAATGGGGTTTCATCTCTTCCAACCATTCTTCAACTGAGCTGTAGATGTTCGAGGTCTCCTGCATCAACTTCTACAAATACCAACACCTCACAGTTTATAGCATGTAGATATTCAGATAATAGCATACGAATTTTTGAATTTTCTTCCTCATTACGAAACGGACTAGGAATTAAGCTTGTCGAGGTTATACACTTCCCTTCTCAACCTGCAAATATTGTACATATTTCATGGCAACATGCTACCAAATGGGATATTTTTCAGCTTGCCATTCTTTTTAGTGACAATACTTTGAAATTTTGGAATTCTAAGAAAGGCCTTTTGGATATAACTCATGCTCTTGATGTAAAAATACCCACTCTTCCTCTAGGAGGCATATTTCACAGCACAATTTGCGAATTCTCATCTAATCCTATGGAGCTCTATATTATTGGAAATACTGGAATTTATATTTATGATATTCGAGAGCGAAAATCAAAATTACTTTTGGAAATGGCTGGAATTACAGCATTTGCAAGAAATTATGATCATCCATACATGTACGCGATCAGTACTCAAAAGAGAGTACTCATTTATGATGAAAGAATGGGATCCCAAGAGCTCATATGTTTCAATCTATCTCCTGAGCATGACGGACTTTCTGAAATGTTTTTTTACAGTCACTCGGATAGCGAGCTTTTACTAATTGGATACAAGTATCAACGAGGGATTGTTTGCTTTCCAATCGAACCTTCTGCCATTTTAATGTCACAAAAAGACAAACCCCTCAAAGCAGAGTTGCCATGGGACGATTTGGAGAAAATATTTTCCACTAAATGCAGAGGTTCTGGAATACCAACGCCACTTGACACGTTCCATGATGCAACGCTTCTAATTTCCCCAAACTTGAAACTATTAGAAAGCACTCCTCACTTTTTAGTTGGTTGCACCGTAATTCCACCCTCCGATCCATATCCATTCCTTAAAGTGTTTCATACGAGTGATGGAGGAGATGTTTTTTGTCAATGTGTCTATGTGAATACCACTCAAGTGACCTTCAAAGGTTCAAGAAATTACGATCGAAAAAGTACCGCTCTTGTTAAGGCTGCAACTGCTTTTGAAAAGTTGTACAAGTGGAATCGAAAAGGGCATCCTTCTGTTTTTGAAAGCAACGCCTATTGTGATTTGTATTCATTATTGGCCTTTAATAGACCTACGGGAGAGGATCAAGTGAGCAGTGACAGGCAAACTAGTGGGGAAAATGGAGAGGGCCGTTCCATCGCATCAACGTCTGTAGAATCTGATAGCGTGATCACTGTGGACGCAACCAAGCTTGTGAAAATCATGACCACTGACACGACACAATCACACAATATTTCCAATGGATTCGGTGCAGAGAAAATACCAACACCAGAGGAAATCAATTTCATTGTGAATAACCTTAGAAACAAGTACAAAAATTGTCACCAATTTCTCGTTTTTCCACTCATCAATGTTCACCAAGAATTGGTGGAAGAACACTTTTTTTCATTCAGCTTGTCACTCAAAACGTTGGACACTATTTTGACAAGCTCCAAATGTTTTCATCGATGGAAAATTGGAGACGATCCTGAGATCTATTCCGATATTTATTTTGCCTTAACAGACGAAGAGGAAAAACGAATTAAGGGAGAAATCACTCGCTCGAAACAATCAAGACAAGAGGCCTCTCAAAATATTCTGGATATTCTTTTTGCTGGACAAGAAGAAGCTAGCGACCATGAAAAGGAAGCAGCTGACCTTCTCAAGAAGAAGACAAGCAAGACCCCAAAAGATGTCTCTTCATTCTCTCAGCAATCTGTACACTACTCACAAAACAACGACGATGGGGAAGTGGATCATGAGAGTGACAGTGATGAAGTAGTGGAGGAGGGAGAAGAACATGATGGAGATCTGCAAAAGGATGGCACAACATCTGAAACCAAAACTAAGGACGGTAATCATGCTCAAGACATTGTTGACTTTCTTCTGGGCGAAAATGATGAAGACATCGATGAAGCAGTAATGGGCCATAACAATGGTGATTTAACAATGCATGATGATAGCAGTAGTGACGAGGAGGGTGGGCTCCAAAAAGAAGATGTTGTTTTTTCACGGAATACTTCCAATCCCAACTTGACAACATCAAACAACTCAGAAAGGATTTTCAACTCGATGGTCCTTTCCAAAGAGATGAGAAGAACGATATTCGTTACGAAAATATCACCGTAAATATGGATCTGTTCCGAAGTGATTTGGCTAAATGGTACAACAATGGAATGTTGTAATTAGTCTATTGTTTTCTTAAGCGTGGTGGTTTATTCCCTAGCGCCACATGTGAGTATAAATAAAGATAACGAACAAGTTGAATTATTGTCAATCCGATTCATCTATCGATATGTAACGTATTACTAGTCTGGCATCATCATTTTCAATTCAAATAATTGTTCTTATTGTTGGCTTTCTTTCTGTTTGGCTAACTGTGAGCTCTTCAAAAGCACAGCCAAAACTGCAAATAAAAGAGTCCATCGCATTGGATAGTAGAAGAAGTTCAGTACATCCTTGACTGTAAAATCATGATAGTGATTATTATTCAATAATTTCCAAAGATCATCGTCATTCGCAATAAATTCGAGCGTATTTATAAATCGTGTACGAAGATAAATTATTTAAATAACACAATAATAATCAATAAATTCATTATCAAAGAATATTATTGTTAGGATTAAATAGAAAGTCAAACAACACAATGATGATGATGAAAATTTTCTTGCACAAAACATACCCCATCCTTGCCATGCTGGTTTCACTTTAACCTCTGGAGTTTTTTGTAATTCTTCCTCGTCTCTTCTCATTGATGTTTGATGGAAAGCTCTCACCCGAGTAGGTGTACTCAAAGCTGCTCTCATCAAGAAGGATGATCGTGGTGAGGATTTGAACAATTTGGAAAGCACCAAAGATGAACGATTCATTTTTTGTTTTTCTGTGATTCTTGTTTTTTAATATCAATAACAACAATCAATGAACAGAAAATACGTTTTGCTTCATTCATTTGGAAAGAACGTCCACAGGATTCTTTCCGTCTGATCCTTTTAAACAAAAAAATGTCTCCAAACATGATTTCTTCCAACAAGGTTCATAAATTGCGAGAATTGATGCAAAAGTACTCCATTCATGGATACATTGTTCCATCGGGTGATGCCCATTTGAGTGAGTACATTTCCGATGCCGATAAGAGAAGAGAATTCATCTCGGGTTTTGATGGATCGGCTGGTACTGCAGTTGTAACTATGGAAGAGGCTTCTCTCTTTACGGACGGCAGATACTGGTTACAGGCACAACAACAGTTGGATCCTGCGATTTGGAAATTGATGAAACTTGGAATTGATCCTCCATTGAGCAAGTATATTACATCCTTTGCTGTATGTTGTGTTTTTAATTTATTTGATGTTTGATCACAATATTGAACTATTATTGAAAAATAATGATTTAAAATATCCATTACATTCATTTGCAAACTGTAATGTTTATTGAACACATACAATGTTGATTGACCGAATTGATCAATTATTTATAGGATATAAAGAGAACCACCACATTCGGAGTTGACCCATTCTTATTTTCTGTCAGTAAGTATTGCATTAGTACAAGTGATTTCAATGGGTTAACATTTGAATGCCTGTTTCATTTGTTTTAAATGTCCCCAGACGAGTTTTTGGAGCTAAGGAAAGCTGCATCAGAAAGTGAAAAAGGCCAAGTTGAAATTAAGCCAATTCTCGAAAATTTGGTAGATGAAATTTGGGTGATGAGAAGCCAAAACCACCCAATGGATCTATTTACAAGTTGGAAGAAAAGTACACGGGACGATCTGTTGCTGACAAGCTCAAATTTGTGAGAACAAAGATGGAAGAACTTGGTGGAGCATGCTACGTTTTGACAGCTTTGGATGAAATTGCTTGGATTCTCAATTTACGAGGATCTGACATTGACTACAATACTGTATTCATCAGCTACATGATTGTTACCTCGCAAGATGCATATCTCTATGTGGATGAAAGCAAGTTTGAATCTCCAAATATCAAAAATGAACTTTCTGAAAACAATATTCACGTTAAGCCATACTTACAGTATATGGAAGATTTGAAAACTATTACTGAAAAGGTTCAAAATGAGAACAGTTGCCTTATTGATCCAAGAACATGCAATTTTGCCACATTCGAGGCCATTCGTTGCAAAGTTAAAAAGATTCATAGTATTATCACTGCAGAAAAGGCCATTAAGAATGCAGTAGAAAGAGAAGGTTTCAAATCTTGTCACATTCGTGATGGTGCAGCTATTGTTAAATATCTGGCATGGCTCGAAAATGAGTTGGAGAATGGCAGAAAAGTCAACGAATATGACGGTGCATTGGCTTTAGAGAAATTCAGAAAAGAGAATACAGATTTTCTCAGATTGAGCTTTTCTACCATTAGTGCATATGGCAAGAGCGCCTCTGTCGTTCACTATTCACCACCCGAGACAAATAGTGAGGAGATTTCTACTGATAATTTATACTTGTTGGATAGTGGTGCCCATTACAAAGATGGAACTACCGATACCACAAGAACCGTGCATTTTGGAACACCAAGTGACTATCAAAAGAGATGTTTCACTCGAGTGTTACAGGGACACATTGCTCTGGATCGTCTCGTGTTTCCAGAAGGTACTTCAGGCTATCGTTTAGATTCATTGCAAGAGCTCCTTTGTGGAAGGATGGTTTAGATTACAACCATGGAACTGGTCACGGAGTTGGTCATGCATTGTGTGTACATGAAGGACCACATGGCATTGGATACAGATCTTTGATTTTAAATGAATTTGGTATGAAAGAGAATTGCATTGTGACTAACGAGCCAGGTTATTACGAGCCTGGTAAATTTGGTATTAGAATTGAAAATATTTTGTTAACCAAAGGAGTTGACACCATGTCCAATTTCAACGACAAGAAATATCTCGGTTTCGAGTCGGTAACTCGTTGTCCCATCCAACCAAATCTTGTTGACACTAATCTTCTGGCAAGAGACGAAATTGAATGGATCAATAACTACAATGGTTTGGTTCGTGAAGCCCTTGCTCCACTCTTACAAAATAACGATCTTGCTTTGAAATATTTATTGAAACATACCGAACCCATTTCCTTGTAGAATCTCTTCTTGATTAAACATGCTTGGTTGGCGCATTTTGTGATCTATGGTAAGCGTTGAAATGGTGATGATTTGATACCCATTTAGAAGTTATTTGAAAGTAAGTCACCAACTGTTTTCAAAAACAATACAACATCCTGTTTGAACCAATGTTGAATAACAAGCTCTTTAACAAACCCGGCTTTGTCATGCCCATGACTCAAAATGTTTCTAATTGCTTTAAGAGCTTTCTGGACGTAGGTAAAAGGATCTACTCCATCCAAAAACTTTAGCGCTTTTGGAAAATTCTTGGACAAATCTTTTGCCAAAACCTTATGATTTGCGACCACCTTTTCAAATAGTAAACAGCATCGTCGTTATTTTGATGGCTTTGGATATTTTCGCCAAGAATAATATATGGCAGCATCAGTTGATAATCAAAGGGCCAGTTTTTCTCAAACAATAAGTTTCCTTCTTTCCCATGAAGATAGGAATACACATACTAAAGCCGTCGTCATTGTGAGTTCGTTTCATTCAAATCAAAAACATACTTTTTTATCAAAATGTCTCTTAAGGTCATTGTAGTTTCGTTTCTTGTGAAAAATGATGATGCCAATGCACTGCCTTTCAAATATTGTTCTATTGTTTGAATTTGTGATGAACATAATAGAAGGCTTAATAGATTTTCATGAGAGCATTTGTCAGGGTTCTTTAAGGTCTCTGTTATATATCTCGTAAATACTGTACATCAGGTGGTTAAGGCTTTCTGTATATCAAGTTTACAGATTCCCATTAAGTAACCAATTTGAAGTACATAACTGAAGTGCAACACCCCCAAAGAAGCATAGATTAAGTTACAATTCTCTTTTCTTGCAAAACCAAATTATGTTGGCAATAGTTAACGAATTATGGTGTCCTTAACGGAAGTATCTTTTAGAGTTGTTGGAATAGTGTACATCAAATTGTCGTCATAGCAGGAAAAGCCGTTCGACGGCACTTGGGCCATAACTTTGAGAAGCTGAGATTGAGTGAAACCAGTCCAAATGCTCATGACGTTGCTCGTTGCTAAATTTCTAGACTTGGTGAACCTTTTTAGCAAGTTTAGTTCATCTGGATTCAACGACTGGATTTCATCACAAACTAAGAAAGTAAAGACTGATTTGCTTGAGAAAGGTTGGAATAAATAAGTCGCTCAATACAGGTAGCGGAAAACACATCTTTTTCAGTCAGCTCGAGATTTGGAAAGACAGTTCTCGCGAAGAAAAGCGAAAACGATAGATTGGATGGTTTTTCCAACATGTCTATGTATATCATATTAAATGTTTTGTAGAAATTACATGTTCGAAGAAATTCTAAAGAAAGGAAATAAGGAAGAATCTTTTGAGCAAGGATTGTTTTTCCAGTACGAACGTAGCCATGTACTGATAGATGAGGCTTGCATTTAATGCGTAGTCCTCCATTCCAAACACGAACCATGCTTTACAAAATTTCTACCTCTTTAAAATTGTTTGTGATATTCTACTCACGATCAATCTCCCAAACGATAGAATCTTCAGAATAGTATTTGATGGCAATGTTTGTTAAATTGAAATAATAAAAGCCAATCTTTTATTTAACTACATACATCGGACCCTTGAAGAGGAATCAAATTCCAATCCCGAAGTTTGGAATCGTTAACTGGATGATACCGTTGATTAAATTCATTTTCAAGGAAGTTCTTATTGTTGGAGGCGGTTCTTCTTGAGGAGTGCCAGAGGGGTTAGAAATCATGTTCGCACAATGTTTTTGAATGAAAAATAAGCTTGAAAATATTTTCTTGTGGTGATTGGAAAGTTTGTAAAAAATTTTTTAAACAGCCCGCTTCAAATTCAATCCGTGCACTCATCCGAGTTCAGATTACCACGATGATGAGCATATGAATTTTGAATATTATTATTTAACAACAACAACAGCAATAATTAATTTTTTTTCTTTTTGTACCGTTTATCCCAATATTGTTGGAAATAACGTCATTGTAGATAATTCTAAAGGAAATTCGAAATTCATCAATCCAAGAAAGTATTGAAAGTGCTCATCAATTTTGTATACTCGGAGTCATATATTCGAAACAACATTTCGTTAAATTATTTAATTCTACAATTTTATGGGAATACAAGGACTTCTTCCGTGCTTCAAGCACGTTACGAAGAAGGGACATATTTCCGAGTATAAAGATAAAAAAGTAGCTGTTGATGCATATGTATGGCTTCATAGGTAAGACTTTTATCTGATACGAATGATCAAATAATCTCTTCATCGTGTTATTATCCATTGCCTCATTTGCCAATTTCATTTACTTGGCGAATTATTACTGCTTGTAGAGGAGCATACAGTTGCAGTGCAGAACTTTGTCAAAACAAGCCCACCGATAAATTTATAACTTATTGCATGCACATGGTGAATCTGTTGAAACACCACAAGGTTATTCCTGTCCTTGTGTTCGATGGAGCCAGATTACCCTCAAAAGCTGAAACAGAGAGTGAGCGAAGAACGAAAAGAAAAGAAGCTCTCGAGCAAGCTCAGATTCACCTTCAAAACCACAGATATGAACAAGCGAACGAATGCTTTAGAAAAGCTGTAGATATTAAGCCCTCCATGGCTCATCAGTTAATGTTGCAATTGAAAAAAGACAATGTAGAGTTTGTTGTGGCACCCTATGAAGCAGATGCCCAGATGGCTCATATGGCTCGTACTGGCTATGTTGCTTGTGTTGTTACTGAAGATTCGGATTTAATTCCGTTTGGAGCTCCAAGAATTTTCTACAAGATGGACAAATATGGCCACGGGAAACAATTGTGTCTTGGTGACATTACGATAACACCACCAAGTAAGAGTGGTTTAGATTTCACAAAGTTTACACATGACATGCTGTTGAGAATGTGTATTTTGTCAGGGTGTGATTATTTGGATTCGCTGCCCGGTGTGGGACCGAAAACAGCACACAAAATCATCAAAGAAAACAAAACAGTACCAAAAATTATGGAGTGCCTGAGGAGGATGGGAAAATTCAAGAAACAAGAATCAACACAAGAGGAATCGCAAAATTCACCCTCATTATCACTTTCTGCTGGTTCATCATCTAATTCATCTTTAAGTCAAGAATTAACTCTAACAGAAGAAGAATATAGGGAGCTCTTCATACGGGCAGAATTAACTTTCAGACATCAGCGAGTTTTTGACATTCCCACCCAGAAACTTTGTTGTTTAACCGAGCCACCTTCATGCCTTACAGAAGACGATATTTTATTTTGTGGGCCAGTCAAGGATCCTGATATTATTGTTCAGATCTGTAATGGCCTCATTGATCCCATGTCGCACAAACCTTTCATAGTGGCCGGTTCCAAAACGACTCTTGCCCTTACCCCTCTCAACACCAACAAAATTCAATCTTATTTTTGTAAGTATCTTATGATGAACGATTATGTCATTCTAATATTTACAGCATCAACACCTAAAGCACAACCTTCCCATTCCTTGCCTAAATCGGTTTTTAAACCACCTCTTAAGGTGCTGTCTCAAGAAATACCAGCAGTAAGTTTCATTTTACAATTTGGTTCCTGACACCAAACAATTTTCACAGGGCTCATCCTATGCTGCAACTCCAACACGACCAAGCACCAATCCTTCAACTCCAAGCTCAGCGAGCACAGTCAGAAAGGCAGTCACAAGCAAATTTTTCACACCGAAAGAGGCAACAAGCAGTGGTGGGGGTAATAGCCAACCATTGTCAAGTTCTCAGCCATTACCGAGCGCATCCAATTCTTCCTCTTGTGAAGTGAGCTCTCGAAAAAAGTCGCTTTTTTCGACACTCTTTTCACAAGAATCCTCTCAAGAAGCACTTAATTGTGACCTTCTTGCTCAGAGTTCTTCTTCTGCATTTTGCATTAATAATTACAATGACAACCTCACAACAGCCATATTGAAGACTGAAAAGCTGCAGAGACAATATGCTCAATCAAAAAAGAATAAGGAAGGTTATGTCGAAGAAGTTAATGCTGAAGACTTTTCTTATGAAGAACCTCCTTCTCCTACATTATTTAAAACACCGTCTCGTTCATTGTCGTATGATGCTGCAGAAGAAACAGTGTATCATCAAAGGAAGCAACAGCAACAACAAACGAGCACCTCAAATCTCCTTACAAAAAAGCTTCCTCTCAGTCAACCTCTTCCACCATCTTCTTCAGATTCATCACTAAAAAAGAGAAAGAGCTCATTTGTCGACAAGTTTATAAGGAAAACACCAAGTTCCTCACAAAAATCAGACCTTTCACAAGGGCTTAGCTCTTCTCAATCATCCAATGCCTCAAGCTCATCAACAGAGCATCCTCAACCATCCTCGCAACCTCTGTCACAGCCCACCCAAACTACGCTTGCTTCTTCAAAATCGTTGAAAAATTTATTTTTCTATGATCTGAGTAGCGATGAAGATTTGGAGCCAGCCAACAAGAAGGTCAAACAACATCAACTAGCAGTGACTGTTGTGGACTCTAGTGAAGAAGATGAAGAATTAGTGGAACTTAATTACTCAGTGAGAGCACAAAGTTATTCTTCAACAACGGCATCTACAGATATGAGCTCGGAGAAGAACGTTTTTGAATTATTCTTGTCCAATGATAAAGATGATTAGCACATCAAACTTTACACAATTTACAATTATTTACAATTTGGAAATTCGTTGTTGTGGACGAGGATTTGGAACATCTTTTGAAGAATGTGAGTATAAAATCTCGGTGCTACCAGTTCTAGTGATCTTACCAAAGATGATAAACTCACAAGCATCTTTCCAAAGATCACTTCGATCACGAACATATTTCTTGAAGAATCCAACATGACCAATGGGAAGCCTCTTTGGAGGTTGTTGTGGATTTGATGCTGGTGTAGAAGTTTTCATGACAGGTCTCTTAATGACCTCAAAGAAATATTCCTTGCATCTACCAAAGAATTTCTCATTATATTTGGCCACAGAATTCTATCATAGTATGGTATTACAAGTTTGTGATACATTAATGACATAGATCAGACTATTACGACCAGTCTGTCACTGAATTCAAACGTACCTTATTGGTAAAAACATCATCTTCGAATGCCCAATTCAAAAAGGTCACGTGCTCCATATTGCTAGGTAAGATTGGCTTGTTGGGATTTCCAGGTTCTGTCATGTAATGAGGGTTATATTGAAACTGTCTCCATGTATAGGCAACACCAGTTGGAATATCCTCCATGGAATGAAACACAGTTCCAGATGGAAAAAATCCATACATGGTAGTCAATAATGGAACACTTGCGAAAAATAATTTTGTTCTCAAATAATGTATCATGTACTTCTTGCTTTTGAATGGTTCAAAGTAGCCAAAGTAGCCATTGAATGCTGATTATAAGTCGATGATCATTATATTTGAAAAAGATAGGTGTGAACTGTACACCTCGTTTGAAATACGGAGCTAGATCACTTGGAATGGTCATCATCAAGTATGCACCAATGCTGTTACCAGCTGCAACAATTTCCATCTCAACACCTTGTTGTGAAAAAGTTTCCTGATGGTACTTGACACAAAAGTCCATCACGCCCCAAAAGTCCTTTCCCCAGTCGTAAAAGGAGCATTTGATAGTTGGTTTATCAACATCTCTTGATTCACCCATTCCTGATTGCAATGAGCATCAAAAATCCAATGTGTGTCACACATTGAATCAATTTGAATTGACAGATCATATATTCAAATTAAGGTAAACATGCAACTATACAAACCTCTATAGTCATAAGTGACAGCAATGACTGTCTGATTGGATGCATGTCCATAACGAACCACATATTCTGCAAAATGAAAGTGATAATCTTGATGGACACCAGTGGCAGCACTAATAATCACATAGACCACTTTTTTGTTGTGTTGTTGATCATTGTCTTGCACCAATAGGGTTGTTTTGAATTCTTGAACACATAACCAATCAAGGGAAATAAATCCCCTCGTGAGGGAATGAGAACTTTTTCTTTTTTCAATTCAAAGTTAGAAGAAGATGAAGCATCTGTGGATAGTTGCACTTCTTCTGCGTGCTCTTCCTCCTCGTCAACTTTCTCGTCGAAATAAAATTGTTTATTATTGCTTTCTGGCGCGGTTGGCTGGTGATCGCTGTGTGGTAAGAGGGACATTTTTTTTAAAGTGCTTTTTAAATTGATTCTTTGCAATTTTCCGGATTGATTTTTTAATATTTGGTGGAAATGTGCGCATGTGTTGTAATGAGGAGGTCTTTAAGGTTCGTTCGTGTACTCACTTACCTATAAGTAAGGGTTTAAATTAGTCTCAATTGAGTGACTTGTAGCATCGTTCAATCTTCAATACAATGTTCACATTGTTTGAATTCCATACATGAGCTAATCCCACAGAGGTTGTATCTTGCAGTTCAAATACCTTTCCACAACTACTTCGTGTCCATCGCCCTTTTTCTCCTAGGGGCTGTCACCAAAAGTTCAAAACTGAGCATGTCCATCAAATCCTGAACCACATCAAAAAAAAATGTCGCCAGCATGGAAAGTGTTTCATTTCTTCTGCGCTATCATGTCGTTCATCATTTCCTTTACTTTGCCCTTCATGATTGTTGTATGGGAAATGTTCGTGACCTCCTTCTATAACAATCATGCGAATAATAAAGATATCACCGTGTGCAGTATATGGGGAAAGAATTCCACTCGATGGACCATTGCCATTTTCATTTTGACACTTTGTGGATATTTGCCAGGAGTGATTGCTGCATTGATTTATGCATTTGTAGCTGAACATGTTTCATGGATTCCTCAATAAAGATGTTTTATCAATATTCCTCCTTTCACATCGTTTCGTAGACGCTTCCGGACCTCACTTTGATGGTGTTCAATTTTCTCCTTGAAATGCACATTGTTCTTCCAATTGGATTTGATAATAATAAAAATAACAAATTTTTAATATTTACAAAAATGTTTCAAATTCTCACTTTAAACATTGTCATAATAATTAACCAACAACAACAACAACAATATATAAAAATCTCCCTAAATTCTTGTTGATGAATCATCTCAATAAAATTCCAAAACTCAATTCTTCTTCTTCTGTTGGCACATTAAATCAATAATCCAACTCGATGCTTGTCACTCATATCATGATTATAGTCTCTATGCATGCATTCATCGCCACGAATGACCAACACGACATCTCTCATGGTCGATCCAGGAGGTAAATTCCAATATTTCAATGCAATTTCAGGAGCAGGTGTATTTGGAATTTGTCCCTTATCAATCGCTTCTAAAAATTCAGTATAAGCATTCACTGCTTCTTCTTCTAAATATCCAACAAGACGATGACAAAATCTTGGATGAATGACATAGGCCAATGTATAAAACGAAGTAAATCCAATTTGAGCACCCATGACCAATAATCGTTCCAAAAAAGTAGGACGTGTCAAACACATCCAAGTCAATAAATGCATTCTTTCATTTTCAGCTTCTTCTAATAACACTCCGATATTTCCATGATCTCGTCTCATGTTACGTAATGATGAAAAATGTCTCAAACCAGCTGCAACCATTCCTGGAACGGAAGCTACAGTTTCCAAGACAACTGAATGATGTAAATAACGATCTCCAAAAAAGGCATGAACCAACACACGAAGAGATTTCATCATGGAAAGAGCAAACTTGTCGGTGAGATCTTGAGGTTCATACGAACGTTTGACTTGATAGGAATCGAGAGGAGCGACTTGAGTGTAGGGTTCAGTACCGTAGGAGTGGAATTTGGAATGAGCAAGTGGAACGTGATGATGTTCATAGTGATGGAGAACCATTTCTTTGGTGAAGAGAGGTTTTTCATGGGTTGTTGTTGTTGAGGGAATGGTGGTCGAGTTGACAGTTGGCATTTCAGAGAGAGTTGTGGTGGAAGAAGAAGAGGAAGTAGAGGATGGATTGGACTGAATGGTATTGAAATGATACAACTTGTGTTGTTGAGTTGGTTGTTTCATCATGACCAAAGTATTTGGATTCAACGTCATGATGGATTTCAAGTTGAAGTAGAGGAGAGGAGAAACATTCTTTGAATGACCAAGTGTTGTTATTGTACTGCGCATGATGATTTTATGGTTGTATGCGTGTTTGATGAATTGTGTGATCTTGTGTGTTCGTTGTAATATTTTTTTTGACTTGACCAATTGACAGGCGGAGAGATGGTTTTTTAAGAACGCTCGGATTATTCGCCATTATCCTCAAAAAGTTGAAATACTAAGGATTCTTTGTGGTTGATTCTTAAAGATCGGTTGTTCAATATTGATTGAATATGTCTCATTTTGGATAAATTTTGAGTCGACTCAGAAATATAATAATATCGGCGGAGTGTTAGGTGGTCATGAGTGGATGAATTGTGCGCCAAGGTGGCAACATCACCCCATCTGCCAAATGTCATTTAGCAAGTATTGAGGTAATAGACCTTGAATGAATGAGGTACAAGTTGTTGGCCTCAATAAGAACATCCATCTCTCGATTTGGCGCCGTAGCAGAGAAGAAGGGAAATGAAGGAGGTGGACAATTTGATCATCTCTCAACAACTGCTGTACAACCTCTAAGAGATGAAATTCATGAATAAAAATGTCACTTCGATCTTCCTATCCTCAAGGACGACATGGCCATCACCTCTTTATTCTTCTCCTCTATTCAAATCTCATATTGTACCTTCTATCATTATTCTTTTCTCAAGTCCATGCCTCTTCATCAGCATCTGTCAGATTTCATTTAAAAACTGTAGCTGGAATTGCTCAATCTCAAGGTTACACTGGTGATGACATGATAGCAACCAATTCCAAACTTTCTACCCTCATGGCGTTGTCATTGATTCCTCTTCTGAAGAACTCTACATTTCAGATAGTGCCAATTATCGAATTCGAAAAGTCAACTTAAATACTGGAATCATGACAAGTGTCGTCGGAGATGGAACTCCAGGATTTGTTGGAGAGAATTCAATGGCCACAAAATCTAAAATTAATCATTCCATTGGGTTGTTTTGGAGTAATGGATGGTTGTACATTGCAGATACGAATAATCATCGAATTAGAGTGGTCAATAATGTTGGAGCGATAAGTACATTGGTTGGAACGGGAGTGAAAGGTGGGTGGTTGTATATTTTTGATTTTACCATATATGGTTCCTGCCAATGGTTGTCAATTGTATTTCGATCATCATTTGCGGTCTTAAAAATTCTTTTCATTGATTAAGGATATAATGGAGAGTGGACAGTTCCTTCCAATACTCAAACGGAATATCCTGTCAGTGTTCATATTCATGGCAATGATGTCTATTATTCCGAAAATGGAAGAATTAGAAAAATTGTCAATGGATTGAGCACAGCAAGTAGTAACAGTGCCTATGTTTTGACACTTGCTGGAAATGGAACGAATGGATACAATGGAGATGATATACCTGCAACTTCGGCACTAGTCAATGCTCCTCATGGAATTTTTGTAACTTCGAATGGAGAAGTATTATTCGCCGATCGTTTGAATCATAGAATTCGAAAAATTACAACGGATGCCAAGATGGTCACAATTGCAGGTATGTTGAATAAGGTTTTCTAAACAGTTGTTCACTTGCTCATGATTGGGGATTTTGTATATCTTTCCTTAATAATGGTTAAAAATCATTTCGTGTTAAAAATAGGAACTGGCTCTCCATCCTATAATGGCAATGGTTTGTTGGCGACAAATACCAATTTAAACAGTCCAGAAGGTGTCCTCATGCTCGATAACAATGAAATTCTCGTGGCAGATACGGGTAAGTTGGATGAAATTTCGTTTGTGTTATCGATGTTCAACACCATTTCTTTGACGACAATTCTTGTTTCCACATGTCTTGTTGTTCCCAACAAAATACAGGTAATCATTGTATTCGAAAAATTTCAACCGATGGTGTGATGAAAATCATTGCAGGTGTCTGTGGAAATGCTGGATACAATGGAGATGACATTTTCGATGGTATGACTGGATTCCTTAATTTGCCAACAAGTTTGACCTTTTCAAAAAACAGTGGCATTTACGTTTCAGAGTCCAACAATCACATCATTCGTCGACTCGTCCCCTATTGCGATTCAGGTTATATCTTGTCGTCCGATTTACTGTCGTGTGTAGAGAATAAGACATGTTTTGGAATTCTAGCCGAGAGTGGAACTGCATGTTCCTCGAAAGGATTCTGCACTGGTCAAGATTCATGCTCATGCTATTCAGGATGGTTTGGTCAAACATGTGCCTATAACTATCAATGTTCAGGAATTGCTCCAGATAATGCCACTGTTTGTAATCGTCGAGGACGTTGTACTTCTTTCAATACTTGTTCCTGTTGGGAAGGATATTCGGAAATAATTGTGAAAAAGTATCTACCACTACTTCTTCTCCATCTTCTACATGGAATGCCATTATTATAGCAGTGGTCGTTGGTGTCATTGTTTGCTTGGTCGCGACCTGTATTTGTGCCATTTCCTTGTGCGTTATTTGTAGAATTAAGAAGAGTCGAAACCGTCGTGGTCGTCGTAGGTTTGGACATGAGGAACGTAATGAACATATGGAACGAAAACCATCAATCGCCGATGAAGATCCTCCACAACTCATTCTTGGCACTAATGTGAAAACTAATGACCAAGACATTGAGGCCAATCATGTCGTGGTGACTTTCCATTCGACTCCATCTGGAATGACTCCAAATTCCTCACCACCCACCACAACAACCTCTTCATATTTACCATTGCAATCTGGATCGTACACTCCTTCGACAACCATTGAATCTTACTCGTTGTATGTACCAAGTGAAGTCGGTAATACCGATTCTCAACAACAACATTCGATCACTACTGGCCATTCGTTAACAGTAATGGCCAGTAATCAAGGATATGATAAATTCACCTCTAAAGATCATACCTATCGAGTGGTGAAGTTGCTTGGTAAGGGAGGATTTGGTAGTTGTTATTTGTGTGAAAATATTCAAACGTTGGAGCAAATTGCAGGTAAGTAACATGTCATGTTTTTTTAAATTCAATCATGTGGCCACATGTTTGTTGAATAATGAAATGGACAGTCAAAGTTGTACAAGCAACGGATGATAATTATGCTTCCATTTGCAGTGAATTTTCGAAATGTCTTGCATTTCAACATCCTCGTCTTGTGAAATCCATTGAATATTTGGCAGGTGTCGATAGAAATTCGATTTGCTTGGCCATGAAGTATTACAGATATGGAGATTTGGAACATGTGGTCAAAAATGTCATGAACGCTTCACCTCCTTCTGATGCCATCCTCATTTCACTAATCAATCAAATAGGAGAAGGGTTGCAATATCTTCATGACGTTCAACGAGTCATTCACAGAGATATCAAACCAAAGAATATTATGGTCGATGAGTTTGATGAGTTCAATCATTCCATTCAAGTGGTCATTGGTGATTTTGGAGTTTCCAAGCAAGCAAATGCAGCTCATACCTATGCAGGAACCTTCTATTATGTTTCTCCTGAGATATATCTTGGAAAAGCATGTACATTTGCTACAGATATATTCTCATTGGGTGTCATGTTATATGCTGTTATTACTGGTGAAATGAATTGTGAACATGTGTCAATTACACAACGCTTGCTCGATGTTGGCGAAAAAGCGTATGAAGAAATTGAAAACAAGGTGAATGGAAAGCAGGTAAATCCAGAGATTGTCAACTTGGTGATGAGAATGCTCGCAAGAGATCCAGAAAAGAGACCTCTTGCCAAAGAGTTGGTAGATTTTAACATTTTCCAAAGTGTGTAAATGATGGAAGTTTACAAAGAGAAAATTCCTCTTTACCATATCCACGTTCTTCAAATTACGTAAATCTTACTTTAGGAATAATTCAATCTTCTTCACCAATTCTCGACAAATTCTATTAAACCATGTCAAGGCACAAAAAGGTTCAAAATTTCTCTCTTCCCATTCTTGCAAGTTATGATTCGGTAAAACAAACAGCTCTTCTGCAGTTAGTGCATGCATAAAAAAGTCCACTTGAGCGCAAATGATTAAATGTGAATATGGAACCATGAGATTCTTTTCTTCTTCAGAGATTGGAAAGCCTCTATAATGTTCGTACGTAGATTTATAGATGCGAATGAGATCGTCATCAAATAAATCAAATTCGTTATAGTCCACGTCGGGTGTGACAATTTTTGAAATACACCAAAAAATAAAGCCCTTAATGAAATCTAGAATTTGAGGGCCATATTGGCTGTCATCCCAATCGACTACTCCACTGATCATGTCCTGATTATCTTGAGATTTGGTAAATAATACATTGTTCTCATGAATATCAGCATGCACAATAGAATGGGGAAGTGACAATTCTTTTTCGGCCAAATCCTCAATGTTCAAGTCTTTTACATTGCCTTCTAAAATATTCTGTAGATTATCCAAAAGTGATAAACTTGTTGTTGTATCGATTAGCGTGATCAATTTCCTCTTGCGAATAATCGTTGTTTGGAAAATTCTCATGGGTGAGAGGAATCACTTGTGACTTTAACGTTTGAATCTCTTCCAACACACTTTTCATAGCCTCTGTGATGTAAGAAAAAGTGAGTTTGGTTACTCCGATCTCATTTGAACCATTTCTGGAATGGTGACCTTCATATCAAGCATGGAATAGCCAGTAAATTGTGTGAGTTTGTGCAGAGAGCCTAGAAACGTGGCTACCTGCGTGACTTGATTCACAGTCTTTTTTCCCTTGTCCACATGAAATCCATGCACATATGAAAATAGAGCACATAGTCTTCCATCCACATATTCGAGAACAGCTTTTTCCATATCTGGAATTTTTGAATAATTGCTTTGAACGAATGACATTAGCTCTTCTGTTGGAAGTATGACAAAAGGCACTGGAAATCGGTTTTGTCCTAAAAAGAACAATGTACAAAGCTCGAATTTGATATATTCCTTTGTTTTGTCAAGATCATTGTAAATTCGGAAAACATAATATTGTGTTGGAAGTTCAATGATCTGGTCGTTATCTTTCGCTGAAAAAGCAATGGCAACTTTGACACTATCATTTTCCACACCTCCCGTTAATTCATCACAAGACACAACACAATTCCATTCCAAAACCTTTTCGACAGGTAAATTTAATTGAGCAATCAGAGCACCATCGGGTTGCATAATATGTGGAAAATCTCTTCGTAAAATTGCTAAAATAGTTTCACCATTCCAAGACTCTTGATCGGATGAACAACTTGCTTCCGATTCACTGCTTTCATCATCAGCACCTCCAAATATTTCATCACGAACAAATTGTGGAATCGGAGTGACATCTTTTAGAGGCATTTTTTTGGGTGTTACCTGAAAGCTCTTTGACGCCAACTTTCAAATTGTTACAAGAAAATGTTATACAGCATTATTAGAGTAAGTGGCAAATGCTTATCGTTTGGTCTTCTTTTCTGGAGAGTTTAGAATTTTCTTGAGAGTTGACTCGAGTGCACGTACACCCCTTGAGGAAGGAGGAGTGGAGACACTCAATTTCTCTGATGGTTGTGGCAATTGTTGAGAAGGCGTGGATGGAGGATGAAAATTGGATGCTCGACTCATCGTACGATCAGGATGTTGAGGTCGTGTAGTTGAAGATTGAGCATAAGAGTTGGTCGTCTGAGAGTGATGATCATTCTGGTCATAGGATCTGCTTGAGTAGTGTTGATGATGCATTCTTTGAGGTTGGTGATAATAGTCGTGTGGTCGGGTTCGTGTTGTAATTTTCTCTTTCGATTCTGTTGTTCTCGTTCCTTCACAAGACTCTCTAATTTTGCTCTTGTTTTTTCGAGATATTGTCGAGCAATTTCATGATTTGGATCAATGTGAAGTGCATTGGTAAATTGGTCGAGAGCTCTATTGTACTGTTTTTGATTATAGAGAGCACTACCAATTCCTAGTATGGCATCTATATTCTTTTCATCATAGTGTAAGGCATCATGGTAACAATCGAGAGCTTTTTCAAAGTTCTTTTGTTTGGCATGTTCGACTCCTTTCAAAACACAATGAACGCTGTATCGAGAGTCTTGTTGTTTTCTAAGTGTTTGATAATTTTCAGTAGTGTTTTTCAAGTTTTCATCGAGCCACGAAGATTGCATCTGTTGAATTAATTCATTGGCACGATTTGCTTTTTGATAGATGTTTGCTGGTTATTCTCACCATCTTCAGTGGGTGTCGCAACCTGTGGTGGCTCCTTAAAAATTCGTTCTAATAGAATATGAGATTCCAGTGGGTCAATAAACCAACTCTTCGTTTCCACCAAGCTGTTAAAATGATTGTTCAAAACCTCTTCTCGCTCCCTACGAGAATTGTAGCAAGGTGGTTGAGTAGAGAGCAGAGTATGAATAGGAAATGTGACAAAATCTGCCAATTTCTCTTCAAATTGTCTGCTTAGTGTGATGGTTTCAGAATTTCTGTCACTGTCGACTACGATGGCAAACAAGACATCATTATAATATTCTTCCTTATTATGCCTCTTAGTTGTATCAACCTTGTACTCATCAATAATTTTGGCATTAACTCTTTCAAGATTGAGACGATTGAAAAGAGGACAAGGTGCTAATTTAGAATCACTCGGAGAGAGCCAAAACACTTCCTCGATATGAAAATTACATTGTGATCGATCAGAATTATTCCTAGATGATTTTGGATTATAAAATTCTGAAGAAGATCTCCAACTTTTCATTCCACCAACAATGACTACCCCTTCACAAAATATTGAATTATTATTCTTTTTCCCTGAATGCTCAATGAAATCAAAGAACAAATTCAAATAATATTTTTCATGATGACCTGGTTTTCTATGATCGTTTTGAAATAGTACTTGATTCAAAATATAATTCAAAGAAATATTATCATCTCTCGTACTTGAATTATTATTGCTATCATTTCCTTCGGAACGGTTTGAAAATTCATAATTAAATCTTCTCTGGGCCAAACACGTTGAAAACCAATCCTGTAGTTTCGGTTTTGATTCATCTTGTAGGAGTTGATCCGAATCTTGATGATTCCGAGTCTTATTGTTGCTTGAAGATGAATTCGAACTTTGTGCTTCGGAATGTAAATGCATTTTTAATGAATGATATTATACAATTATTATTTAAATTGTACAAATAATTATCAAGGAAGAGTAATATTACATAAGAGTGTTTTAAATGCCATTGTATAAATTTACAGTGTTACTTTGAAGTGATGATATCAACAATAGGTACATTGGAACTTCTGAAAATTTCTCTTCACTCTTGTCCTTCCAGTTCACACACCATTCAAACAATTCCTTCAAACAAATATGAACGACATTTTCCATCATTTTCATAAAATCTCTTCTTGTTATCATTGAAATGAGGTTTTTTTAATCGTTCATGAGCTTTTAAGGCATCCAAACGGCAGTTGCTTTACAGCTCTCCAACGCTTCACACACTTGTTGATTTTAACCGAGAAAGAAATTGACGGATTTTGAACAAGAAAATGCAACACCGCAAAAGACCCAACGTTTTGACTCGATGATTGTTTTTTCAAAGCCATTACGGAGAGTCACCTTCAAATGTCAAAATCCAACTAGAAAAAAAAATCAAAATTCTTGTTGGACAATTCTACGATTCACAACCACACCACCCGTCATTGTCGAATCATCACATTATTGAAATTCTCGTATTTCTGTTCACACCACAGTCATACATTTTCAAATTGTCAAACAACAACTTTTTCACATTTTCCTTTTATAGGTTTCTGTGAGTTATTCCATCGTCATTTTCATCATCATCAGCTAACAATCATCATAATAATTATTACCAACTCATATCCACAAAACCAACAACAACAACAACAAAAATGTCAACTTCAACTCCTCCACCTCTCACCAATGCCAATTTATTAATCAACGGTGGACACAGACCTCGTCAAAGCATCATCAAATCCAAAACAGCTCATGGCTCTACCATGACCATCACTCGTTCCGAAAAACGTTGTTTCATTCGTTACGTGAACACAATCATGAACAATGCCATTCAAAAAGCCATCGAAGAAAAAACGAAAATGCAAGAAAATGGTTCTTGGAATTTCATTATGAATACTTTATCAACAACAAGTACTACAGAAGGAGACAGTGCCAATATTACCAGCAATGGAGAATTAACTTCACCAAGAGGTAATAATCGTCGACCACGAAATGTCTTGTTGCATTTGGGAGATTTGGCAGTGATTGATTATTGGAAACCAATGGAAGTGGTGGGAATTGAGGAATTGGAGAGTAATGTCGAGTTGTTTGAGAGATTACAAGATGGAGTGGTGTTTTGGTAAGTAGGATCTCATTGGATGAAAACGTGAAAAAATTCATGAACTTGTCATTTGTACAAATATGGAAATGATCTCAATGTCATACTGTGACGACTCTCTCTGTTTCACACACACACAACTGTCGAATGTGATCGAATTGGAATATATAGCCACTTGTTGGACAAGATTCAGAATGGACTCGTGGATTGGACTAAAATCAATAAGAGAAACATTCTGACACCTCTCGAAGAACTTTCCAAATTCCAAAAAGTTGAAAATCAAAACTTTGTTCTCGAAGTTGCCCCATCCGTCGGATGTCAAATTGTTGGCATTGGTGCGAGTGAGCTTGCTGATGGATCTCAACAACCACTGTTGGCATTGTTGTGGCAACTCATTCGACAAGATGTCACCAAACGTCTCAACGTGATGCATTCTCTTCGATTAATTGCTCTCAAAGAAGAATCTGAAAGTGTCGTTGATTTTATGAAACTTCCACCTCAACAATTGTTGTTACGTTTTGTGAATTACAATCTCAAGGCAACAAAAACAAAGAAAATTGTTGCTAACTTTTCAGAAGATTGGAAAGATGGTGAAGCATTTTGTTACCTTATTAAGAATATTGTGGATATCAATAATCGATTTTCTTCTACGAAAGTTTCCAAAAATGGAAATGGTGATTCTGATGAAGAGGATTCCAATTCGCCAACAATCAAAAAGAATTCACAGAAGAACAAATTCAAGAAATTCTCTCCATTGAAAATCATGAAGAAAGAGCCAAACGAATTATTCAAGCCATTAATGAATTGGGATTAAATCCTAATCATGTTCACATTGAAGGAGAAGATATTGCGACAGGTGTCAACACATTGATCATGACATTGGTCGGTAGCATGTTCAACGCTACGAACTTGAATGGTTTACAAAGTGAGTTGACTGAAGATCCTGAAAAGATGACTCAATTGAGAAGAGAAATTCTGGATAACTTTTTGGAAATGATGAAAGACGACATGCCAGAAATTAAAAAGCCAGAAATGAAAGTCTTTTTGGAATTGGTGAAGAAACTGTCAGATGTCAATATTAAGGAAATTGAAGAAAAGATTGTAGAACAACGTGTACAAGAGTACAAGATGGAAGTTCGAAAGTTGAAAAAGCAACACTATGTTCTCTTCAATCAATCTGAACAATACAAACGTAGAATTGAAGAATTGGAAAAAATTGTCGCCGACCAAAAAGTGACCATTAAAGATTTGGAAGACAAGAATGCACAACAAGCCTCTCGAATCCAAGAACTCGAAGAAGAGCTTCAAAAAGCAAACCATTCTCGAAAGAAGATTTGAAAAAACTCGGCGGAGAAGATTTTCTCGATGACTCTGAAGACATCACTGCTGAAGAGATTAGAAAAAAGACAAGTCAAAAAATCGAAGAATTGGTGAAACGTGTCAAGGTTCTCAAAGAAGCACTCGTTCAAACAAGAAAAGATCTCAATTATGGTATGACATTGAGTGGTATCGATGCAGAGACAAAATTAGCAGAATTTAGATTTGGTTCTCCACTCACTTGCGACCGTTTAATGTCTGAGCATAAACCAACGTTGACTGGATATTTGGAAAAGAAGGGTCGTTTGAAGAAGAATTGGAAGAAACGATTCTTTGTCTTGCTTCAGAATTATCTCTTTTATTTTGCAAAGGAGAATGGTAAATTGAAAGGATTCCTTCGTATTGAGGAATGTGAAATTGAACGTGAAGAAGAAGTTGGCTCGAAGGGACTCTATGTGTTCCATATCAAGACCATGGGACGTTTATTGAGTTTACGAGTGGATAATGTGGAGGATCGAGAGGATTGGATCAAGTGGATTTATGAAAATTCAAGAGTATTGCACGAGTAAGAGGGAGAATTCAGAATTTTCGTAAAGAAGAAATGGATCAATACATGCCTTAATAAATTGTAATTATTATTATTCGTTTTATCGAGTACAGTGAGAAACATTCAGGTTCAATTATTGCTTTTGATGAATGAATGACTTCATTATCAATTCGAAATACCGAGTTCACATCACGAGACTATTGTTTGATCCACACATACTAGTCTTCAGCATCTCATTCTTTCTCAAACAAAAACACGAGCAAGCTCACAGTCATGATTGGTTCCAACAAGCACACAACGAAAAGCAACATTGCTCCATCCACATCTACGAAACGTTTATTGCGAGATTTGAAGGAAATTGAGCTCCATCCTCTCGAAACTGTCTATGCTCAACCTGTTGAGGATAATCTCCATCGATGGTATGCCACTGTGTTGGCTCCAAAAACCTCTGCTTATCATGGTATTATTCTTCACTTGAGAATGGACTTTCCATCGAACTATCCTCATGACCCTCCAACCATCAAACCCTTAACCCGATTGCACCATTCCCATGTGTTTCAAGAATGGATTTGTTTGGACATGTTGAAAACTCACTACAATTCCGATCCGTATTCGGGTTGGTCTTCGAGTTACTCGGTCATGTCCCTTCTCTTGCAATTACAAAGTTTCTTATTGGAAGAAGAGTATGAACAACGAGACTATATTCAAGGAGATATTGGGCTCACCCGAAAGTATTCCAATCAATTGGAACGCTTATCCTCTCAGCACACTCATGATCCGAGTAAGGGTTTGATATGGCCATGTGCTCCTCATTGGAATGTGAAGGAAATTCTCAATTCCAAACCTGTAGTGAAGCCTCAACCATCCAATATTGGGAGAAGTGCTACATCGTTGAATTCTGTTGTGAGTGTAAAACCTTCCAATCTCAGCAGTGGAACTAAAAACCATACATCTGCTGCGACTCTGATTTCATTGGATGATCATGAAAGAAGAATGCACCAGTGCTGAACAAGACTGCATCAACATCGACGAGTAAAAAGAAGAGAAAGAAGATGAATCGTTTGAAACGTTGTGCTGCTCAACAATCTGCTGACGAAGAGATGAAGAAGAAATTCCAAAAAAGTATAGTCTTTTGGAATTACTTCCTGCAGAGAATCATTTGCAAATTCTGTCGTACTTGGAACGAAAGGATTTGAAACGTGTGGGTGCTGTGAATCGACTTTTCCAAAAATTGTGTCTATCGAAAGCATTACTTGTCGCTCCAGAGTTGATATGTTTTCATGCCAAAACAACTTTCACAGAAGATACGTTGGGAATTGGTGTGAAAATTGAGGTGAAAGACAATGATCAAAGTTTCATGTCCATTTCCACGCCATTGGATTTGATTTCAAAACATTCATTTTTCAACGAGAGGGTGAAAAAATCGGTTTGGGGACAACCGATCACTCATTGGATACCAGTCTATCTGAATAAGCAACATGGTAATTTGGCAGCGTTGCAAATGGCCATGGAAAGCATTTACCAGACCTATCCAAATCTCTCTCCTAAAACTCCTACTCAATTTCAAAGGAGAGCGCTCGATATGATGAGTAAATTAATGAATGCCATGATTGTGGAGATTATGAAAGGCAATGTGCATGCTTCTATTAAGGCGCTTCAAGGATATTGTTATTTCCATCGGTGGATGCTCTATTTAGTCCAGCATTATCCATCATGCCTCCAAACCTTAGAACAGCAAGTTGAGAATTTCGTCAAAGTCGACAAGTATCGTCACAAAGATGAATGTCCAAACTTGGGTGAGTTCTTGACCAAATTATCCGTTCTAGGTCCTTCTGGATTGACCTGGGATTACATTAGAGATGCCATTGTACAAGAAACTGCAACAAGAAATGTACTGTGGGTTCTCAAGCAATTTCCTGAGCTCTCGAAATTGAACGGAATTTCCAATACTGAGCGAATTGAAAAAACATGGCAAGCGAATCAAGTTTCATGCAAACTGATCATGTTTCATGTCTTCTTTTTGAAGAATGTGGTTGAAAAGCATGGTCAACGATCATTGGATGAAATTGGACGTCTGTATGACATGAATTATGGATGTTGTTTGGAAGACAACCTCGAAGAAAAGCTTCAGCAGGAACTATTTAACATTCAAAAGGTAAATTCTTTGATGGAATATTTTGAATATGTTGGAATGAAAGAGGATATGAGAAGTGTCGATAAAATTGGAACCTTCTTGAAGGATTGTGTGGTATTGTCTGCTGAGAAGGGGTATCATGGAGGGCGAAGAAATAATTCCAGCGCTACAACAAGCAGCGGCCCTAAATCTCAAAGTAGAGACCAAAGTTACTCCAACCAGTACTCCACTAGTAGGAGAAGATAATGAGTGGAAATTCGTTGAGTGAATTGTGAGAATGTATTAAATCATACTTGCTTCGTGTCACATTCTAACTCCAAATTTCAAATTGCTTGAAAGTGCCACTAAATATGAAAAAGATTGTGGCTTGTTGATGTCCATTGGTTCATCTCTTGACTCGTAAATTGATCGTCCAACTCCGTAATTCTTAATGTATGACTTAAATAAGATTTCCAGACAGGTTGTTCGGGTGATTTTTGGTTAATACTGACTTGAGGAGTGTTGAGCTGTTCGAACGTTCTTCGCTTGGTTGCACTCGAACGGGTGCTGTGAATGCAGAAATAGTCACAGGAGTTGGTGTTGAAGTGTTATGTTGCTGTCCTGAAGAATTTGTTGAACTTGTATCAGAAAACTCAACACTTGCTCCACCATATTCTTCGGGTGTTAAATCTGCGTTTGTAAGCTTAGAGAAAATGTTAGGACGATCAAACGCAAGTGCTGGTGATATATCACTGCTGGTGGGTGTTGCTAGTGATGATAAAGATCCAATAGATCTTCTACTTCTTCGAGAGGATGAATTCAATGATCGAGGTGAAATTTCATTGTTTGTGGGAGATCCATTCGTAATAGCTAATTCTTGATCTTGAGCTTGTTTTGGTAACTCTGCTTCCTCAATCTCTACATCCTTTAAAATCCATCGAATGAGAATTCTCGTTCTGATTTTTGATACCAACACAAAAAACGCGAAAATTGCGACATAGCCAAATAAGTAAAAAATAGATAAGTGGCTGACGCTAACCAAGGCATCATGAAATAATTCACTGGACTGTAAGGCCATACGGTGAGCCATCGCATTTCAACAATTAACAAGAGCCAGAAAATGTAAAAGGCAGGAAATAGAATGGCAATAAACAAGTGCCAAAATCGAAACACCATATTCGAAAAGATAAAGTCAATCAAGCTTAAAATTCCAGTGATACCATGAAAGTAAAGATTGCTGCGAGTATTATCATGTCCAATGAATTATATAAATTTGATATCCATGTTGACAATTTGATGCCCATGGTAAATGGAATCATTACATCATTGAATATTTAGAGTTTAGAACATTACAAATTCATGACTTACAAATAACGTGTACTGATTGGTTCAGTCGATTCAAAGGAAGTCAAAATCCAATAGCCAATACAAATTAACACAGTTGATGAAATGGAAAGTTCTCCCATCAACCAAATTGCATTCGAAATTCCTCTCATAATGGTCACAATTCTCGAGTGAGTTTTTTTCAATTTTGGAATTCCCACTGTCTTGTGATAAAACTTGTTGAAGAATACGAAATAAAACAATCCCAGCACAGCATGAATCGTATAATAGACAGTCAAGATAATGACCGAGCAATTGGTGAGAAAGGACAAGAACACAAATGTATCTTGTGGTTCTAACACTCGTTTCGTAACCAAGCTCACAATGGCAGCAATTGCAACACCTACTCGGTAAATGTAGAGACCGACTGTGACAGGGAATTTGAAGCCATAGGATTCAAAGATGAATTGAGAAGGATCCCTCAGCCTGTTGTTGTTGAAAATTGGAGGTGATGAAACATTGTTGTTTTGCAAAATCAAATTAATATTTTGAGTTGTCAACCATATCACGAAAATGATTCAAGAAGTATCATCATGTATCATCACGAACGTTAGTATAAATCCGTTTGTCCCGTCCAACACAAACAATTGGTTTGAAATTGATATAATTGGAGTATCATCATTGCCGAGTTCATTTTGAATCAAAATGTTTTCGGTTCACGTGGATGATGCAATTATCCATATATAAACTCGGTGTGATGAAAAAGTGAACGGAAAAACACTAACCTATTGAACACTCGTTTCTTCAAATATTGAGATTTCAGTCGAGGCCCTGATGTCGTCGATACTTTGGTGTGAAAACGAAAACCTTTCACTGTGTAAATGGCTACGGCAACCATCATCAGGAAGATCATGACGCAGGCACTGTTCACCAAACAGATCCACCCGAACAAGTATCCCACTTGACGGTCCGAACTTGTCTCTGGAAGAATGTTGTAATAGTCGATGGATGCCATGAGGAGTTGTGAATGAATGCGTTTTGTGTGCAGTTGTATCGTTTGAGAGATGAGGAGAGGCACAACAACTCGTGATAAAAACTTGTCACACAATTTTCTTATTGTTGTAATGCTTATCATGCGTAACGAATCAAGACGCGACTCGAAAGGAGTGAGAAGCAAATCCTTTTGTGGAAGTGGTTTTCCAGTCAACTCTTCCAAATGGAAGTGATCATGCAGGCATCTCGTCGTGACATGTAAGAGCAAATGCGACTCAGGAGAATTTAGCAGAAAAAATGCATTATTCATTCATGAACAAAGGAGGTTTTGCACCTTGTGAAGGCAATTCAGTTTAGGCTGCTGTAACAACAATTATTGGTCTCTCTCTGTATTTAATAGCGTGATTAGGAAAACAGCCATCTCTGGGATCCATCAATTATTTTCATCACCAATTACTGTTCCGACGTAACAACGCTATTATTATTTAGCATTACCCTCCCGTTTACCAAAAAAGAGCTAAATGACTTTCTTCAATTTCCAATAATTATGTAGACTTCGCATTTGCCATACAACTATCATGTTTTCAAATCGCGATTAGCAAAAATAACGAGGATTTTGCATTCAAGCATTACAAAACATCTCACTTACAACATATTAGCAAAGCAATTCCCTTTCCGACACACAGATAGAACGACCTTTCCAAAGTACTCTCCGATGTATATCTAAATCGTTCTTCTCTTCTCAAAAAGTAGCTCTGTTCTTCCTTAATATGATCGAGCTTGGTCTTGATTGTTGCCAACAAGTCTTCAATTTTGCCCAAAACATCAACCTTCTCAGGTTTAGGCTTCAACTTGCCTTCAATAATTCTTAAATCAGCCATTAGAATGGAATCCTCTTGACCTTTGGATGCAGAAGATGATTGTTCCCAACTCAGGCACAAGCCTAGAATATCAAGATCGGGGTTCGGGATAGAATATTCCATGAATATCTCGTGTGAGCCAAAGTTTGAATATTGCAATCAAATTACTTACAATAGTGATCACCAGTAGTACTCATTGAAGTAGAGAATGTAATGTAATTATCTTCATCCTCAGTATCAATATGCTTTGAGGCTATAAGGAACCCGTAACTACTTTTCAGATCAACCCTCAAAGGATATAACTGGGAAATTCTACTTGACAATTTCCGAGAGGATTGTTCTTGGGTTTTATGATTAATCTCACGATCATCATCACTGGGTACCATCACTCGGACCACAACATCTGTTTGCGGAGAAAATGTTTCATGGAAGCAAAACGGCACACCAGAACGAATCGGTATGAGGGTTCCTTCTACATTGGAAAAAACACAACAACTAGATATGAGCATGACAATGATGAGAACGACGAGAAAATTCGTTCTTATTGAATGAATGAGCATGTTGATGAGCTTAATGATGGCAGTCGTTACTGGAAAAAATACGTCTCAAATGAAATTAAGGCGTTTTTTTTTTCGAATCGTTGGAAATTAACGTTTTACTAAATAATTATTTTGACAAAAGGGATTTAAACGATGGTAGAAGTATTTGGGAGTAATGATGGCACGTTGTGCTTGTCTTGTAGACTTCTCCTTGAAATTTTGAGGCGGATGGGCGTGATGACTCGTTGATCCAAAAAGACACCAATCTTACCAGACCACTTCTTGAACTGAAAGCTCATCTTGCTGAATAATGATCTTGGTTTCCAAGCCCACATACAATAAATTGCAATGTATCTGAAAGCGACAAGCCAAAAGAGCAATGCATAATAGTAGAAGAACAAGGATTCGTATTCATAGCCATTCATCTTTAGGGCCTCAGAAATACTTTGCTCCTTTCGTCTTGTATCCAATTCGTGCATGTACACTAAACCCTTAATATATCTAAAGCTGTAGTAGGTTGTTTTCAATCATATAACCATGTGTTAACAAAATTGGCGTAAAATGTGAATATCCCGTTTAACATGAAAACTTACTATGTGAAAATATGAGAATAGGATAGAGGAAAGGCAAGCTTCTCAATTTCTGGTAATGTCGGGTTATTTCCAGCTAAGCTGTAAAACACAACGACCACTAATGCAGCTGCAAGTTGTGCAATGGCTGGTTCAAAAAAGAAGACAAAGTGTATCCAAGTGGAAAACCTGCCATGATGGTCAGAAACACAATTCCATAGAACACGACAAAATTCATGCGTGGCAATGCAGTTACAAGTCCCACAGCTGTACTGAATGAAATAATCACAATCACAATAAACGAGACCAAATCTTTCGCTAAGAAATACATCCACGAGTTGAGACCTGCGAACGATTCTCTCTTGAAATTTTCAATTTCAAAACCAAATACTCGAAGACCTCTCATAATTGCAATCAACGATACAGCTAACACCAAGAAAGAGGCATACGCAACGACAGTATCGCTCTGAGGTGACATGCAAATGGCCCTCAATGAAGGTGGGCAGTTCTTGTAATCATGTTTGGGTCGAGGACCAATGAACTCGAGCCCATGGAATAAAATACCAATTAAGAGACCAACTACAAAGGACACCAACACTTCAAACACTAAATTCTTCCAATCTCTACAGAATTGCTTGAGAGCTCTTACCAAACAAACGATAAAGTGAATGAAAAATGGTGCAGTTTTCATATCTTTCCAATTTAAGGTAAGATTTCTGTTGAGCTCCATGGAGGCAGGATCTTGTTTTTTCACAATTGCCTCTACAATAGGTTTTCCCTGAGGTGTGATCAGAGTTCGAAGAATTTCATCCGATGGATTACATCTCATTTGCTTGGCAGGAATGTGTTCTCTCAACGCTTCGAGTACGTGCGAAACAGGGCTATGGAACAGCAATTGACCATCACTGAACAGCATGATATCATGAAACTGTTCCAAAATTTCACATGAAGGTTGGTGAATGACACACAAAATGTTCGAGTTGTTTTCTTCGGCGAGAGTACGCAATATTTCGCAAAGGGTGAGGGCAGATTCACTATCGAGACCTGAAGTTGGTTCGTCCAATATGTAAATGGGCATGTCAGCAACGAGTTCAATACCAATAGAGGTTCTTCGTTTCTCTCCACCACTAATGACAGCTGTGTTGGAATGTTGAACTCGTGTTAGATTCAATCGCTTCAAAACACTGTCAATCTTTTCACGAGCATTCCGTTGCATTCCCTTTCTAAATCTTAATGAAAATTCCAAAGTTTCACGAACTGTCATGTGTGGTGCCATGACATCATCCTGAGTGACAAAGCCAACCAAATTGTTGGTAGTGCCGGTCACTTCGACTCCATTGATGAGCACACGACCACTTTGTATTCCGTGGAAGGCTCTATTGGCAAGGGTGTTTACGAATGTGCTTTTTCCAGATCCTGATTGACCCATAAGAGCAGTGAATCGTCCAGCTTTCAATATGCCACTTGTAAAAAATGATTTCAATACAGAATGTTTCAAAAGAAGAATCACATGCCAATCAGAAGAAAATGAATGTCTTTCAACAACCTACCTTATTGGATGAAGAATAGTTTTCTGATTGAACGAAACATACGATAAATTCTCAAAAACAATGTCAGCTCCCTTGTTTGGATTCACCTCAATCTCAGTTCCATCATTGCTCGTCCTTGTGTATCGCTGCCTGTTTTCTGTTAACGGAAGCAGCAACAAGTCTTTCACTGATCTAAACACCAGAGAAAAGATGGTTGTAAGTGTCGATCGGTACAGCACAACCGTGCTCGCTGAAATAATGAAAACCCCAACACAGAGCAAAGCAAAGGTGAAACTTCTCACTTCTCTGTGGTCCTCATATTCCAATCGATACCAATAATTCACAACAACATTTTGTGTCTTGACATTGGCAGTCCTCCAAACAAAATATAAATCCATAGTAGTCGCATTCGAGGCTGGCCAATCAAACCTCCTGTTGTATCATTCATAATTTTTGTGGCAAATAGTCTCGATCCAAAACTACTCTCAGAAATTGCAAAGAAGCTTCTCTCCAACGGATACTCAATGAGGAAATTTGTCTCGTTACGATTTCCTTCCCATATATTCAGATCTGTCGCTTTCATGAGTGATTCATAATACTCTTTCGAATTTCTAAAGATCATGGTTTCAATACTCACATTCGCCGTAAACGAGTACAACATGAAGCTAGCGTTGGCTGGAATTTGAATTTTCTCGTGGCTTGAACGAACGGAGGCGAATAGTTCTTGATAAAATACCAAAAGCTTGGATAGTAGGGTTTCAAAGTAATACTCCTATTCTCGACAATGGTATTCTGAGAGAAATCTCGCACATAGAAAAAGGGATACATCAAACATGCGCCCGAGATGGCCACAAAAACAATGAAAACCACCATGAAAGAGAGCCATGCCGCAGGATTGCAGTAATCGTGCCAACTGCGTTTGATAAGAACGAGCGAGGACGATGATGATGATGAATTCATCATGATGGCGGGCATGCGGTCTTCTGTACGAGGAGGAGGTGTTCTTGGAGTATTGAGAGAGATGAACGAAGAGGACGCGGAAGCCTTCGTCATGGTGTTGGAAGAAGCAAAGGGATTGAATTGGTCCTCTTCGTTGCTCATCATGACGGTGTTGCCCCTACCTTCTTCAACACGATAGAGAACGCCGTTGCCCTCATCCGAAGGAGTTGAAATCATTGATTTTCTTCGGTATTCAGAATTTCGTTTTTTCTTTTGATTCTTTGATTTTGAAAAATGGGCGAAGGGAAGCAGATTTGTCAAATCTCATCATGAGGCAAAAAATACTAATTTCCAGAGAATATGGGAAGGATTCGTATTGGAATGAGAATGGAATACAGCCATCCGTCGTTACAATGTACCAGGTAAAAACTTGGAACACTTGAGGCTCAATTTTTAACCTCGTGTTCGGGGTTGATCAAGTTGTTATTCAAAAAAATTCGCTCGATTTATTGGAGTGCAATTTCCATCTTCCATCATCATGACCAGAGAGAATTTGGGTGCACTAGCAACTCTTCCTCGTGAAATCATTTTGGAAATATTCAATTATATTGATTTCTTTTCTACATATGCCATGATTAAATCAATGCCTCGGCTGAGCAAAATTCATGAACATTTCGAAATATCTCGTGAATGGATGATGGCAAAATTCGTTGAAATGATAATTCAAAATGATGTTGGTATGGTCATTACGCGTTCTACATTGCCAGTCTCTGTCTATGAGTCAAGCAGAGACTATTTGAAATACCATTATCAATTGTTAAAAAAGAGAATAACAATGTATGAAACGAAAGATCCAAATGAGGAGGATCATGAGCGTTTTGAATGGAATCCTTATCATAGGCGTTTTGTCATCATGTTCCAATATTTTCACAAGCTCAACAATTTTACACCATCTTCTGGAAAGAGTAAGAATAATGATGACCTCATATTTGAGTATCTTCGAATGTATCGTGTCATGTTACAAATGTATACATTACTTACAGGTTATGAATGTATCGTACGAGTCAATTTTTTTGACAAATTGATGGACGAGGCTAAAACCCTATTTCTTAAATATGATCACAAGCTCAACAATACCAAAAACTTGGACAAGCGACACATTCGAAAGAACTTCTTCTTCCTAAAAATTATGATCCTCGCTGAGGCCATGAATGAAACTGCAAAATGTCTGGAAAGTACTCTCACAATTTTTCACTCTCATAATTTTTGGATGCCAATTGATTTGTATCAAGTGAAACACGAGTCATTCCCATTTCTATTATTTTGCAAATACTGGAAATACATTACAAACCCAGAAGAATATAGACCACTCTTGAAAAGGCTTGAATCTTTGTACAGATATCCATATTTATCACAGTTTTGCAATTACATTACAAAAGTTCAACCATTTCCAAATGATTTCATATCATCCACCGAAGAATACAATCGGTTTTTCGATACCATCAAGTTACTGAACGAGTTTTCAGACAAGACAACTGATCAATTTCAGAAAATACCCGTGTACACTGAAGCAATTGAGGAGCAGTTTGGAAAATTAATGTTCTTTAAGAATAATTCTCATTTGAACAAGGAAATAATTCAGTTCATTTATGACAATACGTTCTATTATTCGGATAGGCCTTGGTTCTGGAGGTGAGATCTCAATACTTACTACTCATCATTCTTGTGAATTTATATGAGTTGCTATTTTTCGATACATGACATCCGTTCTAAGTACATACTTATATTCCTGAAGAGGGCTTTGATCATTACTTTCCAAAGCCTTGGCTTCATGTAAATTACCATGCATGAACATGAGAACTCGTCCTTGTTTTGGTTTCACACTAAACAGCACCTCCCCACTTTGTTTTGATTTCAAGAAATTGGTCTCCCCTCCCTGACCTTTCACGTCATTGAGATAGATCAAGACAGTGATAAATGATTTTTCCATGCAAACCAATGGGTCAAGACTGGATGTTACGTCAAGTGTTTGAGCTTGGTACTCCTCTCGCTGATAATGACCATCATAATGAGGTGCAAAGTATTCGTTTGGACCATATTTGTAAAATCTTAATTTTTCATTGAGTCCACATAATGAATACCCATCTGTGAATTGTTGTGAAATTTTGCTCAAAGCTGACGTTTTTCAGGTAAGTATGGTTTCAATTTTTCATACAATTGATTTGTTAATTCCAAGTCATCAAACATTACTCGTTGATTATTCCGAACGTTCTTTAACATTTTAAAACTATTTTTTGCAACTGTCACTGGAGCTTCCTTATAGCCTTTCTGTTCACTTCGTTCAATCAAATTTTGACATTCTTGCGGAGCAAATAGATCTCCATCAATGATCCATATATTTCCTGGATCAAGTTCAGTACATTTTACCGAATTGGAATACCATCTCACATGAGAGATTTCAAAATGATTTCTAATGATTTTGTTCAATAATGATGAATTTCTTCGTGACGAGATGTATTTGAACATTTTTTTTAAAACAACTGAGGAAGTTGGAACTTGGGCGAACAACACACAGGAACGATTTTCGTGAAATATTGAAAATGTATCATTCTCAGCACTACCCATTCATTTCGTTGATCATATTATCCTTCTCTTTCTGCACTGCTCAATCCTGTGCACAGAGTAAGCTTTGCATTGTCTGGCTTCTTTTTTAGGCAATTAGGTATTACCTTAACGCCATAGAAGGTATTATCTTAATACCAAGAATGAGTTTAAAACCACTCACCCCAAGCACACAATTATTTTCACATCAACAAAAACCAACACAACACCATCCTCAGAGTTTTTAATGAACATGTCTTCCTTCCGCACAGTAGCACACACTTCTCAATCCATTCATTCTCCAATTTTTGAAGAACCTTTAACCACATTGACTTCACCTTCTTCATTGCCTAAATCCTTCTCATGCCCAAATGTCTTGTTGGATGAAATGGCCTCAGCCACAACAGATCGATCCTTGTCATCCACATCAGGATTATCATGGTCATTATTTAATTTACTCGGAAGTGCAGTCAAGAAACGATCAAGCATGACGACTCCTCAATCCTCATCACTCCAAAAACCACACTGCTCGCCAAGCATCACGAATAATACATTGGATTCTACAAATCATGTGACTCATCTCCCAGAAGAAATTTTGCAATACATCTTGTACTTTTTCACACGAGAAGAATTACTGTGTAAAATCCAACTTGTCAACTCAACCTTCAAGCGATTGGCATTGAATAGAGAGTTGTGGTGGCATCATACTTTTGTGAGAAATCCACATTATGTGCATCAAAAACGAGGCTTTGCTATTGAGGAACCATTCGATGATCGAGCCAATGACAGCTCTCTCATGACATCAAGCAAATGTCAATGTTGTGAGGTTTATAATGATCACCATGATCATCATTCTCATCATGAACCATCCAATACCATCATGTATTCGAGTTCCCTCAAGAAGAGAATTCAACACATTTTCAAAGTCTCTACAGGTTGTGATGCCAATCCAGCTCATATTTACAAACATGAAAATATGGACAGCAAGACATCCACCTCTCCCTCTAATCACTCCTCCAAAGTTGGAGATTTTGCTGCACCTCAATTGACCTCAATGGAATACACAACCTTAGATTGTATTCATTACTTTATGGAAGAAAAGTTAACCTCGACGAGCATTTCATCGACTCCAATTCCATCTTCAAACGCTCCAATCATTGTTGCAAAGAAATATCCACACATTATTTCTGAAGATGTGAAATTGACTCAATCCTTGAATGGAATGATTTTGGGAGATACCCAGTCGGATATTGCTGCTTCGATTAGTGAGTATTTATTTGGAGAAGTGGCCATGAATGCCTTTGGAGGGGCTGACAATTCCATGATTCATCGAATTTTCCCAAGATATCGACATACCATGACATGCATTCCTTCCAACAGTGCCACGCCAAATGTCATGATTATTGGAGGTATTTTGACACCTCGTCAGTTACATGCTGAAAATCCACACCAGCAAGGAATTTACACCATGAATGCCTTGTTTGTTCCTAATCAATGGGCATTTGATGTGCCTCGAGATCATGAAGTTACTTGTGTGAAATCATATCCAAATTCATCGATGAATGATTCTGAACCTATTCATGTCGATTTACCTCAAATGTTTGGAAAGCATTCTGCCGTGTATGCTCCATCTGTACGTTCTGTCATTGTCTTTGGAGGTTCCTATGAAGACTCAGTGACCAGCGACTTGTATCACGTCCAACTCACTGATGCTTACTTTTCATCCAGATTTTGTACCACTGCCAACACAAAAAGAGATACTTCTCAAGGTTCCTTCCGTCGCTTTTTATCACCTTCTCGAAGCGTACCCATGAATCTCAACACAAGTGACGTTCTGTTCCAATGGCAAAAAATTGTCAAACCCAATGGAATGGAGTGGCCATCCCCTCGAACCAATCACTGTGCAGTCATGCTCAATGATCGAACCATGATTGTCCTCGGAGGAGGTGTTGGAAATAACATGACACCTACGAATGAAGTTTGGGCCTATGACGTTGTCACTCGAAATTGGAAGAACCTTACTCCTCTCATTGAAAATGCCAATCTCTTTACACCACGTTTAGGATTTGCGGCCACTCCTCTCAACTCTCATTCCATCCTATGTTTTGGAGGAGGTTATTGGGTTCAAAATTCTCCTCAAGACAAGTACTGGAGAGAATCCTATACTGATCTTTTCGTTTTGGATTTACATCATTTGAAATGGACAAAAATTGAGACACGTGGAGAAGCTCCCAATGCTGGAACATTCCCTGCCTTTTCTCCACAATTAATTGGAGTTCATTGGTATATTATTGGAGGAGGTATGATGTGGGATGTTTCCTCAAGTATTTATCAATTAAATACTGTGACATGGGTTTGGGAGCGAGTTGGAGAAAGTTTTGGAGCAGATTCAAGTTGTTTGGTGAATTTATCCATGTATACTCAAGGTAAAAACAAAGTGAGTACCAAGTTGGTGCACTGTGGTGGCTATCGTTATGAACCCTTATTGGATGCGAAAGTGTTTTCAGTGAATTGGAAGGATCAAATGGATGCTAAAAGAAAGGAATCGACTCGGAAATGTGTCATAAGTAAGGCATCCTCTCGTTGATCAAGAGTATGTTCATTTCAAATTGGGTTATGAGAAAGGAAGTTGTACAAGTTGAAATTCCGTCCGTGTTCCATTCTGAAAGATAAACATTGGTTGTTGTTATTGTTACAATTTAATTGAGCTGCACCCAAATTGAAAATTGACACGAGAAAAAAAAAAGATTTCGATGGTAATCCGCGTACCACCGCATTCCATCTCAACCATTGCCAACTGAAATGCCAAGTTCAACTGTTCTCAACAACAAACAAATGTATCCTCAGCTTCATATTCTCATCCTAAAATTTCTTCTTCTTTTGATCATGTTCTTCTCTTCCAATGATTTTCTTCGTTCATCATCATTTTCACATGTCCATGCACAACAACCAACAACAGTCCTTGTTCCAAAACAAAGTGCATATTCTCTCTACAACACTGTACAATTATGGACTCTTTAATCTTTCCTATACTTCAGACCAACCTCTCAATTATTATTGGCTCATGAATCACACAGGCCTTGTCATCCGACCAATTGGGAAAAGTCTCTCAATATGCTCAAACGAGCTTTGATGGAACTTTTCGAATCACTCCATTAGCAAAATCACCCAATGACCGATTTCGAATTGTCTTGAATAATGTGTACAATGAAGATGTGAAAACTGTCATCTATCGATTTTCCGATGTCGTGTTTCAGTCGTATGAACGAACGTTGCCATTATTTATGCCATCGCAGAGTATCGAACGATTGCACTGTTCGAATGGTGATGGCAAATGCGCGAATGTGAAATCAAAGGAATTTTATGTGAGCATTGGTCCGAGTGGAAGTTCGAATTCCTCTGTTGTGTATTATCCCATGAAGATTCAGTTTCGATATTCGTTTAATGACGAGTTGTCAGATTCGAATTTTGTTCAAAATGAAGAGATTGAGTTGAGTAGTGAGAAGGTAACTACTTTGAAAACGTTTACCATTCCACAGTATGCTCTGGATCGAGCACCGTCATCTGGTTTGGCATTGTATATGTCTGTCAAATGTCTGAATCCATCAGGAACTGTTTGTAATTTGGCATTTTCTTTGAGTAGTAACAGTGGGAAGAGTGAAACTGACATTCCGCGATTGTAGGAGGTTCCATTGGTATCACAGTAGGTGTAAGTCTTATAGTCACGTCAGTTGTCACTTTGAGTGTGGTCGCTTGTTGCATCAAGAAACGAAAAGCAGCTAAAAAAGCCAAGTTACAAAAAAACGAAGCAGAGATGAAAGCCATGGATTCTAACCCTATTCAAATTATTGTCGATGGTAAGGACGAGTGTTCTCACACTTACAGTCCTCTCTTAAATTCTGTCACTCATCAAACTTCGTCCTCCACACTCTCTCATCAAACCAACACTGAATCCAACATGTCAGTTCAATCCCTCATTGAAACCTATCGAACCATGTCCAGTTCCACTTCAAACTTGTACTCAACCAACAACCAAAACACAATCGGTTTATTAAGCGGAGGAGGAGGATCACAACAATCTCAGAAATGAGTTACTCCAATTCTGGACTCTTAAAAGAACGATACAAAGTTGTTGAAAAGATTGGAAATGGAGCTTTTGGAGATTGTTATCTATGTCATGATACGAAAAAACAAGATTCAAAAGTGGCTATCAAGTCCATTAAATTTGCAGGAAGCGACACGGAAAAGATTATTTCCGAATGTTCAAGAACAGCCACTATTCAACACGAACGATTGGTTCAAGTTCATGAATTATTCATTTCCAAAGAATTACAATCATTTTGTATGGTTATGAAATTCTATGAAGGAGATTTGGAAAAGACCTTGTACAAGTATCAACAACCACTCTCAGAGAAAATGTTTTTACAGTTAATGAAACAATTGGGAGAAGGTTTAGATTATTTACATTCTGTGAAACAATTAGTTCATAGAGATATCAAACCAAGAAATGTGTTTGTGGAGGTTTTTGATCCTCTTCATGATTTAATTTCAGTAGTGGTTGGAGATTTGGGAGAAGCTAAAGAGTTATTGTCAACAACAAATAATTCAATTCGTGGAACATTGAGTTACATGTCACCTGAAGTCATTGCTCATGAAAAGTATGGTTTTCCATCAGATATTTTCTCGTTAGGTGTTTCCTTGTATCAAATTATGACACGAGATCCATTAGAAACGAGAATTTCAATCAAATTATTGAGTGAATCTGAAGACAAGGTGTTGGAGGAAGTGAAAAACAAAATGATTACGAGTAGTCAACAATATGAAATGTTTTATGATTCGAGGTTGATTGAATTTATTTGTCAAATGTTGAGAAAGAATCCACAGGATCGACCAACAGCGAAACAAATTAAGGAATTTGAATTATAGTTCTGCATGAAATTGTGCTTTAATACCATACCACGATATGAGCTAATATAATGATTGTGGCATTTCAACTAAATTATCTTTGAAATTATTGGTTTGGATTTTACCTTGAATTTGAATTGTCCTTCTTTGTATCACCTTAAAAAAATATAACAACAATTTTCGAACCATGTCGTTTAAAATTTCTATCGGAGCCTGTGTTGTAAATACTGCGATATAAATCAGCACAAAATGATGATTATTGTTGAACAGGACAAGAGGATTGAATCAAGTTTGCCAGAGAATGCAATGTTCGTTTTTTGAAAAAGGTTGCCAGGTCCAACAATACTCCAAATTCATCACTAATGAGACTCCTGACTTGAGCCATCAAGATGGAATTTCCTCCGATAGCAAAAAAGTTATCATGGGCACTAATAGTTTCTGCTTTGGTCTTCAATACTTTTGCCCAAATTTCTCTCAACTTGATTTCAGCTTGAGTTTCTGGTGGTTCAAACTTGGTCAGAGAGTCAATATTGTTGTCATCATCAATGATTGGAAGTCCTTTCCGATCGAGTTTTCCATTACTTGTGATGGGAATGTATTGAATGCACTTGATTTTAGATGGTATCATGTAGTAAGGCAAATGCTTTTCCAAATATTCAAGCAAATCGCGTATCACTGTGGAACGATCTCGTTGCTCGCCTTCCTTACAAAGAATATAACCTAATAATTGCTTATTTTGACTAAAGTTCGGATCCTCATTCAAGATCACTACGGCTTCATGAATCATTCCACTTTGTCTCATGACATTCTCAATTTCTCCTAATTCGACTCGGAAACCTCGAATTTTGATTTGATGATCCATTCGAGACAAGTACACAAGATTTCCATCAGGTAAGAAACGAACCAAATCACCAGTCTTGAAGAGCTTTAAATTCATGCCATTCATCCTCTCCTCTTCAGTAGCGAATGGATTCTCAATGAAACTTTTCGCTGTGAGTTCAGTATTTCTCCAATAACCTCGTCCCACACCATGACCACCAACATAGAGCTCTCCTGGTACACCAATGGGAACAGGTTGCATGCTCGAATCGAGAACGTACAACTGCACTCCAGGTAATGCACGACCAATGGGTACAACCTTTCCTTTGAAGTTTCGAGGGATTTTAAACAGGGACCAATCAATGCATGTTTCTGTTCCTCCACACACGTTCAATACTGTGGCATTAGGGCACTTGTTTTGAATTTCTTGTACAGAACGTGGATCAACTGGTTCATTTCCAATCGTGATAATTCTCAGAGAATCCATCGAGTGAGGTTTCTTGTCCACATAGCATGACAGCCCATGCCACAAACTTGGTGTAATTCCGAAAAGAGTGGCTTTTGAGGAATAGATCAAATCCACTAAATCTTCCAGTTGATACTGAATATTGGGCTTTGCAATCACCACTGTTGCTCCTGTTACCAAAGGAAGAAACAGTTCTTCCAAAGAGACATCAAAACTATAAGAACTGTAGTGAATGAACTTATCAGTTGACTGCATTTCATAGAGTTGTACGAGACCTGTCAACGTATTGACGACATTGCGATGAGTGAGCATGGCACCCTTTGGCTTACCAGTGGAACCAGAGGTGTAAATAAGGTAAGCAAGATCATCTGGGTTCACATTGGACTCGACATTTTCCAAAGAAAGATCGTCACTCAACTTGTCAACAAATACCCTATTTCCTTGGTAGGAACTAAACTTTTCATTCAAGCATGAATGAGTAAGCAAGATGCCTGCTTGAGAATCCATAAGCATGTATTGTAAACGTTCTTCTGGATACGTAGGATCCAGAGGTAAGTAAGCATGTCCTGATTTAAGGATGGCTAAAAGACCAACAAGAAGCTCGAAGCTCCTTTCCATACTGATGGCAATGAATGGATTATTGCCGCCGTTGTTACTTAAGGAGATTTCTCGCAATCTCAAAGCCAATTGATTGGCCTTTGCATTAAGAACCTCATACGTGCACGTTTGATCTCCAAAAAGGAGGGCAATGTTATTGGGAGTTTTTCGCGCTTGCTCTTCTACTAATTGATGCAACAATTTGTTAGGAGGACTTATTCTTTCATTCCAAACCTCCAAGAGCTGATGACGTTCTGCTTCACCAACCAGTGGCAATTCTTTAATAGGGCGTTGTGGTTCCTTAATGGCCGACTGCAACAACACCACAAAATTGGTGGCCATTCGTTCGATGGTACTTGCATTGAACAGATCGGTACGATATTCGAAAGAACAAGCCAGAGCACCATCCATCATTTCTTGCACTTCAAGTGTTAAATGAAACATGGAAGTTCCATTATCGATGAACACTGGTTCCATACACAGCTCATCCAAACGAACTTCTCTGAGAGGACTATGCATAGCCAACATTACTTGGAATAGAGGATTTTCATTCGAGTCACGTGGAACTTTAAGGCGGTCCACCACTTGTTGGAATGGAACCTCTTGATTCTCAAAAGCAGAAAGAACTGTTTGCTTTGCTCGTGCCAGCAAACCGATAAAACCAGCATTGGGGTCTACTTGATTTCTCAACACGAGTGTGTTCACCATTAAACCAACCATGGATTCTAGCTCGACATGTTGTTGTCGATTCACTACTGGAGAACCCACGACAAGGTCGGTCTCGTCACAGTAGCGGAATAGAAGGACATTGAAGAGAGCCAATAACCCCATGAAGAGAGTGGCATGTTGCGATTGTGTCAGAATTTTCAATTCTGTCAACATGGGAGCATCAATTTTGAATCGATAATGTGCACCTTCAAAACATCCACCCGACAACACATTGGCCTGCTCTGCTGGTAATTTAAGGGTGTTTGGTAAATCTTTGAGTTGATGTTCCCAGTAAGCTAACTGTTTCTCCAGCTTGTCTTCTCGTTGTAAATTTTCGTGTTGCCAAATGGTATATTCTGGATATTGCAGTATACGATCTGCCAAAAGAGGTTGCTGTTGATGATGCTTGTATGCATTGTAGCAACGCGTGAAATCTTCGATAAGTAGAGACATGGACCATCCATCGATGATAATATGATGGAATGTCAATGCAAGAATGTGTTCCTCTTTAGACATTTGGATCAAGCATCCACGAACCAAAGGTGCTTCTTGTAAGGTGAATGGCTTCTTCACCTCTGCTAACAAGATTCGATTCGCTTCTTCTTCTCGACTTGTCTCTTCCATAAAATGCTGAAGATTATATTCTCTCAATGTGAAATTACTCTTTTCGTGAACGAATTGATAAGGTGAGGAATCATACTCTGGAAAACAAGAACGTAAACTTTCGTGGCGGTCCATGATGGTCATCAAAGAGCGAGTGAGTGCTTGCATGTCGAGCTTTCCTTTCATACGAACTGCAGAAAACACATTATGAATGGCAGCATCGGCAATCAAGTGATGTAAAAACCAAAATCTCTGTTGAGAATAGGAGAGTGGAATAGTAATTGGTCTTTCCTTGGCCATAGCAATGATTGAGGAGGTTTCTATGCTCTCCTTCTCTTCTTGTTCAATTACTTTTGCCATGGCTTGCAAGGTGGGTGATGTCAGCAATTTTGATAAGCTCAAATTCACGTGAAATTGTTGCTGAATTCGAGTTTGAAGTTGGATGAGCTGAATAGAACTGCCTCCTTGGAGCAGGAAATGACTATTCAAGTAAGGCTCCGTTCCTGTATTTAGGACATCCTTCCAGACTTTGGCAAGTTGTATTTCTGTTGGTGTGTGAGGTAATTGAGCGGCCGTGTCCTCTTCTGTCTCCGATTGCCTATCCCAACGATGAACAATATGTTTTGTGTTCAGTTTGTTATTGAGGAAAGCACCTTTTGTTGGTTGACGTCTGACTTTTCCACTTGTTGTTTTTTGCAAACCGTGTGGTTTCATGAGAATGATGCAAGCGAGAGCGCAATATAAGGAAACACCCAAATTCTCAACAATGGCTTTCCTCATTGCATGAATGATGTTATCAAACTCTGTTGACTCTGTTGCTTTGGTTTCTGCCACAACGACAAAGTTCTCGTTTCCGTTCACTTCTATTGAGAAACTCACCACACATCCACGTCGTACTTTTTCATGACTCTCTGACACTACAAATTCAATATCTTGCGGATAATAGTTGAGACCATTAATAATGATCAAATCCTTTCGGCGACCAGTAATGAACAGCTGTCCATTCTTTACAAATCCTAAATCTCCAGTTTTCAGAAATGAATTTTCAGTAATATCAATTCCATTGAGACGAGCATGAAAGATCTCTTGGGTAATCTCTGGTTTTTTCCAATAACCCTTTGCAACACTTGGGCTTTTTAACCAAATTTCACCTTCTTGGTCATCACTGGTTAATTCAGTGCCACTTTCAGGGTCGACAATTTTCAGAATTTGTCCAAAAGCAGTACCATCACTCTTGCCACAATTTACAAATTTTTGTGAAAGCTTTTTCCTTTCATCATCAGACGATGAAGAGTGTTGTTGACTTTTCGAAAGAGTTGTTGCCATCTGTTGACGTGTCACACAATCGAACCCTTTTCCTTTTTCCACTCCTGAAACAAACAGAGTGCTCTCAGCCAAACCATAACATGGATAAAACGATTCCTTCTTGAATCCGTACTCTCTGAAGACTTGATAAAATCGTTCGAGAGTTTCCTCACGAATAGGTTCTGCACCTACAAAAGCTACATCCCAACTACTCAAATTTACAGAAGCCAACAACTGTCGACTATTCTCATCCATTAATAGGTGATCCTTGTTTTCAAGGAAATATTTTACACAGAGTTGATATGCAAAGTTTGGTCCTCCGCATGTTGTTGCGCTATATTGACTGACTGCCAATAACCAACGCAAAGGACATTCAATGAACGCAAATGGTGACATCAATGTACAAGAAAATTGAGCGTAAATGACTTGCAGTAAACCACCAATGAGGCCCATGTCGTGGTAAGGAGGGAGCCATATCATTCCATGACTCTTGTTGGTGTGTCCAAAAGATTTTTCAATAACATGCGAATTATGAAGAAGATTGCCATGAGTAAGCATGACGCCTTTGGGGTCGCTTGTCGAACCAGACGTGTATTGAAGAAAAGCCAAACTCTCTGTTGAAAGATTTTCTGGTTGCTTCCAGAAAGCCATGAGGTTGTTGCTTTCTGAGAACTTTAAGGCATCGGTCACCAATACGTTGAAACCTTCAAAGGCTTCATGACAAATTTCTAACTGTTGCTGAAGCGCCATGTCCATTTCCTTTTTGGTCGGACAACTCGAGTTTTGTGATGTCGATGTGGACGATGATGAAGACTTTTTAAAGTACTTGTTGATACCTTGTTGTTCGAAATGATCATGCACTTGCTTTGATAAAAGAAAAAGATTCGGTTGCGAATCTGAAAGGATCTTCTCCAGTTTTCCAAATTCCTCCATTCGTTTGGGGGGATAGACAGGAACCGCCAGCACTCCAGCGTAAATGCATGCCATGAAAGATGTGATAAACCCTAATCCTGGTTCATAGATTAAAAGGGCTCGATCTCCTACGTTTGATTGTGTTTGAATGAGAGCAGCGAGTGATTTGACATGAATGTGAAATTGTTTGTACGAGATTTCATGAATGCGGCTTGGAATCAAGTCCTTTCCTTGTGAGAAGTCCAAGAAGCGATACAGAAGATTATCACCACATGAAAGGGCAGCATTTTCCAACATTGCCACCAGATTTGAGTGTGCTGAAGAGGTGGTATTAGAGTCATTTGCTACGTTGAAAGACATGCTTCTTGTTATTGTTTTGTATTGAAATTTAAATATCTCCCTCGTTAGCGAATTGACCACTGTTAGCACAGCTATTGAAATCAAGTCGAACTAAACGGTTCTACTATGTGCACTAGTGATCAAAATTCCGCTTTCTAGAGTTTGAAAATGAAATTTGACGGCTTTCCAGTAACAGTGTTGATTGTCGGAGGAGGCGCGACAGATTTTAAATTTGTGTTGGCAATGTTCAACATTGTTCGAAAAACTATGCAGAGTAGATCCACTTCAAACAAGTAAACCTCAATTTTTAACCCTTCCAGTTAGAAATCACCGAGATCTACTCCAAATTTTAAATAGATATCTTGCTTCGAATGAACTAACGTATTTCACACACTCATCTGTCCACGTTTTGACACTGGTCAAATGGTCATAAAATTTTGTTATGCTTGCTTTTATCAATGATGTTTATAGAAGTTTAAGCTCAAAATTGAATTCACATTTGCTTGGGAACTTGAAGCAAAAAATGAGTACATCTTCGACTGCTGCTCACAAACAACGCGACTATTACGAAGTTTTGGGACTTACCAAAGAAGCCACGAAAGAAGAAATCCGAAAAGCCTACCGAAAACAAGCATTAATATGGCATCCCGATAGAAATATTGATAATGTGGAGGAGGCTACTCATCGCTTCAAAGAAATTCAAGACGCCTATGAAATTTTATTTGATGATCAGGAACGTGCGTGGTATGATGAGAATAAACATATTATTCTGAGTCGCGGAATGGCTGCAGCTCGATATGGAGGCGATGATGAAATGAAGGAACCCGAACAACAAAATTTGTGGAGTTTTCTATCATCATCAAGCTATACTACTTTTAAGAGCAAAGATAAGAACAACTTTTTCGAGATTTATCAACGAGTATTTGATACCATTTTGAAAGAAGATGAGGAATATAAATCAGCTAAAGCTCCTTCAGCATCTAATTTGAAGAGTCCTTCATTCGGAGATGAAAATACACCATACGAACAAGTGGCCAAGTTTTATACATTTTGGTCAACGTATAATTCAAAACGATCGTTTGCTTGGAAAGACAAATGGAGGTGGGTGTCATATTTCATGAAATTTTCAACATTTATTGTCACTTTATTAATTTTCTAAATATTTTCTCTTTGTTCTTTTTGTATTATAATAATTTATTAATAATTTTCCAATAATTATTATTTTTAACTATTAAATAATATTATTATCTGATGTCACACAAAAGATTATCAGAAGCTGAGAATAGATTTGTGAAGAGACAAATGGAAAAAGAGAATGAAACGGAAAGAAACAAGGCACGAAAAGAGTATAACGACCTTGTTAAACACTTGCTCAAGAAGGTTAAGGCAGATGACCCTCGAGTAAAAGAGGAAATGAAGAGAAGGAAAAAGATTCAGGATGAACTTGATAAAAAGAAGGAAGAATCTAAATTGCTTCAGGAACAATTGAAAAAAGAATATCTGCAAGAGAAGGAACGATTACGTCAACAATTATTGAGTGGCGAAATTTCTGATGACGACGTGCTTAATGAAGAATTTTCTGATGAGGAAGAATTCAATCAAATACATGATGCACTCGATGAAGCAGAGGATGTCTTTGACAACTTTTATGCCACTAGCAGCAGCAAAAAAGCAGGAAAGAAAATGAAAGGTGCTAATATTCATGATGAGGACGAGCAAGAGCCAGTTGTGACAGAGACGACACAAGAAAACGAAAATCTTCCTGAAGTTGAAGAAAAGAAAACGGAATATTCTGCAGAGGATACTTCACAACAACAACCAGAGGACGAAGAAGAAGAAAATGCAAAGAAAAAAAAGAAGGAGAAGAAAAAGAAGAAGCTCCAGAAAGGCGTTGTTTATTTAGATCGTGAGCAAATAGAAATGCTTCGAGAAAGCATGGAACAAGCCAAAACATCCTCAAAAAGCAAAAAATCAAAAAGTAAGAAAAAGAATATTGACGACGAAGAAGAGGAAGAAGAAAAACCAATCAAACAAAAAGGTACCAAGAAGCAACCAATCATTGAAAATATACAGCCAACAAACAATGCCACATCAAAATCCAAACAACAGAAACAACAGGGTGTTTCATCCTCGCTAGCGTCTCAGCAAACTACATCCTCGTCATCACCCCAAACTCTTCCTCAATCAAGCACTGAATCCTCTGATAGCGTTGATGTTGATACTAAGAATACCAAGCTAGCCTCAGAGGAGAATGAAATTGAGGAAGAAGCAGCGTTCGCCGAACGACACAACACCGACAGGAGAAGCTTCATCATCAACCACAACAGATACCACTGAAAATAAGAAAAAGAAACGACGAAATAAGGACAAAAAGAAAGAGAAGGAACCCTCATTGAGTTGTAATGTTTGTGGAGAATCATTTCCAACAAGAAATGCTCTTTTCACACATATCAAAAAAGAAGGTCATGCCTTACACAAGTAAACAACCTGAATCATTTCAGGAACAATGAACTCGAATGAAAAAAATGGGACAACAAGCATCTGCAACAGATCACAGTTTGGATGAATCGTTGGCGTCATATGCTCCAAGTTGCTTTCCCGATGAGGTTTGTCTTCAGATCATGTCCTTTCTGGAATTGGATACCATACATCATTGTTTTTTAGTTTCCAAACAATGGAGTTGGATTGCACGAGAGATTCCTATATCTCCGAATTTGAAAAGATTGGGCAATTTGGAACGACGATTGAAATTAATGTCTAAATGTCATTGTATGAATATTACCTCATTGGATTTATCGCAACAATTCATAGGAACATCCAGCACTAGAGCACTTCAGAACATTGTACGGAGTGAATACGCATCACGATTGAAAGAATTAAATTTAAACGACAACTACAGGAAGGTGGGCGATGAGGCTTTTCAACGGATTGCCAAATCGACTGCATTACAGAATTTAGAAATTTTAAGTGCCAATGGTTGTAATATTACAGATAGTGGAGTTATTGCATTGAGTCAGAGTGCAACCCTTTCAAAACTCAGAGAATTACGTTTAATGGGAAATCAAATCAGCGAATATGGCGTGAGGTCTCTTTCAACAAGCAAGTCGATGAGCAATTTACAAGTGTTGGATCTTAGCCACTCATGGATTGGGCCAAAGGGTGCAGAATATCTTGCGCAGGGAAATGCAAAATTCACAGAATTACACTTATTGTTTGGACATATTGAAGACAGAGGCGCAATGGCGATTGCTCAAAGTCCTCAGATGTGTAACTTGACAATTTTGAATTTGGATGCCAATTCTATTGAAAATGCTGGAGCGTTGGCATTGGCTGGAAGTGAATTTTGACAAAATTGACCTTTTTAAATCTTTCTGGAAACAATCTTGGATCATCTTCTGCAATGCTTATTGCCTCAACATGAAGAATTTGACATATTTAAGTTTGGATCACACTAATATTCAAGAACGAGGAGCTATTTGCATTGTGTCAAGTCCAAATATGAGCCGTTTGACCTTTCTATCCTTGAGAAATAACTCTCTTGGAGGAGACTTTGCCTCAATACTAGCCTCAAGTAGCTATTTATCGAAATTGCAAGAATTGAAGCTATATAGCAACAATGTTGGTGATTCAGGAGCAACAAGAATTGCCAACAGTGAATATTTGAAAAATCTTACCAAATTAGATCTCGAGTTCAATCAAATAACTGATGAAGGTGCAATAAGTATTGCCTCAAGTCAATATTTATCAAATCTTTTGGAACTGCATTTATCTCATAATGATTTTTCAGATAGAGGTGAAGATGCATTGAAACATAGCAAATATTTGACCAATACCAATGTTCAAACGTCAAGCGTTAGAACTCTCTCTCATACACCCATTCAGCTTGCCTAACACTCAGGATGTGTCTCAGAATTATTCTAAAGAATTTCGACATTACCTCTTAAGGAATCTTTAATTTTTCCTAAATTCAGAAAAGACCCAATTGGTTTTGAAAAAAATTAATGGACCTTTATTCATACTTCATCATTAGATAATGGAACACCAATGACGATCCGAGGATGAAGTGGTTGTTGACGTTTCCTCAATTGGTTCTGCAGCATGTTCAAAGCCAACAAACACACGCGCTACATTTCTCTCACATACCAACAACTCTCCTGTGAGTTCATTCACACACATACCTGCCACATGCTCTCGTGAGCTTCCTCCTTCAAAAAACGAAACTATTTGCAACGACTTGTCGTGTATGACATGAACGGCTAATCCATCATAGTAACTGTTGTAAAATCCAGCAACAAGAATGTTATTCATTGAGACACGATCGTAACAACATCTCCTTGCGTAATAGGAAGAATTGGGTGAGAGGTAGATTTTTCGAGTATCTTGTTCATAGTCGCAAGGGGATCCTTCGAACTTGCGTTGAAAGAACACTACTTGTCCATAATTGGCACATGCAATGATTTCACGAGTGTGGACATTTAGGCAAGTTCATACAGTTGTATCTTATGAGAACAGAGAAACAGCGAAGGATGATGTGAAATGTCTCCAGAATGTTGGTCAAGTACTCTCCAGTTTTAGAATTGAAAATTTGAATCATGGACTGATCACGCACGACATAGAGATGAGAATCAAACGCGAGCATACTTCCAACGATGTATCGCCAACATCCACTGTCCAAACACTCTGATATGTTCCTTGCTCGTTCTCGACCAGTTGTTTCAAATGGAATTTTGAGAGTTGTTGTTGGTGTGAATTTCCCTCTAGAAAGGAATGTGAAAAAATCAAAGCGTCGCTGACATGATAAGAATGTTCAAGAAATGGTCGATCTTCCACACATAAAAATTGAGGACCATTGTGATAGGGACCTATGGCTTTGAGAAAGAGACTTGTGGTTAAATCAAACACTTTGATCATTGAAAAATTGGAACCCAAAAAACATAAATCGCTCACTAAAATGTATCGATTCGAGTAGGAAATCTTGACGTCACGTATGCTCTGAAAACTGTGTTTTTCGGAATTAATTTTCAAAGTATCAACAGCATGACAATTGAAAGGAACGAAGGGTTTTGCCGTGCACTCTCTCCTTGTTTCCAACAATTTCATTTTCAATCTTGTCATTAAATCATCCATGTGTGTGTTGGTTGAATGGGAACATGTTGTTTCATCATCATTCATGATGTTACAATGTGGTGTGAGAAGGGAAGAAATTAATGTCAACCTCACTTGAGACATTTTTTTTAAGTGTGACATTCTGTACGGGAGCTCGAACAAACATGTCGGAACATGACGTCAACAATAACAAGATCTAACACTACGTCATCGTTAACCATTCAAGATTCGAATTTACAAATCCTAATACTTGTATTTGTAATTTAAATTTTTGGGTGTGACATGAGAAATATCCATGGAAATGCCACATGCCTTACATTGTGAAATCATTGTTTTTGATCCAACCATTCGAACCACATTCTCAAAATGATCGCAATGAAGTTGTTTTCTTAAATTTTGGTCAAGATTATTGACATGGCTTTTGTGAATATCCTCTTTTCGATCTTCATCATGCTTGGTCTCGTTGAGCATGTGAAAATTTTTGCTATAATCTCTACTCCCTTCATTTGTGGCTACTTGTTGGTATCTCATTCGAATTTTCATGTTGAAAAGTTGTATTTGATTTCTTCGTTTCAAGAGTGAGAGAAATAACTTGACGAAAATTGTAAATTCATGCACATGTTCAGGAGTGTAATTTTTTTCCTTGGAAGGTAACAGTTGTTGTTGAGAAGAGTGTTTCTGTTGTTCACTACGTTTGTCGTCCGAATAGATTTTCACAAATTCTCTTAATTCCTTAAAATGGCATTGAGGATCCTCTCGATGCAACAAGTCCATCATGGATTCCCTTCGAACAAACTTTTGAAACCATACTCGTGTGTCATGTTCTTCCTCTCCATTGAGAATGGTTTTAAATTCATACATCAATACGTGATGACCCATGGCTCGTGAATAAATCATTTCACATCTCAACTTGTCGATTCGAGCACACAACGGATATAAATATTTAAACTCTATAAATGTCAATACATGAAACCAAATCACAGGATCGTAGGCAATTCTTGAAAATTCTTCACGAAAGAGTGATTTCTTTTTAGATTTTTGTTTTGAACGTTGATGCTTTCTTGAAGAAATGATCTCAGATTCATTCACCTCATCCTCCAACAACAAGGCAAATTGTGACATTTTTTTTACGTGTTGAGACAATTCCCAAAAGTTATCAGCTCTTTGAATATTTCTTTTCGAAATGAAAGCTTCAAAGAATGCTTTAAGTAGGGTTACAACACCTGTGCGAACATGTGGAACAAGTAGAAAGTTAGCGAGTAATCATTTCTCTGTGAACTGTATTTGCACTGGCGCGTCACAAGTGAAAAATGTTGATTGTTTGAGTGTGGTGAGCGGAAACAAATCAAACAAACAACAACCAAAAGTATTGGACCACTTTTTTAGTGAGACTAAGCTTTTCGAAGTGGTTTGATATTGTTATGTGGTCTCACTGTATAGCCATGGCAAATCTTCATTATTTTGAAAAGAATCAAAAAATGGTATTATGCTACAATAAGTACATGCGATCTTGACAATTCTTTTGGTTCCATCTTTGTATCCTCTCGTGCATGTTGTGCGATTAACGATGAATGAAGAAAGATGGAGCTCTTTCTTCTTGTTCAACACATCTTAAATGATGTCCATCCAGCCCTGAATTTTCGAAATTGAAAAGAATTTCTTTTCCTTCCACAATTCCAAAATTTTCACAACCTTTTCTCGTTGTTCTTTGTCAGTGGAGGAGTCTAAGGTGGACTGCAAAATCCCAAGCATACGGTCTTGGAGGAAATTCTGATATTTTGGTCCGTACTTTTGATTGAAGAGAATGTCATTGAACACATAAAGACAAGCTAGCTTTTTGGAGAAAGAAGAGGTTTTTTGGCCACTGTTGAGAAGATATTCTTCATAAATAGTTCAGTGATATCCTCTGCATTGTTTTGATAGTCCAAACAAAATCCCATCACGTTCATTATGGTATTGCGTCTAGTATCCAAATCAGACACCATTTTTACAAAATCAGACTTGGTATTTTCGTCGAAATGCTTTTGAACTGCATTGGTGGTTAGTTGGGACGTTGTGACACCAGAGAAACAACTTACATCTTTTTTGAAGATCATCAATTTCTTCGTTTGAGCACCATTGAATTTGAATATTCTGAGACTGGCCACAAATTTTCTTTTTCTGAAGAGCATGCATGGCGCATTCAGCATCGTAGGTCTTTCTAAATTCTAAAAAACAAGTGACAGAATCGGCACCACTGGATGGTTCAATATAACAATTATTAATTCGTCCAAACTTTGAAAATTCTTTCTTTAAATTTGGTTCTGAAATTCCAATACTCAAATTAGTAATTTTCAAATAACCTGTTGTATCGCTATTTCTTTTTGTCTTTTTTGGTGTTGTTTGATTTGACAATTCGTCTAAAAATTCGTCAATATTTGCTTTTCTCTTCTTATCCGATAACAATTCATCAGTCTCTTGCTTGTTTTTCTTCTCCTCTTCCTTCGCCAAAGAAACATCCTCATATACAAATTGAGGTTTATACACGGACTTTAATGATTCCGAAGAGATTTTGTTCGTTGTTTCCACCCGACTCCAATTTGAGTAACACCACTCTTTATAAACTTTGGAGCCGCATTTAAATATTTGGATAAAGTTGATGAACATGCTTTTTTGTCCTCTTCCGAGCTTGCCCGATCCAACTCATCCACTAATGTTTTCAACAACACTCGATCTTCGTCTTTAGGTTTGGGCATTTTTTTTGAATCAAAAAAAATATTTTTCATCATCATGCTTCATCATCAGTTGCGGAAAGGCTTGCTTAAATGCTCGTCCAGTAAACATAATATTAAAACCTCATGTTCAGTGGGTGGATTATGTTCGGCATTATCAGCTAATATTATGATGAAGATGGAACAGAGTTTATCATCTACCCGATCCTTCTCTCGTTCTTGTTTCTTCCGAAATGAAACAAATCATCAAGGAGAGGATTCTAACAACATTTCAGAAGCAAAACCCATGTTTACTCAACGTCCTAAAAAGAAATATGTGAACAAGATTATTAACAAGCCGCTGGATGAACCTTTGAAATTGTGGTTCAATCAAGATAAGTGGAGCACTGATGAAAATAAGAGAATTGAATACATTGCTCGATTGCTTATGAAATTCCAATATAGAAGTTATAAAGAATTTCTCGAGTTGAACCCAAAACAAAAATCAGCATTGGAACAAATGGAGGAAAGAGCAATGTGTGATGACAAACATATTCAAGAAATGCTGGAAAAAGAGAAGAAGTTGAGCGGAAGTGAGTTTAAAGCACAATTGGAAGAATCAGGAGAAGAGGAGCCAGTATTAAAATTTAACGACGAAGCACTTTCAAAGATTAACAGAGATGAAGTCACTCCAATGGCCGCCTACAAGTCATTGAAAAGCAGAAAATTAGCAAACAGAACAATTCTCTCATTTCCAACAAATATCATTCCAAAGAGTGAGAAGGAAGCTCAATATGCTCAATTGAGATTGATTGACCTTTTAGAAAAGGAGAGAGGATGGAAGCTTGCTGGATGGAAGATTGGTGCAACACAACCAAAAGCACTTGCACGATTAAATATTAAGGAGCCATTCTTGGGACCAATATTTGAACATCAAATTTTGAGAAATCCACGAATTTACAACATGGAAGACGTGACCAACTTTAATCCAATGGTTGAAGTAGAATTTGCATTTTGCTTGTCAAAAGACTTGAAGGCTCGTGACACTCCCTACACCAAAGAAGAATTAATTGATGCATTGGAATATGTTACTGGTGTTTTTGAAGTGATTGGATCAAGAGTTGACAATGTGGAAAATCAAGGAGGTGTTCTCACAAGAATTGCCGATTTAGGAGGCCATATCAATTTGATTATTCCTGAAAAGCCATCAACCTTCAATGTGAAAGAGTCTGCTAAATTAGCATTTGAAAAAGTAGAATTATTGTTCAATAATGTCAGTCAGAAAAAGGCACAAGGTTCATTTGTGTGCAATGGTGAATACGATGCCAATGAAACCAAAGGACCACTCGATACCTGTCTTCAATGCGTCAACAGAATCACCAATGAATTCAAACGAGACGTTTTGGCAGGTCAAATCATTTCAAGTGGAACCATGACAGGTAAATCTCGAGAATTAGAGAAGGGAGATGTTGCACAAGCTACTTCAATAACCCACTCTTTGAACCAATAACATTTGTATGCAAATAATCAGGATTGCTGTATCACCAATTCTTTCCAATCAGTTAGTTCTATAAAGTGTCTTTAGTATATCCAATGATCAACCTTATATTCTCCAGATCATCACCACAATACCTCAACTAGTCAACTGATCACCAAATGTGGTCACTGACTGTCAGCAGTTCTCCTCATCGCAATTCAACCCGTCAACCACCTGTCACTTTTTCACCCAATTTAATCAGTTACAAAAAATAACCCAATACAAACTCCACAACAACAACAACAACAAATGGATATCAAAGTAGTGATAGTAGGCGACGGTGCCGTCGGTAAGACCAACTTTCTTCTCTCGTAGGTAATCAATGGTGTTGAATGAACGTTATTAACAGAATTCTCATCATATCGGATGTTTTGAAAATTGTAAAAAACTTTGAAATTATCGTTCTCTCTCTAGAGGAGTCAATCATATATTTCCAGAAGACTATAATCCAACAGTAGTTGATAACTTTTCAACTGAAACGACCTATAAAGATAAAACAGTGGGACTGACTTTGTGGGATACCGGTAAGTGTGTGGTTTGACAAGTGACAGTTGTTGTGTTGAATGAAAACATCCAATGTTGGTATATGGATGGAAACAATGAACAGCTGGTCAAGAAGACTTTGATGAGTTGAGACCTCTTTCCTATCCCGATACGTAAGTTGAAGAATTAACATAACAACTCACACTTGGAAACTAAAATTATTATTATATTTGGATGACAATCTTGTATGAACTTCTTTTCGTTCATTATCATCATCAATGATATTTTATATGGAAAAATTCAAAATAGACATGTATTTATTATTGGATTTGATGTGAGCAATTCGACAAGTTTGGAAAATATTGAAGCAAAATGGATAAAAGAAGGTAGGTTGATATAATATTTTGAAAACCAATTGATAATGATGATGATTCGGAAATTCTTGTATATGAATGGAAAATGTTCATGATCCACATGAATACATTTGTTATGTTACAATTCTCATGATAATAGTTCGTCATCATTGTCCCACTACACCTGTCATTCTTGTCGCTTTGAAATGTGACTTGCGAAATGATCCTCGAAAAGGTCATGAATGCATTACTGACGAACAAGCGAAAAAAGTTCAAGAACGAATTGGTGCTGTATGTTACAGAGAATGTTCTGCAAAACAACATAAGGGAATTGAGGAAATCTTTCAATTGTGTGCTCAAATTAAATTAGATCCAGAATCGTTGGGAATTAAATCTCCAAATTCGAATTCTGCAAATACGAATAAGCAAAATGAAAAGAAGGATGAAAGAAGAATAATAATGGAGGAGGTGGATGTTTGGTCATGTAATGACAGTCTACGCCTTGGAGGTCTTATCCTGAAACACACGAACTATACAGAGAGATCAAATGCTTGTACATAGATTACAACAACAAACTTGTAGTTTTATTAAATTTCACACACCACATGTGGTTACAATGTAAAATCTGAGGCCATTTGTTTTTCAAATTCTTCCAAAGTGGTGAATTTCAACAGCTTGTTGGAATAGAGTGTGGCAATTCCTTCCAATTTTGTAAGCTGCTCTTGGTCAATGTTTTCAATCTTTCGTGACAAATCTTGTATCCACTGTTCAGAGCTGGTATGACGGATTTGAACCGTGTCCGTCTTGAATGACAATTTGGAATTTGATTTCAGAGCTTTTTGATAAATGTCAACAAGAGACACAAAGATAAGAGCAGGTCTTACTAATTGGAACCATTCAGTGTTGTCTTGCTTCAAATTTCTGGTGGTTGTAATGAAACGTTTTAACACAACGTTCTTGTAGTAATTCCATTCTTCCAATGTCAAGAGATAGAGGGAAAGAATGGTGTTATAGCTGATATTCTCAACATCAAGATTTGTCTCAATATCTGTGTTTAAGAAGCTGGTCAGAATTGTTTCATACGATTCCCTATTCTTATTAAGGGTGTCTAGCAAATAGAGACCCATTTGAATCATGAATGGTATTAATTTCACTTGATGTGTTGCGCTACCACCACCTGCGTCTTTTGAAAAAGATTCTTCTTTGGCAAACTTGTTAAATAATATCATCAAATCATGAGAAAGTATGTCAAATTGGTCTCTTGAAATATTTTTCACAATTTTAACGTCAGACCAGAACTTTTTGACAGCAGTTGCATAATTACTTGCTGTTGTCTTTGGACCTTTGAATGGGAATAGAGCATTGCATTTGGTAAATGAGTTTCTAATCAAAGAACCTTCCCATTCTGACTTGGGTGGATTTCTGTTTTGATCTGCTACAACAGCTTGAGAGTGACATGTGGTGTGGATGGTATTGAAATGAGTGACCGAGCTGATGGCTCCAGAATTATCCGTCAAGAACACATGCTTGCAAAATACATAGGTTCCAATGACCTCCTCTGGCTTGTAAGCATATCCATCACCACAAATGGAGCAAACAATGCCCTTATCTTCTTCAATTTCATCAAAGTTAAATACAGAGATGGCAGGTTTCTTCAATTCCTGGAGAGTCTTTTCACGCTTTGAAAGGGCCTTCTTTTTCTTCTTTTCTTTGGTGCTCTTTCTGAGGTTGTCAATGGTTGGTTTAATCTGAGCAGATCCTTCAGCAATAGTGTTGAGTAATGATTCAGCAAGGGTGGCAACAATTTTTTCGTCCGTATTTTCTTCAATCTTGTGGAGTATGGTCAACAAATCGACATGATTCATGACTGCCAACGATGGATGGTGATACGACACTAAACCTTGAAGTAAACTCAAAATGAATGGGATTATTGGCAAGCTAAGTGTTGACTTCCATGAAGAGGTGCTCTTGAGATCAAAATTCTTCAAAATAAAATCAATGGCATTCTTGGTGATTCCTTTGTTCAATATCATTGACTTGAGATTATTTCCAGCAAAATCATTGGGGATACTCAGCACCACGTTTACGAATGAGTCCAAGTAGAACTTTTCTTTGGTTGTGTTATTGAACGATTCAAAATTCAAATAGGGCTCAAAGTATTGAATGAGATAATCCATCGATTCTTCGAGACCATACGTAAGGAATGGCAAGAGTGATTGTACAGCCGAGACAATTTTAGAGCTACACACAGGTAGTCTCTCCAAAAACATTTTCAATTGTTCAAGAATTTCTTTTTGACTAATCTTGTACTGTTCTGATTTTCCTAATACGCTTGGAGAAAGATCGTTCGCAGAGTCCACAGAGAAAATATCAGACGAAATTGGACTTAAAGGACTTGTAAGAGGACTCGAAGGTACTCCAGTTTCGTGGCTCATCTTGGTAGCTTCTTTGACAAGTGGCTTGATACATAAAAGGAGCAGCTCAGCAATTTCAGCCATTTCGCTGTGTTGAAAGACATATTTGCATTTTGAAAGGAGGCATTCCACAGTGTCGGTCATTAAAAATCTACGTCTATTCAGCTTGCTGTATGTACAGTAGAGCATGAATTGCAACAGATTCTTTGCGAGCTCCTTATCAGAACCAAAATCAGTGATCGATCTAAGATATGAAACAATAACTTCAACACCTCCATGGGTTGATATGACAGATGTTATCTTGCTCTTTTGTGCAATATCAATAGATTCATCATCGCTAGGTAATGTTTCAATTCTATCTTCTGTTGCTTCTCCATCAATACCCTGGAATCTAAAAACAATTTCCATAGGTGTGTTGTTATTAGGTTCTGTGTTTCTGGTTAGCCAGACTTTTTCATAAACTTTCACTACAGGTAAATTGAGAGCAATTATGCAATTGTTGACCAACAATTCGAAAGGAATGTCACTATGAATATTCATTTCTTCACAAATCTTGTCTTTTACGTCAGACATTAGAGCAGGTTGCCCGTCTTTGCTAAATTCTTTGGTCGTCCATTGCTGTTTGGAAAGCCTTCCCTGGAAATAGAATTCTTGGCTAGCAGAACGAGTTAGTTTCAACTTGTAAATAGGCTCAGTCTTAACTGGTTGGATCATGCCATTCAATTTTTCGAACACGAATAAGGCAGTTCTATTATCGCTGTACATCTTTAAAGTGTCAATGCATGCAATAATAAATAATTTCTTATCTGATTCAGTCTCTTGTAATTTGTCCGTTAATTGTCGGAGAATGCTTTCGCTGTCAGTAGTGGCCTTTGTTTTTTGCACAACGAACGACTTGAGCGATAAAAAGCTGCTTAATACTGTGCTAACATGCTCTTCTTTGGTCTTAAACTCGTTCAAAATATCAGGAATGTTCAAAAAGTCGGAGAGTAGAGTCACCAAAAAGTATAAACTTGATCCTGTGGAGAGATCTTGGCTTTGATTGGATGACGTAGTTTCTAAATGATGGAGGTGAGCTACTTCCTTCTTCAATAATTTACAAACAAAGGAAAGGAAGCCCTTACTTGAAAGAAGAACTTTTCTTTCTTCCTTTTCGACCAAAGTGTTGAAGAGAGAGAAGAAATTCGAAGAATATTCACCACGCACCATGGCATCTGGTAAGAGAGTGGTTAATGCTTGTAGAATGCCAATTTCTTTTTGTGAACTTCCACATAAACATTTGATAATCTTGGTGGTCGTATCTCGGATTGAGCTGGAACAATCGTTGAGCAAAAGCTTAAATAGTACATCTTTGCCTAAGATTTCAAAGTCATTTCTTGGTAATCTCTTGGGAATTTGGCTTGCCTTAAACATTTCGAATGACATTTCTCCTTCTTGCCATTGATGATACCCAAATTGTACAGCTCTGGTTGGTGTAATTGGAGATTCAACATTGGCTGGTGTTGGTTCAGCCTTACATTTTTGATTGGCATATGTGACAAACTTGAGAATAATTTGTAGGCAAGGTTGTATCAACTCTTCACAGATGATGACTGAAGAGGAGGCACCAGGTTGTAATGTTGCTTCAGTTAATATTCCAAATAGCATTAACATTCTGGAGTTGAAGAATGGATCTTTTTCGTCACAACAAAGTCGCTTCAACAACTCTACAAGTCCGATTAATTGTGCAGTAACATCGTATCCTTTGAGAGTCTTCTTGGAACAGTTAATAATTTTCTGTTGCAGCAAAGTATTGACTTTTGAGCTTACAGCGTCATCTATAAAGGAGAGTTTTGTCAGCACTTGTAAGGCCTTTTCTTTCATGCCTCGTCTGCTTACATTAATAAAGAGCTCGTTTAGAAGTTGATCACAAATAATAAGCCCATTGCAATCATGTATAGATTGATAGAAATCAATGACATTGCTTACGAGGTTATTGGCACATCCAAAACATTTGTTATGTTGAAGGGCAGAGGTGTCAAAGTGATCGGACTGATAGTATTTCTTATCGGTTCTACGATTGGAAGAGATATATTCTCTCAGCTGTTTTCTCGTAGTTAGCATGATTTTCTGGCAGTTGGATAGTCCTTCATGCAAAGCTTTGGTCTGATTATTGTACAAATCTTCCAGCAAAGTTATTAGTTCGGTTAAAGATTTGTCCTTGTAGTCACCAGTCTTTAAACTGATTAGTAAAGACTTAATCTCTGAGCTCTTTTCCTTCAGACCAACGAGCTTATTTGCACTAGAATTGAGTTGAGTGTCAATGATTTGCAATGATTTTTTGCAATCTTCCTCATTTCTAATTTTGTCTCCAATAAATACTTGTTTTCCGGCAAATGAAAAGTCAAAGGTAGCATATTTGCAAGTACCACATGTCGAACAAATGAAAGCATCTAAATGATCGTAGTTGATTGCTTTACATTTGTGGCAGGAGAAAACATTTTCACCACATGTCAAACAAAGTCCATACTTGTCGTAAACAGGAATTCCACAATTATTACAGAAAAGAGCATCCATGGAGGCTAGGTCGTAATAAAAGCTGGAAAACTCAATTAACAAGTTGCAACATGTGATGGGTACACTGAACGTTATATTGCATTGAGTAGCATTCTTAGGAACAGTCATGCTTCCAGCTTTTTGCCAAACAGTCGATGTTTTTGTCAAATCATGAACCTCCAAAGCCTGATTATTGTTGAAATAAAACTCAATGGTTCTTATCATCTTGGATTTTTTGGCGTCCGAAATGTTAATCTCCATAGATTCAATAATGTACGAATTTTTAAGTTTCACATATTCAGAAGAGTGAGAAAACTTTTTAGCCTTTGTAATGTCCTTCAGAATGATTTTTTGGCTTGGAACCTCAGGAGAGCTACAAATCAAACAAGGAACTGTTTCCAAGTAGTAGCCTTTAGAGTCTAAACTGAAGTAATTTTGAAGGTTATCATAAATGTAAGAATTGGGATGATTGCCAATGAGATGATTCTGAGTTTCGAGGCATTTAACAAGCTCGTCAGAAATTTGTTGTCTCTTTTTTTCATAAACGTCAAATACTGGAATCAATAAATACTTGGTAAACTCCTTTCCTTTCTTCCCATAATAAGGTAGTGAGGCCACACGTTTGATGATTATGTTAAACAGAATTTCTTTAGACTTGATCGATGAATGAGTAAAAAGTTTTGACAAAAATTTGGCTGACTCTACTCGAATATTGCTAGTTTCACCATTAAACACAAAGTCTAAAAACTTGTTCAAAGTTCTTGTGGTATGTGTCATGTACGAAGATGTAATCTTTTCCAAATGAGGCTTGTTATCAGTGATAAAAGAGCTGTTAAGCAACTGCAGAGGTATGGTAACACTCTCATCAAGTAAAAAGGCAAATTCCAGCAATGAAGGAAGCACAGTATCGTGGGCTACACAGAAATCGATCCAATTCATAGGATTGCTCACTACACGATCAATTACTTCGTTCACCTTAACCACGATCCTTCTGGCTCTTTCGGGTGACCAATTGGATACCAGTTCGGTTGGTTTCATAAAATCAGATAATCTGGTGGAGAATAATTTTTCATCCATGATCTTATTGAACTTGTCCATGGAGCCACTTAGCTCAAGCAAATAATATTTGCTGATTGACACCAAATATTCGTTTTCATCAACTGCCAAATTTGCCAGGAAATTGTACCACTGTGTAATATTTTCTTCAGGTATCAGGGACTGCTTGTTCAAGTATTTAGTAAGTTTGAGTAAGGATTGAATTACAACCCTAGGATATTCTGACATTATGTTTGACTTGTTATCTGAAACATAAAGGTCGCTGAAAATTGGAGAAAATACTCTCGTTGGTATTTCTTTCTGGCTCTTCAGTAGGCCTCCCATAATGTCTTCGTACTCAGCTTGCTGATCAGTTGGAACAAACAACACTAAGGCATCATTACATGTTGAGAGAACGTCGTCATGAATTGAAGGAATGCTGCTCAATGTTTTGCAAATTGATTGCTTGAGATAGTCTGACCATTGTGTCTCCTCGCTTAACGACAAAAGTGAGATGAGCATATCAAGAATTAAAAGTCGTTTCTCACTGGCAGGATTCTGAGGTGTCAAATTTTTCAAACAACTGGTTACTGACAGCTTGTCACAAATTGTGGCCAAAACTCGGTCAATAGTGCTCATTTCATCCAAAGTAAGACTTGAGCATAATCGAATAATTACTACAGAAATAAGCTGTAAAATATTGAGAGTTGTTAACGAATCAGAGTATTTGGATAATAAGGAGCAAAGCTCTACAACTAATTTTTCTAACGTAGAAGGAAGTGTCTTCGTAACTCCTAAAATTCTTGCGACAGCTTGAGATGCGCTGGTCCGCACAACTTCATCATCCTCATCTAATAATAATTTAGATATCTTTTGTAATGATTCTTCTTTGTTCTTTTTCAAAAATTCAAGTAATGCCATGCCTGTACATAGCTTCACAAGGTAGTCAGTTTGTAGCTTCTCATCTGACTGGTTTTTCTGGAGAAGAGAAAACATGGATGAAATAAAACATTCATCATTTGACAGCACTCGATCATAAAAATGATCAGGATCATGGAACAAAATGTCCACATATTTTTCAATAATCAAATTAGCATGAGCTTCATCCAAATCAGTCAGCTTTCTTCTAGAAAGTCTATCAAGTTCCAACGCAGTCTTTAAGGTTGTAAAGCTTTCAACATCATCACAGGATGTCATCAGTACAGAAAGGAACACATCTTTCAGCTCAGACAATGATGGAAGTAAAAGGCAATCAGAAATTAACGAAGTAATGTAGTCTTTTTGTGAATCCTGCAGGATACCTCCTAATTCGTATGAGATCACTACTTTAGCAATATCGTGTATGATCGCCACTTCATCGGTTGAGAAATGATGCTTTTCTTCGAGCGGAGTTTGTGCAGATTTTTCAATTGAGGCAGTTGCTTCCAGTTCCAATTTCTTCTTGACGTAATTGTACCGGAATGGGCCGGAAGAAAGGCCAAGAATCTTTAGTCCATCAATTGTTGGCATGGTAGTATTATCTGTGGCAGCAGAAACCTCTAGATCAAATGTTTTGGCCATGTTCAAAACTTCCTCGTTCGTGAAATTGATTGTATACCATTTCTCAACGTCCCTGTCGCTGGTGACGGTATGTCCAAGTGATTTAATGGTTACAGGAATGGAAGCCTTATTATTTTTACCGAGCAACAACTTGACTCCAATGATCACAACGTTGTCTGGTTTGTGAATAGAAATTTTCATACCATCTACTCGTGTTGCACACAGAGATGTTGTATTTGTGTCACTGCTCATGTTCTTGATTTCATCTGATGTACGATTTCCGTCTCCTGTGAATGAACATTTACTTGTGACGTCTTCACTTGTAGAAATGTCGGCAGGTTGGGCATCGAGTGAGGTAACCATTTCCGAGGGTAGAATAATGGGCTGGTTTGAGCTATCTTCTGCTTGCGTCGTATTTGAGCTGGCTAATGCTGGTTTCATATGCTTCAACGAAGACTGCCTCTTTTTCAACTCTCTACTAATTCTGCTCTTGGGTGGAAGCGAGCAACAAGGGATGACATCCCTAGTGATCATATACTTTTTCACTTCACCATTAGAAAAAAGCGTCAAAACTGAAGAATATTTTCCAAACGGAGGAATAGATGTCAATCCTTCTAAGGTGTGACTATCAGGATTTGGCAAAATTTGATATTCCACCTTGCCGTATGCAAAATTGAGAACTATGGACTTGTTGCTGGAGGTACCCACAACCAAAACCCCACACATATCCACAACTTCGCAAATATGTGTCCAATAACCAAGACTTTTCAGTTCAGGATTTTTCGAGATTTCTACAACGCTTTGAATGGTTCCTGATAAATGATCCAGCGTAATGGCTACTGATGTTCCATCAGCAAAACTTGCAAATAACACTCTAATAAGTTCAGAATAAAATATCCCTTTTCCTTCTGCAGATTGAGAATATCTGCTCAAATCAATGGAATCAGAGAAAAAGGCTTCTCCTCCACTGTTGAAGTATGACTGATAATATAACTTTCCTGTCTTTGTCAGGGCAAAGCATGTCTTGAGATCTTTCGTTCCGTTTGGATCGGGAGCAAACACACTTGAAACGATTTGATCGTTTTGAGCGCTAAAGTTGAACGTTGGACAAAAAGTGTCTGCAGACAAATCATAGACCTTCACAAATTGATTAGTTGTCACCGCCAATAAACATTGCTCGCCTGGTAGCCATTGAATATCAATGACAAAAGTCTCTGATGGCATGTCCTCACAAGCAAGATATAATGGAACCTGTTGGATCACATTTAACTCGCTATCGAGAACAAGAGCATGGCATTCATATATACCAGCCACAGCAACAAAGTTGTCATTCTCTGGATTAATTTTTACATGAACCACTTTGAAGGACATTGCATGAGTGTTGATAATCTTGATATCATTCACTGTATTTTCTTTTGGAATGGAATCTGAGAAATTCGATGTTGATTTGAGCAAATTGATATCACTTTGTTCTGCTATGACAATTGCGTTTGCCATATTTGAGGACATTAAATGTCGAGGCATTGGCTTTGATCTGAAAATGTTGGCTTCTTGTCTTCTCTCAAATGTTAACTTTGTATTGAAAGTAGAAGCGGGATATGATGAAGCCTCTTCGAGTAGAGCTCTTGATGAACTCTCAACAACTCCATCCTTGAGTTCCCATTTCGAAAGTGATGACTCTAATTCTTTTGTGTTGCTCTCGTATGAAATTTTCAACTTTTCGAGTAGCTGTAGCAGGTAAGTTATCATCTCGTCTGTGATGACAATACTTGCAGATTGTGTCTCGTTTTGTGCATCAACATCAGAGGCTTTGAAATAGCTCATAATGGCATCAAAGTCAATACTAGAGGATGTGTCCTCTACCAATAGACTGTGATATGTGTCATACTCGTTATTTTCCATTTTTGTTTGAATCTCATTCGAAGATTGCACAATCGGTCCCTTAAACTTAATATTTTCACCATATTTGGCCTTTGCCTTGAACTGGTTAACGAGTGTTAGAGCTCTTTCTCTTTGTTCATTGGCAACTTTTTGCATTAGGTGCTTACAAATAAATCTACAAATTGGAGATAGCACTTTGATATCCTTCACTTCTGATTGTTCTTGCACAATTTCATTCAAGCACTTTGTAAACTTTTCGTGACACTTCGAGTTAGTTACCTTACAAATGACACCAAGAACCAAGGTGAAAAACATTGAAAAGTCCGATGGACAAGACTTGCTAAAATGTTTCAAAACTTGCAGCATGGCCTCCACGAAGACAGGCATGAAAGGTTGCACACCTGGTTTATCATGGATGGAAACAAGGAACTTTTGTAACGGAGCTCTTGTTTCATGTTTTTTGAAACATTCTTGCAAAAAGGTATCAATGTGTTCTAATGAAGCAAGTGATTGCAGCAAGCTAGGTACACCAGCTTCAAACTTTGAAATTATCAAATCCAAGAAAGAAAGAACAAGCATAAATAAATCCATGTCGGATTCAGCCGCGATCATTAGATCTTGATCAATACTACAGCATCAAATCTGAAGGCTGTACAAAATTTAGGAATTTCTGGTTCTCCAAACATGAGTGATTGAATACTTTGCATTCTTTTTCCTTTTGACAAAATAAAATCCTCCAAATATTCAAAGCATGTGGAAATAATTTTGTGAGAGCTTGAAGGCTTTTTGGAAATTAAGTCTGATTCTTGTAATGAGGAGAGTACCTTTCCAACAGTAAAAGTTCTAAAAATATTGAGCTCATTAACGAATCCTTCGCTAAACAGATTAAACATGATCGGTTCAACCAACAGAGAAGATCTATACACATAGTGTTCCCGTAATTTCAACAATAGTGCTACTAAATCTGGCATTACGATTGATATATTGTACCCTTTCTCTTTAACAATGGTCGTAACTTTGGAGATCATGTCAATATTTGATCTGATCGTACTGTAACATGAAAATGCTTGTAAATTGCGATGCGAAACATGAACAGAGCCAATGATGTGGTAGAAAAAGAGTTTCCAAAGGCTCTTTTCTGATGAAATGTCTGCAATATTCTTGAGGGTGTTCAATTTGGAGTCGTACCATTCAGAAATGTTAGCGGTAGAGGTCTTTACAGTGCCAGAAGAAGTAAGCAATCCAATACACGTCATTACAGTTTCCTTACTAAGGGCACTTTGTATCAATGACAAACCACAACAGGACTCTTCTTCATTCATTTGGTTCGAATGCATTAAATCTTTTTGAATGATCAAGTCTAGATGTTGAACAGCAAGACCACAAAAATTACAAAGCCGCTTAAGTAATTGGTCTACGGTTTCTGGTGTCCAATCCGTTTGCTGAGAAGCATATTTTTCTATTATGGATAAACATTCCTTAATGTAAACTAAACTGAGAATGGAATTATTGCCACTTGAGACCGCATCTGTATCATGTTGTATCATTATCATGTCAAATATTTTTGATAAGTGCTCTTTTTGATTCATGTCATGGTTGTGAATATATTGAATCAAATAACTCAGTCGATCTGTTGTTACACTAGTTGCTTCAACCTTTTTGATAGAGTCAAGTTTTAGCAAGGCATTGAGCAGTCTTATTGAAATGTCGGCGGTGTAATCAAATGCATTCAATATGACCTTGTCGTCAGAGTCACTCAGTTGTGTAATGTTTTCAAGTAATGCACGAATCAATTCTGTACATTCGTCGTTCTGCTTCAAAATTGAAACAGCTGTGAATGAAAGTTCAGAACTATGCTCATAATCAATTTCAAAGAAAGTATCGTTTCTAACTCCCAACTTGTCTAAAAGTGAGTTATAAGTAATCTTTAACTTGTGTTCGGTATTCTGAAAGAAATCTGATAGTTGTAAACTGAGTTTAGTAGGCATGGAATCAAAATTTTTGCACAAGTACTCAAATAACGCTAGCACATGGCCTGCCAAGATCTTACTTTTCAAAGTAGACAATTCAGTCTTGATTCGCTTAATATATTCGCTAAATATCAAAACTTTTGAAGTACTATCCATGGTATCGAAGCATAGGGCCAAAAATAGCATCTTCTCTTGCGAGAGTGATGACTGTACTGCATGTCTCAGATGATACATGTAACCCATCCACACCTTTTCAAATACCGCCTTATTGCGTGATGCATTGCGAAGAGTAAGGGTGACAAAGAATTTGAATACATCTTCACCAATATCTATGATATTCATTTTCTCAAAAACTTCAAGTACGCATTCATCAAGGGAGGCAATGGAGAATAAACACTGTGAGCGAAGATCTCTGAATTGTTTGTCATCTCCCAGTTTGCAGAAAATAGAAAAATTGGAATTATCCAAAATTTCATTGGCAACATTGGCTCGTATGATTCTGTTTTCGTTATGTAGTAAGTGGTTTAGAAGCAAGAAAAAGTTGGCTAAAAATGTGGAATAGTGGTCGTGTGTTGTGAGTGTTTTTGATCCTGCTGTTTCTGCAATAGTAATAAGTCTTGAAATAGTAGAGCGAGAAAATACATCTGCGCTTGAACACTGTAGTACTTCTTTAGAGGCTTCGTTTTTACCACGTTCTCTCTCATCTACAACAATGGAAGGAAGTGGAAAGAGTAGATCAATCTTTTCACTCACAATGTTAGAGGGAGCATGAAAAGTGTATATTTCTTGTCTCAAATCTGCAAATGCATGAGAATCTTGCATTTGAATATTATCTAGAAGGTACACATAATTTGAAAGAAATTCTGTGCTCTTTGATAGCTTTTCTACGTCTTGAGTAATGATTTGTACAGAAACAAGTTGTAATAAATAATAGAATACCTGTTTGCAAGTACCAATACTTGGATAGGTTTTGAGAACCACTACGGCCAAATCTCTTAGCATATCTGCAGGATACGACGTCTTATCTTGTTGCTTCTGTAGCGACTGAACACAACTTAAAACAAGCTGCTGTATTGGCACTTGTTCGGTTCTTACCATTGGTTTGGCAAGTACCTGTAGTACTCCACATAAAACATTGAGAATATCAATATCCTTAAAACTGGTTAAAATTGAGGAAAGAGAAGCTGAAATATAATCTCCAATTCTCAACGATACAATGAGGTACATTCTCACTTGCTTGATTAGTTTTTCAAAGCTCATTGAAGAGCGACACTTGTTGCCTACAATCAATGATGAAACACAATTATGGGCTTCTACTCCTTGTTCCGTTGAAAAAATTGAAGTTAATATTTTTGATAATGTGTCTTTTTGTTCTGTGACAGTCGTTGCACTTTCTGACGTCTCTGTTTCTTTCAAATCGAAAGGAAATTCAAGAACATTGTCTGGAATTTTTTTCTCAAGTTTAATTTCTGATTCTGAAAACTTCTTTCCAATTAAAAGTGTGTTCAATATTTTACAAACATCTTGTAAAGCGTTAAGCAAATATTGTTGGTGAGATGTTGAGGAAAATGCTTTACAATATGAAAGGACAAATATGCAATATCTCATAATTACAAATATTGTATATTTCGTGCTGTAATAACATTTGGTATGTTTAGTGAGCACTGTGACAACATATAGAGCATGAAATTAGTCTCGTTCACAAACCAACAACTCACCTTTATCAACAAACTTGCTGCCATATAAGTATTTAACAAAAATGTTCAGGAGTGATAGTACGTGAGAGTGTTGTACCAAAGAAAAGCACTCCATTCTTTGAAGAAACGTACACAACCGTTGGGCCAGTATCGGAAATTGATCTGCATCGTTTTCATTCAAAAATTTCTCCTGATCAATAACTTGGATTGTGAAGGTTTTTAAGAACTATATCGTAACCATAAGTGTTAATAAACCACCACGACTCGGTATATAAATCCATGTAAAATTACTCACCTCTGTACCATTATCAGACTGAAGTACGCTCTTCTGAATGACTGGTTTTTGAGAATCAGACTATAGTGGCATACAATGAAAATTTATAACACCCGGTTCAAGTAACAATATGAAATACTCACATGAAGGAATCTAAATCCAAAAACATCAAAGTTCTCGTCAGAGATGTCAATATGTTCCGACAATGTTTCAACGTGTGATTCTTGAGAGTCAGCACCTTCTTTTGGTGATGGAAGAGATTTCAAATGCTCACGATCAAATGAAGAGTCAAAGAAGAAGGACAACATATCCTTCTCCTCTTCATCAAGATTGATCTTGTAGAGAGCATCCATGGATGAAGAGTAATTATGATGAGCTTCCATTCTCGAGAGTCTAGCACAAATTTAAAATAATTTTTTTGAATTGATGATGATCGATGATTATTCCGAGAGCAGATATTTGATACACTCAATTTCGCACAAGTTGATTTCTGTTATAACTGCTGTACACGAATAATATATATAACGAAAAATTTGTGTGTTCCCGTCTTTGTTGTTGAAAATGAACACAGAGTGCAAATCGGAAAATCAAGACAGTCTTTTTGAAAGCCTTGTTGTTGCAATTTCAGAGTGCTCGATTTTTTATGTAAATTTAGCAATTTTGTAATTAGTTCTCGAATGCTTGCCCAATGAAGCGAACACACAAGTTGAGGCTTTCTCTCCTGTGTCTGTTGTGAACATCCATGTTCATCCATCTTAAAGACGAAATCGAATTGAATTGGCAGTTTACACTAGAGCTCATCATCCACTCGAAGATGTTTCAGTGTTGCTCTTAGGGCTTTTGCAGTTTTACAAAGAGCTTGAGGCACAGTCAAAATGGCTGCATTCACAATGCTTAAGGGAACCCATCCATTGGGATTGGATTGATGTGCATAGGACATTCTTAAATCACCATTTGCACATTGTGAAAGACGGAGTGTGGTGAACATGTCATTTCCTCTGACAGCTCCCGAATGAAATTTAAAATTGCTTGGCAGGAATGAATGAATGTTCGTTTCAGGACAAGAGTCTTGATCGACCGAAGTTGAAGTGTACACGAGTTCATTCTGTTCAGGATTTTCAATGATACGATACACTCGAATGAAATCCCGATCAGCAACCATTGCTGTGTGTGTTCAAGGGTCAAACCAAATGCATTGAGGTATTGAATTCCATAACAAGATTGGAGATGGTCAAGAGAAAATGCATGAATTAACACAATCCATTCACTTACGTCCAATTCCCATGACAAAATAATTCAACTTCCAATGTCCTTCGTCGTCGGACCATTCATGTACAATATCATTCCGTTTCACTGTTGGATCCATTTCTGTATTCACACCCAAATAGACTTTCATGAAATCGTGAGCTTTCAAATTTTCACAAACTCCTTCTCCCCGTACAATACTTGGTTCTCCCGAAACTTGTGTGGATGTTTTAAACACATTGATATCATTCTTGGTGTGATAAAAGTGAAACGTTCCATCCCTAAGTGTTTGTGGTGAGTCATTTGCATGCCTTTGGAATGTGCAAGACGCCACTTGCATTTCATGGATTGTCTCCAAGCATGGAGGTTGTCACGATGGACGTGGTCGCTTGGTGTTGAGTTCATGACAATTTTTTGGATGTTTTCGTTCAAACTTGTGTTCTTCTCTAATTCCTTTTTGCCAATTCTGATCTGGGATTTGAACTGGAAGCAATTTGATCCCGGGTGAAAACGTTCGCTTGTTGGTAATTAACGTGTTACAAGCAAGAACGTCCGTGTCAAAACACCTAATGAAAACGAAACTTGTTCAAGTAAACATTGTAACAAGAATGCGAAATTGTTATTCGTTGTGCATAGTTGGCAATTTTTCATGGGGTTACAGAATTTGTTGTTTGAGCAAATGAAGAGAAGGTTTCCTTAAGGTACTCATAATATCTTCGTATTCTGAAGCAGACAGGAAGGGAAGTGGACACGATCGGTCACAACTATTGTCAGTATCGACGCTACTATTGTTATTGATGGTGGTCGTGACATCTCTTGACTTTTCTTTTTCAATGTATTCCATAATTGCTTGTTTTTGTTGTTCAATTCTTTTGATCAGCAGCATAATTTCATGGTCTTTTTGTTCTCGTACCGACGTGATCTCCTTTTCCAAATTATTGATGAGAGTGTCTTTGGATGTCAATTCGTTTTGAGATCCTTTAGTGACCTCCTTTAACTCCCTCCTCAGTTGCGAAATATCCTCATCCTTCTTTTCATTCTCTGCTCGAAGATCTTGAATCGTTTGTTCCAGCTCTGCAATTCTGTTTTTTCCTTCAGTCTCTATTCGTTGCATCTCTTGAATTAGTTCCTTACTTTTTTGTTTCAATGTACAAACAACAGCAATCATTTTCTTGTTTTCTTCCTCAGTCAGAGTCAGCTTGGTCTTTTGTTCTTTACAGAGTTGATCCTTGCGGGCATTGGATTGCGCTAATCGCTTATATCGATCTTCAAGATCTCCAGTGTCCTTCGCTTTTGACATGTATTCGGCCGCTTTTTTAGATTCAACTTCTTTCTCTTGCCTCAATGATTCAATGCGTTATTCTTGATAGAAAGTTCTTCTTCCTTTTGTTTTAAATTTCGTTTGAGATTTGACACAGTCACGTTCCTTTTAGTACAATTTCACAGAGTGAAATGAAAATATTAGTCTCCATATATTATACATGTATCATTACTTACAATTTCTTAATTTCTTCATTTAGTTGAGCATTCTTGTCAAGTTGTTCTTTTAGCATATCCTTGTCTTGCTTATTCAGTTTCTGTGTGTCGTTCAATTGTTTGACAAAAGTTTTCAGCTTTTCTCGAAAATCTTCAATTGCATTTTCGGCCGAGGTGAGCTTTGTTTGCAGTTCCTTATTTCTCTCCAAAGCCTCACGTAATTCTTGGTTATAGGTCAGCTTCTCTCGTTTACTTTCTTTTTTCTTCTCCATCAACTGCTTAGAGGCTGTTCTTATTTGTTCGTTCTTTTCTAACAACTCGGATTCTGTCTCTGCAAATCGTTCCATATATTTGGAGTTGACTGTGCGCAATGATTCATTTTCTTCTTTCAATGCATTAAATTGAGCTTGTATCTTTGCAAAGTGTGTGAGTTGAACTTTGAGTGCAGCCACTTCTTGGTGATACTCGTTAATTTGTGCCGTCGTTGTTTCGTGCTCCTCTTTCAAAGTGAAATATTTGGACACTAGTTCATTATTTTCAACTTTTCGGCGTGACATGTCTGCCTCTAACTCTTTGGTTAATTCTTGAAAATGTTCAATTTCGTCTTGTCTCTTTTTGAGTTGTGTTTTTAAATAATTAATCTCCTCTTCATTGGTTGAGATGGTTTTTTGTGTGGCAGCATTGGTTTGGGCTCGCTCCGATTGTAAAGTATCGATATAGTTCCTAGCTTCTGTGAGTTGATCCGTGAGCTCGGATTTTTGCTGTTGCAGCTTGTCGATTTGTGCTCTGTATGTCTTTAGTTTTTCTTCGTATTCTGGTAATTTTCTATTTTCATTTTCCAACGTGTCAAGCTTCTTTCGTTGCTCGGCCGTATGTGTCAATAATCGTTGAGTGTTGAATTGCTCCTGTTTTAAATTGTTGAGCGTTTTTTGGCTTTCATCAGCCATCTTCTTGAAATTATTAATTTCCGAAAGCAGTCGTTTCTTCTCTTCCACATGATCCTCTCGTCGTTTGAGCTCTTGTGACAATTGTCCTTGCAGGAATGCCACTTGATTTTGAAGTTCTGTACACTTTTGTTTTGTTTGTTCCAATTCAGTGTTGGTTTGCTCTGATTGCTTCTTGTACTGCTCTAGAGAGGTTGACATCTCTCTGCTCTTCATCTTGAGACGTTCATATTTTTTAATGAGTGACGTGTTGGACTCTTCTTCCACCTTGTTTTTGTTTTCAATTTGTTCCGTTCTTGAATCATGTTCTCTTTGAATTTTTACAAGCTCCTCTGCTAAGGAGGCATTCTTTTTCGTCAAGTCTTGAATCATGTCTTTTAAATCCTTATTTTCTTTTTTGTACATTTTCAAAGAGGATTTGTAATGATTGGCTTCTTTGTGGAGGACTTCTTTCTCCAAAACTTCCGTCTCAACTCTCTTGTTCAAGTTCATTACCACAGATTTGAGCTCTTCTGGAACTGTAGAACTAAGGCTTCTTTCTCTCTCCTCAATGATTCGTTTCGTTTCAAGGAGACGAAATTGAACCTCCGAAGCCAATTTGTTGCTCTCGTTTAAATCCTTCTCCAATTCTTTAATTCGTGAATCTTTTTCATGGATCATTTCAAGCAAATGATTTAAATCTCCTCTTCTACAGAAAACAGAAAAAACAAATAATCATTCAAAATCAACATTTCCGATAGAAGGATGAACGACGAAACTTACATGACTGACGGCGATGAAAAGCATGAGGTGGCTCTTTCCACTCTCTCCGATACATTTCCCGAAGATAGAGCTTGAGGTTGATACTGTGTCGATGTAGTGGTTTCATCTCTATCTTCCAGCATTCTCTGATGATGTGCTATTATGATACGGTGATGATCAAAACTAAGTACAATTTTTTATTTTCGTTAATTTTTATCAAAATGTAGCAATGTAAAATTAAGGCGGGAAAACATTCGGCTGGCGCCTAAAAATCAACGTATGGTACAGAAAGAATAATCATGATTGAAATTAACAGATCTATTTGTGTTGTGTATGAGCTTGTTGCTGCTTCTTTCCGCAATGAGGACAATCACAATTGACACAAGTGCATTGTCCACTTTGTTCGCATGGACACTTTTCGTTGTGTGTAACTTTGGAGCAATGTTCGCAGGGCATTCTGTTGGTGAGATTTTTATTGTTTTAAAGGTATTGGTTAACGTTGTGTTGTTTTTTTTAATGTTGTTTCTTGGACATTCAACTACAAACTCGAAGTTAAGACAAGTTTTAAAAAAGGAAATTGTGCAAATCCAAACATTGGACGTTCGGGTTCCTTTTCTTAAATTCGTTAGACAGATTATTCAGCACTTGGTTGAATGAGGTGGTTTGGTAACGAATTCGGATTCGCTTGACGTTCCATGTTGTCCATCATTAATTGTAACAATTACGGATAGCAACTGTATGAGTTTCAACCAGCAATTATGGATCTCATCGGCTGTCCCCATCAAAGACAGGAATACCAACAGGTTGACACTTCTTTCGTTTTACCAATTATAAGAAACGACAGCTCATATCGTATCAATATGCTTAATAACAAGACAAGAAATTTCGCTTCTTCACCACTCCAAAAATGGGTCTTTTGAGAAACAACAAAAAAATGGCCACAACACTCTCATCAACATCACTCGCTCTCTATCAACAAGCTACCAATTTTGCTGGATTAGTTGCTCTGAATATTGATTTCATCAATGGAAAAATTGAGACTCCATATACCGATGGCTTACAAAACGAAACATGTCCATTGGTTGAGTCTTTGGTAGGAATCAATCAATTGGGATTATTAACAACCAACTCTGGAACGGGAAATAATGGTCGTGCCTATTTGATCGGCCTTGTGGAAGGTGATCATAATGCTGAGAAATTGGAAGTGTTGTTGAATCAGACCGATCTCATTGCTTTTAAATTGCCATGTAATACGCCCGGCTATTTGCCAAACTCTGATGATGATGTAAAGAGTGAACAACAAGCCGATTTTGTTAAAATCCCAGTTTCTTTCAAAGCCGATAATGGAGTTGGAGACACAGTTGTGAACCGTTACGTTACATGCTTCAATTGGTTCACATTGCTTCAACCTTGTATCAATCCAACTCTGTATGAATCTATGGCCAATCATTGTTATAATTTTTACATTATTGACCCAGTTTCAAACCGTTCAGCTCTTGCTCAAGATGGTATTTTAGGAAAGGTGAGACAATCTCTTGAGCAATTAAAGCACAAGTAATTTTGCCAAAATACTCTATCATTGCAATTTTTGAGTTGGAAAATAATACTCTTTTCTGACAATGACATAATTTTTAATTTATTTACGTTTACATGTATTAATGTATTGTTATTTTAATTATTAGTTGTAATACAGTATTGTTATTATTATAACTTGAACTTTTTGTAAGACAATGTTAACATATAGGTTTTGAGGTGCCAAAGGTATCATCATGCCATCATGTGTGGTTCAATGAATCCATTCACATTCACTCAGTATCCATTTCTGCCAATTTCCCTTTTCAAGTACAATCTAAGCTATTCGCTTTACCTGTGACTTCGCACACGAGCATGCATTCCTTCCGTGATTATCTACCACCAAAACAATTGAGAACCGTTACAATACACCCATGAAACACCCCATCATTCATCCCTCCATTGATCGCAAATACATTCTTTACGCCATCGTCCTTCTTCTCGTTTTCACACTCGTTCCTCTCTCCCTCTTCACCACCTTCATCTTCTCACCAGCCACAAATGTGAAACCCACATCGACGAGACACATCTGGATTTTAGTTCCATTGTTATGGGCTCTCATTGCCTTGTTGCTTCTCGGAGTGGGATGGGCCACCGTATTCGTCATGCATCGAGCTTCGAGTTTGTTGCGAGAACGAGACAAACAAACGAAATTCATGATGGAGGATGTGTTAAAACACTTCAAGATGCTTCCGAGTGAAAATCAAGCACAACAACAACCGTTGAAAGGAGTACATGAAGGACAGCAGCAAGTGGCCACCTTGAATCAACCAGAAGAAGGTCATGCACAGGAGCAAGCACAACACCCTTTAAGGTTTACGTTTTGTCATCAACCTTCCGTGATGAGAAGAGACAAGAAACAACCATCCACTAGTATGTCATCGTGTCCTGCTGCTTTGCGAGCTCGAAATGACACATCAGCTCTTGCCATTCAAGACGATGATGAAAGAGAGGGAAGGCAAGCTTCACTCCAGCCATCATCGACCACAGCTGCTTCCTTATCATGAGCCACCGTGTGATGCAAATTGTTGAAAACTTCATCTATGCTGCAAACTGTTGAATAATAAAAAAAGGAAAATTCAATAAAAAAAATGACCTTGAAGAAGAAGGTGAGAATTGCTGCTTCTCCGAGCGACAACAAGGAGAACAGCTCTTCGTCGGAAAGTACAATGAAAACAAAATCTTCGAGCTCGGGTTCACTCAATATAAAATCATTGATTGCAAACAAACAGCAGAAGAGAAGGAATGTTGAACAAAATCATCATGACCATTCCGATCCTAATGACGATGAAAAATCATCAAAGAAGGTTAAATTCAGCGCTAATACGAATGGAGAAAGTATTTCAATTTTGGATAAATTGAGAAACAAATTTATACATGCATCAATGAAAGCAGAACAAGGAGGGATGAAGAGATTCACCAACAAATTTCATATGGATCCATTTGCTTCCTTGTTATCCCCCAAGATGGAAATTCCAGAAAGTTTTGCCGCACAGCACCACATTGACGAATACACGATGAATATTCCAAAATATCATTTTCAAAACACTCAAAATCCAATATTTATTGAATATCGTACCAATGACCTGAGCGACAATTCCTATCAGAAGCTTTGTGTCTGTATTGATTTTGATAAGAAGGTCAAAGATGTTTGGTATCATCACTTTTATAGACCTTGGCAGGGTGATGAATTAAAGGATGTTGTTGAAAAATTGGAGAGCCGAGAAATGACAGTCATAGATACTATCAATTCTGAAACTGTGGATGGAGATAAGGCACTTGTTTTGGGAGACATGATTCAATTTGTGGGTACCATGAAGGAAGAAGAATTGAATGCCATTTACAAGTCTTTCACGAAGGAAGAGCGTGTGAAAAAATTACTATCCACTGAATTGAGCGAGAATGAGAAATTGGAGGACGTATTCATTACAGAAACGAAGAAATCCAAATTTGAATTCAGCATTGAAGATACACCCTTGGCTGGAAGCAACTCATCTACCAATATTTTGGATAAGATCAAACGAGACAAATCCTACACGTTGAACGAGCTTTTGGTCGAAGATGACCTTATTCGAAAATGGAAGGAATATCTTGATCAAGTGACGGAAGACGAAAAATCTTCAGCCAAGTCCCAACAATCCAATCAATCCTCACATGCTGCTCTAAGGTTGAAAATTAAGACAGGATCATCCTACAGTAACCCAAAAAGTATCACACCTCCTACTCACTTCCGAGATGATTTTCAAGGTCGATTATTCGCCATTATGAATGATTATAGAGATTTATATTTCCCAAATTGCACTCTCGATAACCATAGAGTTTGTGTAGAGACGTATACTCTTCATATTGTGAATCATTTGCTCAAGTAAGTATTTGACTTTAAACTGGATCAGAACAATTTCACACATTACTATCATACCATTCATTAATAATCACTCTATAATTCCGAAAAGAACAAAACGATATGAATGGTACAATGACACAAAAAGAGAATTCTATTCAAAAGAACAATATACCGTTCGAGATGACAGCTACAACACTGCTAAAATTTTGGTATTGGTGCCAAACCGTTTTGTTGCTTTCCTTATTGTAGAACTCATGCTTGAATTGATTCCAAAACTTCTCTCTATTCGAAGACGGGAAGCTTTCGAGTTGACCTTTGATGCTGACGAGGACGATGAAGAAATTAAAAAGACAAAACCAGTTTGGTGGCAACAAATTTTCGAAGGAAATACTAATGAAGAGTTCAGTTTAGGTCTGAAATTGAAAGATCATCATGGACAATTGGAGATTATGGCCCCTGTTGCTGAGTCTGATGTTATCATAGCTACACCTATTGGAATACAATTGGAAAATGTTGCAGACAGATAGTAAGTTTTATATTTTTGAGAATGGTTATGAATAAGCCTTACAAATACTACGACCTTCAGCGAGAGATTTTTATCATCGATTGAAGTTTGCATTATTGATCAATGTGACAAGTTATTAATGCAAAATTGGGAACATGTCACCAAGACTTTGGATATTGTCAATGTTGAGGAACAGCAAAAATTCACTTTTGATCTTGATTTTGACATTTTGAAGGAATATCATATTCAAGGATTGTAAGTTTGTGTGAAAGTCAAATTTCTAATCGCTCTAACGTTTGATTCTTTCTTGAATCAACCACCTTATTCTCATTTTCATTTCTAACACTTCTACAGCGCCAAGTACTTTAGGCAAACCATTGTCCTAAGCTCATACATGAGTCCTGATATAAATGGGCTCGTGACCAAATACTGCAGGAATATGAGAGGACTCGTGAAAACTAGATCCTTCTATGATGGAGTGTTAACACCTCTTGCAGGAAATATTCCTCAAATTTTCGAAAGAATCTCTTGTACCGATCCAACAGCAGTCGACGATGAACGATACAACTATTTTGTGAACGCTGTGTTTCCTCGATTCAAAAACAGCATGGATGGCAGATTTCTCATCATTGTATCTTCCTATTTGGATTTTGTTCGATTGAGAAATTATTTTGACATGTGCAACATTCCATTCTTTGGAATTTCAGAATACACTGAAAAAACGAAAAATGTTCTCACAAAATTCAGACAAGACAGTGCCAACTTTTTAGTGTATACAGAACGACACTTTTATTACCATGCACCAAAATTGGCAGATTTCAAAATCAATCAAATAGTGTTTTATTCACTTCCAGAAAATGCATTCATTTATGAAATTTTTGGAAAGAAAGGAATTAACATTCGATCTCAATATCCATCGTGTCGAATCTTGTCATTATTTACCACATTTGATGCTCTCAAATTGGAACGTATTGTTGGAACCCAACGATGCAAGCATTTGCTCACTTCTGATACTGATATTAATTTAATTGACAAGTAAACGAATTTATTATTGAAATTTCTTGTTTGCAACATTAATTCCAAAATGAAAAAATCAAATCAAAAAAAATGAACCAACAAACATTTGCCATTCTTCATCCCTCTCCATCCACCGGAATTCCAGCCTATCTTTCGTTACATTCCGAAAATTATAATCCCTATTCGTCCTCTCCTCCTTCGGGATCATCTTCTTCCTCGTCTTTATTCAAAGATCAAATTCAAATCATTACAAAAACAGGAGAACACTGTATCAATACCTCACTTTCTCCTTTTCAAATTAAAATTCAAGTCAAATGTTGTGGACTCTCAAAATTAGACTCACAAGTACGAAGAGGAACATTCCCGTTATGGAAATCCCAATTTTCATCATCATTGGAATCAAAAATTATTGAAAATTCGGAGCATCCAGAAGCACCATCTTTGTCTTCCTGTTGGATTATTCCTGGATATGAAGTGAGTGGAGTAGTGACTCAAGTTGGAAAAAAAGTCAATTCAAAAGTATTTTCGGTTGGAGATTGTGTCATGGGATTTATACCCGTACAGAATTTGAATGAGTATTCAGGTAGTCTCAATTCACAACAATCATCCAATACAAAACATCATCTGTAGATTCCAATGAAGATTCTAATGAAAATAATTTATCTCACCAACTGATCATGGAATCACAAGATTTTGAAACAAGTTCCATGATGATGACGAATCCAGTATTGCCTTCCTCTCTGAATGGTGGATGTTCGACTGAATGTGTAGCCGATGCTCACTTTTTTGTGAAAATTCCCAATGGCATGTCATTTATCAAAGCATCAAGTGCGATCATGTGTGGAATTCGTGCCTATGACACATTATTTTTCAAATGCGCCTCTCCTATTCGACAAGGAGATGTCATCTTTGTGAGTAGTGGAGCTCGATGGGAACAAACTTATTTATTGCAATTGGCAATTTTATTAGCGAAATGTCGAGTCATTACAACAGTACATACCGATGAGGAAATTAACTTTTTGAGAATGATTTCATCTCGATTGACTTCATCAACGTATTTGAAACGTCATCATCGACAAGGACTAGTCACCTCGAGTAGTAGTGACAAGTTGAGTGATCGTTATGGAGCTAATTCTGGGAATTTGGATGATGAAGAAAATGATCATGACGACTCAATGATGACGAGCCACAATGGAGCAGGATCTTGGGAAATTCTCCTCCTTTTGATACTCAATACATTTCATCCGTGTTGTCCATGATGAGGAGTGGAAATTCTGCAATTAATCCACTCGTCATTTTGGATCGAAGACTTTATGACACTCCTGAAAAGTTGCAACAAGCCATAATGAAAGAAACTAATGGGCTTGGTGTGCAATTGGTTGTGTTGGGAGAATCTGTATTGATTCCAAGCAGTGGTAACGTACACTCACGAACGAGTCAAGAGAAACAACAGAACAGCAATTTACCAAAGGATCGAAACCCCACGACTCGCTTCATTGACATGTGCCTTAATGTATTGTCGACGCACGGCACTCTAGCATTTAGTGAATTTTGTGATCATGGTTTGACTGCTTCACATTTGGAATTCATGTATTCGAAATCGATTGCAATGACCAACATTTTTGAACAGAGCTATGTACAGAATACGAATTTGATTGGAAGATATCTACGTAAGTACATGATGATGTCAATATTTCGCTTACTGAATTGTACTGTTGCAACACTGTAACTCTTGATCATATGGAACTCACAGACATCCTCAATAATATTGTAAAAGACATTCATGAAGAGCATATTGAAATTCCGATTGCTCATTGCCTTTCCCTTTCTTCCGTTCGAGATGCACATCGAAAACTTGACAACTCCATCACGGGCTCATCTTCATCCTCTTTTGTTGGAAAGATTGTCATCAAAATGTAATAAGGTTGTCTCCAAAGAAGCTTAATAAATTATTCAAATGTGAAAGCTTGAAATTACATCGGATCCAAATACATGAAATCATTGATGGTTTTGATTTTGAATTTGAAATTAAATAGATGACTCGAGTTTATTGTCCCTACAATTTGTCATCCAAACACGACTCACACCAGTCTTGATGAGAATGTTATTGCAATAATCTCACCATAACCGATAGAATTTACTAGCAGCCAAAACTGAAATATATAATTTGTTCATAAATTACTTGAGCTTTGAAAAGAGAGTTTCAGAAGCCTGTTCCGTTGAAAATGATGATTTTCGTTGATGAAGGGAAACAAATATATTATATGTTGAATGATGAATAAGTTGTTATCATAAAATTCCAAATTAATGATGTTGTATAATAATAATAATCGTGCAAAGTCAATTTTGCCAAACCATGTGTTTGGTTATTCCGCACATGATGATGAGTTGTATCAATTGAAATTCCATTTTCCATACCAACAATTTTCATCCGAACATAAACAAGATGATGATAACATCATGGTTTTTCATCACAACAAAAATGTTTTCATCATTATAAATATATACCAACAACAAATGTCACCATCCAAACTAAAGTACATACACAATGATCAATGCAAGTTCTCATATCAAAAAGCCAAGCAGCACAATTCTTCTCTCCGGTTTCATCTCCTTCAATTCTTTTCACGCATCCTTCATAATCAGCAACTTCTTGTTGGCATCTAGAAGCAGCACAAGTAGCACGGAGTTCAATGGCTGGATCCACAATTTCTTCCTCTTCGTCCTCTGATGGCAATACCTTATTCACAATCTTGGCGTTCATGGTGCGATTATTTTTGAGAATTTTTTAAAGAGTTTACAACGAGGTCTCTGTTGTGTCCTGGCCGGCTTACGGTTTAGGGATTGAATGCTCTGTTTGAAATGCTTGAAGAATGAATTGAGAGGTAATTTTCTCTCTATAAGAAAAAACAAAAATAGAGAAAAATGGAAACATCCAAACTTAAGCCACCAAAACGTTACACAGGTCACCCGCTTGCTGACGGCTTGCTATGCACAAGAGTTTCAAGCAAAAAGCACACCAAATCAGAGAAATGTTGTATTTGTGCTGTTTCCCATAACAGATGGAGCAGAACATATATTTTAACAGAATTCGGAGTAAAAGTAGCACAATTAATGTTGAACACAACAACGCTGCTCTCAAATGAATGTTGTGCTCGCTCCTACCAAAATCTTCTCAAATATTACGACGAAAAGAAACAATGGATAGACTCTGTTTGCTTATAAGTTAAATAATAAGAGATTGCAATGAAAACCAACAACTTGTGAAACGTGAGAATAGCGCTAGTGTGTCAATCATAAAATTAAGATTGTCGTGTGTATGTAATAATTATTGAAATTGATGGGTATTGAAGATAATATCCACTGATAGAGCTTCTTTGGTGGGGTAACTTTACAAAAGATGGAGTCGCGTTAGGAATCATGGTTGATCCAGCCTCAACAAAATTAGGTCTTACGGTTTTTTGAAGTACATTCATAAATTTCTGCTTTTCTTGAACAATCAAACCACTGGCGTCACATAATTGCTTCCTCTGTAACATTGGATAATCTCCTTAATTTTTTGATCATTTTGCAGTGCTGAGGTAACTATTAAGTGTTCCCAAAAACTCTGTTCTTTTTCAAGGAAAGGATAGACATGTCCTTGAATGAGCTCATCTTCCGTTTTGTTTTTAATATCCGTGTCCAATAAATTGAAGGTTAATACTGCGTCATAACCAAGTTCTTCAATACAGGGACCAAACACTTTTGAAAAGATGGACCGCCCACAAAAGAGACATGTTCTATCATGAACGCTAATTGATGACGCTTTTCCTTAACTTCCAATATTGTTTGGTATGAATTGGTGAATTTCACACAAAGCTTCTTTTCCTTTTCTAATAGTTTGGCTCAGTGATTGTCTTGCCAGTTCCATAAACTCTTCATCTGTTTCATCGAGAGCAAATCTAAGAGCGTCAAAAAATGTCTCAATTGCTGCTCTAGTTACTTCTCTGTGGTCCTTTTTTACGGAACCAGAAATCCATCGAAATGCCTTGGGGAACATTTCACCAATTGCAAAGCAGCTTCTTTGTCATCAATTAGCTTTTTAGCAAATTGTAATGATGTGAATGGGTGAGATTTTACAGCAAGGAGAACCACCTCTAAATCATTTCTTAATTCTGTGGGAAGGTCTTTGATTGTACATCCTCCAGAAACAGCGCAAAGAGCTAATTCCTTGTCAAAGAAATGTTGGAAGGAATGTGTTCGAGAGAGCATCCATGTTTCAAAGCAAATTTAACCATTTCTTTGTCCACAGTAATTACCTTTTGATACTCTTCAGATGATAAATATTCAAAATATTTCCATTCACAGCTAACATTTGCATTAGCAACTTTTTGTCATGCCTTAGAGATTCATGCAAATATTTGAATGCAGATGCGTTGCTTGATAGAAATGGAATAACTCTTTCATCTTTTCTGAAGCTAATGGGTGCCATAGCTATCAATCTTTTAAAACTTGCTTCATTAATTCTAGCCAAACCTTCAAAAAAAGAAAAATCTGAAAAGCATCGATCATCAACAATAGTAGACACATTACTACGACCATCACCAAGTAAATACAAGTCATGTTGTTGTTGTTTTACATAATCGTTAAGCGTCCAAGGCATTTTATGGATGATTCCATATGCCTCGCCTTCATCCCATGAATAGAATTCATAGTTTGTTTTTGATAGCATTGATTTTGGATTTTCTTTTCCAATAATTGTCAATAAATTTAGAGCATTTTCATAACTATCCTCAATTGACCATTGAAACAAAATGTGCTTCAATTGGTCGGCTAGTGTTCCTTGATGATTACTGAGCTTCATCCAAAAATCAGTTCTTCTATAGGCACATCGGTCATAGTCAGGGTAATAATAACCACCGTAAAAATTTGCAAACACAGCGTTTCCATCATGCAACACATTAATAATATTTCCCTCGCTGCTGTCAAATATTGAGTACCCATTTTCCCAATTCAGTTTATAAAGTGGCTGCGTATCAATGGTGAAAATAATTTCTAAAGAATAGCAACGAGAGCTAGTTGGTGCTTGTAGCAGGATCCATTGGAATTATTGGCCACATCTAGATGAGGTTCTTCATCTTCGCTCTCTTTCTCTTCTTCATCTTCCTCTCTTCCTCATTTTCAGATTGTGTGGACTCTTCTTCCAAGATTTCATCTTCTTCGTCCTCGTCATCCTCATCGCTCATAGTATCTGTTGTTTTCCTTCTCTTAAAAGGATGTTCATTTAAAAACAACTTCAAGAATCGCAACCCATACTTGAGTAACTGTTCAATTTTTTCATCTTTCATTTCTGTATTAAACTTTTGTAACACGTCTGGTATGATAGCACTCTTTTGTTCATCATCAAGCTCATGAGTGTCCAAATCTCGAATCAAGAACTTCCATCTCTCCAACAACCATTCTTTCAAAAACAAAACAAACTGTTTCTTTTGAAAATAGTTCAAATACCATTCGGAACAAGTGATCATCAATGTTTCAAACATGAATTTCGGATGACAATATGAAAATATTTTCTGCAAAATATACGGATCATATTCACGTAAAATACTAAACACGTGATTTGATGAATATTGCTTTTCCTTTTTACTTGGAGGTTCTCTTCCATCATTATTGATTTCTGAAGAATTGTCCGAGCTTACCATCCCCTCCGCACTGATCTTTCGTTTCATTTTTTTTGTAAACTGATGTCAACCAAAAGTTTTCCAATTATTTCATTCTGCGTGAATAGAACTTTATCATTTAATTCATGAATTCAATAAAGAAACTCGTTGTTGTTTAGTATCAAAAAAAGTATCACGTGTATGGTTATTTCATTTTTTTCATTCGTTCCATCCGTTCACTCATGGACTTGTAAATATCAGTCGTTTCAAACGACGAATATAATGGATAGAGCATGGTTGCTTTGATGTCTCTGACAAGCTCATCAAATAAATCCATCACACAACCTTCGTTTTGCATTCTCAATTTCATTCGTTGGACCAATTTTTGAGAGGTGTTAATTTCAAATATGGAATCTTCTTCAAAGAAAGTCTCAATAATTTGTTGAGCACACACTTGATGATCTTCTCCCAGAGAATGCATTTCATTACCATTGTAGGATAAGACTCGTTCATTTCGTTCATTGGGTGGTGTTTGAATGTCCATAATTGTCAATTCATATTCTGACATTTGTTGTTGCATTTGTAATTGTTTTTGCATTTTGGAAGTGTGTGCTTTACACAACACCTTGTATACATTCACTTGTTCAATAAACATGACCAATTCCAAACTGAAAATATTACTTAGAAAAGCCTTAAAATATGTTCTCATGGTGACATTTTCAAGAATTTGATCGAGTTGAGTGGAGAATGAAGTATTCGATTCTGCAACACTATTCGACAATGGAGAAGATGCACCTTTGTGGTCTCCTCGAGGAGTTTCTAATTCATGTCCCAAACTCGATGTTATTTGTAACCTCTTTTTCTTTCCTTCCTTAAAAATTCCTTTCATATTTGGAAATAATTTCAATAACTTGGGAATGTCTGGTTTTGAGGCATTTTCAAATTCTTTTTTCAAATCCATCTCCTTCTCAGATGAAAGATAAATTTTCCAAAATCAGGTCTTTCGCTGATCTTGGTAAATGCATAATTAGATTCTACAACTCCATTCTGAACCAATAACATTCCAAAATGTGTTAAAATGTTCATTTGTCGAAAATCTTTTATCGAAGGCAAAAATAGTTTCTTACACTCTTTAAATAATGCTTTTAGAATGGCTGGCATTGCAAGAAAGTGTTTGAAAAGACCTGCACTCCGGACCAGGAGATTAGTTTTCACTTGTGAAGTGACACGACAGTTCATTAAATTGGTATGAGCTAATTTGGAAGAGGCTTTTTCTTCATTTTCTTGATGACAAATGATGGGAACTATGTTCATCATGAGAAACGATGGTAAATATTCTTGAATTCGAGAAATGACACCTATATATTTCATTTTCACACAAAATTTCACATTTTACAAAATTAATTTTTTTTAAAAAGAAATTATTTAACGACATACTTTGACATAATGGACATCCAAACCACTTGATCACTACCAACAAGACCACATGATCCTTACTCAATTCCAACACTGAAGCGCCACATGGATTTACAACCATTTCCTTTTCAAACATGTTCATCAATGGTGATGAAACAACTCCAATCTGAATACCATTTGTTGTTGTTGTCGACGTTGTCTTGGTCGTTACCGATGAAGAAGAAGAACTAATACCCATCGATGTTTCTGAAATGCCTCCGGATTGAATCGAAGAATTTGTTGTTGAAACCATGGTGCATGTGGACGTAGCGCTTGTTGAAAATCGTTGATGATTATTGTTGTTGGATGTTGGAGGAGAGAGGATGTTATTATTCTTATCGTTGCCGTAAGATGTTGTTTCAATGGTGCTGGTCATCGATTAGGTACGAATGTGAATGGTGTGGCTGTGTGAGAATAATAAACAGAAGCAAAATTGAGGGAAGCTTTGAACTCTTTTTTTGTGAAAAGAACGAGGAAATTTTTTAGTGAGCTTGCAGTCTAATTGAAAAGTGACAGGTCCGTTCAAATTAATCATGCACGAATTGGACGATTCACTGAGATTGAAATAAGATATCACATGATCATTCAAATAACATGTTAGATGGAAGTTTGGATATTCGTGAGCTTGCTTTGAGAAGTTAATTGTCAATTGATCTTTAACATGCCAATTCTTCAAAAATAGGAAAATGTGTAGGCAAATCAAAGTGATGCGACACTAGCAAATAAACTTGATACTCTCTCAACTTTGTAAATTCCCTTTCTAATGGCTTGGTGTTTACACTCTTTGAAAAAAAAGGTAACATTATTACACAAAATCTCTTTCCTTGCATACATGACAACAATACTTTCAATTTGTTCACACAACCCAAAGTCAGTTCATATCGACATTCATTGTGGTTGTACAATAGTGTACGTTGTTCATAGAAGAAGAAGGTGCTATAATGACCATATTTCTCCTTGAGATTATTGGAGAGAATTTCTTCCTTTTCAATCATGCTTGTATTTTCTGTGTGTTGATGTTCTTCTTGAGAAATGGCAAACGCTGTATCAATTGTCTCGATGGTCATACTGAATTTTCCTCCTTTATATTCTGAAAAATCTCGTTCCATCTCCTTCTTTTGATTTTCATTTTCACAAAATAGAATACATTTGGCTGTTGAAGAATGGCGAATTCGTTCCAAATCATTACTGCACAATTGAGATTTTGTTGATAATCGTAAATCACATGGAGAATAAAAATTTGGTATCTTCTCTTTCAAATAATCCAACAATTCATAGTTAACTTCTCCATCATCATTGAGAATGTATAATAAATACGAGGACGTTTCTTTCACAATGTCGAGACAGTTTTCAACAAGTGTTTCACAAAATGCTTTGCAATAATTATGTTGAATTTGAAGAGAGAATTCCTGTTTGTTTTTCTCATCTTGACATAAATCTTTCAGTGAAATATCCTTATTCCAATTCAAATAAAGTCGCAAAAATTGACACTTTTTTTGATCGTATGGAAAATTCAGACAAATGTCACGCAATCCTTTCAAGGGATAAGAATAACCGTTTCGAATTAATTTTTCCAAACGCGTCCATGAACTAGAGTTAAGATTCTTAAGCAGTGGAGCCCATAAAGATTCGTATCCTTTAACATCTTTTTGGTAAAGGTGTATACTTTTTAACACTAAATTGCACTCATCATTGTTTGCTTGATATTTAAAATTTTCAAAATAGGCGTGTAAAAGGACAGTATCTCTTGGATTGAGATGAGAATAGTGAGGTAAATCACAATCAATAATAAATTCTAACGCCATTAAAAACATTACATTTGACAAGCAAGGAAAATATCGCTCTCGAAAGGATAGAAACCATTTCATAAAAGAAAAATAAGATCGTCTCTCAATAGATTTTCCATTCTGCATTTGCACAAAATAACCAATCACTTCAATCTTGTTTACAGGAGTTTCCAAGCTTTCATTACTCGATACATAATTATTTGGAACTAGTTCACATTCATCAATCGAGGTAACTGTGCGTCTTTTTAATTCGTCTTCACTTTTGAAAACTTGAGCCAAAATGGAAACCTGATTTCTTCGATTTGACTTTTCACAGGTGAAGGTGTATTCTCTCTGTTCATCATTTTCGTAAAATTCGAAAGTAATTTCAGTTCTGCTAAAATATTCAGAACCCTTTTTAACTGATTTTATATGTTTTCGAAATGATAGTAAACTTTCATAGAGTTCAGAGTTGAGATAAGACATGTATTCAATCCAGCATGTAAAGGTGTCGTTGAGAAATGTAGAGGAAGGTGGTGAAGATTGATTTTCTTGATTCGAGGATTTCTTCGGAGCTGTTAGTGTTCGATGTTGCTTGAAATAATTATCGGAACTGATGAGATCATTCCAACACTTGCAAACAAGCGAATATTTGAAAAATACAGAGGGTGCAAGAGAGAATGAGAAGATTTCAAACATGACATCACGAATTTGATGAAATGGGGTGGATCTTTCAGACATTTTTTTTGATCTGCACTGTCTGGGTTGTGATTGCAGCTGCTTTTTAAAATGCAGATGCAAGAATATTCATCATTGACGTTGTGCTATTATTATTTCGCTTCTTGTCTTCTTCTGATTCTACTGTTATTTCAGAAATGCACAATATCCATCGTTTTGAATTGATATCGTACCTGTGATCACATTGTCAACCAAGGCAAAAGTTTTCAGAATTCCATTTGTTAATAAATGCAATGTTCATTTTGAAACCTTGTATGATTTCATCGTGAAATGACAGCAAAGAGTTTGTCCTTGTGCCAGTTGTGGTTTTGTATCGGAATCAATGACAGCATAAGAATCATCTTGCGCTTATCATTACTGTTAAGGTCACGATCATTCGTTCCTTATTCATTTAAAAAAATGTCAACACCACTCAGCTTGAGATGGGAACACATTCCTTACAGCACACAAGGAGATAATCTCCCCACAGGAGGTGGAATTAGTCATACCATCATTGATGAATATCGATTTGCAGTGTTTGGTGGCCTCGGATCCAGACGATACAATGAATTGTATATTTTCAATACTAGGAGCAATGAGTGGTTGAAGGCTTCGATGGAGAACGCCCCTTCTCGGAGATGTAAGGCTTCTTTGTGTTGCAGAGAAATTCAAACATTATCACCCAAAGACAGTACAACCGAAGTGGTCAAGAATTACAAGTTGTATGTTTTTGGAGGTTGGACCAATGAGGGTAAAACCAATGATCTCTATGAATATGATGTAGCACAAGATGAATGGAAACAACTCAAGCCCAACAATGCATCGTCATGTTCGCCGCCAGAAAGAAGCGCTCACTCTTGTGCTGTCGTTGGAAAATACATGTATCTCTATGGAGGAATTGGGAATAAGAAATATGGTGACATGTATCGATATCACTTTGAGAAGAATGAGTGGGAATGTGTCAATTCTATGAAAGGAGATGTACCCTTGCCTAGATCGTCATATGGAGGTTTGATAACGTTGGTGGGGAGTATTCCATCAATGCCTCAATTTTTAGTGACCTGTGGATTGGGTAAGTGTTAACTTCTGTAAACGGGAATTTTACAGATACTTTTAAGGTTGTGGTCGTTACAATGATACCTTTGTGTACGATGTGAAAGAAAAACGTGGAAGTTGTTGACATGTAGTGGCGACATTCCCTCAAAGAGAGGTCGTCATTCTTGTGTGTTGGATGAGGAAACTGGATACTTATTTCTTTACGGCGGTTTTAGTAAGTTTCAGCGTTTCAAATCGTGTTCTTATCAAAACGAACAAAGCAGCTGGTTCAGAATGTTCTGGAGAATGCTTTTCTTTCAATACATCCACGAATGAATGGAAATTATTGAAGCAGATCAACCCACCTCCAAAGAGAGAAAGTGCATGCTGCGTCATTTTAAACCACAAGTTGTACATGTTTGGTGGGTGGGGAGGTGACGCAAAATTTTTCAATGACATGCATGTTGCCACTTTTGAATGAGTTCATAGTCTCATATAGATATCATGCACATCTCTTTCGAAAATGTAAATTTCTTGACATTGTTTAATTTCGTGATTCTGTACTGACCTACCTTAATGAGGAATTTCATAGGTAGGATTTTGGAAGTGGCCGATAGAAAGATCAAAAATAATCGATGGAGTAAATGAATCCAACCCTTCGGATCTGGTTAATTAAATTAGTTCCTAGAATTTGTATGGTTGCAATAGTATTTTCTACAGTTCTTTGGACATTTTTTCCATATAATTCCAAAGCTCGTTCACAGAATATCTTTCATTATAATCAAGCTTGAGCATGTTGGTGAGTAGTTGAGAAATTACGTGCATATAACGAGTAACTTCCGAGTCATTGCTGAATGATGACGAATCGAGAAGACAAACTTTTTCAATAAGAGAGTCCACAGAGCTCTGTTGCTTAGCATTACCGACAATGAATACTGTATGATCGTCATCAACAAGCATGTCTTTGGAAGCAATTTTAACAATATCATATTTTTTGAATTGTTGGACTTTTCTCATGATATTTAAAATGACAACTCCCAAACTCCAAACATCACATTTGTCAATAGGTTTTGTGACCTCCTTAATATTAGCCATTTCTGGAGATAAATATAATATGGTACCTCTCCTCCCTTATGAGTTTGTTTATCATTATTATAGCAAACAGGTCTTCGTCAATCGATCGAACAACAAGAAGTAGCATGCTTACCAGATAATACCGCATTGGATGTAGTAGAAAAATCAAAGTCAATTAATTTAACTAATTTGTCTCTATTGAGCATGATATTTGCTTCCTTGATATCCAAATGACAATAGCCAGCCATATGAATCGATAGAATACCACTCACTGTTTGTTTGATAATTGAGAATAGAGTTTTAAGAGTATTCAGGGAGAGAGATCCTTTCAAATAACGTCTGGTGTATGAATATAAATCATAGTCCATTTTTTGCATTACCATTTCAACTACATGGGTGTTCGATTCCTCTACTTGGACTGTTTGTACATCATAAATATCCACAATGTGTGACTCTGGATTTTTTGAAATTTCCATAATTGAACGATGCTGTGTGGGATGCAACATGTAATTTCACAATATTTTTAAAAGTGAGTGAATTTTTCATCAATTACCTCAACAAATTCTCTTAAAATATATAACCTACCATTGCCACATATTCTTGAACCTTTACAGGATTTGTAAAAAAACATTGCTTGAGAGCTAATTTTCTTGAAATCCAGAATGGTATTTCCAAATGTGACATGTTGAGAGCCTTTGATTTGACAACATAAACAAAACCATTTGATCCTTTTCCAATTTCCGCCACAATTTTCAAAAAAGATCTAAATGGTTCAGTAAGAGGATGTTCATCTTCTGCATGAAGCATGGCTCCAAAATCTTCTGCATACCGTTCTTTGAGTTGTATCAACAAGTCTCGTAATCGTTTTGGGTTTTGGCCAAAACAACCTCCTACAAGATTGATCATGTCGCAAGATTCCATACATACTATGGAACAACAAGCTTGATGCATGAGTATCATGAGGCAATCTCCTCCGTTCGGAATGCTGTTTCTTGCAGATATGGTCACAGCACAGTGATGCAATGCAGATGAATGGATTGGGCTTCTTCTTTGTGAATTGATGATACTCCCTTCTTGTTGCATGAATGGAAGAAATGTCTCACGGCCAGGCACTCGGAAAACAATGCAATCCGCACCTTCTAATTGGCATGGAATTTGAATGTTAAATAAACCCTCTTTCTGAAAGCAAATTGTTAAATTTTCGAGCGAAACAGCATGATGAATGTGGTCACCACTTTGACACATGCTTTGAAATTGATGTAGAATGGTTGGAATTTCGCAAATTCGAACACGAACTTGCTCACCCATGAATAGTCGGGTCGGAATGCTTTCAACTTCATAGGAAGGGCTTGTTGTGGAGCTTCCAATATTTGTGTTTCGAGGAACGTCAAGACCGCTGCTGGATGGTGTTGTGACTTTTGATGAAATTTGATGAATTGAGCCATTAGCAAGAGAGGTCGGAATGTGGCCATATAAATTATTATTATTATTTGAATTGTGATATAAATTGGAAGAAGTGCTAGGATTGTTATTGGGAAGGGTAGAGGCTAGGGAAGTTGGTTCAGGAGACGGCGATAATGAAGGTGATTTTACACTGTGATCATGGTGATGATGATTGGTACTCAATTTACGTTTTTTAAGATGTTGATGACCGTAATAATGAGAAGAGTCTTCATGGTTCATAAGAGGGGATGATGATGGGATTCCCGACGTGGGACACGATGAACAATTGAACGATGGAATGTTATTGTTGGAAATTATTGGATATGAAACGTTGCCGATGAATAGAGGTTGTTGTTGCTGTGGGAGTGGTTGCTGCTGCTCTTGAATTGAGCTTGTACTATGAACCATCGTGGTGGTAGGTATGGTCTGATGAGAGCAATAGGTAGGAACCGAAACAAGTGGTACATGGGCATGAGAGTGAGGTGGATGATGAAAATAATCATCAACAGGAATGATGTTGTTGTTATTTCCGAGAGGATGAGAATGTACAACTTGTTTCTGCTCATTTGGATTGCAAGGATGTGGTTGTTGTTGGTTCATACTACGATGTAATGGCTGCCAACAACAATGATGAAGAGATAAATTTTAAAATCAATAAATAATTTAACGGAAAAAACACGCGAATCACTCCAAAACAATCATCACGAATTTTTAAAATTTGTTTCTTTTTGAAAAATTAATGCGAGCGAAGGAGTTCACTTGTTTCTCTTCATGAGAATTCATGTCTGAAAATTCAAAAAGTTCATTAAGGTAGACAGCAATGTTGAAAGTGCTAAACTATGAACATTGAACATCAACGTATCTTTCTTTTGGTGTTTTCAAACTGCCCGACATTGTAAAAAAATGTTGACAACAACTGGTGCCAGCAGCATTCAACCATCAGAAGGTCAACCATCATGTGTTGATTTTTCCAATTCCGAAAGCTCAAGAAAAAGAGCTGTATTATATGGATTGCTCATTGGAGATTGTTTAGGCTCAACCAGTGAATTTAAACATCCAAAACTTGAGGTTCCGAAATTAATTTCGAAAGAAAGTACTGGATGGCCTTTTCAATTACAAAGCAATTTTACTTGGAAGAAGGGTGAATCCACCGATGATGGTGATGTAGGTTTGATATTTTATAATCCAAACAAATTGTTTCTCATTTGTGTGGTGATCAACAAAAAATTTTCGTAAATGACGACATTTAATACATGAAATGGACTGTAAACACTGAAACAACAATTTCCAAAGATGGCGCTTTGTATTGTCAAAAGTTTTTACTTGCTCAAGTCACAATTCGATCCAAAACATGTCACTCAACAATATTTGGAATGGCTTGACACAGATCCGAAAGATGTTGGATTCACAACTCGACAAGCGTTATTGAAAACCAAGAAGTATTTGGATCAAAATTGTGATGAAAATGGTTGGTACAGAGGAAGTTTAGAATTATTTAATGAAAACGAGTCAAAACCTGCGAATGGAGCGTTAATGAGAAATGGGGTCATTCCATTGTTGACCAGTGACATGATGCAAGCTTTGGAATGGACTATTTTACATTCGATCATAACACATTATTCATTTGAGGCGGTACTTCCATGTATTATTCATACCATTTTAATTCACAAAGCATTGCAAGCTCACAATAACAATTTACCACTCGAATATCCTACATCAAAAACAATTTCAGAATTATTGAAAGGCCACACTGGTGAATGGTTTGAGTTTAAATCCAAATATTTGTATCAGAAAGTGGAAACTGGATCTGTGACAAAATATCATTCAGTGTTGACTGAATGGGTTCGAGTGAATGGTGGAAAAATTGCTCTCGAAATGGCAGAAACAAAACTTGTAAATGAATTACAAGATTTTGAAACATTCGAGCCATATGAATACAATTACAAGAATGTGAGTGGATGGAGTATTTTAAGTTTGAAAATTGCATTATGGGCTCTGTATCATTCACGCTCCACACGACAAGACGACTACACCAATTTCACACCCATTCCAGCACCTTCTCATTTACCCAAATGGCCATTCGAAAAACAGCCCAAAGGATTTGAGTCCATAGTTTTTGTGGTCATGATTGGTGCAGATGCAGACACATATGGAGCGATTACAGGACCACTCATGGGAGCGTATTATCCAGAAAATATTCCACAAGCCATGATTCATGATTTAATGCAACGTGAGACAGTGGAGAAATATGCGAATCATTTGTGGTCAGCAAGTATGTATGAAGATTGAGTCATGTTAAGGAAAACAAGTGTGAGAGTTGAATTTTCGTGAAAATAAATATTTTGTAATTTATTCTTATGCTTAACCAAACTCATTTATTGTTTACAATCGAAACAGAACAAATCAAGTGTGCCCAATAATAGTTCTCCAAACGTGCGCTTAGTGAGGGTTTCTTGTTATTGTTATCTATCTCATAAACATACCCCTTTGTATTGCGTTTGAATAAACAGCAACGTAAAATATCCAGCGTTGAAACTTAAAGAAAGATTTGTTGTTTGTTGAGTTTTATCAAACAAAAATACAATCAGCACTGCCTTCTCAACCGCTGTCAAACAACACCCTTCATTCTAATTCCCAAAAACAAATATCGAAAAGCATGCACAAAGCCATTTAATTAAACAACAGCTTCTCGTTCAGAAACTGAGATTCATCAGAAGGAATTATTGCTAGGGCGCCAAAATTTCCCGCCATCTCAAACATTTTTCAAAAACAATTTTTAAATTATTGATCGAACTGTACAGTCAACAAGAAGATTCGGGATGGAAGACTTTGAGGACGACAGTTTTGAAAATTATGAACCCGAAGAGGAGTATAACGACGAGCATGAATCATTTCATGAACCTAATCATGAAGAACATTTGGATGAACCAATTTATATTCCATCCTCAATGAATGATGATGAAGAAGTACACCAACAACAACAAGAATATCCTTCATCATTCGGAGATGATATTTATGGAAACATCTATGATGATGATGAAGTTCAAAATTCTAAAGAATTTCATCATCCATCGAAAGAGTCCGATCATATCATAGCTGTAGCAACAATACAGGAAAATGTAAATCAATCAGAGGAAAAAATTGTGACCAATACATCGTCTCATGTTTTGGAAGAGGAAGACGAATCGTTTGAAGATTTTGAGGATCATCACGATGAAGAGGAACAAGATTCTGCAAAAATTCAATTATCAACACAAAATATCATTTCACGAACTGCCACTTGTCAAGAACATTTAACAACCACTACGTCTCAACACAAAACAGAAACTGACCTGAATCATTCAACAATCTTAAATTCATCTTCGACAAGTAGTAGGGATGTTAACATCAAAGATTCAACATGTAAAATTTCGCTCTCAGCTCCAAAAACTCAACTTGTACCAAATCCCAAACACCTCCTAAAAAATCAGATCAGAAAAAACCATTTTCAACAGTACAAGAATATGATTACACACCGTATTATCAGAAAAGACAAAAACCTTACAATGAACAAGAGATTAAAGAATACATGAAACGAAAAAAGGCACAAGAAGAAAAACTATCAAAACAACGGCAAGAGTCGACTGTGGTCACTCCTTACTACCTTGCAAGGAAAAAACCCTATGATGAAGAAAAGGTGAAAGAATTTATGAAAATGAAACAAGAACGAGATCGTAAAAAACAGGAAGAACAAAAACAAGAAATTGTCAACAACAAGAAGCGCCGAAAAGAATTACTCAAAAACTTGACGAATACGTACACGATGTTTTTAAGGAGCTTAGAGAGAATGCTTCAAAAGAAAAGACTGTATCCTCTTCGAAAAACAAACCAGAAATGCCAGAATTTTTGAAAAAACAATTGGAACAAGAAGAAAAATCATCTCATCAAGTCATGGATCCTCGAAAACGAGTTAAGGAATATGGTAAGAAAGTGCGAGAAAAACTCGCCGAAGATCACGAGAAAATTATGGCAGAACGCAGACTTGCTAAAAAAATTGCCTTAGAAAAGAAACGACGAGAAATGCACCACTTGAAACTTGATCTTCACATGTCACATTTCAAACTACGAGAAAGTGATGAACAAAGTGAGGATTCGACATGGTCTAATTGGTCAGCACCTGCCAAGTTGTCAGATCTTGACCCCAAAACATATAAGAGTAAGAGTGACAAGTATTGTTTTAAGGTGACAAATTCAGTCATTCAACAAGATGGAGAACGTATCGACTCGGAGGTCAACAACAACACGACGTCTAAGGAACAAGATGAACACAGAAGAAAAATTATCGAAGAAGCATTGTCGTTGATAGCAGCAGCAAAACAACAACCGAGTCAGAAAGAACAGGTATCTAATCCAACATTACCAGCAAACGAATCATTCTCTAAATTGAATATTTCAGAGAATCAAGAATTTCAGCAACCAGATATAATCTCCAAATCAGATAGACCCGTCCTGAACAATTGTTCAAGTAGCAACAATAATTTTTCAACAGCGATTCAATCGTTGATTATGAATTTGTCACGAAAAACAAGTTCGAAAGAAATACAAGTTTCAGAGGAGATCAATTCTCAGACTCATTCTGAGACAAATCACAAACCAGAAACACCCAACATGTTTGGAGATGAAAAAAAGAACGAATCACATTCTCTTGTGATGAATGGTCAGCCAGAGAACAAACACCTACCTGAAACCATCTCATTGGAACATGATCAAGAACAACCTTCATGTAGGATTGAATATTTTGAACGTGCTCAATTGAGGTTTGGACTTTTACCTAAAAGTGACCTCCATATGAGCATTCGACAGTGGACAGCATTGAAGAAAATGACAAATTGGCTCAAGGGAACAATGAAGATTCAGAAATTGAATTTGCAAGTTTCACTGCACCTAAAAAGAAGAATCTCTTCAATGATGCAAAGCTGAGAGAACAAGTTGAGCGACAAGCTTTTGGGCCGATACCAACCATCCAGAACTGTCATTGTCACGTCCTTCATCGTCGATCCATGTCGAAGATGTGTCAGATTCTTCCATGACGGATACACTTGTCATTGTGAAAGTGAAGAAACTCTCAAACATGAAAAGAAGAACAAGAAACAATCATCAATCTCACGAAGGAGAAAACATTCTTCGCAGAACAAGAGAAGGAAATTTCACAGAATCATCCAAGAGCATTGGATGAACAATTGTCAATTCCAAGCAATTCTTCAGTTAAGAAGTCTCCACGTTTATTATTACAAAAGAAGCCATCGAGCAAGCTCATTCCACAGGACTTTGAGACAACAACACAAACCATACACGAAATTCAATCGAAAGAAATGAATGACAGTTGTGAAATTCTCCAATCAATTCCAACTCCACTCACCATTTCAGAAAATGATCATGACAACAACCATTCTGAAATCAAACAATCAATTCCTGTTCAACCTCTTGAATCTTGCAAAACGCTCACTATTGAAGATGACGATCAATCGTCAGAGGCATCATTTTCTAATGAATTTTACACAAAGAAAGATGAAATCAAAAAGATGGTCTTTTCACTCATGAAAAAACAAGAAACTCATCCCAACAAGAAGAAGAAGGAGAAACACACGAAAAAGTTAATATCACTTCTCAATCCAGCAGAAGTCACTCAAGATGACCCGTTTAACATTATAAGCACAATAAGAGAAAAGAAGAAACAAGAAGAATTATTGGAACGAAAAAGACGAAAAGAAAAAGTCAAACAAGAATTGGCCACGTTGAAGCAAGAACGAAAGGAGAGAATGCAACAACAATTGCAGAACAAGCAAAATCACTCAACACAAGAGAACCAAAATTCGAGTTCTCCAAATGCGAAGTGTCAAAATGAGAGTGGAACTCATGTTGGAATTCAAACCTATCCACAAGTCACCATTGAATATGATTTCGAGAAAGACGAAGAAGGGAGGAGAATGCATGTCACCGAGATCAGTGTGAAACTCATTCTTACGGTCCTGAGGAGATGTATCCTAACCTTTCTTCACCTCGAAATGATGAACAGAATTATTATTACACCTCTCAAACTTTCAATCAACAACATGTTCCACTACTGAACTATTGGGACTACTCACATCCTCCTTCGTTTTATCCTCATGGCATGGAAACGAGTATTCCAATGTCCAATGCACCACTTTTGGGAACTGAAAGAATCATTGAAAACCTTGTCGATGAAAGATTATCTCCTTCTGAGCTCGCAGAAAAATTACTCGATTCACTCACAGTCTATGAAAAAGTTTTGGAATCTGAGGCAAGATTTACAAGTTTACTAGCATTGAATAATTAGTGAAAAGTATACTACCATTGACTTGTCATCCACAGAAGTAACTTGGTTTACACTCATTCAATCCAGTGTATTGGATAATTTTTGGAGTACCCACAAAAGGAATTCCAGGCCACTCTTGAACGCTGGTAGACCCATGTCATTCGCAGAGTAACACGTGGAAAAGAGTCTCAATATTAGAGTGGTAATTCCTCCATCATATCTTGGACCGTCAAAGTCTAACCTGGCATATCGATCAGTGACAGTTGTTGGCAATGTAATTAAAATTTCATGTTTTTAAAAGTTTTAACATATTGATCGAGATCATCTTTTTCAAATTGACCATTGGCAAGTTCTTGAAGTGCGCTTTTCAATCGAGATGCTGCAATTTCACAAACTTGATGACTCACGTTGGCATAGCTAATTCGGAAACCTCCTGGCTTTCCGAAACAGCTTCCAGGAAGAACGGCGACTTTGTGCTGTTGTGGACGCATTCCATGTTCAAATATCATATAGTATTCATTATTACATATAAATTATATAAATTCATTTGTAATATAATTACCTTTCGAATGAGCCACTCAATGACTTGAAATTCTTTTTCCATTGTGACATGTTCTTGATTGAGGAAGTTTGGAAAGGTTGCCCAATAGTAAATGGCACCTTCTGGCATCTTTTCAAGTTGACACAAATCATGAATAGCTTCCCAAATGGCTTTTCTATTGTGTTTGAGAGTTGAGATTTTCTCTTCAGCCCATGGCTTTCCAAAGTCTTCCATGTCGAGTATACAGAATGCAAGTTGTTGTGAAACCACAGGTGATGAAATGACAACAGTGTCCTGAATCTTGTTTAAATGTAGAGCTAGTTCAGTATTTGAGCTTGGATATGCAATATAACCTAATCTCCAACCTGGTATACTGAATGCTTTGCTAAAGCTATAAAGATGAATAATGTGATCTCCTTGAGGTGTGTAATGATAACAAGTTTTTGTAGATGTGGCATTTGGTTGCTGCTGTTGTTCCACACTGGTATCATTGTAAATGAAATATTCATAAGTTTCATCACAAACCATCCACACACCATATTTTGCACATAACTGACTGATTGTATCGATTTGATATTGTGTGTAGACGGCACCAGTTGGATTACATGGTGTGGTCACAACAACCATTTTCAATTTGTTGCGTTGATTTTCTTGCTGTTTCATTAAATTTTCGAAAAATTCTGTAAAACGGCTCATGTCATCACAATGTCCACAACCTGGTTGATAGCCATCACATTCGTGACAATCAAATATCACTGGCTGCATTCATGTGTTGTGTGATTGAATACATAGTTAAATTTAATTGTCAAAAAACAATCGAAAACACCATACTTACCTTCACTCCAAACATTTGCAAGGCCATATAATGATTAAAATAATAAGGTCCAAACAATAAACATGAATCTCCAACATCACACAATGAGAGTAAGACGCTCACAAAACCCTGATTCGCACCACTCGTCAAGACCACATCCACTTGTTCCAACTTGTTAATGTGTCGTAATTTTTCCTTGACCTTTTCTCTCACAACTCTTCGTCCAAAATCATGTTCACAATAATTATGAATAAAACCAAATTCTGATCCCAATGTATTACAACTATTCATCAATTGATGTTGTAAGAGCGTTTGAAGAGCTTGTTCCGGAGGTTTGAAATAAACCATTCCTTGACAAAGGCTATACACCAAATCGGATGAACTGTCCTTATTATGTTGCTGTTGAAGAGAATGATTCACTTCGGAAATAATTCCACCAATCTTATTGATCATGGGCATATCAGTTTCCCGAATTCTCTGACTCAGAGTTAACCACTTGGTTTCATCTGATAATGAAGTAGTTGCCAAATGGTTTCATTCTTTTGTTGCTTTTCAGTGGTTGTGTCCTGATGATGACCATCCTTGTGATGATGATGATTAGAATTATTGGATGGTTCTGATTGATTCATTTCCGACATTTTTTTGGTGTTAATTACAAAAGATTGTAAGGATAAGATTTCACTTCAATGACAAACCATATGAGTTTCGAGATGGATAATGTCCTGTGTGTAATGGTACCACAAATATCTTGTAACGAATCATGACCAACTTGATGATGTCAGGCAACGATCACTCCGAGGAGTTGGAGTTCACATAAAAAGTAAAATAACTCGATTACAACTTTTGAATTTCCAGACCACGAAAAAAAGTCCACATAATTCTTACGCACGCCACTTGCGGATGCTTGCTCTTGGTTCGTCATAGTTCATCAAAAACAAGACCTAACTCCTGGTTGTAAACTCCATCGCAAGATCCGTAGGTTCACATTACACAGTTGGATCGGTCAACAAGTATTTAAAATTAATTGTTGCGAATCCGTTAGTGAAATTTCATCTCTAAAAAAACAAGTACAATTATCGACACTGCTTGTGAACAATCATGTTCAAAATGTCAACTGGTCTTGTCATGACTCTTCTCTTCATGACAATACTCATTGAATACTCAACAGTGTTACATCTTGCACATGCCTACATTCCAGTGTATGTCATGATGCCTCTCGATACTGTCTCTGAGAATGGTTATTTGAACAATCCCAAAAACTCTATGATAATTTGAAACAACTAAAAAGTGTTGGCACCGATGGGTAAGTACCTTCTCTTTCAAGAATATTTTGTCAACCATGATCCATTCCAATACCTTAATTCATATTTCAATGCGCTCAGTATCATGATTGATGTTTGGTGGGGCCTCGTTGAGAAACAACCTCGTCAGTACAACTTTGCACCCTATCGACAACTTTTCCAATTATGCCAACAAGTAGGACTCCAGGTAGAAGCTGTTCTATCCTTCCATCAATGTGGAACCAATGTTGGAGACTCGACTTTCATTCCATTACCTCAATGGGTCTTACAAGTTGGTAAACAAAATCCCGACATCTTCTATACGGATCAAACGGGTCATCGGGATGAAGAATATTTATCATTGGGAGTAGATTTGGTACCGTTATTTCCTTCATCAGCCAATACATCCTCTTCATTGCGAACTGCTGTTGATTTGTATGAAGATTTTATGAAGGCTTTCCGACAAGAATTTCAAGACTTGTTGCAGAATGGAGTGATGAAAAAAGTTGAAGTTGGACTGGGACCTGCCGGAGAATTGAGATATCCTTCGTATCAGTTACAGAATAATTTATGGAGCTTCCCTGGAATTGGTGCTTTCCAATGGTGAGTTTTAAAGTTTGGTTTTTTTTTTGAAGAGTATTATTGCAATAATATATTATTAATTGTAAACTTTTTGTAAACTATGAATCACAAGTTATGACAAGTACATGCTTTCTAATTTATCCATCTCTGCTCGCAATATTGGTCATGCCAATTGGGGTTACGCTGGTCCCAACAATGCCGGTTATTACAATTCCATGCCTTGGCAAACTGCTTTTTTCAGCGACAATGGTGGTGACAATTACAATTCACCTTATGGTAAATTCTTCTTACAGTGGTACAGTGGCATGTTGATTCAACATGGTGCCAATGTACTCTCACGAGCTAGAAATGTGTTTGGACCCAATGTCGAATTGTCAGCAAAAGTTGCTGGAATTCACTGGTGGTATTTTACATGTAAGTTCAGAAAAACTTTATTCCTTAATATTTTTTTTGTTTAATAACCAACCTTTAAAAACATTCATTCTTTTTTTTTGAATAATCATCATTCAAAACAGCAAGTCATGCTGCCGAATTAACTGCAGGGTATTACAACACTCCGTATTACAATGGCTATAAAGACATTGCCATCATGTTTTCGCGCTACAGAATTGGTTTCGAATTTACTTGCCTCGAAATGACCGACAATTCTCAACCTTCGTATTGTCAATGCGGTCCTCAAGAACTCGTAGCTTTGACACGTGACACAGCATGGCAATATGGAGTTTCGTATGGTGGAGAAAACGCCTTGCCAATGGATGGAAATTATGGAGCCATTGATCAAGTTGTGAAACAATCGAGTGCGAATGGAAAAGTAATTGAATCATTCACATATTTGAGATTGAATGATGGATTAGTGTACAATTCGTATAATTTCAACGCGTATGCTCAGTTGGTCTCTCGTTTGCATGCCCTGAGTGGTGAAAGCTTTGAAAAGTTAAAGACCACATTGAAACAACATGGTCGTCATGATCATGAGATTGTTAAGGAAATGAAGGATGTTGAGCTCATTGAAAAGTTATTGAAGAGTTTGACAGAATTGAGTGACTCCAAGAAGAAGAAGAATGGAAGAAAGTTTGGTTATGATTTGTTCGATGATGATTCATTGTTGACTTTCAACTGAAAGAACGTCTGCTGATGAGCAACCTTGTACACACCGAACCTTGAACACACAACATCTCAATAAAGTTATGGATATTTGGAGTTGATATTACCTAGTAATACTAATAATTTTTCTTCCATTCAATGATTGCAGAGGTCGATTATTTCCTAAAAAACCATTGTCTGTACTTGTCATGTTGTCACCTGTGCTACTGGACAGTCCTCTCACTTTGGATGAATTCTCTCTCTTTCCATGTTGTGCCTGATTCATGATTTGTCTTAATGCAGCCATTTGATTCAATGAAATGTATTGTGATGCTCCTAAAAAGATGTTAGGATTCACGACATTCCACATGACATTTTCATTACAATTCGGTGTAGTTAAACTTCCATTATAAACAAAATAAGAGAATAAAGGATCTAGTTCTTGTCGAAGAGGAACCATATCAAACAACATGCCACTTGTCACTTCACGAGTATTGACAGGTTTTCCCACATGTTTCATTAAATAATCCTTATTTCTGACCACAACATCTATAAGGGGATGATCGATCATTCCCAAAGCTTGCAACACAACTCCAACAACCGTAATTCTTGGAACCAATGCATCCAAAGCCTTTTCCAAATCCTCTCTTTGAAATACAAAGTGTACTTCCAAATCATAGGAAAACCAATTAAATACATGTTCAGAAGGTGTATGAAAATGAAATTGTTTCAAACGATATGGAACTCGAATACTATTGTATCCAGGAACCTTGAGAGCGACCGATGATGGTCGGAAAGGAAGGTTCTTGTTGAATGATGAAGAAGTACTTGTTTCTCTCACTAGAAAGTAACGATCGATATAGACGGGTTGTTTCATTGCCGATGATGTTTCATTCAAACTCAACATGATGGTATGTCCCGAATTGAGTAAGGTAAAATCCAAAGAGTTCTTGCTCATCTCTTGAAACAGGCCGTGAATGGTTAAGGAACGTTTGGTTTCATTTGAGAAATCATACAAGAGTGAGGGCAACGTGTTTGGGTTGGAACCGTTGTTGTACAAGGCTTGAAGTAAATATTGATCATACGAAATGATATTTTGGAAAGAAAGAATTGGAACAGGCGATTGAGAGGAACCTCCACATTGAGAGTTGGGACACTGCTGAGCCCATTGATTGGCTTCCGAGTAGGACCAATCCAAACAAGGCTTTTCATTCGGTAATGAAAAATCACATCCGAAAGTATGATGAATAAATAGGAGAAGAAGAACGATGGAAAGAAGTGAAATTTTCGGAACAGCTTGATGTGAAGAGGAAGCACGTGATGAAGGAAGCGAAGGACAAGTCATTTTCGCGTTTTTTTTGTGTTGTTATGAATTTCCAAATAGTAGGATGACTTTTTAAAGAAATAATGAGCGAAGAATCTTTGATTCAGCAAATTGCAAACACAAAATAGAAATAAAGGATTGTCGATGATTGTTATTAAAATAAATCGTTTCAGAGTCAGTTTTCGTCATCCCATTCATTTGTAACTCCTGGTTAATGAATTTCATAGTTTTCCCGCCCTCAAAATATTACAATTACAAATTTAAAAAAAATAACTGTTCATCAACACAAAATCAATATATAATTCTTGGAAAATGTCTCACAAATATCAAAAAGATTTTTCATTGCCACCAAAATTTCAAGAAACCCTCAGAGATTTTACTCGGGAAGTATTGAGAGTGCAACCCTCAAATATTTATCGATTTGGATATGATTACTTTACCAAGTTGGCCAAGGAAATGGAACTGAAACAAGACGCAGAAAGTATTGCCGAGAGTAATGTGGCAAAAATTGGAGAATTGTCTCCTGCCTCATTCAAGAATAACAATTATCAAGTATCATCATCTGAGGAAGAGGTAGAAGAAGAGGATATGGACGAATTCAAGGTCGTACATACTTCTTCGGATGTTCATCACAATTCCTCAAATCCACAAAAACCAATCTCCGTCAAAGCTCAAGAACGATTCACTTCCGACGAGGAGGAGGAAGAAACTGAAGAAACCACCGAAGAAGAACAGAACACTGAGGAAGAACCAATCGCTGAAGCTGACCACAACGATAGTTTCCAGAATCAATCCTTTGAGGGTGACATTACACAATTTCTAGCAACCGTTTCCGATCAGGAATTGCTCAATATTTTGTACTCGCATTACAGCTCTTTTGGTTACGACGCTTTACCTGTTGGCGCGGTGAAGGAGGAGCTCAAGAAAATTTTCAATTATCAACTGCCAGACACAATGGTTGCTTTTTGCATGGCAGAATCGGACGTGGCAGACGACTCTACTGTGGAAATTGCTCCTTTCTGTCAACGAATTACAAATGTGTTGAAAATTGTAGTGGGAGGTGAAGAAGGTCCTTTGGGCTATTCGGACGAGAGTAATTCTATTCATCAGTCATTCCTTTCACCAATAATTGTCAACGATGTGGATGTGGTTCATGGATTGAGCAAATTGGAACTTCAAGAAGAATTAAAGGCCTTATTCGAGAGAGCTGAAGGAGAAGGTCATACTGGAGCCTTACCGTTTGGCAAATTTAAACGAGAATTGCAAGAAGCTGAGCTTGATCTGTCGAGAAGAGAAATCAATCTATTGCTTTCAGAGGCTGAATTAGATGAACATGGTCAGGTTGTTTACGAAAACATTATTTCCAGGGCTCATTCTATTCTGTTTTCAGCATTCATATTTGATGAATTTTGTACATCAGTAGAATTAAGTTTTTAAGTTTACGCTTATTGTAATTATAAATTATAGAATTGTTATTATTTTGTGGAGAATACTAGAGAGGAAGGCTTTGTACAAGAAGAGTGTGATAATGTGGTTGTTTAAAATGAGTTGAGTTTTCATTGCAACCAACACTACCTCCTCTTTTTCGAATGGTTATTCTTGGGATCGTTGCCATAGAGAAACAAATGATCGTGCTCTACAGACTTTTCGTATCGAACTTTCTCCTCCTTGTTTTCTAAACTCTTCAAAAATACTCCAGCTTTCTTGTGACCGAGTTCACTGGCTCTCTTGAGATATTCTTTAGCTTCGTTCTTTCTGTTTTTCGAATATCTTAACAATAACTCTGCATACTCAAACATGGCGTCCACATTTCCAAACTCGGCCGAAGCTCTCATATATCTCATTCCTTGCTGTACAGAAGAAGCAACCACTTCCATGGAATCTTTGGATTTGTCATCTCGTGCCATTAATCCATTGCAGCACAATTCTGAGGCTTTCATATAAAACACCACACCAACATCCTCCAACTTTTCGATCATGTTCTTGAATTTCTTGAGGTCCTTATTTTCTTTAGAAAGCTGTAGAATGAGCGCATCACGTTGAGCAATTTGTTCATTTCTCTTTTCAATGACAGTAATTAGGGAACTAATTCTTTGGTTCACTTCCTTAATATCTATACCTTTGCAAGAGGATGCTCCAGAGACGGTACTAAACAAATTTCCCTCATACGTCAGCGTGTCAAGAGGTGAAGTCGAGCAAATATCCAATCCAACTTGCTCGCCACATGTCGAGTCCGAGTTGTACGAAAGAGATGGCGATATGGTGAGTGCAGTACTTTGTGCAGGGCTTTCTTCCTCAAGCTGTGGCGTGTTAGGAATGGAAAATTCCATGACCTTCTTAATAACACTATCCATCATAAGAGAATCCTTCTTTTTCTTTGAGGATGCTGGAGAGTCACTAAAACTTGCGTTGGCCTTTCTCTTCTTGTTGGGTGTTGTGGGCGTTGAAATGTCTTCACTATTCTCCATTTCTTCATCGCTGTCGTCATCATGATGGCAGTTCATAGCAGTGATATTGGCATCTTGTTTTGTCGTTTGATTGGAGGTGGGACCATTGTCGTCATCACTGTCATCATCTTGAGTGTAGGTTGGAGAAGAATCCATAACGACAGAAATGACCTGATCAGACGCATTGTTGCTTGTTTTTGGACCAAAATTGCTCAATGACTTGGAAACAGAGTTTCTCAAAAGAGATTTGTTTTTCTTAGCCAGTTGTCTCGATGAAGTTGAAGGTTTTAAGGAAATTCTACTCTTAGATGGAGTTACTGAGCCTGGAGGTTCAGATGAAGAAGGAGCTTCAACGGTGTCACTACTCGATTGTTTGTTTTTCGATTTGCTAGATTGACTATTCGAGTGGTCTGCTACTTTTTGTTTGAGAGGTGTTTTCAAATTCTTCTCATTGACTGCGGAGGATTTTGAGGGCACAGCATGTTTTGTGATAGCAGCAGTGTTAGATTTCGATGATGAACATTTTGAGGATGACTTTGCATTCTTCTTGTTACACTTTTCCTCCTCTTCCCTATTTACATATTCAAAATCATAGCCATCTGATGTGGCGTCAATATTCTCTGCCGTAATGTTGTTGTCTTCAGCACTCTCTGTTTTAGTGGTGACATTTCGTTGCATTTGCTGCTGTTGTTGTTGTTGTTGTTGAATCTTTTTCATGACTTCTTCGTATTCAATTTGAGGAAATGCAAAAGATAAGCTATTAAGAAAATCCTCACTGTTTTGTTGGGCCAAATCTCTGTTCGTGTTGCTGGTACTGATACTCGTGGATACTAGAGGCGACGTTAATGATTGCTGTTGCTGATAACAATCCTTGTTGTTAGTTTGCTTTTTGGGAGTGAACGAGCTGGATTGAGTTGGAATTGGTGACGAAAAGTTATTGTTGTTCTGAGAGGAGGATAAATTAAGCGCGGCAGTTGTGGTATTGGCTTGTATCTGTGGTTGGGGAGTGTGTTGTTGAAGTGATTTCTGTTGCTGTTTTGCTTTCTTAGATGCCTTCTTTTTTGAACTGCTTTGAGAAGTCTCAGTGGATGATGATAAATTGTAGGAGCCCGAGGATGATAATGTTGTTGAGGAGAATACTGAAGTTGGTACTGATGATGATGATGATGAAGAATGATTACAAAACTCTCCCGATGCCAACAACAACTGTTCCTTTCTACTTCGTTGTATGGCTGTGGTTGAGATGGAACTATTCGTTCCGAGAGAGGAAACCGATTGATTGAGGGTACCTGAAGAAGTAAAACTATTGCTACTAAGGGTTAGATTATTTGAGGACGAGGAGGAGGAAGAGGGATTTGAGGCACTGTTGGTAGTTGATGAGGCAGTGGATGACGACGAAGACTTGGAGAGAATTCCTCCCAGCAGTTTCATGAGGCTATCAGATACAAATGCAAGAGTTTTTTAAATTTTTAAATTTCCTTAACGCTCCGAGAATAGATACTTCCAAAATGAGAGGAAATTAACAATTGTCGTTAGGATAGACGAATTGTTGTTGTTGAACGGCAACAGTTTTCTGCCTTATTATCGAGGGCAAAGAGTAAGATGGCCCAAACAAAAAATGTCGGAAGATCATCAAGAAATTGCAGACAGGAATAAAGAAACAATCCGAAAATTTCATAATCGCATCATGAAAGTTGTGTTAAAGGATGAACGAGAATTTGTCGGAAGATTTGTTTGTGTGGATAATAAGATGAATACAATTTTGAAGGAGGTGAGTTTGAAAGTGGTATGAGTGAATTGTGTTCATTGTGAAATAATCGGCCGTGATGATTTATACATGTATTTCAATATTGTTAATATGATCATCACATGGAATTACATTAAAATTATTTTCACAACACACAACAATCTCGATTGATGAAGACAACGGAATATAGAAAGAAACCTACCTCAACATCAGAAGAAGCAATTTCATTTGATGAACGACGAGTAGGTCTGGTGATGCTTCCAGGTACACTTATCACTTCTTGTTTCATTTCGGAATAGAGTAACCAGAGTACCCATGGATACTGATACTGAACAAAATCACACAACAATGATGAACTATAAAATCATTTGAATCCTTCCTTGCACACTCGATGCAAACCATAAATCAGTTTTAGCATGGGATAGTCTCGCTTCATCAATTTAAATTATGATGATTGACAGGTTGAGAGCTAGTTTATCATCATTTATGTGTTTGTGTCGTTCAAAATCACAACAACAAAATGTTGGGCACAACCTTTAGCTTGCGAGAGTTTTCACTCCGCCAGAGGTTCCATTTGTGGTTTCAAAGAAAAATTTTTTCTCTCAAATTTGTTGAGGTGTTTTATCTGCTCAGCAACAATGCAAGAATGATCATCAATAAACATCTCACACAAATGACTCTTTAAAGATACAACTACAATTGCATTCATCATCCTTTTAATGACAATCTATCCTTGTTTATGCTTAATAAGAACGATTCAAAGCCGCTTGTCATGCATAAGGATCCAAATTTGACAAATGTCATCCTTTGTAGTTCAGAAAAACGTCGACCAAGAACACAAGTCTCCAATTTTAAAACAACAATCTCACAACCACTTCTTATAAAAAATGTTTCAACACATGAAAGACCTTCTCGTCCCTAAGAGTCGATCACGGGACAGTGATGCCAAGCCGTTGACCGATATGTATGCAGAGGACGAAGTATTAGGTTCTTCTTCGAGTCATCAACAACAACGAATCAGCCACTCGGTTCATGCACGATTGAATGATGAAGGCTCTTCCGATCCATGCAGTACAGATATATCCAATACTGAAATTATAACCAGCCATTCAACAACAACCATGATCAACCATTCAAGCAATAACAATAATCACAACAATAATAATACCAATATTCATTCATCAGTAGGACATCAATTATCACCTCTCTCAAGGCAACAACATTCATCCAATGCAGCTGCTGCTCTTGCCAGTACGACGGGAAGTAATAATGGCTCTCCAAATTCACCACGACGAAATGCCTTGTTTATGTTTAATCGGAAAAGTACAGCTGGGATTCTAGGAGGAAATAGTTTGGTGGCTTCATCGACTGGAAATTCAATTTCAAAAACCAAGTCGTCATCTTGGACAGTCATCAGTAGTAGTGGGTTTGATCGACAGCCATTCATTATTGTGAATTTAAAGGCTGGTGAAGATTTGGTGGCATGTGACAGGAATGGGAAATCAGACCCATTTTGTGAATTTACATATCGGTATTTACCAAATAACAATAATAACAGCAACAACACTACAAATTCTCAAATAGATTCATCACAGCTGAGAGGAGAACATTTAGTGGAAACAAAGAAATCTTCAACCATGAAAAAGACACTAAATCCATTGTGGGGAGAAAGTTTCTTTTTCAGTGTAAGAAATGTGGAACAAATTGGAAATGATGATTATTTTGTGGGAGCTATTAAGGATGAGTTAATAGTGACGGTTTGGGATTTTGATTTGTTTCAATCGAATGATTTTATGGGTCGTGTGACAGGTAAGTAATTGATGTCATCGGAAAAATATAGCGTTACTGACATCCATATATCAATGTAAATTATCTGTCGAATTATTTGTAATTTATTTCATTCATAATTATGTGATGCTTATTGATTTACAACAGTTCCTCTGAGTCAACTCTTACAAAATCAAACTCAAAAATTTTATTTAAAACTTGAAGGAGTACCCAACGGTTTCATCTATTTGGAAATTACGGCCATTCATTGTGGTCTAAATATTGGTGATGACCATTCAGTACTTTCTATTGCTGCTTCAATTTCTCCTGAAAATGAAAATTCCTCTCCAAGAAATGGTGATTCGACTCAAGATTTGGACCTAAGTCCTGAAATTTTCACATTTGAAAAGTTGTTAGAGACAAATTCCACATTCAAGAAACTCTATGAAGAATACAACTCTAAACAGTCACGATATGAATATGAGCTTATTAAACCACTCGGAGAGGGTGCTGTTGGGTTGGTTTTTAAAGCCATGAGAAATACAATAATGAGTGACAATGGTCAAACCAATGAAAATGGTTCGAATGGCTCCTCCTCCATCGTTGCATTGAAAAAAGTTACGATTGATCACTGGCAAACAGCTCTCGAAATCATGTACGAAGTAGACGTCATTCGACATTTGGATCAGGGCATCCTCGCTCAATGTGAAAATCTCGTGCATCACAATCGAATTTTCATTGAAAGCATCAAACCCAGTGAAAAGAGATCGAAAAGAGCAAATTTGAAAGCTCTCTCTCAACGAAAGAATTCTGTTCAATCACTCAAGGATTACAATGACGAAATTATCATTTGCTTTGAAATGTCCTTATTCAATCTTGGTGATATGCAAAAATTTCTCGAAATGAAACAACGAAAAGGAAAGAAATTGGAAATGAAGACTTTTATTTCTTATTTGAGGCAATTGGCACATGCCCTTTCCTTAATGCATCATCCTGAATTGAGGAATGAGAATCAACCAGTGTGCGAGAAAGATGACACAGGTTCCCTTCAACAACAGATGAACGATCGATCCATATTATGCCATCGTGACATCAAACCTCAAAATATTTTCTTTAGTGACGACGAATATCAAACGATTAAGTTGGCAGATTATTCATTTCTAGTTCGACACGATCCTCAAGATTCCAACGAGAGTACTGACAATCATGAAGGAATGGATGATTCCATGTTCAATCTTCCCACAAGTCCAACTGGCAATGCTTCAAACACATCAACTACAGATGCCTATGGCTTAAAAACTACGAAATTGTGTGGATCTATACCGCACATGGCACCTGAATTGTACATTCAAATGATTAGTGATGATCCAACACTTACTCCCACGACTCTTCAAAGTAACAACAATAACTCGATCGAAATGCTCACAAAAACAGACATTTTTTCATTTGGAGTCGTGGCTTATCAATTAGTGACCTTTGACACGAAACTCGATCATTCCTTTTACAGAAGAATCATGCCATCTCATATCAAATTCCCCAACAGCAAGACCGACAAGAAGAAGCAAAAAGAAGCCTACAATGAATTTATAGAAGAGTTAGAATTTGAATTGTTCAAATTGGTCGATTCGAATCGTTTCGATCTGAAGAGAGTATGGCCTTGCATTGAAAGATCTCATTCTGAATTGTCTCAAATGGAATCCATCAGAAAGACCCACTGCTTTACAATGTCATTCAACATTACTCGAATTGATGAACAAGTATGAGAGTAGTGTTGGTGCTTAGCCTTTGGTGTGTCATGTGTTGCATCATCCATGAAAATTTTCAGTTGTTGAATTGAGAATTTGATCACAACAACATTTGGCGCCATGACAACACTTGAATTGTTTACGAAAAAAATTTCATTCATCCGTACCCACAGACGCGACGTAACGGCAGACCTCTCTGGTTCAATCACTGATTCTGGTATCTAGGACGGACGGGTTGTTGTTGTTGTTGATCGGAAAGGCAAGATGAGTAAAGCACTTGCCAAGTTTAAGAGGAATAAGAAGGCCGATCCCTATGAAAAGGCTGCTGAGGTAGGTGTTTGAGAAAAGATATATTCGGCTGAATGTGCTCCGATATGGAATCATGCTCATGTTCTCATTGGCGCATACGTGTGATTGTATGCATTTATGCCATTGATTGTATACTGGTTGGATGTTTCTGGCTATCTCTATTCAATATGTACTTATCTGTCACAACCCTTTCCGAATCATACAACCAGTCCATTTTCTTGTCATACTTTGTTCTTGTTGTAGTCGGAGAGGAATTTAGCTCCACTTCAGGAAACAAACTACTGCAAGATATATTTGAAAAACGGGCAAAGGCCTATGCAGATGCTGGCTTGAAATTTGATGATTTATGCTCGCCCATATTGCTCAGTAAGGGACAAGACGAACTATTTTATGGTTTTTGGGGACAAGTTTTGAATCGATCTCAAAAATCTAAAACATCAGGTGGTGCCACAGCCACCAAGATTATTCATCACTGGAAAGAGTTGTTCTTTCAAATGAATGACCCAAGATTTCAACCCGATGACAAAAATAAGAAAAAACAAGCAGAAGAACCTTCGCCAGAAGAAAAAAAGAAACTTCTCTCACAACCAGCCAGGTTTTTTATTGTCACATCCAATATTGACGCAGAATTTGTAAAGGAAGGGTTTAAGGAGAACGAATTGTATGAAACTAGAGGAAATATGTTGTCGTGGCAGTGTGCAACGCCATGCTGTAAAAACACGTTCAATGTTCGAGAGGATTTTAGATTTGAAATTAATCAAGAAAGTGGGCGAGCTCCTCCTCTCAAATATTCAGACAAGTCTCACCAAAAGAAGAACATTTCAGATTTTGACAGTACTGTACAGCCGCCAACCACAGCAGATTGTACATCATTAGGCGAGGAAGATTTCAATTTCTATTCTGCGACAGGAAAAACAGATTATTTTCGAAGCAAATTGTATATGGAAAAACCAGGATTCTTGATTGGAAACAACACCATGCAAGAAAAATTATTACCATCTCAAATTGGAGAAAAACGAGGAGCCTATTATCAATTCTTTGCTCCCAAAGACGTTCCAGACAAATTTAAAAATCCTGAAAATTATTTACGGCCTGGTTCTGCAAAACGAATATCATCTGTGTATGGAAAGAATAACTATGTGTTGGGGTCGTTGGTGGATATTGGAAAAATTACTGAGCAGGTATTTACGGAAGGAGAAGGCATTAATTCAGGGCTCACAAGCCGCTGCCTTATTGAACGAAGAGATGCCGTTTTACAACGATACAATTTAATTTATGATGATGCTGACGAAGAAGAGTTTCCCAAGTCAGCAAAAAACAATGTACATAAGAGCAACAGTTTAAAACTTGTAATTGAAAACAAGAGCGGTCAAGAGACAAAACTTGAACAATTTTCTGAGGATATTCATGCAACGTTGCATGATTTTGCATTTTGTGGAGATATTGAACCAACCGAAGAAGGTTTTATGGAAGTCACCATCATTGATCCAATGATTCATTATCATCAATTCTACACAGATCTTCATAACACGGATGATATTGTGACAGAAAAGGACGTACAGGAATTTCGAAAAAATCCACTTCCCATCATTCCAAGAGATCAAACTCTAGTCGCAGGCTCTGCTAATGTCACATACATTATTTCCATTCAAATCATGAATCTTGACGATGAATTGAGCGAGGAGCCAGCACTCTCGTATACGAGCAAAGTTTGTCCAACCATTCGAAGGAAGCGAGAAGAGGATGGAATATTTGTTGACTCTGTCATTATTAATGTGAATGATGCCATTGCAAATATTGGCAGCAATACTGGCACAGAGAAACACATTCTTCCAACACGTGGCAAAGTGAGTGTTGTCGTTCAACCATCTAAACCAAAGCAAAAACGCAAATCGTCTGCATCTTCCGTACAACAGGTGGTACGAGTGGAAGAACAACCATGGCAACTTGTTGGAGAGTATAATATGCGTTTTCTCTTGGAAACTCCTCCCACGTACAACAAGCAATCATCCAGTTTAGCGAATCCACAACTGTTTAAGGTTGGATCGAAAACACAAACACCCCTTGTGAATGTGCGAATGTTGGATGTTTCTCTCAAAACACGTGATTCTGTGCACTCTCTAAAGTTGCGTGCCATACAGGGTGGAGAAGGCCGAAGTGTCGAGTTAGCCACTGTATTTGTTGACATGCCAATTACTGATTTTTCAACTGCAAATCCAATTTCCCAATCAAACGGTGCAACAGAAAACAAACCACCAAACACAGCAACTACGGCAACACCTTCGCCCAATACCACCACACTCACACCAAATACTGCATTTTCACAGGCGCAAACACCAAACACATTCAACACACCCAAATCCTCTGTTTTTACAGATAATGGAGACCCTTTTTCTGCAAGAAAAGCTCAACCTCATCAAGTTTCTGACCTATTGAGTGGTCGTGTAAAATCAGCGGAAGATATTGACTTGTATAATCCTCGAAAACAGCCGATTATTAATCGAATATTTTGTGAAACGTGTCGAGGAGTGGCAAGACCACGTGTGAAAATGAACCTTACAGATGAAAAATGGATCAAAACAAGCATCATGCCCTACAAAACATGGAGCACCAAAGTGAAAAAGGCCATTCAAGAGGAAGGACGAAATATTGTTGTTCTTGAAATTGGAGCAGAGGCCAAACTTCGAAACATTTCTGACATGATTTTGAAACAAAATTCAGGAGGTGCTGAAATTATTCGAATTAATCCCAAACTTCGAGTCATTCGTGGACAAAAAGAAGCTCTGAAAATTCCCTCAGGAGCAGAAGGTCAATACAATGTGATTGAGGACCAATCCAGTTCTGCTGCCATCAAAAAGATTGATCAATATTTAACTGAAATTAGTGAACGATTTTCCTCTAGAGTGTAAATATTCGGCGATTCATGAATTTTTAAAGTGTGTAAAAAACAAATCTTAATTCTCACTACTAGCATTAAATAAAGATGCATGATTGTGAATAGTTGGACCAAGCACACTTGTGACAATCATTGAACCGTTCGTCAGGGAAAGAAGACCATTGCAATTTTAATCACATTTTCTTCATGAAATGTTGAGTTGAGTTAATGCGGGATAGTTTTCATCATCCAATGAATTTCCTTTTCCCAATTTTCAAAAAAAAACCAAAACCTCAATTTTAAAAAATGAATCGTTGTGGGTCCCCAAAAATTGAATTGAATGAATTCGTGCAGTCTTTCATTGGGTGATTCTTGGCTTCACTATACGTTTAATATTATTGAATCAGTTCAACTTCTACCAGTAACCATCTCATTCATGGAAAGCAACAACCTCAACAAACTGTGAGCGGCTCCGGAGAATAATTTCAAGGTCGTTCTCATGTTTCAAAGAGAACGAAAAGGAAAATTAAAAAAAAAAATGCTCTCCTCGAATTCAGCAGTAGCACAAGAGCCTTCTCCATCCTCTCTGTATCGGAATACTCAACATCCGATCATGGTGGCCACGAAGAGTGTTTCACCGGTGGAGCAATTTTTGAGATCGGAACCTGGAAGAGTTACTGAATTTTATACGAATATGTGCTTTGATCTTTTTGTAGATTCAGATACATTGGGTTGGTTGGTTCTTAACCAAAAGTATTTGAAGGTTGTTGAAGGAGGTAAGTGTGTCGAGTGATTGTTGACGAATGTCAATGAAACACAATTTAATCTTCATTGCTTTTTTATTCAACGACTGATTAACATTTCATAATAATCCAACTTTGATGTGACCTGTAATACAATTTTTAAAACTTCACGGTCACATGATCCTTTCCATATTATCATTTATATGCATCATCTTCTCTATTATTTGAAAATTATTATCAAAAACTACAACTCTTGTGTCACACGGTGATGTGTTTTCTACTCTCGTTCTGTTTCCCACTCCCTCTCAAAATGTGTCGCTTGTAAAATTATAGAGAATGAAAAGACCATTAAAAACGAATCTGACATTGTTCAGGCCTTGTCAAGTGGTGCAAAGACTGAGATGGTTTCCGTAAACGTCATTGATGGCCAATTTATTTCCGACATCAAATCCATGTTAGAAGTTGTCGAGACACTCATCAAAACGAAACGTATCAAGACTCTCTTGATTGCATCCGCAAAAAGTGTATTTTGTGCAGGTGCAGACATTAATATGATGTATCCCAACTTGGACGAGAAACTTGCAGAAAAGGCAGCCAAACATGGTCAAGATGCAATGGATCGTGTGGCAAGTCTCACTGTTCCAACCATTTCATGCATTCACGGTCCAGCATTGGGTGGTGGTTTTGAGGTATGTCTTGCCACTTCGTATCGATTGGCCAGTGAACACAAAAGTACCACGATTGGTTTACCAGAAGTCATGCTGGGCGTCATTCCAGGAGCAGGTGGTACAGTAAGATTTGGAAAATTGGTTGGCTTACAAAAGAGTTTGGAAATGATTTTACCTGGTAAGACACTTTCAGCCGCACGTGCCAAGAAAGCAGGCCTTATCACTGCAACCTATCCATACGAAGATCGTTTTAATGGAGAATTTAGATTTTTGGCAGCTGTGAGAAATTATGCTGGAGCTAAGGCAGTTGACAAGAATCCACCAATTGCTAAATATGAGCCACAAACTTTGAGAGACAAATTACTCGAGGGAAATCCAATCGGAAGAAAATTTGTTGCTCAAATGGCACTCAAAAATCTCGACAAGACTACACGTGGCAAGTATCCTGCACCCTATGCTGCTCTGCAATCTGTTTTTAATGCTACCAAGCCAGGAATGTCCAATGGTCGCGCTCTATTAATGGAAAGACAATTATTTGGAAAGATGGCTGTCACTGCTGAATCAAAGAACCTAATGTCTGTCTTCTTTATGCGTGAAAATGCTAAAAATTGGAAGAGAAAATTCCCCAAGTTGGGCAAATTGAAACCAGTTCGTAAGGTGACCTATGATCCAACCATGGTTAAACAACCTGGCTCGGTTGCACCTTCTCTTGCTGTCATTGGAGCTGGAGTCATGGGAAGCGGTATTGCTCAATTATTTGCTCACAAGAATTATCCAACATTCATGAAGATATCAAACCTGAATTTGTCAAGAATGGTATGAATATTGTTGAGAGAATTTTCATGGATGACTATGTCAAGAAGAATAGAATGTCCAGAGAGGAGGCACTCTTCCGAATTAAGCTTGTTTCTGGTGGTGTTGAATATCCAACACAAGCATCAGGCAATGGCAACATTCAAGTCGTGATTGAGGCTGCTGTTGAGAATATGGCTCTCAAGAAGAAGATTCTTCAAGAATGTGAAAATACGTTTGCTAGCTCGAATAGTGACGTTATTTTTGCTACCAATACATCCACACTCTCCATTAATGAGCTGGCCAGTGTCTCAAAACGCCCTGATCTCGTAGTAGGTATGCACTTTTTCAATCCTGTTCACAAGATGCCTCTTGTTGAAATTATTCGAGGCAAAAAGACGTCTGATGAAACTGTGGCAACCATATACAAATTGGCATTGGATTTGGGTAAAATCCCAATTGTGTGTCATGATGGCCCTGGATTTATTGTGAATCGAATTTTGGGAATTTACATGACCGAAGCAGGTAAGTTTTATGAGATTTATATTCATTATTAACCTTATATGTTATCATTTGAATTTCACATGATTTAATGAACACAAAAAAATCACTGCGCTACAGGACGCTTAATCAATGACGGAGGAGAAATTCAACAAATCGACAAGGTCATGGTTGAACAATTTGGAATGCCAATGGGTCCATTCAGATTATTAGACGAAGTTGGTACCGATGTTGCCTATCACTCTGGAGAGACATTGAAAGTCTTGGGCACACGTTTCACAGAAGCTGCCACAGGAAGTTCTCTTTTCGATATCAAAAAATTAGTGGATGCTAAATTATTAGGTAAAAAAGTTGGAAAGGGAATCTTTGTGTATGGAGAGGAAGCGAAAAAGCTTAAAAAGGGTGAAATCAATCCAGACTTGTTGCAAATCTTCCCAGGCTATGATCCAAAGCTTCGTCGCAAGTTTGCACCTGAGGACATTATTGATCGATGTGTATTGTTGATGGTCAATGAGGCATGCATGATTTTGGAGGAAGGCGTTGCTGAGCATCCACAAGATGTTGACGTGGGAATGATCTTTGGAACTGGTTTTGCTCCATTCCGTGGAGGATTATTACAGTATGCAGATTCTAAGGGTGCTAAATGGATTGTGAAGAGATTGAAGGATTTGGATGAAAGATATGGAGCTAATGGAACTCGATTCAAGCCAAGCCCGCTTCTTGTGAGAATGGCTGAGAGGGGAGAACGGTTCTATCCAGATAGACCTGTGGTGACCTTTGTTGAAAGAAATGTTCCTCCAAGACCCAAATTGTAAACACATTCTTTTTGTTGAGAACAGATTTAGCCCATGAACGCCTATTTATCAAACGAAAATGACTGAAATAATAATTAAATTGACAACTCTTTTCACAATATTTACAGTTTATAAATCCACAAACTATTATGCAAGCCAATAATGATCAAGTTCTTCAATAAAAGTGTGTTGTCAAATGTACCATTTGTGGTGACAATTTGATTACTTGAAATTTCAACACCTCTTTCATGTCATTTCACTTGAATTCAAAATTAATCTTGCACAACGGATTCCGTAGATCTGTACAGCACTGATGATGACGCTCCATCACTTGGCTCTAGAGGTTAATATCACATTTCCTCACCTTCATCATCAATATATCTAATAAATAATATATTTTTAATTTTCATGCTTCTTTTTACTCATCATGGTACAAACTCCAGATCTGCATTGAACAGAATTTCCCGATGATGATTCCGAAGAATTTGAGGACATGTTATCCGATGAAGAATAATAATTACTGCCATGCTTAGCATCATTACTTCCTCTCGTGAGAGCACATCCTTGTTTTGAGCTGGTATCGTTTCCCTTGATGTAATCATAAAGATATTCGATACCACTAATGATTAATCACAACACCATTTTTTTTTATTTTTTTGAATTGACAACAAAATTATTTTTAAATTATTCAAATCGAAAAAAACAAAACGGCGAAAATAATTTCAACGATATCCGTTCTGAGGACGGATTAACAGATCTCATCCACAACAACAAACTCAGTTGTCAAGTGCCAACAACAACAAAAATGTCTCAAGTGTCCATTGTGACCTTCTCGGAGGCTGTCCAAAAATCATTATCCAATTCCGATGATACATTAAATGTGTTCTCGTCATCATCGACCTCTTCCAATGTACCAAGACAATCCATTGAGAAAAATCTTCAACAAGAAATTCATGAAATATTTACCAATGGCATGTGGGATTGTGCTCCAAAGAAAATTCTAAATTCCAGACGACCATTCTCATCTCTATTTGGATTATTATTCAATTCCGATCAAGGAAGTACCAGTGAGAGTATGGTTGCCTTGTTTCATGATTATTTTGGATATCAATTGACCGTCGTGATTTGGAGTGTCTTGTTCATGACTTGGTGGAGTGTTGGAAAGATTTTGGGATATTCTCTCTTGCAAGTCACATTGTTGAGAATTTTAACATTTATGGGAAGTGTCATGATGTGGATGTGCATGTTGTATTTGATTTTGGACAAGATCTTGTCGCCCATGTTGATGAAAGATTTTTCCAAGTACATTCGGAAGAGTAAGGAATCGAACGAGTTGGGTGATGTTGCTCATTATTATGAAAATAATTCGAAAAAACCAATGAATCGATTCTTTTTGGCATATATTGGAGAGGAACTGGTGGGACATGTGGCTATCGATGAATGGCATTATCCTGGTGAAGGAGAGGATCAAGTATTTCGTCAATTGCATGAAGAGTTTGCACAACAACAACATAATAGACCTCCGATTATTGCTGAACTTCGTAGAATGAGTGTCAAGAGTAGTCATCGAGGTGCTGGCATTGCTAAAAAATTGATTAATCATCTCTATGAATATGTCAAGAATGAATGTCATGCAGATTATTTGGTGCTCAAGACATCGAGTTTGCAATATGGAGCAAGAAAATTATATTCCAATTTTGGTTTTGAATTGAAGCGAGTGGATACAATGATACCACCTGTCGCACTCTTCCATTTTGTTTTGGATCTTGGAAAGAGAAAATAATTTCTAGCCATTCGTGTACGTAGCTGACATGAACTTGATTGGTAATTCATAAATTGCATATCGTTCTTACAATTGTGTTACAACCTGAAAATTCAAAGATGTATTTCTGATGAACCCGTTTCACTCCTTCTTCAATGAGTTACCATCACGATGACCACTGTTGAAAAGACTCCACAATGTTTTTAAAACATGTAAGGAAAATTGAACGCTCTTGATGGCTCCATAGGCGATGCTGGTAGCTCCAGCATGAATGCCCAATCGTATGGCCACACGTCTCGAGATGAGCATTAATCCGATCGTTGTCAGAATTTTAACAATCAAAATCACCAATCCATTGAATGGTAAAAACATGAAAACAAATTTCAATAATCGATGTAAGGTTCGATTTTTCCGTACAATATACGACGACGCAATTAAAATTAGCAAATCCACTGTAATATCTTCTCGTGTCTTCAATTTCATAATATTTTCGAGTTGCGTTTTCTGTATTAATTGATGTTGTTGCAACTCTTCGACAGTTTTGTAGTATTTTTGTATGAAGGACGAGAGTGAGGATTTGTGTTGTTCCACTTCCTCATTTAAATCAGTAACAGTTTCATTCAATTCTTCCACTTTTGAATTTAGTGCATTCACTGTTTTCTTACTCTTGTGTAATTCCAGTTGTAGTTTGTGAGATTTGACAGCATTGGCAAAATTTGCAACTAGATTGATGGAATTGAGTTTGAAATTCAAAATATTCATTCGATGTTGTTTCACATGAAATTGATTCAGTAACAGCATGGCACTCCGCATATCTCCTTTTTCTTCAAGATAATGATGAAATAAAGCTTGATGTTTGGACTCTTGTCGTGTAATCATTGTTGTATCGTTTAAAACGGTTTCTCCACTATTCTGAAGTTGTTGCAATTGTTTTGTCGTTGATGCTTTGAGAGGCTTTAACATGTTATCTGCATTGAATTGTTCAAAATCTGAGACATCCATGGTATCATTGTTGGTGTGACTCGTTTGCATCAACATGGATGGTGACGATGAAGATTGTTGAAGATGTAATTTTTCAGCATTAGGCGTAGAAAAATGTTCCATTGTTGTTTCTGTTCGTCTTCGATTGGATGCGTTGACTTTTGGAAAGGGAGATGATGAATTATTGGTAGATTTTGGAAATACGGATGAAGAAGATTGGGAAGACTGTACATTGTTAGTGAAACTATTCGTTAGGGGCGTTTTTGGTGTTGTTGTTGTTTCTTGTGTGATCATGACATCTAATGAGTGACTTGTTTGTAGTTTGTTAGTGGTATATTGATTGCCACTCTTGATAGGCGTTGAAATATTTTCAGAATCATCCTCAAATAATTTTTCATAAATTTCCGATTCCGTTTTTGAGTTGTTGTTGTTATTTGGATGAATAGTTTGAGTCGACGTCTCTTCATTCCCTAACACAGCATCCATGGAAGGATATTTGGTAAATAGAGAAGGAGATCTCACACCATCTTTTGTGGTTCTAGATAATTGTGGATCCTTCCGATAATCATTCTTAATGGGACTCGGAGCTAAATTAATTGTTGATGATGATCCATTTAAATTAGGAGAAAAGTATTCAATTTCTTCATCCAATGATGATGATTTATGATGATTGAAATGATTATTAGGACTTGCAGAATTTACATGATTTGGAGAATTTACATGATTGGACGATGATGGTGAAGGCTGTGCTCGGATGATCGCATCGGACGACTTTAACGGCGTTTGTCGTTTTGGAAACATTTTTTTCAAAGAATAAATATAACGCGTTGATCAACGAAAGTGTGATCCACAACAATTTTAATCATTGAAAACTTGTTGGTCGACCATCCTTGTGTTTGTTAGTTGGTCACTATTTGGAGTATTCGATCATGAAAAATTAAATTCAAAATTAAATATAAAATTACAATCACTTAAGCCAACCAAGAAGCAGAAGCTTCATCTTCTTTTTCTACATTTTGACTCGTTGCTTGTGTCAGTTGAGCACTACTTTGTGTGTCAGCAGAAGCCACTTGAGCTTCAGAAGATCCACCGCTTTCTGTCATTTCCAATTGATTCGACGATGATTCTTCTTCATTGTTTTCTTCTTGGTCAGAATTCTCTTCTTCTTCTGCGTTATTTTCTTCTTCTTCAGAATTTTGATTCGATTCATTCAAATCCTCTCCAAATATTTCTTCATCGGCCATCTCATTAAATTCATCAAAGGAGAGAGCTATACCGGAGGTAGAGGCCTCATCCGATGTCGACAAGACATATCCTTCCGAGGATGCTGAAAGAGTGAGAGCATCGGAGGTGGAAAGAATATCGGAGAGTGTGTTGGTGGCCTTGGATGATGAGGAGAGGAAGAAGCACACCAATGAAATTACAGTTAGGGAGAGTAAAATGAAATGTGTGGATCGGTTGTTGGAAAATTTCATTTTTTTTCAATGCATAAAAAAGAGCTGACAGTTGACGTCTGACTTGGTTTGCTGAATGAACAGAAAAAGAATTAATCAATTATTACCAACATGGTTTTTTTACAAACTTAAACACGTTCGTTTACAGTTACCGTGGAAGATGATTAAATTTCATTTCAAATAATTGTATCAATGAACGTTTATTCAAACAATGTATTAGCCACAACAGATTTATTGTAGTACGAAAACATTCCCACGAATGAAAATTTGGAAGAATATTCGAGCCTTCCAAACAAATCTTTTGGTAATGCAAATCTTGAGTCAATTGAAAAGGTACCATCTAAAAACAATTCATCATACTCTTGTGCCAATAACAATCGACCTTCTTCAGTTTCTTCCCAATCTTTCACTAAATACTCTCTGCAACCTTCCAAGGTTTTAATAGATTTAAATTTAACTACCTCTTGCGTGGGTGTCACTATGGGTGATAAAACTGCTGCCTGCCATGCTGAAACTACTAAAGGGTACATCTAAATCCTTTTGAAATACGACAGGTCAAATTTCTTCTGGAAGAAAATTTAATTGCTCGAACAATGGATGTTTCAGTCATTGACTTGATACTTGGATTCTTGTCTGCTTCTCTAATATCATTTGTTGCTCTTGGTTCTGCGTAAATATTACATTGTGTTGCTACCTTTTCAGCATGTTTAAATGTTTTCAAGTCTCGAGTTCTTCTGTCGTTCCATCTGTGATGGTCATAACGCTTCAAATACGTCTCCTGATCAATCAACTCTGCTCCAGAACACCATTTCTTGCATATGGACACCGCATTTGATGCTATTTCGTTATTACTACATCGGACGACCAGATAGATGCCGTTCCACAATTTTGTGTTCCGACATGTCGGAAAGTTAAATCCTTCAGTAACAGAGTGTGAAATGCAATGAGATGAAGTAATATCGGTAACCAGTGCTGTGTGGTTAATATGCATTTCATTAATGTCCTGGAGAGTGTTATAATCTTCTTGGGTTTCATCTTTGAACGGCTTTTGAATCAAAAGAATATCACCATCTTGCACCCACGTTGGCAGGTGCGATTCATTTTCACTCATTTTTTTGTTGTGTTTGTAAATCAGCCTTATCGAAAATTAAAATTGAATTGAAAGGGTTCCTCTTTTCAAGATCAAGCTCTAACCTGTGCTCACGCAACATCAGCACCTTTCTGATTAACACATATACTTGTGCGTTTCTTGTAGACATATCATGATAGCTAATCAATGTGAAGTATTGCTACTCCTCAATCAACGACAACCACACCTGCCTGATAACATCATTGGGGTTTTGACGAAATTGGAGATAACCAAGTCAGAAAAAATTTACAAGTTCCTTCAGTTGAACCTCTTTAGGGACTGTAACATCGATCATACGGATTCCATGAAGAATGCCAAGTACATCATCGGTATCGAATCAATCATTGTCGAGTAGTCATGTATTCATCAAATCAACAAGTACTACGAGCTCGGGGATTGGCTCTCATTCAATACCGAAAAGCCCGAGAGTCATCCACTCCAGCACCAATCGTCCAACCGTAATTCATCAACTACAACAGAAATTGCCCTCATCCCCTCAATTGAGGAACAACGTTGGAGGAGATCCATTGGACCTACCAACGTCTGTTTCTGCCCGATCATCATTGAGGATTTTACTTCCTCCCATTCAACAACAACAACCTGCTGTTATATCTCCCTCAGCGATATTACTAAATCAATCCTCAAATAATATTAAATATGAAGACACCAACATCTCTTCCAAAACTTCAAGAGGTGATGCCGTAACCCCACGCCAACATCATCAGCAATCCAATGGCAGTTCCGTTCATCACTCCAAGCCTCTACCATCAGCTCCATCCTCACCAACTGCCACACCCACGTCCTCAAAATCATTTCCTTTACACATTCCTCTTCATAATGTACACCAAAACACCGACAAAGAACCTCAAACAATTGTTTCCTGCCGATCGAAAACTCATCATGAATGCTCAAAGTTTGCATCACCTCGACGTCCCACAACCACAGCTAGCTCAGTAACCACAACGACTACGAAGCTCCAAGCACCTCTCTCTGCTCGCGTTCGAAAAACGGAATATTCAGAATGGAAGACGGAGGTAATGAAGCCTCCGTCAACACCTCCTTCAAAATTCGCAGCATTCAAGAGCATGTCGACTGTAAATATGGAAGTTGACAAGTTTGAGAACAGTTCAACAGCTTCAACGATAAACGACGACAGCTTTTCTCAGCAGGCCTCCCATCTCAACTCATCCAGGAAAAGCACAAGTCATGAACGACACTGGAATATAAGAATTGACAGAAAATTGAAGGATCTGGAATTCTTTTATTCGGGTGGTCCCACTCGAGTTTGTCACATGAAATATCTTGATGATGAGGACACGAGTTATTACAAAAATGTGGTTCCGTCAAAACAATCATGCATAACAGAGCCTAAAGAATCATCACCAAAGCCTTCAAAGAAACTCTTAACACCCGAAGCAATTGAAAAACGAAGAAAAAACAAAGAAAAGCTGAAAAGGTATGTTTTATTGAATTGAGCTCACAAAACTAAGTAAGCTGGTAATGTGTGAACACCAAAAACACAGTATTAACGAAAAACTCTTTCAATGCAAGCTAGAAATTAAGAAAACACAGGATCAAGTTTCACAAAGGATGGAACAGCTAGAATTGTTAGAACGATTGGCCAATAAAAATGGTCTTTAGATGGTGGAATGAATTACAAGCCTTTTGAAAAGTCAAATTTTAATGCTCATGTGCAAAATTCCATATGTACCATTGTAACCCAATGTTAAAACCATTATTGAGGCTGACATTAATAATCATTGCACAGCTTAATATGAGTGCAAAACATAACAATATCTTCTCCGAGAGGTTCTGTTGCAGTCGTATTACACACACTCATCGCCTTGGTACACTTGTCTTGGCATGGATAGAAATTTCTCACATAACCTCCCTTATCTTTACACAATGGAAAAACGGCATGACAAAGCAAATCATGAACCAATTCTTTACATTGCTCAGAAGGTACATTTCCACGAGCATTGTCCCAATTCATCAAATTATAATACAGAGCAGCAACATAATCTGCTTTCTTCAAGGCAACATCTGCACTTTCGTGAGTTCTATTGAAATCAGGTATCGTGGTTGGATATTGGACTCTATTCTCACAAAATTTCAAATCCATCTGGTTCATCTCGGAAGTAATGATATCACAAGTTTTTTGAGAAGTTACGGAGGGTTTAAAAGAAGAGGATTTTTGAATGATGGATCTCATCTTGCTCGTGAACGCACCGACTTGAGTGGAGTGGTGGTGCTGTTGTTGGCTCACCAACATCATCACAAGCGCACCTAACAACAAGACGAAAATGGACAAGAGCGAATAGTTCATTTTTTTTCGCATTCGATTTTAAAAAGAAATTTTACAGATCTTACAAGGTTAAGGAAACTGAACTCAACCAAGTAAACAACAGTTTGGGCTGTAGGAATGAGAGATTTCAGGTCACCCATTAGCTCTTCAATGAAACGCTATAAACAATGAGTCACTCTTCCATTATGGTAAATCACCAGTCATATCGCTCGCTTGCATGATTTTAAATCCCCATAAACGGACCAACACCATCCCACCACACACATGGACGTGAAAAATTGTAAAAAGGCAACCACGAGTGTGGGTTTCATCTTCTCACTTTCATCGGTCATGATGGAGGCGAGGGCAGTTCCTAATCCTGGTACAAAGATGTTGAAAATTAGAACAATGACTCCAAATCCTGGGACTCTCGGTGTGCTATCGTGTAATAAACTCATCGTTGGTTTCAAACACTTGTTGATGGTAAATTCTATTCTTTTTTTTAATTCGAATGTTTTAATCCTTACATTCAATTCGACGTTTTTGGAAATTGTGAATTTTTGGATGTTCAAAAGAAATTCCAAATCATTTGAGATTATTATTGTCCAACCGAATGTTTTCATTGAATTCACACACGCACAGGCACAGGCGCACTCACACACACCTTAATTCAACTTGTTGGCATTCATTAATTGTTGTTTTTCGAGCTTAATTTTTACCCAATATTGATACGACTTGGTGGTCACAAATCTCGAAAAGGTATCTGACAAGTTTTGAATTAAATCTCCCTTCAACGAATCCAATGCTTTCAAAATTTGTTGACTATTCACATTTTGTTTTTCTTTCACAGTTTTGAGTAATGAAGTTCGTGTGTGTGATGGAATATTCACTTCAAAAGCAGAAGCAGCTGTTAAAAATTTTCCAATAAATCCTTCCAATAATTTCACTTGTTCTGTACTTTCTTTTTCTCGTAATTTATGAATGGTGTACAATTCCACTAATTGATGATAACAAATGAGATTTTCTTTTGAAAATTCTTTCACTGTGAATTTTTCAAATAAGCGCAAGGCCAAGGGATCTTGTAAAATTTCATGCAATTCGTTATGAGAAGAAGCAAACGAGTCTCCAGATTCGAGAGATTCTGCCGATCGATCGTATGCTCGTTCCATCGTCTTTAAATTTCTTGCATGCTTTGATCGATATTTGAAAATATATACTAAAAGTGACAAGTCACCAAATACCAACACATAAAGTACAAAATATACCACAGAGAGAATTAATCTCACAATATCCATAATGAGTGACTTGTTAAATGCAGAAGTTGAAGTGTCGAGCGCTGAATTGGTTGAAATGAAAAATCCCAAACTCACAATTCCAAAAATGTACGATGTCAATAATACTCCCAAACATAGAATAAAAAGCAAAGTTTCAACTCTAAAGAAGAGAGGATCTTCCTGAATGAAAAATCGATACATGGAAGAGAGAGTGAGATCTTTGGCTTTTTTGATGTAAAAATCATCGAGTAATTTCTTCTTGGTGGATTTTTCTCCTGATGAAATGTCACTCAATTCAATGGTGGATGCAGTAGAAGCATCGTAGGATGGCACTTGAATAGAAGTGTCAACAATTGGTTTCGCTCGGTATTCATAGATTAAACAATATAATAAATCGAATAGGAAAATAATGATCACGGTAACAAGTGACATCACCAAAATAGAACCCATGATACTACTTGTCACAATGGTGTAAATGGTTGAAGTGAAAGATTGACTTGCATAGTTGGATTGAGCAACTTCTTGTCCAATTCTACCCAATGACAGTCCAGCAAATATCACAAAGATCAGAACTGAAATGAAAACGACACTTGTGACATATAATTTCTTGGAAGAGATCCATCGATAAAAAGAAATCTTCTTATCCACATGTTGATCATCCAAATTTTCATCGGACATGAACGCATACATTCTTCGCATGAGTTGATAACGAACCACTTGAATGACAAAGGTCAAAACAGTCACACAAAATGCAACGCTCACAATAATGGATGAAACATAAGTAATGGTATTCAATCCAAATGGAGTATTCGTTCCGCTTGCAGTCAATCCAATCATGATACTTGCTTTCACGATATAGCTTAAAAACGATTCCAATAAAATGGATGTCATTCCCACAAATGGAGCAATGTACTTGGCCTTTACAGGTTGTGAATCTTTGAAAATGATAATCAAAATCAAAATAGTGGCACTGACAATGACAAATAATAATCCAATTCCAATATCAAATCCCCATAAAATATAATATGCAGTTTTTTGTTCTGTTGTGTAATTGGTATAGGAAGTAAATTCCACAAAAGTTGCAAATTGTGTGGTATGATCACACGAGCATGAAAGGATGTAACAATTTGAGATTTTCACCTTACTTGTCAATTGACATCCATCCTCTTTCCAATCACTCACTGTTTCATTCCAATATTTACACGAGACAGTAGCATTGGGTTTGTCCAGCTCAGTAGCAGAAACATTAAAAGTTAACACTAATGGTTCACTCAATCCACTCAAAGGTAAATAATTACCAGCCGCATTGATGCATCTCAATGAAACCACTGAGCTTTGAATGGTGGCAGTTCCATTATTGGTTGTGGAAGGATTTGGATTTTCCAAGTAGGTCACTAACTCGGTTCCATATAATCCTGCAGTATCGTTGAACAGTGAGATTGAGGGCATGAGTACTCCATTGGCATTTTCTGAATCATCCGTAATGGAAGTTCCATTAAAATTGGCAGCATAGTCCTTTCGGATGGTAAAATAGAGAGATGAAGTGGTGAGTCGTTTTTCTTCACTTGGTGACAAGGAATCTACAATGGTTGAAGAAAATAGTTTGACCAATGATGGAGTTTGAGATTTCATTCCAGAAAGTGGAATCATATTGGAAAGAGTGGAAGCCAAACTTGAGAAAATGGATGAATCTCTCATACCCAATGGCATGCTATCGACATTATTTCCTGTGACTCGATTATTGGAAGCATCTGTTCTCAATAAGGTGAAAAATTGGAAAACGTCGATAAAATGTACTAGACATGTCAGCTGCCATTAATTTCACAGAATTGGTTGCATTGTAGGACCACATTTCAATAATTCTGGCAATATCTACCATTTTTGAAGTATCTTGGACTGTCATGTTAGAAATCATTGTTTGAATTCGAGTAAAGAGAGCTCTTTGAATTTGATCCACAACTTGAATATCTCCATATTGATACATTCTTTGAGTCACTCCCATAATTCCTTTCAATTGCATGAGAGAGAAGGATGAATTTTGTTGATTGACAAATGTCAATACTGAATTGAGATCTGTTGGAAATACACACACTGCATCTCGTAAAAGAAATATTTTGGTAAAGGATTGATCTGCATCTTTACAAACATGACAAGTTGATGTTTGTAACTGTAATGAATCGAGTCGAAATCTACTGTAATATTTGGAGCTGCTTGTCCTGGAACTTGTCTAAAACTAGGTGGTAAATATGCATATTGAATTGGATTGGTGGAGAAATCGGTCACTCTCACAGCAACTGTCATTAATTCTGACATGGGAATTTCTGAAAATCGATTTCTCAAAACATCCATAGTGAGCGATTTCACCATCAATGGATCTAAATATCCATAGGCATATAAAACCGTCGAAGGAGAAGTGAAATCTGCGTATTGGATGTTTTGTCCTGAAAATCTGAAAAGTTGTGTAAAGGATGCATTCTTTGGAAAGACACTCATGGGATCTTGTGCTAGATTCCGTAAATAGAAATCTCTTGGAGTTCTCAAATAAATGGAACTTTTCGTTAAAATTCTATTTCTCAAATCCGTCACAAAGCAGCTCACTTTATACAGAGATTGCAATTCCATGTCCTTATCTTGAGATAAAACAATACTTGAAAATCCAAGTGAATTTTCTTGTATCATGGGTTGTAAAGTGTTGACAAAATTCGAAGGAAGACTGCTGTTTTTTCGAAGCATTAAATCAAGAGCTCCCAATGAATCTGATTCTACTTTGGTAAATTGCCAATTGTATCTCAACGTGGTTCCTCTTGGTACCTTACCACCCAATCGAGCGTTTAATGCAAAATTAGCTCCCATTGGAATGAACGGTTGACCAGTGAGTGCATCCAATGCAGGTGGATTCGAAGGATCAATCACTGCAATGGGTGGAATGGTAATATTCACATAAAGTTCTGTATTTGGAGGTTGTAACAAATTTGCAGGTTTTTTCAAAATTTCAGATAAACCATCCGTCGAGTAGACAATAATTTCAAACTGAGCCGTCATGTCATTAATTCCTTTTAATTTCAAATACGCCGAAGGTCCAATCTCAACAAAATACACTCCTTCTGTGAAATTTCCAGATTTGGAGTAAACTTCCAAAGTAGTCGCATAACCCTTGTTCAATGTAAAATTACAATTAAAATACTGAGTTGCATTGACAACTTGTTGAAAATATTGATTTTGTTTGACTCCACATTTCGAAAGGACTGAAAAGACATTCGACCCCACAAACGCAGTGGGATAGGTATAAAAAATATAAAGTTCCAATTTCGCATTGTTCTGATCTGGAATGTTTAAAACATGAATGGAATTGTCGAGATATTGAACGGGTGGTTGTTGCATGTAATTGGGGAAAAAAGTAAAGGGTTGGAAGAGATTGGGAGGACGAGGAGAGGTATTGACGAGAATCGATGCGTGTGTCCATGATGATGATGATGGAATGATCAACATCATCAACATTGAGCTGAGAACAAGTAAAAGAAGGAAAATTGTCGATTTGTTGTTGTTAGATGAAATTTCAATGGGAACGAATCGTGCCCGATTGTGAAGGATCGAGACGATAACGACCTCGAGGTCGAGGATGATGAACTGTTGTTGTTGTTGTTGGTGTGGTGGATCATTGGATGTTGTTGAAATTTTTTTTGAAAGTGACAAGCGAAAAGTGTTGACAGCCGTTTGAATTTCTTTCGGAAACAAAATACATGATCCAACACCCTACTCGAAGACCGACGTTCGAAAGGAAAGAACTTGATTTCAGTGAAAATATTTGATGGAATTTGAAGTGAATTTGAGTGAAAGTTGTTCGTTTGAAAAAAATAGAAAGTGACAGAATGTGTAAGAGGTTGGATATCTTCTGAAAGAAGCTTTTTGGTCGTCTATAAGGGCTGGAGTAGGAAGATCAAGTGTTTTTCGTTTTTCACGACATTCTTTTGTTAAATTATTCAACTTTATGAATTCCAACTATTATGATTTTGTAGTTAGAAAGAGAAATTGTAATTCGTTTGTTTTATTGGATCGTCAAGGATCGTATGATGTTGGTAAATGAAAAGAAATCTCACGTGGTGTTTTAGGAACTCAGTCATGAATAGCAATCTGTTTTTGAAAATTTGACATTTCTGGTAATGACCAACAAATTTTTCACACAATCATCTTTTTATTGAAGAAAGACAAGTGTGAGTGAACAAATTTAAAAAAACAATCACTAAACCTTATCACGATCCATTGCAAACGCTCCTTTTGTAACAATTCATCATGGTTCGAGAATCAAGACTCCCGTTCATTCGTAAAAAGAAAACAAACCCCAGTACTGTTCGAAGACAAACCAATATTAAAGGAACAGCGAAAGAAGCTGAAGATCGATCCGATGTGATCACTTCAAATGAACAAGATAAAGTATTGTACTCTTCACCTTCCAGTAAGATTCAATAAGGCTGAATAGAAGAGGTGTGAAAATCCTCTTGAAATCATTCAAGTGTTATTGATTGAAATCCTTTGAGATTTAAATTGACAAGAATAAATATGTGTATACGTTATACATACGATTCCATATCCTTCTCAAGTCAAAGAATGAGTGAATGAACACTTTGCTCCATGGAGCAACAAATCCCAATAAGGGAATTGAAACAGCGAAATGAAAAAATATTTTTTCGTTATTTTTTGATTCAACAAACAACAAAAATCACACCAACCATGATGACGAGGAACTCGACGACTCATTATAATTTCGCTCGCCAAGTGGTTGCCGTCGTGCTACAACTACTACTGCTAGTTCTCAATGTAATCTTTGGTCCATCAACAACAACAACAGCAGCATCCTTCTTCTCCGGAGATATTCAATCTTTTACTCCCAATAATCATCATCAGCCTTCTTCGGGAGCAACTCCCATCTTTCATCATCGGTATGGTTTCAGAAATTGTTCCTATGAAGAGCGAATACCGAGTATTATCAACACCAACCATTCATCATCCTATACATTTGTACGGATACCTTTAAATGAAGAATTATTTTCTCAGTTCCGAGATTTGCCTTTTGGCTTTGGATGTGAGAGTGTTGAATTTCCTCAAGCCATCTCGGAAGATGATTTTGCCATTTACATTTTTGCAAACAACATGAAAAACTCTGAATTCTACGCACCCATATCGACCTCAGCAGAACGGTATGATGTATGCGAAAAGTATCAATCGTTGCAAGAGAGTTGTGCGGATTTGTTGTGTGGAGCTGCCCACCAGCAAAACCGTTTGAATTATTCATTAGTGAACTATTGTCAATATTGCCGTAATGCCAAAGGATTTGTTGAATTTCATCACAGACTCCAAAATACGGACAGTTATATTGAAACACCCAATGACGGGTTGCAACGTGGCTACAACTCGTGTGGTAATTTTTCTAAATTTCCATCTGCCTTCTATTGTGGAGATATCAGTAAGGGGCTTCCCTTATATTATCAGAGTGATCTAAATTTCAAATTATTGAAAAACCCCTATTTCTGTTATTGTGCCAAAGAGAACAGCTACTCATTTTCGTGTGATAACTTTTGGAATGATCAGCACACAGCGACCGCTAAAATGGTGTTGACTGTTATTATTATGGTTCCAGCTTTTATAGCTTGCCTTTTTGCCTATACTCTACCCCTATTGAAAAGTTTCACACGAAAACGGAACCTCAATGTTGTGAATATTTTCAGCATGTTCATTATGGGAGCGGCATGCATGACCATGCTCGTGGGCGGGGTTACAGCTGTCTTCTTACCCATACTCAATTATACATTGCTTTCTTCTAGCTTATTCATGATTCACATTTCGATATTACCTGCCCTACTTGTTTTCGATCGCATCTACATGTTCCTCAAGACTTCAGAAAATAGAAATTGCATTATTTTCACAAGTATTACATTTGGAGCCTTGGTACTCTATGCCTTATGTTTGGGTGCATGTATTGCCATTGAGGTGTTAATATTTTCGTATGCGTATTCAAGTATATCTCACATATTATTGCTAGTGAATTATATTAATTTCTTCATTCCATTGCTTGTAAATACTCTTCTATTTATTCTGCTTTCTCTAAGGCTGTATTTTACATTCAAGCAAAAAACAACCATTTCATTCTTTGCATCCAGTGTAAGTTGTTGTTGAAGTTTTTGAAATGTATGATGTCATGACCTGAATTGATACTTCACCACTTTTATTGTTATCACTATGATACTAACAAATTCTGTGAAATACTAATATATTATCCATGACCATCTATATAGTATTTTCGTGAATTCGTTGTACTATGTTTATGTAGTTGGTGCTCTTTTATTACATGTCTGCTGTCCAACATTTTTCGCATTTATGGAACTTCCTATTTCCACTATGCCATATGTAACTTGTCTGAGCTTGCGAGTATTACGTGCTCCTTTTCATGTTTTGTGGTCATTTTGTACATTGTTTTTGACCAGGAACGATTTTACGAATGCTATCCATGTATTGTGAAACCATTGAAGAAGTTCTTACAACAGCGAAAGGCCAAACAAAAGCAGAAGGATCAAGTACTATTGTTAGGAAACGAACAAGCTGTTCCAGAATTTGGTAATTCCTCTTCAGCATTTGATAACAGCATTGAGACTTCCTATACCAATGTGGAAAATTCACTCCAGGGAAATGTATCAATGGAATCATCTATGGTGAGTCGTTAACGACTTGTCATGCAAGAGACAAGCTAACAATTTGGTGATTCAATATTCTCCAAATTGTGAATGAATGGTATTTTATAATGGACTCAAATTGGAACCAAACACCACACATTCATTCATTTTGATTTGAGCTGCAATGTTCACCATCATGATAGCCGGACCCATGATGGACCTTTTTTTTTAATCACGTCCGCTATGAGTTAGAAAATTATTAGATCAAATATTTACCTTTAAAGGCAACTTTTAATGTCTCATCCCCAGGAAAATCACAACAAAAACAAATTCACAAGACACTAGCTGTTCCTATTGTTATTCACACACAAATTGCCTTCTCCCACTATCATTGAAGACTCCCTTAGCCAACAAAATGTCCACACCAAGCTCACAAACCATTTCCCAAGTGAAATATAGATACCTCGTCGAAGAACCCATTTTGCAATACATTCGTCAAGTAGGCATTCGTGAACAACCCATTCTTGAAGAATTGCGTTTGAAAACTGCAGAAAAACTTGGCTTGTTGAGTTTAATGGTATCCTTCCCTGAACAAACTCAACTGTTGCAAATTATTCTCAAGTTAATTGGAGCGAAAAGAATTTTGGATGTTGGAACGTTCACTGGTTATTCTGCATTGAGTTTTGCATTGGCCACCACCGATACACAAGCTCAAATCATCACGTGTGACGTCTCTGAAGAGTACACCTCATTGGGCAAGACCTATTGGGAACGAGCAGGAGTTGCCAACAGAATTGAATTAAAGTTGCAACCAGCTCTTCACTCTTTGAAAGAATTGAAACAAGCAGCTTCTCAACAGCATGATCAATTATTCGATTTTATTTACATTGATGCTGATAAGGATAATCAATTGGAATACGTCGAATTGGCTTACGACTTGTTGAGAGTGAATGGACTGTTGGTGATTGATAACACCATTTGGAGTACAAAAGTCATGGATCCCAATGATCACTCACCTGGAACTGACATTATTCGAAAGATGAACGAACAATTACACAAGGATGAGAGATGGGATTTAGCCATGCAATGTATTGGAGATGGAGCTACTTTTTTAAGAAAGAAATAACCAAGAGGTTTAATAATTCAATGAATTTCCAAATTTATTAATTTAAATTTTTTTATGGTCAAATACAAGATGAACATTTGATTCAACTACTCAAATTTTTTCATCATTTCTTGTTGTTGCTCAGGTTCTGCTGTAGCTATGATACCCAAATACAGGTAAACTTTGCGAGCACATGGTTGTTCGGAGAGACATGTCATCGCAGAGCTTACTGAAGTGGAGTCCAACATTGGTGATTCTTCTTCTGATGAGGTTGTAGTCAATGATGGTGTCATGAATTTATCACCATTATTTAAACAATGCAAAAAGGCACTCGACATAGAGACTAATTGACTTGGCATTATGTATAATCAAGTTGAGGCTGTGAAGGAATCATGTAAAAAGGAGGTTTGTTCGTAGCGTTTCAGACATGGAGGAGTTCCGAATAATTCTTTGGCTAAGTTATATTGTTGTTGGTGTTGTTAACATCATGAAAGTAGTTCATCATTCATGGTGTGAATTTCATAATTTCAAATGACAATTAATTAAATATGATAATTGTCATTTGAAATTAAAATTATTAAATAAAAAAAACGTACTCACACACAAGGATTCAAACAAGGACGAAATTTCATCATCAAATTTTGTCTCTCTATTTCTAAATCGAGCTTGATCAAATTGTTTCACTTGTAATTCCAATGCTTTCGTATTGCATCCGTTTTTCACAAACAAGTACAGAGACATGGCTTGATCTTGTTTTGAAAATACCTCAGAATCAAAGAGTTCCGATTCGAAAAGCTCTTTTCGAATATTGTTTTGCATGTATTGAAGGGTGTCATTGCTGTCAGAAGTGTTTGACATTTTTTTTTTGAAATTCAGTCAGCATGTCTACTTGAAATTGATTGTGTGTTCTTCAGTCATTATTATCAATCACCAGATCTGCACAACAACGCTTGTTACGACAAGGAAGCACGTTTAGAAATCGATCACAACGACGTGAAGCTCTGTAAAATTGTTTTCTGATTTCACTGTTACACATGCCCTGACATGGTTGCTAAAAATGTTTTGAACGAGCATGCGCGTTTGGATCCGTTGAACAAACATGGAGACATGGATTCAAATCTCAAATCATCAACACAATCCCATCTTTCACACACAACAAAAAAATGTTCAATCGAGTCCTTTCGATAAGGTGGGTCGTGACAGCTCTTGTGCATGTATTGATGATGCTTGTTGTGTTGAATAGTACGTACTTGATTTCTATTTGGGAGTTGCATGTTTCAATAACCACATAAATGCTAATGACATTTGACGTTGGATCTTGATGTCCTACTAATTCTCCACGTGGAACAGTTCCAGTCCATGCAGCATCACCACAACCAGTATTTACTCCTCTCGAAACTGTCTACAAGAATTACTTGGTAGGCAATGCCGTTCAAAATGCAGATTTCACTCTCACTCAAAACCTCCCAAATGCAAGTCCAGTTCAAAATTTCAATCAAATATACTCGGGTTCCACCATTCAAGTCATTTCCTCTGGTGGTGCCGTGAGTGGCAATGCAGGTACGTTCAATGCTTTCCATGATCATGGCCAATTAATTGAACTCTTGACAAGTGAAATTTGTTGGAGTGAACAACGGTTTGAGTCAAGGCATTACCTTTAATCAATCCACTCGTAAAGTCATTTACTATTCCGCATGGAGTAAGGCAGAAAATGTAGGAGGAGTTCAAGATCCCAGTTATTCCTTCTATTTGGATATTTTGTTTATGGATGGCAGTTCATTATTTGGTCAAACGTTGAATTTTCCAGTGGGCAATACTTCATGGAGTATGAAATATGCCTTTCTCATTCCAGAGAAGCCAGTTAAGAGTTTGAGTATGAATATATTGTTTCGAGGTACACACTCTGGTTCCGCGTATTTTTCAAATTTGATTATTTCAGAGTTGAGTATTCCGTATGAAAATGTTCAAGTGTTGGATGGAAGTGTTGTTGCCAAAGTTGCCTATTCTCCATCACTCACTTCATTGCATACATTGAGTACGAGTAATGGTCTCTCATTGAAATTTTCAAAAATTGATGGATCTCTAGTGGGGTTGAATATTGATGGACAAACAGTGGCATCTGACAGCTCTGCACAATTTGGTGGTCTCTTCGTCAAGGACATGCAAGTGCGTCTCAACGAGTCTAAAATTTACTTACCCACTCCCACACAAATTATTACCTCATCAAACAGCTTTCGAACTGAATCCACTCTTCCTGAGCTGGGACTCGTGTTAAACACCACATATAAGGCTGATCTTGATTTATCAAAAACCATTTCCATTCGAGTCGATATTGAAAATACTTGGATTCAAAAAGATCGATCTCTCACCTTGTTGGTTGCCATTCCTGTCACAAATATGAATCTCAACTGGATGTGGGGAGATTATATTCGATCGTCACGGGACATTGTGGACTTGAATCCAAGAGAATACCATAGAATGTCGGCACGTGTTTCTACAAATGCTCAACTCGTGACTTCGTATCCGTTTATAGGAATGTCCACCAATGTGACAAGTGGTACCAATGTTGGTCTCTCGTTGGCAATTCCACTTTCTTCTCCAAAAATTATTCGATTTGCTTACAACTCGATTTGTAAATTGTTGTATGCCAGTGTAGATATTGGTATTTCACCAAAATCAGGCATTTCCAACAAGGCATGGTTCGATTTGATTTTGTACAAGCATGACAAATTGGAAACCACTATTGGCGGAGTGACCACTACAACTCCGTATCCATTCCGTAACGCTGCTTTTGGTTATTATCAAAGATATCCTCAATTCTTTACAAGAAGAATACCTCCCGAAGAGGAAGGTGTATGGATTGCTTTCAGTGATGTAAGCACCATTCCAAACATTACTGATTTTGGTTTTGGATTTCATGAACTTGGAGCCGATAATCAAATTAATTTTGCCAAAGCTAATGGAATCAAAGGATTACGATACGTGACAGAACCATTCTCTTCGTGGATTAGATTACGAAATACTAACGTAGATCCTAACAACTACACTCACGTGATCGAATACTTGACGCAACAAGCTCAGAATCCAAATTCTCCGATTAAGGAACAAGCTCAACTCACTCTTGTTTCTACTATTAAGGATCCCGATACAGGTTTGTATCGCTGTACGAGTATCGATCGACCATGGTGTCCCAATAAGTGCGTGCTATGTACATTATGTCCGCTGCCAAATGTCAAACCAGCAAGTCATCTTCCCAGCTATTTTGTCAATAAGGCAGAAGCAGATTGGAACCCAACCGTTTGGGGCACGTACAACAATCCTGCTTCTCTCTATTACAACTTGAGTGGAGAATTTGTCGATTCATTCTCATCCAATTCCTATCTTATTAACTACACTCCAGAGCATGTGAAAGCTGTCAATGAACCTTACTTGACATTTGACGCTAATCGACCTCAATACGTTGGAATTGCAGGAATCTTTTCCACCTATCTCTTCACTAAAACCATTGGAGAGTTTTTGCATTCACTTCCTACCAAGAAATACTTTATGGCCAATGCAGCAGCAAGTAATTCCATTTCTTGGGGAGTCGATTTGTTTGATACCACTGGAACAGAAGTTGGATGGGTGACCAATGGCCAATTCACACCTGCCAGTGATGAAAGTGTGAGCTTTTCAAGAACAGTTTTTGGTCAGAAACCTTATGGTTACTTGTTGAATGAGCATTACACGAGCTTGACCAGCTCCATCATGTTGCAATATTTCCAATTTTGTCTGTTTTATGGAATGTATCCTTCTTCGTTTAGTGAAGATGCGAGTACTTCACCATTCTGGTCCATTCCAGCAGCGTATGAACCTCATCGAGCACTCTTTAAACAATACATTCCATATTTTAGGAGACTGAATCAAAATGGATGGCAAATATTGACAGGAGTGAGGTTGTTAGTGAACGGATCTATGATTGATAGAGTTCAAGCAGATTCAGTTACTGTGGCTCCTCCTGCTGTGAGAGTAGAGAGATTTTCAAGTTTGTCCTCCACCCAAGAAGTCTATTTCACAGTAATGGTTTCACAATCTGTCTACAATTCAAGAATTACCTTACTGTTTGATGTGGATGTCATTTCGAATGGCCAACTCATAGGTGTTTCGAATTGCACCTTGATGTCTGCGTATTCGATGCTTACCAAACAAAATTACACATTGGTGACCAATGCAGATTGTGCTTCAATCGGAGTTCAGTTCAATGCGTTGCTTATGCTGATCCAAATTTTGCCTCCTACACAGAAGTCATTGTTGTCAATATGGGTCGAGCAAAGGCAGTTACGCCACCAACACCCAATCCGAGTCCGTCACCTATACCCAGCCCAATTCCATCACCAAAACCTTCGAAACCACTGCCAAAGCCATCGAAAAGTGCAAAATCATCCATTAATCCAAGGGCATCCCTCTCAAGAGAGGTGAATGAAGGTGTTGCAAAGTGCTACCAAGTAGGCCTCTTGTTCACACTGTTACTCATTGGAGTGCTGATTTTCTAATGAAAAGAATATTATTTGCATGATTTACAAACGTCACATAATGATTAATAAATGTTGTTGTAGAGAAAGATGTCATGAATTAGAACTCATATCCATATCTTTCAGCAAGATCATGAACAACTTGAAATAAATTTCTGGAATTGGGGTCTCGTGTTTCCTTAATTGTCTTTAGGCATTCCAAACCGTCAACAGTATTAAACGAAACAAGATTTCTAATGATGAACCAAATCAGCTGAGTTCTATGGAATGAGTCAAGCATTTCTCTATAAAACATGTGCAAGCTGTTGTCTGAATTCAATACTCGATAAACAAATTCGAGTTTTACAATCACATTTTCTAAATCAATGCTGCCAGAAAGAGTTTTGTAATATTCTGTAGTTATGTCATCCATAATGGTGAAACCATCTGAATCATATGTAGAGAGTAGCAAGTTGTTCACGGTAATAAACAATTCTTTCATATCGTTTTCCAATGAAAATTGAAGTAAATCCACACATTCTTCAAGTGATGAGCTCTGAACATTGACACCAAGTTGAAATTGAACTAAATCTTTGAGTCCGTTCACATCAAAAAAATCTGCTGCCTGATACAACTCAATCAGTTGTGAAAAAGTTGACTCATAGCGATCACTTAAAAAGTTGTGATACAAGTAGAATACGAACATTTCCAACGCTTTCACATCTCTGAAAATTTCACTGGCATCATAAGAAATGGATTGTTCATCTCCAAAGTTTCCTTCGAATAGTACTCGGAAAAATGAGCTTCTACATGCTAGTATGTATTTGTGTGCTCTACACTGTACGAGAGGAATGCTGGGCTCAAAATTGTTGTGACAGATTTGCAACGAAAAGTCCTTGCTCTCATTGTCATTGTACAAAGCATTTAACGTCAGACATTTCTCATAATCATCATGTCGATCCAATAAATATTCCATGTCATGATTAATGTAGTGATTTGGATCTTGCAACATATTATCCGTGGATGTCTCCCATTCCAACCAAGTATCTGAATTCACATTCTTGGCTACAATGGGATATTTCATGTTTATGGTCTCTAATGTTTTAAATCGGGATGCGTCACTTGATTCATCGAACATATTTTCAAAAACTCCCAAGTACACATTCTCTATCCATGCAGTACACACCTTACTATCCATTATCGAAGACAGTTCTTGAATTTCCGTTGCTTGTTCGACATTTTCATCAATTTTGAAATCCGTACTGCTGATTAATTTGGCAGCATGTAGACCAAGCTCTCGTTTTTCAGGACTGTTGAAAAATTGTTCATACAAAGATGGACATCTTACTTTCAATATTGGAGTATAAACTCCAATTTTTACACCTTCACTCGATTCTATAAAGCTGTCTGTGAATTTTCCGGATTGAAACAGCAAGGTAAGATCATTTGCCATCGTACCATTATTAATGAGATCGTGATATAGAGATACAGCGGGAGGGGTACCAACACGGACTGAATCGAATTTTTCAGATGATGAATACACGTGATGGGGACTGCTGGTAGCTGGAGTTGTTGGTGATGGTATATCCTCTTCATCAAAATTATCGTCTAAACCAAACATGAACTTGAAAACCGTAGGGGAGTGTCATCTCCCTTAGTGGTCAGTAAATTGTCCTCATTTTCATAAACAATGTCAGAGAATTTTTCAGGTGGTTCCACAGGTTGAGTTTTGAATGAAACGGTTCGTGGTGCCTCATATATTTGTTCGTCATCATGTTGAGCATGACGCAAACCAATGACATTTACAAGATCTTTTCCAATGACTTTTTCAACATCTTGTGCTGTGACAGTTCTATCACCATCAGTCTTTTTCAATAAATGCAGCTTTTGAAAAACAGAACTGATAAAATTCTTCAATGAAAAGAAGGCCTCAATCGCCACTCCTTCAGTACATGACTTCATGGAACCTCTTCTCATAATTCGTAATAAATCAATGTGAAACGAATGACTTTGTGAGGGATCTTGATATTCTATGTCAAGATACGGATGTCGCTCATTGACATGGTCTGCACTTAAAATATTGTCCTCATTATAAAATCTCCCTAAAGAATGTTAACTGACCAAATTAAATGCAACAATGTGTACTACTCACTTGTGGAAAATAAAGAGTGACCCATTCCTGGTCATAAACGGGTTCTTTCACAAAGCTGTCCTTGGCAATTGCATGTACATCACAAAGCCAGTTTTCAGAAGTGGTCAAGCTAGTCGGAACAGGGTTATGGTGCATTATTGTATCGAGGCAATGTTTTTTAGGTGACACTTGAGTGTTGAACTCATGTTCCCAAATTGGGTGACATTGTGAGGGGTTAATGGAGTTTTCTTCGTAATTCACTTCTCTCTTTTCCACATCATTTTCCTTAATAAAGGTTTCTGATTTGGAGCAAGGGTCCGATAGTAATTCTTGAGCCTGGCTACTCTCCATATCGCAGTCACTTTCATCAGTTTCTGTCTCATCTTCCTCATCTGAGTCTGTGAAATCATCATCATTCAAACTGGGTCTTAATCCTCTTATTTGTAAAAAAACATCTTTCTGGAATTCGTACAGATCTTCTTCGTCATACTCCTTAATCGATCGGATGTTAGCAAGTCGTTGCTTGCCATTCCAACATAGTACTGGAGAATGATAACTGTCAACAATAAATGTGTCCAATAATGCTCTAACTAAGGGTCTATACATTATCTGACAAGCTTCTATACTTTTTCGTTGCTTCATTATACAAATTTCCTTGTTCAGACAATTTAATATCATCAAGGAAACGCCGAGTCTCATCGTAGAAACAGGTAAGTCTTGATGCTCTTCGTGAGTGACAACACTCTTGTCGTACATGCGAAGGGTAAGCTCAATAATGCTGAAATAGGGGTTATCAAATAAGTCTTCAGCATCTTTAAGAAGTAATTGAGAGAATGGAGGAATGTATGTCATATCCTCGTCTGGTAAGAGTTTGTTGAACAGATGGGAAAAGTGCGCAACGCTGAAATCATTGCAATCGCTGTCATCATAAAAAAACTGCTCTTCGTCTTCAAATTCTTTTTCCTGCTCTCGTTCTTCTTTGATACTTTCTTTAGAATTCATGAAAAATCCATCCAAATAAAAAGCATATTCTTCTTCGTTATACTCATTCAACAATAGTTTTTCATCGAGCTTTTTCTTTTCATCACTGCGCTCAATTGATACAGTCAAATGTGGTTCTGGCAAACAATTGAGCTCTTGTTGAGTTTTTACGACTTGTGGTAATATAAACGTTTGCCACGTATCAATAACCTCGTTCGTGAGTTCTGGCTGAGTATCTCCAAATCCCATGGAATTTTCGGCAATCTGACATGCTTGTACGTCCAGATTCGTTCTATGAATTTTTGCTGTTGAATCAATCAGTTGAGAAATAAATTCCACATCATGTACAACACATCGTTTCACGAGAAAGTCGGCACAATACAATGCAGTACTTTCGATAGCCTCTCGTTTGGAAATGAATTCTTTCAAGATGGCATTAACCTGTTCTTCCTTAATCTTGACTGCAATGGTTTTATCAGGGAATGGTTTGCCGAGCGTTTTTGTCAACTCCTCCATCATGGTCCAATCCAAGTCGGAAAGTGGATCCTTCTGATGTTGTGGATCTCTCAATTTCAAGCTCTGCAACACAATTTTCGCTTGCAACACGTGCCAACACTTCTCAAACTGATCATTACTCAAATAAATACTTTCAACCTCTTCTTGGCATAGAAGTTTCTTGATTTCTTCTGATGACTTTCCTTCATAATCTTGTTCATCTGCTTGTTGTTGAAGATTGCACAGACGTTGATACAAGAGCTTGGACTCTTCGTCATCTTTTGCTTGCTCCAAGTGAGACATGACATCCTCGATCAAGTCATCTTCTCGTATGAAATGAAAAAGATGATCATCCTCTGTGGGATGACGCTTTCAAGTGTTGAACACTCAAACGTGTGTAATGAAAAGGCTTTCTTCTCCTCTACAAAGAGTTTTCTCTTCTTTCTAAAATTGTCTATCAGTGATTCTTGTTCCGAGGTGGACATGATACGGGCATCTTCCTCCTGAAATTCTTCATCCAAAGTTCTGTCTTCTTCTTGTTTGTGGAGATCTGTGCTGTTGGAGACTATGGTGTTCGTATGATCCGCTTGCTCCTCATAACCTCTCTTCTTGTTGTTGTTACTCTCCACTGAATGATCTTCTGATAACATCAAAATGTTTTTTTGTAATTTTAATCATCACGGCCCGCACCTCCGGAACAAAATCTCATAATCACGTTGTTCATCATGAGATTAACAAAATTATTTGTTATTCAAACGTTTATGCATGAAGCTTTAAAATCAGCGAGTACTAGGGAATTTGACCACGTGATTTCCAACTTGGAATATGCTGATTATTGAAAATATGATTTCCTACTTCTCCAGAGTAGTTTGTTCATTGTTCTTTTTGTTTTGAAATTTATGGAGAGGTTTGGCTAGTGAAAATGATGAGGACAATTTTTTGTTGTTCAGAAGAAGGGACAAGCAGTTAGCACATGAAGGAAAAGCGTGGCACCTTAGTAACGCGCGAGACACAATCATTTGACTTAACCCTAGTGCTGATCATCTCTTGGCCAATAAGAAAAGGACACATTGATGTCCCATTTGATTTACCTTCCTCACATTAATGTTTTGACATGAAAGCCATCTTCAACACTATAACAAAGAATTGTTGCAGCGTTGGTCGTGCCACTCTTTATTCGCATGATATCAACGCACTCGTGCCTAAGTCAACTTAGTGCCGATCGTTTAAACGAACTGTTGGTTTTCACATCATGTTGCTTAATCATTCCTTCCGAACATCCTGATCTAGTGCCACAGCACGATGATTCGATTGAGGGTCAGACGAAGTATGTATAGAATGTTGATGCGTGTTATGAGAATTGTGATGACCACTAGATAAATGTATTGCGTGATCTTGCTCATGATGCACTTCAGAATGTGCATCATGATGAGAGTGATGATGCATTCCATGATCGTGGTGGTGTGCCACTAAATGTCCATCTTCAATGATGACCGATGGAGGAGCACTCGATCCAGCATCTGAGATGTCATACGATCCACGAGAGACGACATCTGAATGGTGGTGATGATGTTCATCCATCAAGTTATCATCATCATCTGCTCCCTCAACGAGAATGGTGGTCATATGACAATTCTGTGGATTTTGGTAATAATTAGTGTGTAATAGGTAGGTTGTTAACAGACCCTTGCCTTTCGCGTAAACATCTTTTCGTTCGTCAAAGTCAAACTTGGAACAGAGTCGAAGATAGGCCTCTCGTGAGCATTGAATTCTACCATCCAAACAAACGGATTCCATTCTGTCATTATTTGATCATGAAAATGTAATAATTAATTGAAATTGGATTTTCGTTGTGACTGTTGTTGATAAGGTAAAAAGAAATTGACCTTAAAAAAAACGTAAAATATTGAAAACTACATACCTCACCTTGAAGCTAAATTGACAGCATCGCCCCATACGTCGTATGCAAATTTTAATTGTCCGATCACTCCAGATACCAAAGCTCCAACATGCATTCCTACCTTTATGGTCATGTTGGTTCCAAATTGCAAATTATAGCTGTGCATGACGCTAAACATTTCCATTGCAAAACGAAGTACCAATTCAGGATGATCTTGCTGTGATTGATTGGCATGTGATGTCATGGTTTGTAATCCACCCACACAAAAGTAATGGCTTTGAATGGTTTTGATTTTTTCCAAATAATATTTGGGAATGAGAGAATCGTATCCATTGATGATGATATTTAACATTTGAACAATTTCACTGGCACCCATGTTACTACTAATTTCATTAAAATTGCAAATATCGCTGAATAAACAAGTACAATCATCCACCTGCAAATGACAGGAATGTTTCAAGTTGCGAAAATACAAAGTACATGATTCTGCACATCAAAACGATAAAAACATACCTTGTCAGCAATAAAAGTTTCTCCATTTTGCAATCGTAGAGCCACGCTTTCAGGTAAAATGTTCAACAACAGAGCCTCCGACTTTTTCTTTTCTTCGGCTAACTCTGAATCGTGTTGCTTCTCAATGGTTGCATCTCTGATGAAACATGAAATTATATTTTCATTCTCTTTTAACACTGAAACACTCAAATTGACCGTTGCTGGAAATGTTGTCTTGTTTTTTCGAAGACCAAAGATTGATAAAGTCTCACCTTGATTAGAGGTTGCATGGAGCGAGCTATTAACGTGTTATTACTTGGTATAATGAAATTAAACACAAACCTGGAAATAAACGTTGCAACTTTTCCACGAGATTCAGGTGTGAACAGTTCTTCCAACGGCGTACCTATGACTTCATCTGATCTAAATCCAAACAACTTTTGTGCACTCATGTTGAAAACGTAAATAGAACCAAAGGTTGAGCAAATCACAGCACCTTCAACAGCAGCTTCCAATATTGCCTTTTCCTTCGACGAATTGTCTAATGTTGTTCTAGCTTTTTTCTGCTCACTTGCACTGAGTGAGTAATTCATCACATATGCATGCAATAGAGGATCATTGTCCAATGTTTCCCAATGTAAATGATTAAGCATAATCCTAAATTGATGAATTTCGTTCATGTGATTGGACATGAATCGGTATATTGCATAAATAAATATAAACAGAAGTAGAATGGTTAAAGAGGACGAAGCAGCAGAAATAACCATCACTTGTGATGTAAAATGGGACGCGTATTTAGAAATGAATAATGTGGTCTTGTCTGAAATTGTAATGGAGCTATCAAATAGATCAGAATACTCTGCCAATACTTGAACAGTTGGATAAATTTGGTGGTACGCATTGTCGTTGATTTTCTCAGAAATCTTAAAGTAGGTCATTAATTTATCGAGTGAATAGCATGAAAAATCTGTTCCATTACACTCTTTCGATTGCAACAATATATTGTCCATCTCAGTACCAGTACCAGTCAACGCTTTAAAACCGTTAGTTTCTTGTCCATATCTAAAAGCATTCCAAGATATAAACAAGTCTGATATATGAGTCTTAATTTCCGTGTAAAACTGATATTTAGAGACTCCTAATGATTCATTGTCATCCATTAATAGTTCTAATATTTTAAACTTGCACCGCTCAAGTATTTGCAACACCAAATTGGCTGATTGAATTTTTTGCATTGCAAGAGACTCATTTTCAATAAAGGATATGGTTTCATAAACAATTAATACACCGCATACAAAAGTGACGATTAAGCACACTGCTACCAGAACTATCAATACTCGCTTTGTTGTTGCAACATATTCTTTTGTACTAATAATTTTGTCTTCTGTTTTGTGTTCCATTGTTCCAATAATGGTGCGTACCTCGTCCTTTGAGATTTTTCTAAATAATGAAATGATTTGGCCAAGCCTAGTTAAGGTTCGTTGCATGACAACAGTATAAATAATAACGTAAATAAAATATGCGACGGATATCGAGCACACCACAATGATGAACACATTACGTAAATATGTAATATTTTCGTTAACGTCGATGAGCAGCTGATCGCACAAACGTTCAAACGACATGGTGAAGTCTTGTCGATTAGTCCCTATGAACATGTGTAAAAGTCTTGTTGAAGCTAGCATTATTTTCAATAACTTACACAACATTAGAAAGTCAAAGTCTTCATATGTTTTGTTGAATTCACTCGAGCTCTTTGAAAGATAGTTGGTCGAAAGAGTGGTAAATTTAGTAGCCAAATCGGACACTGAGCTATTTTTCACAGTTGTTTGTACCAATGAAATACTGTCTGTCTGAAGTATAGGAATATGTATCTTGGAGCTTGTATTAAAAAATCGTTGCATCATTGTGGGTGTAAAGAGTCGCTCTTTCAAATGCTTGTGAACTTGAATCATGCTTTGAATGTTCGATTCCACCCTCTTCTTAACTTGCCCCTGTATGAATTGTGTTTGTGACGAATTTGAAAATTTCATCATTGCTTGCGCTTTTCGAATGTCTGAAATGGTTCCATAAGGTACTTGGTATTTTTAAAAAATAGTTATTGAAAATTCAATTAAACATCATGTTGAAACATTCCAACTTCACAATTTTGTTGGCAGAAATACTTACGGGACGAGATGGCACATGCTGTCATAATAAGGTCAATGTCTCGATTGTTGTTGGCAGTAATTGTTACACCTATTATGAGAATTACAGAAACACAAAAAATTCCAACAGCACACAGTGACATCAAGAATGGAAATAAGAACCTATGCTCCTCCTTCTTATTTAACGCAGCTCGAAAGATATCCTTCTGTTTTTGAGGATGATTTTGAGCGTCCCCTTGTTGGCTAGCAGATTCCAACATGTCAACATCTTCTCTGGAAGATCCTCTTCGTTTTAGAAGGTTTGGTGAAAATGTAGGCTCGTGCATTGATGGCTTTGATGTAAGGGCATGAGAGTTTCTTTTGGCAAGTAATCGTTTTGCGTCTATGGAGCTTTTTTTAGCATTCTCTTCCTCCAAAATTGTAGCTTCTTCAAATAATTCTTCTGCAATGGTGCTAGTTGTCAACATCAAGTAATGGTTAACCAAATAATTAACAACAAAATCGACTCAGTTTGCCAAATACCAACCTTTCAAATAAAAATTCGTCCAAAAATGAAGCATAACTTCTCAATACAGTCTGTGAGATGTTGCTCGAGTAAATGCATACATACAAATTTCCATACTTACCACCTCATTCCTAAAGTTGAATAACATATTCTGAAAAATGATTGAACATTCTTTCGTAACACTTTCAATTTCCTTAGCAATAAAATAGAGTTTTTTGTCATCTCCTTGGTCCATTGCAATGTTTTTCCAAAATAATTTGTATAACTGTCTTAATAATTCACATTTAGAGCGCACCATATTCGCCATGCTATCCAATTGAAAATTATTTCTTCCCATAGAGCTAGCTTTTTCAATTTCCCTACTACGTAAGTAAATGGAATAACGCAGAAAGAAATTTGAAGTTTGTTTTTGCGCTTTTTGAATCAGTACAATTGCAAACGTCACTGAGCTGTTCGTTAACACAAATTTCACAAACAGAGCACATGTAATTAATGTTTGTGCATTAATTGTTAGTCGTTGAGTCATGGCTAATTTTGTAAAAGAGTCAGCAAGACCAATATCATCATCAGTTCCCTTCATGGCAAATCTAACAAAATAATTGACATATTTGAGATCAGACTCTGTTATGGATTCAAATGATCGTTTTTGAAGGCATGTCTTGAGCAATTTTCTTCCTTTTGTTTGCACATATCTAGAATAAATTTCTGTAACAACAACTCCAATGATGCACATAAACGTGCCGCCCCCAATTAGACCTCCCACAAGACCAATTCCAATCTCCCAACTTTGTTGAGAATTTACCAAAGTTGCAACTAGCGTTACTATACCAACACCAATTCTCGCAAATGCAATTCCTAATTATACATTGTTCATTGGTCGTGAAAGGTGAAAATCTCAATCACAAAAAACATACCACCATAAAACACGTTTGCACCTCTGCGCACGAAAGGGAAATTCCACAATAACAGTGTCCCAAATCCCATCGATATCAAAATGTATGCAATGGGAGCAATAAAGTACACTGATTTCGGAATGAAAGGATGTATAATTAAAAAGACACAATTTGTGACGTTAATATAAATCATAGAGAATGGATTGTCGACAAGGAAAAAATCGTTAGCTTGAATATGTGTGTTGCAGAAAATTGTTGCAGATATGGAAATAAGGGCCAACTGAGTTATCATGACAAGCATGGATGCAGCTGCAAAAAAGCCATTCAGTGGTGACCAGCATACACGGTCAGGAAAATTTCTCAACACAAAAACTGACGCATTATTAATGGTCACAGTCTTTTCATAATCGCAGTTCCAAAATGCAAACATCATGCTGAATGTAAATGGAATTGCCAGTATAGAAATACTGCCAAAGCAAAATCTTGCAATAAATTGAATTTTGTCCCAATATCTACTTCCAATAAGTTGAGTTCTATATGTCAAATATATGGACAATATTGCTAGTAAGATGAGCATGATATAAACCACACCCACGGCAATAAAACCTTCGTATGGCATAAATTGAAAACCGAATGTTCGGGAAATGGCCACTACACTCACCACCCATTTTCCGTATTCCCCCCAATCATACTCTAAGGGAGAGCCAATGCTCAGTGTTTGTAAGGCTAGAAATAGATGAAGCATTACACTGATAGCAGTCGGAATTGGTTTGTCATATTTGAGAGAATTAATTACTAGAAAGAGTGAATTTTCCAAGCTCTTAATGAATGCTGAGGAAGTACCTCCAGCATTGCTAGCAGATTGTGCAGTTTTAGCTGATTCTTTTGAGCTCTCATTGTCACCTCTATCTGCAAAAATAGCAGATTCTGTATCCTGTAGTAACGAGTTTCTCGAGCCAGCGTGCTGGTTGGGTGCCTTTTGTGTGTTTCCTGTTGAAAAACTAGAGGCCATGGAGAATTCCGAGACACGCCTAGCCATAGCGTTACTACCTCCTTGTAGATTGCTTCCCATCGTGGTTGAAGCATCTCCCCTCATCGGATGTAAGGAATGTCCATGATGAGGCCTTTGCAAGTGTGAGGCTGAGCCTCCTCCCATATTACTCATTCCGCTTCTATTACTCCCTCCGCTCATGAGTGAGTACGATGATTGATTAAAGGCATTCATAATGATATTTTCGTTCTTGTTGAAGATGTGATAATGACACAACAATGAGCTTCGTCTTCTTCGTCCTCTCTTCTACTATCAAGAATTGTGTTTTGAGAAGAAACTTCTAAGGCTGTTAAGAGTGCCGCCAAAATTTGCTGTATTTTTTTTGATCGGTCTTAATGTTCTGAAACGACAACTCGAGGTCTTAAAAAGAGACTCACTGACTCGTTATGTCCATAGAGTGCGTGTCAAGCGGATCGTTGTGGGCGGAACATTAGGAAAGATCCGATCCACATGGCTTTTGTTACTACTCGTATCTTTCAACAAACAATGTTCACAATTATACTATATTAATAATTTTAAATATTTGTTGAAAATTAATTAATTATTCGGGAGATGATGATGGCATCGAAGAGGTTGCCCATTTTTTTTTGCTTTTTTTAATGCTTTGACAGGTTGACAGTTTGGTAGACGGAATCAATAAAGGACTTTACTTGTGGAAAAGTGGTTTTTCACCATTTGACAAAGTCGTTGTACATGCCTGATTTTTGAAATTCCAATATTCTTAAAATCTTCTACCGAGTAATCTTGAATTTGACTCATCGTTACGAGTTTTCTCTTGCGAAAGAATTTTGCAACTTGTTGTAATTGGTATTCCACGAGTACCATTTCAATTAGAGCTCGGCCTTTTAAAGCCATAGTATTCTCTGAGCACTGTTCGATCATTTTCGATAGAATCAAATTCTGAAATTCTTGAGTCTTTTTGAATTGAGGGAAAATTTCATTCTTAAATTGAAGCTCAATAGTTACTCGCAACATGTTTAAACTTTCTGAAATCTTGTCAAACATGGAACTCGCCATGGTATGTAGCAAAATCTCACTTCTTCCAACCAATGACTGATTCCCAACTACTTGTTGTCCATCCGTATTTGATTTTTCATTCATTTGTTTGTACACTACATCCAATCGATCTCTCATGGCATGATCAATATTCATACAGTGTGGACTATTCAATGACACAAATTGCTCATAAATGAGTTTAAATTCTTTAAGCTTGAGAAATTCTTCGGTCAACACAACTGCATTGGTCGCTGTGAGAATGTTTGAAATTCGAGGTGAATCTACTGGAGAATATGGACTCACGACTGAGCATGGTGTCGTTGATGCTGGATCACAGCACGAGCTCCTTCGACGATACTTCTCGCTCTGTTTGATGATCTTTTCAAAAGCTCGAACAACCTCTAAATATAAGAACAACTCTTCGTTGCACCTCTTTTTCATGAATTCTCTCAAGAGAGATCTTCCATCAGGATGATCCAAAATATTCTCAATACTGTAATAGGATTTCACAATGTTTGAAACAGATGAATTGGCAGTAGAATCTGCGAGTGGGTTACTTGTACTTTCTGTGGGTTGTATTAATGTCACATCGTTCATGGTTGTGCATTGTGAAGGAGTGGCCACATTGTTGTTGCAAGACAAGGTTGTTTCTGATGTTGTTGGCTCTGGTCGGCTTAATTCAGGAGCTGATTTTGTGTGAGAAATGGTTTTGCTCCTTAAATGTGGTTTGGGACAGTCAAAATCGTCATCATGAGATGTGGAACTGAAATTTTCTTTCGAGATAAATAAATCGAAACCGTTTTTCAGTAACTTGGAAAGCTTGAAGCGAGAGGAGCTTGGAGGTTGAGCAGGAGGAGGTGTAGAGCTTGTGTGTGGTTGATCAACAGGTTGAGAATGTTGAACTTCTCGTTCTGGAGAACGGCAACATGTGACACTTGAATGTTCTTCAGTAAGAGAAAGTTGTTTACAAGCAGAAACCTGTTCGTTGCTTGCTTGATGAGCATTTGAGGTATTCTTGGTTGGCGAAGCTTTCTGAACAAAGATGTAATTGACCTCATCAGAGCCCTGAGAATTCTCAACATGACCACAGTTCTTATTCTTGTTGTTGTACAACTCTGTAAAATCATTACTGCAATCTTTGAGCGCTTCTCCAATCATTTGTGTCACTCGATCCAAAGATTCCATTGTTGTCGAAGATGACTCCATGAGTTCTGCTTCATTAAATAGTGGAAATTTGAATCTTCTCGAAAATCGTTTTTGATTCACAACATTGGTGTTGACAGTGGGTGGACCGAATTCATCCAAACAGATCACATTACTCTCCCAACTTTTTGTTTTGGAATTTGTTGGAGAAGATTTTTCAAAATTCGTTCGAAATCATCCATTGTTGGAATGAAAGCGTTACTTTTCGAATGAGTTGACAAACTTCTTCGTTGGGGAGATGACGGCTCATACGGATCATCATTCCGACCACTCTTATTCATCGGAGAGGAAGACATGATGAAATCTTCGACACAAGTTCCAGCTGAATACAACAATCGCATCGAGGTCATGTTTCAATTCGTCGATTGGTTTCAATAAGAAGTAAATTGAATACTTTTTCTTTCAGAAAACTTACGGTTGCAACAATGATCCACTAGAGAATGTGAGTGTGTCTGTTCACCAATGAAGAGTGACTAGATAATTTCTTATTTGAAAATAATTGATGGGTTTAGAAAGCAAACAGTAAATTTTGGAGGCGAGCGGGTGTTGACAGGTATTATGACGATTGGAATCAAGTCATGAATTGGCTAAATGGAGTATTGGCATGATTGTCATGAATGACATGAAATAGATTTAGTATGATCTTGAGAGGTGTTGTATGGCGTTGAGCGGTGACAAATGTGTAAACTATACTATGATATTTGAAATGTATGAATTTGGAATACAATTTTGATTCATTTGCAGTAAGGCTCTTTCATGTTATCCAATTTGGAGCAAAGTCATAACTTGGAATGAGCAGGAACATTATGAAAAGGAAAAATTGTTTTATTGTTGCTTTTTTTCTATGAGCACTCGATTGTACAACACAGTGACATCATTGAGTAAAAAGTTGATGTTGTTCTTTCACACATCATTCTTCTTTCAGCAAAATGAAAAAATGAAACGCCAAATTCGTGATTCAATAATTCTGCAAGATTTGAGCCTCTGTTCATGAGGATGAATTTATTCGTGATGAACCCTCTCGGAAAGAATCCAAGAGGGACGAAAATAATCATGAATGGCATCATTGGTGTTATGGAAAATATCAGTTGGAGTTTAAAAAAACGGAACAAGGAATGGAATTAGAGGACCAATATTATGAATCCTTTCAGAAAACAAACAATCATTTACCAAGGCATTTTATTATGTTTCCATTCCAAAGCCATGTGCACTATTCGGAAATGATTCCTCCCAAGTTACATAACGATTATCAAGAGAGGTTTATCATTAATGTGGTTCAATTAATGGACGATTATTATTTATTTCTGTTTGATCTTTGGCAAGAACGTTGGATCGAGCAATCGAAATGTTCATTTATTTCGGATGAAGGCGATGAATCTACATTTGGAATTTTCTTTTTTGAAAATCATTCACCTTACTTTTTACTACTGCAATATGATGCCAATACTAGCATAAGCGGTACAATATTTAAGATTGATTTTAGTTTGAAAACAATCTCACTGTACAAAACTGTTGAAGTATTCATTCATCACAACAATTTCGCCAATAGTGATTTTATGCGAGTCCATTCTACCATTTTTAATCTTGGGAGAGCTACCAAAAATAGTGTGCAAGCAATTGAGCAAGTTTCATTGACAGATCTTTCCATAGACTACGAGAAAGTGTATGGCAAGTCCAGGCCTTCCAGAAATGGCTCTCTCTTATGGAAATATAATGAACAAGACAATTGTGGATGTATTATTTCATATGGAGGTCTTCAAAATCACTGTTATCCAAGCGATTTTATTACACGAGTTGATTTTTGGAAAGGAACAGATGATATCATTTCCTATCAAGTCAACTGTTTGCCATTTGACAATTGGAGGGATTTACTCTCCTTTTTTCCAAACCCAGTTAGTTATAATGCAGTAGGTTTGATTGGAGGAAGATATCTGGTGAGCATTGGAGGCACAGACATGGGTAGAAAAGTTGAGACACACAATTTGTGTCTTTTCGATTGTTATCTTCAAGCATGGGTTGGAGTGTTAGAGCCAGAACAAGATCCATTGAATGGTATAGAAGACGAGGAGGAGTTGACAAGACTATTGAGATTGAACGGAAGATTACTGTATTTAAGGAATGAAAACAAGTTCATTTACTTTGGAGGGTCGAGAAAGTCTTACCTTCGTTCTTTCGATGCCAATTTCCACACGATCAAAAAATTGGGATATTATGAAATCAAACTTCCTTCATCCGTTATTACACCTTCGTTGGTGTTTACTTTTCCATGGAGAAACTTTCATGATCTGATGATTGTATTTAAATAATAATTTTGAACAATAATCCCAAAAAGAGTTGTTCAATAGCCATAGATGTGAGGCGATTTATGCGAGGCATTGTAATCAAGTTCCTCTGTGGAGGATAAACATAACAAGACAACATAGCGGACGATCGCTTTATTGAATAACGACAACGATCCATGAACGAGCGTGTTTAAGCACTTTGTTTCACACCATTCACGTTCACATTGACCTTCAAATAAATTCCTCTTCTTCCACCTCTTCGGTAAGATCTCATATAAGTTCCTCCATTACCACCATTGTTGTTGTTGAAATTACCACCAGAAGAAGCACCACTATTACCTCCAGTAGAGAATGAAGAACCTCCTCCAACAGAATTTGAACCGCCTCCTACTTGTTGTTGTTCACTACCACTACTACCAGCATTTCCTTGTTGTTGGAAGGATCCTCCTTGTTGTTGTTGTTGAGAAGCTTCATTGGATGACGAACTACCTCCACCAGAAACTTGAGAAGTTTGTTGGAATGATTGTTGAGAGGATGATGATGAAGAAGATCCTTGAGTTTGTTGTTGTTGGAATGAACCTCCTTGTTGTTGTTGTTGAACAGCAGGACCTTGAGTGTTACCTCCCCAAGCATTTTGTTCAGCTACTTGTTGTTGTTGTTGTGGTTGTTCAGCAGCACCAGCAGATTCTCCTCCTTCAGAACCTTCAGAACCTTCACCTCCAATGACTCCCTTCACCTTATTTCGAATATTGTTAAACTTGTCCTTGAGTTTACCAAACTTGCCCTTAATATTATTGAACTTTCCTTTCAACTTGCCAAACTTTCCCTTAATATTGTTGAATTTTCCTTTCAACTTGCCAAACTTGTCTTTGAGTTTACCAAATTTACCGCCAGTCAATTTGTTGCCCCATTTACCAGCAAGTCCTTTGAGTTTTCCTTTGAGTTTACCTTTGAGATTTCCAACAAAGTTTTGTTTCAAGTTTTTGAATTTGTTGACTGTGTTTTTAATCTTCTTGACCTTGTCGACGACGGCTTTCACTTTTTTGAACTTGTCAAAGGTGGATTTGAATTTGGCCATCTTGGCAGCGATGGCGGCTTGTCCTCCGGGTACGACCATGGGTGCAACGAATTTGGCGACCTTGATGGCCTTCTTTGCGAATTTCTTCAACTTTTTGCCAAATTTGGCTTCGGTTGGTGTGAAGCATGTGGTCAATAGAATGGCGAGTAAAAGGACCAAGAGTGCCGATTTGAATGTGAAGAATCGTGTGGGTATCATTTTTTTTCTAGATGTCTGTTGCCTGAAATTGAGCCTTGTCAACTCTGTGGATGACTTTTGACGTTTGAGCCGTGAGAAAAAAATCAAGAGCTGGAACCACATGGAACTTGGCGCGGGTCACTCTTTTTGGGTTCGAGTACGATAGCAGTCCTCATTTCGAATCGTAATCTTTTTTTTTTATTTTCTGTGGATGAAATGTCACCCGAAGAATGTTTTTCTGATGTTCATGAACAAAACTCTAACTTACATGGTTCCAATGAGTGTTAATGTTGTGGTTAACCAGTTGACAGAAATTGGTGGTGCGACAGTTTGTGGTAACCTTGAGGAAGGACTTGTCTTCAAGTGTGTTGCAACTTGGTGTGTGAGCACTATTAAGGTCGAAATAACTGTAAATTGAGATATTTCAACATGACATCATGCATGATATACAGATTTTGTTAGTCGTGGTCATGTTTAGCACAAATGTACTTGATGACTTTACTAATGGCTCTTTTATCTCTCTTATTGAAATGCTTCTTGAAACAAGAAAATCTCCCAAGAACCGGTCAAAGTCATTCAAGAAAAAACCGTCATCATTAATAACATCAAGTTGCTGAAACATGTACTTTTCATTATCTCTTCGACATGATTTGTTGACAACTGGCGTCAACAACAATTCCAGTAATATGAGCAGTCCAATAGACAATACCAATATACCACCGCCTCCTACCTTCTCTCCTCCTCATCATATTCAAGCGATCGTGAATGCCTCAATCTTTCTCATCTTGTATTTGATTTTACAAATTTCCATTATTGTGTTTGCATGTCGAGGATGGAAAATCATGCAACGAAATCAACGAGTGTTGTATGTTTTGGTAGGAGTGTTTGTTGCATTGCAAATGCTTGGTGTTGGTGCTGAATTGATTCATAATGCTGCTATTCTGAGTGTCGTGACAGAATCATCACAATTTCCGAATTCTAATTTGAATTCTGGAAATGTTTCAATTCTGGCATCTGTTTCAAATCTGATTGCATTCTTGAAATTGTTACAATTGCAAAATTTGTTCATTCTCATGTCATTCATTCAGAATATTTTGTAAGTATTCGACTTGTCAAGTTATAACACTTGTGACATTTGGTCTCCAAAACTGGAATTCGCTCAGTTTGACAACATTACATCGAGCAGGTGGATTATCCAAGCAAGTGTATCTTCTACTTCAAATCATCCTCAATATATTAACCATTCTATTGACCTTACTTTCATATGCAGCATTTCTCACTGCGTTCATCATGAGAATAGTACAAGAGGCTTCAAATATCCAATTAGATCGAGTGTTAGTTGAAGCCTTTGGAAAATTGGGAGTTTCTGTCTATTTCTTTTCCTTATTTGTGAATACATGTATCTTCGTGTTGATTAGCATTCGATTGTTTTATGTGGTCAAGACACGACGTTCGTCCTCTTCTCAAGTCAAGCATACACATGCAATATTTCGAATATTGAATCAACCATTGACCAAAATAGTTGGTCTATTGTTTGGAATGATATTGAGCGCGTTGTGTTTTTGTTTGGGAGTTTTGGGTCTTCTCGTGGCTCTTGCTGATTACAATGTGTTGATGGTCTATTACTTTTTTAGTGATTTTGGTGTGTTGATTTTTGCAATCATGGTTCTCATGTTGTACAATCCATTGACCAATGCTTCATCATCGTCAGAAAAACAGACCATTGTGACCCCTAAAGCTTCTCCTGCTACACGTGAACAGCAGCAGCAGCAACCGAATAATCCATCGAAAAATGAATCTCATGAAGTAGGCGTTTCGTCCAAAGTATGAATTGTGTATACCACGAAAAAGTTTGTATTCAAAACATGTTAATGTATTGGAGTTGTGGATATTCTATTACAAATGATGTCCATAAAGAGAATGTATCATGGAATAGTGATTCCAATGTTCTCCTTGGTTCAATGTCAATTCTTTATCCATTCGAATAATCCAGGGATAGCAAACAACATAACAGAATTCTATTCGCTCTTCCGATGTGTATGTTGGGGAATGTGCTATTCTCATCCATGTTATGACTTTCTTCAAGCATGCATCGAATGGTAAAGGTGCAAATTGTGTCTTGTAAATTTCCAGCGCAAAGAATGCTCTTGAATCATTGGGTCTTTCTTGTTTGACGAGCATGGGTATCAATTGTTTGTTGAGAGCTTTGTTATTTCGATTTTTAGGGTTTAGTTCTAGTAATCGTTTGTATTCTTTTTTGTAATTTTCTGAGTATTGCTGGTGACAGTTCAAAAATTCATCTACGTCTTGGATTGTCAATTCGTTGTTTTCTGTTTCTGGTGAAAATCTTGTGACATATGTTTTTACAAACGCGTTCTTGTCACATGTGCCACCAAAGACACCAAACTTTTGAGAATATTTCTGAAACAGCTTTTTCAATTTCGTCTCGAATCGATCTTCACCCAAATTATTCAGTAACTTTGGCGACATTATTAAATTCTTCATATTCTTTGTTTCTAATGTCTTAAGGTCTTTGTGTTGATTAGTTTTTTGTTCGTCTATAGAAGCAGTGTGATAGATAGCAAGTTTTTGTTCCTCCTCCTCTACAAGTTGCCGGCAAAACAAGTTTGCTTCGATTTTTGAATAAAAGAGTCCTGTTTGGCTGTCTCTCTTGAAGAAGTACAGGGCTTGTTCCTTTCTTGATTCTTCATAGCTGAGATTCGCGGAGTTTTCACTATAACCATTAAACAGTTTCTTCACTTCATGGTTGTAATTAATGAAGGTCTTTGCATTAGAGTCAAATTGTTCAACAAGGTTTGGATCAAAGAGAATGCTATAAATGTCACCATCAAGATCACCACCTCCCATCCACTGTTGAGGAGCACCTGTTTTAGAAAATACAATTGAATTTTCTGAAGAATTCAAAAATTCGTGGTTGCTCCATGTTTTCACAACCAATTTTCGAATATCATGCTGATGTGCTAACGGATATCTGAATACAAGAACATTCTTTAAGGAGCATAGTTTGGCGTTTCCTAAAATTCTTCTCATGTAGGAGCTTGAAATAAAGACTTCATTTTCTTTGAGTGTTTCGCTCTCATCAGGCACGCCCTTCAAATTCACACAATAAGGATATGGAATACTTCCATTCAAGTCATCATTCATGTCAAGCGCATTCACTCTCTCTAAAAGCTTTTTTTGAATACATCTCTGTAAGAAAGGGCTATCTAAGGGATGACCACTTGCAATAAGAGTTCGTATCATGATATAGAGCTCGCTCACGGATGCAGCAGAGTCATCATTGAGTCCAAAAAGGTCATTCAACAGCTCCTGTCGATCTGCCGATTTCTCTTCAAGTTCTTTCAAATATTTTTCGTAGAGCTCAAGAAAATATTTCGTAATAGTAGGTTGAACATAAGAAGGGCTTAGCTTGAGCAACATTTGAATGACAAAACGAGAAATTCTTCCTGGACCTCCACGAACAGGATCTTTGCCAGCAGCTACGCTCAAAACATCAAAATAGTTGTAAATCAGCTCCTCTCCAGATCTCTCAAACCTTCAAATGAAACGAAATACAAGCAAGAAGAGAGTCTCAAGTCAGCGAAAATTCTGGAAATTCTTGTAAAGGACTTCTCCAATACTTCTCTAGAGTTACGAGGGTACTCTTGGATATAGTCACGAGGAGTTTGTGCCGAAGTTTGATCCTTCTTGCAACATTGTCCAACTCTTGGACAACATTTGTCTTTGGTGTCACGTTCCCATTCAGATGTTAACATTGGTAAATATTCCACTGCCTTTGGTGTTAACAGCCCACATAGTAAATGTTCATATCCTGCTTGTTTCAACCGTTTACCGAGTGGAGAATCCAGCAACCATTTGAATGCCTCTTGAGAAGGCTCTTTGTAGATATCGTCTTTAGAACCTCTATCGTAACCTTCAAGCTGTCCAGTACACAGTGGGAATGCAGTGGTGTTCAAGGAGGATTTGTCAACCTCAGAGAAATCAATAGAAGCTGGATCCTTAATAACATTATTCTGCTGCCCTTCCACGACTGCAGTGGTAGAGGTTGATGGAGCTGTCGTTTCCAGTTCATGTGACGAGTTGCCAGCATGATTGCCAATTCCATCATGAGAGTCGTTATTATTAATGATCGACTCCTCATCATCACGATGGTTGGATGCTAGGAGAGTCTTGGTGTCTTTCTTTCTGGAAGGCGAAGAACTACTACTTGGATGAGCCAGTAATTTCAACTTGGCAGACAGAATTCCTACCGTGGGTGAAGAAGGAAGGATCAATAAGAGCTGAAATGCTTCATTCCTAATGTTGTAATATTTCTCATTACCTACAAGAAAATCGTTCTTGTTTTGACCTGGATTGATTTCGGCGGTAATGAGTTTGCTCTTTGGGGTTACATTTGTCAATACTTGGAACGAATCATTCTCTTTGATACCAATGAAGAGTAGAGCGTCCTTAAGATGATCAACAGCAGTCTCAGGAAACACGATAGAGTTTTTGCTGCTCGTGTAGAATACGTTTTTGTCACAACGGAACGAGGCGTCCTCTTTTCCAACTGAAGGCAATTTCATGTCATTGATCAGCTTCAAATTATTGATCAGATCCTTTGGAAACTCAATTCGAGTCATGTTGGTATCATCATGAATCACGGCAACATTGCTGAAGGAAGAGCACGAATCAGTGACCTCGTTCATTTGTTGTTGAACATGGCCAGTGTGCTTGGTTTGTTTCTCCAATTTGTTCATCAGAGGAGTTAAGAGGTCCATGACTCTACCTAATGTTTGATGGATCTCGGTGCAGTTGATATTTGCTGATGATGGTGTGGAGTCTTGTGACGTCTCGTTGACACCAGCCAAAGGTTGATCGTGGTTGTCTATCATTTGAAATTTCGACAAGGTGTTGCTAATTTTTTTGTGGTAGAACCAGAATTCCTGACGCGGTCGTGATCTTTAACGCCTCGGATTGAATTCACAAGTCGTCGCCATAAAAAGCAGCGCCAATAGAAATGAGGCGCAACCTATTTTACAACGAATGAAGGCTCCGTTCGAGATCTCTCAACTCACTGGTTGAATTGGACTCTTAGACAGCTAAATCCCCTTGTGCTTGCTTCGAAATATACATCGATGTGTGAAATCACAGAGGTCGAAATCAACATGAATCTGGTTGTGGTTGTCGTCAAAATCAAGTCGAACATGGTAAACATCTCAACCAGTAAAACAAAATGGCATTAGAAGCGTCTATCTCAATATTCACAACCACGGCTGCTCCAAACGTCACCAACGGCACTAATACAACCACACCGAACAATACTGTACAATTTTCTTCATCTCTTCCTCATCATGTTCAGGCAGTTGTAAACTCCTCACTTTTCCTGTTGGCCAACAATTCTCGCTCTTGCTGATCACGATTGCATGTCTTGTCATACGGGATGGAGGGAAATGAAAAGAAATCAGAAAATTCTATACGTTCTGGTTGGAACTTTTGTAGGTCTTCAAATACTGGCCATTGCCATGGAATTGATCCATGACAGTACTGTATTGTGTGTTTTGGCACAAAATTCAAATTACATGCCAAAACACTTTGCAGCGGATATGTCACCTGTGAAAAAGCATCCATTCTAACAAACCTGATTTCATTATTGAAATTGTTGCAATTGAAAAATTTGTTCATTCTCAGAAAAAGTGTTTTTGTTTGGCCGTATTAGGTTTGGTTGTTTCTGTACAAAATTATAATATTTTGATGGCCTATTACTTTTTCAGCGATTTTATCCACAACCAATTCATCCACGAGACCCATTGTTTCCGAGAGTCATGTAGGCATACCACATCAACCAGTACAAGGAAGAACATTCGGAAGTTCATTCCATCTGCCAAACAAGTCCCATTGATGTTTCATTAGATCGATATTAGCTGAACAATCCCAATAGCATTTTAATAATTGATGATTGTTGTTGAATTGAACAACTAATGTCATCACAAGAAAAATTAAGATATTTTGGGATCGCCCCACACGCCCAACGGCAATTTTTTTTCCAATTTAAAATTTTATTAAAAAAATATTGTACATTCAAATAGCTTGGCCACACGAGACAACAATGAACCATGGTGATCCCGAAGACGAGGTCATCATCAAAACTGAAAATTTAAAACCCTCTTCAACACAAGATAAAAATTTGAGGAACGAACGGAACCCGATAGTACATCCACCACCACAACAACCAATTTTTCAACAACGTAGCTCACATGTGCCTCCAATTCCTCCGTCGTCCTTTCGTCCATTCGCTGCACAGCAAGAAATCGGATGGATTGATACTCCGCTGGATCATGACGATGATGAGCAACATCAACATTTCTTGTTATCCTCGCACAACGGCGGTAGTACAACTGTAAATACCAATCCCTATGCCATTCCATTTTCTTCAAGTCATTTGAATCATTCACGACGAAATAGAAACAGTCCTAAAAATAATTCTAATACAGATAATCATCAAGTACATGATGATTTTCAATTATCTGCAACTCAGCAATTCAATTCAAATTCGAAATCTTCCTCGTTGTTTACATCAGTGGGTCTGAGACAACAAGAGGTAAATATTGAACAGCAAAACGAAGAGAATGAAACACTTCAGGTGTCACATCAGGCTCCAATTAACAAGTTGAGTGTTAATTTGTTGGTCCAAATATTTTCATTTCTTTGTGACCAGTTGGAGGAAAAGGAAGAGGACGCTGCAACAGCACAAGATATTTACAACGAGGATGACGACGATGACGAAATTGAACTCGAAGATTCACAAACATCCCTCGACACAGCCAAAAATACCATGTTGAATGCATCTCATTCATTGGAGGAATTGGTAATTGATGGCGGCTCCAATAGATCTTCTTCTGAGAAAACTCGGATTAATTCTCCAAAAAAGACACCCAATAAGAGAGACTCGGCTAAATATTATTCAGAATTTGGAATTGAGGATGAGGATGAAGAATTGACAACGGATTGGATCAGCTCCGGACTACTCAGCTCAAAGAAATCTGGTGGAGGTGACGACGAGAATGTTATACCACAAGATAGCGTTAACAAAATTAGACGGAGCATTTCAGTTCCATCTATATCCCTTTTAGTGTCGAAAAACTTTACAGACCATTCAAGAAGTAAGGATGACAGTTCGATCACACAAAAATCATCGACTAGTGCGGCTGCTCACTCTGAAAAAAAACCAGGCAAACCTGTCACATGGAAAAGCTTGAAAAAACAAAATGCCAAAGAGCAAGCCAAACTAAAGAACAGGTGCGAAAGATTCATGGTTTCTCACGCCAAAAAGAGGCATACATGGATTCATTACGGAAATGCAAATATTAGTCTCGTTTGCAAAAAGTGGTATATTGCCTCCTGTCATAACAACGTATGGGCGCTTTCGTGTGTCATGCTATTTCTGCATTTGACACGTTTTTCTGTTACGTTTAGAAGTTACGACACTGATGTGTTACAGCGCATGCTCTCGACATATTATTCAAAACCAAAGCGAACAGAGGAGATTCGCAAAAAACTACAAGTACTATGTGATTATTTACTGCCCACGAAAAGCGTATTTATGGACACAGTCATTCATGTGAACAATAAGCAGTTCAGCGTAGAACATTTAAATGCGTTTAGCACCAAGTTGACGCAAGAATTATCGAAACGAGCAAGTGTCATGAGAGATACGGTACAAGCACTTGACAAACGAATTACAGACACAGCCAATACATGGTCTGAGAAATTGGAACATCATATTTCTCAAAACAAAATTTCTAACACTCTACTGGGTCATGATATTCAGACATCATCTCCCTTGCAATACCAAGGTGGAGTGACTCTGGAAGAAGTATCATTTGAGTCTGCTCCCACAACTGTCTCGATGACGAACATAATGAGGAACAACCAACTGTCACACATGACAATTATACTTTGGAGACTGAAAATGTTAAACCTTTAGAGCACGGTCAAGTGAATAATAACCAAGACGAACGTCATGTCACTGACGATCGAATTCTTTCGTCACAATCACCTCAACAGTACAGTACCACTCCCAATGAGGAGGGCAATTTTGAGGTCATTCCTTCACCAACAGAAATTGGTAATGAAATTATTGAGAATCATAGAAAGAGACGCACACTATCCAAACGATTTTCCACCCGCCATTCCAAAATTAATTTCAAAAACATTATTGATGACGATGGAATGGATGACAGCATTCTTGACCAAACAGCCGATTTGTTGTCTTCACAGAAAAATATGAAAATATCTAAGAGAAAATCATCATCATCCTTCAACCAACTACCAGACGATGACTTGTCAAATTTAAACCTTTACTCCAATCGATATCGATTTTTTAAAGACACATTCATTGAAATGAAAAAATTCAACAATTTGAATTTGAGAGATTAGCTAAACTGAATTACAATAGCAAGAACCCTCCAGAAATGAAACAAAGAGTCTCATTTCTCCTGAAAAATGCATTTCCAGAAATGTTGAGTACCATTCTAGTGACCCTCTTCCTCTTCTCGTACTTGGGAACTATCATTGCCATGCTCGCTTCTCCATCCTTGTACTGGCCAACCATTTTATTTTGTATTTGGGCCATTGTCTATTTCTTGGTGTGGACGGTGGTTTGGGTTTCTAGTTTTATACTGTATGGAAAAATTCAAATTAGACTTAATCCACAACGAAATGTTGCATCTTCAGATGATCAAATGACAGAGAGTTTACTTATTGATGAAAATCAACAAGGTATGGGTGAATTGAAAGAACTCTTTCTGTGGATCAAAAGTTGGGTGACGTCACGATCTCCTCCCAGAGAGTTGGTAGAAGAACATACCATTGTAGGTCACAAGTTTGATGCTGCTGATGAAGGATGGTTCTATTTGCGACGTTTACAATTGAAGCTTGCTGATCATGCAGCATACTATCATCTCATTGGAGTAATTTTTGTAGTGCCAGTCCTGATTATTTTACTAGTCTATTTCTTAATGATGTATTTTGAAGTTTCTGGATGGCTTGGGGTTTTTGCTTTACCCTGCTTTATTTATTTTGTTGCTAGTATTATTTCGTTGCTACTCTTTTTAATTGCAGTTTGGGATAGTATTGTTTTTCTCACAAAAAAGTATATTTTTTATGACTTGACAGAGACTGTGAAACGACAATTGAGGTATGTTGTAGTGTTTTTTATAATGCAAACTTTTCGAAATCACTATCAATTGTAGAGTCATTTCTTTAAGAAATTGGCCCTTCATGCTTGCGTATGGAGCATCCATGAGCTTTTTATTGTTTTGGTTTTTAATTGGATTTGCCTCCTTTTTGGACGGGCACGATACATTATTTATTGAGGACGACATTAGTAGCAAGACACAACAACATGTCACAAATTTCATGACCATCTCTACCATCATGCAAGGACAACCTCCTCCTCCGCCTCCATCCAGGTTCACGGATTTTTCTGGGATTGGCTACACGTTCATTCCTCTGTATTTGGCTGAAATTTTGACCATTGTCATTTATTTCCTTGGACTAATTTTCAAAAGCTCTTACTACAAGTATTGGTTTTTACGAGGCGCTCTATTAAGCGTGGCATGTTGTATTGCTCAAATTTTAATTTCAGTGCTAGCAAATACTGAACTTGGACTGTTATGTATTCTTACGGTTGTCATTCCAGTTTTTGTGAGTTTTATCATGGTCGTTATTCCCCAATTAAGATATATGAAATTAGTGAGCTCTCGTTTTGCGTACTCACTCCATTAAATGAAAATTGTCACACCTCAAATGTTGATTTAACATTATTGTGAAGTGTCGCTATGGCTTGCAATCTTGCGTGACTTTGCCGGTTGGGAAGATTCTGAGGTTGATATTCTTTTGTTCGAGTCCTCTGATTTGTCAATTTCTTGTTCCTCCTCACCCATAATCGTTACATTGTATAAACCAGTCGTCATTATCACCAATGTCGATAAATGTTTCAAAAAACTTTTTGAAATAATTGTCAATATCCATGTTTTCCACTCTTTTCCATAGCAACTCCAGGGCGCGTTTGTATACAATTGAAACAGCCCAAAAGCCTCAACCCAACGCTTATCATTACCTACAACAGAAGAGATTTTTTTGAAAATCGAGGCTAAAATCAAAATCATTCTGGGTTTGGAAATGAAAAAGGCTGGCTTTTCTAAATACTTTGAAGGCTGGGAAGACCTTGTATACCTTTGTACTAATTGAGAAACCATGTTGAACAATACATATGGACTTGGAGGAGGTACAACAAAATCACTGTCGTCAAAATGGATATTATTATTTTGGAAATTGAAAGCAACTATATCAGTTCCGAAAGTGTAGTGTTGGCTTTGGTGAGAATACGAGATCGTTAAGCATTCTCGATCATCAACCTGTAAAATAAAATCCTCTTCATCCCCTAATATATACTTTTCAACAACAAGATTGGTTCCTTCAACCTCCTCATCTCGATTAATTTCGCTTATCAAAAAGTCAATCAAACAATGTTCTTGGCATGCTTCTGGAAAATATTTATCCATAAACACCAATAAAGCAGATGGTCCTTTAGGGTCAGTTTGTTTCAGCTTTTGAACGAGATTGGTTAATTCTTTTTCATGATAACACTCTTCCCGAGTACAATTTCTCAAAAATTGCAACAATTCATACGCTGTTTCATAATCAATATTACATAAAATTTGATAATGATATCTTTCGGTGATATTTTCATGATTGCTACCAAACACTCGTTCCGCTTCGGTCGTTGGCAAGATTAAATCATGTTCATTGATCATGATGGTGGTTTTTGAATTCATTTTTTGGTATTGTAAAATTAAATTCCGTGTAAATTGTCTTGTGGATTTTCTTGAAACAGTTTGATTTTACAAGACTGTCTTCCTTTCCTCTGAAAAATTCCAAGAGCAAGCTAGCTTGACACTCGGATGCATCCCTTAACGGAAATGGACCTTGTGTTCATGTAGCTCTCATTTCATCCATCAACAACAACCTTCAACCGAATTCCAAACAAAACATACCTTTAAAAAAAAAAGGACAACGACGTTACAAGCTGCTGCGAGACCCTATCAAAAACAAAATGAAAACTCGTTCCATGGTGGCTGAATGGCCACATGCTGTCAACATGTGCATCTTGATCTTCATGATCTTGTTGGTGCACAGTTTGCATGCAGAAGTGTCCATTTATGTTTCTGTTTCGAGAGGAAATGACACTGTAAATACAGGTCTTTCTCCTCCTCCCCATTTCAGACGTTACAAAAAGCAGCGAATACTGTGACCTCTCTTAAAAACGTCGCTACAAATAATGATACCTACATCGTGTATATTGAAGAAGGTCGTTATTGGATCACTTCTACCATTACCATTCCAAGACCCAATCGATACAATGACGCTTCTTCTCGTGTCATTTGGAAACCTTGGAATGAGAATCATCAAGTAGTCATTACAGGAGGAGTTCCCTTGCCAGTGAAATTATGGTCGTTGGTCACTGAATATAATAATCCACAAGTGTTTGACATGTTACCTCCCAGTGCAAGAGGAAAAGTTTTACAATTGAATTTAACACAAGCTGGATTGTTCAAAAGTCAATTAATTCCATTGAATCGAACAGGATTTTATAGTGGAATTCAAGCGTCGAATGAATTGTTTTACAAGGGGAAAGCTTTCTATTGGGCACGTTATCCCAACAAGTTGCCAGATGAAACAGAGAGTTTTTTGAAAATTTCGTTCACCAACGGAGGGAATCGAGTGGATTTTGATGCGTCCAAGAGTGAGAATAGAAACAAGTGGCCACTTGAAAAACGTCCTTTTGCATTTGGTTTTTGGTATTATGATTGGTAAGTGTGTGAACAAACAAACTTGGATCAATTTAAATGATGGACATGTGCTTAGGGCTGGTAAGTTTCAATATACAAATGATATGAACCTTGTTGTTTGTGAATCACATCTCAAATAGAGGGCATTGAGGATTTACAAAATATAACTTCGAATGGAACTTTTCACTTTGTTCAATCTACCATCACTTATGGCGTTCAAAAGAATCAACGTTTTTTCCTGCTCAACTTTTTAAGTGAACTCGATCAAGAAGGAGAGTATATCTTCAAGATGAGATGATCTATGCCATTCCACATGGACCTCTCACTCACGACGACGACATGATTCTTTCTGTCACTGATCAAATTTTCACGGCACAAGCTCAGGCACAAGAATTTCATTCCATGCATTTAGAAATGTGTCGAGGATTTGCAATATCTGGATATGGCTCTTATTATGTCGTCAAAAATATGATCATTTCGAATACTGGAAATGCTGGCGTTCAAATTTCACAATGTCATTTCGGTTGTCAAATCGTGAATTCCACTTTTTACGAATTAGGACAAGGTGGATTAAATATTGGTGGAGGAGTTCGAGCCTATTTGAATGCAACCAATACGTTGATCATGAACAATACCATGTTTAATTTCACTCGAATTGGAAAGTGCTATCGTCCTGGTGTGAATATTTTGGGTGGAGTTGGTTACACAATTACACATAATGAAATTTATTCGGCAGATCATTCCGCCATTGTATATAAGGGCAACTATCATGACATTTCCTATAACAAGATTTATGATGTGTGTAAAATTGTTGGAGATGCTGGCGCGATTTATAGGTAAGTAATTGTTCACATTTCATAACTGTTATTAACATAAAACAAAATTAGTGGTCGAGATTGGACATTTAGAGGAAATACCATTCGCTATAATTTGATTGCGAAAAGTAGGGGACCTGGATTGTATGGTACAACTTGTTTGTATTTGGACGATCGTTACTCGAGTGCAGAAGTGTATGGTAACATTTTTTATGATTGTTATCGTGGAATTCAAGTAGGAGGAGGAAGAGACAATCATGTATTCAACAACATTTTTGTGAACAATACAATTAGTTTACAGGTTGATTGGAGAGTGAACACAACCGACATGTATCTTAAAATGTATTCGAATTTGATGGCTGTTCCTTATCAAAATTCCTTTTGGTCGAAAGCTTTTCCAAATTGGTAATATTTTAGATGACGATCCAACGTATCCAAAGAGAAACTTGATACATGATAATTTAATAGCAAAGGGAACTCCTGAATGTTTTGTAGATTCGCGTGCACGTCCCTATAACAACACTGTTGTGAACAATACCCTGAATATGGACATGTCATGGTTTGAAAATCCATTTGAAATGAATTTCAAACTTCGTGATGGAAATCCCTATGAAAATACTGGTCGATTTCCACGAATTCCATTTGAAGAAATTGGTTTGATCAAGTCACCACTCCACAACCTGAGAAACCTTTGCCGAGTAAGAGCACTGTGCTTGAAAAGAGTACTAACAGGGCTGTTTCCTTTGCTACAAACACACGCACATTCGCATGGCATGATTGGATGATATTATTAGTGTTTCTTCAGGGAATTATGATCATGTCTGCTTGGTTCCAATAGTAAAATTTGTTCTTTGGTACACGAGACAAATAAGGAAAAAATTCTTGCCTTAAAAAAATGTTTCAAGAAGGCAGCACGATGAAGTATTTCGGATATGAACCTTCGCAAGCAGATCTGACGCAACAACAACAGCAAGGAGGGACATTACCACATGTACTCCCAAAGCCTGGAATGTATTCCATGGATGTGTACGAGCCACCTCAGAGTCCTCATTATTTGTTCCTCAATCAATGATGCCGTCGTCATCATTTTCGTTGGCTTCCTCTGAGGCAATACACTCCCGACTGAGAATGTTGCAATACCAGCAACAACAAGTATGGCAACGCGTAATCAGAGGTCGCAAAGCAAGTACAAACCTCCAGTGAAATCCAATCCGTTATTGGATGGTTTGCAATTTGCTCCCATCGCCAGAAATTTACAAGTCTCTTCGATCTATATCTTATTCATTTGTGGCTTCACTGCATTGGTGATGATTCCTACAGATCCCATTTGGCTTTCCTACATTCCAGGAGCCTATTGTATTCTACTTTCCTTTGTATTGTATGTGTGGTGTTTTGTGAGCGAATTTAATAAGGAAGACAAACTCACAGTGGAAGAAATTCTCAATCCGAAGCAATGGCCACAACCATTGAGAAAGGTATTGAGTGCTATGAATCGAAACGAAGTGCAATGTGTACTGTGCTTTTTGTAAGTAGGGAGAGCTTGTGTATGAACATACATTTCTTTGATTTTTTTCAAATGACTGTAGCTTCTCAATATACTCCTTTTTTTGCGTCCAAACAGCCATCGCAGGAATGTGTTTAGTATTTTCCAGTATATTCTTCCTGGTTGCATCCATTCGAAAAGAAAAGCCTATCAAAATTACTGGAATTATCTAACGAGGATTTTCAGAGTTCTTTATTTAATTTTACATTCAATGAAGCCCATCCTTTACTCTGGAACAATCGTCATCAAGTTGTTGTAGAACATGTCCATTAGACAATAAACACTAATGAGCTGTTCATTGAATTTCCCTGTATTCATTTCGTGCAACATCTCAAAAACGAAAAAGGATTTAATAATAGAATCGTATTGGAAGAACGATTGATCCATGAAAAAATAATATGCAACCACACCATCATCATCAGTACCAACAGTCGCCCAATAATACCAACAACTCGAATCCATTAAATTATCAGCAATCGCCCTATTTTCGTCCTAACAACAACAACAACAATACCAACACTAACAATAATTTTTATCAACAAAAAGCAACCACCGCTCCCACTTTTATAAATAACCAACCACCATACTATCCCTATCAACAACCTACACAGCAACAACAACAACAAGTACCGGGATACGTGTATGGTTATCCAGTCCCTGTGGTAGCAAATAATAATTACGGTTATCCAAATAATAATCAAAACGTGGTGATCAATCAACAACTCAATCCAACAAATTATCCTCCCGTCGTGATGATGCAACCAACGAATAATCCACCATATGCGAATCAACCTCCTCCCCAACAATCATCAAGTAGCAGCAATAGCAGCAGTGGTAGCCGGAGAGTGATGGCCAAAACACTGGGATCGTTTGTTCTCTTGAAAGAAAAGCTCATCGGTTCGGGTGCCTATGCCGATGTCTATGAAGGCTATCATAGAGATACAAAAGAAAAGGTTGCCATCAAAGTCATTCAGAGAAACAAACTAAACGATCGTTTGATGCGCAATTTGGAATCTGAAATTACCTTGATGAAGAGAATTCAATCCGATTATGTGATCAAATTGTATGAAGTTCATCGTAGCAAAAGACACTATTATTTGATTGTTGAATTGTGTAGCGGTGGAGAACTTGGAAAGCTTCTCAAGAAGGGTAAATTACCCAAGTCCGTCACAACCATTGATGGTGGCGTTAAGGAGAGTATTGCAAAAAAATTCATTTATCACTTGTCGAAAGGAATGAAACAAATTTTGGACCAGAATTTGATTCATAGAGATTTGAAACCTGCAAACTTGTTATTGAGCAAGCCATTCCAAATATTGGAGCCAAACAAGAGCGACCTCTCCTACAAGGACGTTGATTTTGGATTTTTAAAGATTGCTGATTTTGGATTTGCACGTGAAATTGGTCCCAATGATTTGGCTCAAACCCTATGTGGTACTCCATTGTATATGGCGTAAGTTTTATGAAAATATTCATCAATATTAATGTTACATTGAAATGACAATACTATATTTGAAAATCATGCAAAATTTATGTATCCTCATTTGTTGAATGCCACACCCACATACAATAGACCAGAAATCTTATCCTCTCAAAGATACAATTATAAGGCTGATTTGTGGTCACTTGGAGCTATCATTTATGAGCTTTTATTTGGAAGACCACCTTATATGGCTGTCAATCAAATGGATTTATTGAATCAAATTAGAGCTCGTCCTCCTCCTTATCCCAATAATCCTACAGTTTATCCTCCTCTTGTGATTGATCTTATTAAGGGGTTGTTGCAAGCTGATCCCAATGTGCGGTTCACTTTTGAACAATTCTACAATCATCCATATCTGGTAGCTCTCAGGAAGGAGTTTGGAGACAATGAAGAATTCAATTCTCAAACACTCAACCAGCTCAAGAAGAATATATAGAAAATCCAAATGTTGTTACAAATAACAACTTGATGACCGATGTGAAACCATTTTCCAATCCCGTGAATGAAGAACAAGATGCTTCCAAATCGGAAGACAAGAATGATATCAATGATGACGAGGACGACGACAAGATGGCAACTCAGAAAACTGCAGTGGATCCAACATTGCCAGAAACAGCCAATACAAGTCAAGACAAAAAGACCTCAGGCATGAGTGACAATTCCAATGAGCCATCAAACAATGTCAGTGCTTCTCCAACACTCGACAATAACGCTTCGGATCAAGGCGCCAAGATCTTGATTATGGATAAACAAGTCTCGCCCAACGAAGCTCTCTACAACCAGGAATATCAATTGGAAAAGGTCATTGGATGTAGTAGTGACATTTGTTATCCTTCTATTATATTTGATTTCTCTTCGCTTCCTTGCAGTAACAAGTGTTTACAACTCTTGAGAAAATTGAAAATCAAGCCACAAGAGCTTGGTTCATTGCAGAAACAGCATTCATTATGGAAAAGAGCACCAAGTATGCAGAGGCATTTGGAATTTATGTCAAGGCAGGAATTATTCTTCATCAAGCTATTGAGACAATGAAAAATTTGGAAGTAGAATCTGAAAGGTCGAAAGCTCTTAGGTCTTTCCTAACGACCGTTTTACGAGATATTTTTGAACGTACTCTTGCCATTCAACAAGACAAGTTGAATAGCAGTATTAATAGCTCACAATCCCCTCAGAATGAAGTTGGTGTACATCAAATCTTGTACATGTATGCAATCCGAATTGCGCAAGAAGCAGCTTACAAAGAATATCTCAATTCCTCACAATGCACCAAAGAATGTCTTGCCATGTATATTAGAGCCAAGTACATTTTCGAATATTTAATTGAGGCTTCAGAAGAGTATTCTGAGAAAGTTGAGCTGAGAAACTTTTTAGCCAAGTTCACAGAAAGAATTAATTTCCTTGAGAATTAAAATTTGTATGATAATTTGTACTTTCAAATCTCACTGAATATCTCATTTTAGGGTCGTTGTGAATTGAAAAAGTGTACATTACTTTGGCCGGCCTACTTCTTCTCCATTTGCAAATGATTTTCTATTCGTTTCACCCTATTCTCAAGTGAATGCATTTCTGTGAGAATAATGTCCAATTTGTTGTCTACTGATGTTTTCATTTCTCTCAATTCTCGTAAAATCGTGTTAATGAGAGTATTTTGTTGATGCACGAGTATTGGAGAGGCACTTCCAAAAGGATCACCTCTAGGAGAATTATTCAAATAAGGCGTCACAGGCGTGGAAACATTTGGATCCTCTTGTATATGAATTTTTCTCATAAATTTCGTTAGTGAGATGTTCTCAAAATTTTCCAATGCATTCTTCTTAATGTTGCAAAAGAATATTCCACCCACTTGCTTCTCTCGCTCGCCAGAGAGGGCTTGAATGATTAAGACATTGTCCAAGCTTGGTTGTTGATGGCTAATGTCAAGTCCAAGTAATCGTTGATGCTTTTCAAGTCTTATTAATTGAGTTGTTGAATCGTTGGGCGATTTGTAGTTGTATTCAATGTATTCAAGCTGCGGTTCTGTCCTATTTGCTGTCACAATATGAAAGATTGAATTTTGAAGTCTGTCATGAACTCCATAAATCATATCTGGAAATTTAGTTAAAATACCAGTTTCTTCATTCGCAATCTTGATTTGATTTTGTTCCGCTTTGATAAAAATAATTTTGGAAGGAAATTTTTCATGATGTTCTTCTTCTTGATCATTTAGAATTCTGTTAGACAAGTCAAGTTCAGGTAGTATTAATGAATTATTTAGCAAAATAGGTTTGTTGTTGCGTATTGGCTTTTTAGAGAGTGTGACAACTTCATTTTCCTGAAGGGTAGTATTGCTCTCAACACAATAGGATGTCTCTTCGATCGAATTTTTCTGTACCAATGTAATGCCAGTGGTGGTTGCTTTGGTGACGCTCTTGATCGAGGAAGACTCTTCACGCAGAGGCAATTCAAGAACTCTATTGGAGGTCTCTTGTACAACAATCCATCCTTCTGCCTCAATTGCCAACAATTGTCTAATCCTTCCACCACACAATAATAAATTAGAAATTGGCTCAAATTTTCCCTTAGAATATGAAATTTTGTAAACTACTAGGCCATCCTCCCATATTCTATGTGAGAGTAGTAGTGTAAAATTTCAAACCAATAACGGTGTCATGAATGAAATGGGTTGAGTTGAAATATAAATTCAGTGAAATATTCCAAAATGTCCCAAAACGATGTCATGGTTGCAGCAATTGTTCTTTGAAATTTCTCAAATTCCAACTTACACACATAATAAATCCTGGATCGTGCTAGATTGTAACGCTCGTTTTCCATGTCTTTCAATACACATCAATGATTTCATACTGTCCTTATGTATCTTTTCCCATTTCATAATTTTTACACAATGATCGGTACAAATCACAAAATAAAAGAAGTGAATATTACTCTCTGTAATGCCTTCTTTCACTTGTACATGATTAATCGAGTCAGCCATGTCAGACTGGTGGTGGTTGGAGGAGCAGTTGTTGAATTCATGTCATTGGAATTTGTGGTTGGTTCGTTAGTATTTGGGTAATGTTCATGATCTTGACGAGTCGTCATTCCATCATGGTGATGATGATTCACTCCATCCGAGGAAGAATAATTCATTTCCACACTACATACTACTCTTCCAGCTTCAATAATCATAAAAACATTTTGATAGGTTGCATAAAACAATGA